TTAGCTGACGTCCCCTACAGTGATATCGCAGTACTCAAGACCTACGGCGCTGCGCCTTACGCGACAGCATTGAAGAAGCTCGAAAAGGATATCAAGGACAAACAAGCAAGCGTCAATGAAAAGATCGGCGTTAAGGTGATTACTTCTCCAGCTCTTTCGATCCCTTGAGTAATTGAAGCTTACACTTTACCAGGAATCCGACACTGGTCTTGCACCTCCACACCTTTGGGATGTTGCAGCCGATCGACAGCGCATGGCAGAGGAACAGCCACTCCAGGTTGCGCGGTGCACTAAGATTATCCAGGATGAAAAAGACTCGGACAAGAGCAAATATGTGATCAACGTCAAGCAGATTGCCAAGTTTGTTGTCAACCTAGGAGAGCGCGTCAGCCCAACAGATATCGAAGAAGGCATGAGAGTTGGGTAGGTACACCGGCGGAATTCGTGTCCTTCACAGCTACTGACTAGGCTCTGCAGTGTCGACCGCAATAAGTACCAGATTATGCTGCCCTTGCCGCCAAAGATCGACCCCAGCGTGACGATGATGACGGTCGAGGATAAACCCGACGTTACTTATGGCGATGTCGGTGGATGCAAAGAACAAATCGAGAAGCTACGAGAAGTCGTCGAGATGCCGTTGCTATCGCCAGAACGTTTCGTGAACCTCGGTATCGACCCGCCCAAGGGTGCCCTGCTCTATGGCCCTCCCGGAACCGGAAAGACCCTTTGTGCTCGTGCAGTCGCCAACCGAACAGATGCCACCTTCATTCGTGTCATTGGTAGTGAGTTGGTACAGAAGTATGTTGGTGAGGGTGCTCGCATGGTCCGTGAGCTCTTCGAGATGGCTCGTACCAAGAAGGCTTGCATCATCTTCTTCGACGAAATCGATGCCGTCGGTGGTGCCCGTTTCGACGATGGTGCTGGTGGTGACAACGAAGTGCAGCGTACTATGCTGGAATTGATCACCCAGTTGGATGGTTTCGATTCCCGTGGTAACATCAAGGTCATGTTCGCTACCAACCGTCCGTCCATACTTGACCCGGCCCTGATGCGTCCTGGCCGTATCGATCGTAAGATTGAATTCTCGCTACCTGATGTCGAGGGTCGTGCAAACATTCTCCGCATTCACGCCAAGAGCATGTCCGTGGAGCGGGACATCCGTTGGGAGCTGATTTCACGACTGTGCCCCAACGCTACTGGTGCTGAGCTCCGCAGTGTGGCGACCGAGGCTGGTATGTTCGCCATTCGTGCCCGTCGCAAGGTTGCTACCGAGAAGGACTTCCTGGCTTCCGTCGAGAAGGTTATCAAGGGCAACCTCAAGTTCAACTCGACGGCAACTTACATGCAATACAACTAGAAAGATCCCGACTGGATTTGCATTACGGATGGAATGTATGATCACTATTGTCTTGTTATGTCGGAGTGAATTCCAGGTCAATGCATCTATAATCTAAATCATTTGAGTTTCAGTAACCGGCATCTATAGTTCCCTAATCGGGTCACGATGTAAGATCATGTGATAGCACGTGATCCACGACTATACATATTCCACAGGTTAAAGAGACATTGGGGGATATTAGCTGGCTGTAGTGAAAATCCAATCCGAAAGAATAACCAGGCTCTATTAGTAGACCCCATACTTCGAGCAACCACCCTCATAACCCTCACTGAGGCTCTACCGTATCCTCCCGGCGCCCACTGCCTCGCGGCAAAACGGACGACCGGCGAACCCGAGGCATTCTCGCAGTTGCCGATGGGGAGGCCGAACCGGCCAATCACAGGCCCCGGAATACTAAGTAATTGGCTGAGTCAGCGTGAAACTGCCAAACCGCATCCCGACTCCAGATGAAGTTGCTCTGGAAGGAGTTCGCTATTCCACCATCTCCTCTCTTTAGCTGTTTTTGGACAACCTGTGTCCCTATTTTCTCTTGGTTCATTAGGGAATTATAATTCTCTGTTGATCCATCATGAGCTCTCTGAGCATGCGGAGCCTAGCTCCTGCCTCCAAGGTGAGGCACGCAACGATTTTCGGCTCATGTGCAACCGACTGACTGGCCCATTTCTCCAGGTTTCCCGCATTTTGCGGGATCAGAGACGTCTGTTCTCTTCTTCAAGGCCCGCAGGTACGCATTGAGCCATTCAATCCGTTAATCCACGTTCGCACCACTAACTACTCTTGCGCCAGCCAAAATCTGGGCCAACCAGCCTCTGCGCGCTAAGGAGTCCAGCGGATACCTGACCGACAAGTACCCCATCATTGTAAGAAACAAAACACCCTCGGATGAAAAGGAAGGCCATCGGATCTGACTTGCGCAGGACCACGAGTACGATGCCGTCGTTGTCGGTGCCGGTGGTGCCGGTTTGCGCGCTGCCTTCGGTCTGGCCGAGGCCGGATTCAACACTGCTTGTGTCTCCAAGCTGTTCCCTACGAGAAGTCACACTGTCGCTGCCCAAGGTGGTATCAACGCTGCCCTCGGAAAGTAGGTTTCTATCGAAAATTTCGCCAGATATCGAATCGCGTCTAATTGGAATATAGCATGCACGAGGATGACTGGAGATGGCACATGTACGATACCGTGAAGGGTTCCGATTGGCTTGGTGACCAGGACGCCATTCACTACATGACCCGCGAGGCCCCGGCCAGTGTTCGCGAGCTCGAGGGTTACGGTTGCCCCTTCTCCCGTACAGAGGATGGACGTATCTACCAACGTGCTTTCGGTGGTCAGTCTAAGGACTTCGGCAAGGGTGGCCAGGCCTACCGTTGCGCCGCTGCCGCTGACCGTACCGGTCACGCTCTCCTGCACACCCTCTACGGACAGTCTCTCCGCCACAACACCAACTACTTCATCGAATACTTCGCTCTCGACCTGTTGATGGAGGATGGTGAGTGCCGTGGTATCATTGCCTACAACCAGGAGGATGGTACTCTGCACCGCTTCAAGGCCCACCACACCGTTCTGGCCACCGGTGGTTACGGACGTGCCTACTTCAGTTGCACCTCGGCCCACACTTGCACTGGTGACGGTATGGCTATGGTCGCCCGTGCTGGTCTTCCTAACCAGGATCTGGAGTTCGTCCAGTTCCACCCCACTGGTATCTACGGTGCCGGTTGTCTGATCACCGAGGGCTCCCGTGGCGAGGGTGGTTACCTCCTGAACTCCGAGGGTGAGCGTTTCATGGAACGTTATGCTCCTACCGCCAAGGATCTGGCTTCCCGTGACGTTGTCTCTCGTTCCATGACCCTTGAGATCCGTGAGGGCCGTGGTGTCGGTCCCGAGAAGGACCACATCTACCTGCAGCTCAGCCACTTGCCTGCCGACCTCCTCCACGAGCGTCTGCCCGGTATTTCCGAGACTGCCTCTATTTTCGCCGGTGTTGATGTCACCAAGCAGCCCATTCCTGTCCTCCCCACCGTCCACTACAACATGGGTGGTATCCCCACCAAGTACACTGGTGAGGTTATTGACGTTGACCAGAACGGCCAGGAGAAGGTTGTTAAGGGTCTGTACGCCTGTGGTGAGGCCGCCTGTGTGTCTGTCCACGGTGCTAACCGCCTGGGTGCCAACTCTCTGCTTGACTTGATCGTCTTCGGCCGTGCTGTCTCTCACCGTGTCCGTGACATTGCCACCCCCGGTGCTCCCCACAAGGAGCTCGCCTCCGACGCTGGTGCTCAGTCCATCAAGGACCTGGACTTTGCTCGTACCGCCGAGGGCCCCAAGTCTACTTTTGATGTCCGCAACGCCATGCAGAAGGCCATGCAGACCGATGTCAGCGTTTTCCGTACCCAGGAGAGCTTGGACGAAGGTGTCCAGAAGGTCAACGAGATCGACCAGTGGTACTCCCAGGTTGGCACCAAGGACCGCTCCATGATCTGGAACACCGATCTGGTTGAGACCCTTGAGCTCCGCAACCTGTTGACTTGCGCGTACGTATAACCGACTTAGAAATCAGAAGCTTTTGCTAACATCATTCACAGTACCCAAACCGCTACTTCCGCTGCTGCCCGTAAGGAATCTCGTGGTGCCCACGCCCGTGAGGACTTCCCCGACCGTGACGATGAGAACTGGATGAAGCACACTCTCTCCTGGCAGAAGGAAGCCCACGGTGAAGTCAAGCTCGGCTACCGTGCCGTCGAGGCCAACACCCTGGATGAGAGCGAGTGCAAGGCCGTGCCGCCTTTCAAGCGTACCTACTAAGCTCGCTATTTTGGGAATTGACCCGCAGAGAATTTGGAGGATACCACGGAGTTGTCGCAAATGGAACCTATCGACGCCCTTTCCGAGCCTCATAGATGTGAAAGTAGGGCTTGTGGCGTCGGGGCCCCGTTTCAAGGGGATGAACCCATGCAAAAGACCATGTTTTTTATTTGACTGTGTTACTTACCATCTTGTATAGCCATATTATTTTCCTTTATTTCAACAGGCGAAGAGTTGTACTGGGTGTTTTTTTCCTCAGTTTCTTTCACATTGCGTTATTTTTTAATCTTACCCTCATCCCGTAGTCTGCCACGTGCCCAGTCTTTTTCAGGTCTTGGCTCGAGTCAACAAAGAAACCGTTGAACCTTGAATGTTTTTGAATTCACAGTGTTGCTGCAGAAACACTGGCAGACGCTGTTAACTAGCCCTTATGCACAAGTCCGGAACATGGTCGATTACCGCGTCTTCGCTTCCTCTCCGCCAAAGAGCAAGGGCAGCCCTCACAAGTTAAGAGTAATCCTATTTTTACTCTTGCTATTTGATTCTATATTTGGAGGATGTTACTGGCACCAGGGATCGTTACCAATCACGCTAAACAATGAGTCTCATCCCGGACGTCTTTGAGGAAGAGGGCCAAGGCCTCCCATGACCTCCACCTGATGGATTATGAATGCCAGCAGCAACAATATTTGCCAAGTTGATTCCATTTGACTTTTGCTGCCTTTTTCTACTGGGAAACATCGTGGAATCTCGAGTTCTCATCGACTGGATGAGCTCGCTCGCTTCCAGTCGTTGAGAGTTGCCCTAGTTGGCATACACGACGAGTTCATCGCTTTGATCCGAGATCTCTCGATACCTTGAACACCAAATCATCTCTATAATGTCGTTGGACGTTAACGATCTGTTTCCCCGTGCAGCTGTTAGCTGCACGGGAAGCAAGCAGTGGTATGTCTGCACTGCAGGTAACTTTCGTGGATGCTGCTCCAGTGACCCGTGTACGAGCGGCGTTTGTCCAGATAATAATGGAGATGATGCTTTGAGCACTTCTGTCCCTGAGGCTACATCGGTGGCGGGTTTGACAGCAATCACGGCTAGAATAGGGATTCCGCTTCTCTCGTCAAGCAGGACATCCTTATCAACTACCTCGTCGACTGATTCGTCTATTTCATTATCATCACAAAGGCCATTAACGGTCTCATTGTCGACTTCATCTACAAGTTTCGACACAACCACAACTTCAGAGACGCAGACTGCTTCAGATACTCCCACAACAACAGCGACAGCTACAACATCGACAACGTTAGAAGCCACCCATGTGACCGCGTTGTCCTCTGTCCTAGGTGGGAGCCATGCAAGTACTGCATCGCCGTCATCAGAATCCAGCAATTCAGGGGCCGCACCCAACCGAGGTGCCCTAATCGGCGGAGTGGTGGGAGGTGTAGCAGCCCTAATAATCTGCGCCATCCTACTATTCTGCTGTTACCGTCGCAGGAGAATACAAGGAAAACATGAGAAGCTCTCATCAATAATCTCATGGTATCCACACGGAGCAGCCCGATCTCGCTACGGCCGCCACAGGTCATCCGATGCAAAGGCGATATCTGACAGCGATGGAAACACAGCAACTGGTAGGTCAGGCCTACACCCCAAACCCCAACCCCCAAACCAAACTACCCATTAGCATATATCTACTATGAAGCCAACTAACATCAACCCAACCAACCAGACTCCCTAACGACATCCATACCCGCAAACTCATCAACAGCCCCTTCAACAACCTTCCCATTAGACAGAAGACCAAGCAACACACCCCCGTCAATAACAATGGGCAGTCACAACCACAGCAACAGCTCCTCATCAACAAACCTAGTCTCCCATCCATTGAGATTAAAATCCTCGTCCACCACCTCCATCCCCCCAATGCCCCTCCCACACCGCCAAGGCTTCTCCCCTACCCCCGAATTACCAGATACAAGCTTCTACCGGCTGTGTCATGAACTAGCTTCGCATTCGCAGAGTGGGCTTATCAACGGTCCTATTGACCAGCGCTGCCGGAATAGAACTGGTAATGGTAATGGGAGTCCACGGGGTATGGCTATGCGGGCGTGGGAATCTACTTCCTCTATTCCTCTGACTTATACGTCTACATCTGAAGGGACGAGTCAAAGTCAAAGCCAGACCCAAAGCCAGAGTGGAAGTAGGAGTGTGGGTGGAAGTCTAATCAGACAACCCGCTGGACAGATCATAACCGCCGACGGTATCGTCCTAGGCGCAAATTTGGATCGTTATTCTAGTGGGATGGAGATTGGGAGGTCTACCGGTCGGGGGCGGGATGTTGGGGGGAGTTGTCATGAACATGTTATGAGTTTTATGCATTATGGGAGTGGGGGTGGTGGTGGGAATGGTGGTGGAAGGGCTGAGAGAGGCATTCAGATGCTGGATACGGTTCATGGGGATGAGAGGGTTCATAGTCCTTCGAGTGAGGAGCTGAGGTGTCAGGATGCGACTGCGGTTTTGGATGGTTTGAAGGTTTTGGAGGATGATGATGGGGATGTTCCGCCTGCTTATGATGGGCGGGATGGTTTTACGGATGCTGATATTAAGTCTCTTGCTGGGATGATGGAAATGGGTGTTAGGACTTGAGGGTGGATGGTAATGCGGTTGTTGGTTTATGTTATGTTGGTTCCTCTGTCGTTTGAATTCGATATTGATGAAATGTGGTGGTCCTGGTGAGTTGTAGTCATAGTTCAATCAAATAAATAACGAAGTTAAGGCGTAGTATGATAGTCTGAGTCTCCAATCCAACAAGTCAAATCATATATTCATTTTTGTCTACCCGAAAGCGCAGCTTTTTTTCCAGTCATATATCGTATCCAAAAAGAATTTACAGGAGGTTCTTCAGCACAGCAGTCTGCTCCAGGACAGCGCGCTTGCTGGTACCACCAATGGCATCCTTCAGCTCGACAGCACGCTCGTAGTCGAGGCAGGCCTGGACATCAGCGTCGAAGCGGGAGTCGACCTCCTGGAGCTGCTGGAGAGAAAGTGTGTCCATGGGGACGGAGGTGTTCTCGGCGAGAGCAACAACACGGCCGGAGATGTGGTGGCCCTCACGGAAGGGAACACCCTTGCGGACGAGGTAGTCGGCGATCTCAGTGGCCAGCATCTCAGGGGCGAGAGCGGCGGTCATCTTCTCAGGGATGACGGTGAGGGTGGAGAGAACACCGGTACCAATCTGGATGCTGTCGCTGACAGTCTTGACGTGGTCGAGCATGGGCTCGACACTCTCCTGCAGATCCTTGTTGTAGGTAGTGGGCAGGCCCTTGATAGTGCACATCAGGCCGGCCATTTGGCCAAAGGCACGACCAGCCTTACCGCGGAGCAACTCCAGGCTGTCTATAAAGGTGTCAGTATACTGTTTCATCGAAAATACATTGGTGAATGCTTACCGGCGTTCTTCTTCTGGGGCATCAGCGATGAGCCAGTGGAGTAGGCATCAGACAGGCGGACAAAGCCGAACTCGAGACTGCTGTAGATGATCAAGTCCTCGGCCCAGCGAGAGATCTTGAGCATGAAAGAGCTACCCCACTGCATCATCTCCATGGCAAAGTCACGGTCGGCAACAGCGTTCATGGAGTTGTACAGCAGACCATCGAAGCCAAGCTCCTTGGCCATAGCCTCACGGTCAATGTTGAAGGGGTTACCAGCAAGGGCACCGGTACCGAGGGGGCTGCGGTTAACGCGGCGGATAACCTCACGCAGACGCTGCAGCTCACTAGCGAAAGCAGTAGCGTGGGACAGTAGCCAGTGGGACCAACGGACGGGCTGGGCCTTCTGGAGGTGGGTGTAGCCGGGCATGATGTAGGCGATGTCCTGCTCAGCGCGGGCAATGGAGACCTTGATCAGATCGCAGAGGTGGCTCTCGATAAGACGAAGCTCATCGCGCAGCCACAGGCGCATGTCCGTCGCGATCTGCTCATTACGCGACCGGCCGGTATGCAGCTTACCGCCAATCTCCTTGCCGATGATCTCGCCCAGGCGGCGCTCGTTAGCAGTGTGGATATCCTCGTCATTCTCCTTGGCGACAAAGGTGTTTGACTGCCATTCCTCAGCGATCTGCTTGAAGCCGCGCTCGATTTCAGCGAATTCTTGCGGGGTGAGGATGCCGGATTTGGTGTTGGCGCGGGCAAAGGCGATGGAGCCGGCGATGTCCTGCTTCCAGAAGACACGGTCGTAGGGCAGAGACATGTTGTACTGCACCATCAGAGGGTCAAGGCCCTCTGTTTTTTTGACGTATGAGTCAGTGGGATTTTTGGTGGGATAGAGGGGTTGAGGTACTCACGGGTGAAGCGGCCTCCCCAGAGCATGTTCTCGGCGACACCTTTTTGGTTACTCATTTTGAACGGTATGAGAAGAGTCAATGGCTTGAATCTGGAGGGAAAGGAGGGAAAGAAGAGGTGAAGTTCGACTGCGTGGTGCTCAAAGTGGCCGATCATCGGTACGCTAAACCTAATTGGGCATATCTGGGGTGTTTACGGCTCACATTTCAACATTCTACTATTAACCTTGAAGTATGGCTGTACAGTATGGAATTGAATTTGGTTTTCTCATCGGGGCTGCGAACAAGATTTGAACTTTCAGTTGAGACTGGCTTGCGCAGTAAACCTGCGAAAATTTATCGTTCATCTCCGTAATATATATTGGGAGCCCTTGGTGAATACAAGTGTGCCTATTTCCAATCCATATGGCTACTGGAAAATAGCCATGGGTAAGTATGAATTATGGTAAGATAGGTGCAGTCACCGCTTTTGCAACGTTTGATAGGCTAGAAGTCCAACTTGCTCAATTGAGACATGTTACCCCAAACAACCACAGAAGAATGGGATCCGAAGAAAGAGACTGAGATATACCGTAACAGTGTGCCTGGCAACCAATTGACACACTGCAATGGCCTATACATGAAAGAGGTTTGGTATTTGTAGGACATTCTTTGTACAGAGCGATCAATTGAACCATCATGACATGCGTATTGTACTTCTAGCTTCCTATGCTCAGATCTCAAACAAACCGTATCTACACTATAATGCCACCAAACTGAAAAGGAGTAGCAACTTCAGCTAGAGAGCTCAATAACAGACCAAGTAACAGTCGTCAACACTGTACCCCCAATCTTTTCCATAACCCTCCGACTGGCCATATTATACCCAGCCACCTCGGTATGCGTCCATTCCCCAACCCGCTCACGAAGTACAGCATCCCCAGACTGAATAGTCCCAGCACCAAAGATCCCATCAGTAGCCATACCCCTACGCATAATCGCCTTAGACAAAAGAAGCGCAAGACCCTTCCCACGATGCTCAGGTTCAACATGCAGCGTAGCCAACGCTCCATCAACACCAAGAAAACCCCACGCAATAGGCATCTCATCATCATTCCCATCACCACTCCCACTCTCGCCCTCATTATCTATAGAGTCATCGCAATAAAGCGCCATACCAGGCATAGAAGAAAGCTGCCTCTTAGAACGGGGGATATGCGTCCGACTCTGCACAAGATCTAAATGCACATCAAGAATGCCCACCCTACCACGACGATTTCGGAACCGATAACCAGGCGGCAGGGAAAGATCAGCAAAAAGATCATCATCAGCCGGACTGCCAGACCCTTCCGTGGGAGCAAACTCGGATCTTCGGAAAAAGTACTTGTGGTAGGGTGGATTGTCGAAGCGATGGACCCGGATATTGGGTAGCGAATCACCAGCTGTGTATTTGCCCGATCGCTGTAGTAGCGCGAAGAGACCTGTATGAAGGCTTCCGATTAGGAAGGCTTGTGGGTCAGGCGCGGGGATCAGGGGTATGCCATTGTTATTATTGGCATTGTCAGAGATTGCCGAAGCCACGCGAGAGTCTGAACCTGCATTGTCCGGATCGACTGGCGCAGCTGAAGTCGGATCTCGGCTCGAGGACAGAGATGACAGGTACGGTGGCAGGAAGTGGGTTTTGACGTGAGAAAGTAGGGCCAATAGTTGCGCGCGGGCCAGGTCTAGGACGGGAGGGGGAGCTGAGAGGGTGTAAACAATGGAATTGGAACTTGAACTTGATTCCGGTGTCGCTGGGTTAATTTGGGCATGGCTGACAGCGTCGATCATTGACGTCTCCGCTTCAAGGCTGGAGTAGATTTGCATCTGGGTCTCGCGGCCGAGAAAGAGATCCACCCGCGCAGCCAGCCACGGTTTTTTAGGGTCAGGGGTTGTGCCGGCTGGGAAGGTTGCTAAGACCTTGGCGGTCGCTGATGGGTAGGCGATGCCGTGTTGGATGCGTCGGAGGAGAGTTGTGGAATACGGCAATTGGGAAACGAGTATCGGCATTATTGTTGCTGCATCGTGCTCGTAGTAGCTGCAGGACTCCATCTCTTCCGGGTACCTGGTTCAGGGGGCGAAGACTGATATCAAATGCCGACACTATGACACTATTGATCCTGAATGTTCACGGAATCGACAGGTTGACAGATTGACAGATTGACAGATTGACAGATTGACAGGTCGGCATATTCGAGTCATGACTCAGAGTACATGTGGATCGTCGGTGATCCTATCAACTGATGGGGGCCTGAGCTAAACCACGCGCGGCTAATGGGCTTCGGATCTCAGAATCTTAGTCGAATCTCAGTTAACATCGAGAACTCACTAGTCCCCCAAGTATTTGTCACTGTCGGTCAGACTCGGTCTGTGCCTGTGGCGGTGCGGCACTATCGATTTCTACGATCTACGGTCGATCTCTGTCAACTCTGCATTGGCGCCTGTGACGGAACATGGTTTTATTATGCTAGTTTCTGTAATAATCCCCCTAGGGCATTGAAGCTATCTGCAGGGACTGTGACATACTCCACTGTGACAGGACTAGCCCTGTCACTATCACAACATAAATTTTGGGATCCGAGAACTGACAAAAGAAATAGAAAGAACCAAGATTAAAGAAAATTCGTCTCTCGTCATGCGTCATGTCCTACCAGGGACTGCGCGCTCCAACCATCCAATCCTCCATAGCTAGCCATTCACTCCATCGCGCCTCGGCTACGCGAATCTCCTCCTCCGAAGGGTCACGCAGGGGCCTTAGGAAAGGGGTTTGTTCATCCGGGGAAATGTCGTATGCAGCCTTAGTTGCTGCCCAACCACTGCTTTTGGCAGTAAATAGATAATTGGCCCGCTCTTGCTTGTAGATCACCCCCACCCCAGCTTCCCAGTCACTACCGAAGAAAGTATTCATGACAGTCGGAGAGTCTTGCGCCGTGACAATGAGTCTGCGGATATAAGGCCGGAGAGAAACAAACGGCACAGAAGTAGATTGAACAGCCGGAGCGATCTCCACAGGTCGCTGGCTTGGAAGTCGGATATTGATAAAGGCGGCAACAGACAATACTGGCGGGGTATGCTGGCTATAGTCGACGAAATGGTGCACACAATTCTTATAGTGCGGGAACCAGCCAGTGGGATCGACGCGGCCAAACTCGCCGTCTGTCAGGATCGACTGTAGCTCTGGGGTCATCCCCTCATCGTGAGGACGCTCGCGCCTATCCGAGATGCGTTCAGCCTCTCGTCCGACGGATCCTGAACCAAGGGCAAAATGTCTCAGAATACTGGGTCACGGCGCAACCGGTGCGACAAGACCGGAGAAGGGAATATTGAACACTCACTTTGAGCGCGTTGCTCGCGCGAGCAGTGCTCGCGCATGTCCATATGAGAGTTTTCCCAATACTCTCTTCCTGAACCCTGCATGCTCAGTGACATGTTTGACAGTTGACATATGTTTGATGTGTATAAGGCAAATACCCAAGGCAAGTTCCTAAGAAGGATAGAGTCTGGAATTAGAATGATATATCTGGGGGAGGCGATTGGCGGCCCTTATAGCTCCGCGCTCGCGGGCTAGACGGGGAAGACCGAGCCATCAAGGGTGTCAATAAAAAAAACGATAACCTTTGAAGATCTCAAGGAACGGACTAGTTCGGTGGTGGAGAAGCGACAAGCTCTCTAGCCACAGACAGCTTGAGCCACAAAGCACTAGCCACGGTCAGCCCGAGAATGTGGCTCGTGCGCTTATCCCCATTTAGCAAGGGGTGTGGCTGTGATGACAATGCGATTGTCAACTAACCCTAACTTGGTAGTCTCCACCGTCAATCTCGTTCGTTTTAGCCTTCCAATAGTTCTTCCGCTAGTCTCGGTCTGTCTCGCCATTAAGAGATTTGAGATCTGATCTCTTGTTCGCTTGATATACTTTGGAGGCTTCGCTTAAGGCTTGACAATTACTCGCCTGAATTGCTCTGTGCGAACCTGACACTTCCCCCACTTTGCCCGACAATATAGTCTGTTACATGTACACGTAAGGTGATACTCGGGTTTAGCGGCTGACGCTCTAAGTCGGACATGTTCGGTGGATCTGATTTCACATTATGGGGGGGATCCGCGAGGCTCCAGGAAACAGGCTTTTCCATTGCATACTCGTGTGGTAATGTTGCAGGATAAAATGGAAAACGTGTGAAGCCTGATGCAAGGGGAAAGCAAAAAAACCAGAAGCAATCCGTGGCAGCAGGGATCACCCCAGCCCAATAATTTCAATCTCGTATTACACACACTATCCTCATCGGGCACGCCGACAGATCGGTGAATCGGCCCTGACGCTCAGACAGCACACTTCAGCCAATGATCGTCGCTGATTGCTGTTCATGGGGGTCCTGGAGTTCCGACTTCCTGGTTGCGACAAAATCCTATCTATCAAGATGGGACACACTAGACGACCACTAGATGCACATCTGACGTTCGGACTCCCCCGCTTCCAAATTAACCTGCGGCTGAGGGTTTCCAAATCGTGTTCCAAGTTCTTTAAATGCAGTCTCACCTCTTCTAAAGACCTGCATCTCAACACTTCAACACTCGAGCCTTTGACTCCATCGACTTGCATTCACCGGTTGCATTCACACGGTCGGAACTGGAGTTCAGGAATACACAGCCCTAACTCACACTATTCACTCCCCCCACCATGAGCTACAAGACCAACTATGAGCTCTACGTGAGTAATTTGTATACTTCCTCAACACAACATTGTACTAATATTACTTGCAGTCTCGAGGTAGCATCGATAGCAGACGCTCACCACCACCCGATGAGCTTCTCTCACCATTGGCATCGCTCTACCCGCATGTCACAGCCCTGCAGCCCAAATACGACCCCAGCAACTGCACCTTCACCGGTTATCACCACTCGGGATATTGGGCTGCCGCCTATACGGCACAGCCTATAGAGGAGCCTTTTATGTCCACGCGTCGCGGCACTGGTAAGCATCTGCCTAATTATACTTCGGTCGCATTCGATCCTAACGGTACTCTAGATGGCCTTCCATGCCGATTTGTCTCTAAACTGCGCCGACTTCTCAGCCGAGACGACTTAAAGTCCAGACGGGGATCCCGCGCCACGGCATAGACTACATCTTTTTCTTTCTCTTCGACACCACGCACACGACTTGCAACTTATCCTTCTCTTTCACCTGCCGACTTATCTGCGGCCGTTCTCTTCGAATTTAACATTCGACATTCAGGCCCAATCCTGATCTTACTTCCTTTCTTTTGTCCATCTTTGACTTTGACAGTTACTTTACAAGCGCATCTTCATTTTGTTTTCTGGGAAGCGAGCGAGGAGTTTTGGGCACATTAGCAACATATGATTTTGATTGTGATTTTGAACATGGCATTGGCATTTGCAAATATTCTATGGTTATCTCTGATGTACATAAAGGAAGTCTGTTACATATGGCATGGAAGCATGCATGGAGGATTAATACAAGTCCACGTTAACCAACAAACACCACTCCACTTTACTTCACTATCCATAAAACACCCATCTAAACCCATACTTGATTCCCCCAAACAAGGATATGACATCAACCAAGCCAATACCCATGTTGCTTCTCTCTTTAACCGGAAAACCAAACCCCGTCTTACCCGATCGGGTTAGTCGCCAACGCCCAAAAGAACACAGGGCGCAAGGCAATGACGCAACAATAGTTGCTTTTTGGACCCCAAAGCCTCGTGGATAATCCCGATACTACGGTTGCAGTGCCACACCCAGGAGTGTGTTGCGCCAGGGGTAAGGGGTAACCAAGACTATACTCCCGTTTAGGATTAACATCGCAGTCACACAAAGAGTGCTGCATTAGTCGCAAATCCCCCCAGGTTAGTCCCCATGACTCGCATTAGGCCCCTGCGCGTCGATCACCCCGGCTTCTGCCTCTGACTCGCACTCTGACTCCGACGCTGCAAACACCGACCAGTAGTGATCGTCGAATATCCGCGCTATCGGCGTGATCATTCACCTTAAAGTCGCACTTCGTACAGTACATGTACATGCACACATGTGTTATGTTATATGCACCCGCACCTACACCTGCATCAAGGTATCGCAGAACCCCCTCTGCTACCCTCTTATCATGCATTAATGGGCACGAATAACGAACCGGTTAACCCGCATAGCTGCAGGTCCCCCCTCATGATAATTCCAATAACCGTGCAGTAGTGAGGTTGAAACTTTGTTTTTTTCTTGCAGGACTATATGATACAAGGTTTGAGAGTATGCATTGGTATGCATTCTATTGGAATTGGAGTTTAGGTTTGATCGTGGTTTATGGTTTGGGCAACTCGAGGCCGTACGGGCGGTCCCATAAGGGCCGACCCGTGAATCAGCCCCGTGAAGATCATGGGTGGAGTGTTGCATGGAAGTATTTGAGATTTGGCCGGGTTTTGGGTCGGGTTTTGGGTCGATCGGTTTATGGGGTGAGGCTGGATTGGATCGTTGGTTTTACTCTACTGTATGCTTATTTGTCCCTTTTTCTGTCATTCTTATTTTGAAATTGGGTTATTGAAGCTAGTTCTTTGCTTGAGATAGGGTTCGATGAATTGGTGGAGTATTTGTTTTTATTCAAGGAAGCAGGAACCAGGGCGAGGGTATTGCTAGGAGATTTGCCGGTCGTCATTATTCACGGCCGTCAATAAGGGATGGCACGTTTTGGCTGTCCTTGACTACTGTAGCAAGGAGTGCATCTATTGAGATGATCTATTTTCCACTTTCCAGTCTATTCAATAGAATTGGATGCAGGGGATCGTTGGATTTTATTGGCTGATAGACTGTCTTGTATCTAATATATGACGACTTCGAGGTTCACCATGAAAGCGATCGTTTTAGGGGCATAGTGGCGTGCAGCCACTTGAATGACGATCATGCTACGGTATCACTGTGATGTGTCATGCCCATTGCTTTGAAGGCAATAGGATATAAGAAATAAATGAGGGTTAGTTCAATTCAGGAGTTAGCGAACTGGTATAGTACGTTATGACTAGGAGACACTTCTACAACTGCCGTAATAAGGTTGGACCGAGACCAAACGTTTGTTCGGACAGAAAGAATGGTTGAGCTATAGTGTACGAGATAGAATGTTTGAGAGAGATTCCTGACTGCCCCGCCTTACTCCTGGTATGCGATTTCCTTATCTTCCATACTCTCGCAAACGCGCCACAGTTAACTCCAGGTGGTATCACACAAGTCTTCTCGAGCCCGATCATAATTGGACTTTCCAGTATGAGTATAGCAAAGACCTGCCACTCCAGCCGCCCACATTGCACCGCATTCCCATATCACAATAGCAAGATCCCACAAGTCAATAATTTTCTGCCCGTAAGGATAAGCCAGTTCAGCAGCGAGCACGACTCCCACATATTCACTCTCAGATGGTAAGCTATCAGCCCCTTTTACAATAAGCGAGAATAGGCTTTACCAGGAGCTCTATCACGATGCGAGTCTCCGATAAAAGGTCCGAGGAAATGAGAAATTGGAGCCGTGCTTCAGCCTTGGCGAGAGGCCGCTCTCCACGTTCGACTTTAGTGCCACATGCCCTAAAGTCCTCTGATTCATACCTTTTTCGCCCCCCTACTGTTGCACTCTTTTAATCCGCAGCCGATATGGAACAAAACAGGGCTTTGCGATTCGAAGAAATCATCGTGTTGGTTGAAATACGTCAATTGTGTGACTGAATTTCACGCGCACGAGATGTGTGTATATGAAGTGAAGTTCCACATACATACATTTAAACACCAGCTCAGCTCACAGAGCCACACTGATCGGCCAAAAGGGACGATAGAAAGCCGGCACTTCTGAAGCAAAACCATACGCAGTCAAAAAAGCATAGGCTTTTATTACTCCGGTAGGCGGTCTTGACAATTTTGAGATAACAGCGTAGTAGTTGACAACAACCACTGAAGTTCCCTTGACCCGGGTAGCTTCAAAAACGCCACCGGGAAGGGTGATACAATACTCCAATATGTTGAGTACTCACTATATAGCTTACTCCAGATCGTAAATATCCTGTATGATGTCATACTGCATGTCTTACATACCAACTATATCTTTGTTCGGAGTTACCTCCCGGAGTCGCGACGCGTCACAGCGAATCATAGACCTCTCGAAGCAAAGGTATTGAGGACAGACCTCTATTTGGGACCTTGAATGGAGCTAATATGAGGTCGTACATGCGTTATACCTACTTATCAATTGGGGAACGCCGACTGCAAGGTAAATGAGCGTGAACATGATTCTGTGGGTTGTCTTCCTTGCCCTCCAGGCTGTCTCGAAGAACTTTGCAACACCTGCCGTACTCCGCGGGCTCACTGGCTCCACAGAAGCCTGTGTTGATCCTCCATGATTGTCACCAGCATGTGGTATAAACGAAGTGAGTGACCCTTTCAATTCGGTCTTTGGTATCCCTCCCCAGGCCTGGGTATCATGGGTGGCGGTGTCCTCGGTCACGGAATCGAACAAATTTAAATTCCTTTCTTCAGCTGCAAATATGAGTTCATCATTATTGGGGCTCTATGCATCTTCTGAGGGATTGTTATGCTAGTGGTACTCCCTGATTCATCACTGATGACTCGATATCTTATGCCGTCAAACCGGACGATCACGGTTGATCGGCTACGAGAGAACCAGACTGGTATTGAAAACTGGCACTTCAAAATGCATCACTTTATAGAATCATTGACCGATGTCAAGGTTCTATCATTCTTTCTTATCGAACCTTTTGCAAGCTATTGTGAACGAGGAATCACCAACCTCGGCACTATGGTTGTGAAAGGGTTTGGCTTTTCAACATGTAAACCTTTGTTTCATCGCAAAAAGTCGACTCGTGCGTTACTGACAACCGGCAGTGGGAACTACTCGGCTTCAGATTCCTTACAGGATCTTCATCTCGATCATGATCCTTTCTTGTCTGATAGTTTAAATGAAGTTTGCCATTCATACTGCTCTAGAATATTATTCCACTGAGCCGAGAGATATCAAATGCCGAAAGTCTATATGGTCAACCCTAGACTTTCTAGGCAGGCGCCAATAAAATCCCTCAATTACCGCGCATCACATCCGCGCCAAACTCTGTGGACCCCACACCCCCCCAACTTCCCCAGACTTCAACCAACAACCCTCAACAATGTCTGATTTTACACCCGGGGATGATCGCGACTCTGTTCAAAAGTATCAGTGCTCAGTGTGTTTGAAACGATACAAACGGCGTGAACATCTATTTCGCCACTTCAGCTCTCATACTTCACAGCGGCCCTACCAATGCACATCCTGCGACAGCGCCTTTCAACGAGCTGACGTGCTGAAACGACACTTGAGGACCTGTGATGGTGGAAACTCCAGATCAAATCCCCGAAGACGCGCCTGCGATCGTTGCGTACGGCAGAAAAAGGCATGTAGCTCGCATCAACCATGCCTGAGTTGCGCCAAGAGAGGCGTTGCATGCTGGTATCCGACCAACCCGGGGCCTTCACTACAGTCAATCCTTCCTGATCAAAAGAAGTCCTCTAATACTGAGAGCATCGGTAGTCAGTCAATGGATAATACTACATCGAATATTACGATGCCGTGGGGCCTAGCCCCTGAAGATCTATCAATATTGGGGACGAGTCCCGTTGATACTCTATTCGATCCATGTCCGCCTCAAAAGCCAAGTCCAACTTGGCAGGATCTGTTGAATTTAAGTCCAGGCAGCCATGCGGTATCTGAGGCTTCGATGTCGAATAATGGAAGTCGGAACTCATTGCATTTTCTGGACAAATTCACCAGCAACACTGGCCTAGTCATGAGTTTTGATTGTGGCACACACGAACAAAGGGAACAAGTGGCTGCCAGCATAGAGCAGGAAATCCTGTCTCAAGTCCCGCAAGCAACTGCATCCGGCTTTAATATACTGCCAGACTTTGGCTCAGTCGTCCCATCTTCTTCAATACTGGATGATGCCGTTGATGACAGTCCGAAGGATGATTTCCCGCTGACCTGGTTGAATGATCCACTTTCGTTGAAAACACATGAGATTCTTCTCTTAATTGAAGAAGTGGTAACTATAAAGCCACGAAATAGTTCTGTCACGTTGGATTGGTCCCCAACATTGAAAGATGCATGCTTGCAATTCTTTTCACCCCCGAATCTGAGGAGATTCTTGGGATTTTACTGGGCGATCTGGCATCCTAATGTCAACTTTGTCCACCGACCTACATTCGATCCACTAGCAGCGAAGCCAACAGTATTGGCAGCAATGGCTTTAATCGGCAAGTTTTACTCCCACATGATAGTTCCACGAACTGACTTTTCCAAGGTGCCTGTGTCTCACCCGATATGCCAGACAATGAAGATGCACGGACTTGGCTCAACTGCGTTGAAGAGATGGTCTTTATCGATGACGATTTCAACAGTGAACTGAGCTACTCACACTCTGGTAGCATGTCAAATCAAAAGCGAAAGATACAAGCGTTGCAGGCCGCTTATATAGTGTGTCTCTACCAGAACTGGGAGGGCACGGATGCGAGTAAACGCCGCATTCGACGCTATCGCTTTGCGACTCTTGTTTCTGTCAGTGCTTTTTATTTTTTTTCCTTTCCGGGATAATGCTAACTTAGCAAAGACTGCACGCGATATTGGTATTGCAACGGCAAGACATCAAAACTACAGCGAAAAAGGGCGACCTGAGTTTGAATGGAGAGAATTTGCAGCTAGAGAGGAGCTTATACGGTAATTTTGAATCTGACACCGAGAGAAAAAAATTTGAACTGGCTCTGACAGAATCAAGCGTCTTTACTTGGATATTCCTACTCGATACGGCATTTGTCATTTTCAACAACCTACCGCCACGTATGGTCATAAAAGAGATGAGAATGCACATGGCAATGCCAGAAACCTGCTTCCAAGCCACGACAGCAGACCAATGCCACCAGCAAATCCAGTATTCATTGCCTGTTCAAAGCTTGTACTGGAAATTCTCATTTCGCGGGGCATTTGAATCCCTGTGCAGAGACGACCTCTCCCTTGAGGTGCGTCACATGGTATCTTCTCTCGGTCCATTGGTTCTGTTCGCATTAGCCTCTGGTGAGTTTTTCTCACAAGCCCATGGTGATCACATCCGCTAATAGCTAGTGCGTCAGCAATACACTCTCAAATATTCCAATTCCGCAGCGCAGTAGGAAGTTTCCAGCTCCTAGCTCCGATCAGTAACGCCCTTAGCAACTGGCGTGATATCTGGCAGACGTTCTCATTGACATCTTGTCGAGGGGTGCTTCCGTTTATCACCATAGAAGACATCAACATTCAACCCGAGCATCTATGGAGAAGGATGGGGTTCTACCGCTACGCACCTGAGTACTGGCTTTTGGCAAATTTGATGGCAGACCGACTTGCCGTACTCGGTACTTCCCAGCCAGAGAGTGAATTGGAGCTACTTGATGAAGGTCCGATTGATCCAATTTTGAATCATTATGATCAGACCAGCATGCGGCAAGTCAATGATCTCATTATGGGATTTCAGACATTTCAGATTTGATCCTCGCTGCAAGATGCGGCAGGTTTGACCGTATTGTTAGATACATGACTAGTTCTGTGGTCGTTAGTGTCGAATGTATAAACCTTTGACTCAAGTTCCTCTGGCTCTCCCCCATGAAGGTACTGTTGCCTGTCTCGATAGCTATGGAGCTATCGTTGTTTGTAGTGACTCATGCTCCTTAGATGTAGGCTTACTACAATGCCTAGAGTGTTTGGTTTGACGGCCAAGCCGACTATCAGTGGCTTGGCAGCGACTAATCAGAATCTTACCCAAAAACGGTTTTGTTGTGTCCGCGCTCGTAACGCATCGACGGAAAAATCTACAAAGTGGCTTCAAGATCGCCCCGTTCTATGCGTGGCAAGCTGAAGACTGGCACGTCACTTGCTTTCTTATTGGGATATTTTTTTTTTCAGGCAGTCTCAAGAAACTACTCTTTAAGATTGAATGCATGTTTGAGTCGCTGTACGGTATAGGAATTTTCTTATAGATTGAGCCAGCATGCAGTTGGTTATAAGTACTACCTTTGTCTTACTGGGCTCATTCTCGTTTTGTGTAGCTCAAGCGACAAAAATTGAGACATGTACAAACAGGTATTCTCAATTTTTCAAAAGAGCTTCACCTCCTGCAGTCTCTCATAATTTTGAGTAAACACACTGCTATTGCTGAAACCACACAGAGCTGAAGTAAAGGCCAGTAGTCCGGCGAGGATGGGAATTCACTAGTAGCAAGTTGCGTTAGAGATTGCTTTATCTCCAGTGGAGTTGAACAGAAACTCACTCGTCCTTTTCAAAAGAGCTTGGAAGAAATCCAGCTTCGCGCATTGATTCAAGCCTGAGGGACTCATCGTCTCTCCAGTCGATTCTTGAAGCGTCGGCGACCGCATCGTGAGGTTCGTCGAAGTCATTGTTGCGATTCGATCTGGAGTGGACGGCGGCTGATCTGACTGAAGGGTCGTTTGATGGTGGTGGTGAAAAACCCGTCTGACTTGCAGATTCGAGGGTGGCGCCGGTCTCGAAGTTTTGCACAGATCTCACTTTTATAGTTGCGGATGTGGCAGGAAGACTCAAAAACAGCACAAAAAGCACTCTAAACAAGAGGTGGAAATGCATATCGCTAAAACACAATCGATTGCGAAGTCTTTCCCTCAAGAGTAATTGAGAAATGTCTTGGCTTTGTAGCGGTACAATTCTGCGAGTAGCTCGTTGAGCTTGTATTAAATTGAAGGAGGAGGAGTTACAATTTTGAGGGCAATTAAGTCCTATAGGGCTTTCCTTCTCTACGGTACTAACATTAAGATTCTCAAACTTAAGCCGGTTAGGCTTAGACCAGGATTGAGGATCCTTGGCGCTTATTAGAAGATAACGTCCGATGGTGGCTGGGGGGTTTGCTTGGCATGGAGTTAAGCACCGTTTGTCGGAGATGCTGACAGCGGAAATGCTTGGCAAAGGGTCTCAATCATGGTACTCAATGGGATCCCTAGATGACGCTGGGTTGTTCAAATCATGTAAATCTTGCAGAATTACAATTTGAATGTCGAATAATCAAGCATGTTTCAATTCCTGGGTTGTTCCATCTGTTTCCTGGCCTCAGATAACTGCTTCTATTTTCATTCTAAGACATTTCAATAGCGCCCGGACAAGCCCAGCTAGTTTAGTCTGTCAAACCTAACGAGGTTGCCGACTAATCGGCACTTTGCGTGAGACCCGCAGATCGCCATCGTTTAAAGGGTTTTATCTTAGCTTGACGTTTTCTAGAACCCAAAGAAAGATGTCGATCGTGGCTGAGGAAGGCAGCAACATTTCACAATTAGTATTGATGCAGGTGGCTGACAGGCCAAGGTCTCCACAGCGGATTTCTGTCCATCATACCACAGAGCCAAGCTCACGGTCAATTCCGCACAAGGCTTACAAATGCACATTCCTATAGATCAAAACTGCAGATTTCGTTTTCGTTTAGATTAGACCCCAGGCAACCAAATATCGGCCTTCCATGGGTCTTATTTGGTTCTTATTCTAGCCACGCGTCCAACACTCACCTATTCGCCTTTCCATACTTGGCAAGGGTCTTTCTTGCTTAGTTCCCGGGGGGCTTAGACAGGCTCGTCTAAGCCCCTTTGGTCCATTGATACTCGTTAGTTATGGGTCTTTGCTTACATCTTGGCCATGGCAGAGACACCGTATGTGATGAGACACCTGGCGGTGGGGCTGAATATTCATGGATGTCGACATTAAGTCTATATAATCCTGCACATTATTGCTTACAGGGACGTCGATCATACTTTGAACGATAAGACGAAGTATAATATCTGGGATGAAGAAGCCGACCTTGTCCTTTACTATTCTGTCCTTGCTTGCATTGATTGTGCCGATACCGGCTGTTGGATGTCAGTATACGGCGTGTCTCAAGAGTGTCAGCTAAACATAAGCCTGACTGTTTCTTACAGTAGATCCGGTGTCCTTTCGTTTCATCGATCCAGTCCTCTCTCCGCTGAATGCCACAAAGAAATTTAGTATCACAGCGGGGATTGAGACATACAACCAGACCATCAACTTCGTTTTAGAAAACAATGATGATCTTGTATCACAAGACGTGCAGATTCGGTATCCCGGTATCCATGGACAAGCCAATGATGAAGGTACCCTGTCGAGCACTCAAGTTCGGTTTACAAGAGGATCAGTCTGGACGCAGAACGCTTATAGTGGGAGTCGGGATAACGTTGGATGGGCACGGCTTGCCGTGATCCAGGACGGAGATACCCTGCTCTTCGATGGTGCATTCACGATGATGGGTTCGCAATACGCCATCGAGCTTGAGACTCTCGACGATGGATCAACTGCGATCATAGCCCACGAACATGAATCGGCATTTTCATCTGGTAGCGGATCGTCACTCCCTTTGCTCTGCTCAGCTTCACCCGCGACACACTTGCATAAACGACAGAGCTGGAATGACTGGGGCAACGAGGATCTCACGTCAACGATCGGCAGTACTTCTGGCTGTCCGGATACGAGAGAGATTGCCAACATTGGAATCATGACGGATTGCACTTACACTGCAGGCTTCAACTCCACCGATTCTGCCCATCGATATATCTTGAACATGGTCAACACGGCCTCCGTGGTATTTGAAAACAGTTTCAATATCTCTCTTGCAGTACAGAATTTGACAATTAGTGACTCTGAATGCCCGAGCAGTACCTCGGACACGACTGCATGGAACGTCCTATGCTCTCAGGGAGATCTCAACACGCGCCTTCAGGACTTTTCAACATGGAGGAGCTCCTTGAACGATCAAAATGCATACTGGACCTTGTTGACTGGGTGCTCGGTTTCTGCTGGAGAGATTGGTGTGTCGTGGATTGGAGCACTATGCAACACGGGCTCTGGGTCGAGCAATGGTGGAGCCAGTGCCAATGTCGTTGCCCGAACGCAGAATGAGTGGCAGGTCTTTGCGTAAGTCACAATACCAATTGAACACAAGGTGGCAATATCTTTGGCTGACAGAAATAGTCACGAGTCGGCCCATACATTCGGAGCAGTCCACGACTGCACTTCAAGTACTTGCGGAAGTGACTCGACACAATGCTGCGCCCTCTCATCGAATACCTGTGATGCCGGTGGACAGTACCTCATGAACCCCGTATCTGGATCGGGTATGACACGCTTTTCACCCTGCACGATCGGAAACGTCTGTTCAAGGCTTGGCTCTGGGCGAGTTGATGGGCGCTGCTTGGTGGAATCTCGTGCCGGCAATACAACTGGTACGAATGGGCAGTGCGGCAATGGTATTGTTGAAGCCGGCGAGGCATGCGATTGTGGAAATGGTGCCTGCAGCGAACAAGAGTCTCGCTGCTGCGACTCTGTGACATGCCAGTTGCGATCAGGAGATGGATGTGGTCAGACTGATGATGGCGATTCTGGCAATACTGGCAACAATGGCAACACCGGAGGAGGGACCCGGGGAAATGGCCAACCGAGTGATGATGTCTCATCCTGGGTTCAGAATCATCTTCCGTTGGTTATTGGGCTTTCTGCTGGTATTGGCGGTGCTTTGTTACTGCTCATACTTGGATGCTTGATTTGTTCCTGTAGGCGCAGCCGCAGGCAACCAGTGGCCAATATCAAGCCTGTTGCGATGCCTCCACCTCGATATATTCCACCGCCTCAATATGCTTGAAAATGAATCGTTCTGTTGTGTATGCCTCCTTGCTTGGCTGACCTTCTGATCTTCCCCCACCTCCACTCCGCTGCCCACTTCGTCCGCGATTTTCCACAACCAACTCCGACACCAGAGGATAATCGACATCATTCAGGTTACATTCAGAACTTTCAAATGTAGGAGGAGGGTATGTATGTATATATATATATATATAGGAGAAGGCGTTTCCATCCAGTTATACAAAGAGTAGCAAACAATACCCAAGAACAAAGCCTAGCTCAAACATCACCATCAGTACGACCAAAATGCAGCCACTCACAGTGCTGTTGGGGGCGGCCATCGCTGCAATCCTTCTTTTTCGTGTATTGAAGATCGGGCGACGACCAGCAAACTATCCTCCGGGTCCGCCAACTTGGCCTCTGCTGGGAAACATACACCAGGTTAGTAGACTTAGATTCGAACAACGATACTGGCTGACATATACATATCAAGATGCCCTCTCAGAATGCACATGTCCAATTTGAAAAATGGGCACGAGAATACGGCCCAATCTATAGTCTCATTCTGGGAACAAAGTGTCTGATTGTGCTCTCAAGCGACGAGGCAGTCAAAGAGCTTCTCGACAAACGAAGTGGTCTATACTCGCATCGACCGGAAATGTACATTGGCCAGACGCTGTGCAGTGGTAACCTGCGGCTTTTGATGATGGTATGTCATGGGTCACACCTACAAGTATGAAGACTGCAGCTAACAAATTACTTCAAGGGGTATGGACCGACATGGCGCGGGGTAAGGTAGAGAATGCAATTCTTGATAGAGCCAATGCTAACAAGACACTAGTTCCGTAAGATGGTACACGGTTTACTGAATGTCACCACGTCCAAGAAATACGTACCATACCAGATGCTGGAGAACCGACAGATGTTATATGAGCTCCTCACCACACCAGAAGGATTCCTTAAACACATTCGTCGATACTCCAATGCCCTTACAACTACCATGGTGTTCGGGTGGCGCACACCTACATATGAGGATGAGAAGATGGTTCAACTGTTCAACGGCTTTTCTGAATTCGCAGAAATCAACCAAACTGGAACAGCGGCATTCATCGACTTCTTCCCATGGCTGCGACACCTTCCCGACGTTTTGCTTCCAGCACAGAAGAAAGCGAAAGAACTTCATAAGCAGGAAAAGGCGCTATACTTAGGTCACTGGCTACGCGCCAAACAGGAGAGTCGACAAAACACGATCAATCCCTGTTTCTGCGCGGGAATGTACGAGGCCCAGAAAGAAGATGGGTTTAGCGATGATCAAGCTGCCTACATCTCAGGAACCCTCCTTGAAGCCGGTTCAGATACCACGTCAAGCACATTGTATGCCTTTGTCCAAGCAATGCTCCTATTCCCCGATGTTCAACGAAAGGCCCAAAAAGAGATTGAGCTTGTGGTTGGACCGAATCGCCTCCCACTCATGGAAGATTTGTCTGAACTACAGTATGTACGAGCATGTATGAAAGAAACAGTCCGATGGATGCCAACCACTATCCTCGGCGCTGTCCCGCATGCTGTCACTCAAGATGATGAGTACAAGGGATACTTTATCCCCCGGGGTGCCGGAGTCCTCAACAATGTCTGGGGTATTCACATGGACCCCAAGCGCCACCCAAGCCCGCGAACCTTCAATCCCGACCGATACCTTGACGACCGGCAGAGTTTCGGCGATGCAGCAGCCAACCCCGACCCCTCAAAGCGGGATGTATTCACCTTTGGTGCGGGGAGGCGCATCTGTCCAGGGATCCACGTTGCCGAGCGTAGCCTGTTTCTTGGCATGTCGCGGATCCTATGGGCATTCGATATTGCGCCTGACGTGGACGGTAAGGGGAGTCCGATCTTGCCTGATCCGAATCGGCTGACGCAGGGGTTTGTTTGTATGCCTGAGGAGTTCCCGGCGAGGATTACTGCACGGTCGAAAGAGAGAGCCGAGTTGATTGAGATTGAGTGGAGGGATGCGGAGAGAGAGTGCTTGGATCCCAAGACGGGGCAGTGGATGCAGTCGCCTGTTTACGCTTAAGTCGATGAATATATCGCTTCTCCTTTGGCCTTCTGATTTGAGCATGACTTAAATGAGGCAATAACCCGCCAAGTCTTGGCTATTGAATCGGCAAATGTCGGTCAGATGCGATCACTTCTCTAATCAAGATGATGATAGCCATGCAAGACTTCATTCCTTATGACACATGATGCTTCATTTGCATGAGCGCGTGTTCATCCAGAAAAATTGAATAGCCAGATTGAGAGATTATAGTCACTGCCTGTACGACCTAGTTTGAAGAGTCGATGGAAGAAAGGGTGCATTGATGCCAATACTCAAGCATATACCATGTTTACCATGTTCTTCGGGTAGCCCTGCAGCCTGGCACGAGCGTAGGGCTGGGGTGGGTCTTCTTTGCTGCCGGCAAATCAGTTCATCGGCTTCCATAGTGGTGTTGCACAAAGATACGTCGATGTCCGTTGGCATTTGTGACCCTTGCAAGCTGCTGAGCCTGAAGCCCTGTTTGCATGACATAACTTGCAAAGATGTCTGGCGGAGATCAAGAACAGGTTGAAGAAAATAAACAATAAATACAAGCCCCAGGCGACCTTGTCATAGATCTTCTTGCGCCACACCTTCAGCTCCCATCATCGTTTAGTTACTGACATCACATATCACCATACGAAAAATAGGACGAGTGCCTTGCATCCGCCACTTCAATGTAACTTCTTTCACATGTTCCATCCGATACCCATGCTTCTATCATTCATTGTGATGACTTCGGTCGTCTCAACATTCAAGTTCAAAATCGACACGAATACCACCGAGATGGGAAAGAAGACACCCTCTTGTGTAAGGGAACGCACCCATCTCGTCGGTTACGAAACTAACGAATAAACTCATCAAGCAGATAGAGGGGATTGACGCCATCACCTATCTGCACAGACTCCTAAACCGATGGGGAACGAATCACCTGACCGACGAAGACCTAGCTCGTTCTTTATCAGCAATGCAACAGAACTGTCCAGATTTCGACGTTGATACCTGGAAGATTTTGTGCGAAGTACAGTGCTACGCGAGCAGGTCACGAGGGGGTGGGTCAAATTGCCTCTTGGGTTTGGATGTATGGGAAACACCTTGTCCGGGGCCTAGTATTTCAGAGGTCCTTTGATTTGGATTGTGAGCTAGATTATTTTGGATCGACATGTGGAGTGGAATGTCACGATCAACAAAATACTGCCTCGGGATCAAAGGCCTCGGGATCGAAGCTTGGCTGCCACCTTGCTGCACGGATAGAAATTGCACAAGCCATGCAGATTTAGATAACTAGGCAGGGAATTATCACTGCCATATGCTCTCGTAAGAGGCGGCAGAGTGATATGAGCAATATAATTTGGCGAACGGCATGTTGTGCTTGTCGGGCCGATCAATGGCAGATGCCAATTTACAATCCTGGCAAGTCCTGAGATATAAATGTGAGCGTAGTCCCTTTGTGATTTTGTACTTTTCCTCACAATATTTCTTTTTTCATATTGACTCTGCTGATTGCCAATCAACAGCGACCGAGTAACTCTGATAGACAAATGTTACCGACGTAGTGTTGAGGAGCAACATACAATGACAAGTTCTCAAGCTTGTCACGTCCAGTTGCATCCTGAAGGCTTAGTCGGGGAAGCATGATTTCCTCTATGTCTCTTAACATCTCAGCTGATGCAGCGTGTCGTCTTCTTTGCCGACTGGTTCCTAAGAGGACAGAATCAAGTGTCAGAGATGGTTGTGCCTTTCATCAGGACGAATATGACCTCAAGTATTCTAATGCGCTAGCTAAAACTGGTTCTGCGGACTGTGTATATGGTCTGTTTCACTTATGATGTGCTGTGCACGAACAGAAACCAAGCAGGGAGACGGTACTTCCTTCACACCGACAGGGAAAAAAAAGCATGTCCACATTTCTACCGGACATCTCACGGGGACCGTCGTCCCAACCCGCTGTGACGCTCCAGCAGGCGACAGAATTTTCAAAATTGCATCGGGATTTAATTGAACGGGCAAACCGGCATAGAAGAGAACAATTGGAAAAGAAAAATGCCTCAGGTATAAAATGGCGCATAGTAGAGCCAAGTGGGGGCACGTCACCTATGGCAGCTCGGCAGCTCTCGCGGGTCCGATCGGTGTTTTCATTCACGCGATGATTGGAGTATGGTGGAGCTTAATTTTCCTTAATTCTGCTTATCTCCTTGCACTGTGATTTGAAGCTCTGATGCCGAGGGAAAAAGAAGATTCAACTGAATATTGGAGAGTGGCGGTATAGATCATGGTTGCCTACCAGAGTACTGCAGGTTGAATAAGATTGTGGTGAAACAACTCCAATTTTCGAGGCTCCTGCGCATTGGAAATGGTACAAGTGCGACGCCACCTAAGCGAGGTGCAGCACAGCCACCTCCAGATGCAGATGTGACTATGGATGACATGGTTGGCTTGTGTGTCTCAGGCGTGCATTAGCATCCATCTACGATTTTCACCAGCCCCATGGTGGAACGGGCGTTGCGACTGCCGAGTTAAGTGATATATTGAACAGGTACTCGATTCAAGGAGTTGGCTGTTCCATGTTTCATGTTCCAGCGTTCGGTCTGGAAACGAGTCCGAAAAATAGAGCACCGGGTAGCCGAAATGTATGAGGCATTTGTCGCCAAGATCTAGCACCGATCAGGCAGCCCGGAGGCATTGCCAGCTGGTCTCTTTTGCTATGACCTGGTACCTGGGAAATTGTTTCCTGGGGATTTGGCGGTGTCAATCTCCGCTTTGCTGTGTAGTTCAAGTGAAAAATTTGTCTACCGAGGTGGGAAAATCCCTCATACCTCTAAGAAATTGGTTCCCGGAGTACTTTTCCACGAGGCTAGTGCTGGCTATAGACTGTTTCCTCTTAGTATCTTGTCTCCATAGGACCCATAGTCCATTTTACTGTGGTAGTAGCTTGATCCACGCCCGTGCCTATGCAGAAAGTACCTCATACCCTGCAGCCATTCTACTCTGGCCCAAGCTCCCACAACGGAGTGGACAAAAAGGGTTCCGTCTTTTGCATGCATGAGCTAGTCCCACCCAGTCGATCCTGTGGCTGTGAGTCGAATCATATTGCGAACCCAAGTTTCTCGCGACACACAGAAATAAGGGGAAATCCCGTGTCATCCTATGTCATAGTCCTCAATCCCACCTTAGGCCGTCGGGAAGGGTATAAAGACCGGCCCCGTCCACCATGTTACACTCTCATCTTAACGAGGGATGCTTATCGACGGTCAAAAGTGGGCTTGTGAAGCTTGCATCCGAGGCCACCGTGTGACCAGCTGCAAACATCATGGTGAGTCCAAACCCCACATATATAGTCTTCCTCCATACCCTCATCGCCAACACCCTCATCTAACAATTCCCCCAGATCGACCATTAATTCGCATAAAACGTAAAGGCCGGCCCTTTGCAACGTGCACAATCTGCAATGCAACACCCTGCACAGCTCCAACCGAGCACGCGCGCGCAAAACGCGACGCAGAGCTCAAATGTTCAAAAGTAACGCAAACACAAAATATCAGCCTCGGAAGCCATATCTTCGGCACATGAAACATGAATAGAAGAAATTTTCGCAGTCGATATGGTGCTGATGCTGTGTGCTTCTTTTTTTCTAGAAAGCCCCGAACGGGAGACTTTATCCGCGGCATCATAACACGACCGGTTTCCTTCCTATAGCGCCTCGTCCTGGCCCCGGTCCCGGTGGGAGGGCTTCGTCGGTTTCCACCATGTCGAATACCGCCCCGGCTGTCGTCGCCAAGTCCAAGTCCAAGTCGGCGTCGGGTTCTCGATCGGGGTCCATCTCGGCTTCGGGTCGGCCTTCTCGGGCTGGGTCGTCGGCTTCTTTGGAGGCTCAGGGTACTGTTGCTCGTTATTATGATGCTGCTGGAGCGGGAGAGTGGTCGGGTTCTGAGGCGTCGACGTCTGGGTCTGTATTTGGTGCTGAGGGCTCCTCTCAACAGCGCGGTTCTTCCCAAGAGGTGGGTTTGGCTGCGTCGAGCGAGACTGTCGTGGCTGGACTTGGCTCTGGATCTCAGATGCCACTTTCAAACTCCGCGCCTAGCTCCTTGGCTGACTATCCCGCTGTTTCGGGAGCCCTTTTCGATCCGGCATTCTCTCTCCTTCCTTCTTCGTCAGCGGTTTCCAATGCACAGCTTGTGCAGGCAATGCCGTTGGTTAGTCCGCTCGAAGGGGCGAACCCCTTTGAATTCCCGCTGGACCCTGCGCTGGCGCTAGGAGATATCGGGTTGGATTCTTTGGATGATGTGGATATGAGTATGGATTTGGATTTGCCACCTGTTGAAGAGGGCTTTCATGTTGAGGATTGGTCGAGGTATATGTGGTCGCCTGAGACTGGGTTTGAACATTTAGATATGGGGACTACTGGGCCTGTGCTTCGATAACACGAGTGGTTTGGTTTGCGAGCCAGTCGAATGAAATTCGCATGATAATTTATGATTTTGATTCATTGTTCGCTCATAACGGATGGAGGGGGGTGATCAAACGCGAAGGGAGAAGGTGGCAGTCCCTGATCTCGGGCTTCGGGCTACACTAGTGTCAGAGTCCATGGTCTTATTGAATAATTGCAGTTTGGCGGAAATAAATGGAGCAGAATGAAGTTTCTTATGCTATATCCAAGACTCGCGAATGGATGCCAAGCACGAATGCCCCCAATGCTCCTTGCTGATGCAAACACGAAAGAGAATGGCACTTATAACGCCGACTGTACAAAGGTGGAGAATATCAACATCAAATTCTCATCCAAACGCACGAGAATTTACCGCGCCGCAAAACGTATGGCGTCGATCAATACAGCTCATCCGCCCAAATCTACACCTCCTGGATGTAGTTTGCCGGAACACTCTTAGTAACACCACCGCGTTCAACATCAGCCCAGCCATCACCGCTATCCTTGTTGATGAGGACAAAGCGGTCACCCTCGGCCATGTTCCACTCCATATCGCTGCGGGCTTCATATTCGTACAATGCCTCGACATATTGCAATTTCTTGGCCCCTCTTCTAGGTGCCACCGCTGGACCGACGCGCTTTTGTGCTGCGCTTCCAGCCAGTGATGCAGAGGAATTGGAGTAGACGGAGCCTGGTCGGTCCGTCATGGCAGGACTGGCAGATGGCACGGGGGAGGGAGATGGGGCGGCCTCTACATATGCACTCGGAACGAGACCTTCGCTTCCTCCAGCGCGAACACGCATCCATCCGGATCCGTCTGTGCACATGTTAGCTTGTGTGGGACTATGCAGGGGAAACGGGACGAACCATCTGGTTGGACAATCATAACATCATCGCCGTCTTCTACGGTAACCTCATCTGCGCCAGTAGCTTGATAAGCGTAGAGCATCTTGCCGTGCGGCTCTTTAGGCTTTGAACTCGACTCGATTGGTGGAGGTGCAGCCATGTACGCGGTTGGGGGAGGCGCAAGCACGCGATGCCTCTTAGCAGCAGCTGGCTTAGTCTCCGCGACCGGAGTAGGAGCAGCCTCTTCTTCTGGATTTTCTGGAGTAGGTTGAGTGGCCACATTAGACGTCGATCGAGTCGTACTGGCCGCATATCCGGAGCTTAGAGAGTTCATCGTATTTTGCCGTGTTAGTGACGTAGGACGAGAGGATGCAACAGGTGAGTCGATATCAATAGCAGGCATGGCACCGGCTTGTTCTTGTCGTGTCGTCTTGAGCTTCTTCTTGTCTTCCTTTGATTGCTCGCCTGGACACTCGGCTGGCACCTTCATCTGGCATTTGCTGTGGCAGGTGTATCCACAATCGCGACAATCAAAGCCCTTGGCCGACAGTCCCCAGATTCGCTCGCCGCAAAGATCACAGTTCGTCGGGATTTTGAATGTCTGAGAGCGGAAATTATGATTCTGGGCTCCAAATGACAAGTCTCCGGCCACTGCCATGATTGTTGCGGTCTCGACTTCGGCTGTCACCCATTTTCTATCCACCTCGTGCAACGCTTCTTGAAGGTAAAAGATAGAGCGCACGACATCCAGTTCGTTTCGATTATCTTTGCCACTTTGAATGGCTTCCCGGACCTTCTTGCTACCTTCAACTTCCCGCTTCTTCTTGTCTGCCTCAACTCGTAGTTCACGGACCTGGCCTTTACTCTTACCCAGAACATTGCGCAGGAATACCTTTGCTGCCTCATCTGTGACAATCGAAGCATCATCATGCCATACCGGGCTTGGCTCGAAGCCGAGGTTTGCAGGTTCCTGCGATTGCGTCACGTTGTGCTGAAGGAACATCAAAGAGTCCAGTCGGGGATTATTGCGAGGGATTTCGACAAGCAGATGCGCCATGTGCTCAGTGCTATTTGCGAGGCATGACTTCTCCAGTTGAGCTGCAAGTGTCCACATCGTGTTCATCTTCGCGACTCGAGTTTCGTTGAGACTTTGTAACCCCTGATATCATGTCAGTGCCGCCACAAACCGGAGAACGTAGTGTTTTAGGCTCAATTCTTACATCAAGAATCTCCGGCACATATTCATGATAGAACTTTTCCTTCAGCTTATTGGTCACGTTGATGCTAATGAGGTAGAGGTTCTGTTTGAGTTAACAACAGCATGTGATTTCGACACATGATATCATTCATACCTTATAATTGTTCATCTCCAATATTTGTTGCTGGTATGCCGTTTGCGCCTTGCTCTTACCATGATCGAATGACGACTCCATCTTCTTTCTGCGAGATTCGACTTCCTGGCATGCGCCATCGTATTTCCCCTTAGCCTTCTTGAGATCTCCATAGGCAGCTTCTCGTTCCTTTTCTAACTTGCTGTGGTAATCGACATGGCACTTGCGAATCTCTTCATATTGAGCTGCAGCATGTTTGAGAGGATCCGCCACTTGTACCACCAAGTCGGAGCCAAACTTGTCCCGCTCGGCGGCATGAGATTCCACCGCATTCAATTGTGTTGTCCATGTTGTCAAGGAGGCGCTTTCAAGGGATCCGGGGGTCAGGGTAGGGTTGTCGCCGACACTCAAGGGGCTGATCTTCTTCGACTTGCGATCGTAATATTTCTTGCAAAGGGCGGTCAATTTGGCCGCATATTCCTTTTCGATGGCGCTGCGCTCGCGATAGAATTGGTTGATTTCCTCCACCCACGATATACCATTTGAGACCTGTGCAACATAGTTGCATTAGCTCCACTCGCGCACAAGGTCATCGGGGTTGCGGGGAAGGTCGACATACCCAATTGTTGACTGGTTTGAATGAATCCTTGAATAAGTTAGTTCAGCTGCTGCGACAATCATCCGAAATTCCTACCTTTAGCTCTGCCCCAAACTGGGGGGCGATATCGGCAGCCATGGCTGAGTTGAGGTCGGAAGGCAGACGCGCATGGAACGGGCGCGACAACGGAAGGTCGGGTGGCGAGCAAGAATGCCAGCGCTGATCAATAGGGCAGCGCTTCAACACAGTACACAATTAGACAATACAAGATAATGGAGTTGGAGTTGGAGATTTGAGGCCATTCAGGCAGATAGCCCAAGGCGGGGAGAAGCCCGGTGCCTGTAACAATACCAAACATCCACGTTGCCGCTTTTGACTACACAATGGAGACTTTGTGACAATACCATTTCACAGCCCAATGGAGCCTAGCGTGGGCCCTTCTTCGTCATCTGTTTTTGCTCTTTCACTTGCGCTTCTTTCTATCGCGGCTCTTCTCTGCCTCTTGTATATTTCCTCTCTGTTGAAGCTTCTCTGAGCTTCATCTAACGGACGCAGTGGTCCAATTCCATTGCTATTCTCATTCTACCCCGCCTCGTGAATTTGCCATCTCCAAGATCACCCCGCCAATCTTCACTTTCTTTCAGAATGTCTTCTGAAGCTACCGAAGCCACCCCGGGCTCTGGCTCCTTGGCTGATCGCATCACCAAGCCCGAAGAGTCGAAGCCTACCGGTACGAACGGAAACCGCCCACCCTCTGACTCGTCCAGTCCCCCGCGGCCGTGACAGCGACGATTCCGCAATTGATAGCTAACCATTTTCACATTCTACAGATGCGCCCAGCACCGGTGAGGATGGCGCTCCTGCCGGTCACAATGGTTCAGAGCTCGCTGAGCCAGACTACACCGTCGAGGTCAAGCTGAGTGACCTGCAGGCCGACCCCAACAACCCCCTGTTCTCTGTTAAGAGCTTCGAAGATCTTGGCCTGTAAGTTTCCCCAAAGGAGCTGCAACAATTGCACATGTCAAACCTAACTCAATTTTTCTCTCAAGAGATGAGCGCATTCTCAAGGGTCTCGCCACCATGAACTTCCGCAAGCCTTCGAAGGTCCAGGAACGCGCCTTGCCTCTGCTCATGAGTAATCCTCCCAAGAACCTTGTCGGTCAATCGCAGTCCGGTACCGGTAAGACTGCTGCTTTCGTTCTCAATGTCCTCAGCCGCCTCGATCTCTCGACCCCAGAAATGCAGAGCTCGCCACAGGCTCTGATTCTCGCTCCTACCCGTGAGCTCGCTCGTCAGATTGTGGGTGTTATTCAGATTATGGGCCAGTTCCTTGACGGTCTAGTCATTGGCACTGCTGTCCCCGCCGATTCCAACGCCCGCACCGGTAAGATGGACTGCTCGGTTGTGGTCGGCACACCCGGTACCGTTCAGGATATGATCAAAAGACGCAACCTCAACCCCGCCCAATTGAAGGTTTTGGTTCTGGATGAGGCCGATAACATGCTTGACCAGCAAGGTCTTGGAGACCAGTGCATCCGTGCCAAGGCGTGAGTCCTCCGCATATTTCACTGAAATTCGGGATTAACTAACAGTCCTTCAGTATGCTCCCCCGCAATGTTCAGATCGTCCTGTTCTCTGCCACTTTCCCTGCTCACGTGTACCGTTACGCGGGCAAGTTTGCTCCCAATGCGAACGAGATCACCCTGCAGCACGAGGAATTGACTGTTGAGGGCATTAAGCAGCTTTACATGGATTGTGACAACGAAGAACAAAAGTACCAGAACCTTGTCCAGCTTTACGGACTTCTTACCGTCGGATCATCCATTATCTTCGTTCGGGTATGTATCCGTGTTTTTTCAGGCATGCGCATTTACTGATCCTGGTTTAGACTCGTTCCTCTGCCATTGAGATTGAGCGACGTATGGTTGCCGAGGGACACACTGTTGCATCTCTCACTGGTGGTGTTGAAGGCTCTCAGCGTGATGCTGTCATTGATGCCTTTCGTAACGGTGACGCGAAGGTTCTTATCACAACTAACGTTCTTGCCCGTGGAATCGACGTCTCCACAGTCTCTCTTGTGGTCAACTACGTAAGCCTTTCTCGCTGAAGTCTCACTTGAACAATGTTAACACCCCTCGCAGGATGTCCCCGAGGAGTACGCTCAAAACAAGCCATCTGGCACACCCGACTACCAGACCTATCTCCACCGTATTGGTCGTACTGGTCGTTTTGGTCGCATTGGTGTGGCTATTTCATTTGTCGCCAACCGAGGCGAATGGGAAATGTTGCGCAAGATCCAAGAGCATTTCGGATGCAACATTGAGCGTATCGACACCAACGACTGGGATGAGGTGGAAGAGATCATCAAAAAGACCATCAAGAGTACCCGTGCTCAGTCTACCTTCAAGAACTGAGTGCGCTTAAGATTGGGGTCAACCACATGCATCGGCCTCTCCACTAAATGTCAACTCCTGGCTCTAGGCCAATTATCTCACGTTTCATGTCTCGAAGAGTGATGTTTTCTCTTCTGTTTTTGCGGGTTCGCAGGGATTCTGGAAGGCACAATTGATACCAATTTCCGGGCACGCTGCCTCTGCGTCCCATTTCACACCCTGTTGTACCTGTTTCACACCCTGTTGTACCTGCTTCTCCCGTCAGTGGCACAGCGGACACTGCACGCTTAGCAAATATCAAAATCAAACTCGCCAATGCGAGAAAAACCTTTTTGTTCCTCTGCTTTTCTCTGTCGTTTTTTGCACGCTTGATATATAGACACGCATTTTGGTCCTTTTCATGCTCTCCCCGCATCTCTCTTAATACCTGCCTGTATGCGGACGAGGAGGGCAGACCTTATCACAGAATAGGTCAGATGATGTTGAAACACATACTCGGCCAAATTTCCACCAGGAACGACCCTTACAGTATACGAGGATTCACGGGCTAATGGGCAAAAAAGCCACCAAGGCTTGGCTTCGTATTCAACCTCACTCCAGGGCAAGCGCCGGTGCCCGACGCCATCGAATACGAGCCCTAAAAAACATTCACCCACAACATAATCTTAGGCGAAGTCTTTTCAGCCCAATAAGATCCCCGTAAATGATCTCGATAGGCGATTCCAGCACGCCGTGCTCCTGGCCCTGCAGCATTTAGACCTTGCTCATTTCGGAGAGACGAGGCTTTCTTTTCGTGAGATGTGGCTACATTGGGTTAGCTATGTGGTGGAGCCTCCTCAGGGTCTTCCAGACTGGGCTTGGAGGAATATATTTAAAAGGAGCAGTTTATTTCGGCACGACGCTTGTCTTTCCCCTGTTGTTGGCCCTTCATAGACTAGCCCATCAAGCACGATGAAGCACCTCACAAAATCTATTCTCCTGGGACAAGTCGTCCTTCAGGGCACCATCGCCACACCATGGTTCGGCACTCAATACGTCGCAATAGTCGAATCAACAATCGGCGACGGCTACACAGGCGTCTACATAACAGAAGACCCAGTAGTACGAACCTACACAAAGGTAATAACACCAACAGTCAGCAACCCAACCGTCCTCAGCACAATCACATCAACGGAAACATACTACAACGGCGATATCACCGCCGTCCAACTAGTCGTGGAACCAACCGCCGGCGTCCAGAACACAGGCTACAACTACGTCGGTCACTACGCATCAGTGACATATACAGCGCCTTCATCCTGCTTATACACTACAAGCCAGAGCCTCATAACCGCCATCCCCATCAATGTCCCACTCGATGCTGAGGACCTCTTCACTCCGAGCATGAAGACCAGTACTATCACCTACAAATACAACACATACCGATACACGCAGACCATGGCTTTCCTGGATATCGAGGAAATCCCAAAAAGCATCTTTTCTTCCGCTAGTTCGCTTTACAAGCCTTCCATGTACAAGACTTGCAATAGCTACTACAGCACAGGAAGGACGACGTACTACAGCGGCGATGATGACGATGACGACTCGAGGTCCTATACCGGCTGCAGCAAATTCATCTACTACCTCGGCAGCTCCGAGTTAGGAGGTGGATACTGCTGCTCAGATGGATGCCATTATACATGGGGAGTAACACCATGGGGTCTAGGCCTCGCAATCTTCTTCGGCTGGTTCTGTCTCTTCCTGGTAATCGGCTTGATCGAGAGCTGGTTCATATTCCGCAGAGCTATGCTCGGCAGGAAATCTCGACGTGGTCTCCCCTACGGATTCGCCCTCCTTTGTCCGATTTTATCATGTTTGCTCCTCATCACTGTCAAAAAATATCCCGCAAAAACACCCGAGGAGCAGGCTGTCCTCGTTGCAAGATGGAAGGGTATGTCTGGTGGACAGAAGTTGGGATGGTGGTTGAAGTACCTGTTCCGTCGGAGGGATCCTGCTGCTGTTGCTCTTGCTCGCCCCAGTCCGGGCCCTGTTGTTGCTCCTTATCCCCCTGGCCCTGGTCCTTGGTATCCGCCTCCAGGCGCTGCCGCTCCTGGCGTGCCTCCCATGGTGGCTTATCCTTCTTATCCCCTGCATGGGTATCCACCTCATGGCTATCCTCCTTCGCAGGGATACCCGTCTCCGCTGCCTGCGGAGGCGGATGCTACTTCTACTTCGCAACCTAAAACGGTGTCTGTAAGCGAGACTGAACGCACTGAGCGCACTTGAAGTGATTTTTATTACTGATGAAGCTATTGGTTATATATCCCGTCATACACTTTTTCGTTTTGGATCGAGCTATAGCTAGTCCAATTTAATAATCGCCAGAAATGAACTAAGTTACTGAACGGTGAAACATGTTAAACAACATACAATTACCTACATTCCATATGTAAACACTCAATCCCAACTAACACCGCACCCTAAAATAACCACTGATTAAACGCAACCCCGAAATCCATATGATTAAACAAATCTAACCCATCGACATCAACAACAGATTCGAAATCATAATGAGCAGCATCAGCATCCCCAAGCTCAGAATCAGGCACCGGCTCGAGAATCTCATCGATAATCTTCGAGAATACCTGACTCGCCCGCTGGAACAGCGCATAGTTCGCATTATCTGGTCTGGCAATAGACTCAAGATGAGAAATGAAAACGCTAAGATTACGAATAAGGGCAGACCGCGATCCGTCATACAGGAATAGTTCGCCTGTGCGTTTTTGGTGTTGCAAGGCTTTAATTAGGAGGCTTGCGCTTGGGAAGCCGTATAGCAGGACCTATACATGAAGAAAAAAAAAAGGGTAAACATTAAAATAAATGGCGAAGAGAGCTAGAGGGAACAGTACCGTCCATGTGAAATCGGGCCGTAGGTCGACCATCTGTTCGCGTTGTGTGCCAAGTATCAAGACTGTAGATAGGATATCCGCACTGACGGAAAGGAGTGCTGTATTACCGCGCGGATTTCTCTTTCCAGCTATCAGTCTTTGTATGAGAAAGTCGTTGTAGAGGTATGCAAGGTATGATATTATTAGCATGAGACACACTGCTACGGGGAGGTTGTTATCCCAGCATTGGGGTGTATAGCGTAGATGGATGGGGAGGGCTTCCCATGCAAGGTGACATCTCTGAGAGATGTCACTGTGTACTGTTAGCATTCCAACATAAACTTGAAAAAAAAAGACCAAGTGACATACTCCAACATATCTTCCATCTCAGGCGTTATCCTCCGAAGAGAGACTTCCAGGATCTCATCGCGGAATGTGCTGACAATGAATCGGACTCGCATCCATGACGATCGTTGCACTACACCGTGAAGACTCCATCCATTTGAATCAATGTAGTCGTGGGAATAATCCAGGACCATATTGTCAGTAGCAAGTGCCTCGTCGCTTATATCGAGGGGCATGCGACAGTCAGCATACCGCCATGGCATTCGAGGTGGTCGACCGAGGAATGTGGCTATGTTTTTGTCGAGTTGGTACGCTGAAGTAAAGTGGCGCCGGCGGGTTTCTAGTAGAAACTCTGGTAGCTCTGGGGATGTCTTTGTGTCGCGGTGCAGACCGAGCGCGAAGATGTCTGTTGAGAGTTCGCCTAGTCTGTTCCAGCAGGATGGACCTGGATGTTGTTAGTGGAATTGAATTTCGCAGGCCGGATGGTGTCATACTTGAATCGCCATTCACCAAATCTGTTAGCAAGAGGTTCTCATGCACAAGCCATATTGTCAGATCATTGAGTGAAGTCAAGATTTTGCAAATATACAGCGCGGCATCACTAGCTGCTAACATCTTGCGCGCATATTGAGTCCGAGATGTTTTGCCATCGCATTTATCCCGAGCGAGTCCCAGATATCTTGCTCGACCAGCGAGGGCGCATAATATTCCGATTATTTCGAGACGAATGGCCGGGCCGGTGTAGAGCGTATGAAAATCTCTTCCCCTCGTCGTTGCAGGCACATGGAAGATTTCTGCCGTGTTTTGAATTATACGGACAGTAAGTGATGATGTAGAGTCATCCACATTCGGAGTCAGCACAAATTCTTTGCACATGGAACCGACTGGTCCAAGACTATTTAGCACGAATGGCGCTGCTATCACAGCACTTTGACTGAGAGCGTAATACTCGCGAATCAAAGCCTCGACTTTGATAAAATTGCCCAGAGTTGATACTACCTCTGATATTTTCTGTACCCAGTATGGTGGAAGGACCCGCTGAGAGGCTTCCACCTCCAGGCCTTGACCTGGGACTCCTAGGTCAACATCGTCGGTGAGAGGGGATACGAAACTCGTTGGGCCGAAGTATCCAGAAAGTAAAGGTTGAGTTCGCGATGAAATAATAGATGCAGAGCCTCCTTGGACTGCATTGGGCATATATGAATTGAAAGAAGTTTCATTCATATGAGGATTTCTGGGAAGTGGTCATCAGACTTCGTTCTGCGCACGGCTAGCTGCACGGAATGCTTCGGGCGAGAACATTGGGCCATTGGGCAATCAATGATCGACACACCGATGCAAATTGTAAGGAGAAATCATGAAGGAATGTCACAAATGACGCACCTCGTCGATGGGGCTCGATCAAAAGGGACACCCTCTGCCAATGGGAATACGCGACGTCCTTTGGCTCGTGTTAGGGGAGCTGGGTGGTAAAAGCATCGGGTCGAGACTCCTCGGTCTCGACAGCGTGTGCAGACAGGTAGTGCATGGTCGCAGCGGACTTTGTCTCGGCGGCATGGCTCACATGAGGCCGGCTTGCCATTGCGACGGCGCGAAGTGCTGTGGGCAGTTAGCGGAGGGTGTTTAAATCCAAGGTGATATGTGGAGGTGTTACCTCATGAAGTTCGACAGACGCGAAGGTTATGGCCTCGCATATTAAGCAGTGTTAGACGTGTGAGTGGAAGAGTGTTCGGTGTTCGTTACTCCGGCCAGTCAAAATGAGCTCCGAAGAACTCCGGTGGAAACCGGTGGAGATGATCGGAGCGTAGTGGAGTCGTATACTCTGACATCAAATTGCATGCCAGTGACCGCTAGTTATCTTACTCTATAGAGTCCACTAGGCTACAGTATAGCTTCTAATACTACGTGACTATCTCATACTTCGCTCATAACGTGCAGATAAGCCCCTCCGATAACATGCGGAGAGCGATAAGTCACGGGGTACTGCTGCAGTCCCCCCTCTTCTGTTTTCTTTCTTTCTTCACAGCTTCATAGCTTCATTCTTCTTGTCTTTATTCTATATTTTGTGGCAAGATGACGAGCACCGAGCCTATCACCACCACACTGTCGGCTATGCCAGCCCAGCAGCCATCTCCCAAATCTCCAACATCCCCCGCCTCAACCCCGAAGTTCAGCAAGCACATCATCGTATGCATCTTTGGGAAGTTGTACACTATGAGGATAATGCTAATTCAAGTTGTAGTTAACCACCTACCCAGGCCAAAGTGGCATTGAACCCGTTCCACTCGAGTGGGGCGCGTCCGACGCCAAATCCCGGGGTCCAGTAGTTGTATCGCGGAGCGGCAACCTCGTCAAGCGCCGAAATGCCATCGGCGCCCACGGCGGTAGTTACAGCATTTATAACGCTCTCGCAATCGCTGCGGGTGACTTGGATGCCGATTTCCGACCGGACTTCCGCAACAGCGAGCCCACTTTCAGTTTCCCTTGGCAGAAGGCCTGGGCCGACAAGACGAAGATCGTCTCTATGGACCCCTATGGCCATGACATCGTCAACCAATTCAAGGAGGAGCTAGAGGCCGGCTGGGATATCCGTCCTACCATGGCGGTGACTCGGGCTAACATGAAACTGGCGGAGATTGCTGACGATGTGAAGAACGGTCTGCTGGAGGTTGATGGGTCCATTCTCGTTGACTCCTCCGGAGAAGTCCGCGTCACTAAGGTCGCTGTCGAGCCAGTCTGGTACCTGCCGGGTGTTGCCGAGAGATTCGGCGTCGATGAGGGAACCCTCCGTCGGACATTGTTCGAACATACCGGCGGCAGCTACCCGGAGCTGATCACTCGGCCCGATCTGAAGACATTCCTCCCCCCGATCGGAGGCCTTACCGTATACATTTTCGGACCACCGGAGCGGATCACCGATGAGAATGTCAAGCTGGCCTTGCGTATTCACGACGAGTGTAATGGCAGTGATGTCTTCCAGTCGGATATCTGTACTTGCAGACCATACCTGGCCTTCGGTATCCGGGAAGCCATCCGGGAAGCACAGAACGGCGGCAGCGGTGTAGTGATCTACTTCCGTAAAGAAGGACGAGCCCTGGGCGAGGTGATCAAGTACCTGGTATACAATGCCCGCAAGCGTGGGGGCGACACAGCCGATAAGTACTTCACCCGGACAGAGAACATCGCCGGTGTTCGAGATGTATGGTTTCATTCCTTTCCTGTTCCTGTTCTTATTGCCCTAGGAATCGCCCCACTTACTAACTTTACTCCACTGTAGATGCGATTCCAAGCTTTGATGCCGGATATTCTTCACTGGCTCGGCATAACGAAGATCGACCGCATGCTTTCCATGTCGAACATGAAACATGACGCCATTGTCGACTCGGGTATCGAGATCGTCGAGCGTATTCCTATTCCCGAAGAGATGATCCCCAGTGACTCCCGTGTCGAGATCGATGCTAAGATCAACTCCGGATACTTCACAACTGGTAAGCAGATTTCTGCTGCTGAGCTTGCTCAGGTCCAGGGACGTGGCTGGGAGAAATGGGAGGATATTGCTGTAAGTTTAAGAGGTCATCCTGGCTTCATAGCTTTGTGGGTTCGTGTAGTTGACATCTCTGCAGCACTAAACGCTTTCCTCGACGCTTTGGTGGACCCGAACGGCCGCATATGTCACTTTTTTCTCGGTAGTTTCTGCTTTTGATGTTTTACCTACATACAGCTTTCTTAGTAGCATTGCCACGGATTTGTTGCATAAATTGGTGTTCGGAAGATGTGGATGGTTTAAATTGTAGCCAGCTGTGAGGGGCGGAAAGATGTAGGAACACAAGGTACTCACAACATTTTGGAGTATTCTCGTAGCAATCTCACGCCAAATTATAGCATTTCCAAGCAAGAACTAACTGTATCAACCTTAGAGTCTCGGCATACATCCGAGACGTAAACGTGGCTAGCTTATCATCGGCCTCAATGTCACCACGGATTCTTTTCCTCCCCCGCACGTATACGAGAGAACTGATTACAAGAGAAACTGAGTGCAGACCTTGATATTCTGATGAAACCACCAACTATAAATAATTACTTCGTCCAGGAACATCATCATTCCACCTAGCATCTTCTACGCCCTACAAATCATCCACAATGGGAAGCCCTCAGGTCTCCCCGCAACCCCGAATCCCCAAATCAGGCATCTGGTGCCCTGCCGTAACAATATTCGACAGTGCAACAGACACAATAGACCTAGAATCCCAAAGGAAATACTATGCATACCTATCGCAAAGCGGCCTAGCAGGCCTAGTTCTCATGGGCACGAACTCGGAAGCCTTCCTCCTAACCCGCGAAGAACGAGCCCAACTCATCGCAATAGCCCGCGAAGCTGTGGGACCAGACTACCCTCTGATGGCAGGCGTAGGCACCCACTCAACGAAACAAACACTCGAGTGAGCCCACGACGCAGCAGCCGCCGGCGCGAATTACCTGTTAATCCTACCGCCCGCCTACTTCGGCAAAGCAACAAACATGAAGGCCGTGAAACGATTCTTTGCCGACGTCGCAAAGAAAGCACCCCTCCCAGTTTTGATTTACAATTTCCCCGGTGTAACCAACGGCGTCGACATTGACTCGGAGATAGTTACCCAGATAGTGAGGGAATCAGCGGCAGCAAGCGCCACCGGCGTCTCCAACATCGTCGGCGTTAAACTGACCTGCGGCTCGGTGGGGAAGATCACACGGCTAGCAGCGACGTTTGCGCCAAGTGAGTTTGCGATTTTCGGCGGTCAGTCTGATTTCCTCGTTGCTGGGTTGACGGTCGGATCGGCGGGGTGTATTTATGCTTTTGCGAACGTGTTCCCGAAAACGACATCGAAGATTTATGAGTTGTTCATGGCTGGGAGGCTTGCTGAGGCGATGGACTTGCAGCGGTCTTCGGCGTTGGCGGAGTCGCCTTGTAAGAGTGGGATTGCGTCGACCAAATATGCTGTGGCTTTGTTTTCGGCCCCCGCTGCTGGTGTGGAGAATGCGCTCGAGAAGCTCAGAACTCGGACTCCATATGAGGAGGCTGGTGATGCGGTAAGGAAGTCGGTCAGGGATTTGATGGGCGCTATGGCCAGTGTTGAAAATGCGTTATAAGCTGTTCCATTAGTAGGCTGCAGACCAGAATCATGATCATGAATTTGGCATTACGATTGTTATTATGTAATCTCAGAATGTAGCTTAAAAGCTGAAAGCCGAGTACCAGCCGAAAGGAGCCCGATTGGAGGTGGAAGGGATCTAGAAGTAGTTAGCGCAGAAACCGTGACGCACGGCGTTGTAGGTTAGAGAAATTCTCTTTGGAATATGAGAACAGGGTACTGGGCTGTTCTTTTAACGCCGACACCGGATTGTAAATCCACAGTCTGTGCTGGCTATCTGATCTCATTCGTGTTCTGCGCCGTGTTGATGGGTTCCGGTGTAACCGGCGAGGGAGGAGTGGAGACTAGTTCGATCTGATAAGATCATAAGCCCTTTTTTCCCGTGTTGCCTCCCTGCGGGGCGCCTTGGCGCCACATGATGACGTGTCGAGTTGATCAGAGGATGGGAATGTGCGAGTTTTTAAGTGATTTTTTTGAGTGCAATAATCGGGCTCAAAAGTAGCGATAAAGGCGTTGAAAAGTGCGAATTGGAGTGAAAGATGGAAAGTCACATGTCCGAGGCAAGTGGCTGAGTCATCCGTTTCGGGTGGGGAAGTTATTATCCAATGATAACTTTAATAAGTTACTGTAATTAACCAGATAGTACCTCCTCCAGCACTTTTCACGTGATCGGAATCTGTCATTTACGCGGTAATAACCATCAGGGGTGGCAGTTGCGGAGCCGGAAGGGCGGCCAGCCGCGATCATACGACTGAAATTGCTATCCCAGGCATCTCAGGCTAACAACACCGACCTCTCCCCTGATCTTCATGCAGATAGAGAAGCTCAATGCCTCTGACATAGCTTCTACTTTGTGCTTTTCCCGTTTTGCAGCTCTCGATCCACCCCCCTTTAATTCTTTAATTCTTTAATGCAAGGACGATCACCTTCGCAACGGAGAACGGATTCGAGAACCCACTTGGTCCCAAGGCTCTGACTGCCTAAACTACCAACTGTTTAGGTGGGTATATGTCGCACCCCTGCTTTTTGCCCATCCAATCGCCTACGACACCTGTGACTGTGACTGTGACATTTCCCCCTCCTGGAAACTCAGTCTTTACATCGCACTCTCCAGAGAACATATCTGTGCCTGTTGAGCTTCACGCCGTGCCATTTGAGCATTTTATTTGATATTGAACCCAGTGAGTGTCAGATATCACCCTATCACATTCTAGGCTAGCCTGTACGGACTTAGCCGCGTATCGTATCTCGAACAAAATGTCCTCAGGCAGCTCAATTCTGCTGTTTTAAATGGCTTGCAATATGAGTGTCTTCTATTTTACAGATCTAACTCTTCAAGCAGTGCTCACCATTCGTGCTCTCAGTTACATCACCCAGGTTTAGACTGCTACCTGCACTAGCCGAGGATCCAGCCGGGATACCTCCAGTATGTCAGGTCCCACCATGGACAACGACTTCCAGCTATTTTCTCCACGCAACTCTGGCGGAGATGAATCACGAGCAAATAGTCACTTCATATCAAACCAAAATGGAGAGAATGTGAATCAAGATTGGACTCAATGGATGCGATGGGATGAGCCTATGTTCTCTGAAGGCGACCAAAAGCCAATGGCCTCGTCTATGGATCTGCCTTCCATCTCCCCTCATACCGAAATGAGCTCACCAACTCAAAATCAAGAATTCTCCCCGCATCTACCTCTTGGGTTGATGGAAATTCCTTCTCAACAAAACAACCTCCACGGTCCCCCAGGTACCTTTTTGCAGGGCTGGGGCACAAGCCAGCAACCGCAGTCTGGTCTTGTTTCTCCAATTTCCAGTGTTGGAACTAGCCGGAAGAGAAAGACAGGCAGTGACGACGATGCCACCACAGTGACCGGTCCGGTGCAACAGGGCAAGAAGATGCCCGCCAAGAAGCGCGCTCACAATGTCATTGAGAAGCGTTATCGAGCCAACTTGAACGATAAGATTGCTGAACTTCGCGATAGTGTACCCAGTCTTCGAACAACTAAGGCCGGAGGTTCCGCGGATGACGACGATGAAGCTGAAGCGAACTCTGCAAGCAAGCTCAACAAGGCTTCTATTTTGTCCAAGGCCACCGAATACATCAAGCATCTGGAAATTCGCAACAAACGTTTGGAAGATGAAAACACTGGTCTGAAAAATCGTCTTCGCCAAGCTGACAAAGCCGCTGATCAGGCTGTCACTTCATCTGCTTCTGTTTCCTCGCCTAGCAACTACGCCTCAACCGACTCTGGCTCCGGTACATCCCCTAGTGTGTTCTCCCAGGCGGAGGAGATTCCTAGTGAGGGCTCTCCCAGTTCTCACAACCCTCCGGAGGGTCTACTTCCGGTTTCCGAGGCGTGGAAGCGGATGCGAGCCGAAACTGCACAGCAGGGAATCTTCGCCGAGTCATATATGAAACAGCCATCATCTTCGGCCCACCAACCGCAGTATGCCAGAGAGGACACCTCACGTCGGCGCTCTAGGATGCCCAACAAGTATATGCTAGGTGCGCTGGCTGGGCTGATGGTTCTCGAGGGCATGGGCTCCGATGACTCCGAGGGCGAGGCGAAGGGTCTCTTTGCACTTCCCATGCGTCTTCTGAGCCGCTTGCAAACACCCACCATGGCACACTGGGAATATTATTTGAAGCACTTCTGGTACTCGTGGCAGGCCCGCGCATTCTCCCATTTCTTAGTGCTGGCAACGCTGGTCGTTGGCTGTGCTTTCTTTGTCTTTGTCTACCTCTTCAATGCCCAACCCATTACTCAGCGTGGTTCATCCAAGCCGAATTCGGAAAGTCAGATTGTGCCCCTTACTTCCAGTGACTTCCGCCGACAGGCTTGGCTCACGAGCATGCAACGAGTTGGCGTTCCACGTCACCGTTTTTTCCGGGAGTGGTACGTCGTTACTTCCAGATGCTTCGAGTATGTGTTGCGCTGCATGATGGGTTGGAAACTGTACTCTTGGGCCACAGGGATTACCGAAGAAGATGAGAGAGGCCGTGTCAAGACTTGGGATATCGCAATTGATGCACAGCTCACTGGTGGAGATGCTGAAGTTAGCAAGAGTCGTCTTGTGCTCACTATCTTTGCTGCTGGTACTCTCCCTACCAGTCCCATGAGAATGATTTTGAAAGCCTTGCACGTCCGTGTTCTTCTCTGGTGCGTGGGGGAGCAGGGCTCTTGGTCATTCCATATGTCGAACGACATTGCTCGATCTCTCGCACGATTCCAGTGGGAGGTTGCTCGTGACCTTAACGACGCATTACCTGAGACTCATCCCGACCGGCTTCCCAGTCACCTTGCAGCCTTAGTAAAGCTGGACTGCGAGGAAGTCATGATCGACACTATCATTCAACGTGCCGTCAACCTGACCTGGAACCGACCAACTCAGGAAGGTACCGGTGATGAAGAGGTGCTCCTGGACGTTGTGGAAGAGGATCCTGCCATTCAGTGCTCTCAAGATGCACTCGCTGCCTGGTGGTCCAGCCATCTTCTGCAAACTGCTCTTCTTAACTACTTCGAGGCAAGCGAGAAGGGACCTGTCTCCAAGGCAAGCCGTGATGCCTTCAAGGAGAAGATCCGCATGTCTCTCGACGTCGCGCCCAGGCTGTCTGCGGCATACACCCGGGCCCTCGTCATGAAAGCTGTTTTCTTCGAACAGAACCGCGTTGAAAATGTTGGCGCAGTCCTTGCAGCTTTACCCAAGGAGAAGAGAAAGGGAAGTCAAAGCCACGCTTCCAACTTCCTGGACTCTTCCATTCCAGTCTCCGTCCGCGATGAAATTTCCATCGCAGTACGCTGTGCCATGATTGCCGCGATCGTCACAGCACGATCCAACGGCGACAGCAACTCCCTGCCCGAATCCTTCACCATTCAAAAGGCCATCAATTGGTTCAATCAGCTCCCAATTGACCCAGTCGAACTATCCCTTCTCGGTTTCTCGGCAGTCTACCACCTTCTCCACCTCCTCGCCTCAGATGTAGATTACATCGCGTCATCCGATTCCTCCTCTCCATCCACCCCCGTCTCAGAAGCAACCTCCTCGGCCGACGACGAAGCCGAAGAAAAACCCCGCCCAACTCGCAAACTCTCCATCTGTCCTCGCGACATCCCAAACCTCGGGCGTGTCTCCGCCGAACTCATCTATTGGGCCCGAAATGCCTACAACCCGGCTTTCTACGGTTTCTCACCCACTCTTGTCGAGGTAGTCGTCGACTCTTGCACAGCGATCTGCCAGAACGCAGGTATCAATGTCGACGACCATGTCCCCACAGCACCAGACAAGACTCACATCAAGAGGCGGAAGCACCGTCGTCGCAGGGGCGGATCAACCTTGTCCTCTCAGAGCGATGCGGACCAGAGTATGTCCGATTCACCCGTAAGTAAGCCGCTTCGTCGTGAGCGCTCCGCTAGCAATGATACGGGGTATGGCAGTCTTTCTGTTGAAGAGGAGTTGCATTATATTCCTCACGCTCATGATCAGGCTCCTGTTTCTGTTCAAGAGGTCACTGTGTAAGATCTTATTCTTGATCTGCTATGCTATGCAGTAATGACTTTGGCGTTTATTGGTTTTGTATTTCTACTTGGTTGAGATTACGGAAAAGAGGAAGGATGGATTGGTCTAGGGTATGAGATCACGGACTGGCGTTTTATATGTAAGCGTTAGTGAATAAAACATAACTCATTCTTTTGTTAAGTTTGTGATGCATTGTTCTCGAGTCATCAAATTATTCTATTCACCTCGCTACCTAAATTGTATATTCATGGATGTCTTGGCGCCCACCGAGCCACGTCACTAAAATTCTTCCAACTTCGACGACAGATGGCCTAGGACAAGCAGTAAAGCTCCCGAACAGGGACTAAAGCATAAAAATATGATTACTGTTCTCGAAAGCCTTTCAAGTCATTACTCGTCACTGTTTGAAAGATGCCGACCGAGGCTCGATTCGAAGTGCTGCTCATCGTTGGTATCAACTCGGCCGGCCTGGCACTGACTGACACTGCTGAACATGCCCAATTGCTACACGTAGAAACATGAATCATGAGGTGAAGCGTGAACAGCGACGCAAGTCATGGCGAGACTGCTTTCAATCTCAACCTGATTTATGCGATATGTTAATGGATACAGCTTCCGCTTTTAAATCACCAAGTCAGCTCAATCACAAGAACGGCCAGGATTCGATCCATGGTATTTCAGGAGTTTGATGCTCTGGGATGTATGAGATCCAGCTTTCATTTTGGCCGACCATGCAGCAATGCCGACGGCCTTGTTCCAGCACGATCCGCAATGCCTCTATGGCCATTCTCATCACTTCATTTGAATGACTAAACTTGCTTTTCTTTTGTCCAGAATCATCCAGTTTTGATGTCTCCGGAGCTTAAAACTGGCATTCTAAGATACTGCTTCTGCTCACCGGTCAGCCATCATCAGTTCACTGGTCCGGCAGTGCGGCCGATTTGACAATGGCAAAGTCATTGTGAGCATTCTACTGTGCTTCAACTCATTTGCCCAGGTCCTCTCGCTAATCCTGATCAAGTTCTGCACCCGGGGCTGAGTGTCCGTCGGAATTTCTTTCCGCTCTCACCATGGGTGGTGATCGAGACCCCGAATCCCTCGACAAGAGCAGCATCAGGTTTCTTTGTCGGAGAATTATCTTATTGTCCTGAACCTGACCCTGGAAGCCCTGACATCATCGGATGGCCCCTTTCTGACGAACAAGACTACAGTACTGCGACGAGAACCTGTGCCTTGCAACATTTACTAGATCTGTTCCTACCCCAGGATGTTCTGAGGCGAGTCTAGAACCTTATGCTTGGAGGTTCCTATGACGCTATTCTCACTGGTGCCTGTTAGCTAGTGGGACTGTCTGTTAGTTTGTCTAGGCGGTCTTATGGTGCATCTGTCAAAAAACGCTGAGCCCCGCTGCTAAGTCACGCTGTTTTGGCTCTTACGCTGCTTCGGGCATTTCATGAAGCGCAACGAGGTAGCGCGCGTAACAGAGAATCAGCCAAGTTGGCCTGAACTGTCTGATCTAGACTGAGACAAGTCGTTTGGTAATGGTCGCAATGGCATCTGACACATCTATACACGGGCCCTTGCCCGAGATTTAACTATGACTGGATCGCCAAATCATAGCGGTGATCGCGCTCAAAGTTCGACGGGCTTTGCTGTCAAGCGCCATGGCGTCATATCTGCTACGCTACAGTCTCCACTCAGTTGAACTTGACCATTGTCTACAGCGTTGCAGTTGCGTCCCAGTGAGCCACAGATTCGACCGGAGCCCACGTTGAGGTTTCTAACAAATGACGTTGGGATATCGAACTCTCGCACAATCAGTTCAATAGACCATTTGAAAAAGACAGCAACAGAATTCAGCAAAGGAAATCAAAAAGATATTCCTGTTTTCTTGATTATCATATTACTCCTTGACCGAAACTGGGAGGAATGCGGCAGGCGGCTGTCAACATTCCGTTTTCGGATTGACGAACCGCGGCGTCTAGACCCTATCCCTTTCTCCAACCCGCAATTGTAACAATTGGCGCCTGAATGAAGCAGCCCTTCGGCATTTCTTCATGACAAGGCAGTTCTCGAACATCTAGAATTCCTGGCTTGCCGCGCGCATCCCCTCCCCCCGAAGAACCTTAATAGGTGCCAATATCTACTATTTCCCGATTCGGCGTTACACTCACCAACACGGGTCGTGTGTCCATGCCTTGTCCAAATCGTGAAGATGCTTTCATTCGTCTGTACCAGAATAGACTTGCATCTCGCAGGGGTCAATGACGGTATCCATGTACGTCAGGTCTGGAAAATCGAATACAACGCCATGATTTGAATTTACTTTCTTTCCCACGCGACTTCTACCACATTTATGCCATCAGTTCATTAAAAAGCTTGTGCTCCTCCTTCCCTTCCCCTCCCCTGGTCTTGAGTTTTTCAAGGAGTTGCCGGATACTCCACTCTATAAGTGGCTGCGACAGTATCCATACCCAGCGATCTACAGCTCGACCTCCACCTGCCTCTTCGAATGGCACAATGGGTGTACAACTCAAAGGAAATGGCCATGGGGAGGCGCCCATGAATCCTACGATTGCGGTCCCTCTATTCGTTGTCGGTGGACTTCTCGCCATCTTGTTCGCCTGGAAAAGCGCTATTCGCCTTCGACACCGTCAACGCTCTAAAGAGGCACGGACAGGAATCGACCAAACACAGCTGTCACGGACAAATAGCTTTAACGCGGCCCTAAAGAAGCACTTCCTATATGCTCCGCTATGGGGTAATCGCCATAGTCGCGAGTTCCGCTTCCTCAGACTCCACATGGGATCGCTTCCACTGCGGCTAGAAGTGATCTGCCTTTTAGCGTACCTCGGCTTGAACATCATCTTCATCATTGTGACAGTTGATTGGTGGATTAGTGATTACTCCAAGAAGATGTTCCAGCTCAAGTACTCTGCAGGCCACCTGGCTGTCATGAATACACCAGGTTTGGTCTTGAGTGCTGGGCGGAACAACCCACTGATCCAGCTGCTTGGCATCTCCTTTGATAGCTTCAACTACATGCATCGCTGGGTGGGACGTGTGATTGCCGCCAATGCGGTGATTCACATGAGTGCAGTGTTGGCCAACCAGGCTTACATGCGTGAGTAGCCAGGAATTTCATGACTGAAGTATGCACTAACATCAAATCAGACGGCACGGAATATGTTCTCTATATCATCTGGCAACAGCGCCTCTACATCTGTGGCCTTGTGGTATGTATTCCATCGACCACCCAGAAGAGGGAGAACCACATCTAACGGATATCTATACAGGCTATTCTCGGCTTCCTTTTCATTGTTGTTCAATCACTATCGCCGGTCCGACATTCCTTCTACGAACTATTCCTTCACCTTCATATTGCTTTGGCAGTGATGTCCTTCGTCGCTCTGTGGTATCACCTTCAGAACCTATTGCAACAGCAAGTGCTCTTGGGTACTTTGATTCTATGGGGTCTCGATCGCGCAGGTCGACTTGGTATCCTCCTCTGGAGAAACATTGGTAGACAACCCACTACTGCCACTATTGAAGCTTTGCCTGGGTCTGTCGCCCGTGTTGATGTCGCTGTCTCTCGAGCCTGGCGCTTCCGCCCTGGTCAGTACATGTATCTATACATGCCGTGCTTGGGCTTGTGGACATCACATCCCTTCACTGTGGCATGGACATCTACTGGCTCGGATTCTTTGAATTTGGGCGAGAAGCGCAGCTCAAGTGACTCCTTGAAGGCTCTCATTGGAGGGTCGGAGACTACTACCATGTCTGTTCTGATCAAGGGACAGGATGGATTTACGAAGAGACTTCTTCAAAAAGCGGAGGAATCCGCCGAGGGACGGATCAAAGCTCTGGCTTTGGCAGAGGGACCATTTGGTGTGAACCCATTTTTAAAACTTTCTCAGTTGTTGTAGAACATTTCCACTAACATTTCCAGGTGGTATCCATTCTCTCAACTCATACGGCACTCTGCTTTTAATCGCTGGCGGCATTGGCATTACCCACCCAATGTCGTACCTGAACGAGGTCGTTGGCACCTTTGCCGAGCAGAAAACAGCTACTCGCAAAGTGCATCTGGTTTGGATCGTTCGTAGTTTAGGTAATTGCACCCTTTTTCACTTCCACCAACAACCACTAATCATATGAACAGACCACCTCACATGGATCCAAACATTCATGGAAGAGATCCTTGGCCACGACTCTCTATCAAGTCCAATTAACCAGAACGGCCACTCATACTTCCAATTTCCCAAGCTTCTATTATCTATCAGTCTCCACATCACAGCACACAAAGATACAGTGGAAGAATATATCCCCACACCATCGACACCATGGACGCAATCCGCTCCGCCAAGCGTCCCAGTCAGCATTCACCATGGCAAACCTTGTATCCAATCTGTCTTAGAAAAGGAAAAGGCAGAGCAAATAGGTGCCATGGCGGTTAGCGTCTGCGGCCCTGGTGGCCTCGGCGATAGTGTGCGTGAAGCTGTGCGGAATGTTCAAGGCGAGAAAACGGTTGATCTGTTCGAAGAAACTTTCTCGTGGTAGAAGCTGTTGGGTTTTGTATAGTGGGCTGGATTTGTGGTTTTGGTTTTGCTTCATTTCTGACTATACATTTTACTTTGAGAGGCTCTTGAATATTCGAATAATTTTTCCCCTGTGGGGGTTTGAAGGTTGTTCTTGTTCCTCACTGGCTTGCTCTTCACTTTTCATGAGACAATGCCTGAGTTTTTCTATGTATATACTATACATCCTATTCATCTTTAATTGTTCTTTTAGAGGTCTGCTGGCTCAATTTGCCTTTGCCGATATAGTCAACATGAAATATACCCTCCAAACCTGCATCTTCACCCATCAAACCAACCCCGCCCTAACTGCGTGCAATAGCAGCTGCAATACCCTCGAGAAGAATTTAAATACACTGTGGGAGAAGGGAGGGGGGAAATGGCAGCCTCAGTACCAATACTGTAAGACGGATGATGCGTCTCTTGTTCAATATCAGGGTGGTTGTGCGAGTTGTCTGGAGAAGCAGGATAATACCAAAGTATTAGGTAAATGTGAGTATTATCAAGCCTTTCTTGCGATAAAACATCTGACGCAGCATCTATTTAGGTTTAGGGGGAATGGGCGCAGCATGCGACAGCAAACCCAATGCGACAAAGGACGAGACAGTGTCCCTGTCGCAATCATTATTCACATTGACATCGACTTCCCCTTCCTCCTTTCCGTCCTCATCCCCCTCCGCAACTTCAAGCTCAAAACTCAGCTCGGGGGCCAAGATTGGAATTGGAGTCGGCGTCGGCGTCGGAGTCGCAGCATTGGGTGTGATGGCTGGTATCGTGTGGTTCTGCATGAGACGTCGCCGTGCTCAAACGCAATCTGAGTCATATATGGATTCACCGGATACGCAGTCTTATGGTGGACTCGGTACGCAACAGAGCTATGCTGAGGGACCCAAGTCGTCGGCCGTGGACTCTGAACAGACTTACGTGCCGGAGCTTTCGACTACTGAACACAAGGAGCAACCGCCTGCTGAATTGAGCGGAAAGCAAGTTGTGGCAGAGTTGCCCATATGAGGTGATGATGGGTTTTATTCTATGATTTCTGATACTCGCGCCATTGCACATAGATTAGATACAGTATTGGAGACAAAGATAAGATCAAACAAATCAACATGAGACCCTGACATACGTATGAGGTTCAAATTAACGAACCAATTTCAGATCCAGATGCGCCGCCCTAACTTAAATCAAATATTCATAATAGAACATAGCGCCTTATACCTATTGCGTCAAAATTCATTGGTGGCAATAGCTATCGAACTTATAGACCGGCTGCGTCAGATAAATGCCTGAGAGTTCAGGTCCCATTTAGGTTGCCGCTTTCTTTAGGTCACATGGGAAGGCTTTGAATGCCCAAGATTTATGATAAATTATTTCTTGACTCAATCGTCTTTACTGTACCAAAGGATGAGGGAAGACAGATGCTCGCAGCCCGAGGGTCCCGCTCGGGACCCGCGGGCCCCGTCTGGACCCTGGCCTTAGTGGGTCGCGGAAAGTCATCCTATGAGACAGCATCCTCAGCCCAGGCTAGAAAATACCAAGTATTAAACATGTTAGCCTGATAGTTCAATATAAAATGTGACCGTAGCTCCTTCTCGAAAGCGGCTATATCTTCTCGGGTCATTCCACTCCAAGACGTGTCAGTTCTCAAAGAAATGGCATCTTAACACTGACCGTCTCACGACCCAAACTCCAACCATCTGCAACTATGGGGAAAGAAGCGGAGAAAGACGAGGTTTCTCTAAAGGAGGAGACCAAAGGGAAGGCAGAATCAGACGGCGCTTTCAATGGCTATGTGGTTCGTGTGTCCCTAATCCAATCCATCTAAAGCATTCGATGTCTGATGTCATATAGAGGATCTTTCGTTATGGTTCCTCCACGGAGTATGCCATGCAGGCATGTGCAACAGCCTGCGCACTCGGTTCTGGCGTCGGCATGGCCTTGGTCAACTTAGTTTTCGGCCAGTTTATTACACTCATTCTCGGTTATACCAAACGTCAAACCGACGCTGACGCCTTCAGAAGTGGCGCTGCAAGGCTGAGGTATGTACCAGAGATTTGAGAAGAACATTGCAAATGAGAACTAATATGAGAACAGTTTATACTTCTTTATTATTGGACTCGCTCGCTTCTTCCTCACATACGGGTACAGTACGCTATTCACACTTGCTGCATACCGTATCACACGAAACATTCGCCGCCTGTACTTGAAGGCAGGGCTCAGTCAAGATATCTCATTCTTTGATAAGGGAAGTAGCGGGTCCATTGCTATGCAAGCGGTTTCAAATGGCAAACGTATTCAAACTGGAGTGTCTGAAAAGCTGGGCCTTGCCATCCAAGGGCTCTCATGTTTTATCTCTGCGTTTGTGCTGGCATTCGTCACATACTGGAAGTTGACACTCATATGCTGCTGCATTGCTCCAGCTACACTCCTTGTTATTGGTATTGCCACAACTATTGATGCTTCGATTGAGACCAATATTCTCAAAATTCAAGCCCAGGCTGGCGCTTTTGCAGAGAGCATCTTGTCAAGCTCACAGACAGTGAATGCATTTGGGCTTCGAACTCGCCTAGTAAGTGAGTATGGAAAGTATCTGCAAGCTGCTCGAACGCTCGGGAATAAAAAGAGTCCACTTTACGGGTTCATGTTTTCTGCGGAATACTCGATCATCTTTGCTGGAATCGGTCTCTGCTTCTGGCAAGGTGTGGGAATGATAGCCAGTGGGGAGGTGAAAGAGGAGGGTGATGTATTCATGTGGGTTTTAATATTCCTCGCCACTCAGGGTAACGCAACTCTAATATTTTATTGCAGTGTTCTCATGTCTGTCATTATAGCGGCCACCAGCTTGACCTCTATTGCGCCCTACTTTATTGATTTCACGCGTGCTGCATCCGCCGCAGCAGAACTATTCCGAGTCATGGACCGCACTTCGGCCATCGACCCATTTGACGAGTCGGGAGAAAAGCCAACAACAACCACCGGTTCTCTTGACTTCGAAAATGTCTCCTTTGCCTATCCGACTCGTGCTGATGCTAAAGTCTTGAAGGGATTCTCGCTTCACATCCCCGCTGGTAAGACAACAGCGCTGGTAGGAGCAAGTGGCTCTGGAAAGAGCACAATCATTGGACTCCTCGAGAGATGGTACAATCCCTTGTCAGGGCAGGTGAAACTTGATGGCCAAGCTATCGACGCGCTAAACCTCAAGTGGCTTCGACAACAAGTTAGACTTGTCCAACAAGAGCCCATTCTATTTGCTGGCACGGTTGCTGAGAATATTGCAAATGGTCTTGTTGATACACCATGGGATCAGGAGCCCCAAGAGAAGAAAATGCTGCGCATCCAAGAGGCTGCCCGGATTGCCTTTGCTCACGATTTTATCACGGAACTTCCTAACGGCTACGATACTGTTATTGGAGAAAGAGGCGGCTTACTATCCGGCGGTCAAAAACAGCGAGTTGCAATTGCTCGAAGTATTGTTTCCGAGCCACGCATTCTTCTCCTGGATGAGGCAACTAGCGCGCTAGATCCTCATGCCGAAGAACTTGTTCAAGAAGCTCTCAACAATGTGTCACAAGGACGGACTACTATCACCATTGCCCATAAATTGGCAACTATCAGAGATGCTGATAACATCGTGGTCATGGAGAAGGGCTGCATTCTTGAACAAGGCACGCATGCGTCACTTTTGGAACAGGATGGTGCCTACGCACGACTTGTGCATGCTCAGGATCTCTCTGTGGGCACGGAGGCCTCCGAAGATGATACAGATGATGAGCAGCCAAAAGGTGAGGAACATCGCCTGGACCTCACCGGTACACTCAGTCGATACTCCACGTCGACAAGGTTGGCTGTGGAGAAGAAAAGTAACCGCGATGACTTTGACAATTGGAAAAGAGTTGGACTCCTTCACACAATCTGGCGAATTGTCCTGTCAACCCCCGAACTCAAGTGGACATATTTCTTTGTTATTTTGGCGTGTTTAGGCGGGGGTAAGTTCAAAACTTGTCAAATTCTAAGCCTAACCGGGTATTAACCAAGTCACAGCGGCTGCATTCCCCGGCCAAACCATTCTGATGTCCCAATTCATCGAGGTATTCGAGTTTACTGGCGACAAAATGCGATCGAAAGGAAATTTTTTTGCATTGATGTTCCTTGTCCTAGCAATCGGCACTTTTGCCATGTACTTCCTCATGGGTTATACATCAAACATCGTGGGACAGGTATGATCTCCCCAGCACCCTGCCACCAGCTCAAGAACACTCTGACTAACTCATCCTAGAGCATGAGTCAAAAATACCGGAGACAACTAGTCAACGACATGCTCAAGCAGGACCTCCAATTTTTCGACCGCGCCGAGAATACTACAGGCGCTCTAGCCAGCCGAGCAGAAACCCACCCACAGGCCGTTTTCGAACTAATGGGATTCAACATTTGTCTCATTCTTGTATCCGCCGTGGCTGTGGTAGCATGCAGCATTCTCGCCCTGGCTTATGCATGGAAGCTGGGCCTGGTCATTGTGTTAGCGGGGCTTCCTCCTATGCTGTTCTCGGGCTACGCTCGCATCAGGATGGAGGGTGTGATGGACCACCATATTTCAAAGTCGTTCTCTAAAAGCGCTTCGATTGCTTCAGAAGCAGTGAACTCCATCAGAACTGTCTCTTCTTTGGCTATTGAGAATTCGGTGCTGGATCGGTATACTCAAGAACTTGATCGAGCGGTTAATGCTGCTACGAAGCCTTTGCTCCTTATCATGTTACCTTTTGCATTCACTCAAAGTGTGGAATACTCCTTCATGGCACTAGGGTTCTGGTGAGTCTCCAACAGCATTGGTGAAAACTACAACGCTAACAATGATATCTCATGTCTTTAGGTATGGATGTCGACTTGTCTCATTCGGAGAAATTACCATGGTCAACTTTTTTATCGCCTTCTTGGGTGTATTCTTTTCAGGCCAGCAAGCCTCTATCCTCTTCGGGTTCTCAAGCAGTAAGATATTATCAGCTTGTCTATGTCCAACACCAATACTAATATGGTTGGTTGTAGGCATGACAGCAGCAACAAATGCAGCAAATTACATCTTTTGGCTAGAAGAGCTTCAACCCACAGTTCGGGAAACCGAAGAGAACAAAAACATCGGACCCGAAGACTGGAAGATTCTCGAACTGGATAACCTGCAGTTCTCATACCCACTGCGACCCAATTCTCGCGTACTGCGTGGTGTGAACCTCAAGGTATGTGCCAATCTCCCATATACCATACTCCCAATCTGACCGACTACATAGATAAAAAAAGGCCAATTCGTCGCCTTCGTCGGCGCATCTGGCTGCGGGAAAAGCACAATGATAAGCATGCTAGAGCGCTTCTACGACCCAGTCTCGGGCCAAATAATCATTGACTCAACAGCGCTATCAGAGATGAGCCCATGGCTCTACAGAAGCCAGGTAGCACTTGTGCAACAAGAACCAACCCTCTTCCCAGGAACAATCCGCGAAAACATCTCGATGGGCGCTCCAACTAATACAAACAACACATCAACAACTTCAGACGATGATATCGAGGCTGCTTGTCGGGCTGCTAACGCATGGGACTTCGTCTCCTCTCTGCCAGACGCTCTAGCTACTCCATGTGGATCTAACGGTACACAATTGTCAGGTGGCCAGCGACAACGGATTGCGATATCAAGAGCTCTGCTTCGGAATCCGCGTTTATTACTTTTGGATGAGGCTACCAGTGCGTTGGATACGCAGTCTGAGAGGGTTGTGCAGGATGCTTTGAATGAGGCTGCTTCACATGGCGATCGGATTACTATTGCTGTTGCGCATCGACTTTCGACTATTCGGCATGCGGATGTTATATGTGTCTTTGATGGAGGGCGAATTGCTGAGTCTGGGACTCATGAGCAGTTGCTGGCTAGGGGTCGGCTTTATCCTAAGATGTGTGAGGCGCAGAATTTGGGGACTTGATTTTGTGGACATTTGGGAGCCTGTGTTCCAGGGTTGTATTATATTATGTTTCTTTTTCTCGGGCTATATAGATCGTACTTATTGTCTGTCATCTTTTGGAGCAGATATATGTTACATATTTTTTTTTGCCAAGATCTTCACAAACAGAATCCGGGGTCAGGGTCCTGATTTACACTTTCATGTCGTGCAGCAAGTCGTGCAGCAACTATGTGGGTGGCGCGTGGGGGATCGCCATTGTTTAATCGTGCCACATGGCGAGATCATACAAGGAGGTAAGGTTCCCCACGGGGAAGGTGTTACGTACGAAAAGGAGAAAGTTCATTGGAAGATATATCATTCAAGCGTGAGTATATGGAAATGCTAACTGTACAAGAAGAAGAAAAACGCCGCCCCATGATGCAATGGCTTTTTACAGCTTTCCAGCGGCCGCCTTGGCGTGACGCTCGAAAGAAGACACAGGGGGAGCGGAGTTGGGGTTGGGGTGGTGCTTCTTCAGTGCCATGGTGACGTTATACTCCATGTCGAGGGAAGCCTTGGGGTCGTTTTCCTTGGGCTTGAAATCTACAACGAGGTCGTCCTTGACCGCGAAGACGGAGTCGATCTCGAGGTGAGGGTCGTCGCTGGGGTAGATCTGGTTGATGACGGTGGCGTAATCGGGGTGGGTGATCATCAAGTGGATATGGGCGGGACGCATGGGGGAGCGGTCCATGAGGCCGAGGAGGACACCGGCGGGGCCGTCGGTGGGCAGAGAGTAAGGGGTGGGGTGGTAGCAGTACCAGAAGAACTCGCCCTTCTCGTTGGAGGTGAACTTTCCGCGGAGGTTGTTCTCGGTCTGGGTGGGGTCCTGGAAATCGTACTGGCCGTTGGCGGAGGCTTGCCAGATGTCGAGGACGGCGCCCTGGATGGGCTTGCCGGTCTCCATGTCCTTGATCACACCGTGCATGTAGGTGACACGGCCGTTGGGCTTGGGGTCCTGGATAATGCTGTCGCCGAGAGCGCGGAAGGGAGCGTTTGGAGACCAGAAGGGACCGAGAATGACGTTGGAGGTGGGGGAGAGACCGTCCTCGGTGATGATCTTGTTGGCGATCTCGTCAACGAGACTATAAGAATCGGTTAGTAAATGCTTATTTTCATAAGGCTGAGAGCAGTCGTGGGCGGACTTACGACTCAAGACCAATCACGTCGCAAATGCGGTGTCCCTCATTACGGATGGGAGTGCTGATCTGGCCGATAGAGTTGATGAACTCAACACCGAGCATCCACTCGGCGGAGGTAAGCTCAACCTCACGAGCGAAGTCGTGGATGTGCTTGATGAGAGAGCCCAAGACGACGCGAGCACGCTCGGGGGTCTTGGGACCCATGCCGTTGATAACGGAAGGAGTGAAGTTAGGGTCAAATTGGCGAGGCATAGTGTCAGATGTGAGTATGAATTGTGAATGAGAAAGTCAGAAAATCCGGAGAGACCCTGTAGGTCTATATACACAGACAGCGACGGCATATCGGTCGGCTGGCTAACCTTGTGGGGGAGATCCAACGGCGCCAAACCCAAAAAAATACCGTCGCCACCTGCCGAACGGGTTGATGCAGTGAATTGTCGACTGCGCAAAAGTGCATCGGTCAGCCCCAACAGCCGAGTGGCGGCTGCTCTTGCTAATATCCAAGCGCGGGGTTGCCGGAGTAGCTCTTACCCGCGGGTAAGCCCCGGCTCTGTTCCCCCATATGTTACCCGCGCCACACCGGGATCCTGACTCAGCTGGCTTTGTGTGTCCTCTGTTTGGTGCGGACTGCCTTGTCTTGGCGCGTTCCCGGCTTTTGCTTTTCCGAGCCATCCGGGTCTCACGTGCCGCCCAAGGCAGTTCCCTCCGCCATGTTACAGAATTCATCCGGGGAATTGTATATGGCATGATTGGCCAACTAGTGCGTAAGACATATCAACGAGCAAATAGAAAACGTACATCCGCCCGGATCCGCGTTTGATCTCTGACAGAGACCCCTCCCCCGGTCCCGTTCAAGGTTGGTTAACCCCTGGGGAATCAGGCACATCGGAATATTAGTAGAACCGATCCCGAGGTACATCTCAGAGGCAGTCCATAAGTTACAGTAACTCTTGGCCTACAAGACATATAGATTGTCTCTAGAAAATCCTTGATAGGATACAAGAGACGAGTATACATTCTAGCAGCGGCCTCTGTAGACTTGGTTTGTTTTCTCTTCCGGATGTATATATCTCAGAACTGATCTTAACATGACCCAGTGTTCGTGTCCTTCACAAGAGACAAACACTGAGCACAAATCACTATAACTGCGGGACAAACTACCAGAAATGGAAATACCAGGAGTGCTTAAAAGATCTCCCTGAGGCAAAGTTAACCCCAGACTTTGGGACAAATTTGAGTGGCTACCTCGCCACTCCCCCCGGACTTGCACGGCTCACACCCGCCCATCAACCCATAATAAAATTTTTTAAAGGTTCGCATGCGGATATTTTCCTGCCAAGCCATTTATTCGCTTTAGTGTTTCTGGTAATATGGACATGCGAAAATTGCAAATAGGTGGAGCACATGATATGGTATATAGTATCATTTGCTAGGGATGCTGCAGCCAAGGCGCATGATATTCCGGGCTCCTGGCATCTTGCAACCCCTAGCAACGATCACCTTTCCTTACATACGGGACCACCCACAATGACGTTCCTATGTGATGATATGAGTAATTAGGAAGAGCAGCGAAGAAACAACAGATTGCTGATGTCTTTAGACTTTTCATTCTCCTCAACAAAAGTATCACCAACCAAGTCTATTATTACCTTCATGTCAACATGGCACTTAAAAGGATCTTTCCACAAAGCCACAGCACTATAAAAGCTAAATAAAATCCCCGGGCTATGTTTAGGGACCCCAAATTGCGATAGGAATCTCTCCATACAAGGTCTTTCTCGCGAGAAGCTTTCCTGGGCCACCAGTTTGCGCGTTATTTTCGGTCAACACAACTGCATGGCTGTTCTGCAAGGCTACAGCAACCTTTCCATTGTCGCCGTTGATATCGAATTCACGCGGGAAGGAGCCGTACGCAGGGAACAAGCCGACAAATGAGACATTCGTGGTGCGACTTCCATGGAAGGAAGCACATTTGAAGACAGCAAAAGAGTCAATCTCTTTGCCAAAAGTAGCGTCGCCACGGTTTGATACAACGACATGGTCATTTCCGGGCTAGAGAAATTTTGGTTATCAGATGCGGCTCTTTCACTTTTCTTCAAAATCAAGAGGATGATAAGTAATTTACTGGGAGACTGAACGCACTGTGATCTGAATTCCAGAGGCTTTCGAGCCATCGGGTGCAGCCTTTCCGCCATATGTGTTCTCCTCAAACATCTTCGCAAAGAACAAACCTTTCTGAGTGTATCGGGGTTTGAATGCACTCAAGTTATTGCCTAGCTCCGAGACAAGGTATAACACAGTATCATCAGAGGACGCGGCTTTTTTGTTAGGGCTAGTTGTCCAGAACACAGCATGTCGGGGCCCCGATCCAGGCTCTACCAGCAAGGGTGCCTGAGGCTGTAGATGGCCATTTGACGGAGAGATTTTGAATATATGGATTCGATCCATGCCTAGGTCAGGAACCAGCACAAAGCGACCAGTCGGGTCAACGATCACTCCATGTGGATGGGAAGCGTCTTGACGGTCAGGCACTGGACCAGGGGCAGGAAGTTGATATGTGAAGGTTTGAGTTCGGGCTAAGTGACCGGTTGAGGAATTCCATGTATAGGCTGTGACAGCGGACGCTTCGCTGAAACATCAAGTCGCATTAGCATGGCTTCAAACATTCGGGTTGCAACAATGTTGGACCGATACTTACTAGTGTGCAATGGCAACGAATCGCTGCTGAGAGTTGCTAGGGATAGTGTATATAGCCGACATGACTGGGCCAGTCATGGTCTCAAGGATATCCAGCGTGGTCAGAGATCCATTGGAGTTTGTTCTGAAGGAAGTAAGGCTGCCATTTGTAGCTCCTATTCCTTCGTTCAGACAGAGCATCAGACTGTGATCACTATCCAGCATCAACCAGGATGGACTGATCCCACAGTCATTGGTCTGAGCAACCGTTGATAGCGAATAATTTCCGTTCTTGCTCTGTGGCGACAGGGTGGTCACAGAGCCAGCATAGGATGCCGCATATATATGGGTAGCTACAGAGTTTGCACTATACAAAGCCGTGGATAGAAGAGCGAGACGCATTTTGACACGTAGTTAGATCGTTGAAGGAATAGTAAAAGGGAAACAGTCAAGCAGGATGCATCGATGAAGTGAGCAGACACGGATGGAATAAGTGGGAGATCGCTTGAACCTTGAGAATTACTACTGACGCCACCTCGTATTACTGTCTAGGCAGACATTTGGATGTTGTAAGCAAAGGCAGTCTAGATGGTCAACTAGTCTATTCAGCATGGGGGCGTTTCCCTGGCAAGATGTCATTTCAAAGCAGAGCAACTCTAGAACGGCGATCCCAAATTGTCGCCGGTGTAAGATATGATGATCTGCAATGGATGAACGGCAGACAGGAGAATGATGCTCTCGGGCCGGATGTCTGCAGGAACACGAGTGTTGTTGTTGTCGAAGCTGGTTGGCTCGGTGGTCAGGAGAGCGCCAAGATGGACCAAGACTGAGCCTTGATGGCGGTGGAACCGACTTCCGTTGACCCGCCTCCCGTTTGGCACTGACGGTACCGAAGATGTATACATCGTCCTTCATCTTGGCCCACTTGGTGATCATTGTTCGGCTTACCGAGAAGGCATTCGGCATGCCGATCTACTCATGTGTTCACAGGCCGAGACCGGGTCGCACAATGTGGCATCGCTGAAGAATGGCAAACCTGAAATCAGCTCCCGTCAAGACGGTATGGTAGGGTGCCAAATACATCCTCTCACAATTAGAATATACAGGAAGAATTCAAGTTTCGGTCGCCATGTGTGAGTTGTATTCACCGACACGATCAATGGGGTAATTAGCATACTTCAAGGTGGATATGAAAATCGTCCAGTGTTGGCGAATCATCGTGTTTGACATCCTGGGCGCCAAGGTCTCTATCTCCTTCACTTTTGTCAGTAAAAAGAACTGGCCTTTACGGCCTAGTAAGATATTGTCCATACTCGCGGGCCAATGGTAATGGCCATGGATATGCGTGTGCATTGCTGTAGTCGAAGCCAATGCTCATTTGTTGCGCTCGAATGGATGTAGGTATAAAAATGCCCAGGAGCCCTCTTAGAAGTAAACTCTGTAGTCCATTCAATCTCTTCGTTCATCTCTAGGTTGTCTATTAGTTCAATAGGTGACCTCTTCAGACATGAAGACCCTTACCCTACTCCCTGGCCTTATTATTGCCGCCGCCGCTCTTCCATATAAGAACTTCGACCTTCAGTCCAGCCTCCTCACCGACCCAACAAAGCTAGCTGGTACAACGTTCGACTATGTTATTGCTGGCGGAGGCTTGACTGGGTTGACTGTCGCGGCCCGACTCACTGAAAACCCCAACATCACCGTTCTTGTTATAGAAAGCGGCTTTTACGAATCGAACAAAGGCCCTATCATCGAAAACCTTAACGACTACGGTGGTGCATTTGGTACTTCCGCCGACCACAGTTTCGAAACGGTCACGCTTGCCATTCATAACCGGACTGAGCTCATTCGGTCAGGAAACGGGCTGGGAGGATCAACCTTGGTGAACGGAGGCTCCTGGACCCGCCCACATAAAGCGCAGCTTGACTCTTGGGAAAGCGTATTCGGCATGGAAGGATGGAACTGGGACAGTCTGCTTCCGTACATGAAGAAGATTGAAAACTCTCGTCCCCCAACCTCTGAGCAGATTGCTGCCGGACACCACTTTGATGCCAGCTGCCATGGTATGAATGGCACCGTTCATGTTGGTTCCCGAGACACAGGAGAGAGCTTCTCGCCAATGATCAGAAGTCTCATGAATACTGGAGAGGCTATGGGTGTTCCTGTTCAAAAGGACCTGGGCTGTGGTATTCCTCACGGTATCTCAATGATTCTCAACACTCTGCACGAGGATCAAACTCGGTCGGATGCTGCTCGCGAATGGCTCCTTCCAAACTACAAGCGGACCAACCTGAAAGTCTTGACTGGTCAGATGGTTGGACGTGTGTTGTTCAACAACGACTCATCCATTCCCAAAGCCACTGGCGTTAACTTTGGAACCCACAGGAATGTCAATTTTGATGTCTATGCTCGGCAGGAGGTCCTTTTGGCCGCCGGCTCTACTGTCTCCCCCCAAATCCTTGAGCACTCTGGCATTGGTTTAAAGTCTACCCTCGACAATGTCGGCATCGAACAGCTTGTTGACCTGCCAGTTGGTCTCAACCTTCAAGACCAAACTACCACGACTGTCAGATCAAGTATCAAATCAAGTGGTGAGGGGCAGGGCCAGGCTGCCTATTTTGCGACCTTCAATGAGACTTTTGGTGACGAGGCCCCTCGTGCGCATAATCTTCTGAACACAAAATTGGAAGTTTGGGCCAAGGACGTTGTGGCTCGCGGCGGTTTCCACAATGAGTCAGCGCTCCTCATTCAATATCAGAATTACCGTGACTGGATTGTCAGCACAGATGTCTCCTTTTCCGAGATCTTCCTTGATACGGCTGGTAAATTGAGCTTCGATCTTTGGGACCTCCTCCCGTTCACCCGCGGATATGTGCACATCATGGACAGTGACCCCTATCTGCGTCGCTTTGCATATGACCCCCAGTACTTCCTGAATGAGCTTGACTTGCTCGGTCAAGCCGCAGCCTCAAAGCTGGCTCGTGATCTTTCCAACGCAGGAGAAATGACCCAGTACTTCGACGGCGAGACTATTCCTGGAAACAATCTGGCCTATAACGCTACCCTCGACGACTGGGTGGACTATGTCAAGCAGAACTTCCGTGCCAACTATCATGGCGTCGGTACATGTTCTATGATGACCAAAGAGCTTGGTGGTGTCGTGGATGCAACGGCTCGTGTTTATGACGTTGAAGGTCTTCGTGTAATCGATGGATCAATTCCTCCAACTCAGTTGTCTTCTCATGTTATGACTGTCTTTTATGGAATGGCCGAGAAGATCTCCGAGGCTATCCTTTCTGACTATCATGCCCAGTCTGAGTGAGTTTGCTTGCAACTTGATCTTACTTACTTAAGAGTTGGCGATTATTATCTCGGGCTTGATGAAGCTTCTACTTATAGAAATCTCTCTATGTCGAAATCAGATAGACTGTTGTCCCTTCTTTACTTCTAAAACTAGATACATGTATACAAGCCTTGTGTCCTCTTCATGGGTCCGATCCATATTACACACCCTTTTGTTAAGATTTCAAATTTTATTGATGTGAACGCAGAAGGCTACATAGTATAGTATTTACTCAACAGTGTGATCTGTCCCAGGTGCTAAGGTAGCGACTTTTGACTTGTCCAACTTCGGCGGACCTTCGAACTCCACAAAAACCGCATATTTGCCAATTAGATAGTAAGTCTCTGATAAGTCATGTTAAAATAGCTGACGTATGCTCTCCCGGAGCAGACTTCAGGAAATACTTCTCATTGAAGCGATTGAGGGGCTGTACGTGAAGTCGGGCCATTACAGTCCAAGGAAATGTGCCAAAGTGGTTTGCTGATATGACCATTGCGCCTTTTGGAAACTTGAAAAACACATTGCTATTCGCGCGAAAGTCTCCACTATATGGTAAAAGGCTGCCACTAGAGTATACCGGAAGAGCTTCCAGAGTTTGACTCTGGTCCTTGCTCATGGTTTGCGGCAAACAATTCTTTGGCTCTCAACGTTCTTCAAGTCATATAATTAAATTGATATTAGGGGATTTTATCTTCGCTCCGCACCCCAACGGTTCCGGGCAGGGATGATAGAGACAGGGATGATCCGCAGCCCAACGCATTGGTTTCCAACATACTGCAGATTGACCAAACCTCCGCTCAATCTATCTACAATAAGTGACCAAAAGTTTGCCGTCGATCAGGCTGGTCAGATTAAACAGAGCAAAAAACAATAAATGACCTTTCTCGACCTCGACAGTACAATGGTGTTTTCCTACGTGCTTTGAAAACTTTATCTATTATCTAAAGGCCGTAAGAGGACCAGAGCGGACAAAGAACAACAACGCAATAGTATTTACACCTTGAAGGCTGGGAAAGGTGGTGCAGCGGTTAGAAAACCTCGTCCTGGTCCAGGAAACCAACAGAACATCTCATTATCAACCCAAAACATCCTACACAAACAATATTATACATCCAAACGAACCTTTTTTATCAGATACACAATTCTGAATTCAACATACATTCAAACCATGGCCTTCCTTCTTAATATGAAGCAGAAGGGGGGCGCCAAGGAGCAATCAAAAGTCTGAGTCTCCCAGCGTTCCAAGTCCAGCCTTGCTCGCCTCGTTACTCCTAGGCACGAGCTATATGGCTGGGATCTCTCATACCCCGAGCCTCCAGCATTCGCAGAGGTCGCAGAAGTGAAAGAGTCAGCTTCGTTCCTGACAACTTCCTTCGTATTCAAGATCACCCAAGACTTCCCTAGCACGTCCACTCCCTCAGAACGATATCCCAGATGGGTCGATCTGAAATTCTTTGCGTGGCAATTTTGCACTGCCCTTGCTGAAAACTACGGCGACCGAAAGTGGACAGCCACATTCGAGAAGTCCAGAGAGCGGTGAGAACTGATCCAAATGCAGAATGAGTGCACCATTAAACCTCTTGCATGGTATGGGACTTTCAGGCTAACCTTTGTACAGTAGCCCGACAAGCCCGAGTTTCCCTCGCCCAAGTCCTTCATTTGAGCTGCCAAGCTTCTTAATGATGCCTCGGAACCTCCAAGGGTAGCATTACTAATCCTCCTGTCTTTAGAAGCCTTCCCTCCCAGCTGTCTGTTGTGGAGGTGCCTCTCCCTAAGGTTGTCAAATTCGAAGATGAAGTCATGGGCGAAGGATGGGCGGGTGTCGGGCTGGGAGTAACATAAAGCATTCGGTATGATGAATGGTTGCTCTGGCTCTACCTCATCCAGCCCGCTAACGAGCGGCAGGTTTTCTTTAGCGTTGCTATTGATGTCATTGATGCTCCGCAGTAAGTGCATCACAGACCCTAGATTATGAACTAAACTCTTCCTAGCCTCAGTTTTTACCGCGATCTCACTCATATCTGGCTCTAGTTTCCTTTTTTTTTGTCTTAGGTCCTATTAAAATCTAAGCTCCTTCTATCAATCAGTACTAGTCATTGATCTAGTACTGGGTTACACCAATTGAATTTCCCTCATTGATATCCTGTAGATCTTAAACATTTCACTAGTCATTGACACAAGGTGTAAACTTAAATGATTTGTCATAATGAGTTCGTAGATCCTTATTTCTCCATATTCAATCAGCCTATGATACACGCCAATATAGTAAGGTCCATTTTTAGTCCACATACTACCAATTATTTTGAAGAGCGAGGGATAGCATAGTATGGCTCAGGTGAGACAATGAGAGGAATGATACAGAGAAGTGAACAAGAGCCAGCAAGGCATTCCTGGTTTACATAGATTGCTGAAGATCGAGGTCTTGCACTTTGAATGGTAATTGCATGTTGATTTGTTAACATCGGCCGAGGATTCGTTCAGAGAATGACTCAATTTGCCGCTAAAGGTAAGTTCAAACGGATGCTCACAGGAGTCTACCCACTAGGGCGTCTGACATTTTATATTTACATTGTCAGGCTGAAGAGATCCTGAACAAAAGATTCTGCGAAACACCAAATCCACCGGCTTCCGGGGATATGCCGACCCACTCAGACAGATATTCTAGGTGCATCAGGTCAGCATCATTCAGGTGCACCTGATTAGGAATGGCGTGTAAGGTTAAGGCCCGAATAGTGGACTATGATAGTCACCTCTGTGGCGGCTCTACCATATGGGATCCCATACCAGTCGCCATCTTCGGAAACACACGTCGATCTCCTTGATTAATTTACTCAATTGGGTTTAGAATATTCTGTTCAAAGTATCAAACTGATCTTAATCGGACCGGGTTTGTAAGAACGATGAAGGTTTCCAGATCCTGGTGATTCGAGCAATATATCATGGCTTCTTGTAGAATTTCAACCAAGTATTTCACTATCTTCCAGACTGTATTTGGTAACAATTCTTCCACTTGGCTTTCAACACAACCCCCAGCATCGCAGTTCTTGTCAACAGTCCTCCGGGCATCGAATTCTGACATGATACAAGGCAATTATGGACAGATGCCTTCAACACTATTGCACCTGGCGCGAATGCTGATTTCTACGATCCTATTCATACGGTTGGCTTCCCTGACCCAAGGAAATGTAACTTCATTTCATTCTATAAAGTGGAGGCAAAGCTGATGCATCCTCGTCCGATCCTTGGGTGTTGGGAGTTTTGAGCTTTGTTCGAGCCACTGCCCACGATTCTCCAAAGACCAAAGATTGGGTATTTTTTGGAGCCCCAGGCCGTCCCACGAGGACTTGGCCGTACAATTCAGCCTGTTCCCGCTGGTCCCGTTGTATGGCTAAATATTGAGATCCAAGCCTGCATACAGAACGCTGACAGTCTATAACAGGCCGCAATCCAAGATTTTAAATTGACACAGTTTGGAAAAGCAAGCCTTTTTCCCTTTTGCTGAAGCAGCTGGATTTAGCGTGAGTCCTACTGGAGAAACTATATATGCTCTTCGCTTATTCTGATCTTTTTGGAAAGTATAGAATGGGCCACAATTTCAGGCGCGCAAAGTGGGAAAACCAGCCGCTGACTTCATCCAACCACGAATGTTTTCTGAACCCGGCGAACACCATTTTGACTTTCCAAGGTCACCCCAGAGTTCACTCTGCCCTTGCCAAGAAAATTCTTGTGAAAGAGGATGATGTTTATAATAGAACTTCGGAGGAGGAGATGATACAGGAAGAGCTGCTCAAGCTGGAACAGCCTGATGGTGTTGCGATACTGCGAAGAGTCATTGAGTGGACAGACGAGTAAACTGGGTCGTTAGATTAGAGGCCGAGAAGTGGACAAGGCTAGTTTGCAAGTAATGCAAATATTCAGTTATATTTGGAATGGGTAAAAGAAAATCCGGAGGCAGAAGTTTCATGGAAAGCAAAAAAACGCCTCTTCGGCCAAGTTCCGATGCTGGAATATTTGTTATTTGGAAATGGTGTATTTTCAAACACATGCGAGCAGATGAGACTCGAGGCATGAAACATAAAACATTGGCGCGTGTGGTATAATAGGAATCAATCATCATTATTTACATCAAAAAGCGAATGTCTGTTTGGGTCACCTTTCGGCGATCTCAAATGGCTCTCCGGTACCGGCAAAGATCACCTGCAGGGGCCACTGGAGCCACGGGACCCACCTCTCATCAATGGTGTCTCTGATGGATTCGACAATTGGTGGCGGCCACCCCTTGGTCCACCATCTGGAGCTCGACATGTAGAGCAAGGCACAGTAGTACGCGAATACCAATAAGGCCTCTGGTTTCCTCTCTTCAAGAATGATAAGGTATTCTGGATCGACTCTGATGGGCCAGATGAATGCAAGGACGTGGTCACTTGATTGTTTCAGTTCAGCCACGATGCTGCAGAGCGTTTCAATAGAGGATTGGCAGATTTGAACGATTCTCTCATCAGAAGAGTTCTCCCCGATAGCTGTTGATAGATCACGAACTCGATGGTAGACAACCTCGCTCTCCATCGGTGGAGTCCCGTCTTGTGCGGAATGGTCATCGGTGTCTTTCATGAGAGGAGCTACCGGTCCATTCTCAAGCGCTGAACGAAATTCGTCGTAGGTAAGGATAGATGGAAGTCCTTTGATCAGAATGATCCATTCCGATAGTCGGTAGCCAAGCCATACATGTGCAGGATTATTGGCCTGGTTTGGCCTATTGTCGCTTTCTGTTGGCCGGGCGAATGATGTAATGAACAGGAGACAAGCACAGCCAAAACTGGCGTGACAAGTGGCTTGGTTCAAGGTTGAGATACATTGACGATAGCCTTTCAGTGCACTGTCGTGGTGGCTGTAGGCTGCTCGAAGATAGATGTCTTTCGAATGGCCCAGGCCTATCAACTGGGATTCTTCAATCTTCCCATGTTGATTTGCCATGTGGAAGGCTGATAGACCCAGGATGCAGTGAAGCAGATAGTCGTTTTGCATCGCAAGCTGGACAAACTCAGCACCAAAGAATCTCTGAATCTCGACATTCTCTGATAGAGACCATGCTGTCTTGGTGGTGTAGTTGTGGAGTAGTTCAAGGTCCAAACGGGATGTCGTGGAGAAGTTTGAATCAACAACCGGGGGCGGAGCGAAGGAGCAGGCATGCCGACTTTTGACACATTGTGCGCAAGGGACGGATCCATTTTCGTCACATTTTATTTTGCGCTTCTTGCATTGAATACAGCCGTTGCGGCTCTTCAGATGCTTTCGTCGGGTAGGCGCAGAGGTCATTATGTCTCTTTCAGAGGCATGCTTGTCTCTTCAAGAGCAGTCCTGTTGGACACTTTTTTTCAAGTATCTTGAAGCAGAGAATAGACTGGAGAATGAAATAGATTCCAAGTTGATGCCCTCTTTGCAGGCCCCAAATTTGAGACCTGTAAGAGAAACCTTATTAATCAGCATCCCCGTGGATTGTGGATTCCAAGGCTTCCGTGGGCCGTGGACAGAGCCCCAAATACGCTGGATATTTATTTTGACGTCAAAGCAAAGGGATAGGGCTACATTGAAACTTAGAGGAGATGGAACAGTCAAGATGGAGACGGAATGTTCAAATCCGAGTAAAAGGGGTATTCAGGAGACTTATGTGTAGCAGATCCGAACTGGAGCCTGATATCCAAGGCACCCATCAAAGTCAACCGATCTGTCTAACGCAATAGCTCGCCTAAAATAGCTCAGAATTACGATTTGAGTAAGATCTAACTTTTTCCCTCGTCTCGAGTACTCCGTACTATTACCTCTTTTGGCATATATCTAGAAAACGGAAGTCGGCCTTCAAACCATTGTTTCGTGTCAGCCTGGTGTGCATCTTTTCGCCCCACTGGCATTCATCGGGGATGTCAGCCGCAGGTTTCTTTTTAATTTGCCTTGTTTCCACGACTGTTTCACGGCTCTCATTTTCCCCACTAAGTCCCTAGCTTTATCCTTATTCAAACAACCTCAATATGTTGACCAAGAGACCACGCCGGAGTATGCCCAAGGTCCGCACTGGGTGTTCAACCTGCAGGTTAGCAAGCCACCCAGTTTGTACCAGAACGAACTCTGATAGAAACAGGACACGTCGGATCAAATGCGACGAGCAGCGGCCCGAGTGCCGAAAATGTGTCTCCACTGGGCGGAACTGCCCAGGCTATTTAGTCCCGATCCACCAACCACCGGCGATCACAATATACAATATCCCTTTCAAAGTCCCTGGCAGTCGATCTGATCGAGAATTGCTTCATTTCTATCACTGCAAGGCATCCGAGAGTCTATCTAGATTCTCAGACTCGACACTATGGATTGACTTCATGATGCAGCGCATGCAGCACCAACCGGTGATCCGCAACGCGCTTGTCGCGCTCAGCTCCTTATATAAAGACTTCCTGCAGCCGGGAAGATCTTGTTTAAGTGGGTCCCCACAACATATCGTGATCATCACCAAGGCACACAAACAATTACGCACCCATCTTCTCTCGCGTGACGCCTCGCCCGAGGTGGCGCTCATCTGCAGCCTCATCTTTTACATTCTTGAGTGCCTTGTCGGTAACTCACAACAAGCTATCTGGCATCTAGATCAAGGATTGATTCTCTTGCAACGATGTCAGCGTGAATACCCAGGTGCTGTCTCTGCGCCAGAATTTGGTCACTTAATGGCAGTCTTCTCGCGCCTTGATATCCATGCCAGCATCTTTGATAGTGAACGGGTTCCAGTCTTGAATATTGTCAAATCACTGGGATTCTTACCCACTGTGCCAGACGCTTTTGTTGATTTGTCTGATGCGGAGCAATCACTGACTGTCATGGAAAACCGGCTTATGCATCACATCATCTCTTCGCTTGAGCACAGAGAGAAGGCTGAAGAGGAAATTCCTTCGGATATTATACAGGAGAGGCATCAACTGAAGATACAATTTCAGCGACTAGAGTGTGTGATCGAGAACCTGTTACTTGCAGTACAAGAAGAAGCCCAGAACCTCCAGCGACAACAGCGTGTGCTGCTACTACATATCCAAGCAATGATCTTCCATGCAGCCCTACTGGAAAATCTATGTCTTTATTCGGACAACACAAATTTAACGATAGATGCTAACCGCAGGTTTCATCTTGCTCTCTCCAAAATCAAGACATTATTGTCGTCTTGCCCCGAGTCCCACTCTACCTCTTCGAATCGAGAATTCACATTGTCGACAAACATTATTGCTGTGCTATACTATATATGCATGAAGACCAAGAATCACCGCATCTTGAAAACGGCGCTATCTCTCATCCAGGGTTGTTCGGTCTCGACCCGTGATGGCCTCTGGGATGCTAGCACAGCGGCAAGTGTTGTGCAATCCTTGGTCCCGTGTGACTCTCATGAGGATGACAACTCAGAAATGATCAAACTGGAGGATGTCGGCGCTGGAATTGTGGACACAAGTGGTGGCCTTGAGGAGGCTTTTAGATTGCTTAGGATTATGGAGAGCTCGGGGCCCGAGATCATAAACATCGAAGCAGCCTAGGGCAAAATAGAGATTGGATTAATTGAAACATAAGACCTTAATAAGATCAAATTACGGAAACCACTTTGCGAGATCCGATGCAATGTGCAAATGGATCAGAGGCCATAAGATATAGCCGATACAAAAAGCAACCCCCAAATAGCCAGATTTGAAGATGAAGGCACCGGTCTAACCCCAACCGAGAAAGCAGAATCCCCCTTCCCGACACCACTGCTCTCCGTAAAATTCTCACTCCCACCTAGTATTTTCGCAAACCTCATCTCATCCCTCCCAAAATCAAAAACAGCAACAACATTCTTCAAAAAAGACACACCAAGAATACTCAAAGTAACATCCCCAATAGCAACACTCTCCGAAGAAACAAGACTAGACATACAGACCCCGGCAGCAGGTCGGAAAATCAAATCCGAACCATCATGAAAGAAAGTCTGGTTACCGATTTTCAACCCAAACTCAGGAACTTTGGCAGTACAATCAACAATATACGCCTCATGTTCCGGGCTATATTTAGCAGGTGGATCGAATAGCGCATTGATAGGATCGACAACAGCCGATGGCAGGAAGGTAAGATAATTACCGGAATCGATGAATGACTGGAAAGAAGTCGATTTTGTAGTTAAATTGTTGAGAGAGGGTCCGAATTTGACTTCGTGGATTGTGGTCGTCCAGTATGATCGTACTCGTTTGCCGGATGTATAATTCAACGGGAGTGTCTCTGTGATTTCCACTGGGACTATTGTGAATTCGGGGCTGTGGTTGACAGGTGGGAGACCTCCGAGGGTCAAGTATCCTCCAAATGCTGTTGATTTATTTTGAGGGCTTCTTGCAAGTGCGAGGCTGAAGTATGGCTCGATCAGTCCTTGCTGGTGCATGGTATTGAACAATGGATTGTATAGAAGGCGGTTGAACCAGAATGTTGTATTGTCTGTGTTGTTTGCCGGGTGTGCAGATGTGAGAGATGGATACGCCAGACCCAGGAGTCCACTATTCACTTCGTCGCCCATAGGATTGGAGTGATCTGCGATGGCGATTCTCTGGCCTTTGGTGGAGATGTTTCCTATGGAGACGTCTTCGAGCGCCATGATGCCGCTTGCTAGACCGGCTCCATATTTAACTCCGAAGATTTGATTTGGGATGCGCTTGTATGTGTTGGATTTCTGGTAGGTCTTGTTCGAGTAGAAGCAATTTTCTTGGGGAGTTTCGAGATTGTCTGTTGCATTGATGCAGGTAAAGCCCGATTTCATGACATAGGTGTCGCTGCTGCCGGTGTCGACTAGTAGTTGGAAGGTTTGGTTTCCTATAGTAACGGGGGCATCGAATACTGTTCCGAATTCAGTTGAGATGAGTGGGAGTGTGGTGCTTGACAAGGCATTCACCCGGGTGACTGCCATCTGGAACGCGGACAGACTATGAACCAAGCGCATTGTGAAGAATGATGTAATTTGAATGAAGAATTTGAAAGACAAGCGTCTCCAAAACTTTTATACTGCAAGGTTTCTGGGCAATAGTGGGAAGTATAATGCCAAGCATCGTATATTTTAGCGCAAGGCACCTGTCAGGCGTCTTGATGACTACCCTACCTCTGTTAATAAACGCGTGCTAGATATAGTATACAGCCTTACAGCCTTGCGAAGCTCGTATATTTTAGCCTCGTTAGCGCGGTGGAGACTGGAAGTTGTTCGTGTGATTCGTCCACTACTCTAGAGCCTCTCCTAGTTTCCGACTATACTAAGCCTGCAGTGACTAAGTCAAGATCAATTGATCCAATCACTGAGATATTAGCATCCGTGATTACTTGACATAGAAATAAAAGTAAGTTAAATGTGAATTTGGCATGAAGTCATTCAATGATCAAGATGGCATGATAAGGAATGAGGGTATAGGTTAAAAGAGTGCATGAAATCATATCGGAAACACCACGAAAAGCCCAACCGAAACTAGGCGGAAAGCATCATTGCTTAAAACAAAAACCGCCTAGGCAAAGAACATAGGGAAAAGATAGACGCCATTTTTGATTACCGAGGGTGCACAAAAGACTCTTCGCATGACCGCCCCGCCGCCATTTGACAATCAGTCAATGGAAAAAGGGCGGGATGAATATCAATCAAATAAAGCAATGAAACACCAAGATAATGGGGGCGTGAGGGCTGAGCACCACACATCGTGACAGCATCGTAAGTCATTTCATTCATTTTGGCCATTCGTAATGAGGCATCACATCATTTATGCGAGGCTGGCAGTTCCTGCAGCGGCGGTTCCCCAGCGGAGTTTTCGGAGACCGCCACGGACTGCTTCCTGGCCACACGAAGTCGATGACTGGGGGCCAGAAACGCTGTCTCCCATCATGCCTACCTCGGTTCGGCCAACTTCGCGACCGAGCATGTACCCTGCAGAAAAGCTAATTGCGGAGAATAAAACTACAACGCCCGCACTGATGACCCAAGTCATGATTGTGGGGCTGACAGGCGTTGTCGAATCTGCCATTGTTGCCCGGCGGCTTTTCTTCGCGGCACTGCGGTCTTTGGGTGAACTTGAACGACACTTTGATTTAGCGACAGCTGGGCTTGATGGCATTGTCGGTGGGCGTGTATCTCCCCCTGGATCACCTATCGATGGACTCGTCTGGGGGTATTGAGGGGAAGATCGGACTTCCTCGTCACCGCTCTCTTCACCCATTGCAACCGATTCACCAACAAGACGGAATGCAGAGGGTTGAGCAGTAGATTGGGGAGCAGCCGGTGAGGCTGATGGTTGATTGTCATTCTTTGGTAAGCCTCTTGCGGCAGCGGCACATGATAGAAGGGTTGAAAGACTAGCGCGAAGAGCGGCATCATGATCTGCATGATGAGAGGGTGAGATCATGTTATAAGGGCTGTGCTGATGTTGATTCCTTCGTGATGATCGTGAACTGGGGTATGACTCTCTTCGAATCGTTGTTTGTCGACTGGAGGTAGATACATTGGCTTGATGGCGGGTATCAGGATGACGAGACCACGAGGTGTCTGAGGTGGCTGGAGGGTGCGTGAATACGTTAGGTTGAGGTACAAATGGGGACGGGCTAATTCCCATTCCCAGGGCAGTGGAGGTATCATCTTCATCGTCACTGGAGGCAGCATCAGAGCTGGACGAGGGTGGTTCAGAGCGCATCGGTAAGCCAGTAGGGAAGGTTCGGTGAGGCATCTCTTCATTTGAGCTGCTGAGCACTCGATCGGACTCGCTTTCGCTTTCTTCATATTCTTCTTGGCTGCTGCTGGCTTGACTGGCATCGTGCGATGCATAAGCCACTTGCGCTGTAGTGATAGCAGCGAGATGTTGTAGGCGACGTCGACGATTACGGCGTTGATATGCACCTACCTCGCCCTGCTCGACCCGTAAACCGGTAGTTATTATATCATCACTGGTAGCAGCCGAGGAGAAGGACGATGATGACGGCTGCGACGACACGTCAATCCATGAATCTATATAGTGGCGTAGTGAGTACATTGTGCTGAGTATATAAAAGCAATTTGTGTATATGCATGTCAAAAGTGGATCTGCAGGACAGGAAGGTACCAGGCAGATTATAAAAAGGACTACATACCCTCTGATCTTATGGGTGCACCGGATGGCTGGGGCTGACCACTATCAAGCGGCTGGCCATCGCGCGTCATCCGACTTGCGGCTCTGGGCTCACGCACCTGACCTAAAAGGTCGCAGTGATTTGGTTGCATGGCCAAAGAGTGAAATAGAAAGTAAAGAAAAGGAGGGGAATAAATAGAAGAAGAAGGGAGTCAGGCCACCTGGGAAGGAAGCGGTCAACGTGGGGGATGCGATAATCTTATCAATGTGGAGCTGACGATCTCTCCACTGATGCCCAAAGACTTCAACTTCTGCCTTGAGTAAACCCAGAAATATCCCAAGAGAAGTCCCAAAGCTTTGCAATGGATCAAAGTTGAAAGTGGATGGGAGATGCGGTCATGAAGGAAGTCCAACCTTGGGAATCGAATGATGAGGTGATCAGCAGACCAAACAGGTGATTTGCAGCCCGTGACGGGGTTGGCCGATAAAAGATGCTAGGGGTGTGAAAGGGGAGGGCATATTCTGGAATGCTTGGAACTAGAGCGTCTTTACGAAATACTCGATCCCCAAGAGATCAATGAAAGCAATAATCCAGAGAGTGCGACATCCGTGGATGTGGTGATTTGCGCAAACAAAGAAGATTGCGGGGAAGGCGGTCAACAGGGGCAGTATATTCCAGATAGTCACACCATAAGCTACGGAAAAAAGGAAATAAACATTGAGATGTTGTATCATTTTGAAGATACTTGAGCAAATAGCCTATTATCACATAATTAAACACAAACTTTTTGTTTCCCAGTCAAAGAACCGTTGACACCGTTAGTTGCAAAATTCAAATGCAGTAGACAATTTACGAGCTTAGAAGGTCATCTTGGTGCCCTTGAACTCGGGGATGCTACCCTTGCCCTTGTTGATGGCACCGCCGCGGCCACCACCGAAGCCACCACGACCGCCTCCACGGCCACCACCACCACGGCCGCCGAAGCCACCGCCGCCGCCGCGACCACCGAAGCCGCCACGGCCACCACCGCGACCACCTCCACGGCCACCGCCGAAGCCACCACGGTCACCACCCTGGGGACGGGGAGTGCTGAAGTCGAGACGGATAGCGCGACCCTCGATCTCCTCACCCTGGAGGGCACCGTGGGCGGTCTTGGCCTCATCAATGGAAGCGAACTGGACGTAACCGAAACCCTTGGGGCGGCCGGTCTCCTGCTCGGTAGGCAGACGGATGCCGAGGACGCTGCCCTGGGCACCGAAGACCTCGTGGAGAGCATCCTCAGTAGCGCTGAAAGGAAGGTTGCCAACGAAGAGTGTGTCGCTCTCGGGGCTGGTCTGATCACCGTAAGAACGGGCACGGGCCTGAGCGCGGTCACCGCCCTGCTGGTTGTTCTGACGGCCAGTAGCGTAGTCAAGGTTGATGGTACGGCCGTCGAGGTCGGAACCCTTCTTGGCCTCCATGGCCTTGGCGGCATCGGCAGCGTTGGTGAACTCAACGTAACCGAATCCACGGGAGCGACCGGACTCACGGTCGGTGACAATGCGGCAGCCGGAAAGCTCACCGAACTCGGAGAACTCACGCTGGAGCCACTCCTCGTCGACGTTCCAGGAGAGGTTACCGACGAAGAGGTTGGCGGAGGCACCCTCGGGAGCATCAGCAGTCTTGGACTTCTTCGCAGCAGCCTCGGGCTCGTCATCAGCCTTGCGCTTCTTGGAGACGGTCTCCTTCTCAGACTCAGACTCGGAGTCGGAGCTGTCAGAGTCGGAGCCAGACTCGGAGTCGGAAGACTAGAGATGGGTTAGCATCATGGTTGTAGTGGACGAAGGTGACAGGTACATACCTCGGCCTTCTTAGCGGGCTTCTCCTCGGACTCGGAGTCAGAGGAGTCGGAAGAGTCAGAGGACTCTTCCTTCTTAGTGTCCTTCTTGGCGGGCTTCTCATCCTCAGACTCGGAGTCGGAGGAATCGGAAGAATCGGAAGACTCTGCCTTGGCGGCGGCCTTCTTGGGGGCGGGCTTCTCATCCTCGGACTCGGAGTCAGAGGAGTCGGATGAGTCAGAAGACTCAGCCTTGGCAGCGGCCTTCTTGTCGGCCTTCTTGGGAACGGGCTTCTCATCCTCAGACTCGGACTCGGATTCGCTGGAGCTGGAAGCATCCTTCATATCCTCATCGCTGTCGGACTCGGACTCGGAGGAGCTGGGGGTAGGCTCCTTCTTCTTGTTCTTCTTGGAGGCCTTATCCTCCTTGGCGGCGGTCTTGGCCTTGGTAGCCTTGGTGACGGCAGCATCCTTGACCTTGTTAATGGTCTTGGAGGGCTTCTCAGCCTTGGTGGAAACCTTAGTCTTGGACATTGTGATCTATTGAAGGAGAATATGTTAGCAAATGATCTTCATAACAAGCAAGACTCATGGGAGGGGAGGCTTGGGGCTTGGCTTGGGTTGGGTAGGGTGGCACATACTGTGTAACAAGTGAAAATTTCTTGTAGTATGTGCGGCAAAGCCCACGATCCCTCAGAAAACCCGTGTAAGGATAGAAAACGAGACAACAGCCCTCGGAAAAGAACTGCCAGGAGTGATCTAATCACAACTGGACGTTAACCCACAAGCCCACGATGTTTCAAGCCCACAAGCAACGGACAGCCAATACTGTCTATGATATGTAACCCACGAGGAAGATGTCCCACAGAGCCCACAGAATAGATGTATACAAAGCCCACAGCCCTCAGAGTAACAGTGCCCACAGAAAGTCTGACTTACGAATGAAACCCACGCGACTGCGTTAGTTAGTGTGAAGAGAAAGGTCTTATGAAAGTAAGCAATCTCAAGATTGCTTAAGGGAGAGGGGGAGAGAAAAAAGTAAGGAGGATGGATGAAGAAGAAGAAAAAAAAGAGCAGCTCTGGGGGACCACCAGCTCTGATAAGGACGGCCGAAAAAAAAAATTTTCGAAGGCTGGCAGAACCCGACCGCCTTCTGGAACAACGTTAGCTCGGTGGAGACCTCACGGGTACCTTTTGGACGACTCACAGTCCCTGGTGCCTGTACATGTATGTTGGCTTGACAGGTCGATTCTCTATATCCCTATTTACCGCCTCATTTGAGTCAATGGGTCTCTAGGCTATTCGGATATCGCCATGGCTCCTCATATGCCCGCCTCACATCGTCCCCGCAAGAAGAGAAAGTTCGCGACTTCCCCGGGCTCCAACAATAATCTCATATTGGACAAAGGTGATGGAAAGCAATACCCGGCATTCCCGCTAGTCTCTTTCCTCTGGGGTGCTCGCGCAGGAGTCTCACTATGGCTGGTTCTTCCTCTGATTCTCATGGTCGTTGGCCTGTTCCGCTGGGCTGTGAGCTTATGGGGATACTCTGGTATGGGACCGGTTCCTATCTGCAAGCGATACCCTTACTGACAGATCATCAGGCTTCCAGGTTCCCCCGATGCACGGTGATTTCGAAGCGCAAAGGCATTGGATGGAGATTACCACACATCTACCAATCGCCAAGTGGTATCTTTACGACCTACAGTACTGGGGCCTTGACTACCCACCCTTGACCGCGTATCACAGCTGGCTACTTGGCAAAATGTATGCTTACAACGGTCCGATGCAATTGTGGGATTGCTTTGGGAAATGCTAATACATTTGTCTCTTTAGTGGCTCTGTCGTGGAACCAGCGTGGTTCGCCCTAGATAGCTCTCGAGGCACGGAAGATCCTCATTTGAAGGTTTATATGCGTGCAACCGTCGTCGTATCCGAGTATTTGGTGTTCATTCCTGCCGTCGTCAATTTTTTGCGCCGTTTCACTCGCATGCAGGGTGTCCACGCTTGGTCCGCCTCAATTGTTCTTGCAGCAGTTCTCCTTCAACCGGCCAATATTCTGATCGACCACGGCCACTTCCAGTATAACACCGTCATGCTGGGATTGGTGGTCGCGAGCTTGGACGCTATATTGGCTGGGCGCATGCTATGGGCCTGTATCTTCTTTGTAGGTGCGTTGGGATTCAAGCAAATGGCGCTATACTATGCCCCGGTCATGTTTGCTTACCTGCTTGGTGTCTGCGTTTTCCCTCGAATTCGTATTTTGCGTCTCCTGAACATCTCCCTCATCACATTAGCTGCTTTTGCCTTGCTGCTAGCTCCGCTTCTGGTCGGTGCCTCCAATGAGGAAGCCCGAAAGGTGTTCGCATCTTCCCCCGTGCCACCCTTGTTCCAGGCAATCCCTATCTCTCTTGACAAGAGCTCTGTGCTCTATGGGCTGCTATTCCAGCTGATGCAAATCATCCACCGCGTATTCCCCTTCGCGCGCGGCCTTTTCGAAGACAAAGTTGCCAACGCTTGGTGTGCCATCCACACTTTCTATAAGCTCACTCGCTTTGATACTACCCTGCTTCAACGGGCATCTCTCATTGCTACTTTGGGGTCTATCATTGTCCCCTGCGCTATCATTTTCCGTCATCCTCGAGCTTCGCTTCTGCTTCCTGCTCTTTCTTGTGTCTCATGGGGCTTCTTCTTGTTTTCCTTCCAAGTGCATGAGAAGAGTGTCCTCTTACCTCTGCTTCCAATGACACTGCTGCTCGCCGGTGACGGTGGTTTGAGCAAAGAAAACCGCGCCTGGGTTGGCTGGGCCAATGTACTTGGCTCCTGGACCATGTATCCTCTTCTCAAGCGCGACGAGCTTCATGTTCCCTACTTCGTCATGACCTTTCTTTGGGCCTATCTCCTTGGCCTTCCACCTACTTCTTTCGAGACTTACCGCAGTCGACCAAACGTGGAAAACTCCAGTACTCATCTTGAACCTAATTTTTTCACCACGCTCTTGCATTACGCTTTCTATCTTGCCATGATTGCCTGGCATGTTGTTGAGGCATTTGTTCCCTCACCGCCAGGCAAACCAGACCTATGGGTGGTCTTGAACGCCCTGATTGGAGCCGGTGGGTTCGGAATTGCCTACTTGTGGTGTATGTGGAAGCTATTTACCCAATGCCGCCAAATCGATCGTCAAGCGGCAGAGGAGCATAGCCAAAAGAAAAAGCAATAAATGTTTCTTGGGTGGATGGCGGTGTGCTTTCAGTGATACCCTATTTTCATTATCAAGGACCCAGTTTAGATGGGAGCTTATTTCAATTTAGTATTGCTTAGTATATCAAACCGCTCCGATGAAGGAGATGAGATGTTGTATTGGGAATTAAATGCATATCATCCAAAACGCAAATGCTCGCATCAAGTCAGATATGCCTCCAAGCCGGCATACCCAACGTCAGGATGATATCAAGAGAAAAGAAAGAAACTCCCACCAATGAATGCTATAATACAATGTTGTATGGTACAGATCATACGTCCATCCGCTGTCTAGACCTTGAAGCCGTATCCAGCCATGCACGCCTTGTACTGCTCAATTGTGGATTTGCACTCCTGCTCGGGATTTTCGGACTTGGAGAACAGCATGCAGTCGTCACGGGTGGTCTTCTCGGGCTTGCAGACGCAGCAGGGCTGAATAGCAGGTTAGTCGCAGGTTGTTGGGTTCAAGAATGTCGGTTCATACCTTGGGCTTCTCAGTTTGAGCTGGTTGGGCAGGCGCTTGCTTGGGAGCAGCAGGTTTCTCTGCAAGTCCATGTGTTAGCCATTGTATTGATTCCCCGGCTTACCCATCGCCCGGCGCATTGCGCAGTGCCAGGTTCGGGTTGACAGGAGACATCTTACCACTTGAGCCGAAGAGCCAGGACATTGTGGAAGATATGTGACTGGTTCGGGGATATATCCAGAAAACAAAAGACAGGCAGTGAGAGTGAAGGATGAAATGCGAAACGTGAAGCCCGTATGACTGACACCATCGGACATTATTAATGACGACGCAGTTGGTCTTTTCCGCCCGCCGTAGTTATTTTTTTTTTTTTTTTGTTATCAACGAATTATTGCCCCGGATTCGCCTCCTTTTTCTGCTTCACTGCCTGTCTGGTTTTTTTTAAATCTCATTATTGGGTCTTGGGTCTAGTTCTGGGACTTGGTTCGCCATTGACTACCTGGTTTATTCTTCACCTTTCATTCTTTCAGACTCCCACTTAATTACCCCGCCATGGCCCCTCCTAAGGTCTTCTCCCTCGAGGGCAAAGTCCTCAAGCTCGACAGCGCCGAAGACATCAATGCGTACATTCAGCCCCTTGTTGAGAACACCGACTACACTGAAATTCGTTTTGGAGGAAACACTCTGGGCATTGGCGCTTCCCAGCGCCTCGCTGAGGTCCTGAAGACCCAGAAGAACCTTGAGGCTGCGTACCTTGACGACATCTTCACCGGCCGTCTCCTGTCTGAGATCCCCACTGCTCTGACCTCCCTCCTAAATGCCGTCCTCGAGATTTCGACTGTCCACACTGTCAACCTGAATGACAACGCCTTCGGTCTCAACACCTCCGCCCCACTCGTCGACTTCCTCTCCCGGCACGTGCCCCTCCGCCACCTTATCCTGAACAACAACGGACTCGGTCCCGCCGCCGGAACCCAGGTTGCTGATGCGCTGACAAAGCTGGCCGAGCGCAAGGAGGAAGCTCGCAAGGATGGCAAGGATATTGCGCTTTTGGAGAGCGTTGTCTGTGGACGCAACCGCCTGGAGAACGGCAGTATGGAGGCCTGGGCTCGCGCTTACAAGGCCCACGCCGCTGGTCTGAAGTCAGTCAAGATGACCCAGAACGGTATCCGCCAGGAGGGTATCTCCCACCTCCTGACTCAGGGTCTGTACCACGCTAGCGCCCTGGAGGTTCTTGATCTGCAGGACAACACTTTCACTGTTATGGGCAGCACAGCTCTCGCCAACTCCCTGCCCGGATGGCCCTCACTCCTTGAGCTTGGTGTTGGCGACTGTCTTCTCTCTGCCCGCGGTGGTGTGAAGGTCGCCCAGGCTCTGGCCGCCAACAAGAACCCCAAGCTCCAGACTTTGCGTCTGCAGTACAACGAAATCAAGGCTGAGGCTGTCAAGGGCTTCACTCACGCTGCCAAGTCTGCACTTCCCAGCCTGCGCCGTGTTGAGCTCAATGGCAACATTTTCTCCGAGGATGACCCCAATGTCACTGACCTCCGTGAGCTTTTGGAGGCTCGCCAGGAGGAGCACGGCAACGACGATGACCCCGAGGACACCTGGGGTGTTGACGAGCTTGATGAACTCGAAGAGGAAGATTCTGAAGAAGAGGACGAAGAGGAGGAGGAGGAAGAAGTGGAGGAGCGCAAGGCTGAGAAGGATCTCAAGGATGCTGACCGCGCCGAGGAAGAGAAGGTTGCCCAGAAGTCCGACAAGGATGTCGATGCTCTGGCCGATGTCCTTGGCAAGACCGGTATCTAGACCTCACGAGCTGTTGGACAACTGTCAATTCCCTCAGCACCTGCCTCTCATGGGTGGGCTAGGGCTCACTCGAAACAGCTTCGAGTAATCACCAAGACATGACTGAGACACATCTGCCTGTGGCTCAATTGCTGTCTCGGCATTGGTCATTGTTCTCTTATGACAAAGGCCACCCAAGTCCTGGCTCTATTTCTGAGGATCTGACTTACGATACTTACGCTTTACCCAAAAAGACCCCATTTGTTATACCCCCTACACCCCACGATGACGAACCGCATCTGCACATAATCCTGTTTGCATAGCCATGGACCCTACGATTCTTGAGAAGGATACACAGATAGATGTGAATGAAATCCGGACAAGCAATATCAGAAATTCCTTACTTTCGTAGAAGTAGAGCATCTAAATTGTGCCATCCCAAAACAGAGCAAATGAAGTCTGATAGAAAGTTCCGAAAAGGGAAAGCAAAATCTTGGCGCGACTTCGGCCGCTTCAACTCTCTCCAAGGACTTTTTTTTTCTTTGCTCCTTCAACATCACGTACACCACTGTCGTTGTTCTTGCTGCTCTCATTCAGTTGAGACCTCAATATATACGTCCTCCACGGCTGCAGTCTCAAACTGCTCCTCCGACGACGCGACCGTGAAATATCCTAGGTGAGCACCAATACAACACACCCCTCACCGCATCGCGGTTTTGCGCCAGAGTTCAATGTCACCTTGAGCGCAATAGCTTTCACAGTATGCGCATTTGTTTCAGAACTCTGAAGAATGTCTCAGTTTGGGACGAAGTTTCAGGGAGAAGGTGGACACGTGCAATTTGACAGCGTGCCACCTTCACTCACACGGGCTCATCTGGCGGGGTACATTGATAGCCATGCTTCGTGCGACGTGTACTAATACATGTGTACTATGTGATATGTGATTCCAGAGATCAAATGCGTGACTATGTGAAATGCGCCGGCATCCGGAGCTTTACGAAGAACCTGCGCTGGAAGGATTTGCGATTATTTACTGACAGCTTCAGCTTCTAGGCTCTTTGAACCCTTCAAATCCTTCACTTCCTAATCCATCCCCTCTGGTCGAATTATTACCTACCCCGCACACCATGGCCATGGATGCCAAACAGATTGAGGCCAAGGCCAAGGACCTAGGCAAGGCCGCAACATCGAACGAGCCTTCGGCTGTGATTTTGGGCCTGCTCAAGGATATTCAAACCGGCGTGCGCCCAACAGAAGACCTGCTCCGCAAGACCCGCATTGGTATCCTGGTCAACAAGTTTAAGTCCAGCAAGACCCCCGAGATCGCGCGTCTCTCCAGTGAGATTGTGTCCAAATGGCGAACAGAAGTAAACAAGCAGAAGCAAGGCGGAGGTTCCGCAGCCAACCGTGGCTCCAGCGACTCGCCCCGGCCAGTACAAAATGGCACAGGAGCATCAACTCCAGCCACAGCTACGCCATCAGACAAGGCCTCGAAGCTGTCTGTGCCACCAGATAAACGCACTTGGAAGGCGGATAAAGTGGAGGTCAACCACAGTGGCAGCAAAGTGCGCGACAGCTGCACGGGCTTGATGTACGACGGACTATGCATGGGCTCAACCGAGCCTCCCAAGACCGTCCTGGCTCGGGCTATTGCTGTTGAGGTTGCCGCCTATGAACATCTCGGTCCTGAGACCAAGGAGGCCTACAAGACCAAAATCCGCAGTCTGTTCCAAAACCTGAAGAACAAGTCCAACCCCAAGCTACGTGTGAGCGTTGTTTCTGGGGAGATCACCGCCGATCAATTCGTGCGCATGACCTCTGACGAGCTTAAGTCTGTTGAGCAGCGTGAAGCTGATGCCAAGCTTCGCAAGGAGAACATGGATAAGGCCATGGTTCCCCAGCAAGAACGCAGTATCAGTCAGAGCTTGCAGTGCGGCAAGTGTGGCCAGCGCAAGGTGACATACACTGAGGCTCAGACCCGCAGTGCTGATGAACCGATGACTCTGTTCTGTACGTGCACAAACTGCGGAAAGTCCTGGCGGCAGTGAGTCTGCAAGGTTGAGAGCTCTTCGAAGGGGGTGTGTACTATTTCTCTGGGACTGGTGTTTGTTTTCGTTTCCTTTTTTTCCCTCTTCGGGCTTGCTATACAACCTTGGTCCACAAGCCATTACTTGAGCTTTTTTTTTTTTTTTCGCGGACTTCAGGGGTGGTTTTTCTACTTCTGTTTCTCTTCCGGTGTGAAGCTTAACAGACTCTTCCGGAGACAATGGAGAATCAGATAAGCTACGCTACTATCTACAGAAATGAGATATCCTACAGTTACCAAGGCGCAGAAGTAGATGTATACTTGCAGTTCAACTGTCAACAAACATAAAACAAAACGTCATGGTTATGTAAGTTTGCATCTGAGATCACCTGGCAACCTCATATCAACCTTCCAACTCCAACATCTTCTCCCTTTCGCTGCCTAAAATGAAAGAGCAAGAGAAAGCAGAATGACACTCCGCAAAAATCTCATATCTTCAGTCCAAACCCTCCTCCAAGCCCTAACAAATCCCCCAAAATCAAACCCCCTCGAGACCCTCCTGGCAACATTCACAACCACCCCACCCCCAAAATGCCACGAACACGGCCTCCACCAACTAGCCCCCTTCCTCGGCCGAACGTTTAGCGGCCAGGATGGCTTGGTCACCTACTTCAATCTCTTGTCCACGCATCTAGAAATCCACAATATGAATTTCGAACCTGAGGATGAGTGGCTTGTTGATGAAAGTTGTATGGCTGTTTGTTTGGGGGGCAGCGCTACGTTTTCTTGGAAAGAGACTGGGCAGGCGTGGGATGAGACGTTTTTTTATCGCATTAAGCTTGCTGAAGAGTTGTCCCATGAACAGAGGGAGAAGGGCATGTTGAAGGTTTGTGAGTATTTTGTTTGGGCGGATACTGGGGCTGCCTATCTTGCCAAGTTGGGGAGGTTGGGGGAGTTAATTGGGGACGGAGAAAATGGGAAAGAGGGTATTTACCTTGATCATAAGGAGAAGTCCCGGAAACAAGGGGGAGATAGTTCATCTCAGGATGTACTTGGAGGGGGCTTGAATGTCTATGGGAGCTGTGGATAAGGAGAGAAGAAGACTGACGACGACACAAGCATGTACCATATTAACAAACGTTATCATTGAAGAAAAATATAAGGTTTTCAACTGACGGACTCCACTATCAAGAACGATTCCATCCACCTCCAACAAGAAAACGCTACACTATACTACTTCTCACCAATAACCCCCCAATCAATCCATCCAACATTCCCAAACTCTCCAGTGGGCTCCTGGAACACTCTTTCAGGCTCACTATACCCCTTCCAAGCCTTCCTATCAAGCAAAGTAGTAACACCCCCCTCAATCCGTCCAGTGCGATTGAAGCCAGCCCCAGAAACCGCATACTCAGCCATAAGAGTAACACCCTCCTGGAAACGTGCAACACCAGAAACAACCCAATCAATATACCCACTAGCAGTGATACTGCCGTCCTCAGTACACCGCGCAAAAATAGACCGGTGTTGACTATTCCACGGCCGCCCAAGCGCACATTCACCAATAATATCAGGTGCAATGGATGTATTTGCCGCGCGCACGTCCGAGTCCACAATGTATACACCGTATTTGTTGGTGAATGTTGTGTTGGTCCCTTTCCAGGCTGTAATCCCGCCGCCGCAACCGCGTAGTTGGATCTTGCTGGATTGGATCCAGGCTGTGCCGAAGCCGTAGAGGAAGTCTGTTTGACCGGCTATTATGCTCTTGTAGAAGTATGCGTTGCCGAGTTTGCCGATGTAGACCTGGTCGCGTGAGTCAGTGTTGCCAGTAAATATTGGTATCGGTAATGTCGTTAACGTTAGAGTTGGTGTTTTGAGTTAGATTAGGGTTTGGGTTTAGAGTGAGTTTGGCTTTGAGATGGATGGATCCAATCCACTGCATAGCCATATCCATTGGAACCACCAACCACCCAAACTATAGACCCAGAAAGAGGAAATCAAGTAAAAAGTGAGTAAAACAAGGAAAAGTGTAAAACTCACAGTATCCTGATACGAAAAAAACCCGCAATAATAAAAGCCGCCGTTAGCACGACTCAAACTCAAAGCATGAGCCGGCCCATCCGAATAGTCAGACCATTCATTCACAAAATCAACATTGTAAACCCTGAAATCCACATTTCCAAACGGCGTATCATCAGGCACGGCATAGCCGGTCGTCCCGGAGCCCGTCAGACTCGATTCGAGAGTGGGCGCTACAACGAGTACACTCGAGTAGACATTATCCACGCTTTGACCTGTTGAGTCTTTATTGGCTGCGGACCAGGTTATGCGGACTTGGTTTGCTGTGGCATCTTTTGGGTTGGTTGTTTCGCCTATGAATGTTATTGGGCCGGCGCGGGTGATGTTTAGTTGTTCGTTGTATGTGCCTGCTTTTATTAAGATTGTTGCTGGGTGTGTATTGTTCGGTAGGGTATTTATTGCTGATTGGATTGTTTTGTAGATTTGTTTTTTGGAGGTGGTTGTGTTGGTTTGGGAGACTATTATTGTTCCCTCTGGACAGTTTTTGCCTGTTGTTTGGCACTGGCGGAGGGTGCTCAGTTTGTGGGGTGAAGATCCGAGGGCTGCTGCTGTGGTCTGGGATAGAAACAGGCTAAGGAGTGGGAGGACGTAAGAGACTCGCATTGTGGCGGTTGTCTCTTGCGTATCGCGTAGATGCTGGATGTGATCAAGGGTGGTGGAATTGCTTCTTTTATAGTATACAGTCCTACATCAAGCTTCGAGAGGGGGTATAGATTTCTAGTCAATTGCGACAGAGAAGAGACGGAAAATTCGAGATACATCTTGCGCCAGTGAAGACTTGAGCTTAGATTGGATCGTAGTTCGGAATTAGGAATCCATAGGTTGAAGACATTGGACCATCTCCGCATATTCACGAGAAAGCTAGACTCGTTGAAGCTTCTCTCCCCGCATGGTGGAAAATCATCCGGGGAAAAGCAGTGGGGGAACTAGGAACGGAAAATTGGCTTCCACCTGTTAGCGGCAAGGACATTGAGAAAGCAGATGGGTGAAGACAGGGGTGTGAAGACGGAGGGGAATCCGCATGGAATGCAGGCCAAGCATTATTCCTAAGGAATGCTACATTTGTAGTTGCAGATTACAATGGAGAATAATTGATTAGAATCCCTTAGATTGACTCAGTGCCACTATTAACGACATACATACACGTAGAGAAAGAAAACTTGACTCTATCGACTCGAAAGCAAACCGCAGCCAAGGGGTAAATGAAACACAAAAGTCTATGATACGGTAAAGGAGCAAAAAAGACGGGAAACAGCCTTTTTGATCCCACGGCATGCATGTCCAAGTAGGTGGCACAGCAAAGATTTGCGTGTAGTGGTAATCGCGGGAAAAGAAGATAAGGAAAAATTATGAACTCGGATCAGTAACGAGTTTAGAAAGCTGGCAGGCGAGTAATTTACTCGTCCTCCTCCACATCGTCGGAGCGAGCACCGAGGGTGTAGCGGGAGTTGCCATCCTTGTCCTGCTCGTGCTCGATGGCGAGCTTGGAAAGGTGGGCGATCATGTTCTCGATCTGGGTGTCGGCCTTGGAGCGGGTCTTGCGGCCAAGGTTGTCCAGAGCGGGGACGATGGTCAGGAGGTAGTACACAACGGCGATGATGACAGTCACACCGATAGAGTAGGCCCAGATGACAACGACAGTGACGATGTCGACATCGTTGTTCTTGGAGAAGCCAGGTCCAGCGGGGTCACGGGGAGAGGTCTGCTCCCAGTCGGGCGCGAGCCAGCCGAAGACACAGAACAAGGTGGCGAGGACATCGACAATAAAGATGGCGATGACCAACTGCCACGAGGGCCAGGTCTTACCGCCACGAGTGACGAAGATCAACCAGTTCTCAGTAAGGGCAATCTCGAGGAAGAGAATCTCCTGGGGAGAACCGAAGTTCTGAATGATACCACCGTTCTCGAGGAAGAGGGTACCACGGATGATCCAGGTGGCGGCAGCAAGCATGATTCCAAGAACGACGGAGATAACCCAGATCTTGGGCAACTGCCACTCGACGGGGCGGGCCTCAAAGTGAGCGTTATCGTAAGCGACGGCAATGGTGGCCAAATCGGCGAACAGGGCGATGAAGACAATGAGCGAAGAGTCGACGGTCTCGTTGATGATGATCATGGAAGTAACAAGGTAGATCTCAAGGTGGAGACACAGAGCGATACGGTACTGAATGTAGGCCTTCATACGCTGGAAAATCTGACGAGCAAGCTTGATAGCATCGACGATGGTGGAGAGACCGGGGGCGAGGAAGACGATATCGGCGGCGGCCTGGGCAGCCTCAGTGGAACCCTCGACGGCGATACCACAGTCAGCCTTCTTGAGAGAGGGAGCATCGTTGACACCGTCACCAGTCATGGCAGTCAAGTGACCACGCTGCTGGAGCATCTCGACGACCTGGTACTTGTGCTCGGGGAAGACCTCAGCGAAACCATCAGCCTTCTCAACAAGGTCGTGCTGGGCGGAACCAGCGAGACCACCGTGGATCAGACGCTCAGAGTCGTAAACCTTAGTACCGAGAGCAAGCATCTTGCAAGTCTCCTTGGCGATAGCGATGGCGTCACCAGTCAACATCTTGACAGAGAGACCAAGAACCTGGGCTTCAGCGATAGTGTGGGCGGTATCCTCACGAGGGGGATCGAACATGGGGTACATGCCCAGCAACTGCCAAGGCTCACCCTCCTTCATGACGGCAACACCGAGAGAACGGAAACCACGGCGAGCGAACTCACCAGCCTTGGCACGGTAGAGATCAGCCTCCTCCTTGGAGCACTCAGACATGTTAAGGATAGCCTTGGGGGCACCCTTGGCGCAAATGTAGCGAACACCGTCGCAGGTACAGACAGTGGTAATACGCTTGGAGACGGGGTCGAAAGGAGTGTACTTCTCGGTGATCCAGTTGCGGGACAGGATCTCACGAGCCTTGGGGTAACGACGGAGAGTAAGGACAGTAACCTTGTCAATGGGGTCGAGGTTCTTGATGTTGTGGGAAGAGGCAATAGCAGCGACGGCCATCATCCAGTTGACATCAACACCCTCAGAGACGTAAGGCTCACGGATGGAGAGCTGGTTGGCAGTGAGAGTACCGGTCTTGTCAGAGCAAAGAACGTCGACACCAGCGAGCGACTCAATGGCGGTGAGCTTCTGGACAATAGCCTTCTGCTCGGCCAGGTAGGCGGCACCGACAGCGAGAGTGGTGGTGGTAACGACGGGCAGACCGACGGGGACACCAATAATCAGGAGAATCAAAGTGTAGTGGAGCAAGTTGTTGTCGGAATCTTCAGGGGTAGCGATCTTGAGGTGACGGAAGAAACCACCAATCCAAGCAGCGAGAATCCAGAACATGACGAGAACGAGCAGGGAGGTACCAATGTTGTCCATGACAGCCTTGAAGTGACCGGAGTCCTGGGCACCCTGAACAAGGGCAGCGGTACGACCGACGAAGGAGTGACGAGCAGTAGCGGTGACAATACCGTAGGCCTTGCCACGCTTGCAACCGGTGGTGTAGTAACAGGTGTCGGCCATGTACTTGTCGACAGCGAGAGACTCACCAGTGATGGCGGACTGATCACAAGCAATGAGGGAAACACCCTGGTGAACATCACCCTCATCATCGTCATCATCACCGTGCTTCTCCTTGAGGGTGTCGTCGGTGGCGTTGGCGAGGTACTCCTTGTATGCCTCGAACATCTCGGGCTTGGCGTAGTCACAGATCAGACGGACATCGGCAGGGATAACGGTACCCTCCTCGACAATAACAATGTCACCAGCAACGAGCTCACGAGCGAGGATCTCCTCCTCCTGACCGTTACGGACAACGATAGCACGCATAGCAATATCACCCTTGAGAGAAGCCACGACGTCGGCAGCCTGCTTCTCCTGGTACCAACCGACGAGAGCGTTGAGCAAAAGAATACCACAGATAACACCGAGATCGATCCAGTCACGGAGACCGGCAGCGAGGAGGACAGCAAGTTCCATAACTACAGATATTATTAGCCATTGATGTCGGAAAGACGCGTTGGACGCTGCTCACCATAGAGAATGGGACCACGGAAGTAACCAATGAACTGGATGAAGATGTTGGTCTTCTCAGTAACGAGCTCGTTCCAGCCGGTCTTCTTGCGGCGGGGCTCGATGTCGGAGGAGCTCAGACCGGCGCGCAGGTCAGTCTCAAGCCAGTCATCGGGGGTAACAAAGCCGTCGGAGACACCGTCGGTCTTGCCACCAAACTTCCACCAGGGCTTCTTCTTCTCCTCACCGGAGCTGAGAGCACCAGCGGAAGAAGTAGAACCACGACGGCCATCCTTGGCAGTCGAGATGTACCGGTTCAAGGCAGAGTACTCATCGAGGTTGCCCTCCTCACCGGCTTCACGAGTGTGACGTTCGCCATTTTCGACGTCGACAGCATAGGAGATTCTCCGCTCCGCCATTGTTGCTGTTGCTTCGGCTCACGCCTGTAACAAAATGAGCAATAAAGCACACCAACGGAAGACTGGTATGGCAGAGTCGGAATAAATCCTATAGAAAGGAGGAAAAGAGAAAACGAGAGGGGTGGTTGGAAGGAGGGACAGTTTTATAATGAGATACGGGGGGGCCACAGAGAGGGAACCGGAGTGGGTGGGTGGATAAAGAGGGAAAAAAAAAAGAAATAAAAAAAAGAGAGATGAAAAAGGGAAAATTGAAAAAGACGGAAATTGATTGAAATAGGCAAAGAAGGTATTTGACCTGACTCCCGTAGATACTTGGTTGCTGGGGGAGAAGCGTGTAGCTCTATTTTTTTATATTTTTTCTTTATTTTTTATCTGAGAGTTTTTCAATACCACTAGCCCCTTTCCAGCATACAACTAGCCAATCAACGATCGTCAATTCGCATAGCATGCAGTGGGTCCTCCCACTCTCGGCTTAGTCGGGAACTGAAAATTCACCCATGATACACGGGCAATACACGCAGCACCGGCAGGCCAGTGCCGAGTTGGCCTCCACAGAAAAGTGCCCCAGTTCTTACACTATGCGCGATTTTTGTCTGGGGAGACAGCAATTTCCCTTGCTCACTGTTCGCTACTAGAGATTTGGCGCAGATAACAAAACTGTATGTCTCGTACTATTTCCGGAGAATTGATATCGAAATAGTATAACATAGTAACTAGAATAGGAATGCCCTTGCAGGAGAATGTTCCTTCATCAAGCTACTTGGTCCGTGATATAGACGTCTGCGGCGTATAATACTTGGTACTTGGTACCGTCTTACCCGGATGCGTGTAATGCCACGGCCTTATTGCCACCGCCTCGCCGAAGCTGCCTCCTACGACAGTCGATCTTTGCTCTGTCGGCCTCCCCCTGGCCTCGTGGAGTCAGAGTCATTTAATTCGGTGCCCCTCACTGGCTACAGTCCTCCGCTAACATCTCCTAGTCTCTTCCGGGCGACTTTGCTCGAATCACCGTGTGCAGAGACCCGACCGATGAAATCATCGCACCTCGATCGGCGACTCAATCCCCGACTCGCGACTGCTTCGAGTATCGTATCACACGCACATGATTAGGATCGTTCACCGTGAAGGCGGCTACGATATTTCAAATGGCTGGACTACGCTCTAAGGCGGGCGGAAATCATGATCTGAAATTAGATCTAAATTGCTACTAATTACGAGGTTTCTCTCCGAACCATGCGCCAATACATAACTCTGATCCCGCCTGACACTATGCATGACTGCGTGCGGTCAAGACAGATCCCAGCACAGCGCGATATCCGAGTGCGGGAATACCCAATGAAGCATAGCATATCAGAGATCCGCGAACCCTTCAAGCTTCCGGTGCATACAACTGTCTGCAGTCTGATATGCCATTGGATGGAACGCTGGCGAAAGTACAGTCACAGTCCCATTCATTGGGGATGCACCCCGGCTTTCTGATTTTGCCTTGGCAGGTTATATTCCCCAGGCCAATCTCCTATCTCCATCTCCTGGGGATTGATCGTGCACGGCCACCACTTCACTACGTTCTAGACACGATAAATTGCAGGAATTCCTTTTACCACCAGACAACTGGACAAGAGTCTGGTACCTGTAGCATTGCACATTAATATATATTGCCCGTCTCGCATATATACATTCAACCAGGCGCGTTCCGCGGCAGGCGTCCCGCTACAGTAGGACTAGCACAATTATGGGGCGCCGATAATGATACCTAATAAATATTACTCACCTCCAAAGATACCACTGCTTCCCACGTCACTCTGGAGCCCCTGTCTCATCGCCATAATCTGCGAGAGGAATAGCTTAAGAAACATAAGCCAAACTTGTTCGGGAAACCGACCCCGGCAAGAAAAATGCCCACGCTCCTCCCGCCGCCCCGTGCGAGAAACAAAAAAAAAGCAAGAAAAAAGCAAAAAAAAGCCTCGAATTGAGTTATTCCGGGGGATTCTCGCCGTTTAGCCTTTCTCACAAACCACGTCAGCCAAGCCAATTCGCCTCCAACAGTGCAGTGTAACTAAATGGATCGGATAGTCGGATAATGGCCCTACAGTGTAGCATAGTATTCGTATTCTCTCCTATTGTTCTCGCCCGATGACCCTTCAAAATCTGTAAGCCGAGGTGCATAAGTGGAGAGCTCAGCGACTCCATCGAAAATTCGACCATCGAAGCCTCCAGAAAAATTGGAAATTGGTGTCCAGGTCCTCCCCCACGCACGACCCGTGGATCCAGTCAGGCGATATCCGTAGGGGTCAATGGACAGTGAATGGCGCACATGTACTGGCGATTAAGACGTCAACCGTCAACTCCAAATTGGCAGGGGTTGCTACCGTATTCTCATCATATTAAACCCATGGACGATCCGACATGCAACGACTGGGCACCGGCGTTGCCGTAAACGTAAATTGGGGGGCTGGCACTGGCCCTGTTTCATGATCTCCCAGAGCTACTGCACCACCTGCGTTATATATTATCGCTCATCTAATTAGGATAGATCGAACGAATGTTCCTCCAAGCGCTTGGGCTTGGAAATGTTAATCTCGTGGCGAATATCGGTCGGACCAGTTAGCCGTATTAAATTGTAGTACATCATACTAGACTATAGTCTACACTACACTGTAGACCCTACACGTGAACGAGACCTGAACTCACGCGATCTGACGTCTCGCAGCCCTGGGCGATCACGCCGCTGATGTCGTCGGGGTCTGGGGAAATACCGAAGGAAATCCTTTTCGCACGGGCTTGTCGCCTCTGAACAAAATGCCTCATGGAGACATACCGGGTCCGAATTTACAATAGACGGTGAGAATGGAAAATTCTGGTTGCCACCAAGCTGGGGCCCCGATTAGGCAAGATTACCAGAGCTGCTGTGAGCAGAGTAAACTGGAGGCTAGGTGGACCTCAGTGCGTGTCCGTATTGTTTTAGGGTGATTCTGGGCGTCTTCTAGAAGGCCTGTTCCGTGGTTACATCTTTTTTTTTTTTTTTTTTCTCATGCATACTGCAAAGTAGTCAGTAGTACAGTACTTTGTCGGGAAATCGGCATGCATGAAATGGCTCATTGTACTATGAGAACGATAAGAACAAACCGACTCTACTTTCCGTCTAGTGCTATAACGTCATGACTCTCTCTCTGACCATACCAATACCATTTTTGTTACGAAAAACCGCCCTGAAAAGCTTTCATCTCAGTCTAGCCAATCATAGCCCGCATAATCTCCTGACTCAGCGTCTCATTCCTGAATCTCCCGTGTGCCTTTGGATTTGCCGTGTTGATGCATGCCACCCTACAGGTGATGATGTCGACATCTGCCCAAAACATATCCCGAGAATCTCAATGCAATTGATAGTTACAATCGAGTTATCCCCCATATAGGCTGTTACTATCTTGTACATGTAGCCCACACTGTGTATCGACCCAAGTCTTGGCTTCACCGCGCAGGCGTGTACCTACAGTAGTGGGCAATTAGTGCGATGGGCCCTCTCTGTGCCCAGCAATCAGACGCCCCAATTGCGGAAGAGAGGAGCCCATATCCATCTGAATCAAACCCTCACCGGTGGGCCAGAGGAGCATCGTGAGCTGTCCCCACTGGACGATCGCCCGCCTGCCAAATCGTTGCTTGATTACGGTATCATTGGTACCGGACTGGTGTCCGAGGACTATTTGCCGATCGAGATCGTGAGGCATTTTCTGTCGCTCTGTACATACTGTACAGACTCACATTACTGTACAACTAGGCTTTCACCTCTAGATATCCGCGGAGGTTTTCCTTGCTTCTACGTGGCTAGCAATGCCGTGTCAATTGCAATATTGCTTTCCACAGTGTACTAAGTAGCGACCACCATCTCATACACACAAAATAATATATATCAGTACCAATACAAAAATACTATACACACTATTCCCAACGTGCCGTTCGCCAAGCCCAGCTTTGTTCACCACCCCAGGATTTACGTTATTGCCCATGGAGAAAAAGAACAAAAGCGGGTGAAATAGGCATGCTACGGAGGACAAAGTACGGAGTCTGCCCGGATACACTGTAGCGGCCAAGGGGAAAGGCCTCACCCTCGGCCTATTCAGGAAAGATGCCATGCAGCTCCCGCTGCAGAACAAAAAGGCAAATGGCCTGAAACGGGGCCCCGGTGCCGAGATGAACGTGGTTTAGCTCTGGTTAGGAAAATGCCTCTCCTTCAACTCATTTCGCCCCGTAAATAGTACAATGTAGCCAGAGCTTACATGGCATGTACAGTATACGATAGTCGTCTTATTATATTCCTATTTCCACTGTACTACTCCAGTACAGAGCTATTCAAGCGTTTTTCGGCAAGAGGGGCGCGATGGCCATAGCTTCTGGTATTCAACGCTTTCCTTCCCTAGCATTGTCTACTGTAGACGGTGTAGCTCCAATGCTATAGCGTGTAGCTATACCCAAACGAAAACAATAATCGTCATCGGTGTCCAATGTCTCTTATGTCCGTGCTTTTCGCCTTTCACCGTTCAGGGCCAGGTACGAGTCATTCCGATAATTGAGGATTCCCCAGCTGCCCACACTATTGGACAACCTGTCCGACTCAATCGGCCTCGGTCTTGGCCGTCTTCTGTCTCTGCTTTAATTGTTCACTAAACTCGGCCAGTGTCGGCCGGAATCCCGTCTCAAACCCGTCCTGCTTTTCGGGCTACGCGGCACGCGGGACTCGGCACGTCTGCTACAGTTTCACATCTCGAACCAGAGTTGTGTTCTTTTCATGTAGTTTAACTGTGTACCATACTACGTAGATAATCGCTAAATCGTCGCCACAGTGCGAAGACTTTTTTTCCTCCTTTGTTCCTTTTTTTTACGCGGTTGGCCCTCTTTTGCCGATGGCCGGGTAAATTATCTCGTCGTCTCATTCGTTTATTCGTTTGAGGGCTTCTATCCACATAGTGAATTTTGTTCGCCTTATCAGCCCTATTCAGCTCGGCACAATATGGCACAATACTGATTATGTGTGCTCATAGTTAGCTGACTCGTGCCGGTTACCCTGAGATTTGCTTGAATGTATCTTCCTTGGCTGCATACAACCCCTGTGCCGATCGAACGGTCACTTTGAGAGGATTTTCAGGACACGTCTCCGCGCACAGGTCGCTCTGAAAAGCGAGAACAAGTACTTGGCCAGACCAATTCTAGTCTCGGGCTTTGGCGTAAGATTGCCCTGCTACTTTACTTTCGTTCACGGTCGGTGTTTGGCCTCGGAGATTCCAGGGAGTTACTACATACAGTATTCATGTGGAATTGTGTACTCCGTACTATGGTGCACAAGTAGTGTCACTGTCTACACTATTCTCCACTAACCAATTCACCCTCTATAGTATATCTTCAACAGATTGATCAGCAAAGAAAGCTAGCATACAGTAGCTAAAAAAGGAAAGATAGCTCGCATGTCAAACCATACCCACTGTACTCAGTAGTACAGTATGACTTCACCAGCCGAGCCTCTTCCATGACATAACAACATACTCCCCAAAAAGGCAAAGAATAGCAGCATCAAACCCAAAACAAAGACCAAAAACACGTCGACGCGAAACCTCACCCCAAACAGCCCCCAAACATTACCATAAAAGGCCACATGTTGAGAATTCCCCCTTCGGGCCGTGATCGACAGGAGAAGCAACAAACCCCCCCCCCCCACATCCCATTGCACAGAGACCCTCCCGTATCCGCGAATGTCGCAAGGGGATTTATCTACGCTTGTGTTTGTCTCCATCTTTTGCACATCACTATTTACTGGGGGTGATTGGCGTCTGCAAACCGGTCTGGGAGGGGAGGAGGGGGGAAGGCTCGTGCCTGACATCCCCCGGAGATAGATACAGTATAGTAAGTACGGATGTCTGATCCAGGGGCATCTTTCTCTGTTTGGAATATGGGGAATGGCATGGGCAGTGCGAGACGCGATGTTGTCATTCTACTGTAAGACATTACAGCATGTTGTTTGTTTGGGGTGTGGTTTGACCAGCCCCCCTTTCTGTGACGCAAGAATGGAGTACTAACTGTCTGGGGATGTATGTGCGCGATGCGCGATGCGCTATGCTTCCCTTGGTAGTCTCTACCGCTGACTATACCTATCTACTATGTTCAATTCCCCCTACTTCGCGCTACAGTAGCGATGGAGCTATGTATAGCACTATTTTAGCCGAGGTGATTAAGATGGACATCAAGCATAGGATAGCTTACGGGTACGGTCGTGTAGTTGTCGCTTGACGCGATTGGTAAGTAACCCGACCAGTATCATACGCCATGACCGTCAATAGAGTGCAATGCACACGCGCCGTGGCAGTAGAAATGCTGGTATTACATGTCCTCTTGGCTGGGTCTATTAGTAACAGGGGCACGCTGGTCTTACGGTCCTATTGTCATACCTGATACATGCATTGCTTTCCTTTCTCTAGAGATTCGGATTTTCAATATAGTTGTAAGTAAGACGTCATAGTGTACCCCGTACTCCGTATTCAGATTCAGACTGCGACAATCCCGCTACTGCAAATGTCACTGCCACTATTGATCGGCTAAACTCCGTCCAGTATTTTAGATCACTCTATGAAGAACAGTGCACAGTAACTCCATCAATTCGTCACTCTGGCATCATGAAGTACTGTTTTTATTGTGGGATCATTCTGCCTGGCAGGCTGCGAGAAAATCATCTGTCAATCTGTGCGAGAAGCACGTAGGCTGCATAGCCACCGTTGAATTGCGTCTGGTACTAGCGCCGATTGACCACTATTGCCGGTGCCTGGTACAAATCTGGGGGGGGGGGGGGGGTGCATACAGATTGGAATAGTATTCTGTTCTAGATTTACAGGTACCATGTACCCGGGCCTATTGAGACTTGGGAGATTATACTATACCGCATCCCGGTACGAATGACATGTACATGTCTGCCAAGCAAAGGCAGGGATGAATTCGTGGGGATTTCAGTTCGGAGGACGCGGGTGGTGATCAGCCATGCTGCCTGGCGTGCAGAGAAGAAGGGATCTATAGATAGCATTCGGGACTGTGAATGGACGGGTGATGTATTTCCCCTGCCATAACGGGAGACATGACTGCATGATCGACGATAAACTGACAGAGCCAAGATCCAAGCATCAATACATGTTAGAGGGGGGCGCAATAATGCTCCAGTTGTCAACAGTGTGCATCTGAGTTTCTGGGTTTCCTTGGCTAACCGGATTGGATACACGGCATTGCCCAATTATGAGACATGCTTTGAATTCAAGGGAAGGGGGGCAGGAGCTCGACTTCCCGATGTTACTGTCCATGTTCTCATCGTGGGTCCCGAACTATCAATAATTTGTAGTCAGTCGGGGCTTGATGACATGCAGGCTCCGATGCGTTTTACTCCATTAGGAAGAGCATCAGAATCAAGAATCATGGAATGAATACATCACATGGTCATGGCAAAAAAGGGAGAGACAGGATTCCCCCGAGATCCTAAAATCAGTGCAAAGCAGATCCTCGCGCCTCATCCCCGTCCTCTCCGGGCAATCATTCTTGGCGCTCAGCGTCTCCCAAAAACAAAACAGACACTATTCAAAGACCTCTTGGCAATAGACAAGGTCAGACTACTGTAAGTTATTGTATACACGGGGTAAAACAATGCCAATGCCAATGCCAACTTACTCTAAACCCTTGATCGGCTGATCTACTTCTCTCTCGTACCGGTCCACCAAGTTCCAAGCAACCCCCGCCAAGACGCGCCGTGCATCCCTTCCGCATTATCGTCTTGGCAAGCATGGCGCCTAAACCCAACCCCCTTTTTTACTGTCGGAGTCCGATACGCACAGCTGATAACAGTGTGCATTTTGGTATGGGATTTGATCTCCGTGGGGGTGGAGAGGAGAGGGAAGACTGGCGCAAGGGCTGGTCATTGTAATGTTCGCATCTTGGCGGGGGCAGTGTGCATGCTTCCTCTCATGCACTTGGTACTGTACTCCGTGTAGTTACAGGCGGGATCGGAGTTACATTCGGGATGTGCATGTGCAGATTACTGTCGAATAGAGTGCTTAGTCTATTGAAAGTGTGTTTCTGCCAGGGGTGTAGTCAGACTTGGTGCGTGCTTGCGGTGTCAGTGAGGCATTTGTTTCCTCTGGCCAAGATGGCGGTCTATTGTCGAAGAGTCTTGGGCTTCTTACTGTAGTTGATCGGTAGGTATTGTGCTTCTAGGGGATCTTGGCTTGTAGGACAGCGCCCTGGGCGCTGCAGATTTCGCCCGGCTGACCTCAGCCAGCTTCTTGCTGCTAGTTACACTGTATTTTGTAGGTATGAGGTTTGCTTTGTGATTACCCTATAGCAGGGATGCGGCCATATGGAAAAGTCTGGGTCGATGTGCTTGTTCGAGAGTGCATCGGGAGTTGTACGCTTGTCGGCCAGTTTAAACATGCGCGATGTAAAAGTTGTCACCTTTTCTGGAATAAATGGATATACTCCATATAATTTCAGTGATAATTTTGCTTTATATCAGGGTTTATGTCTACCTGATATCGTGGGTCGATGTCGATATATGTTGTGTTATCAGATATATATCATGGGCACCATAGATAGATGAATATACAGCACCCTCAAGATATATATAATGACCCCCTATTCAGCAGATGCATCTACTCTATAGCCCAGTATGCCTCTGACCTGGATATATATTTAACAAAACGTCTGGCTGAGTTTACTCATCTACCACGCTACGAGCATCGCTGAACCCAGCTTGTTAGACCAATGTCCACTCTCCATCTCCAGTAGTTCAACATCACCAGTAGTTCAACATCACCAGTATTGTAACTATTACCATTGATCTACTAGTCACTAGCAGCTAGCCCGCATTCTCCCGATCTTACAGGAATGCAGCAAGGAGCGCGTGTGATGTCAGAGATAATCGGAATGAAAAAGAGCAAGCTATGCCGAGGACCAATGACGAAATAGTCCCCTTGATTGACCTTGATTAGAGCTGTTGCTCTAAGCAACCTATGTCACGCTGTCTCGGATCAGTCCCTGCATCCTGCAACCACGTGGAGACACGATGGTGCAAGGAACGGGTGAAAACCCCGTTGTATCAAGATGACAGCAATCAGAACGCGATTCTCGATCCTACAGTGCACGGGACCATCAAACCTGGCATATGTTTCTCAATGGCGAACTTGGCGCGCCAGCCTGAGCAGTGGCCTGGCATGAGGACGGCTGGATCGAGCTTCTTTAAGTCGGTTACTGTGCTCTCGATCTGATCTGGTTCACTCATGGCCAGATGGAATCCGCCTACTACGGCGTGGACAGGGGCTTTTCCGCCAGTCAGTTGTACAGCGTGCTTCACTGTGTTTACTACACCTGCGTGACTGCACCCTGTGAAGACGACCAGGCCCTTGTCTAGAGGTGTTGTTAGTATGAATTCCAAGATATGGGATAGATATCCACGCACCCTTCAAGCTACAGATGAGAGACCGCTCATCGGTTATACTTTCATCAGAGAACCAATCATTCTCATCGGGGTCATATCGTACTGCATTTCGCAGACCTGTCTCGTACGGTGTTACTCGAGGGATCTCCCCTGAGATGAGGAAGAAGTTATCCAACACGGTGTGTGGCTCAGCTCTTTTATCAACAGATGACCCTGCGTATTCTAATTCCTTGAAGGTCGGATCTGCCTCAAGGGATATCGTCACTTCCGGCAGAGCAATACCTCTGTATACCGGCCGATCGGGATGCAAGTCCACGATGATCTCGTCGGAGCGGCCCTGAGCTTTTTTGGCCTCGTTGATCATGCGGATAGCTTGAGGGAGACCACCTGATTAATAGTCAGAACAGCGAACATGCAACTAGACGTGCTGTCTATCATGGTCACAAACCGGAGTGATCTCGATGCCAGTGAGATAGTTGGATGACTTCCACCGAGGAGAGATTCGGTCGAAGTCGTTTCACATTTCGTTCCCATGCATCCTCCTCAGGACCAGCATCAAAGAGAATAGCATGTTTCTTATCGCCTTTGGTGGCTGTCTATCAAATGCTTAGCACTGGTCCACATCCACTTCAGTGAGATAACTCACGACAAGAATTGACAGGCCATGAGCTGAGCAGCAGACGTCTTCCAATCTTAATTCCTTCCAGGCGCCTCCGCGGTCACTCAATTTGTGTTGGGACATCATGGCGACAGTTCCCAGGTTTCCAGTGACCTGCACGGTACCTGGCGCCGGGGGCGAGAGCGGATCCAGCTCATTGTCAATGATGACAATTGCATCCAGCGAGTCTACCTCTTCGAGGTTTACAATTGGAAAGTCATCGCTTTCATCACTGTTTAGACCCATGTTAGCGGTCACATGTTTCAGCTTGGTCTCTGTTGCAATATAGCCGCGGCTCGAGCAACATGACATGAGGAAAGTACCTGAAAGGATCATGACGAGCTGGGTTCAAGGGATCCATGGTAAATTTGAAGCCGAAAACTTATGAGAAAAGAAAATGCAAGAGCAAGTGCAAGTAAACTTAGACAGCGAAAATCGATGAGCTTATATGTCTCCACTAATGTGGGGGAATCTCTTCCTAAAGATCTTCCAATCGCAACCTCTGCCTCTTTCTCTCTCATTAATTTCACTAATTTCTCACCATGCGCCCCTCTCACAATGCTTTCGTCTTGCTACTCGTCCTCCTTGTCTCCCCTGTGTGCGTATCCGCGATCGGTGCATCATGCTTCAAAGTCGTCTCCGCGCTCGTCGGCCGACCGACTCACCTCTTCAACAAGTTCCAGAGTGAGATCTGTGATCAAGGATGCAAACCGACAGTTCCCCACTGGGATCTCTGGACCCGAAACAACACATTCGTCCCGGCCGTGCGGAGCCTTATGCAGCGCATGAACGTCCCACACAAAGAAGAGGCGCTACTGAAAATGGGCGACGACGTGGCCGTCACCATCAAGCAGAACTGCGGCCCGATGCTTGGTGGGGGTCGACATATCTGCTCGGACCCAGAGATCCTGGCTGGCTTTGGCAACTGCTTCAAGCGCAATTTCCTCAAGGCTTCCATCAAGCACTTGCCTGTGCTGATCCCAATGGCCTCTGATGCCTCGTGCAAGGAGCAGCTGAAGTTTTTGGAGAGTGATAAGCTTTGGGATGAGACTATTCCCAACAATATGAGAGAATATGCTGCCGTTTGCGACCAGTTGGGGCCATTTGACCATGATGAGCTGTGATGGCGAACTGAAGATGAATATTGGATAATCTATAGATACCTTTATGTATATATAATCCCGGAATAATAGCCTCTGTCACATAAATCATAACAATAAAGCAAAGCAAAGCAAAGCAATAATCACCGAATCTCCAAATGCCTTAACTCCGACTCCGACTTCGCGGCAGTCACCGCGGATGACGACAGGCCGAACTTCGACCTCCGGATCTGACTCTCCTTCTCTCAATACTCCCCGAAGGTCTCTTCCAGACCCTGTTGAATAATCAAAAACCATGCAGTGATCCAGAATCAACCTCCTCTCTTTATGGCGTCCCCGACGCTTCTCCGCACTTTGCGGCCTGCCCTGCGTCCCTCTATTTGGCGCCCCCAACCCCGACGATACGCCCACCCAGGCCAATTCCAACCCTTCGTACCACCCTCCCCAAGCTCTCTAGGCAAACCAACAGCAGCAAAGTCATATACAAGAACCCGGAAATGGCTGCGCCGCATCGTCTACGTCACACTCGCAACGGGCGTGATCTACGGCATTGACAGGCAGTTCTATGCGCTATCGCTGACCCGCACCGCCCGCACCTTCTCCCTCGGTCTTCTTGTCGCCCTCGACTACAAAATCAATTTTCGTCCACACCCCCCGCTGGCTAGTTCTATTGCTGCTGTGCATGCTCGGAACGCTGAGCGGTTATCAGACCTGCTACGGCATAATGGCGGTCTTTACTTGAAGATTGGACAGGCTATCGCTATGCAATCTGCGATTCTACCACCTGAGTTCCAGAAAATGTTTTCGCGCATGTTTGATGATGCGCCTCAGAATGATTGGAAGGATGTTGAGAAGGTCATTCGTGAGGACTTTGGCAAGTCCCCTGAGGAGGTCTTTGGAGTTTCGTTTACCGGCGAAGCTGGGAAAGGTGTTATGGAGCGACGAGCCAGAGCTAGTGCGAGTGTTGCTCAGGTCCACTGGGCTCGTTTGCAGGATGGCCGGGAAGTTGCTATCAAGATTCAGAAGCGAGAGATCGTAGAGCAAGTAGCCTGGGACCTCTGGGCTTTCAAGTGAGTTTTTAATCCTTTAATCACGGTATGAGTGTGTCCTAACTTTGGATTTCTAGGGTTGTGGCATGGGTATACAGCAAAACGTTTGATATTCCTTTCTACACACTGGTTCCATATGTGAGCGAGAGACTCTCACTTGAGACAGACTTTGTCAATGAGGCAGACAACTCGGAGACCATGGCCAAGTTAGTGGCTGGTGAACCTCGTCTGCGCGATCGCGTGTACGTCCCTCGGGTATACCGTGAGCTGAGTTCAAAGCGCGTCATGACCGCTGAATGGGTAGAAGGCGTGCGGCTCTGGGACAAAGAAGCCATCACGCGCCCCTGGCGCGGTGGTTGGCGCGAGGGAAGCCCAGGCTGCCACGGGACACCATTGGACCGGAAGGGTACACCCGCAGACAAGAACCCGCAGGCTGCCAGGGTCAAGCCAGAGCGTGACTTCTGGAGAGGCTACAAGAACCGCGGCGGCCTGGGATTGTCACTGAAAGATGTGATGACCACCATGGTTGACCTGTTCTCCGCCCAAATGTTCCTATGGGGATGGGTTCACTGCGATCCACACCCTGGAAACATCTTCATCCGCCGCAAGCCAAATGGAAAGCCGGAACTCGTCCTGATCGACCACGGCTTGTACATCCACATGGACCCCGGATTCCGTCACCAATATGCCCGATTTTGGAAAGCCCTCTTGACCTTCGATAACAAGACGCTGACCGAGGTTGCCCAGAGCTGGGGCGTGAATAACCCAGACATCTTCGCATCAGCAACGTTAATGCGCCCCTACCGCGGCGGAGACATGTCGACTCAACGCGGTATCTCCGGTCTAAGCAAGTCCGAACGCGCTGAGCGACACTACGAAATGCAACAGGCAATGCGCAAGGCAGTTCGTCAAATCTTAGGCGATGAAACCAAATGGCCACAAGAACTCATCTTCATCGGGCGCAACCTGCGTATCGTCCAAGGAAACAACCAGTTCCTAGGCTCGCCCGTGAACCGTGTCAAAATCACAGGCATCTGGGCTTCGCGTGCACTCATCGAATCGCCGGATCTGCCGCTGGCTGAGAAGATCCGCAACCTTGGACGACACCTCATCTTCCGGATGGTGTTGTTGACGACTGATATTTTCTTCTACTTCACCAAGGTGCGCCAGTTCTTGCATCTTGGTGGTGGTATGGAGGATGATATTGAAGCTCAGATGCAGAATATGGCTAAGGATATGGGTGTTGAGCTTAACCATAGTGTCTTCGAAGGGTAGATTAGACTGTCCTTGACCTTGCTCATATAGACTTGTGAGTTGAGGGGTGGATGGGGGGTGCATGGGACACCCGTCTACCTCTTTCATAGAAAAATCTCCTAACGTCCCATATAATGAAATTCTCCCTATGAATGCACGATAATCCATTGAGTAACTAGATTAACTGCACCGAGTGTTCGAGAATCACAGAGTTGTCGGTTATGAGACACTAAACCTGTTACAATTCATGACCCGTCGTCACTGAACTACTGTTCACACAGCAGATGGTTATTTCCTTGTCCAGTTATACATTGCAAAGAGCTATGTGACGAAACTCATGTATACTCAACTTTATACACCCTCATGCCAAGCTCAGGCCCAGATCATCAGAATGCCCACTGCTTCAGCCAATTCGCCATCATATCAGGCGTAATCGGAGGCAGCGATCTCATAGTTGGACTTGCGGCCTTCGTGCGCTCCATTTCAAGGGGAACAGATAGAGCCCCTTGTCCTTCAACTAGACTCTGATAAAACTCGAGTAGTGTCAAGGCTGGTTTCCCTGCAAGGTCTTCTGTCGTCGGAGACTTAATCTGCCTGAGCTCTTCAATCCATTGCTCCATGTCCACTTCCTCCAATCCACACATATCATGAATTGGGCCTAGAAGGCTTAGGAGCGACGATGATTGCCGATATGTATGAGGAAGAGGGCGTCAAGACATTCCGTGTTCAAACAGATGTCGGCTTTCACAGTCCTATGATGATCCCACTGGGCAAGCCTTTGATAGGCGCCCTCCAGGATGTTTTGCATCCTACAAAGCCTTCCGTGAAGCTATATTCGACCGCTCTTGCAGACCCCCAAAGCCAGGACTTGCGAGATACCGAGTACTGGATGAGGAACATGATAAACCCGGTCAGACTAACAGATGCGGTAGAAAGCGCTGTTGAAGATGGCCACAGAGTATTCTTGAAGGTGGCAAGTCATCCTCTCGTTTCGCATTCGGTAACCGAGACCTTGTTAGATGGCGAGATAGAGGATTTCTTGGTTGCGTCTACTCTGCGAAGGGATCAACCAGCTGAAAAAAGCCTTGTAAACTGCCTTGGTCAGCTTCATTGCAGCGGAGTCGAGATTGACTGGAAGGCGCAAATGCCAGGTCCTTGGGCTCAAGGCCTACCAACGGGACCATGGCTACATCAGCCAACATTGCCTAAGGTTTCATCCAATCTGACAAGCATGGGATCACATGAAACCAACCAGCATAGCCTCGTTGGACACCGTATTGCCGTCGCCGGCACTGCTACTGTGGTCTACACCAGTATTCTCGACAAGGACTCCAAACCTTTCCCTGGAGACCACCCTGTCTCCGGCACTGAGATTGTGCCTGCAGCTTGTCTTTTGAACACTTTTTTGAAAAGTACAAGAGGAAGACAATTGCAAAATATCTATTTGAAAGTGCCCTTGGCCATCGATGTCCAAAGGACAATCCAAGTTGTGGTCCAAGGGAACAAAGTGAGGATCATGTCTCAACTCAGTCACACAGAACATGCAGATGACTGCTCATGGCTTACTCACACGACTGCATCATGGAACGTTACCTCTGCCTTAGATGAGGAGAAAATTGACCTGAGCGAGTCGGGATGTCGATCCAGAAAGCGGCAGCCAGACAGCTTCACCATCGACTATTTGGCCAGTGTCGGAGTGTCAGCTATGGGTTTCCCTTGGAAGGTGCTTGAGCATTATGGTGACTCATCAGAGATGATCGCAAGAGTTGATGTGGCACCTGGTGTTGATGTATTTGACTGGGATCAATCGTCTTGGGCACCATTCTTGGATGCGGCGACTTCTATCGGATCGTGTATCTTCTTTGAGAAAGCTCGCTTGCGAATGCCGTCACAGGTTCAGCAAGTCGATATTTTCACGAATCATAGTCCGCCTAAGCTTGGCTGGGTTCATGTTCGGAGAAACCCCAGCAGTGAATCTTGCTCAGATGTTCGAATCCTTGATGACCAGGGCGATCTGCTCGTCAAATTTACGTGCATGCAATTCTCCGAGATTGAAGGCACCACGGGCACTAATAAAACTGTGCGTGGCTTGGTCCACCGAGTTGCTTGGCCTCCAGCTAGGCCAGCGGAAGAGCCTCTCCGAATTGAACAACTTATTCTGGTGTCAGGTGATCCTTCCCTGATGCAAAAGTATGCTAGCTCTCTTCCTGGCCATGTTAAGTTGCTTCAAGTCTCAGGACCAGATGAGCTCCAGTCCTTCTTAGACAGTACTTTTGCAGAATCAACGGCTATTGCATACATCCCAGCCGAGGTTGCGTCCTTTGCAGAGGTGTTTGAAGCTACTAAGAATCATACCTGTCAACTTCTTCAAATCATGAAGTGTGCTGTTCACGCTTCATCCCCAGTCAAGGTGTTTACTTCGACGACAAATGTCATGCAAGGTCAGTCAGCAGCGGCACTTGCAAATGCTCCATTGGTCGGTCTCAGCAGAGTGATTGCAAGTGAACACCCAGACGACTTTGGTGGTCTCATCGACAGTGAGAACTACGCGGTTCCTCTCACAACAATAAAGTACATTCAGGATGCGGATGTTATCCGAGTTCTTGATGGAGTACCACGAACTGCTAGACTGCGCGCTCTCCCGACAGATCTTCGAACCCAGCCAATATGCCGCTCTCTTCCTCGTCCCCAAGGAACATACCTCGTAACAGGTGGCATGGATGCTCTCGGGCTTGCAACTGCGGAGTTCCTCGCGGAGAATGGAGCTCAACGACTGGTTTTCCTATCCCGTCGCTCGCTCCCACCACGGTCAACCTGGAATAACGTCCAAGTAGACCTACAGCCAATCATCGCCAAGATCCAAGATCTGGAGCAGCGGGGTGTATCCGTTCACGCCTTGGCCCTTGATATCAGTGCACCTACTGCAACACGCGAGCTACTCAATGGATTACAAAGACTTGATCTTCCACCAGTCGTGGGTGTAGTGCACGCAGCTGGTGTTTTGGAAAATGAGTTGATACTGGAGAGCATACAGACTGCTTTCCATCGAGTCTTCGCCCCGAAGGTCAATGGTGCCCTTGTCTTACACGAGGCTTTCCCCCCTGGTACTCTCGACTTCTTTCTGCTATTCTCCTCCTGTGGGCAATTGCTCGGATTTCCGGGTCAAGGATCGTACGGGAGTGCGAACACCTTCCTCGACACATTAGCTACCCATCGTCGACACCTGGGCGAGAATTCGGTCTCTTTCCAATGGACATCCTGGAAGGAAATGGGCATGGGAAGTGACTCCGAGTTCGTTGCTGCTGAGCTAGAGGGCAAGGGAATCACGGATATTACACGCAACGAAGCTTTCCAGGCTTGGAATCATCTCGCACAGTATGACTTGGACCATGGAGTTGTGCTTCGCACCCGCGCATTGGGTTCAAATGAGCCGGTTCCATCTCCTGTTTTGCAGGACATTGTCACTCGTTCATTGGATGTCAACGCGCAAGGCGACGGGTCTTTGAACAGTGAGACCTCCAACACGATTCCTTCTTCGGGGCCTGAGCTGCGGACATATCTAGATGAGCACATTCGATCATGTGTTGCCAGTGTGCTCCAGCTCTCTCCCAGTGATGCAGATTCTAGAGCTGCAATGAGTGATCTTGGGTTGGATTCTGTCATGAGCGTCGCCTTTAGACGGCAACTTCAGCAGACTTTGAAGATTCCTGTTCCCCCAACGCTGGCTTGGAACCATCCTACCGTTAAGCACTTGGTTGAGTGGTTTGTAAAGAAATTAGACACACAGAATGTGTGATAGCTGTCTAGTTCTACGCCAACTACTTGGAGCTTGTTGCATTTAGTACCAAATTAGGCAGCAGCGTTAATGTTGATTTCGAGCTTCATTCAAAACAAGAATTCTTACAATTTCACTTTCCGTTGGCATTCAGAATGCTTTCCACTTTAAGTCGGATCGCATTTGCCAGACTGCCCTCGCAGATATTGAACATTTTGATCAGCCCAGGTGGAGATGGCAATCTACTAAGCTCATTCAACGATATTTCTCACTCTACAACGGCACCAAAAGAGTTCACATTTACTTCCTTGGCTCTGATTTCTAGCCAGCTTTCGATTTTGATCTTAGTAAGATTTTGCTCTGGCCCTGTCTCCTGGTTGACCTGACTGATTCAAATGCTTGACAAGGTTCGTTATATTCTTGGCCATGTAGTAGCAACGCTGTTAATTCTTGAGATTGCGCAAACGGATGGGGCGTTTTCAGATCAAGAAAGGGGAGGCAAACGGCCTCTAAGCTTGCGATCCATCAACAAAGCCATACGTATCATTTATGAGACACAGAGCTTGTCCACATTCTCTCGTGCGCTGGTGATAGGCGTCTTCTATCAGATTACTCATTATTTCATCAAAACTTGCTTGGAATACTCAATCTTCAGACACAAATTGCTGATACCATTTGCGTACGCCACTTCCTCTATTCTCTTGTGCAAGTTTCATTTGATCTGGACCTGTGCTACCATCTCAGCACCCCGACCTCGAATTCTTTCTTTGAAAGGAGATGCAGTCCAAAAAACATGGATACGCTTAGCAGTCCCCAGTTTTACATATGGGATATGTCAAGCGTTGATGAACGAGGCTTATAGTCTTATACAAGAGTTGATCTTTCGCGGGAAGGAAATGCCAATGTCCACGAGCAGACGAGCCGGTGCTGAGGTTTGTGTCGTGGTTTTTATGCTTGCATTCCGCTTATTGGGACTACTGCCAGCGTCTATATCTCTCATATTGAGCGAAGCAAGTCTTCTACCGGGTAATTTAGAGACAATTATTCCTTCTCCGACAAAGCAACGCGGGTCGACAATTGCAGAGCTGCTCGGAGCAAGAAATATACCCCGAGGAGTTGCTGCATTTGGCAGTACATTGAAGGCATTCGGTGTGCCTCAGCTGTTGTGGCTGATTGAACTTCATCTGAAAATGTGTTTTGTCCAAATAGCGGTGAAGTTGCTCACTCTGCCAATTGTCGTTTTCAGCATTCTTTAATCTCAGCCAGAATACAGCATTGCATGCTTCAGACTTCCAATCAAATCAAGCAAATTCCCAAATCACAGGGGAGAATACCTCCTTTCTCGCTGTGGAGTACAGTTGACCCACCTCATCACCTCTCCCCACTCTCTATATCTTACTAGTAGGAAACATGCATCACGCAGATCTAAGTCAATCGAGATACCCACATTCTTTTTAGATACAAGCTTCTTCTGCAAGTTACGAAGCAATACCATTCCGTACGGCAGCTCATTTGCCTCACATATGCACCGTGCAGCATGCATCATGCAGCGCTAAAGTCAGATTGTGGAAGTAGCGCCACTTTCCAGCTAGAGATCGCCCATGATCTTCCTTGATCGATCTGAGCAAGGCGTGGGCATGCCGATAGTGATGCCTGCTAGTCTTTTACTTGAAAATAGCGAAGGATCATTTCGACTCTGTCCTACAAAATCCTCATTTCGTCATGTCTTGCTCGCTAGCTCTAGTTGTACCCGGCAACAACTCCAGATTTCCGGAAAGGCCCTCAGTCAAACGCGACTTGGGTCCCTTTCCTCCCTCTCATCACTCCACATCTTCTACTCAGCCGGGCATATCATCCATGTCACGGATTCTACCAAGTACAACATTTGGCAAGGTAGCTCGTTGGCTATCAAAAGGTCGACTATGTCGATTCCCCGAAGAATAAGCTGGCTTCACTCTCCCACCAGAATATCTCTCCTATCTGTCTGTCGCTAGTTCTCAGACATCCCCCTTAGCAACGGAGATACATAAGGGGATATTGAGCAACGAAGACCACCACTCCATCATCGACTCGGGGTCGTCGAATCCAACGCCTAGAGGGCTTCATCCCGAGATCAGACCCGACGGCACGATTTTGGTTTCCTGGTACGACTCCCAAGACCAAGATAACCCACATTGTTGCCCGTCCTGGATCAAGTTCGTGGTTTATTTTCAGATCAATTTCTATACATTCATCGTGTATATGCCGTCTTCAATCTTCTCGGCAGCTCAGCCGGAGTTCATGGATACATATGAGGTGCCTACATCAGTAGGCTCATTCGGCCTGGCGCTTGTTCTTCTTGGATATGGAGTCGGAGTCTTGCTGTTCAGTCCATTATCTGAGATCCCAGCTATTGGTCGGAATCCTCCATATGTCATTTCCATGGCACTTTTTGTTCTTGTCAGTGGAGTAGCCGTGGCACTTGACAATGTTTCGTGGTTTCTTATTCTGCGCTTCCTTCAGGGCTTCTTCGGGTCTCCATGTTTAGCCACCGGTGCTGCATCCTTGACAGATATCACAGAGCTAGTCAATATACCGTATGGGCTATGGATATGGGGTATCTGTGCAGTGGCGGCACCTGCAATAGCGCCTTGCATAGCGGGATTCAGCATCACGGTCAATGGTTGGAAGTGGTCTATGTGGGAGATTCTCTGGGGCGCGGCGCCCTGTCTTGCTGGTTTGTTCACTATCCTCTCACAAGTGCTTTACAGTATATGCTAATGATATTGTAGCTATTCCTTCCGGAGACCTCGGTCCCCACAATCTTGCACCAACGCGCAGCACGCCTCCGAACCCGGACCGGAAACCAATCCTTCAAAGCCTCATCAGAGATCGACAGCAGCAGATACTCAATCAGAACCCTCGTCCACGGAGCACTGATTACCCCATGGAAAATCAATGCCCTAGACCCAGCTATTCTTTTCACAACTCTATACATAGCCCTAATATACGCCATCTTCTACTCATTCTTCGAGGTATTCCCACTCGTATACCAAGGAATCTATAACATGAGCACGGCAAACATGGGCCTCGTCTTCCTTGCAGCAATCATCGCCGTACTCATCGTCATGCCATTCTACTGCCTCTTCATCCACTACCATATCGCACAGCCCATCCGCAATGGCAATTTCCCACCCCCAGAACGAAGACTCATTCCTGCCTTATTCATCGCCCTGTTCGTTCCAACGGGGATGTATCTCTTTGCATGGACTTCGCGGGCTGATATTCATTGGACGGTGCCTACAGTTGGATTCATGCTTATCATGATGGGTGTGATTACACTTCTGCAGTGTATGTTTGGTTACATGGCTGTTGCATATCCGAGTCATTCGGCGAGTTTGTTTGCTATGAATGACTTTGCCCGGTCGACTCTTGCTTTTGCGGCCATTTTGTGGTCTGGGCCGTTGTATCGCAACCTTGGGGTTGCGAGGGGGACGAGTTTGGTTGGGGTTTTGACTGTGCCGTGTGTTTTTGGGACTTTTGCTTTGTATTGGTTGGGCCCGGAGTTGCGGAAGCGCAAGTCGGTTTGCTGCCTGATGAAGTGTGTAGTAGATGATATACTGACTGACTTTCAATGAATATTTTATGAGCTTGTGATGGTTTTTCATATGCTGATTCCTATGATGAAGACGCAGTATCAAAGGAGAGAAGATCAGACGCTTGCATTACTATCAAAACAAGGAACTATACATAGAAACCTTCAGACACATTATTTGTGTTCTCACATCGTACAAATTCACATCGTACAAAAAAAAAAAACAAAAAAACAAAAAAAAAGGCCAGAAAGAGACCAATCCAAAATAAACACGACGAAGGGGGCATTACAGTAGATGGGTATCATCAAACGCTCAATAATAAAACATTTACCAATGCATCGGCGTCCACTCCTGCCCCGGGTAAGCAGTGGGAGACATGACAATTTCTTCACTACTGTCATCACCAGTAACAGCAAGTTCTACAGGCTGAGGGGGATCATTCACCATCCGAGCTTCGCCTTCGCTGCGATGGGGGTGGATGGATGAGACCGCAGACGCGTTCGAGACGGCAATATTGCGTGGTGCCAAGTGCCCAGGGGTCAAGTTGGTAGAGTCATCTCCAACCGGTTTACGGGATCGCACGCTGAGCTGTGGGTTGAGACCGTGCTGTGGTTGTTCGCACCGAGCTGTCTCGGTAGAAAGCTCGTACCGATCTCCTTCCTCTTCCTCCTCTTCCTGCTCTTCCTTCTCGCTCAATACCCCAAGCGGCGCCTCTTGATTTTCATCGGGGTCTCGTGCTTCATGCTTCGCCTGCTTTTGCTGCTCCAACTTCTGGATCTGGAAATCTTGCAGCTCCTCAAGCGGGGACAGTGGCTTCATAGCTCTGCCCTCATTGATTGACATCGGAGATGGCGAGCGAGACTGGCCTGGCAGAGGCTGACTCAGTGTCCTGGTATGGTGAGAACCAATGGGGGTTTCGTTCATAGTCCCCGACTGGAACTGCGAGTAGAATCGACCTGCGCCAAAGGAGTTGGTTGAAGTACTGGGTGGCAGTGAGATGCTAGCACGCTGGCGATTATTACGAGGTGAAGGCTTTGCCTCACTTGGAGGTGGAGGTGGTGGGATTGTTGAATCAGGAGGCTCAGTAGGTAGAGGCTTCTGAATGGACGGATCTTCGAGTACTGGTGGTTTCTCGTCCGCGGTAGACGAGGTCTTCTCCGTATTGCTGTTTGCCGGTGGGAACGAAGGTAGATCCTTGTCTAACGGCTGTGAGACGGTCCTAATCAGGTCGGATGACTTCCTCCCGGGGCCCTCAGCATCTTGACGGCTGAAAAGGCCCTGCTCAAGTTAGAAAAGCAAGTTAAAAATAGATATACAGACAACATACACTAAGCCTGCTAAGCGCCCGTTTCCGCTGCCCTCCAGGTTGACCTTGGATCCCTTGAACTTGAATCCCAGACAAGAGATCTCCCACTGAGGCGCGTCGTCGCCTCCCGAAGCTTTTCAACTTTCCAATTGCAGACTCTTCATTTTGCACCGGAGAGCTCGATTCCGAAGTCTGCGATAAACCGTTGGCGGGTGTAGAAGGGCGAGTTCCTTTACCGTTACCACTTTGTCTGCCAAAGCTGCCAAAGCTGAGCATGCTGCTCCGAGTCCCTGGCGAGTAACTGACTTCGTTTCTGAGGGGGCTTTGCACTCCTGGGATAGAAGGCGGAAGACCGCTGATGGACTTTCTCTTAGATTCGAGGATCTGAGCAGAACTTGGATTTTCCGAGGAATAGAAAGGCTCAACGGCTTGGTTATCACCCTCAGCAGATGGAACAGGGTTGTCAAACCCACTCTCTTGGGCTCTTTCCAGGGAGATGACCGTATTATGAGCACCACTAACATCTTTACCAGAAGGATCCAGGGGAGATGGAGGTTCTCTATCGAGATCATTCTCCTGAGATGTCCGTTGATGTTGCTCGTCAGGTCCAAGTGTCGAGACCGATGGCTGACGTTGGGATACCGCATCAGGTGCAAGCCTGTTGTCCTTTTGAGGAGGAGATCCTGGAGCCTTGATGCTCTCGTCGTACACTGGACGGATTGTCGGGGCAATGATCTGTGGCACGCTCTGACTAGGTGCATCCCCAAAATCATTCGAGTCCGGAAGAGGGACCATAAAAGGCTCATGGGGGACCATCGGTAAACTCTTCGATGTAGTCGTCTTCGTAGGCTTTTTAGCAGCGGTTTGCTCAATAGGCGCGGGTTTCTGTGGCTGTGATAGTCCCTGTGTAGACTTCCTCTTCTCACCGTTAGTCTGGATCGTTCCCAATGCCGTTGAAGTACTTGGCTCTTGATCAGAGGCTGTAGGCGAAAGACCAAGGGCGGCTATGACTTCCTGCTCGAACTCGCCAGCGTAGTTAGACTTTCGAGATGGATCGTTCTGAGGCAAAACTCCGTTAGAAGATGACTGAGGTTGCACGCCTGCGTCGACGCTGTGCGACAGAGGATAATCCCCCGATTGGGTCACTCGGGCACGTTTCCGAATGTTCTCTTCGGTCTGTGAAGCATCTAGAGCAGAATCGGCCAATGCTGTCGCAGATTCAGCGCCAGGCCTGATTCTTCCAAACTTGAAGATAGGCAGGCTCCCAAACGAGGCAGAATTGCGGCGAGGTTTACCAGTTTCACCCGAGCCTGATGGCACGGAGAACTGAAAGCTGCGGCGAGGAGCAGTCGGTGTTGATTGACCCTACAGCATTACCAACATCAGAACAAAAACATATTGGGGGGTGTTGAATTGTAAGGTCAGATGCATCAATCGTGTCGCATTCTAGAGCTCAATGCAAAGTGCTCGAAATTACATCGTGGTATCCAGGAAAGGAAATAGTGCAGAATTAAAGGGAGACATTAAAGCGACGGGCACTACCGTGCGAACCCCCAATGAATAGCCTCATAAGAAAAAAAAAATCAGGTATCTACCTTGTCAGAACCTCCACTGGGTCGGAATTTGCTTCTGCCTTTGGCAAACAGGCCCTTGGCAGCTCCGCTTGCTTTGCCACTAAACGCCCCCGCAGTGTGGAGGAATTCCTTGCCTCGCTCTCCGACGTTTTGCTTGTTCATAACAGTGCCAAGATGGCCCGATGGGCGCCTGATGTGTGTGGCGCTAGTTGGTGTGCCGTCATTCAAATTCAAGGTCGACCCGAGATTGCCGAGGGAGGTCAGTTTGGGGAATCTGCTTCTGGAAGGCGAAGCGCGCGGAAGATCAGACATACTCTGGCTCTGTTCGACCACGTCGGCATGTTCGGGGTGCTCATGAACCATGAACTGGAGCCAGTGGTTCAAGCCAGAGTCAAGAGTTGAAAATTGGTCCCGGGTGTGCTCGAAAGACTTGATACGCTGGTCCACAGATGTGATACCAAGAATATCGCGGAAGCCGAGAAGCTTAGACTCATCCAGAGAAGAGCCCCCAACATTCAAGGGAGCTTGAGGTTGTGGTGGGGTAGGCTCTGGCCCAATTACTTGCTCGGGGGGTGATATATTTTCAGGCACAGGAGGAATAATTGAAAGCCGAGGCTTTTCGGTACGGGGAGCATCCGAGCCCTCATTGTCAGATGAAAAGTAGTCATGCGGCGCCGTTTCAGATGCCGCAGGCGGCACGTCTTCGGCAAGAAGTTCAGGCTCTTGGGTAGCAAGTGGTGTATCCAGCGGGGGAGAGGCATAGCTGCCGGGCATTTGAGGTTGAGCTTCAGGTTCCTCTGTATCCGACGATTCCCAGGAAAAGCGTCTTCCGAGCTTCTTTCTCGGTTGATCGACAATTGTTGAGGAGGAATTAGCTAGATCGGGACCATCTGCATATGGGTCTCTAGACGCCAAAGGATGTGGCTCGATCCGGTCTGGAAGATCTGGAAGAGTTCCCGACACCAAAGCCTTAGGATTATGCTCCTGGCTTGGTCCGGTTTGGCCACCCCAATATTTCTCAAATTGATGAGGAATAGACTCGGTGGGCGGGTGCGACGGGGGTTGGTTGCTTGGTTCCGGATCCGCAGATGGGGTGGTTTCCCGGCTCAAAGAGCGGATAATTTCTTCTCTCAGGCGATCGTTGTCTCCATCCTCTGGCGAAGTTCCGGCTCCGACAATCGTCGGGATGTCGCCACGATAGCTGTCAGGGCCCGATGCACTGCCGAACTTGAGAGGGGCAGGTAAGTCCTGGCCATCGCTCGTGTATTGCTGCATTGCTGGATCTTGGGAAAAGGCGGGAGAGGTGGTTGATTCTGGGGAAATCTGGAGTTGTTGATGAACAGAAGACAAAGCTGTCTGGCCAGTGGGAGTTTCGTCGACCTGCGGTTTGCGAGATGGACTGTTGTCCCGATCAGGAAGGCTCAGGTCTCGGCGGTGACCTGGTTTGAACACGGGACCATCAGGGGTAGCCTCCTTCTCAGTCTCATGAGGCTCCTCGTGAATCGTTGGTGTTCTGTCTTCGTTGGTGTTACGACCAATCATGATTGGGGAGATCACGGAAGTGCCGTCGCTGTTGGTCCGCTCAACACTGCCAATGGATTGAGGGGTTTCTGGGACATCGAAGGCCTGGTGGACCACTGATTGGAATCCAGATGAAGTTTTATGCTGCAGTGGGGGTTCCTGAAATTGGGACTGGGGCTCGGAGCTTGCGTCCTTGGGCAGGCTGGGTTCTGTGCTGCCTAGGAAATCGGTCCCAAAGCCAGACATACGCTTCACTTCTGGCAAACCCATGGAGGGGCTTGCCGACTGTGTTTGCGACAGCCCAGATCCGTCGAGCTTGCGACTATCATCAGCCAAAGACGAAGATACCTGTGGGCTGGGAGCTTCGCCCTGAGCTGCTTTCTCCTCGCGCATTCGTTTATAAAGATCAGCCGGTCTGACAAAAGGCAGGGTCTTTTGATCTACGCTAGGATTTCTGCCTCGGCTATCAGCTGCAGCAGAATCATCAGCTCCAATGTGACTAGATAGACGTCTCGAGCTCAACTCGGACGAACTACCAGTATTGTGGGAGGCATAAGGAGGCCGAGGTACCGGCGGCGGGGCCTCCTCCTCTTCTTCCTCCTCCTCGTCGGAGCCCCAGTCGCCACCGTCATAGGAGTATTGTCTGGCCTCGACCCATCGTTTCGTTTTGGAGCGATTGACGTTCGGTTGGAATGAGATCGGGGTACCCGCGCCGCTACCGCTGCCTGGGGATAGGGGACTGCGGACATTGTTTGGGGGGGAAGGCCTGAAGTATGTCTCAGCATTTGTACGACTGAAGCTCGAGACTGAACTTACCGTTGGGCTCCAAACCCATGCGATTGAGTAGGGTCGGCCATAAGGAGAGTCGAAGTGTCAAAGAATGGGGGCGAGCTCGATTACCAGCATCGGCTGCTGCCTGGTGGTTTCCACGAGGTCGGCGCAAGCGCACACAAATTCTTTCGGGGGTAAAATAGGGACAGGAACAGCACTATGTTGGAGTCCCTGAGGTCTGTCCGACAACACCAGCGAGAGTATGGGAGGACAAAGGTGGCGATTTGGCCTGCGTTGGGCAAGGCGGCGATCAGCGTTAGGTGGAGGAATGAACTTGAAACAAGATTGTACAGAGATGACGTGTATGCACAAAAAAAAAAAAAAAAAAAGAAAAAAAAAGAACGGGGGTAATTGCGCAACTATAGCGACAATAACAGTAGTAAATAAAAGAGACGCATTCACATGTATGTCCCCTGATTCAAGATCTGTGAAGCTGTGGCGGTGCGGGGCACGTGACGTTGACGTTTCCGATTTGGGTACGTGGACCAACGGGCAAGTTAACATACATTCACTCTTCATCTCATTTGCCTAGGAGTCGATTTGCCCTTTGCTTTTTTGTCTCTCCTTCTTCTCATTTTGGAGCTACCTGCAACTGAACTCGTCTTCGCCTTTCACATTCGCCCCTTATCGATTGCAGATAGATCAGTTCAACTTCACTTCGAGACCGAATCCGGCCTCTCCATTGAAACGCGCATTGATCGGGCTCTGTACTTGGCACCAGCTACTGTTTGAGCTCCATATTTGCCTTCGTTCCAGATCAAGTCTTTAGACGCCTCCTTCCGCCTCGCAAAATGGCCGGTCCGTCGATACAAGATCGCACTAGCGAATTCAGCGCCATCCTGGGCCAGGCCCAGAAGCGCATGGGGACCTCGAAAGTGGGTTCACAGCGCCAGGCATTACTAACAGATGCGCAAAGGCGACAGGCCGATCCTTCGCCCTCTGGCGCACAGGATGCCAAGGCAGCAAGGTCGGAGTTCGCACGGAGAGCCCGTGATATTGGCAGAGGCATCACAGGAACAATGGCAAAGCTTCAGCGACTGGCTGAGCGTGAGTACCGTCGCGATCTTCTGTCTTGGTGCAATACTAATGTTGGGGTTTAGTGGCGAAACGGAAAACACTCTTCGACGACCGTCCAGTCGAGATCTCCGAATTGACTTATGTCATTAAGCAAGACCTGGCTGCATTGAACCAAAGTATTGCTTCGCTTCAGGCGCTTACCCACGCGCAGCACCCCAAGTCCAGCCGTTCGAAGATGGATCAGGAAGGAGAGCACAACGACAACGTAAGTGAGACAACGGACGCGTATAGGCGGTTACTTATAGGTATTTCAGGTCGTCGTCATGCTACAAGGAAAGCTGGCCGATGTAGGAGCCAGCTTTAAGGAGGTGCTCGAGGTCCGCACAAAGAATATCCAAGCATCCCGAACACGAACTGAGAACTTTGTGTCCTCGGTATCCTCCAAGTCACAAACCGCCCTTGATGCGCAGCGCTCGGATTCTCCGCTGTACAACACATCCGGACGACGAACACCTCAACCAGGATATCAGGGCAACTCATCTGATATTTTGACCCTTGAGCCGCAAAACCCCTCCCCTCTAGGACGCCCCTCATTCCAATCTGATCAACAGTTGATGGTCATGGAAGAAGGAGAATCAAGCAACACATACGTCCAAGCACGAGGCGAAGCCATCGAGGCTATTGAGCGAACCATTAGTGAACTGGGAGGTATCTTCGGCCAATTGGCGCAGATGGTCAGCGAACAATCAGAAATGATTCAACGTATTGATGCCAACACCGAAGATGTCGTGGATAATGTTCAAGGCGCCCAGCGTGAACTAATGAAGTATTGGACGCGTGTCTCCGGCAATCGCTGGCTCATTGCTAAGATGTTTGGTATTTTGATGGTATGTCCTCTCGCTAAATTCCCATTTTCCCGATAGTTACTGACTGTCACTCTAGATTTTCTTCCTCCTCTGGGTCCTGATTTCATGATAGACATGAAAACAACCCCCCTTCTTCATATTGTATTATAATACTCGACCCACGTTTTTCACAGATCATGGGCCTTCTGCATGACCGCACTCGCTGAGCATTGTCATTTGTCACTGGCTAGACTCTGGGATGTTTAGACCATCACACTCATTCCTTTTTTTTTTCCCTACTTGGGACTGTGTCCCCGAAGGTTGCACGAGTAAATATACCTCATGTACTAATCAATTCAATCCATCCATGAGATAAATGCCATGAACCATTCTCTGAGCTTTTATCCTTTGTCGTAAACATATGATCTAAAACACTCTACTTTATATTGCCATATTATCAATCGAACTGCGCCATCGCATCCCAAAGCTCCGACTCCGCCCATCCCAACGAAGGCTGATTATTAAACAACTCCCAAACAAGACTATCATCCCACCCCTCAGATCTCGGCGCATGAGGTTGCACCCCCGAGACATGAGCAGACTGAAGATCAACCATAGCCTCAGCAGCAGCGCGACCAAACACATCATCCTGACTGTCAACCCGGTGCCCCTCAGGCATACCAGCTACGTTCTCCGCAACAGCCGGTAGTTCTGAGCGAGCGTGTTCAAGATTCCTTTTGATAAGCGGTGCACATAAATCAAGGAACTTGGCGAAAAGCTTATACAGCTTCCCAATTGACGCATTCGCCTCGGCGAATTGGTGTAGATCGTCGGTTATAGTTTTGATCATTGTAAAGTCTTTCTCGTTTGATGTCGCGATTACGTTGCAGAATAGGACGAAGAATGGTGCTAGGGGGAATAGGAGCATCGTCCTGTAAATCTGCATTAGCTTGGTAGTTTTATGGATTGAGGGTGTAATAACAGGCGTACCAAGTAAGGAAATATGGATAAGAGTCAATAGAATTGAATTGGCTTGAAAATGCCTCCTGTAGCGCTCGCAGGGTGGTGAGGGATTCTCGGGCTGTATATAGACAGTTCTCGCACACTAGGCGGGATTTCAGGACCGAAGAGCGTGCTTGGATTATTGTCGTTAATACTGAGTAGTAATTGAAATCCATTGATAGCCATTCACGGTGCAGATTTCCCCATGATTGTGGGAAATCCTGTTCTTGGATACGGCGATACTTTAACCGGCCATGCACATTAGCCATAACCTTTCAAAATGGTGTTAGTGACTTACCGTTTGCATATTAGAGTGAATTATATGTGCCCGTGATACCAGGTCAGATAATATCTTGGCCTTCTCGCTATCCTCAATCGCCTTGGGATCAAGAAGTATACCTAACAAAGTGTGTTTCAATTCTGCATATTCGACTATCCCTGTGATCATAGCGAATGTCGGTAGATCCGGGTCAATATGGATCAATTCTGTTGCTTTAACTTTGAGATCAGGCAATGATGGCGGCCGGAGAAGCAGTAAACTGAGGGTTTTATCGAAGTAGTAGCACGTGTAGACACAAGCATGAACACTTTCTTCAATTTCGCTTCGAGGATTGGAATCGGTGATGTTATGGTAGTTCAGAGAGACAATAACTCGTGAAGCCAATGACGTGAACATCCAGCAGCGTGACATGTTTCCCAGGTACTGCATCAAACGTGTCTGTCACAGTCAGCGCAATGTTTGTAACCCGGGAGGCAAAGAAGGAAACATACTGCAGACATCAAAGATTGCAGTAAAAGAAGGCTAGGCGCAGCGGCCAGGGGAATTTGATTCAGTAATTCCAACGCAGCTGCCTCATACCTCTTTTTCAGTCTTCGAAAATGAACTTTTAATGGCTCGCTCGCGATCAACGGGGCCAATTTTGATATTATGCCCATAGCCTTGATCCAGACATTGATTCGATAATGTTGGAGTACTTGCTCACATTCACTTCCCTCAATGATAGCAAGCCCCATCCGCTCCAGGATCTTATCGGAGATATGATCTGGCCATGAAACTGTTCCTTGAGAGGTGGTCTGTTTGTCGGGCCCTACGGAAATGTCAGTGCTGCACAGTCGTGTCTGCTTGCCGACTAACCTGGTAGCATCATGTAAAGTAGCTCCGGGGTAAGGATTGGCTCTTCTAGATTTTCTTCTATGGTCATATCATCCATAGCCCCTGTCTCTTCCCAGTGCAGGGTTGGGTTCGATAGCTGGCCAACAAATTTCTGCGCTGACTCGAGTGCTGTTCTTCGATCTTTTGATAGAGCTGGGTTGCATTGGAGCTCGTGCTCGATATATTCTCGAGCTTCGCTGGCGTGGTGTGTTGAACCTGGAGAATGAGTTTCATGGTGGGTTTTTTGCTGTAACACGCTCTGTGACTTGCGGCGTTTGCTTGCTGGTGGCACAAATTGAGTTGTCTCTTGCTGCTCAGATAGTACAGGTCGCTTCTTTTCACCCTTTGCTGGCTCCACAGCTCTGTTGGTGGTAAGCTCGATGCTACTTATAGAATTGACTCGAGGCGATGAAGATGTACTACTAGTAGCATGGTTGCTTGCTGGGAAGTTTGGTACATCTTTAGCGCTTGATTCTTCGAGCTTCGCCAGTCGCTCAGTTAAGGCTTCTATACTGGTTTGTATCAGTACTCCTCTACGGAAAAGCTGAAAGGAGGTTTACATACCGCGAGACTCGCGGTCTATGAACTCGTGCCTGACGTTGACGACGACATTCTGCGCTTGCATCGACACAGTTCATGCAAGGATCTAGGCGATCGCATTTGACCTTGATTTATCACCTGTGAGTTTCTGTAGAATGACATAATGTTCGAGCTTCCAGGTTGTTACCTTTCGAGTATGACATAGATCGCACTAGTCAATTGTTAGACAATCGTCCGGATATAGCTGCCATTATTGCAAGGCCGATGAACTTACTGCAGACATTCTGGAATTTCGACTCGGAAGTTCGGATTATTGAAATGACAAGTAACTACTCGCGCAGACGGTGGCAAGTTGACCCTTATCTTTCGGATGTCGCCTATTCGGAACCCGAAATGCCGGGTGCCGAACGTAAGCGGTTAGCGTATTTTGGACATATATCAGTGTGGATGGCATTTTGAATGCTTATATGCTGCTTCACATATAGCTATAAACGCTGGATCAATCTAAACAGCAAAGGAAAATATAGCGATGAAGAAATTCGTTCGAGCTGATTAACGAAGTAGACCCCATCACTCAGAAGTCGGTTTAGTGAAGCAGCAACAAAGTGACAAACACTTCAATCAGTACCCTTTAACCCCGCGAATTTTATCGCAACGATAATCGATGATTGACATTATTGAAATCATATGTCTTGGAATGTATTGATATGATTTCATCATAGTACCCAACTTATTCATCATAAGCATCATAACAGTAAGTACATTCTAATTTCACAACAGAACCATGCAGAACATGTACTTCCGTTTCTTCAACAGTATGTGGAATAGCCCCTCGCTTACCCATCTCACTTTGTGCTGCATGGAACCAGATGTGATTCAACTTCGGCTCGAGTGGTCGTTCGCCATGATAGCTCTCATGTGCCATGTACTCATTCAAATCACGTCGCATTGACAGTAGGAACTCCTTCTTATGTGACCATGTAGAGTCATGCAGACATTTTTGCTTTCTTTGGTCGTCTTTGGCTATTGACACGAAGAATTGAACGATCCTTTCCATGGTCGATGTAGTCAGAAGTAGACTGACCCAGCTTTCTGACGTCGCATGAGGGATTTCCGGGCTCATCAGACGCTGCATTGTTGAGAATAGAAGTTGCATGCAGTGATGAGTGGACAGTAAGATCTGAGTATCTGTGAAAGGCGCCTTTTGGAGGATTGATTGTTGCCTTTGGACCGATGAAGACAGGCTGCGATGATGATGATAATGATTATCAGAATCTTCAGAGTCATCTGAATGTGAAGCAGAAGATTCAAGGAAGAAGATAGCGTATGCTCTAAAGAAATCGTTAGATTAGCACAAGTATGCCAAGGATCACAGGTGGGTACATACATCGGATGCAAAAGCTTGGCTTGGAGCGAAGCCACAGCTTTAGTGTAGACAACTTCCTTCTCTGTCTTTGAAGACGCCCACAAGGGCCGAGCTAACGGATCAGTCTCTAGATGATGCTCGACCACATGATCCGCTAAATGATAAGACAGTCGGAGACAGGTTTCCCAACAACGATGCAAATCACCAAGATATCCCAGAGAATACCCTGCATTATCGTGATCCATGCCAGAGCTATATTTTGGCGGCGGTGGAGGGAATAGCTCGGAAATGAAGTGAATGTCATCTCCTGGCGACAGGCTACCATACACCCACAGATGATCATGGTAACCCTTTTGCTTGCGAAGTTGGATGTATGCCCAGGCAATAGCAAATTCCAACTTTGCAACCCGATCATGCAGTAAATGATTGGTAAGAGACAATGATCCAATGTCCTTTATGCTGCAGGATGCTGCGATTGCAACAAAGACATCAGATGGAAGTCGTTTCCATATTGATTCCTTAGATCCCACAGATATCGAGTTCCGTTTGCTTCTCCGGAGGACTGTTCGGACTCGATCGAGAAAATGAGGCATGACTAATACCTCCGAGGAATTACCTGAACTACTTCTTGGGATATCTTTAATACCTGAAACAAGAAGATGGCGCACAATGTGGGGGAAAAACCTGTTGGGGTGCTCGTATTCTATGTCCGTGGAGGCGTAGTCATGAGATCAAATAGAGTGCCCAGACAAGAACTTTAAAATATAGTTATGTATCTCGCCAAGTGCAAACCCTGAATAACGAGCAAATTAATCAAAATTTGAAACAAGCGAGATTGGAATGATGTCCTGGTGGGTAACGTTAACTGATGGTGGACACGAATACGACGCCTAGTATTCAAGGCAGAAACGTATTGACTGCGGAAGTTTCCGCGTTACAACGTCGAAGGATCTCGGAGTCTCCAGGGCTGTACAGCTTCCACGGCATTACATTCCATCAAGACTCAGGAGTCCACGTGATTCACCCAACAGATATCTTCAATGCTACATGTCTCTAGCAGTATTGCTCCAAGGGCCCTGCTGCAGTGATGGTGATGGTTGGCCCCGACCCCTTGAACCAGAGCGCAGATTCGCCATCAAGACAACCCACATCGAATTCATGTGTGGTCTGTCACAACCGAAAAGTCAAGTGTGACCGACAGGACCCGTGCTCGAATTGCGCAAAAGCGGATGTAGAATGCATCTATCGGGCACCACCCCCTCCTCGCCGTCGCAAGCGAGAAGAGACAGGCAGCGTGTCTCAGGGACGCGGGAAATCTCTTAGACGCATGGAGCCCGGTAGTGGCTCTGCAACTCCGAACCGAGGGCAGATGGGCCAAGCTTCCACAAATCACACCAAGAAAAGTGGATCTGGGAGGATGATCATGAAAGATGGCAATTCTGTCTATCTCGACACGTGAGTTGGTATATGCATCGGGTATGACTCTTTACTAACCAATTATATGCGTGTAGTAATCTCTGGACGAGTGTTAGCAATGAGGTGAGTGGAATTGGACATCGACTGATATCAGTCCTGACCTTTTTATAGCTTCCAGACGCCGCAGATGTACTGGGTGATGTATCGGATAGCGCCGCCGATGACTCTGCTCAGGATGTTGACGGCGATAGTATATTACTCTTGACCTCTACGACCAGGGAAAACCTTACTGGATTACATCCGAGTCCCTTGCACATTTTCAAGCTGTGGCAGGCATTTCTTGAGAATGTGAACCCTCTCACCAAGATCGTACATGCCCCAACCGTGCAGCAACAGATTCTGGAGGCGATGAGTGACCTTCCCAACATAAATAAAGATCTAGAGGCACTGATGTTCTCCATCTACTGTATCGCATTGGTTTCTTTGCAAGCAGCGGATGTAGAAAAATCATTTGGAGAAAGTAAAAAGGCCCTTCTATTAAAGTGCAGACGAGGAGCTCAACTCGGCTTCAAGAATGCATCGCTCCTTCGCACGTCAAGCTCGATGGTTCTTCAAGCGTTTATGCTTTATCTAGTATGTGATCCCGTTTCTTTTTCAAATTATGCCTAACATCTTGAAAGCTATGCATGCGTTCGTTTTCGGACCCGCATACCATCTGGACTCTATGTGGTATCGCAACGCGGATTGCGCAGCGCATTGGAATCCATCGCGATGGATCTAGTCACGGCATCTCAGTATTTGACACTGAGATACGTCGCCGCATCTGGTTCCAGCTCATGATCATAGACGCTACATCTGCACAGTTCTGTGGCGTGGCCTCAACGCCCCTACCAGGAGCAATCGACGTACAGCCACCAATGAACGCAAACGATAGTGACCTTGATCCACGCATGACAGAGCCAGCATATGAAAAAGAAGGAGCAACAGAAATGATATTCTGCCTAGCTCGCAGTGCATTTGGAAAATGGCTTCATCGCTGGTCAAAAGAAGCCGAAGGAACCAACACTAGTCCGTGGTATTTTCTCACTGCCTCGTCACTGACCCTCAATGAAAAGGACAGAGCAATCGATGAGCTTGAAGCACACATGAAAGATAAATTCTTCCGCCATTGTGATACATCCATCCCTCTCCACATCGCTACTTCCATGATGGCAAGTTCAGCTATACACTACACCCGACTAATGGCCCATCATCCTCGCCAATACCCCGATCCCACTCGGATCCCCCAATCAGAGAAGGACATCATATTCGAGCACGCGCTGAAGATGACAGAGCATGCCGATTACGCTCAAACCTGTTCCGCTGTTCAAAAATATTCCTGGCACATGGTGAACCACATACCCTGGGACGCCATCGTCCTACTGCTCTCGGACATGCGACATCGACGCAACCACGAAGAGAAAAGCAAAGTCTGGCATCTAATAGGCAACGTATATTCTCGCAATCTCCAAGAAAGCAAGGGCATCCAAACACCTCTCCACAGAGCGATCCAAACCTTGATTGTCAAGGCTTGGCGGGCGTACATCGATGAGTGTAACCAACATCATCGCACTCCAACGCCTTGTCCTACAATTGTTGCAACATTGCTAGCCAGCGCAAAGGGTACTGGGACTTATGAGTCACAATCACAACCTCTAGAGGAGATCGGAGTTGTTGAGAATGGGGCGTCACAAGACCAGCCTGAACACGATTTTCCGACGGCACGGTTTGACCCGGCTGACGGTTTCGAATTCTTACTTGGCGACAGCCCGATTGATTGGAATGAGTGGGATACTCTGCTCAATCAGTTCCCAGCTAGTCTGCCTGATGATGCAACATAGTTATCAGGATTTGCATTGTAGATCGGAGTGTCTGGGATTTTGCGGCCTATCGTGGGACATGAATTTGCCTCGATGAGGCTGTCTTCAATCTTTTTCATTCTACGGAGTATCCAATACTTGATCCTACACTCGCAAGTTCGAGTAATAGAACTATATATTCTCTACTCTAATTCAGGTACCGATTTCTACAATAATCCGGTGAAATGCTAAGATTAGAACATCCCGAATCGGTGGCGCCCCGATCGCGTTGGGCGGGGGCTGAGGAGGCTCGGGGTCGGCGACTAAAAGGCCGAGCAACAACATTTTCTTGTTGCTCACAGAACAGCTGATAATATAAGATACTAAATGAGTCTTGGAAATGGTATTTAAAGAGCTCTCAGTTCTCTCTTCATGCTAACTTGAAATCTCCAATTCAATCATCTATTCAGCTTAATCGTCTTCAGATCACGATCTAGAAGACCGTTCCTGAAAAACCTTCAACACACGACCATACCTTCCACACAATCCCCTATCCAACGCAACCATGATCCCCGAAACAGAAGTCCTCATAACAGGCGCCGGCCCAACAGGCCTAGTCCTCGCCCTCTGGCTTCACAAGCAAGGAATAAAAATCCGCATTATCGACCAAGCAGACTCACCAGCAAAGAACTCCCGCGCACTAGTCGTGCACGCCCGCATCATAGAAATGTACCGCCAACTCGACCTAGCGGATGACCTCCTAGCAATAGGGTACAAGCTCCCAGCCACAAATCTCTGGGTGCATAAACAACACAAAGCCCGCATCCCACTTGGCGACTTCGGCGCTGAGCTGACGCCATACCCGTTCATGTTGACAGTTCCGCAAGATGAGCATGAGCGCATGCTTGAGAAAAGACTCAATGATCTTGGCATCTTTGTCGAGAGACGAGTCAAGTTGCTTGGGTTTGTGGATCATGGGTCTAGCATTACTGCGACGCTTCTCGAAGAAGCCGATGGTATCTCTGAGACGTGTGATGCGTCGTTCATTGTTGGATGTGACGGTGCGCATTCTGCTGTTCGACATGCCATCGGTGCGAAGTATGAAGGGGAGACGTACAAGCCGCTTTTTTACATCGCCGACATTGAAAGTCAGGATGAGGCCCTTGCTAATGGGGAAGGGAATTTGATGATTTCGAATGATACGTTCAACTTGATTGTGCCGTATAATAAGGAAGGGCATCTTCGACTTGTTGGGATTACGATACCCGATACCAACGATGACACTCAACGTCTTGGATCAGCTGAGGAAGACCACAAGATTACTTTTGATGATGTCCGGCCTCAGATCGAAGAGGCGATGGATCTCGAAATTGAGAAGGTTAATTGGTTTTCTACTTACCGCAGCCATCACCGTGTTGCTGAGAAGTTCCGCGAGAATAGGGCTTTCCTTGTTGGTGATGCTGCTCATATTCACAGTCCTGTTGGTGGACAGGGTATGAATACTGGTATCATGGATGCGATCAATCTGGCATGGAAGCTGGCAACTGTCTTGAAGACTGATATGGACGATGAAGCTAAGCACCAGCTGCTGGAATCGTACGAGTCTGAACGCCGCACCTTTGCTTTGAAGATTGTTACATCTACCGATGCGGGTTTCACCACATTGACATCGAAGGGGATATTCCCACACATTCTTCGAAACTGGTTGATTCCTTATCTTGTACCACTAGCTGTGAAGTTTGAACATGCCCGGACTCAGATCTTCCGGGGTGGATCACAACTTATTTGCAGCTATCGGGGTAGCACTCTGAGTCAAGAAGGCGCAACTGGGATTGTGCAATCTGGAGATCGTCTTCCTTGGATCAAAATGGGCCAGGAGGATAACTTTTCCACGCTGCGGGATATTGGCTGGCAAATTCATGTATACGGGGAGACCGGGCCTCTTGTTGAAGAATGGACCCAACGGATGAACGTCAAGATGTTTGTTTTCCAATGGGATGAGCAGTATGCTAAGACTGGGCTGACCAAGAATGCTGCTTACTTGCTGCGTCCGGATCATTATCTTGCGGGGATCTTTGAGGGCCCCTCTGTCGAGTCAGGACTAGAGGATTACTTCTCTAACCGGGGACTTGGACGTTAGATGATTTTTTGATATCCGATTTCTCCACTCCTGTATGCAATGTAATTCTATTCCTTGTTCTCTCTGCACGTGTTGGATCTCTTCATCCGTTTAGGCGACGATATGCAGACTTGATTGTTCGACTGCATATCGAAGCATTTAGTGCAAGGCATGCGCCAAGGATCGGACGTGATTGGTGGCTTGGCAGAGATTAAAGTCACAGTCGGCCACTGTGATTGGTGTTCCTGCTAAGCTAAGCTTACATTGATCCACTTTGGCTTATACTTCGGCAGGCACATTTCTCTCTTCGCCAATCTCTGTTCAGTAATTAACAAAAACCGCTGCATATCCCGGCGCAGCAATATATTCCGATCTCTTACACCCCACAGGGCCATGCGGATGTCTCTCCGTTCCTGCCGCTAGGCATCGTCCGGCTTTGAGCCGTTTTATATCAACCCGTGAAAGCTGACCGCCAGAACATGTGGTCAAAATACTCGTTGCTCATTTGCCGGGGAATTGGTAAAAGGGTGTAGTTCCCGAAGGTGGTAAGTTCCTTTTTTCCATGCACGTTTTGTCAAGGCAGGGATATAAAAGCCTTATCCCATCCGGGAATATGATCATCGCAAGCACCTCAGTCAAGTCTCTAGTCCACTTCATTTCTTGGCAAGATGAAGACCAACGCCATTATCTCTCTGCTCGGTCTTTCCGGTAGCGCTCTGAGCGCTGCTGTGTCCAAGGGCTCCCAGGAGCCCTTCGGGTACAAATCCGGCTCAAAGGAGTCCATTGCCAACATGAAGGACAAGATTGAGAACGTTGTCTGGATCCTGCTGGAGAACCGCGGATTTGACAACATCCTGGGTGGTGTGAAGAAGCATGGCCTTGACAACGTTGTCAACAATGGTCCCTTCTGGAACCCCGAGAATGTCAATGACACCAACAGCAAGAAGTGGTACAGCCAGTACAAGGACTATGACTCTGTGCTCCATGACCCTGATCACTCAGTTACCGGTGTCAACTTCGAGATGTATGGTACTTACCACCCCGACAACGAGGCAATTGCCAATGGTTCTTTGACTCCCAACCTCGAGGGCTTTGTCAACCGCCAGATGGCGGCCTACCCCAGTATCTCTGCCCAGCGGGCCACCGATGAGGTGATGGGATACTACTCCGAGGATGAGATTCCTACTCTCGTTGACTTGGTTGATGAGTTCACTACCTTCAACTACTGGCACTCTTGTATGCCGGGTGTAAGTACTCTCCCGTACATCATGATCTCTACAATCTGACACTCAACCAGCCTACCAACCCCAACCGTCTCTGTGCTGTCGCAGGTGTTACTGATGGCCACGGCTCCAACGACGAGAGCTTCGATGTGTCTGGCATTGAGACCAGCAGCATCTTCCAAGTCGCCAGCGAGAAGGGTATCTCGTGGCGCAACTACGATGGCACTAACGGTGACTTCCTGCCGGACTCCATGTTCTTCAACTGGACCGCAAAGAACGCCCCGAGCAACGTTGTGCCCCTCGAGAACTTCTACCAGGATGCGTACCTCGGCATCCTCCCCCAGCTCTCCTACATTAACCCCTCCTGCTGCGGCCTCAACACCAACTCCATGCACCCCTCCGGCAACGTCTCCTTCGGCCAAGTCCTCCTGAAGCAAGTCTACGATGCTGTCCGCACCGGTCCCCAGTGGGACAAGACCCTCCTCCTGATCACTTTCGATGAGACAGGTGGATTCTTCGACCACGTCGCTCCCCCTCTTGCCGTCCGCCCCGACGACAAGACCTACACTGAGACCGCCAAGGACGGCAAGCCCTACACTCTCAACTTTGATCGTCTTGGTGGCCGTATGCCCACTTGGCTCGTCTCCCCCTATGCTCCCCGTGGCCATGTTGAGAACTACGGTACCGATCCCGTTACTGGAAAGTCTTCTTCTTACAGTGCTACCTCTGTCCTGAAGACTCTTGGTTACTTGTGGGACTTGGAGGATATGAGCCCTCGTGTCCAGCACTCGCCTGCCTTTGATCACCTTATTGGTCCTAAGGCTCGTTCTAACTCCCCCAGTGTTCTTAAGAACCCTCATGTTTTCCCTGATGCTATTTAGATGTTGGATTGGGTGACTTTTTGGATTGAACAAGGGAGTGTTTGATGTTATATGGTGAAATACTTTAATTGTCTATGTTTATTGTTGCTACGATTGAAGATGTATGAATTTCTTGTTAGACAATGTCATTATGTGATTTACTGTTCCATCTCCAACTTGCCAGACCAACATTCTCAATATATATATTTCGATTGTATGGCCCACACTGGGCTAAGTTCAACGGCTAGCCAAAATATATATTACCTGGTCTGGCAAAGTTAAAGTTTGAATGGAGGATGCAAAGAGTATAAGACTCCGGACGATGTTATCTCCGTCGGATCCGAAACCCGGATCCGTATACTTCGGGGTAAGGCCTCCCAGTTCATCTCAGCTTACGAGAATGCCAAGCACATACGACAAAGCTGTGGGGTCGAAGCAAAGAGCCAAGAAGACACTTATTCGAGCATATAAAGAGCAGAAGCCCACCATATTCATGATGGACAGACATCGACCAAGACACAGAAACAAAGCAGCCATCAACAAAACTCTTACAGTCATTCATCCGATAAAATGACCTCAACCCACGTCGCTATCATAGGAGCCGGCCTCTCAGGCCTCGCCTTAGCCCTATCTTTGCACAAACAAAATATCCCAAGCAAAATCTACGAATCAAGATCCGCATCCCTAGATATCGGCGGCGCCTTAATGCTCTCACCAAACGCCCTTCGAATCCTCGACAACATAGGAATCTACAAAAACATAAGAAACCGCGGCTACGATTTCAAGAATCTTTATTTCCGCACCTCAGTCCCACTAGACTCCTACGAATTCGGAAGCGAAGAAAAATACGGCTATGACGCCCTCCGAATCTACCGCCACGAACTAATCGATGCCCTACTCGCTGCAACAAAAGAAGCCGGCATAGAAATCAACTACGGCAAGAAATTCATCCAAATTCTCACCGAGACAGAAAACGACGTCACCTGGAAATTCGAAGACGGATCCACCGCCACGGCGGCATGTCTCGTTGGTGCTGATGGTATCCATTCCCGGGTCCGGAAATATCTCTATCCAGAGCTTGAACCGATGTTCACTAATGCCGTCGGTGTGAACGCCGCCGTACCAACATCCCAGTTGAATCTCCCGCCGGGATTCGATCTCCCGGTTACAATTATGAACCCGAAGCACGGGGCTTTTGTAATCGCACTACAACTCGCCGATGGATCAGAAGCCTTCATCGGAAAACCGAAACGGGCACCGCAACTCGATCGTGAGGGGTGGAATGCCTTGCTTAATGATAAGCAATGGTGCATCGATTTTCTCCGACAGGGCGCAGAGGATTTCCCACAAGTCGTTCAAGATGCCGTCTCGAATATCCCGCTTGATAAGATTAATCTGTGGCCATTCTATGTTGTCCCGAAATTGGAGAGCTGGACTTCAAAGTACTCTCGTGTTGTGATTCTTGGTGATGCTGCGCATGCTATTCCGCCTACGGCGGGTCAGGGGATTAATCAGGCTTTTGAGGATGTTTATACTTTTGCTGTTATACTTGCACGGTGTCAGTCTCATGAGTTGGAGCGTGGGTTGAAGATTTGGCAGGGTGGGAGGCAGGAGCGTGTTGATCGGATTTTGGAGCTTAATGCTCAGATTGATGCAAGGAGGATGCCTAGGATTCCTGGGGCTGGACCGGCGGAGATTGAGAGTGCGCCGTTTGATTTAGAGTGGCTTTATAGTCCTGATTTTGATGTGATGGCGGAGAAATGGCTTGAAGAGGCTGCTGGGGTTTGAATGATATTTGATCTTTTTTTGGTTGGGAGGGGTCGTATTGGGTTGGATGTCGTAAGTAGAGCTGCACATTTATGTTCCAGATCCTCTAATTTCGCTTCTTCTGGAAATTGAATATATATATTGTGAATTTCCGGTAACAAGCTTGGAATAGCGAACTTCAATCGTAGTTAAACGCAACTAGTATAGCATTAATACACAGTAGAGACAAGAAAGGCTATTCTGCAAACAGATATCAGCTTCACACTTTATACACGAGCAGAAGTGTACATCTCGTCCAATATGATTTGATGTGGGTCTCACGCCTGAGGCATACATACTAGTCCTAATCAGGTGTCGATCTGGAGATTCTCGAATTCAAAGCCCGCAGAACACCGACCGTCTTACCAACCACACCCCGAAACAAACACGATGCCCTCCCCAATGCGTATGGCAGGGCTCCTCAGCCGGGCCACCCGAAATATGACCATTGAAGCCGCCCCCGCCTCCTCAACACGCATCGTCCCTTTCCTCCGAAACAACGCATCCCAATGCCGCGCCTACACCCAGCAGCGACCACGCTGCCAGCAAAGCATGCGCAGCATGATCCCCGCCCAGAACGACTTCTCCACATCGGCTTTCCGAGCTAAGGGCCCAACAATGGGCCAGATGCGCCAACGTCACACCACCGGTCCGTTCTCGTGGAAGGCTGCGCTACTCTTCGTCCTTACTGGTGCTGGTATGATGGTCTACTTCCGGGTTGAGAAGGCTCGTCTGGAGCGGAAGCGCATGGCGGAGATGAGTAAGGGTGTTGGGCGGCCGAAGGTTGGTGGTCCGTTTGTGTTGAAGGATCTTGATGGGAAGGAGTTTACGGAGGAGGATTTGAAGGGCAAATACAGCTTTGTGAGTTTCACCTGAGTGATGGACGTGGATTTGTTTGCTTACACTGCATTGCTGTCAGGTCTACTTCGGCTTCACTCACTGCCCCGATATTTGCCCCGATGAGCTGGACAAGATGGCCGAGATCATCGAGAAGGTTAAGGCTTCCACCAAGGACGAGAAGCTCTTCATGCCTGTCTTCATTACCTGTGATCCTGTCCGCGACACACCCGAGGTGCTGCGCGAGTACCTTAAGGAGTTCCATCCCGGCATCGTCGGTTTGACCGGTACCTACGAGCAGGTCAAGAACGTATGCAAGCAGTACCGTGTGTACTTCAGCACACCCAAGGATGTCAAGCCTGGCGAGGATTACTTGGTTGACCACAGTATCTACTTTTACCTGATGGGTAAGTCAATGGGATGCTTTTGGGAAAGATTCGACATGCTGACAAATACACAGACCCCGACAATGACTTCGTCGAGTGTATCGGTCGCCAGGATACCCCCGAGTCTGCTTCCAAAGTTATCCTTGAACACATCAATGATTGGAAGCGCGAGGGCAAGCCGCTCAAGACCGTATAAACGCTTTTACAAAGTGTATCGTGTATCTATGTACAATATAGCCATTCGAATATCTGAATACCCTACTCTGGAGCCTTGGTTGATTTAGTTTTATCGTTCAAGCACCAAAAGTGGTCATCATAAATCATGCATGATTTGTTGCCTGACAGCATTAGCACATCATCCTTATAACAATCCAGAAAACCAACGAACCCTAAATCCCCTCCCCCTTCACCAGCCTCCCCTCTCCATCCCTTTCAGCGTTATCCCTCCACTCCATCCCCCCATCAACAAACTCCTCCCGCTTCCAAATCTCTGCCTTCTCCTTACAAGCCTCAAGAACCTCCTCGCCCGCCCTCCACGCCGCACCGCGATGTCCAGAACTAACAGCAATAGCAATAGAAGCCTCGCCAATAGGAACAACACCCAATCGATGCGCAATACTAATACCAACAAGGCTATGCGCTTCCACGGCCGCCTCCGCGATCCGCGCTAGTGTCTTCAATGCTAGTGCTGGGTATGCTGTGTAGCTTAGTTGGCTGACGGGGCGACCTTCGAAGGTGTCGCGTGTTGTTCCTAGGAACAGAATGTTTGCGCCGGCGGCTGGGGAGGACGTTTGGTTTAATTGAATTGTTGCGTCGAGGGGCGCGTAGGTTAAGGCTAAGTGGATGTTTTTTGGGGTGTCTGTCCAGGTTCGTGGGTAGGTTGTTGGGTCTAGGTGTGCTGGGAGGGGGGTTTCTTCGGTAGAAGTCATTTTTCTTTTGGCATTGACTTTTGTGAGAGTGAGGGTGTTGGGGAGGGAGGAAACAAGTGAGAATGCTGGTGGGAGATGCTTATCGCTGCGGGGGATACGAGGGCCGGTGTGCGGAGAGTGCCGAGGGCTTCAGCGTGGTGGAACTTGTACTTGCTACCTTTATTTGCAATTCCGTACATTTGGAATATTCTTTAAATTGATTACATGAGCTTAACTTGACCGGATTCAGTCCAATTGGTGATCTATTGATCCACTATCCATTCACAGCAGCAAAACAACAGCCTCATAAGGCCGAAGCTCCCACTTCCCACCAGTGAAGCGCTGAGAAACAGCATCCGCACTCTCATAGGTATCAAGTAGAACTTTCTTCACACTACTTATTCCATTGCCAGCAGCATCCCACTCCAATGTCTTCTCAGTCCAGTGACACAGAACCAAAACCCTCTGGTCGTTATACTGGCGCGTGTACGCGAAGAACTCTTGACTCAATTTATCCAAATGTGTAAAGTCACCATAGACAAAGATATCCAGGTACTCCTTGCGCAACTTCAGCACGGTGGCCCAGTAGTGGTATGTCGAGTTTGGATCCTTGACTTGGGCTTCAGCGTTGATGCGTGGATAGTCTGTGTTTACGGACATCCAGGGTTTCACGCCTGGTCCAGTGAATCCCGCGTTCTCGGCTGCGGACCATTGAACTGGTGTTCGGCCGTTGTCGCGGGATTTCTTTTGGTATTCTTGTAGTGCAATTTCGAGGGCCTTGGGGTCGGATTTGGGGAGTCTGGAAGAGTGTGAGTCAAGTGACGCTTTAGTTGGTGAGAGGTAGGGTGATATACCTGTTCCAATGGTTTAGACAGTCAATGTCCTTATACTCTTCAATACCCCATTCCTTTGGCACATTTCTTGTACCAATTTCCTGTCCTTGGTATATAAATGGCGTACCAGCCTGCAATACCAGGGCAGTAGCCAGCATCTTCGACGCAACTAGTCGGTGTTCTTCTGTGGCATTGGTATAGCGATCAATAGATCGAGGCTGGTCATGGTTCTCCCAATACAGCGCATTCCAGCCGCCATTGTCATACATGAAAGTCTGCCAGCGCTCGAAGAAGTCCTTCAAATCCGTAAGTTTCCAACTACCCGGCTCGAACTTGTCGAGTTTGCCATGGTCAATGTCGACATGTTCAAAGTTGAAGATCATGTTGATCTCGTTGCGGTAGAATTGGACTGCCCGGAGTACTTCCTTCTCGTCTATGACGAATGGCATCTCGCCAACACTGAATGCATCGTACCCTTTGAGGATCTTACCAAGTCCCTGTAGGTACTCGTGCAGGCGTGGGCCGTTGGCATACCACTTGTCTCCCCACTGCCAGGGTGTGCGGGAATCTTTGATAGGTGCATCGGGGAAACTCTGCTCCTTACTGATGAAGTTGATCACGTCCATTCGGAACCCGTCGCAGCCCTTGTCCAACCAGAAGCGCATGATATCATGCACCGCCTGGCGGACTGGCGGGTGCTCCCAGTTCAGATCGGGCTGTTCCACTGCGTATAGATGGAGGTAGTATTCCTGAGTGTGCTCATCCCACTCCCAGACGGTACCTGTTTGCGTACCATATTAAGATCATATTTCAATGAGCACAAAAAGAACAATTCACACGTACCTTGGAAATGTGAGACCCAGTTATTAGGCGGCTGGCGGTTTCCCTCCTCATCATATTTGGCCGGTTTCCAAACATACCAGTTCCGGTACTCATTGTCTTTGGAGCTACGGGATTTTTTGAACCATTCGTGCTGATCGCTGGTGTGGTTAACCACCAAATCCATGAGCAGCTTCATACCCCGCTGGTGACACCCCTGGATCAATTTCTCGACATCCTCAACAGTGCCATATTCGTCAGCGATGCTGTAATAGTCGGAAATGTCATATCCCATGTCCACCTGGGGCGATTTGTAAGAAGGACACAACCAGACGATATCTACGGCTAGATTCTTGATATAATCCAGCTTGGAAATGATACCAGGGATGTCGCCAACGCCATCGTTGTTTGAGTCCTTGTAGGATGCCGGCCAGATTTGGTACACCGAGCTTTCTTTCCACCAAGCGCGGTTGGTTGAGTTTCCGGGAACCATGTTTTAGTTTATGGTTATGGATATGTATGGGAACGGAAATACAAAGGGAGGTATGAGGTAGGTTTGAAGATGGAATGTTGTCTAACGAGGACAGTTATATGAGGACACCTGGAGCTTGGCCCACGTCGACCGCGGGGCAGCGGGGAATAATCGGGCGATTCATATGTTTTGATGGGCCAAGGGCCTGCAGGATGCGTTGAATCAGAAGCTCGGGGATTTGGTGGAGTTTCTCCACCTCGATTGTGTACATGTATGACGATATAGGAGAGTTGATGTTTCCCCTGTATGCAGATGTATACAGGTAGCTTTTTGAATAGCTGTACACAGTGACATAAAGTAGAATCTCGATACTAACACCGCAGATTGAATGACTAGACTTGGTGAATGTTGAAGATAAGCCTTGTTTATACTTGACGTTACTTCTGGCTCATGTTACAACTTAGACTTCATAGATCGGCCATAGGATAAGAGCAGCTCAAAGAACAGTTAAGCTAATTACAATGATCAGACACAATGTTACGTTATCCTTACTCGACGATATCACGGCGTACTGTCCATATACATGTAGTTCGTAGCAAACAAATGGCCGTCGAGGGCGGTGTGATTCTTATCGGGCTTATCGTAAACTTGGCGCGCATCTCAATCTCCGCGTCACTCTTAGCCTCATTTCTCTTTCAGTAAATGGTCCTTCGTTATGGCGCCTCCGTTCTCTGATCAGAAGTATCATCCTGGCCAAAGCCGTAGGCCAAATTATCCCCGCAGCGACCGGGATGGCCGCATGTATGACGATCCTTCGCGATCGCGCTCGCCTGGCGGTACAAGCTCCTCCCCGCACGGTAATGGCGTTTGATCCAGAGACCCTGCTCGAAAGAAAATCCCCACGCATATCAGACCAAGACTAATATGAAACCTGATTGGAATTGGGCAATAAAGGCCATTCCGGCTCTCCTCCCCGCAGACCGACCGACCGCAGGCGCGAGTACTCCCGCGACCGCGACGGCCACCGCGATGACCGAACCCACCGCAGCTCACGATCGCCACCTCGCCGAGGCAGGCATGGATACCGAGACTGGGACCATGAAGGCAGGGGCTACAGTCGCAGTCGCAGCCCTCGACGTGATCAGCCATACCTCGGCGAAGAAAGCCGAGAAGTGATGCTGGAGAACTTCCCAATCGATATGACCGAGAATGATGTGAGTTGCGTTTGAGCTGGAACAACGAGTCTCCGGTGACCCCATGCATGGAGTAGGCGCTAACATTGACCCTGCGATGAACAGATTGCAACGGAACTCAGAAATGCCTATCATGTTGACGGCCTCGAGGATGTTCGAGTCATTCGTGATCGTCAAACGAGTACGTGAAAATGGCAATGCGACTTTCAATCGAATAGTATCTAACTATGAATCCGCTATGATAGAGTTGTCGAAACAGCTTGGCTTCTTGCGATTCCCGACGATTGAGGAGTCGCGAGCATTTGTTGAACAGAACCACCGGGGTATCTACCTGTATGGACCAAGTGCTGGTCCCAACGACGGAAGTACCAAAGTACGCATTGCGTACAGCCGTGAGAGGGAAGACCGAACCAGGGCAAAAGGAGATGGTGATTGGATGTGTCGCATGGTATGTGATGTGAGATGCGCCAAACATGGAAAGCACTGAGCTAATCTCCCCAGTGCGCTATCGTCAACTATGCCACGCGCGTGAAGTGTTTCAAGTGCAACGCTCCCCGACCTGGTACGTTTTTCTTTCTTCCCCCTCTCCCCTCCGCTTGTCATTAACCACGGAAGCAGAGATGGCCTCCACTGGCATCCCTGGGGTTCCTGCCCCCAAGGTAGTGAACAACGGTGATAATGATGCTGCACCTGAGAGTCAACCGTCTCAATTTCTTCTATTCCGCGGGCTGGAACCATCCGTTACCGAGGAACTGCTTGCGAAAGGCGTGGCCAAACTGTATCGTCCATCTGGCAACAATGACACCGCCTCTGGTAATCAAAAGAAAGGCTCAAAGGTAGCCTCAACCACTGGTGACAGCAATCTTGGAGCTCGCGACGGCTCCATCCGACGTGTTTTGCTTGTACGTGATCGCAAGACTAATGACAGCTGGCGCTATGGCTTCGCCGAATTTGCAGGAATACTGGTAAGTCTATTCCACTCACACCTTTGATCTTTTCTAACTTGAATATAGGACGCTCAAGCTGCGATGACCCGCTTGAAATCCTTCGAAAAGTTCACCATTTCGTCAAAGCCTGTTATGGTCAGCTACATCCACGCAGGAGTGTTTATCCCAGTCATGACTCCCACGCCCAATACTGCTCGCTTTTCGTTCAGTCCATTGAACAACCCAGCGCTGAAGCTTATGTATTGGGATGATGAAGGCTTTGTCAATGAACTCACCCTGTCACGAGAGGAAGACGACGATGCGAACGAGCAGCAGCAGGGAGACAAGTCTGCTTCGCACCCGAATGACAAGGGCATCAAAGATTCAGAGAAATCCAAGAAGAGGAAGGCGGACGCAGCGGTCAGCGCCAACGCCAAAAAGCTCGCGATGCCATCCCAGCTGCAATTTTGGAGCAACCGTCACGCTGAGCTCCATGGTATTCCTAAGGATGCCGATGGAAACCCTGTTGAATCTGTCCCCGAACAGTCTGGACCGTCAAGAAATGCGGCTACTCCCCCGGCTCTGTCATATATCAACCCCAAGCGTAACTGCTGCTACCTGTGCCAGAGACTTCTCAAAGATCTTCGCCATGCCTACGGGCATGAGCGTCAGAGTGACCTCCACAAAAAAAATTTGCTGAAGTCAGACCGTTTAGAATACGGCATGAGAAAGCTTATCAAGCATGGCCTTGTTCAGCCGCCTACCGATGATGCGCAGCAACTTACCAATGACTATCGAGACCGTGCAAAGGAACGCCGTCGGGCATTTGGACCACCCACCATCGGTGGCCGCCCCGCCCCAGCCGCACCCCAGGAGGACGAAGCCCCTGTGCAGTCGACCTCGAAGGGTGCCTCTCTGCTCAGCAAGATGGGATGGTCGGAGGGTTCTGGCCTTGGTGCACAAGGTACTGGTCTGACAGCCCCAATTGCCACTGAAGTCTACGCTCAGGGTGTCGGACTAGGTGCCCAAGGAGGAAAGCTAGGTGACGCAACTGAAGAAGCCGGTCGAAACACCCGGGGCCGTTACGACGAGTTCCTCGAGAAGACTAGGGACAACGCCCGCCAGCGCTATGAGAAGATGGACCAGTGATAATGCTTCAAACACACGATTGAGGCGTTCAAATGCCCAGAAATGCTCCGCATTGCCGATTTCAATAAAGAATGGAAGAGTTCCTGCCGAGGAAAGGAAGTTTCCGGCCAACTGAATGTACGATAAGACTTGATATCCATATAACTTCCAAGAGCAATGACGCTCGAAATAATATTCCCACAATGGTAAAGCTAGCTATGCCAAGTAAATGCATATTAATGTACAAGGTATCCGAATCATGAGTAGAGTAGTATCAACAAACAAACAGCACAGGGTAAGCGGAACCTCAATTGAGTTCAGTTCTCCTTATTCCCCGACTCAACCGACAACAGCCTCTTCGCCTTCTCCTTCTCAAGCTGCTTCTCAAAGCGATCACCGAGCACTTTACTAACCCACTCAGTAACCTCAGCCTCCAACTCCTCATCACTCTTAACAGGCGTATCACTCCCACCCTGCAAACCAGCCCTAACAAACCTCCGCATATCATCCAGACTATTGATATTCAATGCATACCCAGCTGCACCACCAGCCATCATACCGAATGACAGTACATTTAGCGTAGCAAGATTGAGCGCCTCGAAGGCGTCCATTGCGGAGTTTGAGTGCGGTTGGTGGTAGATCGAACTTGTGTAGAAAGGTGGGATGCATGCGATGCGCTTTTTGTTGAAGGCTCGTCTTGTTACGAGAACTGACAGAGCGAAGAAGGTCATTCCTCCAAAGAGGAGTTTCAAGTTTGTGTTTTCGCGCGCTGGTGGTCGGGGTAATTGCATTGGGAGCGTTGTGGGGGTGTCTTCTGGGCTTTGGGGTTGTTCCGGATTGGGCTTTTCTGAGGCCTTTTCAGGGCTCTCGGTGGGCTTTGGGCTTAAGCCCCATCCGAAGAATGAGACCATTGTGTTCGGAATTGGTGTTGGTGTTGGTGTGGGTGTGGATGAGGAGGTTTGCTTCAGGTTTTTCGGGCAGCTCAAGGAGTGGGAGGTTGGCTGGTTTGGAGCTGGGATGGAAAGCAACGGCGCACTTAGACAGTTAATCCCCTGGAGAGCTCGAAATGACTGAATTTGCGCGGGGCTATCGGACTGTTGGAGAGAGTTAAATCCGAGCGGAGATGAGGATATCACCGACACGTGACCCGTTCCACGCTCGAAGACTTGGCTTCTGCCTCAAACGTCTGACAGTCTATATTATATTTAACTCTTGTATACTCTGGTATACATTGATTTTATTACAGTGATTGATTACTTGGTTAGGGCAAAATATGGCCCTGGTATCATATGAAGCTTAAACACTTCAGTGCAGGCCAGATGATACATCCGCGCCAAGAACGTCATACAACAGAAGCAGATATCCCATTGCTCGCAACAGATCCTATAAATCGCTATGGTATACGGCGGAAAACCTAGTACAGGCTGCCAGAACTGCAGGAAGAGGCATATCAAGGTATCTCGCTCTCCCAATCGCACTTGACATCATCATTCTCACAATCGCAAGTGCGACGAAACCCGCCCCCACTGCAAAGCATGTACAAGAACCAAAAGGGAATGTCCTGGCTATCCAGATCCATTCGATTTGATACTGAGAGATCACACAAATTCATTCAAAAATCCAGCAAGAGCCAGCCGTTCGCCCGCCACGAGCTCCGGCTCATGCTCTAGCTCGAGGACTATAGAGTTGCCTGATCACGCAGTGCCCGCAAAAGGACGTCTGGTATTAGGCCCTGTGGACTTTTACAGCAAAGCGCCCATGATAAAAACATCTTGGCCTCCGATTTTGGGTCCTGCTGATCTATACCAGCCCATGGAGGATACTGTGGTGCCGCTTTTCTTCAACTCTTACCTCTATCTTCCGAAAGATCCTCATATTCAGAATGGATTCATGGAGATATTGCCTATTTCTTTCTCGAATGCGAAGCCGCACTCTCATCTTCATGTCAGTACCTTAGCTGTTGCTTTCTTCTCTGTTGCAGCATGGACTGGTCAGAGTTGCTTGCTTCGAGCATCGGAGCAGTATTTCACCCAAGCATTGCCAAAGATTCGAGAATCTTTGCAAGATGAGAACAGTGATTTTGATTCTATCTTACTTTCCATTCTTCTACTCTCGACGTATGAGGTGAGTCAACATGATCTCTTCCCTTCGGCTGTGGATGAGAGCCCACTGACAGTCTTCGAGGAATTCGTTGCTATAAAAGACTGGGAGAATCCCATGAAGGCTCATCTTCGAGGAGCCATTGCCCTCATCAACAGCCGGAAATCAAAACGATTACAAACAGCGGCATCAAGGACAATTGACCACGCAGTGCAAACTCAAATTGTAAGTTGACTTCAACATCACAACACTCGAAATGTCCACGTTAACCCATACACAGGTCAAAACCAGCCGAGGCTTGACTAGTCCCACAGTACCAATCCCGAAAGTCTGGCCACTGTCCCAACCAGCACCATCATCAGGCCCTCGTCCACTCCTAGCCTCAGCAGCAGCAGAAATCGTAAACCTTCGCCTAGTATGGGAAGGAATAATCGACAAACCAGCAAAACGAGCAGAAATAACATCATTACTAACAAAAGCAATCAAAATCGACACAAATCTCGCAGCATGGGCCCACCTAGTTCCGCAACACTGGACACCAGTAGCAGCAAGCATAATCCCACAATCCGTCCGCAACGCTGGTATCTACAACGACCGTGTCGACTGCTATACAGATATGTGGATCGCCTCAACATGGAACACATACCGTGACTGCCGCATTCTAGTGCAAAGCATCATTCTCAGTTGTCTCCGCATGGCACCTTCTAATGACCCCCAAGGCCTGAGAACAATGATGGCCACCACTACTGCTCATCGCCTCGCGGATGAGATCTGTGCATGTCTTCCCTTTTTCCTTGGGAGCCAGCTTGAATCGGTCCGTATGAAGACAGGCCTTGTTGAGTATCCATTTGCAGAGACGAGACCTGTTTCGCAGATGCATAGGCAGGTTGCGCCGCTTATCGGTGCTTGGTTCATCTTGCCTTGTCTGAGGAATCTTCAGGCTGGGGGATTGGGGTTGTCTGCTGAGCAGATTAGTTGGTTGAATGGGCAGATTGAGAGGATCAGAGTTATTTACTTTCAGAAGTGATTGGATCACATTACCAGATAGATAGATTGCCGGCGGTTATTTGTATGATTTAATGATTCATTGCTTTATGTGATAGAGAAACACATTCAGGAAATAGATTCGGAGAAGATTTGATTCTATGCTATGGTTCGGAATATTCTATCTAACATTATTATCCAGCACAACGCTCACCTGAGATACCAGATGCTAGTGATACATCAAAAATACAAAAGCGCCCAAAATGCAAGTGTTATTCTAGAAAAGGCCAAAATCAAACCGCAATCCCAAACATTCATAAAAATACCGAAACAAGGCATCACAAGTAGTCGCATAGTCGCAATGTAGCGCTAGCAAACAAACATCAAGGCTCATCATCAAAGATGCAAATCATGATAACATAACAAAACAAACACGCTAAACGGTCAAAATAAACAGAAAACATGAATCATTTCATGGTCCCGGTAGTAATAAGCATATCAGTCCTACCAGGACGGTGGAAGCGATCAATACCAAGATGCTCTTTACCATCGCGGCCAACATATATGCCAAAGCCATAGAACGGCAGCTGGCGATCCGATGGCGGCGCAACAATAAGACGGGTAACAAGATCAGTCTTACTCCTCGGCTCGCGGAGGATCTTGTCCGACAGAAGCGGTGATTGGTAAAGATAACTCATCATATCAGCCAGGGTGGTAATATCGTGAGGCAGATAGCGGCGGCGACCCGGCCAAATTGCCAGGAAGGAAACGGCATATAATGCGCAGAATGCAATTAGGGCGTAGAAGGCTGGCATTAAGGCGGAAATTCGAATGTCGTCGTGAGAGGGGTACCAGAGGGCGATGAAGACACCGCCGGCGAGGATAGGAATTCCCAGGGATATCAAGCTCATTAATGATATCCAAGCGACTTTGAAGTGGCGGTTTAGGAGGGCGAGGGCCGTTATTTGGATTGGGTAGTGGGATTGGTAGGCGAGCAGGATGCTTTTCTCGGCGGATGCGCCACTTGGAGAGGAGAGTTCAACGTAGGGTTGCAGGGCGCGGAAGTAAACGTCGATTGGTTGCCAGACGAGGAAAAGAACATTGCCGATTAGGGCGGGAATAAAGCTGTAGAGGAAGTTTGAGGAGGAGAATGCGTTTGTTGAGGGAAGGGTTGGGAGTTTTGGTGGGAAGCCGCCCTTGATCGCGTTGTTGATAAAGCTGACGGCGACAAAGGCAATCAGCAAGGCGAACACAATCACAACCCAGATGAAGACTGAAACTTTGCGCAGGAACCACGGGGTCCAGCGGTAGCGGGCGAATGGCGAGTAGAGGGAGTTATCAGATTGATCGTTGGCGAATGCTCCTTGGTGTTCGAGATCGACGTTCACCTTGGCAAGGCCGTGTGGCTGCTTCTCTCTGCTCTTGCCGGTTTGGTGAAGAGAAGGAGTGCGAACTGGGGCGTCAACCTCTCCGATTCCGTAGAAGACCTCGGGCTTGCTCGACAGTCTCCAGTATCCGAGTCGAAGAACACGAGGATCAAGCGAGTCTCGCACTGTCGGAAGAGTTTCAGATCGCTCAAAGTCATGGAGAATATTTGATCGTTGGATCAGCGAGATGAGATCTGCCAGGCTTACGGGATCCCACATCAGACCGGACCAGCTGTGAAGGAAGCGCAGAAACAGTAAGACCAAGCCACTTGTGAGAACACCATATAATGCAACCAAGGTCCAGCCCACAGACTCAACAGAGGCCCATCTCCAGACACCTTCTCCGTCAATTATGTAGTACTTTGCCTGGAATAGACAGCTGAGAAGAGGAATTGCGAAGAAGTTGTGCAGCCAAATCGTGAACAAGGAGAAACCGAACAATGGTTCACCATGTTTGAAATGGGAGAAATCGGGCAAGACAAAGCTTTTCGAGAGGATAGGCAATGCTTGCATAACCAGGCCCTTTTGTCGTTCAGCTGACATCATGGAGAAAGGTGCTGTGCGATATACTGCAGCTTGAATGACGAAGGACCAGACGATGATCGGTGCAGCGAGGATTTGTGGTAGGAACTGCAGCACGAAGTAATGCCCGCCACCTTGTCCCTGGTAGTCCCAGATCCCCTGACGACGATGAGACCAAATGTTACAGAAGACAACTCCGGCAATCATGAGCAGACAGCAAAATATCGTCAGTGCTAAAGCCCAGGGCCTCAGTACCATAGGCAAATAGTTCAAGGGTGGATATAGCAAGCTCTGCTCTGGGGACTCAACGGCAACAAAAGACTCAGGGTCTACGGAGACAGGTCGTTGGGGTAAAGCTTGTGGTGAAGGAGATGTATAGTTTGGTCTGACTGGAGGCGTTTCATGTCGAATGGGTGTTCTCAAAGGCGTCCTTGTCCGGGTAAAGTAGCCCAGTCCCTCGTCCCATACCAGCTGATTATTTGGATATTCATCTCCTGTAGTCGCGGTAGAAAAAGAGTCCTGTCTTGAAACTCCCCGAGCCCTGTCCTGGGTGAGCTGATCTATTGCAAACCTGACGTATGGGGAGTCATCCAAGCCTGGGGTTGGGGCTGGTCCTGCATAGTCGCTGGGCACACGGCGAGCAGTCTCATCGGATCCTGTGGCATCTGATTTGACACTAATACGAGCGACTCTGTCCTCTCCGAAGCGGACAGTGCTAGATGTTGGTGGACTTGGTGACCCATGACCTTCTTGGACAGGTTGGCTCGACTCCCCCATGGGAAAGGGATGTGGCATAGTTGGAGAGTGGCCTCGAGAAGATGGTCGAGAGTCTGGAGTTTGGAATCGTCTCACTGTAACTCGACTATCTGGACTCGAGGAAGCTTCTCTGTCTGAGAAAGAATAATAGTCGTCTGATGCAGCAATAGATTGTTGAGAGTCCATTCGGTGAAGCTGGGGCTTGCTGGCTATATAAAAGTTAGACTTGAATAAAACCTTGGAGCATTGAAAAGACAACGGGGCGGGGGGTTTTATGCACATACTATTCACGTTGCGCAGGCTGAAGTTTCTCGCCGGGGTCGACATGGCTGTGGAATGTGGATAGTGAGACCACGCGCGATGTTAATCCAGAAGCATTCCTCGACCTGGAGATGCAAAGGGACTTTCGGGACCAGCAATCGCTACCCAGTGGGTTTTTGTCTGTCAGTGTGCTGGGTTGACGTCTCCCAGCCTCCCCAGCCACACACAGCGCTGCGGTCAAGCAGTAGGCCAATAGGGATACATGAGACACGAGGGGGGGGGGTTGTCGAGTCAGACACTATTAATTGGATCAACCAGAAACAAACGTCAAATCAATTTGAGTCTATTGGAATCGTTGGGTGAAATTGGGTTGTCTGTCGGGCCGGACCCCAGCCCATCCTGCGAAGCTTGGCTCTACCCAAGTGCATTTGGATCTACCTGACCTTGCGATCATCTCGATCACTTTCTTACGGATTGATTTTCGGATCGCATGTTCATTCTGGAGCTTAGCTATCGTTCTGCTATTGTTGGTCGCTGTCTCCAACAGCCCTGTAAAGATTTAGACCCAGTGATAGTCAGGTCCCACACTCGAACCTCAAAACCGATTATTGCCAACAATTACTATCCTAGCGTGTTGCTATTAGCAATAACTAAGCAGGGCAGACTTGCACAATTGCTCAAACTCCCAGCATGATGATGTGGTACAATTGGTTTCTCTCCCTTGCTGGCGTAGGTGGCTGGGCCTAGGGCTTCGGGTACAACTCAAACACATCAGGCGGCTGTATCCAGGGCAGCGTATGAAACACCACGCTACCACTCCGTAATTCTTAGACTTTGTTTTAATCTTTTAACTAGTGTCTCTCTGGTGTAGCCTCATGTTTCATTTATATGTGGAGTCGACAAGAATCAGACATAACGAGTCAGTCTGCTACGGATTGCCATCTCAAGGTACGGCTTGAGGAGTATTTGCGTTACTCGGATGATTTCTGTAGCCCAGTTTGTTCAGGCAACGCAAACAAGAATGTATGCCAGTGCATGAGCACATATTAACGCTCTTTTAGCCATTCTTTCAGCCCCGTGATCAGTCGAACAATTTTCAGTCAACGGTGAGTACCATGGCAGGCATTCTCTTCAACCTGGGATAATATGCTAAGGCAGTTGCAAAGTCAGCCTCAAAGATTTGGAAAAAGAGCTTCTCAAACCACCGCGGCTCAATGCACTACTAGCTCAGATAGATTTTGATCATGAACACCTAGCGCTCGCCCTAAATGAGTGTTGCCCAGGGTTGAAAACATGAGTAATTTCGTTTCTGAATTAGTCAGAAAAGGAAAAGATATACCATACCACTCTCCGCCTGCCAGGTAACCCTCCTATGGGTACTGTTGATATCATCACTGGAAAAGTCATTGCCTTCCACGTGGCTGATGAGGTTTTGACGGATGGTATGTTGGATATTGCTAAGACTCAGCCTATTGCGCGCTGTGGATACTACTAGTATGCTGTTTTACGGGAGACGTTTGATATGATTATTCCCAACATGTCTAAGGATGTGCTTTATGGTTTGGAGGGAAATGCTGCGCGGAATCGGCAGAGGAATGTTGAGTCCGGGGAGGAAGGATTCCAGCAGCAGTAGGATTGATGTTTAGAGATGGAGTGGAAACGAATAGAGAAAACAGTCGAGTATGATGTACACCAGACCCTTCGTGCACATGTGTAATTCGAATAACTCGGTGGTTTTATAGGTCCCTGGATCATTTCACTCCGCGATTCATTGTTCAGATCCAACCTACCACTAGATTGCAACAACACTCAGCGTGCACCCGTAAATGACACTCGCCCATTTCGCACAGTAACCCTGTTCGCAGAAGTGTCAGTGATAAAAAGTGACATCTACCTGACTCATTGGATGCATTGGAAAAGGAAGCAGGACTTGCGGATATTCCCAGCGCCGCCAATCCCGGTTCGAACATAGCGTTCTTGGACAAGTGGTTTTCTCTCATCATATTGCGCCCCATGAATCCAGTTATTCACGAGTCCATCCCTCGTATTCTTGTCCATAAGATTGTCTTGAAGCATGATCATTCTGTCTAGGGTTTGCAGCGGTAGTTGGCCTTCTTCGTCCTCTGGCTTCTGCCGGTTGGGCAATCTGAAAAATTTCCACAGGCAGTGCATGTCTCCGCAGAGTGATAAGGTGTGGGCTTTCGCTTCAGTAGCAAGGCTTGTAGAGCTACTAGAATATGTCCTTTTCGGATTAGCCTGCATTCGTGAGCCTCGCTAACAAAGGGAACACAGGGTCTGTTATACTATGATCTTGTACGATTGTCCGACCGGCTAAAAATGTAAACATAGATGACATTCTGGGTGCTCGTTGCGTTTACAGTCATTCTCGAAATCGCCTTGACCAATATACACTGAGACTCTCTTTCCCGGCCCCACCGCCAAGACAGTAGTGTAGATCATTTATTGAGCGGGCCGCATCAAACAGAGGGGCTCAGTAAAATGCGCAGGTATGTTACAGTAATATCCGACATAAGATTACATTACGCGTATGAAAAGGAAGCCCATGGAATTCCATGGAATTCTATGATGGGTCTCTGCAAATCATATGGGGAAGGCCACCTGACTCGCATTGAATTGAGTGCATGATAAATTGCCGTGCGTATGTTACTTTAACATGCTACGTAAGATTCCATTAGACGTACAAATAGAAAACTCATGGAATTCCACGGCCACCTACGATGGATCTCTGCAGACGACGTGGGTAAGGCCGCCTGGCACCTTATGACTGGATGATCTGCTGATTGACTTCGATTTTCCTTAGCCTGTACAGCATGCGCTGGTCATCACTTTTGAGAGGTGTCTGGCTCAGAGAATCTGATGACGAATGACATCATCGGGAAACTACCACAGTACTGTATCGACCAGGGTTCTGCTCTTACGAACGAACAACAGCATTTTCATCAGCCGATGGCGTAGGCTTCAACTAGTTTAAGTCAACTTAGTATTTCTTGGCATTAGGGTCTGAGAAACACTGAAAGATTGCTGGTGAGGCCGATTTCCGGAATTCCTGTACCAGAACCGTGGCTACACATGATGTTTCGGCTAGGAGCAAGAGACATTTTCTCCCTTCATTAACGGGATGTGGTTAGGATTATGTCCACCAGAAAAACAACGCAGTCATTCCCATGGCCTGGACAGCTGTAAGCCAAGCACCGATCGCAACCCCTGTCGGATGGTCTCCAGTCTTAAATGAATAGATCCCAGCGACCAAACCACTGAGGAGCAGAAAGAGGAACATGAAAGCTGCAAACAGCGGCCAGTCTGGTCGTTCTTCAATATGAATACCCCATCCTTGGGCCATTGGGGTTAGGCCAGGACCAAGTTTCCAAGGCAGGCGCATGCACCACATTGAATCAGGATGTTTTGACGCAGGGGCGTAAAAATGATGGAAGAACGTCCGATTGTCGATAGGCGGGTCATCGATTGGGCACGGCATGTACGTATAATTTCCGGCTCTTACTTCTGTTTCGGGGGGTATGGAAGGCGTGTCTATTGAGCCGGCGATTGACGAAACAAGTGGTCTTTTTCCTAGGCGGAACTGAGTAAAAAGTCAGATTGAGAGAGAATTGTACTCGGAGTATGTTAAGCTTATGCAACTTGCCTTTATGAATATCGCCTTCTCGGGTTTTCTAAACCGCAATCGCATCGGCAACAGTGAATGGCGGGCATTCTCGTACTTTTTCCGAATCTTTTCGAACAGCAGACCGTCACTAATGGGTTGGCCTAGGTCAAGTTCGTTCAGCTCTAATTCGAATTTCCCAGTCTCTATGCAAAGCTGAAGAGCTTGTGGCTGCGGAGGTCCGGAAGCGGAAGAATCTCTGGTTGTCGCACTGTTTTCTAGGTCATCCGGGCCACTACTCCCGCTACTTCGTGGCAGGTTCCAGCCCACGGGCGAAGTGGTAGGTCTCGAATGCACTTTTGTTGAGGTTCGTCGTGACGTTGAAACTTCACGCTGCAACCTTCGGCCAGAGTGCTCGCTTAACATTGCCGCTAGTCTATCAATTGATCCAGGCGTTTTTTCCTTAAAGTCGCCGTAGAGAAGCTCACCGCATGTCTAAGTTGTATTAGTTCATGAAGAGAGGAGCTATTAAGATTTTTCTTACACATCGCCACTCCAATCTCCTGTATCCGGAGCGCGGCCGCGGCCTTAGAAATCTCTGAAAAACTTGCCAAAGAAGTTTCAGCAGGGCCCAAATAAGAAGTTTCAGCAGGGCCCAAATGTGACTTGACCTCACAGATGCCGGTTTGACGTGAGCATTCCCAAAGCTAGCTTGTGTGCCGACAGCACTTTCCACTTCGGTATATGCGGGAGGCGGAGTCGAATTTTGCTCTTCCAAAAGTGTCAATGAATCTTTCAAGCGTCTAATCTCCTCATCGTACACACGCAGACGTTCTTCGAGGTCGCTCCTTTGGGATTTCAATTCTGAGACTTGAGCTTCGTTCTCCTTCAATCGTCCTTCTAACTTGTGCATCTCAGCATTGTTTGATTCCAAATTTCCCCTCGTTTCATCTCGCAGTTCTTCACATGGCAGGAATTAGCAACTGTATTGACCAGCTCACAGACTTCTTACCTGACTGCCTTCCAATGGTGTGAATGGTATATTTCTGTACACTTTAGCAGTGAACGCGTTGATCGGCAATAAGGCACCTACGTGTATAACAGTGGCAAAAGATGTGTCAGCGTTGCCTGCTAGTGTGTCTTGCGCGGTTGTGGTACTGTGGATCTGATCGATAGCAACCACCAAGAGAAGCTCTTTCGCATAAGCCGCCGCCACTGCGGCTGCATACCCTTGCCATTCCTTATTCTTGTGCGAGTCGGCGTAGTCGCAGATGCCCCGAATGACCAGGCACGGAAAGTCATTCATAAGTCCGGCCGCTTCCATCTCGACACAATATACACCTAAGTCTCGAGCCAGCTGATCTCGCCGCCTGCCATCTTTCACAATCTGATTTGCAGATCCAATGAGTCCGTAGTGAATTAGTGGTCGTTGGTCCTCTCGTGGCGGTCGTGGAACCAGTTTAGATCGATCGCAGTTGGTACACGTATCAGATGCGACATGATCATATTCTGCTTGGAATAGACAGTCTTCCTGCGTCGGTCGCGTGAATTTGGTAGCTTTGTGAGGTGCAAGTTTGGCTTGCAAGTCGGAAACAAATTTGACGATCCGGCTATCTCCCGTGAGGTGATGTGCTCGGAGAGTCGCAAGAGCGGTCAACAGAACCTTAGGAGGTCGATTAAGCGTTCCAGTTCGCTTGAATTGGCCGCCGCTTAGCGCTTTACCTAGATCGAACTGGATAACGCCTCCAGAAGTGTCCATCGGCTGGCTCACTACAATATCCCCAAGCCGAACGTCTGCGTTGCTGCTTGGTACTCCGCCACCGATACCAACCATTAAACCAAAGCGGATAGCGTGGAAACTAGACAGCAAATGCATCCCAACCGTTGCTGCTGATGTATTGCCATATGCGCCGGTCGGTAAGCTAGCAATCACGACATTGTGTTCCCCGATGCTTCCCAAAATGTATAAATTTTGGTCCATCGGCAGGCGAGGCAAAGGCGGGTGTATTTTGTCCAACATCAGCTTCGCAGCCGCCGTCTCCTCCGGCAAGGCACATATCCATCCGACCGTATAATCGTCGTGGGATCGGGTCCTGGCATCCATAGTGGAGTGACTATACTACGATCGGATTGTGCCTTATGATTTCTGACCTGTCAATTTGTGGGGGACATAGGAGAAAGAATAATATTGTCAAGCGGAGGCCGTGGGAATGATGTCGGGAGTTTGTCAGGAGAGGCGGGGTTGAGCTGAGGCTGCACACCCGGGTTGCCAGTTGAGTGCACGTGGCCTTGGCATTATACCAGAGAAGAACCAAGAGTAGCCGTGGCTTCCATCCGCCCAAACCTGGTACTGTCCGGCTGGCATTAAACTTCAAGAATGGGTCATCCTCAAGCCGGCTCGGTCCGCTCCTACCGTCTACCACTGCTTATCCGGAATGGGCTCGATCGTACTCCGTAGATAGCTCTCAGATGAGATCGACTGCCCTAGCAGTACATTACTTCGCGTATAAGCCAGTTAGTTTTCCCCGAAAAATGTCACCTCCCCTGCACCAATCACACTGCAGAGAATCCCCTAGAATCGCGTAGAATTTATCGGCGCAGGTAACATCGGATCATTATCGGCCCGTCTAAGCAGGGGTCAATGCACTACGGGACCTGGACTAGGTCCACGTTGCACAATCATTCAGACAACCACTCTACTTTGTTTGGACCACTATGGCACCAAACCTCAAACCGCCACAGCTCGAGCTCATTCATCACATGATCCAGAGTAACTCACTAACGATGTCTGAGATGGCCCATGCGGCTGACTGCAGCAAGCAATCCATAGTACACATTCGCTCTAACCTCAAAGTATTCGGGAATGTTAGGGCGCCGCAAAATGGTGTTGGACGACCGCGAACCATTACGCCGCCTATGCTCGAAGCTCTTCGTGAACATTTGACAGAGAAGCCGACCTTATACCAAGACGAGATGGCCCTCTTTCTGTGGGACGAATTTGGAAAGCATGTGACAATCCAAAGCATTAGCAGGGCGCTTGCTTCGGTCGGATGGTCGAAGAAAGCAGCTCGCCAGATTGCGAAGGAACGAAATGCGGATTTGCGGGACTTCTACCTCCACAATCTATCTTCTTTCAAGTCATACCAATTAATCTTCGTGGATGAGTCAGGTTGTGACAAAAGGGCCGGTTTTCGACGGACTGGTTGGTCACCTCTAGGTGTGACACCAGTTCAGATTTCCAAATTTCACCGGGACAGACGCTATCAGATACTACCTGCGTATGCTCAAGATGGACTGGTCCTGTGTCGAGTATTCCAGGGCGCGACTGATGCCGATGTCTTCGAAGACTTCATCGAGCAACTCCTTCAACACTGTAACAGATGGCCAGAGCCAAAGTCTGTTCTCGTTATGGATAATGCTTCTTTTCATCGTACAGAGAACATCCAGCGAATGTGCGTAGATGCTGGCGTTAAGCTGATATATCTCCCTCCTTATTCACCGGATTTGAATCCCATTGAAGAGTTCTTCTCCGAGCTGAAACGATTTATCAAGCGCAAGTGGAATGAGTATGAAATGGATCCAAACCAAGGTTTTGATACATTTCTCGAATGGTGCGTTGACGTGGTTGGTTCAAGGGTTTCGGGCGCGGAGGGTCATTTCCGAAATGCGGGTCTATTAATCGATGAATTTTGATTTTCTCAAGCCGCGGCATGGAAGATATCTCAAATTATATAGACGCCTAAAAGAACCCACCAGAATAACCAATGCTCAAACTATATATCCGCATCGCTTGTCACGCATCCGTAGTATTTCTCTGCCCAATACCTGATGTCCTTGACAAAACGTCGAGCAATACCCCACTTGACACCGCGCGTCTTGAAGTAATTAGGATCTTTGTCTTCATCAATCTGCGCCAAGTCCAGTCCCTCATCTAGGGCTACATCGCACGCTTTTCTGACCTCGGCCTTCAATGTCTCATCACCCAAACGTGACTGTTGCCAGCTGCTGTATTCTCTCACAGCAACATCAAGAAGGCCTGGAATATGGATGGCAGGAACCTCGACCGAAGAGGCAGTAGTGTCCTCTGGAAGTATGGATGTTGACCCCCCGGTGCTTGCGGGGCTTGTGTGGGAAGCACATTTGTGATAGTAATGGGAGGGTAGCTTGCTTCGGCAGTAGATCGATTATTGGCCCGTGGTCTGTCGAGCCGTTGTCTCTCTGCTCTATAGATTTGCTCACGAATCGTACCAGGCACATCTTCATGCGACTGTAAAATCCCACCGCTTTGCACATATTTCACCAAGCTCTCCAGCTGATCCCGGTAGAGTTTATAGTGTTTTTTCCCATAAGGATCCTGCCAACAGTGCGGGCCTAGTTCACAGGACCCAGGACAGCGCATCAACGCATATACCTCTTTCCAGGCAGGTGGCTCTCCGGAAGCTGCTTCCTCGGCATAGATCTGTCGGTCTCGCTCTTGAAGCATCCGCTGGGTAGCAGACGAAGTGCCTCGTTTATCAGTCGTCCTGCCGCTTACGTTTGAGCTCGAAGTGTTCTCCATATAATTGAATGAGATAACCAGTCTCAATTTCTTGCCAGCAAGAAAAAGCTCTCCCCAATCCAAAAGCTGTTTTTCTATAGAGGTCCAATCAACGTCGGTTCCATCAAATCTCAGAGTGAAACCCTTCTGCCGAGTGGCGGATACGACAATAGACGTGTCATCCGATTCGAGTTTTCGATACGGATACTTTCGTACAAGTAGCTCCTTTAGCTTTGGTTGCAGAAAAAGCCTCCAGTGATATCGAGGGGCTAGAACCAGATCTTGTTCTGTATCTTTCGCCACCGTCCTGTTATTGAGAGTGATCTTCCACTCGATCAAATAGTGGATACAAGTCGGTGGATCCTCGTCGTATGTTCGACCTTCCTCCCAATCACCGTACTGGAGTAATGGAAGACCGTTCTTTTGTGTTTGTTTTGGAGAAGCGTAATCAACAGGGGAGACGGGATCGACGTTAAGGCAGCTTTTGTCGGACGGGGAGGCGGGTGACCAACGGAAGTTGCCAGGTGTTGGTGCATATTGTGATGTATCGACCCACGGATCAAGATGTTGAACGCCATAATCATCATGGCTAACGAGAGAACTGGCAGTCATTTTCTTGGGCCTACGGTAACGACAGACTAAGGGTGAATGATGATTAGTTGAGGCTTACGCCATTCGGTGCCGTTGAGGGGATTGTTCGCCTGCAAACAACCACCAACTGGCCAGGATGGTCGTTGGTCGCTAATATCACTTGTTGAGGTTCTCTGGGCCAAAGAGACACCTCGCAAGTGATGACTAGCTCACACCGCACAAAGGAAGAGGAGAGGGAAAAAGAGGTCTCCCAGCAGATCATCAAGTTACTTGCGCAAGGTGGCCGTTCCCCACTTGACTTGTGAGATCCACCATAGAATTCCATGGAATTCCATGGGCTTTCTTTTCATACACGTAATGTTACTCTTATGTCACATATTACTGTAACATACAGGAGCATTTTACTGAGCCCCTCAGTTTGATGCGGCCCGCTCAATAAATGATCTGCGCTAATGTCTTGGCGGTGGGGCCGGGAAAGAGTTTCTCAGTGTATATCGGTCAAGCCGATTTCGAGAACGACTGTACATATAGGTGGCTGATCTTTACATATGATGTAGTGGGTTACGCAGACACTGTATGACCTTCCAAGAGCCTAGCTGTATCCTAGAAGTCACCGCTAGCCAACTACACCGCGCAAAAAGTCTAGAAATCTTTGCCGGAGCACAGTCTTGCAGTCGGTCGCCTCTTAGATAGGAAATCGTTGAGACTTGGACTGCAGAGACTTCTCTTCTTATCTTACCTAGTCAAATCCGAAAACATCTCCGGTGATTGAAGAAATGGTCACAGCGTCCTAGTGTCCTAATGTGCAACTACCACTAGGGCTGCTTTGTGTTTCCCCGTTCGAAGCTATGCTCAGTCTGTTATAGTGGTGTGACCGGAGTATAAGTGGTCAATGCCACCTGAGCAGGCCCCGAATGGAGAAGTGACGTGGTCCCGTATGCTCACGAAATAAGCTTAATTTGCATAATCGAATGACTTCACATTTCCAACGTTGATGTCTATCCAGGCGACAACCCTAAAGCACACGACGATCTCTATCTCGACTGATAATGATGAATCTGATCTCAGTGGATCTGTTTCAGCTTGTTCGAATGGACCTCAACGGGTCTCGAGTCCAGACTGCAGGTCCAAGCGTTTTGGAGGGGGATATGCGAGCTAACTTAGATTGCTGTGCGTGTGGGCATATCAATATGGCAAATTGCAAAGTTGCAAGGGCTGTGGTGGATCTAGATAAATCCTGGTAGATCAAATTGAGAATAGCGGATCTCGTTTCACCAGCAAGATTCGGGTACCTGAAACCAAGTTGCTCTCCGTCTCGCAACAATTTCGCCATCTTGACGGAATAAGCTTCCAAATTCGCTGGTACTGGTGGCGACGTGACCCGCGGGACAACGGTGAACGGAACCGACACGAAAAGTCTTCGCAATGAGATTTGCCGGATTCTTCGGTTCAAGCCAATCTCAAGGCTCAATGAAGCTTGGGGAATACTCCGCCGCACGCCCGGGCTTGGCGACACGGGGTTGTCCTGCCCCGAAGCGACGCCTCAGCCGCATCGAGCGAATAGGAATCCGCATCGGCTGGTAGAGAACACCCCAGTTTTTGGAAACGGGATCTGTGCTGCGTTTAGCCTCAGCCACAGCTCAAAGCATGGAAATCAAGGATAAGGATATCGAGAGAAGATGAACAAGGAGAGTGTAGTTTGTAGAGATAGAGAAAGAGGGGATCATCTGACCCGCAGCCTGAGGCGCCCGTCCTCATCCACGGCTTCGCCCTCATGTATCAACCCTTGTCATTCTTGGTCATTCCTTTATTCCCTTGGCTGTTTCCCCTCATTCGCTCCTTTCTCTTCTTAGAAGCTTCTTCCTCTTCTCTTTGCTGCGCCAATGCTGGGTTAGAGTCTATTTCATGTCCCCCGCGTTGGCTATTCTGGAAATTACCGCTCGTTTGACTATTCCCTTGGCTTGAAGAAGCTCAAGGTTCTTTGAGGGCGTACTTTCAGGGCGCTGTCGCCTCCCCTCGCCATGTTGCTCAAGCCCGCGACACCCCTCACTATCCTACTGCTGATCGCATTTGCGCTCCTACTGCTGTCATGCCTGTCAACCCCCATTATTAAGGGAATTCCTTTGGCAACTTTTAAGGACGTCGATTACGGCGTCTTTGGATATTGTAAAGGCAATGCTTGCACCAATATTCATGTGGGATACACCAGCAGTTCGTCGCGCTCTTTCGTTTCTGCCTGGCGGTGGCTAACTTGCATGCAGATGATATTAACAGCACCGGTGATGACTTCAATCTCCCCTCCAGTACCCGCAAATCGCTCTCCTCGATCCTCATCATTCATCCAGTCGCCGCATTCCTGACCCTCATTTGTCTCTGTCTGGCGGCCGCGGCTCACTTCCATAAGCCCTCCCACTCGCCGCGCTTCCTGTTGGCGCTCCTTATCCTGCTCTTGCCAACACTGCTCGTGACTCTCTTGGCATTCCTGGTGGATATTTTGCTCTTCGTACCGCATCTAGGATGGGGTGGCTGGATCGTCCTAGCGGCGACCATCATTCTGGTCTCTTGTGGGGTGGTCACCTGTGCCATGCGCCGGACCCTTGTGAGCCGCAAAGCAAGGAAGCGCCGTATCGCGGAGAATGCTGAGATGAGCGGAGAGAACTATTACAACCGACAGAATGCGACTGCGCCTCCGGTGCCTGCTCCCCCCGCTTCCGAGACCAAAGAAGCCCTTGTGACTGGGTCTCCGTCCTTCGAGGCTGGTCCGACCTTTGCGACTTTCAACACGGAGCGCCGTGACAGCGATGACGACCGCACTCCGCTCAACACCCAGACCCCCATGAACGACATGCCCTCACCTCCAGACCGTCGCGGAACCCCCTACGGCGCGCAAGATGAGCTGGGCAACATGCCATCCCAGGGTCCCTACGGTGGCGGCCCAATGGCGCGCAATCCGTCCGACCCCCGGATTCGTCCTCAATACTCCAATGGCAGCATGGGCTCTCAACGGGGAGGTGCGCCGCCTGGCTTTAATGGACGCGGACGTGGTGGATATCCCCCCAGGGGCGGTTATGGACGCGGGGGACCCTACATGGGACCCCGTGGACCTTCCCCTGGCCAACGAGGTGGCTACATGGGACCTTCTCCTCCCCGCGGAGGTCGCGGAGGCATGATGCCGCCTCGGGGCCCACCCGCTGGCTATGCCGGCGCCCCTACTAGCTTTGATGCACATGGCCGGTCTGTGTCACCTCCCCAGAACGATCCGTACGGCTATGGACCTTCACCGGGTCTGATGCGCCAGCCATCTCCAGGTCCAATCGGTATGGCCGTGTCACCGGAGACGGTTGGTCAAGCCATTGAGATGCAACCTCAATCCCGGCGTTACGATGTGCCTGAGGCTGGCCAACGCATCAGTGGTGGTCCTCATGCGCTGTCGGTTGAAGGCCAACATGCTCCTCTCGAAAGTCCGACGAGCATGTACAGTCGACCTGAGTCCTACATCCCTCCGCGTTCGGGTTGGAATGCCAATGATCGTCAGACCCTGTCCTCGCGACCAAATGGATCGCCTCAGCCAGCTGGTCACATTGGTACAAACTACTACGAAGACGTGGATCCGCGTTTCGCTCGTCGACCATCGCCTCAGAACGATGCCCCGGTTCCTTCATCTTTAATGCCCGGAGGTCCTCACTGTAAATACCCATAGGTGCAACGCTTCAGGATTATGCTAATTATTATCCAGTTTAACGAATTTCTTGGTTCTGTGGTGTCACATCACATATGGCACGATTGACCGGCTCTTTCGACGCTTTGCGATACCCTTTTTTTTTCCTTTCTCATTTTCACTTCTTTGGCTAAATTTGATCACGATTTATTTCCCCAGTACTCTACCACGGCAATATGGTTTGGCTGGGGACGGAGTTACGGACTCTGTTTTTTTTTTTTTCTCTTCCCTGATGAATGATCTCTCTGGGCATATTTTTCGGCGTTTCAGTTTGTCCCATCTGCAACGTCAGATATCTGGTATGGACAACATTTGAATGCTGAGCCGTGCTCAGGCTGTTCAATGTATAGCAGTAGTTGGGTGCGATGTACAGGCACGAGCTTGAGGATTCTGAACTTTTTTCCGGGCCGAAGCACTTGATGCTGCTTTTGGCTGGAGCTTTCTTTTCTACCTTACTTTCTTGTTTACCTTTCTCTTCCACTGGATGGTTTGAATTGTACACATACTTTTTTTTTCTTCGAGGGTAATTTCGTACACGTGACATGACGTAGACATACGATGTTCCAGCCGCCGATCATGACGGCGCTGTCACTTCAAAAGCTTGGTTGGATATTGTGCCACTGACATCGTTGGATTATATGGAGCCCTGTTCCTGGTCCTGTTACAGTGAATATGTTTTGTCACCGCTCTCCACCTTCGGGGCATTTGATCCTTGCTCCATACTGCTGCATGCTCGTGACAGATTGACCAGGGCTTGAATGAGACTCATTCAGATCGCAGAAGTCGACGATGAATGACCCTGGGCTTGATGACGCTATTGCTGATGAGGCAGTGGCTCTCGATAACACCTCTAGCAATCACAAGGACAAGGCGAATCAAGATGCATTAACTCAAGATGCGAAGTACCCTCAAGCTGCTCGGTGGTGGTTTGCAAGTACAGTATATCCCCTGACAGCTGTACGCTACCCCTTACCAAGCTTCACAAGCTACAAAATTCTAATAAGCTCAACAGGGAACATTCGGTCCAATGGCCAGCGCATTCAATATATGCTCCCTATCCCAACCTTGGCGAATGGACTTAACGAGCACGGGCGGACTAGACGTCCCCGATCCAAAATGGTACACAAAACAAAGGACCCAACCACCTCAAATATCCCATATTGACCTCGAACAAATAGGGCCATCGCCATAAACGCAGTATCCCTATTCTTTGCCCTAACAGCAAATCTAGCCTTATCCCTCAACATGGCCAGACGAATCCGCTTCGAAATTGCCCAGCCCATAATTATAATCGGCTGGTATATCTCATCAGCACTCCTGATATCAATCCTCATCCCCTTTGGCGTCCTCATGTACAAACCAGAGAACGACGGCCGTGTCTACTCCCAGTCTTACTTCTACGGTGCATTCGCGGCGGGAATATACTTCATTATCTCGTCGTTGATGCTAGTCACCGGCTATGGTGCCTGGAAGGGCCACTACAGTCGTGAATACAAGTTGACGACTAGCCAGCGGACGCTCATGCTGCAGACGATTATCTTTTGCATTTACCTGCTTGGTGGGTCCGCTGTCTATGCTCGTATTGAGGGCTGGAGGTTTCTCGATGCGGTTTATTTCGCGGATTTCACGCTGCTGACGATCGGAATTGGGAATTTCGCGCCTGCGACCCATCTTGGGCGTGGGCTTTTGTTTCCTTATGCCATTGGTGGCATTGTCATTCTTGGTTTGATCATTTCTTCCATCCGGACTCTTATGTTGGAGAAGGGGAGGCAGAAGGTTGGGGATATGCTCACGGCTCGCACGCACAAATTTCTCATTAAGCAGGCTTTCTCGGAAGGGTCTCGGTTGCATGGCGTTGTACCTGCGCTGGGGAAAGAGAGTGCCGAGGCTGACGGTCGGAGTGAGCGTGAGCAACGGAAGAGGGAGTTCATTGCTATGAATCAAGTGCGCGACTTGGCGAATGTTCAGCACAAGTGGCTCTCGCTTTTAATTTCGCTGACGCTTTGGATGGCTATGTGGTTTATTGGTGCTGTCGTCTTCTGGCGCTCTGAGTCTGTGCGGGACTGGACGTATTTCGAGGCGTTGTACTTTGCGTACACGACTCTTCTTACGATTGGCTATGGTGATATATATCCGATCAGCAGTTTGGGAAAAGCGTTTTTCGTTTTTTGGTCTTTGCTTGCTGTTCCGACAATCACAATTCTCATTTCGAATATTGGGGATACGCTTATTCGCTTTATTCGGGATATGACATTGTTCATTGGTGAGATCACGATCTTGCCTGGCGATCAGTCTTTCGTCGATAAGATCAAGGATCTGTTCCACATGTCTTGGATTGGATGGTGGCTTGAAGATAAAACCGGCGAGAAGACGGGATCCTCCAAGGAAAAGGCCAGCACAACTACTGGAAAAGGAAGCGACTCAGCTGCGCCCCACAATGGCATCAGTCAACTGGAAGCAGAAGAGCTAGACAAGGGACAGCAGGCTCATCAGGGCGGCGATATCATCGCTGAGAATGTTCATCATTATCACTACATTCTCTTCAAAGAAGTCCGCAAGATGATCGAGTATGCTTCCAATCATCCGTCTCGACAGTTCGACTACTTAGAATGGGAGTACTATCTCGGTCTGATCGACGGCAAGAACAAGCCAGATGCCACCACTGGCAATGCCTCTGGTGAAGAACGCAACAAGAGACAAGGAGGGGGGGGCAACGACTGGAGGTGGATCGACAAGGAGAGTCCACTCTTAGGGCACAAGACCGAGGTTGAGTGGCTACTTGGGGCATTGACAGAGGCTCTAGATCGTGAGCTGAGGAAAGCTAGCCATTTTCAAGCATCAGAAAGCGAGAATCATACCAAGGAAAGCAGAAATTCTGAAGCAGAGACCGATGGTGGAGCCAAGGACGTGGAAGTGGCCGCATACTGATCCCTTCACGCGATATCAACATAAATAAGTCAAATAACCCCTGCAGTGGCGGCACTGGTCTATGGATTCATAACTAGGAGCAGTTAAATCTGAGCTTAGCCACTGCCACTGGTTAGAGCTGCCGATCGAACTATTATAGATTGGGAAACCAACCTGTACAGAAAGAAAAAAAATCATTGGAACCTCCTGGAATGGACGGTTCCCTCCCAACTTCTTTTAATATCTTTCTCTTTTTCAACTATTGCTCCTCTATACCTACTGACCCCATCTTGAATTGCTTCTGCATGAAACGATATTTGTTGCGGATGAAGTTGTGGTAGGAGCTCAAGTACACACTGCGCCGATGTAAACAACCCAACCACAGCAGATAAATCGTACAATCTGATTGGCCAGCTGCGGTGAGGCTGTAACTTCGCAGGAATAATAAATGGCGGGATATAATCAAGTGATGCTATATCCCTGCCATTTTGATAGGTTATCAGACGATGTCGTTGGGGGCCATAGGATAGGCGGCGCAGGAGATAAATGTCTCTCTACCAATGGGTCTTTGCCACACCACCTATGCATGTGTACCAGACCTGTGATGCCTAGATGGATACCTATATACCTACGCAACCCCTCTTTTCTACTACTTATAAGTCATTTGAAAATGGTCCTGAGGTACACAATCGCTGACCTTTGACGGTTGTCTGTCAATCTTACTCTCATCATGGCCCAACAAACTACCCCAACCAAAGCTCCAGCGGCGCAGAAACACCGGTGCTCTGAGTGTAACAAGAAGCCATTCAAATCAAAAGATGCTCTTAGGGATCATCAAAACGCTCGACATTCTCATTCTTGCGATGGTTGCGAGAAGAAGTTTCAAACTGTGGAGAGCTTGAGTCAACATGAGTGTATAATGTACGAGAATCATAAAACGGGGAAAGCAAAGGTAATACACTTACCAGCAGTGCACAGGATACACAGTACATCAGCTGACAATATCGTAGACTCCTCAGTCCACATTCCAAAAACCGCCGCCTGTACCAGAAATGCTGTCTTGCACCAAATGCAGTAAAAAGTTCATGAGCACAGAGAGCTTGGCTCAGCATATGAGCGATAAAGATCATACAGGGCAGAAGCCAAAGGTAACAGAATCTAGGAACAATGTAAAGTATATCAGCTAACGATATTGCGGACTCTTCAGTCGACAGCCTCCAAACCACCACCTGCACCGGCCATGGTCCCTTGTACCAAATGTACAAAGACATTCAAGAGTGCAGACAGCCTGGCTGATCACATGAAGAACAAACATCACACAGAACAGAAAGGGAAGACGAATCAACAGCCTTCTATCGTAGCGGCCAAAGACATCATACAAACGGCACCACCTAAACCACCACGCCCACAATTCCAAACACCGGAATCCTATCAAGCGAAGCCGACACCAACTATATCAGGAAGTAGCACAGAGAAAGGCAAGACGCTCATTACACACCCTAGCCCACAACTAACTCCAACAAACAGCGCTCCCAATCAACCAATATCCCATCAACGAACAATCAACAATGCTCGACCCCCTCGAACAACCCCTCCTCTATAGATACCTCCTATCAAGATGCCACCCTATCCCCCGCCTAAGAGAACAAGGATACAACATGACCATCCCCAACAAAAACGACGTGAAGAAAAACACCAGCAGATGTATCTGCACCGGCAGGCCACACACACAACACGAATACGACTTCGCCTACCCAGACCCGGACGCACTACAGACTCAATCCAAGATCCGGAAAGCATTAGTGCTAACCGCGAAGACAACAACGATACTCGATACTGAGGTTATTGAGTCCATGACGATTCTTGATTTCCTGACTGGCGAGATGCTCTATGATGGGACGTTTGAGCACGAAGCGCTCCACAGTGAGGGGTTGAACATGGTAGATGATGGGGTTCTATGGGCACGGGATATATTGCTTCCATATGTTGATCGGTATACCGTCTTGGTTGGGCATTGTCTAGTCAAGAGTTTTAATATCTTGAAGATGGAGACGGAGATGGGTACCAGCCGGATTGTGGATACGGCAATTATCACCAGTGAAGCGGTATCAGGGTCTGATTGTACGAAGCAGTCTTCTAAATGGTTCTTTGCATTGGATGAGTTGGCTGGGGAGATGCTTGGTTGGGCTGATTGGGGAGAGGATGGGGAGGACATGGGCAAGTTTGAGGGTTGTTTTTGGGAGGCGCTCGTTACTAGGGAGGTTCTGCTTTGGTGTCTTACTGGACCGGATTGTTTGAGGGATTGGGCTGAGATGGTTCGGGCAAGAGCCGAGATCTTTCAGGGTAACTGTGATGATGAACCTTTGAGTTTGAGTGAGAGTGAGAGTGAGAGTGAGAGCGAGAGTGAGTTTGGCGATTTTGAGTGGTTTGATAAAGAGGAGTTGGTGGATTGATTCGAAATGTGTTAAGATTGTGGTGTTGAGCTTTGGTTATTCTGCCATCGTCGCTTCTTTCCTTACTTATGCTGAGATATCATAGATCTGGCGTCTCGAATTAGACATTCATTGCTCCTCTCTATTATCTCATCTGAGTTAACTTATATGTGTGCACAGAGATATAAGAATTCAGGTCGACAATTAAGTATTATCACCATTTCAACGAGAAGAGATCGCACCGAAGACAAAAGAAATAGGAAATAGGACAACCAGGGGAGCGGGGGAATGACACGCCAAATTTACAATCACACAAGGAAATACACAGAGACAAAAACAAACTGATGGCAAGTAGCCGACGCAAAGAGAACATCTCAAATAGCAGGGGAAAGCAGCAGTCTCCTCATCTCACCACATAAATCGAGATAACCACCACAATCCAATGCCCAAATCAAATTTTATGCACACCACATCGTCATCAAAATACAATCCACTGACCAAAACATCCACTAAAGAATACTCCGACTGGCTTGACTGCGAGACCGCTGACTAGCACGGCTGGGACTAGTCCGACTCGGCTCATCCTCTTCAAGAACATCACTAAGACGAGTCGGGTGTCGATGACGGGGAGTCATAGACTCCCACCCCGTCCCAGGACCCCACCCGGCACCACTATAATCAGCAGCCGAGACAGGTGGATAGGGAGCCTGCAAAGGCGCAGAGGATGCAGCAGAGGTGTAAGAACCGTCGGGCATGTAGTGACGGTCATCGTCGGCGGCGTTATCGTATTCTTCGCTTCCCTCTGAGAGAGGCGGTGGATAGGAGAGGCTGTGGCCCTGCGGATCGTGCGCGTACTGCGCGTACTCTTCGTCGCCGGCGTCGCTGCTTCCTACGTAGGAGCGGTCGTCTGGTTCGGATGTTGGTGGCTGTGCGGCGTACGGCACTGAGGTGTTTTGGTGCTCGTAGAGTTGGCCTGGGTATGGGGCCTTCGAGGTCGCTGGGGGGTCTGTCTTTTTCGGTTCGATGAAGGGGTCTGAGCTAGTTGGGGACATGGGCGTGCCGTCTGAGTAGTATTGGTTGCTTGTACTGGGCCCGGTGGGTTTCCCGTAGGCGTCTGTGCCCATGCTTGTTGCTGTGGGTCCGCCTGGATAGGGACCTTCGCGGGTTTGGGGTCGGTTGGTTGTGTTTTGTCGGCTTGGGACGCCGGAGATCATCGGTACTACTTGCACGCCGCCGACTAAGGTTGGTTCGCCGTTGCGGAGGGAGTTGGTTCGGTCTCGCTCTTCTTGTTCACGGCGGCCGAGTTCTTCCCAGGCACGGCGGGCTTCTTCTTTGGAGATTTGGAGTTCGCGCCGCATTTCTTTGAGGAGCTCTTCTGCGCGGACTTTGTCCTTGTCAGCCGTTTGGGCGGCGGCGAAGGCATCGGCTCGGCCTTGTCGTTCGGCTTTGAGTTGGCGGTCCAGGTCTGCTTGTACTTCCTTGGCTCGTTCCTGCTCGGCACGCGTGTCGAAGAACCAACGCTGGAACTTGCGTTCTGAGGAGGCTCGTAGACGTTGCAATTCGACTACTGCGTGGAACAGATTGGCGCCAGCGGCAGACAAGTCGGTTATCTGTCGAGCTAGTTGTTGACTGAGTGGATCACGTTCTAGGTCCTCGTTGTGCTGTTCAAGCTTGCGCATCCAGTAACTGGTGAGACCCTCCCAGTGCGAGGAAAGAGTCTCCCATCGCTCGAATGCATGTGGGAAACCAACACGACGCGGCTGTTGAAGAGATTGCGCAGTAGCAGATGACGCTGCAGCTGCGGCGGGTTGGGCAGGCTTGGAAAATCCACTCGCCCCAGTCTGAGCTCCAGCTGCTGCTGCACTTTGCGACCGTCCATGCTGGGGTACATTTTCACCCCGGGGTTGTTGACTGGACGCTTGTACTGGCCGAGACTGACCGGCAACTGGCCCTGCACTGGTTGTGGGAGGTGCGGGCTGGTAACCAGCCGGAGGTCCAGAGACAGGAACAGTATCAGACTGCGGTTCAGCAGCCCTAGATGCGCGCGGGATCCGAGTTCGAGACTGAGAGACATTATCACCAGAAATAGCAGCAGAGTACTGCTGAGCCTGAGCCCGAGCCTGAGCCTCAGCCTGAATTTGAGCCTGCTCATGCTCAAGCTGCTGTCGTTCCAGTTCCTCCTGTTCCCGGTCTCGGGCATCCTGCTCGGCCTTCCGGCGAGCCTCCCGATCCCTTCGCTGTCTCATGATATCTGTCGGCGTCCGCATCCCACTCGGGGGCTGCGATGACCCCGATACTGGGTTCGGATTCTGGGGTACACGGGCTCCACCATTCTGAGGACGGCCGTTGCCCATAGGCCCAGCAGGACCAGCTACACCTACCATGTCTGACATAGACGCATTCACTTCGTCCCAGTCAGTTGAAAGTTGAAGAGGACCGCGGATGGCGTCTTCAAGGGCAAAGAGAATTGCAGACGCAGTGCGTGATGAGACACCGGTTGTGCGCTGCGGCCAATAGGAAGTGTCGAGAAGCTGGTAGGGGTCGTCTACGGTCGACCCGTTGTCGTCAGTATGAGCCTCGGAAAGGGCCGGACGTAGCGCAGCGATTCCACTGGCTGGAGGCTGTTGCACAGAGCTTTGTATTGTATGCGCCGGCTGCGGGCGAGGGTGCGAAGGGACGTCTAAGGAGACAGCTCGACGGTGGAGGTTTTGTCGGGCCTCTGGCTGTCGGCGAACGCGACGTAAGGTGCGCTGGGAGTCGGAGGCGCTAGGGGGTCGGAATTGGGAGTCTGCTGAGGCAGAGGATGGTCGTTGGGCCACTGGCTGGCGTTGCCGCGCAAAGGTCGTAAGTGTAGGGTCGTAAACGTCGTGGACTTCGTCAGACGCTCTTGGGGTGTGGCGAGACACCTCTAAGACGGGTCGGTTGAATTGCGGATTGAAAGGCAATGCGAGGGTTCGTTAGGATAGCTCTCAAAGGGATCGCGATCGGTAATGTCGATCACTCCGAGCTCGTGAAAGGATTACAGCCCCAAAGGCTGTACGTTTCAAATCTCGATCCACGCAATAACGCAATTGAGAGAGAAACCGATACAATCTGAGAGGAGTTTGGGGAAGAGAAAGGGGAGTGGGAGGTGGCTGGTTAATTGGGATGGCTGGGGTCGCCGCAGCTCAAGCTGCAGCGCAAACGTGTCTCGGGGCGCATGAAGCGCCAACACTGACCAGTCTGAGAGGAAAAGCGGGAAAAGAGAGAAAGACAGAAGAGGAAGCAAAGATGGAAGAAGAAAGAGAAGCTTGAATTGGGCGGAATGTGCTTTCGGGAATGTCGAGGTCTTCTGTGCCCTAATGCCAACTTTTTGGGCTCTGTTTCAGCGGTCAGGTCCCAACTCAACAATCTCAATCAATCTCAGACCATGAGTACACGAGTCCGAATGAGGATACAGAGCTGTACCTTAAGACTGTCGACAATTGGCGATGGTGTATTGAGATCCGGTCGCACAGACGATCGGTGGTGATAGATCACTGCAGGGGCATACACACTAAGGGTCATTCAAAGCACCTTATACATTGATGATATGTAAGGAAGAGTGCAGGGGAGAAAGGAGAACAAAAGAACAAAGCCTCGAGTCCACCACAGAAACAGGAGTGAGGCGAGATTATCTCCATAGAGCAGCCATGGTTGGGCTTGAGACTAGCCAGTACTAATTCTGTACTGATGCGCTGGCAATTGTCACTCTTATACTTCGGGCACTCAGATGTCTGTCATGATTTCACCATCCTTTTTCCAGTTCAAAATCCGTCGATTTTAACAGCTAAAGGTGGCATCTGTATACGCAGCAACACACAGCACCCTCGAGAATCCTGGGTCTGACCCCATTGGAACCAGTGGTTCACTTCGCGCCGGCTCGTTGGGCTTTTCATGGAACGAACTGCTCTCCACAGTTCGTAGGGGGTCTATTGGTAATTGCATGTCTGGTTTGAAGTGTAGATAGTTGGGATGTAGAATTTGATATAGGATATAATTCAGTCAATACGTCCAATTGAGTGAAGGAAGACATGCACAAGATTGTGTTCATTTGAATTCCCCGCAATGACGTCGCTTCTCCGGTCTCTCAATGACAAAGCAGTTCCTGGATCAAAGTATAAGTCACATGTTCCTCTCCTAGATCTACTAGACTGCAACTGAATATGGTATCGGAGCTTGCTCAATAGCCCTTCGATCTTGGAGCGTGTTCGTCGGAAAAAGGACAGAAAAGGAAGCGATGACAGGCTTGTTTCTCTTCGTGCATATATCCAGAAACAAATCATGATTTCTTAGTCTGCTCATCACTCGATCAAGCGTATCCACCGGCTCGGAAGCCGTCCATTTGATCTCGGATGTATGGACGTACTCATAGCTCTTGCGTCTGCTAAAAGCATCAGGGGTAGGAGCCGGTTGTTCAGCCATAGTGAGGGTGTTGGAAATGAAAGATAACTTGACTGTCGAAATTAGTGTGCGTGTGTGTGTGAGAACGGAGACTTGCAGATGTTGTCTTGACTAGGAATTGATGTGATATCATATATAAAGGTGAAATTTTCATACTGGGAGATTCAAAGGAGATTATTGGAGACTGCTCATTTGAATACATCGAAGAAAATCATGTAGTAGGTAGGCCGAAGTCGTTCGTTTTGACATGCTTGATATAATTGCTTGTTGGACAGCCAAGTACCAACCCACTGCTTTCCTTCCTGGGGGTGCGAAAATACCAGTAGAAGAGGAATGTCCTGCTACTGTTGAACAAAATATAAGCTCACAATAGGCCAAAAACCCTCCAGCGGGTAGACTCAATCGCGTTGGCGCTGTCTAGTCTACGAGTACCGTCGTCCCAGCACTGCAACGGTGCGTAACTCAAGAACGCCTCGGCGCTTGTTACTCTTATTCGCTCGCCTCCACTGACACAACGTATAAAGTCATTTCCGACTTGATTATCCTTCGTTTGCCTGTTTCCGAACATAGCCATAGTAGCGTCACGTAGATGGGCTGCATAAAGTTCGGGAGTTATATCTCCAGAAAGGGTGCGAGGTATTCGGACAAGTGCTGCCTGATAGAGTGTATCACCCACAGAGAGGGCCGGAAAAGTGGCAGTCGAGCTCGACCTCCAGTTCGTGCCATAGCTGTTCGGAGACTTCTAAATCCTCTTAGACAAATTATGGTTCGATCAACCCCACCAGGCCTTGCTGGGGGTTGACAAGCCACACTTTGGATGGAAAATGAGGCTTATGAGGCGAAAAGAACGGTGGTCAATAGAAGGCCAGGCATGTGTAGAACAACTTCTTGTCGCAATCAAAAACAGGACAACTAAGAATGAGAAAATACTGCACAGATACGTAGACCTCAGCCAATCTACTTCAAAGGCCGTAAATGCCTGGGTAGAGCATTGTCAAATCATATTGCTACGATCGACCGGATGATCGACGGCTGTGCCGAACCCCTTTCTTGGCCTTTTTTAGGCTGCCTCGCCTGTCAAGGCCTACTATACTATAGAGCATACTATAAAGACAGTGGGAACTGTGATAAGACTACTGTACATTGGAAATAGCTTCAACACGCCTGGACCAGCGTAGGAATACGTTTTGATCTTAACGTGCAAATACCATGAGATGAGCCGATGCTTGTAGATTGAACCTTTGTGTGTATGATACCAAATTTGAGTGTCCTTCTCTACAATGATGCAGGATTTTCAAGATCTGAATGTTCAAATTCAATTCCAAAGACGCACGTAATAGTAACAAGAAACATCGCCCAGGTTGGAGGCTTGTAATTCGACGGATACGGCATATGAAATGAACCAGTGAGATGTAGCCAAGAAAACGCAAAAGGATTCCTCGAAAAACAAAGCATATCGCCAACAGCGAAAGCCATAAAGTGCTTATTGGATTGCACATGTGTCCGGGAGTATATATCTCTTAATACGTCCTGAACGTTCCACCATCTTGGTGTTGAGGTTAAGGTACGACCGAAGATTTGATATCATCAAGTTGAATAAATGTGTGATACTTGCCCCTTGATCAATCGAGAAAGTTGCATAGGAATGACAAATAGAAAAAATCCCCCTTCAGGGCTTGAGGACAGCCACGGCCATTTACTGGGACGCAAAGTGGGTTCAATTTACAGCTGAGCAGGATCGAACAAGAGCCGATGTCATATAGGATAGAAGTCAAGTGAAGTTTGGGCTCCCGCTTCATTTGCCTAACCGTCTTAGGGAAGGCGAAGTCTTTATTTTTTTTCTGGCGTCTACCATACAGTACGGAGCGATGTAGGTACAAGGCGCCTTTGAAATTTCAGCCTTACGAGGACTGTAGATGTTACTAAAACAAATGATTCGTTTCCCCTAAGACAACTAGGCAGGTGGAACGGGTGTCCGACTTCTGTACATTAAGTTTCACTAGACACTTAAACAAATGGACCAGATTGGAAACATTAGAATAATGCAGTACAGAAGACCAGACAACCTACCAGGGGGAGTACATATAGTCCAGGTTTTTTTTCTGGTGTGACAGCTCTATCTCACCGTTATGACTGTCACACCGCTGGAGATGAGTGTGGACCCGTAGACTAGACACTAAGCACTAGCACGCGCGGCGCATCGACCAATACTTATTAGTTCCCGGGTCCAGGCCATTACGGTAAGTGGCTGCCAGTTTCATCCTCTATAGTTGTGACAAATATACAGCGATGTATGTGGGGTGAGATACAAATATTGAATTCTCGGACTTCGTATTCATCAGATCTGTTCGGAAACTGCAGAGTGCGCTCAGTAGCGCTGCATCGCTGAATTCGTGTTTCTGGGGAATCTGAGCTTTTCCATACTAAGCAAGAGGTAGAGGTTGGAAAACCGAACCTCACCTGGTGCACCAAAGACACCGTCAGGTTGTTATCAACAGTTATCTCGATGGTATATCCGGCGAGAATGATGCTCAACTTGCAAGGCATCACCCTATCATGCGGCTGCACACCGGGTTGGTTATATGTGCGTGGTACAGGTATGCTTAGTAGATCTTCAGGCAAGAGTAAGCCTCAGTGGATTACCTGCTCTGTTGATGCACAGAGACGTGGCGTATTCTAACAAATGCAGACATTTCAGGGACCTCGTGGAGAAGAAGTTGAAGCAGTTCTGGTGAAGCACCCGATCACTGCAGATGCTGTAGTGACCGGCATTAAGCTCACCAGTGGGACCGACGGAGGGGCCCTGTGCATGTGCGATGTGGTGCGTTCAGTGGGAGCACCCCGAAAGCGCAATGCAAGTAATGTGTATGAGTCCACACAGCAGCGATTTGTAAGTTTTGCAGCTTAGGACGCAGGATTTTGCTTTGTGGAGAGTTTTCCAGGGCAGGTGAGCGCGAGCGTGCTGGCAGGAGAGTCAGCAGGCATGAACAACCGAAAATAATGCCTTGCAGAAGCTCTGAAGGAGTTGAAGGACCAATCATGAAATCCGGGCGTGTGTAAATGCGATTTTTCTCTTCGAGATAGAATTATTGTGCCGACTAGAGAGTTTGTCAGTCACGAAGTTGATTTTTCTAAATAATTGCATTGACTGAGGATTGGACGGAAAGAGGCCTTGCATTCGCTTTTGTGTGTAAATCAAAGAGAGCGCACGTGAACATGATGAAGACAAGTCCGCAGGTCTCACACAATCTTTCTGTAACGTGCTAATGACGACGCGTCGATCGACATTCCTCTTCGCCAGCCTACGAAAGTTCTATCTTTCAAAGACACAAGCATACTCAGCTGTCTTTTGGATAAAAGTGTTAAATTGAAGCTTTGCGGTTTACTAGTACTTATGCATGTATTTTTAAAGTTGCTACCGGCGTCGGATCAAGGGTGTCGACGGTATACTCTACACCGAAAGATGAGAAACATCCTCTATAACTCATAACGAAAAGTCAACTAGAACAGAGTCATCATGTACTTGTTACAGTTCTTTACTATTGCTATGAAGGCGCATAGGCGTCAAGGGGTACAAATCTGTTCCATCTAGTGAGTGAGATTGATAGATCATGGACCAAATCTGTTCATCGCACCAATAGGTAGGTAATATACGAAATGCTGGTTTAATAAACTAGATCTTTCATTTTTTTACCCAATTTCATTGCTCTAAATCTTAGGCGTTCAGTTGTGTATCAAATGGATAGTGGTGGATCGGCGATTATAGGTAATTTGGTGGTCAGATATATATATGAGAGCGCAGCTCCTTAATCTACTCAACATAACACCTGCACATTGACCACAATATGGTGGATCTTTATATTATTAAATACATTTGTATCCTTCCATTTCACTTCCTTGTGTGTTAGGTTTCCCACTTATATTTCAAGGCCAACCATATGAAGTCCTACAACGAATATCAAGCTGAAGAAGGAGGCTACGAGAATAGTACTAGACGAACATTGTGGCCAATATCACGATTTCCAGAAGAAAAAGCATCTCAGGTTCTGACTGTTTGGATGCAAGATGTTTTATTATAGATAACTTACAATAAGGAGTCTGAATTACACTGCTCAGTAGATGTCTCTTAGTGATCAGCCAATCACCAACCCGGAACAAGTGATTACTTTTTAGAACCCTCACATGACGTCAACAAACAAACCGAAATTCACTTCTGATCCCGAGCATCTTCAAGCGACAGTTAAGATTAGAGTAACCTAGGCAGCTCGAAGCTTCCCTGGATACAGACCCCAAGCCAGCAAAGCCAATTCCAAATCCCAAAGCGAGGAGAAAGGTCCTCGATACAACCTCATTTCACCGAGACACCCAACCCCGACAACCAGCAAAACAAACAACCACGAAGAGACAGCTACATTAGCAATCTCGACATACATCATGCAAACGCATAACAAGCCCCTGGGGAGTAGTGAGAGCGAAGAGGTCCAGACCCAAGCCGGAAGAACCTGCAAGGGTGCCAGTATCGGAAAATTAGACAGGGCCCCGGAAGAGCTCCAAGCCGCGGCGCTACGGATGCACGAAGCGAAACCCGGCAGAGTCTCGAAGACCCAGTATTGAGGTAGGTTTCAAGCATGCCTTGCAGGGCACAGCATGATCTCAGATCCGGGGCTTGGTGTTTTGGATCTGAAGTGTTTCACTGTTGGCCAATTAAGGAGGTCCCTTGCGAGAACTGGGGAGAAGACTTCCGGGGGAAGAAGGGTAGATCCCTTAGGGTAGGGATCGTAGGTGTCTCTGTTCTATTGTACTCTATTTCACGGGGGGATGAAGCCTAAGTTGTAGGGAGTGCGAGGGAGGTGATGGCCCTCGGTTGCTGGCCTTGACCCCTGTTCGTCCTCCTTGAAATTCTGGAGACCCTAGAGATTGATTCTGGGACCTCTGTGAGAGTTGAACTCGATAGACGGAAGCATGCATATAATCCGATGCTAGTTCACGGTGACCAATTTCGGTCGTTTACATAGTGTGCAGTGAGGAATGTGACGAGGATGGGAGGCGAGGGTGTTCTGCAGAGACTGCGTCCCCGGTGAGTTAATCGCAATGATATCGCGAACAGTGCATGAACCGCTAGAGAGTTCCTATGTTGTCGATCAGGGGTACTACTGGGGGGCTGCCGATATTTATACAGATGCATGAATAGCTGCACTGCGACGGCCATCTGTATAGCGGGATGCATGCAAGTCAAACTTTTTCAATGGAATGTGGGGTTTATTGATTGGACTGAAATAATGTCTCGAGTGTTTTGTTTTGATTAGCTGGAGTTGTCGGATTGAGATGCGATGGGTTTACAGCTCTGGAGTATAGATGGGAGCGTTATCCAATATTCAGACATGACACTTTCACACTTTGACAGAGGAGAAATCCGAATGGTTCGATCATAAAACTTAAGAAACAGAGTTCTTCCGATGGGCGAATAAAATTATAATGGACTGTTACAGCTGCACAGCATTTGTGATTTGTCAAGTGTCAATGTGCTCCTTGACGGGGTTGTCCGTCCCTTGGATTATGAAGGTTCTGGGGGATCTGACCCTTTACACCCTGGAAAATAGACATTCTAGTGAAGTCTAGAAGAATAACTTCAGGTCGCTACGACTAGAATAAGCCGACGGCATTCGAGCGGGTAACGTCAGGAAGACAGCCACACAGCCATGACGTAGGGGAATAAAACGAATGAAACGTTGAGGCTCGAATTTAACGTTGGTTGCTATGAATGAGACAGGAATGCACCGACGTGGATGGCGCAGTCGCAAAAGTCCCAAGTGACAGAGAAGACTTACAGATCGCGATCGGCATTAGTGGCTCCGGGCAGTGGCTGATATCTCACATTTCTCACTCCCAGCCTCGGACTTCTGTCTGCGCAGCTCTGCAGCTCTGCAGTGCATGAAGATGCTGGTAAGCGTGTCGAACTTTTGTCTGGCTGGACTTTTGCGTCCCACTCAGCTTGGAATTGGTTGATCAAAATGATGAACCTGAAGGCAACACGACAAGTCTAATCACAGTCGTACTGTGTCACTTTTCCCCTGGAGCGCATGGGCAACCCGAGCAAGCAGTGCACAGCACACAACACAGAGTACACAGACAGACAAGAGTCTACAACGTATGCTTCGGGATGTTCCTCACTAAAGCCCTACGGATCGAGTTCCGCGCGCCCTTGCTGGGGGGGTCCAATGGAGGTCCTTGCTGCAACCCCCTAGGGAAGGGGATGCAGGTCGGATAGGTCATGATCGTCTGTGCGGGTCTTTTGTTTACATGCATTGGCATGTCTAGCCACCGGGTCATTGTGCTAGGCCTGGGAGGTTATTTTTGGTCTATAAACATATCCCTCCCTGGTACACCCTTCTTCATTCTTCTCTCCACTCTTCCCTGTTCATTGTGCCTGGGTCCTAGAGATCCTTCACTCGTCTTTCACCTTGTTCTTTGTCGATCACCCCATGGCTCACAGAGATCTATACTGTCCAGGCGAGTTGGACGTGTTGCATAGTAACATATCAGAGACGACCATTTGCCTGCCATCACCGTCACCAAGGAAGCGAACTTCAACCTATTACCCCAGATCTGGCCTTAAGGTGTTGGAGGATTCAAACCTCGACCCATTCTACCTCGAACAATCACTGGCCGACACGCCATCTTGGGATTACACCTCGGAGATGCGCAATGATAGTTTTGAAGACAACAGCCACTACTATACATTGTCATTGACCCCAGGAAAGGACTTCCACAACTCATCAAATTACGGACCGGACCGCTCTACACTCGCCCAGGTCGAATTGGAGAACAGCCTGCGATTCCACCGATACACCCCCTCGACAGAGCGGAGTCCTCTGCATAGCAGCCAGGATTCATTCAGCTCCGTGCAGACAGACAGCACTATCCCAGACCTCACTCCCAGCAGCTCTTTCTCCTCCACATACTCTTCTCCCAGCTGCCCAGACGTCGTCCTCCAGGCGACAGAGCAGCTATACAAGCACGCACAGGAGGCTCACCTCGAGCCCCGGCGTCGCTTCTACCTCCCTGCCTCTACTCCCCCGAAATATTCTCTTCCTCCCCCTCCTCCCCCGCCGGTGGCTCCTCTGACCCCGGCGGATACTCGTCCTACTACTCCTTGCGAGCCGTCAAACGACTCCACCACCACCATCACCATGGGATACGAGGACATGACTGGAGCTGGGTCTATGTCGACCCGGTCACGCCGCAGAAAGGAACCTCCAACCCTTCCCAACTTGTCTCGTGGCACCAGCTCTCACAGCTCGCGCCGCAAGCAATCTAGCCCTGGAACACGCCCTCCTCTGGATCCATCTATGATCTCGCCTCCATGCTTGATCAACCCCGTCACAATGGAGCCTCATATGACGCACTTCGATCACCCCCTCTTCATCCCTGCCAATGACTGCCCTAGTCCTGTTCCTAGCCCAGTGGCTAGCTCCCCACCGATCTCCCGCCAATGGACAGCAACATCCATGGAACGCCCATCAACCTCCACAATGGATGCCTATTGTGAACAATCCGTATGGGAGTCGGACTCGGAAAGCGAGTCCGTCGGCCGGAAGTCAATCTCTCGCCGGCCAATTGACACTCTCCGCAAGGTTCGCAGCCGCGCGAAGCTCCGTGGTGCCAAGTCGCAGCCTCGTCTTCATCAGACCATGCTCGATGACCAGACAATGGAGCAATTCCCTTGCATGCCAGATGATATCCTCGCCGAGCACATCACCAACTCCTTCCGCAATGCCAGCATGGACCGACCTAGCACAAGCCGTGATGGCCTTCGTCCATCTGGACTTGCAACCCTGCGCTTAGTTGCCCCCTCTACTACCTCCCTCGTTAAGTCTCGATCCCGCAAGAATAGCAGCATCAACAGCTCGGACGTGGATCGTTCAGCTGCTGCTGCTTTCCAAGCACAGTTCCGCCGCCGCCAGCGTTCTGATACACCAGAGTGCTCCACCTCTTCACTTGGCAAGGAAGAAAAGGAGAAGTTGACATCGTTCTGCTTTGAGCAGCACCCTCAACCCACTATCCATGATGGTGCTCAGTCCCGTCCCTTCTTTCAGCGATTTATGGACTCACTCCGCTCCTTGAATTGCGGCAAGCCTACCAAAAAGACAAATGTCTCTGTCATCTAATGCTTCACACTCGGCGTTTCTGCTTCTAGATTCAACAATAACGGACGAACTCATTGCTACATTATCCCAGCTTTCTCAACGATCACTCCAACGATTTCTTACTGTCTCACGCTCAACGTGTTCCCACGATCACGAACACTTGCACTCTTTTATGCCACCAGAACACTCGCTTGGTTCGAGTGTACCGCACCCCGCGCACAATGAACTTAATGAATCTCCAGACCCGATTGTGGCTGGACTCCGACGCGCCTCAAGACGTTCTCTGCATGCGCACATCCGCGCTACGAAACGAACATGATATACCTGGTCAATGACCATGACTATTGACTTATGACTCGATACCCTCGGGCTCACTATCTTTAATTTTCCTTACTGTCTCATCTCGCATTCTTGTCTGTTTGACAGCGCTATAGCTGTGTTGTACTACCATGTCTTGTTTATTTTTTTTGCTTCTATCATGTCTTGCTCCATCCATGTCTGTTTGATTGATTTGATTCAATTCCTCTCACTTCAAGACAACGCTTTCTTTTTTTTTTTTTTTGGCAGTCTACGTGAACTATAATTCCGATCATAGAGGAACACGGCGCCCTGTATGGATTGTGGTCTCTGATTATCTGAGCCCAAATCGCAGTTCTTTTGGATTTCAAAACAAAAAATTGTTTCATTACTTGCACTACTTTTGGATAGACAAAAATGCATACATCATACATTACTTTCAAGCATGAATGATCCTTCGCTACTATGTTGTCAAGGGGATGGATGTCTTCTCCGGAATGTTCGATGGACTCCTCCAGACAACCTTCAGGTATCCTTCGATCCTACCGCAGCCTCCGTGAATATTAATAGTAACGTTAATTCCATGACGAATAACAGCATAGTTATGCCGTTATGTCTACTCTTTAAAAACTATCGAATATGTGTTCCCGGTCGCCCTTCCACCTACGTTATCCTGCATTGGGCGTGACTGGACTTCAATTCCAACAACCTTTCAACAGGAGGCAGAATATTCCCTACTCCTACTTTCTCTGAGATATACCAGAGACCCCACCTAGCCAGCGCGCACTTACAGTACTAACACCTAAAAAGGTAAAGGTACTGACTTCACTAGATGATCCCCCAAACCCACTAGACCCACAAGGATCACCACAATCTGCAGCTGTCGCGGAACTACTTAATGTACGCGACAAGGGTGTGATCCTGGATACTGGGTCTCCCAGAAAAAAAATGGCTACTAGTCTATCCTTACCTGTCAACTTCGATCCACTGCTATTCCAGTAGGATACCCCACTATGAAGGCCCAGAGCTCAGAGCCCAGATCGTGATCCGCGATCACGAAGTGCAGTGCTGACTCCGTCCTAATGCAGCGGAGACGCGGACTTGGATCTAGTCAGGGAGCTGGGGTGTTGTTAGATTGGCGTGTCGAGGGATGTTAGCGTTTGCGGAGATAGAACCCCATATAAACAACAGTAGCAGTGGTTGGCAATCGGCCACCCCGAGCTGTTGATCTTCATTGATGGTCTTCTGCCTCTACACCATTGCCACAAATTGGTTTTCAGCTGGGCAAAATCCAGCCCTCTCAGAGTGTACAGGTATACCGTTCTGTGCGGATGGAACGCATCATCCGCCATCCCTTGCTTCGGCCCCTCAACGTCCATCCGCGTACTTCTGAACTTCGGCTGAAAACACCCACAGACTTATTGTAGTTTGGATTTGGTGGAGAGGTTTGCATGAATAGTACCGTGCAGTCTTGTTTCCATGCTACCAAACGGGTTTCTCCCTGCGTTAATGTCATTTTGATATCACAATCGAGAAGTCGTCCGTCCCGATCGATTCGAACAAAAGGACAATGATCTTCGATCTTCTTGGTGCTCCTTTGACAGGTTACGCTAGACAGGGGTCTCGATTGCCCCGGCCAAACAACTCTTCATCCCTTTTGTCGGGACTCTATATCACAAGTAAGGTGTCCCGATCCACCGGATGCACTGTTTCCTCCCCCGAGGCGCACCTCGGGTTTCAGATAGATCGGAGTTTGCAGGGCTGTAAGGCTCTCGATCGGGTGTTTGGTGGGGATTCGTACTTTGTCTCGCTTTCTTTCGTTCTTTCCGTAATGCCTAGGCCTACGTAGCAAAAGTGACATATGATGAGTCGATTTTGCCTCGTGTTTGTCAATCAATTTCTTCTTCTTGCTGGTTGCCTTATGGCTGTGGTCCTATTTGCAAAGTCACAATCGTGATGTAGCCCAATTGCTTCCTGGACCTTTTTTTTCCCCCTCTCTCTCTAGAGTCTGGATAAATGTTTCAGCCCTCGCAGGAAAACAGATCTCGATCCTGATTATACCCCTGGCAACAACCGTTCCTACAGGAGTCTGCAGGAACATCATTGACTCCTAGAGTCAATGTCTCAGAGAAGCAAAACCGTTTAGTCCCAGACAACTCAGGACACACAGCCCGGACCGGGGCTCCGCTCCTCCGTCCGCATCCTTGCAGAACAGCGGGTATCCAATCCAGGTTTTTGGGACTTGCCTGGCCTAGGGGGAATCGTGCAGCGCGGGACGGCGGCGGAAGACCCGAGAGACAGACAGTTGATCCGTCGTGCAGAAATTTCCCAGAGCAAAACAAAGAACAAATCTTTCCTCTCTTCGTCGTGAGACTTTATTGTGTAGATCGCCGACCAAAACACGGCTCGTCGCATCCATGACAAAGACATTGACCCAGGCCGTGTCTTGGTCGGTGCATGTCTGGGAACAGCTTCAACTCTGCTCCACAGCCAGCGCGGCACTGGCACCTGCACCGGAGGCCGACTCCGAGCCCGCGCTCTGGCCCCTGTTCTCCTGCTCTTTCTCCTTCTCCCTCATCTCCAAGGCTTCCATATTCTCTTCCCACCGCGGAACAGCAACCCTCTCCTCCCACTTGGAAATAACCACATCCCCCTTCCTCGCCAGCTGTGCCTCAGCAGACTCCCCTTCCTTACTCCTACTCTCGGGAACCACCTCCGCAGGCACAGCAGCACCCCCTTCACCCCCACCAGCGAAAACAGCCTGCACATCCAACTCCTTCAACGCAGCCTGGTAAAGCGCGCGAACCTGCTCCCTCTTCTGTCGGCGCAGGTCCGCCCCCTCATCCACATTCGTTTTTCCCTTCTCCTCCCGCGTAGATAGAGCAGCACCACCCCGCACCACCGGCTTCTTGACCACACCCGGCCCACTGCGCTCCTCAAAACCACGTAGTAATCCTTCCAGAATTCCAAGAATGGTCCCAGCCCTCATACCCATCTGCGCGCCGACCGGGAACCCCGCATCGAAGCCGTCTTGGACATGTTGGCCCTTTGCCATTGAGACGCCATCGCGGTAGCCGGCTGTGACGTGTTGGCGGCGTAGAGAGGGCAGGTCGGATGGCTCGTGTGTAGATCTTGAGGCCTGGCCTGAGGTAGTGGTTTCTTCTGCTGCGCGGTGTGGCGCGTGTAGCTCCCTTTCGCCGCGTGGTGGGGAGGAGCCGAAAATGTCGTCTAGCGAGTTGTCGGCTGCATTGTCGGCCTGTGTTGAGGTCATTGTTGTTGCTGGGGAGGGAGACGCGGATTGAGCGGAGCTTGAGTCTGTGTGAGTTTGGCTCATTACGGAGCGTTGTGTGGCTGTTGATTCGAGTTGAAGTGGTGAACTCATTGACTTGAAGAAAAATTGATAAGCGGGGCGTTCCCCACACTTCCGCCCTACCGTATACTTCCTTTGTTTTTTTTTTGTGTTTTTTTTTTGGCTCTCTTTCTATGTATTCGCGTTTTTGTTTAATTATTGATTGGCGTGGTATGTATGGCTCTGGGACCTTTTTGGAAGAGCTAAGAAAGCTATTATCGTAATATGAAATGTACCATTTTGTGCTATTGTTTTGCCTTACCTTGGTCTGTCTTTTTTCACCTCTTTTTCACCCATTTTTGAGTACTTCCGGTCAATTATCTAAATCTTACTCCGTGTGAAAGTTAGGATATGAAGGAGCTGTTACAGGAGGGAGGGTTGATACTGCAATGGCTAAACGGACTATGTGCAGTGCATGCATATTTTCCGGGAATCTGAAAACCGGGTCTGCATCGGTTCAGTTGATGGGGAACTACAGAAGCAGCGCTCACAGAAATGGCAGGAGAGGCAAATACAAGGGTATCAGGCCAAATGACACAAAAAGAAACAAAAGCAAACGTAGATACCGATGACCAAATGGGTAGGCATTGATAATTTTTATATGGAAACCCTGCAACTTCTTTTCCCATGATGTTTCTCTAGCATCCCTGTCTACACCTTTTCACACTATCATCACCAACCATGGAGTATTTATTTGGTACTTTTTGCTGTGTCCAAGAAGGCCTTGAGCACCTCGCCCATCTTCCAGCTTTGTTTAAATCTCTCGGAAAATGACCCGTCCAAAGCCAGCCGCGAAGATCGGATTCGATTTCCTGGCTTTCCACCTTCTGCCAAAGCAGAAAATAACGCCCGTTTCAGCAACCTGTCAAATAGTTAGCTCATCAAGCGAGCCATCGAGTCACCAAAAGAGCTCAGCGAAAAGGCGATTTGTCTAATCTGAGGTCGTTACTGGGTGGACGCTATGGAGTGCCACATAGATGGCGCATACTATGATGCGTTAGAGGTCCTGGCTGATATCTCTGATGTCTATTGCATTGAGTTAGTTGATCGTATGGCGCGCTTCCAAGAGCGCCTTTATGAAGAGAATGAAGGCAAAGCAATCCAGAATGTAACAGAAGAGGGTTCTCACAGAATAAAAGAGGAAAGACAAGCTCGAATCCAAGAAAACCTGGACGCTGGAAATTGGATTGTCATGTGTGGCCACCTAAGATCAGTGGTGATGAGAGATTTCCAGTGATTCTCAACCAGTTTCAGCAGACATTCATGCTCTACCAAACTACGGGCGTTATGTCTGATGAGCTTCTTCCAAACGGGTCCATATATGTGAATCATCCAATTCGGAGGCTCGCTGTCAAATTGTGAAGGTTGAATTCTGCACAACGATAGATCACGACATTCAAGTGTGAATGTGATAGTGATTCAATCGCTATTATATACAACTGGACCGCTTCTAGAGAGTCTGGGATAACCACAATACAACCCAATCGCCTCCAAGATACATGCCCATACCAACCTGACCGAAATCAAGGAAGCTTCCGAGCTGCTCTGGCGAAATGGACAGACATTCCATCTCAAGGACAAAGCTGCACGAAGCCCGGATGTGGATGTACCTTCAAGGTTGATGCCCAGCAAGGTGACTGTATCAAATCCTCTGGGACTGTGGCCTACTTTGAGATCCAGGATAATTGGAAGAAATAGAAGATCAAGGCTACCTACGACTTTGAAGCTGCCGTCAACCGTTGTCAACCACAGCCACCGCCGCGGCCAGAAACAGCGAGTGATACCATCCACAGAAAGTGCTGAGCAGATGGAGAGTCTGGGTTCAAGAATTGTTATACAAACACAGATACGCATGCACTCTTTCTACATTCATTTTTCATCATCTTCACATATAATGACACAGTCTGATCAATGTTAGCCTAACTCATGGCGAGTAACTACAACCCACATATCTTTCTTACGCTGCTCCCTTTATATGATCTAGACAATCAACCCGAAGCACTCGGATATGCGCAGAAAGGAAACGAGAAAACAAGGGATCCCAAAGCGAGGCAAAGAAATCATTCATAAAGCAGTACACTTGCCTCAAAGTTTTTGCGTGGAAACTGTACATTGTTTCATAACACCGTATACACATTCAGGATCCTTACTATATTTACCAAGGGAATATAGATATATACAATCACCTTAATTACCAGATCCATAGATCTACAACAGCCAGCGTGATTGTCAATTCAATTCCTCACACACAGTCATCCCCATGCTCAACAACAGACCATCCCAAGAAACCATTGTACAGATAGCAAACATCCCAACCAGAGGTAATAGTTCCAAGGAAAGCATCATCCCCACCCGAGCAGTCAGCAGTGCTAAACATGCAAATATCCTGCTGGTCCGAAGGCGCAGGGCTCTTCCAGGAGATACTCTTGAGGTTGGTCGCGTTGAACGAATCCGTATCAAGCGCCTGACAAGAGCGGGGACTCGCGCCGTAACGGTGGTAAATCGAATAGTCCAAATTCGACTCGTCAGGGTTGCAAGTTGGGGGTGCTACGCTCAAGAAGCGGAGGTCCCACTATGAAACATTAGCGGTTTGATTAGGGCTGGGTTGGTTTCGGGTGGCGAAAAGAACGGGGGTTGATCGTACGCTTCTATAGGCGAGGATTGCTCGAGTTTGCAGGCTGGGCAGGGCAGCGACTGTGCAGGAAAAGACGCTGACGAGCGTCAGGTATAAAATAGGGAAATTCATTATGTATGGGTATAAAACGATTGTGGTGGGTGGTTCGTCCGATAGAAGAATTAAGAATAAAATTTAGGAACTGAGAGAGTGCGATCGAAAGATGGGAATGGATTCTTCTTATAGCCCCAGTTCCCAGTCCTGGACTATTTTAATCCAAATCTGCTGCAGAGCGGAGTCTCCCCAATCATAGCTCCAATGCTCTCATTTTCCAGCTGAAAAGACAGCTGAAAGAAGCTAAAGCAGTCTCTTGCATACTGTCTTGGCGTCGGGGAAAAAGCTATACTTAGCCCGCTATTGGGTGGGCGCGATCGTGTCGAGACCCTCAGGGTCTTCTCGGCGCGCCTCGTCCGGTAGAACATCTCGGGGGAGGGGATGTGAAGAAGACTTCTGGACTATTTCGTTTGCTTATTGGGTGGATGTACGAGTGGTGTTTTGCCGATTCAGGAACATGACGAATAGGCGCCTGTTGGGTTCAGGGGGACGTGTCTTACGTGCAGCTTGCAGCGTAGACACGAGTTTTCTGGTATTTTGCGTTGTCACACGGCTTCGGTTTGGGCACTGGAGGCTGCATTTGTATACAATCTGTATACTGTACTTGATCGCATTGAGTGTTGGCTTCGGTTGTTCATTCCATTTTCATCTTTATGGCTTGGGGGCTTTCAATACAATCATATGACGTCGAAGGTGACCGTAACATTTGAAATCTGCATTGATGGCTTGATTTCTTGGCTTCAAATCCGGTTGGGAGTTCGAGGCATGTCTATCGTCAGTTTTGAGGTTTAGTAGCAATGTAGCGCAGGGTCTATTGCTCTCGATGCTGACCCTTGAATGGTGAGTCTTTTGAGTAGGCTTAAATTTGCACGTATCTGACAAGCCATATAGACATACCATGCCTCCTGCCCCCGCATGTTATCACCATTGCAGAAGCGAAACTGTTTAGCGTATCAACTTGAATGAGGAGGATGAGCTGCTTGCAACCGAATTAAAAACCCCCATTGCAGATTGCATGACATAGAATTTTATCTTCTTGTCTCATGTTCTCACAGATCAGTATCTGTATGCACCGGGGGTTCCTCATGAGGCTTTCCTATCTAACTTGCCTGTAGCTTTCATGGGCCTACTTGACACTCTGGAATGCCTAGGCATTCTCAACTCGAGTTTGAATTCCCGATGGCTTCCTCCTTCCTCGATATTCAACACATAGAAAAGCTTATGACAATATACCCTTCGGAGATTGTCTAGAACTCTACTCGAGTTGAACCCAAGTTACAAGCTCTGGTACGATTCACATGCGTCAGGAGATAATGACGGAACCCCCCTCCCTCCCCCCAATGCGCAATCGATTGTCTGGCTCACGGCCACGGCGTAAGTATAATACAGAGAGGAAGATGCAAGTCTGTTTCAATGGCTTGTTAGACATGCCAAGGCCGTCGGAGACTGTATGTTACTAACCAACAAGCCACTGAAGTGGTGAGTGATTCGTCCATCACTGCAAGGACCGTCCGGTACGAATTCTGCCCGGCGCCGCAATCAGTGCTCAAGGCCAGTATCGAGGTCAGTGTTGACATTTGCATGGACATTTCCCCGAGGACGCATAACCCGATTAACTCTCCGTGGACCAAGGCGTAGGTAGTGTGAACGGCGAAGCATCAGCCGTTGAGTATCACGAGCGACAGAGAAGACTATCAACGGTGTTGGTTGAAAGTACTCATCTTCGTCAGGTATGGCGGAGCCAGGGCAGCCGTCGCGGAGACTGGGGGATGGGGGAGGCCCTTCAGGCATCATTGAAGAGTCGACATGCTTTTGCTAGACATGCCTCGAGGCAGAGGTCTTCCCGCTCGTCGAAGAGATCGGGGGTATTGAACCTTCCGATAGAGAAAAAAACTAGAAAGATCAACCAGGGACCGAGTCATGGGGTAGGGCAGACAATACAGTGTGATCCTGGGAATGAGTATGTATGCCCTTCCATATGCTCTTGATATGGGTGCGAAGAGGGAAAGGAAAGGAAAGGAAAGGAAAGGAAAGGAAAGAAAAGGAAAGAAAAAGAAAGAAAAAGAAAGAGAAGATGACCATTTATAGAAGTATCCGATAGGGTTAAGCTGGGCTGAATGACCAGAAGGTGATGGAGGGAGAGAAGAAATGAATTCTCTATGAAAGGAAACAGCCTAGATAGGTCCTAGTAAACGGCAGGTGAACAGCAAGCAAATAGGGAAGGCTTGAAGCCTCAGACATGCACAAATTTCCCGACAGAAGGTATACTGGACGGTTGTTGGTGAAAGACAATGAACTCGATGATGGGATAATATTGTTGCGATGGCAATGACTCGATTTCGATGAGTGTGCATGAGCGTATCAAAATCAGCTCAAGACAAGAGGGCCTGAGGAAATCTGCAAAAGCAAGTCAAAGCGGGACCTACAAGCTCTAGAAGAGCAGATAACCAAGTAGAACCCCTGTAAAAGCGAGCGGCATGTCTAAATCATTTATTCAATCTATAGAACATCACAGGAGACGAGTGTATTCGAGTGGGAGTATATAGCCACCAACACCCAGAATCACGACATGAAACAAAAAGACATTTACTCCCGGCCTACGCCAGGAGTCAGACGCCACGCGCGTAGAGGCAAAGCTTGCAATTTTCTAGCGGCAGGTTGGATGAACATTACAAATGTCACTGCGCCAATGAGAACACAAATCATGTTGGTCATGTAGTAGCCGTCGCGGTCGACTTGGCAGGTACCGCCGCCAGCGAGACAGCGGTTCTTCTCTGGCTCGAGGGCGCAGGAGAAGGCTGTTGTGATGAGGTCGCCGTTTAGGGTTTCGGCGGCTGGGGCGGTGGTTGGTGGGAGACAGGTTGCTTCTGTGAAAAAGTCTACTAGTTTTAGAACGAAGATTCGGGGGAATGTTCCGCCCAGGTTGCAGACACTGATATTTATGTTAGTAACTATACGTGCGGCAAAGGTTCATGTGGACTTACGTTGCCAGGAGAGTCATGTATGTCCCACCAATGGCTGGGTCCGCAATGCGAGCGTGGAAGGCCGAGATGGCGACGAACATGACTGTATTCATGAAGGTTGATAGGACGTGCTCGCCGATTACGGTCAGCATGTACCACATGGGTACTTCGGGGGCGCTGGGATAGATCATGACAGTCAACTGGGCCAACACAGCAGCTGCCAGTCGGCCAACAAAGGCCCAGCCCCAGAGGCGCATAGCACCGTAGTTGGTTGACCACTGACCCGCGTAGTAGCCCAGCATAATCTCAAAGGGGAAGTCAATTAGCACCACCAAGGCCATGTTATCCTGTCCGAAGCCCTTATCGAGGAGCTTCAAGCTAGTCACGCCGTCATTGGCTTGGAAGCCGATCTTGGCAATCAAGTGGATGAGAATGATAGTCTGAATGTTCTTCAGCTTCAGAACACTCCACATGCTCTTGTACACATCCATGATGCTATCACGCTCCTTGGTATGATCCTCCTTTTTGAGCAAGGCCAGACCCAATGTCACAATCAGGTATGACCAGCCCCAGAATGCGAGATAGGTGCCGAGGGAGAGTAGGCCGCCCTCGCCGGGGATGGCCCGGAACCACCGATTGGCAAAGTCCTTCGAGTTGAATGCCAAGAATACAGTGTAAGACAGGAAGTGGCCCGCAGTCAGTCCGACTGTCTGGGCGGTCGAGGCGTACGAGATATTGGGTGGGGACATGAGCGTGATGGCCCACCCGTCCACGGCAATGTCCTGAGTCGCGCAGAACAGCACCAGCATGAACCACCAGTAGGTGAACTTCCATACACCCGCACCCCCATTGGCTCCGGCCTGGACCATCATTTCTTCAATGTGCCCACCCAAGTAGATCATCGCGAGACCGGCAATGACCTGCACTGGTGTGATCCAGCTCTTACGACGTCCAAAGCGTGTACTCCAGACTGCATCGACAATCGGACTCCAAAAGAGCTTGAGGGAATAGGGGTATGAGGCGAGTGAGAATACACCAATCTGGCCGTATGAGAGGTACGGCTTGAGCAGGAATGGCACGGAACCTGTGGCCAGGCCCATGGGCACTCCCTGGAGGAAATAGAGCAGAACGAGTAGGAGGAAATTCCGGCGATCACTCGCAGGCAGGTTGTGGAAGGCTGTGTTTGCCATGACAGGCGTTTGTGGGATGACGGAAGGCTCATTATCGAGGGAGAAGCTGGGTCGCGACATGAGAGTGGCTGTTCGATCGGCGGAGGACTCGGAGGAGGGCGTGTCCCGCCTGCGCATTTCGATGTTGTTATTCATCTTTCCATTCGCATGGCCGTTCGATCCCGTCGCTAGTTTTAGGCTGGGTTTGGAGCGGCGTTTGGAGAGGCTCGCGTTCTTGCGTGTCATTGAAGTATAGTGTCGAGTTGGTCGAGTTGGGGTCCGCGTGAGGACAGAAGTTGGATGGTTAAAAGTGAAAGAAGGAAGTGGGAATGCCCAAGAAGCCCAAGTTGGATTAATAAAAGAGTGAATGCATGAGCGTGGAAGGAATGGGGGAGTTGAACCTTGGAAGTTTGCAAACTGGCCTCTTGGCTGTCAAGTGGATTTGTAAATCCGGGGCAGTGCAGGGTCTCTATCAGATAGAACAAGTTCTTATAAGTTAACTTCCAACTTATGTCTATGTTGTACACTCTTTATATCGACATCAATGAATGTTATCTAAGTATTCTATAGCTTATAAATCGACCTGTCTCCCTTGCCGAATAATAACTATACCCAAAGTGCCACTTTGGCCACATGAACACAGCTCAAGACTAACATTATTAATCAGACACCCAACTAAAACGGCAGATCAATATCATTTTGCCTTTGTTTGACTCCAAAGGCCAAGCTTCTGCACGGTCGCGTCAAACATCACGTGCCCCAAAACAAACATCCGAGTTTCATCATCGTCATCTCAGGCGCCAACCCTGACCAAATCACCTCCAAAATGACCACGAAAAACCCCAACAAACACAGAACCCCAGACTCCCAAGAAGAAGAACTAGGCACATCAATATCCTCCATCCGCGCAGAAAGTAATAACCTCACCCCCAAATCACCCCAAGCCCTCCAGCACTAACAACGCCCCAGTCCAAACCCTCCAAAAACGCAAACGCCTCCTAACATCCAGCCTCCTAACGACAAACCAAATCCAATCTCTCCTCACAACCCCACCAAAAGAAGCAACAAATACCCTCGAAACCCTTTCCCCACTAGTCCAAGCCGCAGGCAAACACAACACCTCAAATCACCATCGCATAGCATTCGGCGCAACAACCTTCCCCTTCAAAGACCCCTCACCAACAGCAAACTCTCAAACCAAAAACCTCCTCGGCGTCCGCATAGATGTCTGCGCCCGGAACGGTCGATTCGCAAAACCATACTACATCCTCCTTCGCTCGGAACGGAGCCATGTCGCCGGCAAGGAGAGTACGCGCAGATTAAGGGTTCACCGGCATACAATCCCATCATTTATATCCGTCGCGAAGCTCGAGGCTGTTTACCTACCGCGCGCTAGGGGGAGTACTCATCAGGACGAAGAAGAAGGGGATACATCCTCCGAAGACTCGCCAAGCAAAAAGCAACCATCAACGCGCAAACAGGATCTATCTGCCTTCGTGCGCGAATTGCGGCGTGAATTGGTTGCTTGGCATATGCGCGTCGATGCAATTGACCTTTTGCGCGAGTGGGTCGGGCTGGTTGATTCTGAGGGGAGGGTTATACCGTCTGAGGATGTATCGCCTGATCCGAGTACGGGGATTGTGGGGTTAGCGGGTGTATCGCTTGAAGCGCGATATGTGCGTGTTGAGTGGGAGGATGGGCGGGTTGGACGATTTAAGTTGTCTAATTGTGGGGTTGTGGAGAGGGCTGTTGTCATTGGGGATTCTGGGAGGGATAAAGGGACTGAGGATTTGATTACTGGTGGTGGGGGGCGGGTTGAGGCGGTCCTTGAGAGGCTGAGGGTTAGGTCTGGGGTTGGGTCGCCTTCTTGATTTGGAATTGATATGGATACGGTGGGAGAGGGTTTCGACTTGTGATTTGATTTGTTGTTTTAGCGTGAGAAACTGAGATACCCCCAATACCGACTGTTCTCTGTTATAACCTTGGAAAAGAGCAAAGTACTTGTAAGCAAGAACGCAAATCCAATTGGTATATCTATTCAATGATTCCACCTAGTGCTATGCAACCAAAGACAAGCGCCGCAATCCATATGTAGTGCTCAAATTGTATATCCAAAGTGAAAGACAGATGTCCAACATCATTACAAGAAGGGTAAGGGCATAGCCAAGGCAGAGAAATAGAGCAAGGCTAGGATGCCATGTCTGCCAAGGGTCAGACATTGAACATCGAGACCAGAATAAGAGTATTAAAAAGGGGTATTAGCGATAGATGTCGTGTCATCGTGGGCTCCAAGTTTGAAGGCTCAAGATCTAAGATTCAGGCTCAAAGCAAGTTAGGGCGCCACGCCATCCTGAGGATGGATTGTGTCCGGAGTACTCGATGCTCCCAGAGGCGAGGATTCCGGGACGGTGATTGTAACGGGGGTATCGATGTCAGAGGTAGCGTTTGTGAATGAGATAGGCGGCAGGGGGCCATATAGTTGGCCATGTCGCACTTCGAGGGTTTGGCGCAGGATGGCTTCTTCCAAATGCCAGCGGTCACGCAGCGCAGTCTTCTTTGAGTCCAGGATTTGGTTGAGGGATGCCTCTTCGGCTTGTTGCTCTTGTTGGATGGTGGTGATATCCTGCTTGTGTTGCTTGCACATTGTGTTCAGTTCCTTTTCTAGGCGCGCCATTGTTTCTTGGAGCTTGACATCTTGGCGGTCTCGGAGGACTTTGATGCGGGCGTCGTGGAGCTGGTCCATGGACTCGTGATCGTGGTATTGCTGTTCTAGCTGTTCCATGTGCTGCCGAGTGAACTGGCGGGCAGGTGGAGTCGAAGCGGAATCTGAAAATGACCCTGATGACCGTCCGCCTGTTGTTGCTGTTATGGAGGGAGAGGGTGGTGGGCTGGCGTTGCGGAAATAGCCCTCCATATGCTTGATGCGGGTAGCCGAATTCATCTTCGCACGGTCGAACTCGCGTTGCTGTTCGATTTCGACTGCGAGTTGTCGCTCTTCCAGTCTAATTGTGTCATCGATGTTCTTTTCGCGTTTCTCCTCCTCCCGGCGCTCATTATCGGACCGCTTTTCAGATACAGCATCCTGGTGCCGGCGCCGGAGGCTGTTCAAGGCGGTCTCTTGGAAAGCAAGGTGACGATTTTTCTCCATTTCATGCTTCTTGTGCAACTCACTCAGCTCGGGGTCATCCAAGCTTCGCTGCAAGGCTTCTTTGTTAAACAGCGGAATTCTCAGCCGAGGAAGAGCGGCTTCGGTGGTCCTTTTGGGAGGACGAGGAATGGCCGGAGGGATGGGGCCATCATCAGGTGCGCTAGATTCAGGCGTAGACTCGAGGTAGACATGATCCATGCCTTTGTCGCCCTTGGGAATGGCGAGTTGCGAATCAGGAGACATGACGAGCGGCGGGGAAGGGCGCTTCTTGCGAAACTGAATCCGTCCAATGGCAGACTTCAAGCTGCTGCGCCGCTTCTCCTTCTTATCGGCAGATGCGACACTCAGCATAGAATGACGGTGGGATTTCCCCTCAAAAGGATCAATGTATCCATGGCCAGCAAGTCCCGTCCTCCCCTCACTCGAACAAAATGAAGTTGGCCGGGTAGATAGCGACGCCAGCGATCGCGTACTGCCAGGCTTGAAATTCTCGGAAGCAATTGTAATCTCGGACAACGACAAAGCAACCTGATCCAGCGCCGAGGTTGACGGAGAACCGGGTTCATGCGACGGGGTAACGGAGCCATCGTAGACAGAGATGCGATCGGTCGACGAGCCTGACGAGAGAACAGGCGAAGAGAGCTCAAGTAAACCCGATGCAATCGAGGCAGACAACGGCGCTGTTGCTTCCGTTTCTGGAATCTTCACGCCCAGTTGTCGGGCTTCGTCGGCCAGCTGTTGCGCCCGCGCTTGTTCGGCTTCTGGTGAAGAGAGGTGGAGTACATCCTGGCGATATTGAGCCTCGTCGAAAATAGACCCGTTGGACTCCATGGCCATTATGTACAGGGGTATGGGGCGCCGAGCCAGCGCGCATAAGCTGGGTGCACGGTACCGATAAAAGGAGAGTGGACTCGCCCACGGCACTAGTAGTACGGTGGACGAGGGGGGTTCAATGACGGCATCAGCCTGGTAAAGTTCAGGAGGGGTGCTCTGTAAGGACAGGAAGGAGGTAAAAGGTCAAAGCGAAATAACAGGAAAGGGGAAGATGATACGGGTTTTTTTAATATCAAAGACCCACGCCTGACGCAATCTCTTTCATGGCTACTACTTTATACGGTGAACGGGGTATAGAGAACTGTCAAGTATAAACTTCTTAGCTAGTAACTAGTCAGAGCTACCTATACCTGTCACAAAAGCCCAGTACTTAACTCTTATCACCCCTCTTATACAAACGTACCAGTTAGGAAATTAGGGCTTAGGGCTTGACGTAGTGCCGCGGTCCCGGCGGAACGCCACGGGAGATATTTGGGTCAGGCCAGGAACCTATGATCGCTTTACGGAGTAGCTATTCAGCTATTCGGTGTTTAGCATGTCAACTGCCAACTTGTAGGCTAGCTCTTTGGCTGCATGTCGTGGGGTTCCCGCCCTCGTGCGCTTGTCCCACGCATGAGTACAGTCCGCCATGCGTTGGCTGACCACATGCCGCCCGGGCGACTCCTCGATCTTCTGAGCCAACTTCTCTGCTTCGAGAGCAAGAGAGTCCATATCTGCAGTGATCATGAGGAGGCGCTGTGGGAACTGATCTGCCCGTGCGAACAGCGGTGAGATGCGCGGGTCTCGCCTATCAAAGGTAGAGGGGATATAACAGCGGTTGAATAGGCGCCCGATGAAGACTGGGATCGCCCGGCCCTTATCGACTGGAGTAGACTTTTTGCTGCCATCTGTGCTCAGATCGGTCACGGGATAATATGCCAATAGCGAGTGGAAAGTGTCGGTGGGGAAGAGGTTGGCCGCGGCGGCTAGCGCGAGGTTACCTCCAGCGCTGAAGCCTGAGAGGGACACGTGGGTGAGATCAAATTCATTTGGGCGTGCCAGCACGTATTTGATGGCATCTTCAACGTCGTTCAGTGCTGCGGGGAAGGGGTGTTCTGGCGCTAGGCGATATGCGCAGTCGAGGACTGCATATTTGGTCTCGCGACTGACTTGTCGGCAGAACTCGTCATCGCTGCCATGGTGTGGTAGTAGAAACCCACTGCCGTGCCAGTTGAGGAGCACGGGTGATGGTCCGGTGCTGGAAGAGCGATACACATGAACTCTGATTGAGCGGCCAGCATCGCGGGACTTGATCTGGCGCACTTCATCCGGTGTAGCATGTACGCGAGCTACGAGCCCGACGAGGAATCGGAGAATGACTGCCAGGCATTTATCTCGCCAATACGATAAGATAGACATTGTTGGGAGGTTGTCGAAGATGAGATGTAGCCGAGGCTCCGGAGCTGGTTAAGAATGCTACTAACATGCTTATCTCCGCTTTTGATGACCTCTTACTCTGCTTCATACATGTAAATCTCAAAGAAATCGCTTCTTGCATGTCCTCCTTGAAAATTCTTGGGTTAAATCACAATATTTAGTCTCAGCTCGTCTAATCTTTGGTCTGACAGGACATATCTTCCAAGAGTTCGAGCTATATACTGAGCCCCGTCAGACAAAATATTTCCTGTGTATTTTGCCTGTCGGTACAGAAGATTGTTGAAGTGACAACTACAATAAAACTAAAAGGTCAATAGAATATGAGACGTACAACGAGAGTCATAAATGTGTACACGGTGCTAAAAAACAGTAGACAGTATCTTACAGAACCTCGAAGCGTACCTTTTTATGGACTTGTTATACCTCATGTTGGTCTCTCAAAATGTGGCTATAACGGATTGAATACATAATCAAATCAATCAATATTGTAGCCCCTGATTATCTCTTCACCTTTCAATGCTCTAGACATAGATATGGTGTGTGTGGGTATATGTGATTTTATTGTGGAATTAGCCCCATCCGTGCTGCTTTTGGCGTTGATCTCCACCATGGTGAAATCTCCACGCAGAGCCTCAATATATGCCACGCACCATCTCCGCCAATAAAACCAGCTCATTGTGACGCCTCCTCTCGACATCACATCTACTCTATACCTTTTAATTCCCAAGTCTCTGGGGATATTATATTAGTCTTTATCATCAGCTCTCTCTCCCGTTGAACATAACAACCTACCAAGCTAGACGGAATCACTAGTCCCTTACCCCTAGCTTGCCATCTCCTTACACCGCAATCTACATCATGGCCATCAAAGCCGACCCCAGCGATACCAAATTCACAGTTTTCATCCGCCTACCCTTTCCAAGAGGCGACTTCGTCGATCCACCACCAGTAAGCTCTCCCAAGAACCTCTCTTGGGCCTTAGCTAACGGGAATAGGTGGAATGGGATGCATACAAAGACCAAGCACTTTGGGATATCCTTTCCCGCCCATCGAAAGGAGACATAGATTGTATGTACTGCATCAACTAGCACATTTGCTCGATATATGGCTAACACCATGATAGGGAAAGCACTGTAAATATCCTCACACTGCGGCCTGCAGGCGCCTACTGACATCGTTTGTCTAGTGCAGAGAACTTTGAGGTTACCTTGCAATTTTTACTCCAGCAAGCTGCATGGCTTTATGATCGACAATTATCACAGGTCCGTGCTCAGATTCGCAAGGTTGGGACTACGCAGTCAAATTCGCCTTCTCCGGCACCTGGGTCTGTTTCTGGGAGTACGGCTTTGGGTGGGCAGGCGCAGAAGGAGGCACCGGTGACAGGTATTAAATTTCTTTTGTGAGATCATTGAAATAAATGAGACTAACTATGAGCAGCACCTCGAGGTGCGATGAGACAGACGTCTCAGCAGAAAGATATCCCGCGACGATGTATGAGTCGAGCTCTATCTCATGGACCCAAAAATCTGACAATGACTACAGCTTTTGATGACCGGCGCGCTAGTACCTCGACTTTGCCTGGCACTCAGCAACGCGGGCCTCAGGACCCAACTCGTACTGACACGCCCACAGCTGACGCGAAAGACTCATACTGGGAATCCCTTAACCGTCGACCTTCGGTCGCCCGACGGGACCAGCCTCCCACCCCTGTGCTCCGATCGCCGCCGTTGGAAGAAGAAGATCTATCTTCGAGTCTGTCAGAAGATTCTGATTCTGACGAAGAGACCAGCAGACAGATGCCGAGATTCAAGCGATTTGGCAAATTCTCCACCCAACGCTCCGGCCTCCGAGATGATGAAGATGACGAATACGATACCCCAGCATTCCTCCCTCTAGCCCGGGAAAACGAACAAGCCCAACGCGAACGACCGGAACAAGAACTCAGCGCTACTCTCCGGTTAGATGCCGAGCGAGCAGCACAACGACGACGCAAACCAGAACGCCCGGGCCACGGAATCCCTGCAACAGATTCATCAACTAGCTCCATGAGCTCCGGGGCTCCGGTCAGTGTCTCTCCCAGCGACAGTAGGCGCATAAACCCCGCCGCGCCAACCTTGAATGCTAGGCGACTCCCTGAATCCCGTCAGAACTCTCGCAAGTCGACAGCATCCGGGCGCGAGGCCAGCGACGGTACCCCCAGTATGGGAAGCAGCTTTAGTGATCTCGACGGTTCGTACCCTGACCCCGAGGACCTTGGATTCTTACTGATCGACCCTGTAGATGCAAGCGTCACTCAATCTGCCCTGGAGGAAGCTCTTCTGAGCAACATGCAGCATGGTGGGATGGCAAGTCGGATGAGCACGATCAGCCAGGCACTTCGCAGTCGCTATCTACAGTGAAGGTCGTTCACATGAAAACATCCTTTCCAAAGCTGGAGTATAATGTACTCCGTATGCGTCATGCACGTAACCGGCATCTGTGAATGTTCCGAGTCTGAAAATGTGCCATGTAATTTTCGGTTTAATATAGCCAAATACTGAGATCACCTCACTAGTTTGCCTCATCTTGTCCTAGTCGCTGATCTGCAGTGGAATGCGGCTTTATAGCCCCAATGCGAACGACAGGATCCGGGTGCTTTAAGGTTACATCCGCTGGGTCTCTTTGTCTATGATTTGAATAGCCACCAATCTAGTTCGGACTTTGGTCTTGAGTTCAAGCCAATGCAATGACTAGATATCTTTAGGCGAGATCAAAAGTTGCTCATATCATTGGTGCTAATCCCAGTCGCGTGTACCAGATCTGATCCCTGCACCACCAAATCACAGGATTCGAGCCCCAAATGTAGTTAATAAGGGCCGATGGGCCCCCGACTCCTCGGTCATCCCTTTCAGACCGTCTTTTTCTTTTCTCCTGAAGCCCTTCCCTCCCTCTTGTCTCTCTCTCATATCCCCTAATCCAAGAGAAAGAGAAAATAAGCCCCCTTTTCAAGTCGAACTTGTTTTTTATACCACATATTGAAATCTAAATATGTCGAGCTCTATGCCCGATGTGCACGGCTCTGCGGGTATATCCGCAGAGCCTAACCCACAGCCACGGTTGGTAATAGCTGATCAAGCTCATGATTCGAGCAAAAATACTGACGTCTATGCCTCGTGTTTTTTCGTCAAAAACAGAACAAGATCCACATCTTTCTTCTGGGGTTAAAGACCATCCAGATATCCATGTGAATCGCAACATACCCACCCCACCGGGCAACGATGACGGCCGCATTGCTACTGAAGACGAAGTGCGCGATCTTTTTCATGTCATTGACAAAATTTTCTCGAACGATTTGTCTGGTATGGGACAACTGCTCCTCTACGTGCGTGGTACATATCCTCCCCTATCCATAAACTTGTGGCTGACTATATACAGAGAATTACCTGCAGAATGCATCTGGGGGAGCGGTGCCGGGGGCACTGGGCTTGCAGCAGGCTGCTGCTTCGAACATTGTTAATGCGCTGATTATTGGTTCGTACATCGTGCCCGTGCCTGCTGCTGTTGTTGCCGATAGCTGGCTTGGTCGCTACAAATCTATGATATACTCTGCTATGTACTGTGAAGTCTTGTTTTTTTACCCCTTTTCTTTTGATTTATTGGGTGACTAATACTGTAGCAGCATTGAGGCCATCGGGGCAACTATTCTTTTTGTGACGTCCCTGCCCATTGCCATTGAAAATGGTGCGGCGTTGCCCGGGGTCATAACTGCCTGTGTACTGCTGGCCGTTGGATTGGGGGCCTTCAAAACGACTGTTGTGCCATTCATTGGTGGGTGCATTTCTCAGACCCGGGTATCTTCAGAGGCTGATATATTTTAGCCGACCAATACGACGAAGTAGAGTTTCAAATCAAGATTGGAAAGAAAGGAGAGCCGGTTGTCACTAGCCGGGAATTGACTATTACCTATATCTACAACGTTTTCTACTGGTGAGTAGGTTGATCTGTTTCCTTGCCATCACAGCTAACGTTTAAATAGGGCTATTAACGTTGTGGGTTTCGTTGCCGACGCCACGCCCTTGTTGGAACGGTATGTTGGGTTCTGGCTCGCATACCTGATTCCATGCTGTGCCATGTGGCTAGCCCTTATTCCGATACTCTTCGGTCGCCAATACTTTAGTGAGTGTCCTTACTATCATGGAAACAGATTGGTTGGCTAACATGTGGAAAAAACAGTCCGCGAGTCGCCAGCAAGCAACATCATGCCCCAGGTGTGCGCTGCTTTACGGAGTGGTATCATCGGTGGCTTCAAAATGGATGCTGCAAAGCCAGACGCCCAATTCCAGCAACATGGTCGCCAGGTCCCTTGGACAGACTCGTTTGTAGAAGATATTAAGAGAAGTCTTCTGACCTGCCGAGTATTGTAAGATGATACCCATTCTGTTATACCGTCAAAACTAACATATTTCAAGGCTCCTATTCCCTATCCACTGGCTCTGCTATAACCAGACATTCAACAACTTGATATCCCAAGCTGGCCCGATGATTACGTACGGTATCCCAAACGACATGATGAAGATTGCCGGAGCCGTTTCAGGGATCATTGTTGCGCCTATGATCCAGAAAGGACTCTACCCTTATCTCGCAAAGAGACGAATCTCATTTGGACCGATCGCAAGGATGATAGTCGGATTCATCTTTCTAACCTTTTCCATGGTTGACACAACGGCGGTTCAGCAGCTCATTTACCAGACCGGGCCATGCTACGATGCACCACTTGCATGTGCTGCTGCCAATGATCGTGCTATTCCTAATCAGATCTCGGTCTTTCTCCAGGTCCCGACTTACTTCGGGGGAGCATTGGCCGAGGTGTTTTGTCTCACCACGGGAACCGAGTATGCTTATAACAATGCGCCCAAGAGTATGAAGACTCTGGTCCACACTATCTGGCTTGCTATGGCGGGTATTGGAACTTGTCTTGCTCTGGCTTTCACTCCGCTCACTGAGGATCCTCATCTGGTTACAATGTATGCCATTCTGACTGGACTTTTGGGTGGAGCGACGATTTTGCTGTGGGTTCTTTTCCGGCGCTTGGATAAGGTGGAGATCAAGGTGGATGTTGGGTGAGGTATATATAGTGTATGGTGAGATGCACTATTGCTAGATTTTACCAAGGGAAAGGCCAGTTCAAAATTGAATGCGCAAATGTGGAGGAATGGAATTTAGGGCTTTGCCATGGTAATTTGGATACCGAGAATGAAAGTCTTTCGCATCATTGTACAGATTGGTAAATATTCCTATATCTCAAGCTCAGCCTCGGCAACAGCGATCCTCGGTGTCCTCGGCGTGTCATAATCAGAATTACCGGCGGGTCAACAGTTATCAAGCGGTCCAACGGGAGCGCTAACACCGAATCTGGCAGTTCGGTCTCAACGCCCGGATTGGTGGGGTACTTGAAGGTCGCGTTGCGAGTGTAACCGTCTGACCGCTTAACCCCACCACATCCTCGGCTTCAAGTTTATCACTTCTTTACAATTACTACCATAGCTACACATTTTACACACATCTCACAATGACAGATCCGTTAGTCGGCGAAATGTCGCCAGCAGAAGCAGAATCAGTCTACTTCAATGAATACCCTCCACCAAAGGCCCTTCCCAAGCATGAAGCCCTGGCGCGCGCATTCATCAACCTCCACGTGGAGGAGAACAGACGAGTAGTCCTCGTCACATCAGGAGGCACAACTGTCCCCCTAGAAGCTCAAACCGTGCGATTCATCGACAACTTCTCCGCCGGAACACGCGGTGCCACATCCGCCGAGCTCTTTCTAGAGCAAGGCTACGCCGTAATTTTCCTGCACCGCCAATACAGTCTCCTCCCATACTCGCGACACTACAGCCACTCAACAAACTGTTTCCTGGACTTCATGGACGAAGCCCCGCCATCCTCGGAATCCTCAAGCTCAGGCAGCGACAACGGACCGATCATGGTACGCGACGAATACCAAGACCAAATGCGCAGTGTGCTCCGCAAATACCGTTACGCAAAACAAAACAACCGCCTCCTCCTCCTACCCTTCACAACAGTCTCAGAATACATGTTCGAGCTGCGCTCACTCGCACAACTCATGCGCCCGCTCGGCGCCAACGCGCTCTTCTACCTCGCCGCCGCAGTAAGCGACTTCTTTATCCCGCGCAGCCGAATGGCCGAACATAAGATTCAATCCTCGGAATTACCCGCCCACCTCCAAAACACCAATGACGCCACCGTCGACTCGGATGAAATCTATACCGGCGAAAACGAAGAAGAACCCTCCAACCGCAAGAAACTCGTCGTGAACCTGGACCCCGTACCGAAGTTCCTGCATAGACTCGTGGACGGCTGGGCGCCGGAGGGGAGTATGGTTGTCTCGTTTAAGCTCGAAACGGATCCCTCATTGCTTGTTTACAAGGCGCGAACTGCGCTGCAGCGGTATTCGCATCATCTTGTTATTGGTAACTTGCTCTCCACGCGCAAGTGGGAGGTTGTCTTTATCACGCCTGATGCGCCGTACGAGCGCTGGCTGCGGGTGCCGAAGTCCAGGCGTAGTAAAAGTATTTCGGGTGTTGAGGATCAGGTTGGGTTGGCGGAGGCTAAGAAGGGGAATACTGCGCCTGCGGAGCAGGTTGAGAGGGATGGTGTTCTTGATGGGAGCCATGATGGGATTGAGATTGAGAGTCTTATTATTCCTGAGTTAATTAAGCTGCATGATAAGATGGTTGAGAAGAAGGGCCAGTCTGCTTGAGGTGGCTTGATTGCATAAAATGTTGGAAGCGTCATCTACTGGAATGGTATGTCGTTCATGAGATGAGCATTTAGGTTAATTAATATGTATATTCTGTTCCTTCTTGGGCTTAACCACTATACACATATCAATTGGCGTATATCTCGCCGCTTTCGAGCAAGACCACAACTAGAATTGGATGCCATCAGCCATCGACTCTATTCCACACGTCCATCCAATCACGGCTGTCCTACTGACCCACACTGAATGGCTGAGTTGAGCCTTGACCAGATCCACCAATCAGCAACTGTCCAAGTGTATGGCTGACTTGATCCATATGGACAACACGAAATGGCTGAGTTCAGCAACCAAATCTACGGCAGAAACCTCGATATATATATAAAGCAAGCTTGGAATAATTCCATGGGCATACCACACACATCGAAGTCACATTTCATCTATTCCAAAGCCAAAGCCAAACAACCATCAACATGGATCGTTCCGCATTCAAGCCTACCTACAAGAGCGCCATGAGATACAACAAGTAAGTCAAGGGGTCCAATGCTTGTAGACATATATCCTACAGTCCTAACAAACCCCAACATAAAGTCTCGGCAAATCAGGCCTAAGAATTTCCAAAATCGTCCTCGGCGCAATGTCCTTCGGAAACACAGAAGGCTGGCACATCCCCGAAGAAAAGGCCCTGCCAATCCTCAAAGAGGCTTTTGACAAGGGGATCAATACATGGGACACGGTAAATACCCATACCAACCCACCCAGTTATCCCAATATACTAAACAAACCCAGGCCGACATCTACTCCTTCGGCGAATCAGAACGAATAATCGCCAAAGCCCTAAGCGCCTACTCCATCCCCCGCGAGCGAGTAGTCCTTCTATCAAAATGCTACGGCGGCCTCCCAAGCCCAGGCGACATGGACGGACTCTCCGACAACGAGAAGATGTCCGTGATGATCGCCAACGACGGGATAATGGTCAACCGGATCGGACTGTCACGCAAGCATATTTTCGACGCAGTCGATGCTAGCGTCGCTCGACTCGGTACGTATCTTGACGTGCTACAGATCCATCGGCTTGATCGGGATACGCCCCGTGAGGAGATTATGAAAGCTTTGAATGATGTCGTTGAGAGTGGGAAGGTTAGGTATTTGGGTGCTAGTTCGGTGAGTATCAACAACTCCCGTCTCTTTTTCGTGTAAGGTTTATTGACTGATGCGAATGCGATGCTGTAGATGCACGCCTGGGAGTTCCAAACATTGAACAATATAGCCGACAAGAACGGCTGGCACAAATTCATCAGTATGCAAGATTACTACTCCCTCCTCCACCGCGAAGAAGAGCGCGAAATGCACCCTTACTGCCGTGATGCTGGTATCGGGATCATTCCCTGGTCGCCTCTTTCGCGGGGTCTCTTGACGCGCCCTTATAGGGCGACGCAGGAGCAGCCAACTGTGCGGCAGGGAACGGATTTCACGGCCGAGTGGTTGATGGGTGGGACTACCGAGGCGGATATTGCTATTATCAATCGGGTTGAGGAATTGGCTGTGCAGAAGGGGTGTAGTATGGCACAGATTGGAATTATTTGGTGTCTTGTCAAGGGAGTTAATCCTGTTGTTGGATTGTCGAGTTCTAAGAGGCTTGATGAGGCTGTGCAGGCTGTGGCCTTGTTCGAGAGTGAGGTTTTAACTGGGGAGGATGTGAAGTCTTTGGATGAGCTTTATGTTCCTAAGATGGCGTTGTCGGGGACTTGGTGATTCTTCTGAGTGGTTCTGTTCTTTTGATCTTAGGTTGCTGTTCGTATAATGACATCTGTGATCAACTTTGAACTCCAACGTGGCATGTCATGCTGATCCCTGTGGATCCCACTAAGTTAGCGGGAACAATTCAAGCTTACCCCTGAACAAAAACACGGGAACCTGGTCAAGGGGGAAATGATGCGCAAATCAAGGGTTAACAATGCCATGAACTTCCAAGGTCGGCTTCGGAGGCGACGCGTCCCGATGTGTCAGCACAGACGTCTGATCCTCTTAGCGTTAACCTTTCCCCAGTTCGAGAGGGGAGAGGTTTGTGTCTGCCACAACACAGCATGGTGCCCCGTCGCAGGTTCAGTCGCCGCGTGATTGTAGTCGCTGCTGCAATCGCCATCTTCCTCCTTTATACCTGCTCCTCCAGCGGCGATCGTCAATGGCGCCCTCACTTCACAACCACTGACATCACCCCGGATCTCGACGAGAATGGCGAACCAGCTCCATTCTGTCCGCCATTGCCAGGCATTGAAGATGTCCTAGTAGTAATGAAGACAGGAGTAACAGAATCGCAAGAAAAGGTCCCAATCCACTTCCGCACAACGCTACGCTGCATCCCCCACTCCGTGATATACTCCGACTTCGAGGAAGAAATTCAAGGCGTCAAAATTCACGACGTCCTTCGAAACATGGACAGCGGCGCAAAAGCAAACCAAGACTTCGAGTTCTACAATCGAATCGTGAAACAAGGCCGCAAGGGTCTAGAACAACAAGACTTCGCCGACGAAGCCAACTCGGCAATTGGGAAACCCAACAACCCAGGCTGGAAACTGGACAAATGGAAATTCCTCCCAATGGCCCAGGAATCCCTGCGCTACAAGCCCGACGCCAAATGGTTCATCTTCATCGAAGCAGACACGTACGTCTCCTGGCCAACAATCCTCGCCTGGCTCGCCCGCTTCGACCCTCGCAAGCCGCACTACCTCGGCACAGAAACACAAATCGCAGACGTCATCTTCGCCCACGGCGGTTCAGGCTTCGTCCTTTCGAATCCAGCTCTCCAGCGCGCCTCGGATGAGTACAGTACCCGCGAGGTCGAGCTGAATGCCTATACAGACCAGCACTGGGCAGGCGACTGCGTGCTCGGCAAAGTCCTCGCTGACGCAGGCGTCAATCTACACTTCACATGGCCGATCCTGCAAAACTCAAATCTAGGCGAGCTGGACGAATTCACAACCGACTTCCTTCGCCGTCCGTGGTGTTTCATCGCCGTGGCACTCCACCACCTCTCTCCAAATGACATAGAGAATCTCTGGAAATTCGAACAAAAGCGCTGGCTCGATGTAAGCTCCCATCAATCCCTAAAACATCCCATCTCATCCACTCTCCGAAAGCTTAACTTAGGCTACTAACAACCAACACAAAAACAGAAAAACAAACGTCTCCTCCTACACAGCGACCTCTTCCGCGAATACATCTACCAAGAAATCGCCACACAGCCCGTCCGCCTTAACTGGGACAACGCCGCAAACGAAGACCAACCATTCGCGAAAACCTTCGAAGACTGCCGGGAAGTCTGCGAAGTGTCGAAAGCATGCATGCAATTCTCGTTCCGGGATCAGAAGTGTTTCACGGCTTCTAGACCGCGGCTGGGTAATTCAGCTGCTGTTTCTGCGGATTCGACTTCCGGCTGGATTGTTCCGCGCATTAAGGGTCTTATGGAGAAGACAGGGTATTGCCGGAATCCCGAGTTTGGGGATTAATACAACTTAGATTAGATTTGAATGTTTTGAGTTGGGGCTGAGGTTAGGCTTGTATTTTTATTCTTTGGGGAGATTTATTGGTTGGCTATTTTTGATTTGGTTGGCTTTGGTTATGCTTGCATTAAGAGGGTTATGTTGGTATACATTAGATGAGATATCTATGTATACCTTTACCTGATTGCCTAGGTTGGCTTGGGCATGGGCATCAGCATTTTTGGCTTGGTGGAGTTGAGAGGTTGAATCTCTTGCCTCTGGTCTTCGGTCTTGGACTGTGTATTACCATTTTTTGTTATCAATGCTCTAGATGATGATGAGATAGACTTTCCTGTTTGGCGTTGGTGTTTTGCTGGGATTATCTTTATATGTTGATCGCTGAACACAAGACCGTGAAACTATTCAATCAACACGTCTACCAATCCTTCCTCGCTAGGGCTCTACATATAAATGTGTAGACGATCTCAAAGGAACGAACAAGTATCATTGGCGGACGGTTTCAAGGCACCAACTAGGAAGAGAGATTGTACACTAAGGATGAATAACGAGTGAAGGCCGAGTTTCGAATTGGTACAAAACCAAGAGTAGACCACAAACCATAGACATACCCGACTCACAGTGGCGGAGCAGACACATCCTCCAAACACTGATCAATGCGCATAATTTGATAGCCGGCACTCTTGACGTGCTGAATGAACTGAGGGAGATACCCAATTGTAGTCGGGTTGAGGTAATGCATCACTGCGAGGTTTCCACCTTTGGCCACGCCGCGGTAGAATGCCTCCAGTTGTTTCTCTGGTGCAGATGAATTGGCCCAAAGCCAGTCCTCGACGTCCACGCTCCAATTCACGATATAGGGATTTGCGATGTGTCGCGCGAGTTGTTGACGGAGGCGTGCTGCTACTGTTCCGAACGGAGGTCGGAAGTATGATGCTGCAGAGAGTAATTGGGTTAGCACTATCATCGGAAGGAGTATGAGAGGACACATACACTCGATACCCAATTGGTCCTCGAATACCTGTATCGTTTGGATAATCTCATCATCAATTTGACCAACGGTGGGAAGTGATTCCATCCTGTTCGACTCTATCAGCATCTCGAGTCAAGGCAGTGTCATAGCAAACTCACTTCGGATGAGTATTCGAATGCAACGCAATCTGATGACCCTTCTTCAACATCTCTTTATAAAACGCAGTGAAGTTCGTTGACCGATCCCGAAGTCCAGCCCCAACAACAAAGAAAGTCACTCGCACGCCCTCCTCATCAAGAATACGCATGACCCTCTGAGAAAACCGGGGCTGCCCATCATCGATGCCAAAAGCAAACGAGTTCGGACGCGAACAACGAAGTACCAACCTCCCACTTGGCAGCTTGCCCGGCAAACGAAAATGGCCATTCTCCTGTGATGGCTGAGGAACATCCGACACGATCTCAACCCGATGCAGGCTCATGGGTTCTTCAGTAAAGAAGCCATGGAAGGAAACAGAGACAACACGATCAAAATCGATCTCGAAGTGATTGAGGGGGACGTAGAGGTCTCGACGGCCTAACGGTATTCTGGCACTGGGTTTGGCATGCTTGCGTCGGCGTCCGTTCTGGTGATGTCTCCCATGCTTGTCATTTTGGTTTCCTGGTGTGTCCAAGTCCATGTCATCGTTGTCATCGTAGTCATCGTCATCCTTTTCGTCCCAATCGCCATCGCGAGATCTCTCAGAGGCTGGGTGTACCACGTATCGCTCTGCTTGGATTGTATCTGCGACGCTGGGGAAGGGACTGCGTTGGGGGTTACATTCGTCATTGTGTTGGTTCAACGAGACGCTGAATTGATCTGTACCTTCGAAGACGACATGCAGGAAATCATTGTACCATGGCATCAAGCTGTAGCAGGTGTTGCAATCGAACTGCGTGTGGAAGTTCTGATCTGGGTCTCTTGGGAGCAGACGGATGAAGCCTGGTCCATGTTGCACTGAGAGATTCTCACCAGAGCCATGCCAAAATCCCAGGTCGTTGTGAGTTGGGTTTTGGAAGGTGTCGATGACAAGAGGGGGTCCTGTCTTCTGCTTGTATGATGAATTGAGTGTGTCTCGGAGTTCATTCCAGTGACCGTGATTGACTGGCTCTTGATAGAGTGCTGTGGCTGCGAGAATGAGAGAAAGAATGATGTTATAGCCTATGAATAAGCGATGCATGACGAAGACCTGGAGTTGTAAGAGAGTGAATGTGTTCAAAGGAGAAGAGGTTGAGCTACAGAAAGAAAGAGCGACAGTCTACATATGAGGCAGGCACCTCAGACCTAAAGGAACACAAATGATGGATTCAGGCCTTAATTCAGTAAACTAGACTAAAATCACTGTAAAATTACCCGCAATATCGAAAGATATCCGTATGCTTCTCTGCCTGTGTTGTGTGTCTCTGTGTTCATGCGCGGTTCTCTCTGGGTTTTCATCCTTTTTTTCCTTTTTCAATTTTTCATTTTCCTTGTGGTATTCTCCCTGCTCTCGTTGTCGCTCAAATTTGGAAGTTTCAGCTGAAGAACCTTAGTTCCAGATGTCGTCGTCCTCGGCAGCGTTCCACTTAGACTGAATGGGCTCCTCGGCAGGCTCATTACCATTGGTAGCACTATTCTCATCATCAGCAACCTGAGAGGTGGTCTCGTTTTCATTCACCTCGACAGCTTCGTTGTCTGAGTCGTCATCGAACTCTAGCACATCACCCTCAGGACGGTAGCCTTCAAGGAAATCAGGCACCTGCTGCTTGCACTCGATAAGAATCTTGACGAGGTCGGTAGCAAGTTCCTCGTTTCGATTGTTGTAGAATGAGCTGGCGAGACCCTCGTTGCCAATGCGAGCAGTGCGGCCTGAGAGATTGAGTCTTATTACCCAGAAGCTCAAATGAACCAGGATTCAAATTGCTTGGACGGTACATACCAATTCTGTGGATGTACTCAGTGATACCACCATGCATGGCACTGGGCAGGTCGTAGTTGATAACATGGAGGACGTTGATCACATCAAGTCCGCGAGCTGAGATTCCAGTTGCGACCATGACAGGGCATTTCGCGGTGCGGAAAGCACGACTTTTTTTCTCGTTAGCAGGCGCAGATGAAGCTTACAGGAGCAAAAATTACATAGCATCCTCACGCTCACGTTGAGTTCTACCACTGTGGATAGAAGTGGACGGAATTCCCGAATTGTAAAGGAAGTCGTCAACAAAGTCAACTTGATCTTTGCTGTTGACGAAAACGAGAGTGCGGACAGGCGGCATGCTAACAATAAGATCATAGATGGCTCTCATCTTCTTTTCGGCATCGGCGTAGATAATCTGCGACTGTAAGCATCAACTAGAACATGTTTTCGAGTCTGTAGTTGAGCATACATGCTGGGTAACATTGGTGTGAGAACTACCGGCACGGCCAACACGAAGGCGCACATAATCGTCACTGAGATATTCTTTGGCGAGATGTCGGAATTCTTTATTAAACGTGGCCGAGAACATCATGTAATGATGATCCGCATCCTCGTTAACATCTTTTCAAGTTAGAACATGTACCAGTAAGTCCAGCAAGTAGCAAAGCCGATGGAGCCCAAGACAACCAAGACTTACCTCCACCAGACATCATGCGTCGGAACTCATCCTCCCAATCTGGCTGAAGCAGCTCATCGGCCTCGTCGATGACAGTGTATCTAGTCATAATTAGCATCCGAGACTCAACGAGATGGTGCCCAAGTTGAGTCGACATGATACTTACCTAACCCGACGAAGAGAGAGAACACGGGTCTGCTGCATAAAGTCCAGAAGACGACCGGGGGTTGCAATAAGGATGTCACAACCCTTCTGGAGTTCTTCGCGCTGAAGTCCAGAAGGAGCGCCGCCATAAACAACACAAGGGCGAAGCATGGAACGGTAACACAATCGGCGGGCCTCATCAAAGATTTGAGTAGCGAGCTCGCGAGTAGGACAGACAACGAGGACCAAAGGCTCGGCTCGAACAGCATCCGTGGAAGGGTTGAAGCCCTCAGAGGTGTTGGGACGAGGGGCAGCAAGCTTGCGCGCCTTTCCCATCAACTTGGAGATAATTGGAATCAGGAATGCCGCAGTTTTGCCCGATCCTTCATCAGTCAGTGACGCTGCTCAACCAGCTATGCAGACCAGTACATACCTGTCTGGGCCACCGAGATCAAATCATGTCCTTCAAGTATCGCAGGGACAGCGTACGACTGCACAGCAGTTGGGGTAGTGTACTGGCAGAGAGCAATATTCTCAAGGATAACAGGGTGCAGACCAGACTCCTCCCACTATACACAGTCAACATATGGAGCAGGTGCCTTGCTCATGCGTTCTCACCTTGGTAATTGGCTGAATGGTGGTATCACTATCAACCCGGACAGTGTAAGCGTTGAGGCTAAGGGAGAAAGAAAATCATCAATTCTTGGGTCAAAGTACCGATCCTAGGGTCAGGGCACTCACTCGTTGAGACGTTCTCCCACGCGCTGGATGAGATTACCACGGAACAGCTGCTGTTCGAGCTCCTCGTTGGGAGGGCCAACTTCGCCATACTCAGAGTCCCACTCGTAGCGGTCAGCAATACCAGCCCAGTCGCGAGATTCCTTGTCAGGCTTTGTGTAGTCAAAGGGGACAGGGTTGGTCCAACCCAGGCGGGCAGCCTCCTCGGGGTCGGCAACACCGGACAGCTTGAAGGGAGCATCAGCCATGGGAGGAGCGTTCTCCTCATCGCTGAGGGCGAGAGAAACAATTTGATGGTCAAGAGTATCCATGATGGACAGTTTCGAGAACCCGTAAAAGAGCAGAGTGGATATGAACGGACTGGGAATTGAGACGAGGAAAGAAAAAGAAAAATGGGAATTGGATTCTTATAGCCACAAAAAAGACCCCAGCACAACATCCCAGAAGGGAAAGCACGATCGATCCTCGTTTGGGTTCACTTGGAAGGTGCGCCTCCACACGTCAACTGATCAACTTTCCAACTTTCCCTTCATATCATCGCACTTTGCGTAACATCGCACCGGCACAATAGCAATCTGAGGTGCGCTCAGAAATAAAAACATTCGCCCAGATAGCTATTCACTTGCCATATCAACCGTATGTCGTATAACACACACTACAGCAGAAGATCAAATCGCTCCTTCATCGAGTAACATTCATAGCAGTACATCGAGTAGTACATTGAGCAGTAGAAAGTATCTTCTGATTGAAAGTCTTCATAAATGATACATATAGAAAGTATTGTCAGTCGTAGGGCTGAGAAGTTCCAACCGATTCTACTTCCCAATCACATCACCGTTTGCACTTCTGCACTAGGCCGGTGCTTGAAATCAGTTCGTCCCAATATATCGAAGAGATCCTACGCACGAATTGTATATTTAGTGCAGTCTGTCATGTTATCCTATGCAGGTCAAGATTTAGATCGATGTTAACTTTGTGTGACCTATTCTAGGTACTGCCGTTTATTGTCGCTATTTCGTTAATATAGCTAAATCTAAAATAACCTCAGCCAGAAACACGGCATAAGACATGTAATTATCCATAATGATGTGATGACTTTCTGCATTATTTCGGCCTTCGCATTCTTTTATGCTCTATCTCTTTGTCCTATTGGCGCCCAATATATTTTGAGTTTGTTTTGATAGAAATATACTTCAGTACTAACTCTATAGCTCTCTTTTTTAGCTCCAATCTATCGAGAGTTGTCATTCTTGCAACTTCTCTTTAGTTCCCTGGTAGCAGTCTCGGCTTGTCGTCTAGGAATATCCTGACGTTGATACATCTGTTCCACCTATCGTCATATTCGTCCCCGCATCCTGTCTTTTTTCCTCTATTTCATCTGAATCTAACATTACACAGCCCAAGCTTTTCTCTGCTTCTTATAGTCAAGTCAAATGTCTCAAGACTTTTCATACTTCCGTTTTGCCTCAGTAACCTCAGCCCGAGGCATTCGAAAATGGACAAAAGCTGGTGAAAAACAATGTATGAAATTGCATACTTATATCGAAGCTTTCGTCTGGACTGTTTAATCCTTCATCACTCTTATGAGACCTGTTACATTAGCTGACACCCTGTAGCCATACAGTTTCCTTCTGGTCTTCGCCAGGCCTCTAGAATAGAGCCAGATGTTTTTTTCATTGCAGACGATTGATATCCTTCCATCACTCGTGATGCAATCGGGTTGGTCTGGTTCATATTCTCTTCTTCTTAAAGGCATGAATATGCTCTTAGTCTGTAGATATGGAGCTTTAAATGCAGACATTATACTCAACTGGAATTTTGTCAGTGGTACTGAGCGCGTTGGTGGCTTCGTGAAACTGTATGTTCGTGACGGACAAGGTATACCTGGTCTACGCCAACATGGAGTATGTCTCTATTCTCTGTTTCTCTGGGTCCCATCACTGACAGCGTTTAGGTGGTCTTTCCCGACGCTCTAACTGCGACTCCGCAACGACTTAAGATGGCTCGTCGGGAGATTTTTGGATCCTCTCTATCTCTAGATCCAGCTTGCACCACTCTCTGCCTGGAAATTCATACTCTACGTGAAGAAGCCATAAGGGCATTGTGCCTTACGAAGCTTGTACAAGCTTAGTAGCCGGTCTTATTATAACATTTGTTTGGGAGAAATTGCTATATCTTATGTATCAATGGAGGACCCTGGGATATCATTCGTAAATATATGTTACTTTTCGCTGTACAACCGAGGGATTGGTTTCATCGGCCAACAGTTCCCTAGAGTTTAGTGGTTTAAGGTATATGAATCATCACGGGCGAATACGTGTGCCTGGATAAGACGGGTGAGGGATATCTGTACAGAGTCATGAACATGGCGAATGTAGGATACAGACAGGATACAAGGATTGAAATGGGGTAGGATTGAGGAGAAGTCAGTTGCAATGTTGCAATAAATACCAGACTTGATTATACCATGCAAAATAGCTCTAAAGAGCTCTAACATTCACAGAAGCGAAGAAGTGAACCTCGGAAGTGGAACCTCCGGGTAGAAGGAGAACTACGCCGTAACCGTGGGCACGGCTACCTCACCTTCTCGACGCATCCTCGACTTCAACATCCTCAATCACCATGGCTCCCTCCGATATTCCGGAGGTAGACCCCAGTTTGCGTCGCAAGCGCCCTGCCCGCTTGGAGGAGGCCATCACCAACCCGGGCTCCGTCAAGATCAACGTCACGGGCGCCTTCATCGTCGACGACGAGGTCCGTTCCAAGAGCCCCGAGGCCGAAGGTGTACACTATGAAAACAAGGATATTCGACTTCCTCACCACACTGGCCTTGTGAGCCATGTTGCCGTCGATGTGAGTCGAAAAATGTGCCCCGCATTGCGACCGGTCCCCCCGCAATTTTGGGAAATATTCCCACGCGACCTCAACTGACAATCGGTAGATTGGCGGATCACTAGCGAAGCTGGTTTATTTTACCCGCGAATTGGACTCGGCCGACAATGGTGGGCGGCTCAATTTTATCAACTTCGAGACTCACAGGATAGACATATGCATCAACTTCATTCGGCAGCTGAAGGAGGAACACGAGAAGCGCAATGGGTCTACAAGGGATGGATTATGTGTGGTGGCTACCGGTGGGGGAGCATACAAGTTTTACGACAAGCTGAAGGAGGCATTGGACGTGAACATTCTCCGCGAGGAGGAGATGGAATGTTTGATCATTGGTGCGTTCCGGTCATGTCCGTCTGATTCCGCGCAAGGCTCACAATCATACAGGTCTCGATTTCTTCATTACCGAAATTCCGAACGAGGTTTTCACTTACAGCGATGCCGATACCGAGCCGATGCAGTATGCCGAGGCCCGACCGGATGTATACCCCTACCTCCTGGTGAACATAGGGTCTGGCGTGTCAATGATCAAGGTGTCCGGCCCGAAACAATATGAGCGTGTTGGAGGTACTCACTTGGGTGGTGGCACTTTCTGGGGTCTCATGTCATTGCTGACCGGCTCGCGGACCTTTGACGACATGTTGGCAATGGCCGACGTCGGGGACAACAGTGGGGTAGATATGCTTGTGGGAGATATCTATGGCATGGACTATAGCAAGATTGGTCTCAAGAGTACAGCCATTGCCAGCACATTCGGCAAAGTATTCCGGTTGAAGAATGCTGCCGAGCAAGGTGCCGAAGACGGCGAGGGATTGATCCACGGAGGTCCCGACGGCGATGAGAGCAACAGTGGGGTGAAATTCAACCCAGAGGATATGAGCCGGAGTCTACTCTACGCCATCAGGTATGCATCATCCTCATCTCCGAGTTCGTTTGAGCCAGCTAACTTCGATTAGTAATAATATTGGCCAAATCGCCTACTTGCAGTCGGAGAAGCACCAAGTAAAGCACATCTACTTCGGTGGTTCCTTCATCCGCGGTCATCGTCAAACAATGAACACCCTTTCATACGCCATCCGTTTCTGGTCCAAGGGTGAGAAGCAAGCATACTTCCTGCGCCACGAAGGCTACCTCGGCGCTGTCGGGGCTTTCATCCGCCGGCAACCACAGAATTGGGGCCGCAGAAACAGTGTCGACGACGTGGTTGCACCGCAGGCGGTCCGAAACCTCGTCACTAACAATAATGTTCTCAATCAACAACATACCAGGTCTTCGAGTGAATTATAACACTCGACCCTACTGTGATTGTACCTTCCTCCGCCCTGAGACTCGATATCCTTGGAGGACAAGAAAGTCCTCTGTCAGTCTTTGTTAAAATCGCCGCTCGCAGTAGCTGTCTCAATTTAGCTGTGAACTGCGAGGTGGCAACTCCTATGGGTTCTCTCATTGGTTTTACCTCTAAATCCTTTGTCATCCTTTCCACTACATTTCGGGATCCTAACCTGTCTGAGTCATATGTCTCCATTGTTTTAAAGAAAATGTTGATATACCCCATTTTCCAACCTATGTGTATAGAGTTGGTTACAATTTAGAGTGTTCAATTTCAACTTTTTGTTACTAAAACATGCATGTCTTTGATTTCGTCGTATTAACAACTCACAGGAACTATTCATGATCAGACCACCGATACTTATATTCACATCCAACATGTGCTCTCACTTCAAGGTCCTTCAATCCCACCAATGCAAAATCAAGGAAATAGTCCCTTGTACTGCAACAAACCCTCCCGGAATGACAAAGGCTTCCGACCCGTAAGCTCCTCGACAGCATTACTAGTCTTAGCCATATACCCCCTAGCAACCATCTCGCCGCAACAAGACAAATCATCAATACAAAGCTTCATAGGAATCCCCGAAAAATCCCCAGAAACATCATCCGGCAAACCCCGTCCAAGCCACCACTTCCGAAACTCCCCATCTGGCAAATCAACAAACTCCCCCCGATACCCCGACTGAGCACACATCCACTCGAAAACCTCCTTATCGGTCACAGCCTCAGGCCCGGTAATATCATACACACTATTCGGCTCACCACGACCAAGCAACAGCGCAGCAAGAACCCGTCCACAATCCTCACTGGCGACGTATGCACCAGGAACACCATGCGAATTACACAGCCACCGCTCCCCACAGAACTTCCACGACGAAGCGAAGAATTTAGGAATGTTATCCATATACAGGTAATCGCGCTGGATATTCCACTCCAGTCCAGACTCACGGATCAACGCCTCGGTTTCTTTGTGGTCGCGCGGTAAGAAGGGCATTTCGTTTCGAGGTGCTGGGTCGTCTGCGCCGACGAAGGATGTATAGCAGATTCGGCGAACACCGCTGTTTTTCGCGGCTGCAATTACATTCTGTGCTTGTTGAGCGCGTCGGCCGAAAGACCAGGTTGAGATTAGGGTTACGGCTTCGGCGCCCGCGAAGACTTTCTCTAGGCTCGATACGTCGTCGTAGCTGGCTACCGTGACAGTGGCGCCTTTTTCTTTCCAACTGTGCAGGGTATCTGGGGCGATTTTTTCTGGGTTGGATGTTGTAAAGACTAGGGTTGTGTCTTCTAGGGCGATTTCTAGGGCGTAGTTTGCGGCGATGGTGCCTAGGTTCCCTCCTACTCCTGTCAGGACGTATTTGGACATTTTTCTGGTCTGGTATGGCTTGAGTTAGTACTCTATCATAGGTATGAAGTGGCGGTGAGTGTGTTGAAGTTGCTGCGGTTTAGCCGTATTTCTATGATCGAGGTTCAATCTTACCGGAAGTGGAAATGTAGAAATAATGGGTCGATATCCTCAAAGATAAGCTAAGTATGAGTCAAAAGAAGGAGAGGAATCTCGAATTTAAAGAGCAGAATCCAATTCCAACTACCGATAACTAGAACCGCATTGAAATCAGCATAGTGGGCCGATGTGGGTGAGAATCAGGGCTTACGTCCATCGCGGGGCCCGCGGTGGGCGCGAGTGAAGCATTTCAATCCAATGCTCAGCGCCACCAAACTCTGCGGTATAAATTGTTAATTGCTTCGCTTTGAAATGCTCCACTTTGCTGCAGAGATCGATTCATTGTAGCTGAAAGTGGTCTTCGTGATGCCATTATTGGTTAGTTTGGCGGAGATGTCGTGAGGTGTACATATTGTAGGTTTGCTCCACTGTCCCCACCTAGAGTGAGATGATCGAGTTCGGGGTGAGGGAGGTTGTTCAATGATAGGCCTTGATTTTCGGTAGTGTGATTCTTTTGGTAATTAGCGCTTTTTTGTGGAATGTGAATGGGTGTTAAAGTAGACTGGTTTAGGTGTATGGAGATATACATATACCGTTAGACTTGATTTGAGAGACGGAGCTTCATATATGTTAAGCCCGATACAGGCTGGTATAGTATGGTCATTGGATCCTTGAGCTCTTCTATCATCCCTGTATCTTTAATGATCTACACAACTAGATTATGCAGTGTTGTTCTTGTTAAAACATCAAGTATAGAGGGTTGACAGCATCACGTGCAGACATAGATAACCGCTGAATCAGCCTCCACGTGGGGAGTGCGCGTTCCAGCTGTTTCCTTCTCAAAATCAACAGCTTTTCTCACGCCATGCTCTGATAGCTCTGGTTGTGCTCGATGACGTCTCCTCCCTCCCTTGACCCTTTCCCTCCCCCAATTCCCGTCGACACCCACCCCAACCGCGCCCCAGGATCCAAGTCTCCTGAGCCCGAACGGACCCTCCCCGACCCCGATCGATTGGCACCGGAGGATGCTTATTTTGCTCCGTCGCTCTCACGCGTCCGGTCAGCGCCTGCAAACTATGACCACAATTTGCGCTCCTTGGACGGCGATAATGCGGCCCATCTCAGTTCTGCCGCGGCGTTGCGCAAGAAGTTAACTGGTTCTGGGAGGCGTCGCAAGCGCAAGGGTGCTTGGAAGAAGTTGCTCTGGGTTAAGCAGTCATGTATGTTTGCGTGGGATTGATGGGTGCTTATCACTATGGGGATATCATGCTGACCGTTCATTCTAGACCCGGACAACTATACCGATACCGAAACATTTCTCGACCATCTGCAGCGCAACCCAAGAGTACGGCCGTATGATTTCTGGCCTCTGGTGGCAGATTCAACCGTGATTGTGCAGCATGTATGTTCAGTGGTCATATTTGTCTGTTGCTTCGTCGGTATCGTCCAAGACCGAGTGAGCCCCGTTTCAATCGTCTGCTGGGGAAGCGTGGGTACAGCCGTGGGTTGGATTCTATGGGACAATTGGATCTGGAACGAGCATGCGCAAGCCGTACAAAGTGCAGAGCGTACTGCTGAAGGCGATGACGGCTCCAGTTCGAGTTCGATGGCTAGCGCCGCCAACCCACCTGCAAATGACACGCAACCTGACGACACGAAAACAAACGCCATCCATGGGCTTGGGCTGACGATGTCCGGAAATCAATCGAAGGAGCACTTGGCTAGCCCCAGCACAGACCTCAACGAAAGTATTGACGGCGTGGCATATGCGACAGCCCAAACTGCCGTGCCATCTGCTCCTCCCAGTACGATTCATAATAGCACAGATGGAGCGTTATCCCAGGATATCCCCCGAGTCTCCATGTTATCACCTCGTAATCGACAGCGAATGACCACAGTGAAATCGGCCTTCCTCATTTACTTCGCCCTTCTGGGATTGAGTCCCATCTTGAAATCCCTCACCAAATCTACTGCCAGTGACTCCATCTGGGCCATGAGCTGTTGGCTTCTAATCATGAATATATTCTCTTTCGACTATGGAAGCGGGGAAGGCGCAGGCGCCACTACCAAGTTCCCTGCTTCGTTGTCTACAAACGCAGCCGTCATGGCATCCACTGTGCTTGCCTCTCGGTTGCCTTCCACCACACACGTGTTCAGTCTCATGCTTTTCTCCATGGAGGTATTTGGGCTATTTCCTATCTTCCGGCGCCAATTACGACAGAAGTCATGGACTGGTCATGTTGTCCTGACACTCACCCTCGTGATCGTTGCTGGTGGCGCTGTCGGTGTTACACTCAGCGGTGGGTGGGCAGCTGCCATTATTGGGTCTGTTTTGGGAAGTATCCTGACCGCGCTCGTGATGGGCGGGTGCAGCTGGTGGCTTATCAGCCTGCAGAAGTACAAGAACGTTGTGATCGGTCCCTGGGACCCTGCGCGTCCTATCATTCGGCGGCATTGGAATTGACCCTCACCTTTGATCATTGAAAATTAGCGCACTTGTAACATACGATTGGGAATTAGCCTTGCAGCTTTTCTCGCATATACCCCTAGATCAATATATCTTAATATCGAAGCTTCCAGCCGACCCTAATGGCCCCTCATTGGTGCTTGAGCTTTCTATGGCTGCGCTATGTTCGTGTCTCATGCCACTGTCCCAGGTATTCGGGATATAAGCATGAGCAAGTACCCCGGGAAACCTTGATCATGATTTCCGAGCTTTGCCCTGGTGATTGGGTCTGTACCATGACGCAGGGAGGAATGTACCCGAGAATGATATGCTGATCAGGCATGTCGGCGCCTACGGGGTCTAACGCTTGCCGCCCCCGCTAACCTACACAATGCAGGTCTCTCGCTTGGCGTGGTTGACCTCCATTGAAACACATGATGTTTGGAGCTCCATCTTTGCCTGTTTTATGGAAAAGATGGCTTTATTTAACTCACATTCCATAGCCCCTCGCCTAGCGCCTGATCAGCTCTCTTCACCTCAAACGCTTTTGAAGCAAAAAGGTGCTGTGGCATTCTCCGACCAAAGGGATGAAGTGGATGCCATGCATAAACTGGGAAATATGGGCCGAAGAGTAAGATGAGGACCCTTCAATTGGAGATCGCCAAATCCCGTATTCGCCGATCGTTCACGAGAGCATGTTTTGATACCTATGCATTCTGGAGGACTATATACTCAATCACTTTTTCCGCCATTCTCTCTCTTCTTCTCTTTCTTCTGATCCTCGGTCCTTTGTTCGCGGCTCGTGGCTGGCTTTAACCCTCGACAGATTGGGTCTTTCTTCTCTTGTTTATTATTCTTCATAATTCTCTAATCCAGCAGTCGTCCATTGCGTAACTTAGTCAATCATGTTGAAGAACCTCGCACTCGGCCTGTTGGCCGCTCAATCTGTGGCTGCCACTCGCTTTGCCATGTACATTGACCAGTGAGTAGAGACAGTTTGGGGACTACTGAAGGATGTCCGACTAACATCTATAAAAGATACCATGTGACCGACCTCCCGGACTCTAAGACAACTGAGGGAATTGACTATGCTATCATGGCATTCGCACCCTCGAAGATCTTCAACTCCGACTCGCCGCCATCTTTCCAGCCATTCGAGTCCCCGGAGAGCTTCCGCAAGCGTTTCAGCCCCGACACCAAGCTCGGTATTGCTATTGGAGGATGGGGTGATACCTCTGGTTTCTCGGAAAGTGTCAGGGACGACGCCTCAATTGAGCGATATGCGAAGAATGTCGCCTCGATGCTCGAGTCCAACGGATTCGATGGTGTTGGTATGTTAAGATCTGAAACATTGGCGCGCAATTCACGAGACTAACACGAACAAGACATTGATTGGGAGTACCCCGGTGGCAACGGCCAGGATTACAAGCAGGTCCCCAACTCCGAGAAGGTCGGCGAGATTGAAGCCTACCCCAAGTTCCTCGCAGCCATTCGTAAGGCCATTGGCGATGACAAGCTCCTCTCCATCGCCACCCCCGGCCGCGAGCAGGATTTCATCGCCTTCACCAAGGAGCAGGGTCCTAAGATCTTCGAGCCCGTTGACTATATCAATGTCATGAGCTACGATCTGATCAACCGCCGTGACAACACCACTGGTCATGCCAGCTCTGTCCAGGGATCCCTGGATACCATTAACCATTACCTCGAGATCGGCGCTCCCCCGGAGAAGATGAACCTTGGCTTTGCATACTATGCCAAGTGGTTTACTACCGACCCCGAGTCGGACTGCGACGAGAACCCTCTCGGATGCAAGATGGTCAAGCTCGAGAATGATGATGGATCTGACAATGGCAAGTCTGGTGCTTTGACCTTCGAAGCTAGCGTCGTTGCGGATGCCCCCAAGGACCTCAAGACTTCCACCAACGGCAAGTGTGGATTCGGAGAGAAGTCCAAGTGCCCCGAGGGATCTTGCTGCAGCACCTACGGTAACTGGTATGTCTTCAACACCACATCATTTCTTTCCCCAAACTTTAGCTAACATTATTAGTGGTACTGGTGATGACTTCTGCCAAGCCGGCTGTCTCTCCGATTACGGTACCTGCAAGGGTATCTCCATCACCGACTCCTGGCGCGATGCCGAGAAGAACGGCCAGACCGACGAGGAGGCCGGTGGCCAGTACTACTTCGACAAGGAGAACAACCTCTTCTGGACCTGGGATACCCCTGACCTCATTGCCCGCAAGTTCCAGGACATCGTCGCTGAGAAGAAGCTCGGTGGTGTCATGGCCTGGAGCTTGGGCGAGGATACGTATGGCTTCAAGCACCTTAAGGCTATGCAGAACGGTATCAAGTCTGAGTCTACCAAGATTGACGCTGCCAAGCCCAAGGCTAACGCTGCTAAGCACCACTAAAGGGCTCGGTCTAGCTTGAACTGTTTCATTTGTGGAGGATGGTGTTCACTTGAGTGTGCGGTGATGACATGATAGAGCACAGGTTGCTCTTGGCCTATCTTATTAATTGCATGATGCTATTGCGATCCTAAAATCTATATCTATTCTAAATCGGGGTTGAGAATCTCTACTACCACGAATAAGTAGTTTTCTTTCGTGTATAGTTGTCTTGCACGCTGATATAACTCATGCTTCCACACATGGAACGCTTGATTCGAGAGGACAACGGTTGCTCAACGTACAAGTCAAATCACTTGGATATTCGAATGATACTTTATTTACATACAAGCTAAGTACAAATAGCCCTATTGGCCAGTCCACCTCCTCATCCAAGCTTCAACATATCGCTGTACCAATCCCGCACTAACAGGATCCTTAACCAGCGCCAAAGAAGGGCTATCAAGGATCGTACGCTCAGACTCAAAAGTCAACCCAGCACCTATCTTAGCATCCGCCTGGTTCTGATCCTGGCTCGGGCTGGCAGTCGCATATTTAGATTGCCAGAAATCAATAAGCTTGATACTCGGATTCTTCTCCGGGTCCTGCTCACTACTTGCAAGTCTTTGAAGCCACTCCTGCGGGGAAACTATTTCAAAGTCTGGCAAGGCGCAACCCTTCTTCAATGCAGAAAGCAAGTCATCTCTCCAGCTGAATGTTTGCGGGTTGATCAGATGATACACCAAGTTGATGTCCGTCGACGCAGAGTCAACATTCATCGCAATATCCGTAATTGCCTGTCCGCACTGATCAACGGGGAGCCAGCTCGGCCGCTCATCCAATCTTGGTAATGCACCTGTTGTCAATGCACTGCGGAACATGAGTGCTATAGCCTCCGTCTCGTTCCATTGTGCGCTGGCAGTATCACCACCAAGCTGGCCGATTCTCAGTACGCGGGACTGCATACCATTCTCACGCATGGCATTGCGGGTGATGTGTTCAGTGACCAATTTTGATCGTCCATAGCCGATACGCTGAGCATGCTCCAGGTTCTCAATCATGGCCTCGGGGATTGATGCCGGCTTTGGGGTATTGCTACCAGCACTGACACTTGAGCAGAAGAAGAATCGCGCTGGCTTGGGAAGGTGAGAGCGTAGGCAGAGATTGATTAGATTCCATGTTCCGCGAATATGCTGCTGCTCGAAGGAGCGTATGCTAAGGTTGAAGTTTACAGCCCACGCACTGTGAATCACGCATGTCAAGGCTGACAGGAGGTGTTGAAGAACGTGGTCGTCTAGACCGATGTTAGGCTGGGATAAGTCACTAGGCACTGCGTGAAGCTTGGCTGCCTGGGCGTCTGTGAGCTCGATATTGCGGTCGGCGAGCGACTTGTATAGACGGGCTCCTGCTGCTGCTTGTCCTGGTGCGCGCACAATTGCCCATACTTCTGAGACAGTTGGTCGTTTGAGTAACTCTGCAACAATAAAGGCTCCCAGATTGCCTGTTGCGCCGGTGACCATCACAACCTCTCTCTCTGGCTGTTGGGTGATAGTCGGGAAGTGCTGAGTGAAGTGTGAGTATTTCTCGATCAGCTCGCGCATGACATGCAGCTCGTCCTCTTGCTCGAATTCCTGGCCTGTACGCATCTGATAAAGATGTTTCGCGAGTGCGCTGACAGTTCCTTTCTCGAAAACAATGTTCTGGGACAGCTGTCCAACCTCGCCAATATCGAGGTCCCGCATGATATACCTCCAAATCTGTGTCGTTTGCAAGCTATCAACGCCAGTCGAGAAGATATCGGCCTCCGCGCTAGGCAGTGAGATGCCCAGATCTTCGTGGAACCTTGCTAGCAGCCAATTCTCTAATTCTGGTACATCGAGGGCAAGAGTGCCTCTCGTCTGGCCACTCCCTTCGAATTTGGCATACACCTCTGTGATATTCTCCTCAAACTGTTGATAGACTTGAGCGCGGATGCAAGTTCCCTTGTCAGTCTTTGCGTATGGCACATCGGCGCCCTTGATCACGATCAACTCCTTGGGAATTCGAGAAAATGTCTCGGCACGGGCGTTTGCCGCCTCAACCGCTGGCCAGATAGCCTCCAGGAATTCGTCATCGTTCAAGTTTGTTGCTTTACCAGGGGCGCGGAAGATCAAAGCACCAGGCACAGTCCGCTGGAAGCCAAACACAACACATTCGCTCACGATCGGCTCTTCTCTAACGCGGCCTTCGATGGGAAGGGGGAGTACTTTTTCTCCATTGACCAATGTGATTCGATCATCCAGTCGACTGAGGTATTTATATCGGTTGCTTTTCTCCGGGTCGGGGTGTCTTGTAAATAGATCGGCTGTTCTGAAGCTGTTTTCAGGGTTCTTCGCGCCGAAGGGGGGCTTCGAGTTTGAAGGTCCCTTGCTAGGCAGTCCATCCAAAGAAACACACTCAAAAACGCCAGGTGAGATCTCATCCATCAGGGTGTAATCAGCAACCGGACGGTGTAGCCGCATGTACTGCCATTCATTATCTCCTGGGGAGCGGAAAGAAGTCATGATCTGCCCAGTCTCTGTCGCTCCGTAATTGGCAACCAGGTTCACACCCTGTGCAACAAGTCGGTCGCCGAGGTCCTCTGGACAGCTAGATCCGCCATAAAGTACCAACTGTGGGCGAGCTAGTGCTTCGATGCCTTCTTGTTTCTCTGCTAGCAGCTTGATAACATATGGCACAGCACTGATTTGCTGTGGCTTGGCTACCTGCAGTGCATCGAACAGGTTCTGGTATGTGACTGGAAGAGAGTGATTTCCAAGGTATGTCGTTGCACGAGAATAGAAGGCACGGCCAAATTCCATCAAGGCATGTGAGTGGAAAAGCGGGCTGATATTGAAAAGACGGAGTCCGAAGCTTTTGCGGAAGTTGGCCAGGGTTTGGAGGTTGGTCAGGAAGATGGGCTTGGGGAATCCCGTGCTTCCAGATGAATGCAAGATCCAGGCAATTTTCTTGCCCTCTCGGAATACATCCATACCGGCTCGCTCGAAGCGTAGTGAGCTGGTAGGACGGTTGAACCAATTCTCACGTTGTAGTAGAAAGAAACTCTTGCAATCAGGACGCTCGACGCAAACTTCATTGACGACCTTCTGGTATTGCTTATTGATAATTATTTGTCTGCAGTCTGCCATATCCAGTAGCCGCGCATAAGCTGGAGCTGTGAGTCGCGTGGATAAGAAGAGCACAGCGTAACCAAGGCGATTAAGTGCGAACTGTGTGACTATCACCTCAAAACTGGATCCAGCGAGCATAGCCACGACTGGTGCCTTCTCGAGACTTGGATCCTGGGAATCATTAGTTAAGATTGCCAAAGGCCGACGAATTACTTACCGCCGGTGGAAGCCCCTGTCCCATGTAATAGCGAACAGCGACATCAGTATAGCGATCGACATCTCCGGCTGTGTGTTCTTCAAAATCAGCGGCTCCACGGATTGGATAGCATATCAGCGGTCGCTTTGCATCATCTGGCTGAGCGGCGTGGGATTTCAATAGGTTGTCGATAGTCAGGAATTCCTCGATGTTGGGCCACTGAGCATGAAGTGTGCCATTCAACAGACGCGATGCAATGTCTTTGGCTTGGGGCTGAGTGCCCTCTGTCAAAGTGACTGTCGACATGGTTGTTTGGTTGCATTCGTCGGTTTCCCTCGTCTTTATATTGACGCCAACAGCCACTGGTTGAGGTCATCCCACGTCCCGACGCTTTTCCGGTTTTCCGACTCGGAAAAGCATCTCTTTGAATTAGGCATTTTCCACACCATTTCCTGGGGGAATCCAGCCACTCAATGGCTTTTCAAGGTTGAATATTGAATTTCCAGATGTCCATCTTACCCCGGATTAACGGGGTCAAAGACGAAGTCAGATAACCTCGGTCTACGCCGCTCTTTAGTTCGGATATTGGAAATGAGCGGAGAAGTGGATTTTATTCGAGAACTCTTATGTATTTGAGACACAAAAGATAAATAATGCCACGCCGCTCGCTTTTCCTTTTCTATGGGGAGTACGTTATGGCTCGGTCCCATGTTTCAGAATTTCTGATCTATATCGAACCCAGCAATGTTTTGTCGCTGCAAAACCTACACCTGGGCAATTGAGATTTCTACAGTATTCCATTTCGTACAATTATCCCGTATCAGGATCTAAACTACGTGATCATTGCGAAGCAGTGCCAAGGATTTATCATGTGCACTTCCATGACCCTTCCCATTTCTCAGATAATCCAACTATTGTCCTTCAAATACCCCATATACTCCCCCCCTCCTATATCTTAATTTACCCCACATGTGGACACGTTGATCACCTATAACTAAGTCTTATTTTACACAAGCACTCAAACAAGCAAAGTGTGGGGGGCTGCAGCATCCCGGGCCTATCAATGAAATTCCGTCGAGCCATGGCCAGTCTTAGCTCCTGCAATAGTCTAGGATTACAAGGTGATCTTCTATTTCGCACGAATAGGCTCATTCAACGTTGCGTTGCTTTCACTTTCCCCGCGCTGCCCCCACGCCCGTGATTTTCTGGGGAAGTGAGACAACTAGCAGATATGTGGTGAAAAACGATGTCCAGGGGGCATGGCACGCTCTATAAATTCTGAAAAGAAGACCCGCTCAATTTGGAGCTGCTCATGATATCTCTCCATACTCTCTTAGCATTCACTTGTCTCTTCTCAGTATGTCTCATAGTGAACATGACATTAAGGATACAGATGTAATGGGGGAGAAAGCCGAGATATTGCATGAGGAGGTTGCGTCTCTGGCATATTTGACACCCGAAGAAAAGGTGGTCGAGAGAAAGCTCCGTCGGCGCATTGATCTTTTGATCATGCCCTTGGTCATTCTAGTCTATCTCATGAATTATATTGACCGGTATGCGTTTATGTCCTGACTTTCGCCCTATACTGATAGATGAACTTGCTCTGTGCAGAAACAACTATGCTGCAGCCAAGCTCCAAGGTCTTATGGAAGACCTCCACCTCACTGGCCAGCAATATCAAACCGGTCTCTCTGTTCTATTTGTTGCCTATATCTTGATGCAAGTTCCCTCCAATCTTCTTCTCAATTATATAGGCCGGCCATCACTTTATATAGGTTTTTTTGTTTGCGCCTGGGGTCTTGTCTCCGCACTCACAAGCCAAGTCCAGAGCTTCGGGAGCATTGTTGCTTGTCGGTTTATCCTGGGGCTAGTTGGTATGTTTCTTCCTATGGTTCCATTGCATTCTTGTGCTCGTACTGACTAACATATAGAGTGTCCCTTTTTCGGAGGTGTCCTGTTCTACCTTTCCAAGTGGTACACCCAAAAGGAACTCGCCTTCCGCATGAGTGTATTTTACTCCGGCTCACTACTTAGTGGAGCTTTCGGCAACCTCATTGCAGCCGGCATCTTGGATGGATTAGCTGGTGTACGCGGCATAGCAGCCTGGCGTTGGCTCTATATCATCGAAGGCTCCATCACATGCTTCATTGGTTTGATAATCTGTGCAGTCCTACCAGATTTCCCTGACACATGGCGACTTCTCTCGCCCGAAATGCGAGCGGTCGCTATAAAACGACTGGCGATTGAAGCAGCCGAAGCTGATGTGGATGAAGAGGGCGGTATGTTCTATCCCTATCTACTCTTACATTAACCATGTCTGACAAGTATTTCCAGGCATGAGCCAACTCAAGGGTCTTAAACTAGCCGTGCTGGACATCAAGACCTGGATTCTAGCTTTCGCCTACATGTGCATCGCGGGTGCAGGAGGATTCCAATATTTTTTCCCAACCCTGACCGCAACCTTGGGCTATAGCAACTTCATCTCGTTACTCTTAGTCGCGCCACCTTACATCTTCCTCGTCTTCTACAGTCTCCTCCACAGTTGGATCTCCGATAAAATCGGCCACCGCTTCTGGTTCTTCTTCTACCCAATTCCAATCACAATAATCGGATTCATCATCTTCATGACCGTCGACTCATTCGGCGTTCGATACTTCTCGTTCTTCTTGATGAACGCCACTTTCGCTCAGAATGGCACTCTATACTCCTGGATTGCCAATGCCTTGCCACGTCCTCCTGCAAAGCGTGCCGCTGCTTATGGCATTATCAATGCTATTGGGAACTCGGCTAGTATATGGACGCCTTATACCTATTATGATGCGCAAAAGCCGTATTATCGTGTGGCGCTGGGGATCTGCATTGCTTTGCAGGTGTTGGCTGGCCTCGCTAGTATCTTCATGTACTTCACGCTACGTATGTTTAACAAGCGACAGGAGCGGCTTGAGAATGAGGATGTGCCGCTTGGTGAGAGAGACTTACAGCGGTTGCAGGTTACTGCTGACAATGAAGGGGTTGATATCGCGGCTGCTCGACGGTTGCAAAAGGGGTTCCGGTACATGCTTTAACTTGCAATGTGGCTCGAATGGCACTATTGGTGATTTAAATTGAAGTGAAACGCTTTTTCGGGGGAATGAATGAATTGTTAAGAGATCTCTTGCTATGTTAGAAACAATACTTGGGTATTCAAAACACTGTCGAGGGAGGTGTAATGAGGGAGGAAGGAAGCACAAGTAAATTTTCTGATGTTGACTCAAGAAAAAAAGGCAATTAGCTAGTTGTGCCCCTTACAAAATCATCAGAGATGTATTAGAGAAAAAAGATAAATGAAAACAAAATAAAAAATAAACGAGGTGCGAGGGGGACTCGAACCCCCGACCTTTCGATTTGCAATCGAACGTTCTAAACCACTGAACTACCGCGCCTGGTTTGATGGAAGTGGGCCGTCTCTCATAAATAATGTACCAACAATCATCTTATGCTCAGCTCGTTCATTGTCGCCACTCTTGAGCTTTAATCATGTAACGTCCGTGGTTTGGGTTTCGTGTTGTGGTGAGGCAAGGAAATATAAAGTCATTCATTCTGTTCTCTTTCCAGTGGCTTTATGGTGTTTGTGGATAATTAATTCTTTAGTCGTGCTTGGTCACTTCAATCATGTGTATATATCTCTGTCAACTAGCAGGTCTAGAAAAAGAAATCTCAACAAAGCATCCCATATTTCAACCAAAAATACAACGAAGCGAAAGAAAACAAGAAGCGTGCCCATAAATAAGAACTACCAGTTAAGCCCAACTTATTCCCAATCATCGATGGAAAGGGAACAAGTAACGGTAGGCCTAGAGGTTGTTCGACCACTTCACAGGTAGCACTATATTCCTTGGGAACAAAATGAAGTGTACGCGTAATATCCATACACTATCCACAATCAAAACCCCCTATGCACTCCCCTTCAGCATGATTTCCTTCATGGATCCCGTGAAGCCCTTTCCAATCCAAGCCAAGGGCGCTTCAATTGCAATGGGAGCCCACACGAAGAATTCCCCATTAACGCCAATCTTGGTAAGGAACTCCATAGTTTGAGTTTCACATTCAGACCCAGAGACTGTCAAAAATGTGGCATTTCCTCGCCCAATCAAACTGACATCCGTCCAAGCGTTCAGAGGGAGGGTATAGTTGAGCGAATATGGATTCCCGCCATTAATCAGAGTTGCATTGGAGATGGTACCATTCCCATTAACAAAGCTGGAATCAGGCCCAGAGAATAGTGTTCCTGGTGTGTGGGAAGTAGGCTTGACCTTGAAAGAGAGCGTATAATCACGCCCCTTGCTCCCAAGTGGTGTCTCAAGGTAACATCCATTTGCGAGATGGAGGGTCGAGTCGGAGACCTTACAGCCGTGCACCTTTCCATGATACCCGTTGCCCGAGTGGTCGGCTACGGTGTTCGAGTTACCATCAAAAGTATAGTGAAGTATCGTATCAGACTTGCTAGGGATTCGCCGGTCCAAGTTCTGAGCCGGTACTGCGGCCTGCAGCTGATCAAAGACAGATGCATAATCTGACTCGGTGATATTACCTCCCCACTGCTTATCAGCAAGTGCAGGGAGAGCATTGCGCCAGGAGTAGTAGGTCTGCAGAGCGGTTGTGGAATTTGGACCGTAGTCATTCCACAGAGCAGCAGCGTGACCCAACACCCGCGGGTTATCTCTGAGAGGATTATCACTCTTATTAGAGCTGTCAAAGGTGTTTGGTGAAAATGGTGCACCAAATGGACCTTGGAAGATCTTGCTCAATTCGAGCTCTTGCCCGAACGAGCCGGACCACCCGCCAACGAGATACATGTAGTCGTCAGAGTTGAGGACATTATATCCATTCTGAATATAGTCGTAGTATGGCTTGTCGGCACTCACATCCCAGTGTTGGTAAGTCACCGATTTGGATACATTGGCACCCTGTTTTGGTGTGAAAGTACCCCAGATGCGCATTTGCTGACGGCCCGATGACTCCTCTTCGATAAATGTGTTCATCTCATTCACGAACTGCGTATAGTCCGAGACAAGCTTACCATCATACTCATCGGCACCAATATGAACAGTCTTGCTATGGAACCAAGGCAAGAAAGTGCGCCAAATGGTCTTCATAGTCGGGATAGTATCCGGATGGCTAATGTTGAGCATGCTCAGGTCATCGAGACCCAGTTCTGGTTTCCATTGAACGATGACAAGCGCATGGCCGGGTGCTTCGATCTCAGGGATAATGGTAACACCCCGCTGCGCACACTGTGTCTGAACGTGGTCGAACTGCTCACGGGTGTAGGATTCATTGGCACGGCGGTTCAGGCCTGCGACAGCCTCATCCTCAGACCAAAGCCGGAATGCTGCATATAGCTCCATTGACCGTTCCGCAGAGTATACGTTGAGATTGTTGTAGAGGTTGTCACTGATATGAAGGTGGAACGTGTTCTGCTTGAAGAATGAGAGATACGAGCACATCTCGATAAGGAACTCCGGTGGATGATACTTTCGTCCCGCATCAAGCTGGATATATCCATTAGTTGACGGTCTTCAGAACAAAGTTGAATTTATATGGCTCACCATTGCACCGCGAGTACCCCACCCCGGAGCATCTACACCGGATCCTTTTGCCAGACTCAAATCTCCAATGACAGCAGCTTGGATCACGGATCGCGTTCCCCACCAGGCGCCAAGAGGACTGGCCCCGGTGATTACTATGCCTCGATCATCGACCGTTAAGGCATAAGCTTCAGAGGTAAATCGGCCTGCAACATCATGAAATCCAGTTTGATTTGACAAGGTCACAAATATGGTGTTCTCCTTGCGCTTTGTTCCTTGCGAAACCTTCAAATCCAAATCCAAGACCGACTTAAGATCTCCTTGGAAAGTCTCCGCAAATTGCTGCAGGGTCGGTGGGATCAAAGTTTGCCCATCGTTGTCCACCGAGTCTGCATGCTTCGAGTCTACTACAATACCAGCAAGATTAGAGAGGTCATAATGACCGCCTGTCTCTGTGAATGGTGTAGTGGGGACTGTGAGGAGGTGGGCATAGCCTAGATAAAAACAGGTCAACCACAAACAAATTGAAGCGATCACTTCTTTAACATACCCCCTACCCAGCTAAATGCACTAGCTGTATAGAAAATAAGACAATTAAGCTTCATTGTGCTTTGCAATTGTCGAGAAAGGGAACTCGATCTCTCTGCATCAGGCCAGAACAAACGGGATTTATATTGGGATCAATTGCAGTGCGGAGAAACCCCATGTAACCTGGCAATCTTCCAGAGTCGCATTAATGTGAGGGGACGTTACGCTACAACCCGCAGATAACGTTAACTTAGGAGGAGGCGCTTAGTTAGTCGATAGTAGTGACGATCTAAGGGTCGTCCAACCAGCGGCCGGTTAAGTATCCGGAGTTAAAAGCCAATATTTAGCGTGAAGTCTAAAAGATGGTAAACTGAAACATTTGATCTCGTGAGTAAAACAGCTTTATCAAACATTCTAAAAATTTGATTAAAAAGTTAATGAAAGTGTCTATAGTATGTAGGATTGGAGAGCACTGTGGCGTTACGCCAAAGCTTCTTCGTTTGATAAGCTCAACAGAAACTTACTCAACAAATAACACCGAAAAAGTATATCCCAAAAATCAAACGTGGCACAAACGACCATTCTGATCGGGAAGTCCATCAAGGCTCTTCACAATCCAGTTCTCGCTCCCAATTCCAGTAGGCGTGTAGAACAAGAAAGTCGGATCATAGCGCTGCTTAAGATCATATAAGCGGTCATAGTTGGTACCGTAGAATGCCTGCTGGAAGTTCGGCTCCTGGATATCCGACTCGGACATGTATGCACCAGCGTCTGGGCAGGTAGAGCGCCACTTGCCCAGGACCTCATTGGTGAAATAATCCATCTTGGACTTGATGGCTGCATTCGAAGTAGTCTTCGTCCAGCTGGTAGATGTGATAGCGTGCATCAAAGTCTCGCGGAAAGCTGGGTTGGCTGAGTTGGGGGAATTGCCCTCCAGCAGCTCGGCCTTCATGTTGAATGCAAGCAAGGGGAAGCCCGAACTGACCGTGGCGCGCAAGGCGTTAAAGGTCGAGTTCAGCGTTGTGGGATTCTCCCAGTTTGCACGAGGGAAGAGACGAGAGCCGGTCATCATTTCTGAAGAGGCAACGGTCTCGAGAGGGAATCCTGCCGTCCAACCATCGTGGAAATTATCGTAGTAGGTTGAGTTTGGTTGGATTGGGATGCCCAGATCGTGCAGCTCATCGTACCATGGCTTTATGAGAGCATTGAATTGATCCACGGTATGGTTGAGCGCGAAGAAGGGATTCATCAGGAAGGAAAAGGAGTTCGGTCCGGTCGCCATCACCCAAAAGTAGGCGTAGGTGCCGGCATCGGCATGAGCAGGGAATCGATCAAGGTATGACCGGACACCAGCCCAGAAGGTCTCTACAGTGACATTATTTCCAGTAGAGAAATTAAAAGTCGACACGGTCACACCAGTCTTTGGGTACACGCGAGAGATGAGCGAGGTGACAATCCCAAATGTTCCTGAGAAAAAACTGTTATTAGACTGATGTATACAGAAATGACAGCGAGTAGACTTACCACCGCCACCACCACGCAAAGCCCAGAATAGATCGGGATCATTCTTCTCGGTCACCGTAACGAAGCGGCCATTAGCCAGCACAACTTCGAGAGCCAGGACTTGGTCGGCAGCCAACCCATACTTGCTGGACAAAGGTGAGTGGCCACCACCGAGAACATAGCCACCGGCAACCCCGACGGTCTGTTTTTTCAACCTTAGAACAGGCACTAAGATTGCACGCCGAAAGGTCAACTCACCCTGCCTTCACCACCAACCGCCGTGAATCCCAGCTGCTTGCCCTTTTCATACACCTCGAAGGCCTGTACACCAGCACCAATCTTGACAGCCGGTCCTCGGTAGCCAGAACTCTGATAGTTGGAGTGATACTCGATATCCTTGAGATTATGAGTCCAAATACCCAACGAGCCAGCACCAGCCGACTTGCCATTGAAGTCATGACCGGTGTTCTTCACGACTAGCCGGATACCGGTGTTGCGCGCAAAGTTGACAGCAAGCTGGATCTGAGCCACATTGCTCACATTCACTGCATAGGTGCTATATCCGCCAACAGTGCATGATGCCGAGGCATTTGTCGTCGGCAGACAAGATCTGCCTTCAAACAGAGGCCACATAACCGACGCTGGGTCTGCAGCACTTTTCGCAAAATCAGTATACAGTGGCTCATAGGCTGTTTGATGGCGATGAACTCACTGGATGTTTGAGTCAGTCCACTGCGAGCTGATGATTTCACATTCCCTTTGGTCATACTCCGGCCACAATGAGTAGCAAGAAGCTGCTAGAGGTACTGTCTTAATGAGTGCGCCATCTAGAAGATTGTCCAAGGTCGACCATACAGACTGCGATGGCCACTGGCGATCACCAGGGAAGATTTTGCATCCTCCCCATGAACGGGTGGTTTGATTAGTGCCATTTCCGCCAAATCCAACCAACGCCGACTGACTCTGGCTGAGATTTGTAACAACACAATCGGTCAATTGAATCTTCTCGCTATCAAAAAGCGGAGCGCCAGAAATTGACGGCGAGGAAACTTTCTGAGAAGCACCAGCCTCTCCAGGGACAGCCAGCAGGAGAGCACTGAGCAAAACGCCCGCACAGAAACGATGAGGGGCCATAATGAGTGTGAAGAGAAAGGAAAGACGCTACAACAAAGATAGATGAGAGGGTGGCCCGGAAAAGTGGGCACTGAAGTCTTCTCAAAGACCAAATATGAGGCAAATCGCACAATATCTGTGACAATCTGCGACGAGGTGAAAACTTAAAGAGTGCCTTTGCACTGGGATCGAGGTAAAACTTGCTACTGTGACCCACATTCTAAGTAGAAATTTCGAGCACTGGTTTTTCTCCGTCGTGATGCATCTTCTAGCCGAAATGAGCTAGAGATGCATCCGATGGGGCGTCTGCCCCGAGTGGAAGTCCCCGTTGATTGGCGCCACACTTTATCTGCAACGTCCAGTATTTACTACTTCTTTATAAACGGGCTAACTGCCGTAGAAAGTTGTGTGTCCGGTCGAGATATATATTGGCTTCTAGGAGGGGTTAGTGAGTCTACGTACATCATGTGCATTTTGGCCCCCTTGCTTCAGTCGAATGGTCAGAATTTTCACACTAGTGTCTGGCTCCAGAATTCGTTGGAGATGGAGGAAGGGAAGGTTCATCCAAATCCCGAAGAACAAAGGAAGAAAGACAGGCAAGTCAATCTGATATCATCAACCGGCCACCGTTCGGGCATTGCTCTAATATCCGTCGAACTGGCCCACAGTTCACCGGCTTTCTCCACTCCAACCGGTCGATCCGATCTGATTTTTGGGCGAAACACTTAATATGCATGGGATAGAAAGGAATGGCATTCTGACCTCAAATTTGAGAATTGCAGGCTTATGCTCCGCGGCAGCATGTCAGCCGCTTCACATGGGCGTTCGGGGGTTCGAGACGATCAGACGTGAAACCAATCCCAAACCATAGCCTGAGAAGAAGGTTATGGGTCCTTTATCAGAAAAATTCTACTTCAAATTCCACCATTGGTTGAGATTCGCCGCATGTCCTCAGTTCCATATCTATGGAAGTATGTTTATTGGGCTTGGGGGACATCTGCACCACTTTTTCCTTCTATGGGCATGCTGTGATGCTTGAGATGTCACACCAATGGCTACGGCTTCCATTAGCATCCGAGAGGCGACGAACTTCTTCCTTCCTGCGCTGTACCTGATAAACTTCCACGGTTCTTTAGGGGAAGAGGTTTGGGACCGACGTAGCATGTACTAAACAGAAGACTGCTATTCGGAAGGAAGTCAGGAGAGAAATAATCCCGGCAGTTCCTTCACTGAAGCCAAAGCCGATAAGAACATCCGAGGCTTTACATTAGAACAATTCCTTATAAATGGGTCTGTGGCGTCAATCATCCACAATGTCCATCATTGGTTGTTCCCCTGTTGGCGGCGATGGAACTGATCGAAATTGATCTGGGAGCCGGCGCTGAACCCTGATTTTCCTCATTAAAAAAAAAGGGACCGTCCTTGAATTCCAATCATAAACAAGAGCCACAAACGTGGACTGTTGCTTGTGTGTAGATCTTATGTTCCTATGGCGGTCACGATCCTTGCTCTTGCATTATAAGACCGAAACTCCAGGCTTTTCTGGGAACTTCCCCAGCACCACATAATCATGATTGACGACCACCATCAGACGACCGCGCTGGGTATCGTGGTCGCGTTTCCTATTCTTGGCGGCATTGCTGTTTTCCTTCGGCTCTGGAGTCGATGGCTATCACGATCTGCGCTCACCAGCGGTATGTATTGACGCTCCCATGCTAACTCCAGTGATCTGCACTTGGCTATCATATATGCTAGTGACACTTGCTAACGGTATCCTTTGCAGATGACCACTTTATCATTGCGGGATATGTAAGATCAGCGGATCGTCGGACGAAGAGTGTAACTCATGAATTGACTAGGTCCTTGCCGTGTCTCAATCCGTCACCTCTTGGTACTGTAAGTGACTAATATCAAACACAACGGGAACATGACTGACCATCAAACAGACATCAAAACAAACTATGTCGGTATTCACATCTGGGATGTGCCGAAAGACTATAACCCGAGACCAGGGCTAGTGGTAAGTCTGCTTCACTATCAACCTCGAGATCAAGTATTGACAAGGCCCATTCCTGCAGTGGAATTTCGCAAACCAGCTTATCTACAATCCGGCCTTGACCCTCGTCAAAGTCTCGATTCTATTATTCCTGCGCCGGCTGGACCCTCGCTCGCGATTGGTCAAATACCTCATTTGGATCTCAATGGCGGTGGTCGTTGGACTATTTGCCGCCGTTCTCCTGGTTGATATCTTCCAATGCCATCCAGTGGCTTATGTCTATGATCAAACCATCCCAGGCGGCAAATGTATTAACCAGGGTGCATTCTACGTCTCGACCGCTGCGCTCAATCTATCCACCGATTTGATGGTACTATCGATCCCCATTATCATCACCTGGCGCCTGCAGATGCCCATCCGCCGCAAGATCGCCGTGTGTATCATTCTGTGTCTTGGTGGAGTGTAAGATACCCTCAAACTGAACATCTGCTTATATCCCGTCTAACACTTATTATAGAGCAACAGCCATCGGCGTCTGGCGCATCATAATCCTCGCCAACGCCTTCATATGCCAGACCAAAAAGCTCGACCCAACCTACGCAGTCGACTTCTGCAGCTCAGCAGTAGAAGTGAACGTGGCCGTAGTAACAGCCTGCGCACCCTCCCTCAAAGCAATCAGCACGAAATTCCTCCCGAGACTCCTGGGCAGCTCCAACGGCGGCGGCACCGGGTCCGGAACAAGACGCGGCGCTCACAAACGTGGCATCTCCCATATCTCGCACTTCTTCTCGCATCGCAGGTCAAATACCAAGTCCTCGCCGTCTCGCTCTACCGAGGATGATGGGTACGAGATGGCGGATCCGCTGGGCGGGCCGCGTGTGGGTATTGGCACTGGCTCGGAGCCATTTGATATGCGCAAGTATAAGCGCGGCGCTGATAGTCCTAGCTTTATTAGTTCTGACGATGATGGTGTTTCTGGGATCGTCAAGACCACTGATATCTCAATTGGATATGTCATGGAACCTGGGGAGCAGCAAGGTCGGTCTAATGAAGCAAGGCCTGCTAGTGCTGATAGTTGGGTTTGAGAGGTTCTTTTGTGTATAATATATAAGATGAATGTTATATTCGGAGTTATACAGTACGGCTTATTTATGCAAGTAGCCTCCTCGGCGATATGAGTACGGTTTGATACGCCGAGGACCTATCGGAGTGATGTGAGGGGTTGGGATCCCCGCGTTGAGTTTCTTAGAAACCTCAACTTTCCATTTTATTGTCCTTTGGTGTCTTGAGTACCTACTTTGATTCGAAAATTTTTGATTGAAAACATATTACACGATGGCGACCAAGTACGAGCTTCCATTCACGGTATGTTTCTTCCCCCCGTCATGTTGCGGGGTGTTCGGCGAGATGTCCGAAGTGCATCATCGCCAGATTCCAAGCTTGATATGAAGCTAACACAAGGCCTTATAGCTAGCAGACCCTACTCTGTTACATTTAGACTCTTTCATTGGTGACAAATGGGTCGAGGCAAAGAGTGGGAAGCGGTTTGAAGTACTTGGTAAGTATGCTACGCGTCTACGAGGATCTGCAAGACCACAACTCACGCAACTAATCTTAGACCCTGGAACCGACAAGCCATGGGCAAGCTGCCCCAACAACGGAGCAGAAGACGTTACCGCAGCCGTAGAAACTGCACACACAGCCTTCGAACAGTTCCGCAAAGTCAACCCGCGCCAGCGCGCCAAGTGGTTACTGAAATGGCACGACCTGACACTAGCCGCGAAAGAAGATCTTGCTCAAATCGTCACACACGAAACTGGCAAGCCGCTAGCCGAAGCATACGGAGAGATTGACTATTCTCTCGGCTTCTTGTGGTGGTTTGCGGGCGAGGCAGAGCGTATTCAGGGCACTATCTCCACAGCGGCAGCACCAAACCGACGGCTATTTACCATCAAGCAGCCCATCGGAGTGGCCGCTGCACTGGTCCCGTGGAACTTCCCCGTTGCCATGGTTCTGCGGAAAGTCGGCGCTGCGATGGCTGCGGGTTGCACGATGGTTGTGAAGCCTAGTCCTGAGACGCCGGTTTCTGCGCTGGTGTTGGCGGAGTTGGCACAACGTGCTGGTATCCCGGCGGGTGTATTCAATGTTCTTACTACTGATTTGGAGAACACGCCGTCCTTGAGCGAGGCGCTTTGCAAGCACCCGCTTGTCAAGAAGGTGACTTTTACTGGATCTACTCGCGTGGGTAAGCTGGTTGCTTCTCACTGCGCGCATGGTCTCAAGAAAGTTACTCTGGAGCTTGGTGGTAATTGTCCCTTCATCGTCTTTGATGATGCCAACCTTGATCAGGCGCTTGAGCAGTTGATGGCTCTGAAGTGGCGCCATGCTGGTCAAGCTTGTATCACTGCCAACCGAATCTACGTCCAGGCTGGTGTTTATGATAAGTTCGCCTCTCTTTTGAAAGAGCGCACTGCTGCTCTGGTTGTAGGACATGGTGCTGCGACTGGTACCACCATGGGTCCTTTGACCACGCCCCGTAGCATTGACAAGGCTACTGCTCAGATTGAAGATGCTCGCCGTCTCGGGGCGGATGTTCTGCTGGGTGGAAATCCTGTTGCTAAGCCGGGTTACTTCTTTGAGCCCACCATTCTCTCCGGAATGACGGAAGAGATGCTTATCTCACAGGAGGAATCATTTGCGCCTATTGCTGCGCTGTATCGGTTCGAGACTGAGGAACAGGCAGTCAAGCTGGCCAATGATACTAGTATGGGTCTGGCTAGTTATGCTTTCACAAAGAACATTGATCGTGTCTGGCGTCTCTTGGAGAACCTGGAGGCAGGCATGATCGGAATGAACACTGGCAAGTGTCTTCATCCAAAACAGAATATTTTAACATGAACTAACGAATTCATAGGTAACCAATCGGCGGCCGAGTCGCCTTTCGGTGGTATCAAGGAGTCTGGATATGGCAAGGAGAGTGGAAAGGACGTCGCCGTCAACGAATATTTGGTGACCAAGACAGGAACATTGACTCTTGAGGGACAATACTGAAAAAGGGTCTCATTTTGCCTCATTTTGCACCAATAGTTTGAATTAGCCGGGGCATTTTAGATTGATATCGCTCTGAAGCTTTTCGGTTAAGCTTTTTTGACAAGATTAACCTTCCTTTGCCGATTCTGATACAGGTCATCCTTTCAATCAGCTATCCATTAAAGTATGCTCTCATTCCTATAAGCAAAACATCGAATGTAAAACAGAGTAAAGAGTAAACGTGAAATGTGAAATGTGCTGCAGTGGGAGTTCGTAGAGATGGCCGTATTGGGAATGGTCTGTGCACGGACCTTTATAGACAGCAACTTCTTACTTATCGCCTCACAACACTTCTCGACTTCACAACCATACTAGTTCATATAGCTACACACTATGTGCTTCTGAAACCAATAAACTGTGTAAATCATTTGCATTTCACTGTTTGGTTGAAGCAAGGCTGGAGATAACGGGGCTCAATATCCATCCGTAACATCATTTTTTCGCCGCTCTTTACACCTTCAACTTCTTCAAGATTCCCATGATGGATGGCCTTAATCCACTTCGTCATATTATTCGGCATCATCCGATCATCGACAACCATGCACACAACCTGCTGAACCGGGAGTCCGCCACCGACCTTGATAGCTACCCACTGGAAGCCATAACTTCCGAAGCACACGGTCGGACTTTGGAAAATGCCCAATCTACTTTGCCCTTGCTACGAGCTATGAATCAGCTCGCCGAGCTGTATGGTAGTCCATGTGAAAATTGGGATGATGTCCTGTCAGCCCATGACCGGTGGGTCCGAGAAGACTACGACGGATTAATCCGCCGATCTTTGGAAGGAACCCATGCACTTCTCTTAGATGATCTTCTTGGTGATCACGAAGATATTGAAAAGTTTGACTGGCATGATAGTTTCACTGTCTCGACCACGAAGCGCATTGTCCGCATCGAAGCCGTAGCGGCGGATTTGATCCTTCAGATTGCCAGTAGCGAACGCAAAGCTGGCGAAACGGTTTGGAACAATTTCCGCCAAAGATTCCAGGGTGCCATTTCGGAGGCAATGGAAGATCCCAATGTCGTTGGTTTCAAGTCGATCGTGTGTTACCGTACCGGTTTGGACGTGGATCCTTATTCCTCCGACGATACAACCTTGGCAGGTTCACTTGTGCGCACTCTTGATTCTGGGACTACAAAGTCTGGATTCCGAGTTGAGGACAAGCCATTGAATGACTGGCTGGTCCAGCAGACACTGAAAGTCATTCAATTCAAGAAAATGGCTGGTGTTGTGAAACCTTTACAATTCCACACTGGCCTGGGTGATAACGATATCAACCTGGTGCGAGCTAACCCAGCATATCTGCAACCGTTGATTGCCCAGTATTCCAAGGCAGATATCGTTCTGTTGCACTCGGCCTATCCGTACACTCGGGAAGCCGGTTACCTGGCCTGTGTCTACCCGAATGTCTACCTAGACCTTGGCGAGGTGTTTCCCATGGTCAGCCGAGACGGCCAGGAAAATATCTTGCGACAGAGTTTAGAGCTCACGCCTGCCAACCGTCTACTCTGGAGTACGGATGGACACTTCCATCCGGAGACATTTTGGTTGGCTAATCGTCAGTTTCGCCAGGCTCTCGAGACGGTAGGTTATGATATACATGTTTTTTTCTGCTTCAATACTTATTTCCTTTGCCTTTTTAGGTATTGGTGGACTACGTCCAAAAGGGCGACTATAGTACTACACAGGCTATTAAAGTCGCTACCGACATTCTTTTCCACAACTCCAATCGCCTTTACGGGCTTAAAATGACACCAGAGTACACACCTGGCATTCCTTCAGACGCTTTGTCAATGAACCAAAGCCAAGATTCCGCGACATCAGATGCTCTAGATGTATTCATTCGCTCAAATCCAGAGGTCGAATATGTCTGGATGCAATGGATTGATTACACAGCCACAGTCCGAGTACGCATGTTTCCAATAGATTATTTTATCCAAATCGCCAGACAGCAACGACGAATTGGGATCTCGCTCGCGGCATCCTCAGTATTGCAAGATGATACAGTCACCCAGCCTGGATCCACCACGGGCCAATTCTACCTAGAGCCCGACCTCAGCAGCCTCTTTCTCAATGGAAGCATGGCAAAGCCTGCTGCAACAAGCGCAACAGTCATGACCTTCTGGAAATCAGAAACGAACAAGTCACTCGATACTTGCCCACGGACAGCGCTCCAAACCATAATGAACAAACTTCAAGCAGAGCACAACATCAATTTTCAATGTGGCTTCGAAATCGAAGTCGTATTTCTCACCCCAACGAAAAACGAACAAACCGGCAAGACAGTCTATACACCAGCAGCAACCAACCACTCCTGGTCCCAAATGACACCAGAAACACGACGCTTCGTGCCTCTCCTGGAAGAAATCCACCGCACCCTGGTATCAATGGGTATCTCCCTTGAACAATTCCACGCCGAGTCTGCCCCAGGCCAATTCGAATTTATTCTCCCTCATGTCACACCTCTCGCTGCTGTCGACTCTCTCATCGCAGCCAGACAAGTCATCACAGCCGTCGCAGACAGACACGGCCTCCGCGCAACTCTCCATCCTCGTCCGATCCCCAGTGGCCCAGGGAATGCTGCGCACGCCCACATCTCTATCTCCCCCGCCACTCGCGAAGAGAACTTCCTCGCTGGAATTCTTGCCCACTACCCAGCAATCATGGCTTTCACTCTATCCCAAGATTCAAGCTACGACCGTGTTCGCTCAGGTATCTGGTCCGGCTCAGAATGGGTAGCATGGGGCGTTCAGAATCGCGAAACGCCGGTTCGAAAGATCGAGTCCGGTCACTGGGAAATCAAATCGCTTGATGGACTGGCGAATTCGTATCTTGCTATCGCTGCTATCCTCGCCTGTGGCTATTTGGGATTGAATGGGGATACTCCGCTGACTATGCAGGAGTGTACTGGTTAGTCGTATCGTCTTATTGGCAGAGCCTTCACTTTCATGGAACTCGACTAACAAAATAATTCTGTAGTTGACCCTTCCACTCTTTCCGACGATCAACGCTCAGCGCTCGGTATCACTACCCCGCTGCCTAAGTCCCTCGTGCAAAGTCTTGAAGTGCTCGAGGGTGATGAGTCCTTAAAGGCTTTGCTGGGACCTGAGCTTGTTAGGAACTATGGTGTCGTTAAACGAGCCGAATCAGCTCATTTGTTGTCTATGCCGAAGGAAGAACGCCACCTGTGGCTTCTTGAACGATACTAAACACGTCTAAGTACTGATTGCGACGGAGGCAGAGATGATGGTAAGAGTAATGTATGAATTTTTCGTATATTATATGTGAAAAGAAATATGATCATGAAAAGGATTCCATGCCATAATGCGCTCGTGCCAGATTCTGCACATGTATCACAAGCTCAGCGGAGCAGTGCACCATCTTCACTGAGCGAGAGATATGTACATGAGTATCCCGGCTATAACAACCCCCAAAAAAAGGCGTAACCACCGGGGTGATTGAATCGATGCTGTCATGCAATGCAGGAATGAATGCAAAAGGCGAAACGAAACAATCAGGAGAAAAGGGGAACAAATATAAGTAAAATAAACTCCAGCCTTGGCTTCCCGTGTATCCAGCTTCGTTCGGCCTTGTCACAATGGACTGCGTAACTCGTAAATATTTCAAAAGGGGTGTTTAATGATTTGTTTGTGGGAGTGAAGAGGGTGAGAGGGAGGGTCGAGAAGACGAGCAAGAAGAATAACCAACGAGTCATCACATTCGTTGTCTGAGTTGATAGTATTGAGTATGTTAAGATAACTTGGTCAATACTGATCAATTGATCAGGCAAGGAATGGCTCGAAACGTAGCGTGTGGTAGATGAAACAAAGTGTAGGTGAAGAGAAGACAGAGGGAGGAATATGATGAGCAGAGGAAGAGAAGAGGCGAAGGTTGAAGGGAATAAAGGAGGAAAGTGAGACGGCGAAAGCAGTATGTCACAAAAAGCACAATGACAGGTAGTTATCGAGGTTTAAATCTCGAATAGGTCAAAGATGACGAGGAACGGCAGAGAAGAATGCACGCCATCTCAACACAAAACAATTGTTCAAGATAGCCTCCGTTCTTTCTCCATCCCATCCTTTTCCCATTCAGTCAGAAGTCGTGATACTTCCCTGAATGACACAGGCTTGGTGAGGAACAAATCGACACCAGAAGCCAGGGCATCAGACTCGTCGCGGGAGCTGCTGAGCCCTGTCAAGGCAATGATGATGGCAGGCTTACGGCCATCCTCGTCCCTTTCCAATGAGCGGATAGCACGGGTGGCCTCAAAGCCATTCATGACAGGCATGGAGATGTCCATAAAGATGATATCATATCCGCTCTGCATGCGCTCGACCGCCTCCACGGCCAGCTTGCCATTCTCGGCAGCATCCAGCTCGGTGAGCTGGCGCTTTTTCAAGAATGTCATCATCAAATTGAGGTTGATACGGTTGTCGTCCACCACCAATATGCGCGCCAGGCGCGACGAGTTGATTGCACCATCTACCAATGGCGACGGCAAGGGGGCTTCAATAATCTCTTCAGGTAATGAGGTGATAACTGATGGCCCTGCCAGTGGCGTCATACGCTGTTTGGTCGAGCGAATTCCCGGTAGATTCAATTCTGGGGCACTTCTGGCACCAGCGGAAGAGGTAGGACTGGCGGGAGACATGGCGGATGGCAGGGATGAAGTTCGAATAGGTAAATCGATTGGCTGCATGACGGATGCGGGTGTCGCAGATGCTGATTGATTTTGTGCTAGACACCTTGTCACGCTTCGAGCTAACTTGTGTGGTCCACAAGGACGTCGGATGATGTGCACTGAAGAAGCAAGAGGCAACCATTCGGACAGTGCACCGGTATAATCCACGGATTTGTGGCACAGGATGAGAAGGGCGGGTAGTGTGACCGCCGGTGCGATCTCGCGGAATTGTGGCAAGTCATTCTCATCAATCAGGACCATATCGACAGTGCTCTCAGATGAGCACGAGACAAGCTCTATGGCGTACCAGTCTGTGAGATAGCGAGCGATCTCAGACCAATTGGAGTGACCCGTCACCTCAGCTGGGTCAATGCCCCATATCGCGGCCCGTTTCCCTGGGTACCCTTCGCGAAGCAGAAGAGTTTGAGTCAGAGTCTCTCTATGCTGAATGAGTTGCCCTGAGGGTTCGATAGCCGGACTCTCCTTGCCAACAGGGCGGGCTAGTGGGAGCGACACATGTACGGTGGTCCCCTCTCCAGGGCGGCTGCGAATGCGAATGGTTCCACTTAAGGCCTTGACCAAGCTTCGGACTATGGATAATCCCAGACCAGTGCCCACCGCCAGAGAATCCTCTTGGGCAAAGGGGGTGTATAGCTTGCTGCGCAAAAACTCTTCCGATATACCTTTGCCAGTATCAGTGACGGTCAGCGTGACCAAGTCCTCGAGGCCCTGGCGGCGGGATCGTCCTTCGGATTGACTGGACGCTTCCAACTGCAAAGTGACTCGGCCAGCCTCCGTATATTTCATGGCGTTCCCGAACAAATTCATGATAATGCGGCGCAAAGCACCAGGCTGGGTGCGGTAGACCCAATCCCCATACGCTACATCCATAACAACCTCCACATTGGATCGTCCGCTTTGCAACTTTGGGTGATGTGGCATCAATACGGGCAGATCAGCTGACGCGGTTGAGCTTTGACCGTACACATGGCCAAGACAAATGCCTTCCACGACTTCCTCGGCCAAGATGGCGAGATCCGTGGCCACATATGTGTCAAGGTGATAGGCGAGCTTATCCGTTCCTTTGAAATCCAGCGGTTTCTCTTTCCTGCGTTTCATCGATTTCCATGTCCGTTCCAGAGATACCACTTTACTGAAATCAAGTACTTGGTTCATTGTATCAAGCAGGGTCCGGCCGCATGCATTGACCGTCTCCAGCAACGAATCTTGAAATTCGTTCAAATGAGTGCTGCTCAAAAACTCGGCGGCGGCCAAGATTCCATGAAGCGGACTGCGAAGTTCGTGCCTGAAACATATATCAGCATGTAGTCCCTGATGGGTATACTACCTCGAGAAAGCCCTGGAAGAGATTCTCATGGCATTCAAAAAGAAACGCTGTAGATAAATACTCACGAGATGCTACCGATGAAATCGCCCTTCTGGCGATCGGCTATAAGAGATTCGACGCGACTATATTCAGCCATAATAGAGGATGCAAAACCAAGCACTGAACTCAATTCGACTGAAGTGGTAAACACTTGGGTCTCGACAGTACTCCAGCAGAAGCACCCAGCGAACCATTGAGAGGCAACAGCATTCCACAACGGCACAAACATGATTTGCGTAGCATTCGGGAAGTATTGATTCAGAACACTGTTCTCCGCGGCCTTTCGCCGTTTCCGAGTGAGCTTTGAAGGCTCAGGTGGTGGGGGTGGGGGAGCATCAGATGGAGAACGGCTGGAAGCACTATGGGTGGGAGTAAGTGGGCCCTTGTTATCCTGAGGATGTTGATCATCATCGTCTGATGTCGAGATGAGCCCATCGCGATGGAAAGACCACAGCTTTCCCCTGGGATAGCGGCGGAGCATTAATTGTAAAAACGATCGGTCCAGGTTGGCTGCAGCGCATGTGGCCATTGAGCCAGCTTGGGGAGCAAAGGGCTCATCATTCGTGGACGCTGACAACACGGGAGCAGGTCCACCTGCATCAGAGCAATCACTTCCGCTGTTGATGTCCAACGTGGGACTGTTATTTGCTTCGAGGAAAATGACACCACTTTCGCCATTCAAGTCAAGACTCTCGCGAAGTAGGTTTGCAGCCCTGCGGAAACACCAAGAATTGCCCTGTGAATCATCTGGCGGTAACCGGTTCTGGCCACTGCTTGTCAGCCATTCTGGCAACGAACTCCCTATGCCCGTACCGGAGGTTCCTGTATCTAGTTTTGAGTCGGAGGGTTGCGAACTGAAGGATTGCGCATCATTGCTAAGAGACCTATTATTTGGTGAACTGTTCGATGCCGCTTGCGATGCGTCGTCTGCGCTGTTGCCACGGGAGCCACGAGAGACGCTAATTCGGTTAGAGGGATTTGAATCGATAGACCGTTCGTTCGGCGGGCTGTTTGATATCCCTTGGAATCCATCCTCCAAGCTGTTCCCACGTGAGCCATCTGAGACACTGTTTTTATAAGACCCAGTAGATAAAGGTGCCGTGCTGTCGGTGCGTGACGGGTCCACGCTGTCCACAAAGCTCGAGCTTCCTTCAACAAAATAGCTCAGTCCTCGGGAGAGGCGTGCCGCCCGGCGGCCTTCTGAAGCTTGCCTGCAAATCCTTAAATAGTCCATGACAAGCATTGACAATGATCCCAGTGTATCCTTTTCAAGAGACGTCAATCCATCCCGAGGTTTGCTGTCCAACACAAAAAAACAGCCTAAATTGATGTTGTTCTTGGTGGTCAAGGGGGTTCCCGCATAGAACCGAAAGTGTGGATCGTTTTCGACAAAGGAAAGTTGCTTAAAGCGATGACTCTCGCTCATATCGTTCACAATTAAGAATTGATAATTTGCGGTCTCCCGATCGTTGGGTGGTAATGCAACAGTGTCCTGTCGGTTCAAGCGTCAAAATCGGGAAATGAGTGTTGTGATCAAAACGATCTAGTTCGACAATGGCTCCGTTTGTGCCGGCTCGCCGAGAGAGCAGAACTTACCTTGCACACTCTCCATGTTCTGCGGGTGTCGGAAGCGCCCAGCCAGATGTTGTCTTTGTCGTCGTGAACCGATGCGTCATTCAAATTCAGCGTCTTTGTAGCTTCGGCAATGATATGTTGTCGGTCGCGATCCGTCACAGCAATTAGCACTCGCTCGACGTTCAGGCGCAAAGCTGCCAGCTGGGCAAATGAGGTCAAGGTGCTGTTCGAGGTTCCCAAAACCAGAGCGTCAGGGCCGATTGCAGTCGATGGACGGACTCTGCCGGTTTCCGAGGGCGCAGAGCTTTCAGAGATTGGTGGTGTGTTGATGTTTCCTGAAGGACTAGAGAATGGGAACTCTTCGCTCGTGGGAAGCCAAGACGGGACCACGCCAGCTTGTATAGGAGGCTGGTAGTAGCGGTAAAGCTCCCTCGCCCTGCGATCTGCATTGTGATGAACATTTTTCTCGGTCTTAGGGTCCTCCATAGTTTGCTGATAGCGCCGTAGAAGTAGGAATGCAGTGGTGCATCCTCGTACTCCAACTTGTGAGATTCGAGGGAACGGTCAAATCGCGAGGACCTAACTGGGATGACGAAGGTCGAGAGGTTCGGGTTGCAACATGGGCAGCAACGGAAAAGGAGTGACTGAAAAGGGAGACGAGGGTCGGAGTGGTCGGAGTGGTCGGCGTGGCTTGATCACCCAGAGGCAAAATGGAGAGAAAAGTGGAATTCCAGGTCCATAAACTGCCTCCACACGCAACCAGAAAAAGTAGCGAGTCAGGTGAAACGCAGACCGGTTCAGGGAATGACAAGAAATTCTGCCGCTCGCGCAGCCAGGTATCTAATCTGTCAGGTGGAGACGGGCATTGGCGAGGAGTTGGAGGGGATAAATGTTCCATATGATTTGATTAGTGAGATCGGACGCTCGGTGCACATTTGGAGTCGTGTACATTGGAGCTCCACCGCTTCATCAGCTCTCCCACTGGGCTTGCATAGCATTTTGGGATCGACATATCAGAGAGTGCAAACCCACGTCGTTGGCCATGCCATAGGGTAAGGCGGGAGGGGGCTTGAAGGTGGCGTCCACAGTGGCGAGAGGGATCCTCGAATGTGGAGGAAAGAGGGTTTAAGTGGCTATGAGATTGATCGATGACCCAGTGGCGGCCTGAGGCCACACACGATTGGTCCGCCTCAGGCCACATCATTGGCCATGAAGATCAGGCACCAAGCAGGGCATGGGTGGATCCAGGGCCAACTCGGCATTTCATTTACCAATTCCAACCATCTTCACTGCTTCAAATCCGTATCTTTCTTCTAGTTTCCACCTTGCTCTTACCATGAGAGATTGGTATCTCAGCATCGGCCATCTGCATTGTCCATCTGCACTTGGCATTCCGCAGCAAGCCATGCCATCATTTAAGGCATGCCGTCATTCAAGCCAGCCGTGCGCCATGCCTGCAACTAGCGCCGGACCAAGCCCATGACGCCGGTGGCAACATCATATGGTCGCCCTGCATGAAGATCCCACATGCCGAGATAAGCATTGAGCTTTGAGCGATCGACTCCACTGCCAGCTAAAGATAGAAATGGCTCTCAAATTAATATTAGCCTGGGATTGCCAGATCGATATCTCACAACGCTTTAGCAGTTATCTCTACGAGTTATTGCCAGTCACAGCACCCCAAATATATGCCGTCCAAGCCCCGAGAACCAACAGCGCCAGCGCTCCAAAGCTGACTATGGAGATGTTGCGTGTGCGGCGGCGCTCAGTGACCAGGCTCCGCTCTCGAATCCTTTCAATAATCGCCGCTCCTGAACTCAATCGCTTCTTTCGAGTCCATTGAAGTGGTGCCAAGTTGTCGGTCATGAATGAACCGATCAGAATTGCTGACCCAACCACCAAGGATCCAGCAGCAAGCACAAGGTATACCTGTACCACTCGGCGGTATGAATCGTCATCTGCGTCTTGCAAAGCTCCGGTGATGATGCGAATAATGATGCTCATTCTATTATGATCATGATATCAGCTTTTATTCTCAATGGTTGGAGATAAGGTCAATCTTACGCATTGTTCATGGTGACCTTTAATGCATATGCAGACCCGAACACAGATTGGTGCCAGAGCGTGGTTCGAATACTATCAATGACAGAAGTTGGTCCAAAGGATAGGGCAACGGCATAAATGCCGAACGAAGCTCCTGTGCCTGCTTCGGATGTTGCAAAGTTGATGAGCGCCATACTCAACAGCATGCCGAGGCCACAAGTGAATACTGAAATACCGAAATTAGCTATGCGGCGATCATTTTGGACCCTTTCTTTGACAAACTCACAGACAGATGCTCGGTTGCCGAGCACATCGATGAAAATACCCACACAAGGAACGAGGAAGAAACCTATTCGGCGTCAGCCTGAATCCAAACATAGTAAACATTATTTGAGTGACACCATACCTGCATACTGCGACAGCGAGCTATACCATCCTGCTTTGATAGAATCAACGTTGAACCGCTTCTCAGCTAGCTCAGTGGCATTTTGGCTAAAGACGGAGGCCGAACTTGTCTGGAACACAGAGAACGCCATGATGGACCAGAACATCCAGGGTAACTCGAACATCTTCCGGAATTCGAATTTCTTGTTCTTCTCTGTAAGCTGCTCCTTGGTGGCTGCGTCATAGCGGCCCTTGTACCTACGGTTGCTGTACTTGTTGAAGAACCAGAATGCGGCACTAGCAAAGTTCGTGAATAGGTTCATGAAGACCGATGTCCAAAACACCCATGCGAAGTTACCGGTATTCTGTCCCCCCATCAGCTTTTGTTCAGTCAGAGTTGACACTAGTACCTACCTTCGCGATGATATTGGCCGTCGACTTTCCAACAAATCCACCGATCTTGCCGATAGCAAGCTCAAACCCGAGTGTGGAAGCGAACCCATTGCTAGGAGGGAACCAGGAAGAAAACATCTTGTACTGAGCGATTTGTGTGGCGATGTCACCGAGTGCAAGGACGATCCGACCTCCGATCATGAAGTTGAACGAGCGAACGGTGGTGGCAGCAGCGACGAGGATCGATCCGATGGTGTATACGACGTTTCCGTAGACGATCATTTCTATACAGTGAAAGATGATCAGCATGGTTGTGGGTTTGAGAGATTGTTGTTCATTAGCATACCAGCTCCGCCGATTCGGTCGGTAACTATACCACTGGCCAGAAGCAGCACCGTGGCCATGAAATCCTCGCTTGCCTCCAGAAGTGAGAATTGAACATTGTCAATGTGCATTTGCTGCAAAAAGAAATTCCATCAGTTGACCTTCCCCATTGCATCGATGGACGTTTTTGTACCTTTTTGATCGTGCTCTTCATTGCACCGGTGACACCAGAACTCCAATGCGAGCCAAAGCTAATACACGATATCAAAATAACCGCACATAGCTTTGCAAGCAGTGGTGGGGGAGTCTTTCCATCATCAGAGTCACTGTCTAATGATCCCTCAGAGGGATTGGATTTCTTTTCAACAGTAGGCTCAGACCCCACATCCACCACAGTCGAAACCGACTCGTCGACAGCCATGATACCGGAACAGGAGCACAAGGATATGTGATGTTAAGTGTCAAGAACAAGGTAAATAAAATTTCAGCCAAGCCCAATTTCCCCGAGTATCGCCCTACTCTTTATACGCCGGCCAACATCGGAGATTGATAAAAACACGCTCAGTGGGTCATTAGATCCTTGGCAGGAAACAGCATGGTGAGCCGAGAATGGCACAGAAGTCCGAAACTCTTGGCCAGCGGCGAAACACGTAAAAATAGCAGGGAAGAAACGCGTCTTATGAAATGGTACAGCGGAGTTTTAATCAGATAAGATTTTAGAATCGGGGGTTTGTCCTAAAAGGAGCTCAATCGACGCCTTTTTCAAGCTCTAGCGCCTCCAGATCGGAGGAACGTCGGTGGAATTAACTTGGTCTTTCCCAACGGTAATCTTGACGACTCTTGTAGATCCACTGTGAAGTCCTACAAGTATTTCTCGGGCCCTTTCCGTGCCATCGTTAGATTATTTGCCTCTGTAGACCCGTTTGTTGGAGATTCTTTTTCCAGAAACAGGCTCAGACCACGTGGCTCCGAGATCCGCTACGCAAGCTCGGGCGTGTCAGACCACGCTCGGAGGTGGGAAATTTTTCTTATCTGATCCGGGAATTATGCGTGGAGTTCGATTTATACTGATTTATATCGTGCAAAACTGCTGCACTCTGATAGACATAACGCAATAGATCCACTGGTGCCACTTAGAATTCAATAATGAATTAATCATTAAGATAGTCGAATGTAGATGAAAACAACACCAAGGGACAAAAAAGGAAGACAGATCCCGTTGATTCCATGAACCCATGAGGGCGCCCGCTTTATAAACTGCCGAAAAAAAGACACGCGAAAAACAACCGAGACAATCACCAGTCAAAGTTCTCCTCCTAGGGTATGTGCAAAGCAAACGATATGCAAACCAGAATATGAGCGTTATTCCACCAGAAGACAAAATAATGATCTAGATCAGAATCGTTCCATGAGCTGCTTACGCACTGTCCACATACGAGCTCGTTTGCCGTAAATGTACATTGGAATCGTCATGAGCATGAAGAATAGCTGGATACCGCCGATGACGAGAAAGACATCCTTGGATCCTTCGGCGTCCAGCCAGTCCACGATGAAGAGGGAGAAGATTAGGCCGTGGAGAATATCTGTGATATAACGGTTAGATGGGGGCCAGAAAAGTTATGATCGAGGATAGGAGTAACATACTCTTGCTAAAGTTCAGTGTGACAAGCGCTTCACCAGCGTATTGACGATAGCTGTCCACGCAGAAGGTAATGGCAGTAGTACTGCCCAAGCAGCAACCGAAAGAGATAAGTCCGAAGAAGATAGTGGGCACAATCCAGTTGTCCCTGATCTCGGCACTCCAACCAAAGGCCATCAATCCAACGACAGTAGACAAAGTGATGGGGATTGCCATGACAAGACGGAACTCGGGTTCGTAGATACCGCCATTACGTTTGGTGAGATAGCGCGTGATGATGTCGGATACCTTACCGGCTACTGCAGTTCCCAAGAGACCGCCGACAAAGGGTGAGATGTAGACCAGACCAGTCTGAAGTGGGGTAAAGTTGTAGTGTTCTCTGCCCTGATAGAGATGGGCAACAGACTCTGAAATCACGATCAACCAGCCGACGGACAGGGCGTAGACTACTGTTGACCAGAGCACGGATGGATAAGCGAACAGAATAAATGGACGTGCAGCGACTCGGAGCCAACTGTCTTGTGCGATTCGGCCATTCCATATTCCGAGGAGCTGAGAGTATGGGATCTTCGGGCGCTCGCGGAGTCGGTTGGTGTACTGTAGCGTTGCGGTTAAAGGTGGCCCAACAGGCTCTTGCGACTCGGTTATTGCAGATGAACGAGATGCTTCCAAGTCATCCGGGTTTGCCCCAGGTACCAAAGCAGGAGGTGGCACTTGCAGAAAATCATTCCCCTTCTCAGTGGCTGGATTAGGGGTTTCAGAGATAATTTGATCACCATTGGTAGTATTTACGGCCCCGGGTGTGAAGTCGGTCTTTTCGATGTCAAATCCGTGGCTTCCACTTTCCACTTGATCATCTGCAAATCCAACATGCGCGTTCTTTGTTCTTTTCGGTGACAGGTTCAATTCTGAGTGATCCATAGGTTCAGCGGATTCTTCTGGGATTTGAACATGCGGGCGTCTCCCACGGAACGGGTGGTGGACAATGTCAGAGACACTGCGGCCTGGGAGGCGCGGGCGCTTTTGCTTGGGCTGACGAGGGCGAGGAGTGCGGTCCCAAAATGTTTCGGGAACAAAGAAGAAGAGCAGTACCAGACATGCACCAACGATAATCGCGACGATCCAGAATACCCAGCGCCAGTTCAGACCTCCAATAATAGCAGCACTCACTAGGGGGATGAGGTTCTTGCCTCCCAGTAGTAGTAATGTGTAAATGCCAACTCGGTAAGCTCTCTCATGCAAGAAGTAAATCTCCGCAATAGTAGCAGAGGGAAGGCACTCAACCGGGCTCACTGCGAGGCCTTGGAAAATGCGAGCGACCACGAGACTGGGATAATTTGGTGATGCGGCACACCAGATTGCTGAGATAACGAACAAAGATGCTCCCAGGAGGTAGACGGGCCGTTTTCCATAGAGAATCGCAGTAGGCGACATCACGACCGATCCCAGACCTAGGCCCAACATGTAGAATCCAGTAGTGAAGGCGACTTGCTGCGTGCTGACATTGTACTGATCTGCAACCTCATTGAATCCAGCTGCCAGGATCGGAGTCATACCACCTCCCATCAAACAGTAGAAACCGAGCGAGAGCAGCGCGGCATCTCTCTGCCAGACAGGCCAGTTCAGAGGATCATTCACAGAGTCATCTGGCTGCGGATCAAGTACAAATTGTCCGTCGGGTGTTCTCTTCTTTGCGACAGCGGAGCGGGATCGAGAGGTAGATCGTGAGCGAGGGTAAGACGAGATAGAAGATGCTGAGGTCCGGTGCGGCTGATGTCTCATGCCTAAGGGTTCATTGCGATTCGATGATAGGAGAAGGACCGTTCCTTAAAGCAACCAAATGTCAGTGTCTTGTTCAGTATTCAGTGTTGTGTATAGATCGACTCTCAACTTACCAGGTACTTCGTCGGTTTGTTTGTCACTGAGAATTCCTAGTGTCGATTTTGCACGATAGGGCACATCCTCGCCAGATTCAGGATCTTCTGTCGAGTTTCCTCCAAAAAACCGTTTCCAACGTGAAGTGGTGGGTTGCTGCTGAACAGGGTCCGTCGCCACGTTCTCCTCCACCGTCGATAAGCGACCATCTGCGGGTGATACCATTTTGTGTAGAGGTACTAGGACCGAGGTTACCTCGCTAGTCCTCTTGCGAAATAGGTAAGCTATGCACATATTAGCAGGTGTTACTTTCTCTCTTTTTTGGTCCAAAGCAAGCACTTGGAGACGATGGCTCAAGGATGAGGTTTTGACTCGGGAGGCACTCACCTTTATCTTTGACACTGTGGCCAACAGGATGTAGTGAAATCCCTCAATTTCAACGCCTGGAATCTGGCTGAAAGCCCAAAAATGTCGTCGGGAAGAAGCACCTCGTGAAACAGCCCAAAAATGAATATTGGCCTGATAAGAATGATAAAGGGTGGGTGAAGCGATCAACGCTTGCGAATCAGCCCAGGCGACGGGAGAAAACCACTCAAAGGCATAGTTCAGGAAGATCAAGACAAAGAAGTAAGAAAGAGGATATATATAGTAGTGAGCAATCTGATATCACGCGGAGTCCGCGGAGGAGATAAAGACGATGATGTGACGATCTCATGTGGCAGCGGGGGGCGGTGAGTCGTCCAAAGGTACCCGCTCAGTACCACGCCGGTCGCACCCCTGCTGAGATTAATTCAGGTAGCGTCTGGGTACCTTTGCTTTTGAGGTTATAGATCAAATATTCTCTTGCATAGATATATGTAGAATGCCAATGAATTGCGCGGCGTGTGACGCAGGGTCCTCTGTCAAATCCCGATAAACACACCGTTTCCGGGCAGCGCCAACCTCGACAAGCACGATGTCGTTAATACGCATCTTATGGGCCCAGTAAGCAGTCTTGATGCGCAGGTGGAGCTGGAGCCACGCATTACGCGCAAGATAATGCAATTTGAAACGGAATTGTATGCACCCAACCACGTTGTGCATACATGTACATCCGATCCCTGTCCGTGTCAATCTACGGTGAAGCTTAATAGCACTTAATGCTGCGGAATCGCCAAATGCACGCGGCCATTCTTGGTGGAATGCCAAGCCGTCCTATCCCGGTTCATATATCGCGCTCGCTGAAAGAGTTTCGCTGCGCTTAGTTGAGGCTATAGAGTGACGTGTGTTTAATGGAGTTTCGGCGCTGGCTGCTCAGATGATGTCTTTAAGGGGTCTCAGCTGACTTGATGGGCGTTTGGCTGCCGTCATTGTGCAGATCGCTCATTGCGGGGGGAAGGAGTCATCCTTGGGCCTCTTTATACCGTTGGATGTCAACGTTTGCCTGCGCGCTCGGGCTGCTGATGGTGTCATTTGTTGAAGTCTGCCTCTTGAGGTATTGCCCTATATGGTGCTCTATGCTGGCCAAGCCTTTCGAACGCCTATGGGGAAAACGCCACTTATGCCCAAGGTCAGGCAGGGTAATATCAGCTAGGATCGACAGACTATTTTGGGGTATTTATTTATGGATGTTTTACTTGATTTGGTTGATGGGTTGGTTTGGTCGAGAAAATTGACTTGGAATGAGCGGAACAACTTATATTACAGTTCACAGGGTAGCATTTTTTGCTTGATGTATATCGAGTTCCAATTGCGGCTCACGCACCACCCTCGTAGGTATATATTTATAAGTGGCTGTATATCCATTCTTCAACCCATTTCGGTCCAATCAAGGTTGACCTGGAGGCGTTCCTGGAATTTCTGAAACATCCCTGTTTCTCCGCGGCATTGAGGGATTGAAAAGGACCCTGATCGACGCGTTTGTGAGATCGCGTACCTTGCAGGGGGGAGGGGAATAGAAATGATATTGCTCAACCAGACTTCATTGAGATGCAAGAGGGGTGGATGTTACACTGCATCAAGTGAATATTGTACTACATTAGAACGAAGACAGAATCTATGTTATTGAAACATGATGCTTTGTTTGGTGCTTCCTGTTCAAGATTTATACTGCAGTGCAATGTCACTGTTCCGGTTTGCACTTGAGCAACAGTAACTTGTGAAATTATCCAAAATATGCCCAACATACCAAGCATATTACAATCGATCGTACAACATCAAGAGAATGATATTTCTTCGTTGCCCATTGCGTCCGGTGAATCAAATTGACGGGATTACCAGCCCGTTTCCGGGAGGTCACGTGCACCCCCCTTTGCCTTTCCAGACAGGAAATAGCTCGTGTCTCCTATGCTTTCTTGATTTTCTTGATTTCACATACTTCATTTTAATATCTCTATCTTTTCCTACGTCGCTCGTTCATATTAGCCTGACCGTAGTGGTCTTGTTCTCGAGTCTCCCCAGCGACGACTTGGTGTCGTGGCATCAAAGAATTCTTCCACTTTCAATAACAGCTTTCTGTCCCTTACATCTCCTGTTCCTCAGGAAATACCAATTTTCTTTTCAACCATCTTCAATTCGACCCTGATTAACTCCTTCCACGAGACAAGCGGACATTCACAATGAAGATTAGCCCATCGTCGTCATTCCTTCTCTTCCTCCTTCCCGCCATCTCGGCCGCATTGGCCGACACCACATATAATGACAATACAAATTCTCGGGTCTCACGTGGTGCCTCTGATGTCAAATATCCCTCCGTTGATTCAGACACAGTCGCATCCAATGTTGCCAAAGGGGCGCTGGACGTCCCCGTGGATGGCAAGGATGGCAGACCGCACGCTGGCCCATGGGTGGAAACCAGCGGAGACCGTGATCGCAAAAGCGCCAAAGGAAGCGAGGAAATTGAGCCAGTCACACCAAAATACGATACCAAGATTCCATCGGCGCAGCACATCAGCACCGAAGATGGGAAGGTGATCCCGCATTCGAACGGCGGTGTCATGGATGATCCGTATCGTGCGGGTCCGAAAGAAGGCACCCGGGGTACCGAGGGTGGTGTTACGGAGAAAGGAAAGGAAAACCAATACACACCTGAAAGAGTGCCCGGTGGCCCGAAGGAGGCGCCTCCATTGCCGCACAGCGAGACGAAGAAGCTGGCATCTGACAGCGATGGTACAGTTGCTAGTAGTGGAAGTCGGACCGCAGAGGGTGACGGTACTCTTGGGATGCTTGAGGTGAGCCCTCCCCTTAATTTTTCAAGCAACGAAATCCTGTCTGGAACTAGTCTCATTAACGTACTTTCAGAAACCCGCCGATCTCCCGGAAAAGCCACACGATATCCCACACCCTAAGCCCCCAGCTATGGTCAAAGATGACCCGCTTGCTCTTGAGCATGGCTCCCTCGGCTCCGGATCATCTTCCAGTTCGTCTTCGTTGAACCACGGATCGAGCTCCGACATCCCCGAACAAGGCAGCTCTCTGCACTCTCTCGTTTTCTCCTTCACCATGATTCTGGTCTCTGAGATTGGCGACAAGACATTCCTTGTTGCTGCTCTGATGGCAATGCGCCACCCCCGTCTGGTGGTATTCTCAGCTGCGTTCAGCGCCTTGATTGGCATGACTGTCCTCTCAGCTGTCTTGGGCCATGCTGTTCCTACCCTGATTCCCAAGACCTTCACCAAGTTCATGGCTGCTGTTCTCTTCCTGATCTTTGGCCTTAAGATGCTGAAGGAAGGTCGCGAAATGTCTCCGGATGAGGGTGTTGGTGAGGAAATGCGCGAGGTTGAGATGGAACTGGAAGAGAAGGAGCACCAACAGCTGCGTATGGACCGCCGTCGCTCTTCAGTTACTCCCCACTCCCTCGAGGCTGGTCGCGCTGGCCGCCCCAAGACTCGTGGCTCTGGCAACCGCCTGCCTTCCCCCCCAGAGAGTGTGTCTTCCTCATCTTCCCGTGGCTCTTCTCCTCAGCCCCGTCAAAGATTCAACGATATTGTTTCGGGCTTGAACAACCTCTTCTCGCTGCTTCTCAGCCCCGCCTGGGTGCAGACCTTTGTCATGACCTTCCTCGGTGAATGGGGTGACCGCAGTCAGATAGCTACAATCGCCATGGCAGCTGGACAGGACTACTGGTGGGTGACCATCGGAGCCAGCGCCGGTCACGGAATCTGCACAGCCGCAGCCGTTATTGGTGGCCGAGCCATCGCTGGCCGGGTCAGTATGCGTGTTGGTATGTATTCCTATTCTTCTGTTATTTCGATCAAGAACAACACTAATCATGACAATTACAGTGACTCTTGGCGGTGCCGTTGCTTTTCTCGTCTTTGGCGTCATCTACTTCATTGAAGCCATCTTTTAGAGCGCTGCATCTCCGCGCTTGTATGTGTTTATGTGATTTCATTTACAGTTTTTGGCGGTTGGTTTGCTTGTAGAAGTCGATTGCATCTTTGTGACATACCTCTGTTTTAATGATATATTTCTGTGTCTGGTCCACTCAATGACCAGGTCTTCAATAAGACAAAGTCCTTTAAAAACTAGACATGATAGGTGCCTCAGTGCTATTGTGTTGGCATGTTATATTCTTGCTGTAGTCCCTGGCCAGTATGACAATCAGCAGTTGATTAACAGTTTGTAGACCTTCAAGTCCAGCACCGCGGACAGTGCACTGTGTCAGAACTCCAAAATACTTGTTGCCAGATGAAAAAAAAACAAGAAAAGTTCTACCAGGTTCTAATGAAACGGATATTAAAACGTTGCGAATGATATTAACACAAGTCGATCATGTTGAAATTGACAATGTGTTCGGTCATGAGAGAGACATGGTGTTTCGGAGCTCATAAGGTGATGCAAGTCTGCTCACCTGGAAGGGGAAACCAATTTCTGGACTGTTGCATAGAAAACAGGTACGGCGCCGGCGAAGGAAGTTAGCTGATCCACTGTTCTGCCGGCAGGATCCTCCACACTACCCCTGAGAAAAACCTGCAGGCTTGGCATATTGAACATCTTGACAGATCATTTAGGAGTGCATGGTCGAGAACCGGGGGCCAGAGACGCGGGCGAGAAGCAGCAGCGAGAGCGAAGAGTACGGCTGGTACTTAAAGCCAATCAAAATCGAGGGACCCGAATAAAAGTGGGCCTGATATATGGGGAAAGTTGATATGAGGCTTTAGGCTTAGCGGCTTAAGTTGAGGGTTTGGGCGAGGGTTTGGGGTTTGCAGTTTAGGGTTTACGCATGATCAATGTTCCGAGACCTCAAGATCATGTGACGTCTAGAAGCGGTTGAACATTCAACGGAAGAATATTCATACGTAGTTTTTCCGCCCGGGGGCCGTGTTCCTCTTGGCAAACAGCCCTGAAACCCTCAATTCTTCTTCCTTCGTCCTTCCACCGTCACCACGTCCCATCAGATTCATTTCACCTTCATACAGATGTTATCTTGATCAGGTTACTTTTGCTGACCTGAATCCTGATTTATATTCAGCCTTTGTTGAAGACGAGTGATAATTTGATCGCAAACAACACTGCGACGCGAGGCACTCCACGTGCCCCGGACTTACCGCCCTCCATGGCTACCGCGCCACCCAACCAGCGTCGAGTCACGAGAAGCCAAAGCCGTGATATTGATAATGTCGTACCTGGCACAAGTGCCATGAGCACTGGGCTGTCTTTTGGGCGCAACCGTAAGAAATTTGATCCTTTCCCCTCCTGTCCAGTTCCTGCCTGCAATGTTTACCCACACTTCGTCTTGGCATCTATGAACTATGGCTTTGTCTATATCCGAAGTTGAAGATTCCTCAACTTCACAATAGTTGGCGCATTCTCATGTTTCCTTACTCGATACAATTCACTATGTCTGCACTGTCTACTTCGCAACTTATTCTGACTTAATCCAGTGCCGAGCCTCCCAGAAGTGCCCTTCACAAGCTCTCCGAGAAATCCTACCCCCAGGGGCCGGGAAGTTGTACCCGAGTCGCCGGAGAATCATGAAGGTCACACTAATGTCTCCGGTACAACATTGGGCCCCAGTGATCTGGAGCCCAATAATGCCCATATCGCGAATAATATTGCAGGCCAATTACCTCACGTCGAAAAAGAGGCAAACGATGTCTTGGGGCTGATAATCCCTCAAAATTTGAAGCCAAGAATCCTTGCAGAGGAGGCTAAAAGACTCGCTGATTCCAACACCCCCAATGGCAAACGCCTCAGGCGTTTCGTCCACGGCATGAAAGACGAACTGAGTGATATGACTCTTGTACGTCAAGACAGGACATTCCTCGACATCTCCGATTTTCGTCAACACCTTTCATCTGCTCAGTTTGAGAGTGTCCTTCCAAGCTTGCATCTCGCCAACTGTGCTCAGCTGGCTCTGAACATGTTCCTTCCTAGCCTACCTAGCCTCGGCACCAACGACAAGCTACAGGTCATCCAAGAGCTGGATATTCAATTTCCTGCATGCTTCATGGAGCGGTTTGCGGATACAACCACCGTCGGGACAATTGGAGCAACCGAGCTTCAGCAGGAGACATTCGATCTTGCTCTCAGCATTCGAACCCAATTCTTCATAATGGAGCTGGAGAGGCATCGTGAGTCCAGAGACTTTGATCCTATCGCTATCTTGCGACGAATCTTCTGCATGGACCTTATTCCTGGGGCGGAAGACAATCAAGAACCACCTACCACTTTCAGGGGCTTCAACTTGCCTGGTGTCTTGCAAGACGAGGATGGGCATCTTCCCGAGATCGACAAACTCGAAGAAGCCGTGGATGAAAGATTCGACGATCTTCGCCACGGAATTTTTAAGTACGGCGTTGACCACCCGAAAAGGGTCTACGAATTGCGCGTCTTTGAGCGAGACCTTGCACGCTGGATCCAAGGGCGCGACAAGGAGATCAAGGAAGACCTGAAGCGTCTTTCAGACGATCAAGCCACAAGGGCATCTTCACGTCGCTTGACTACAGCCTCAGTCGGTCCAGCCAATCTGCTCCAAGGTTCGGTGTTACCTACACCACAGAAAGGTCGTCTCCTGGAACCGCGTACCCAGCAATCCCCCCAGCAGACCCGATCACCCCAGAGGGTACGTACCGTGGAACCAGCTCTGGTTGTTCCTCACCAGTCTGAGATACAGGTTCCCCAGCCTCGGGCTACACCTTCGCCTTCGCCACAAGTTGCCCGCACACAGGCGCAAGCTACCAGACTGGAATCACCCCTGTTAGTTGTCCAGGAACCTGACGTTCAGGCTTCCCAGCCTCGAACCACACCTCAAAAGCTTTTCGTACCAGCGGCCCGCCCCCAGACGCAGCCTACTACAACGGCACCCGAAAGACGGAAATCCAAGAGGTATGTGAAGTAAATTATATTCCTTTCAGTCGTTAACATTTCTTGTTAGCCACTATCGGAACTCCTCCGCCATGGCAGCCCTCAAAAACCGCATGGATAACAGCCGCCAGCAAGATTTGGCAGCCCTTGAATCGCAGGCACCCAATCGTTCTTTGAATGCCGGAACTGCAATCCACAAGGATCCACCTGGGCCCTTCACCCTTGACCAGGAGACCCCCGAGCGCGAGATTCAGCAATCTCCGGACCTCACATATCCTGGCCTCGCAGATGACACCACCTTGCACAACAACGAAGAGGAATTGGATCTCAGCCGCGAACATGAGAGTGGATTCATGGCATCTACCAGCCCCTCGGCCTCTGCCAGAATCAACCGGGTCAGCCACAACCCAGGCCGGTTCTTCGATTCGCCAGATGATGAAATTACACAGCGAACGGCCACACAGCGACCCCCCGCCAAAAAGTCTTTCCCTGCTGGCCCGCGGTTCATTGACGCCCAGGAAAGCCGTGCCCAGGTGTCGCCAATTAGCTCCTCTTATGGACTAAGCGCAGAGCGGGAACGCCCCGAACGTCCTGCGCCCAGAGAAGCCAACCAGAAGAAGCGAGCCAGACGCTTGTCCTACTCAAGTGACCTCTCTGACGATGACGCATTCGAAGACGACAACCGCGATGTTGACCGCAGGGCTGAAAAGCCCGAGCAAAACCTCCCCGCTGCAAAGAGACAGCGCACCGAGGCTGGGACAGGGTTAGGAAGCGCAGCCGAGCAGCTCCAATCAAGCCTGGACCGGACCACCCAGTCGCAGGCTGAAGTGGTTTCATCCAATGCAAGCCAGGCCGATAGCACCGCTGAGCGATTTACCGATTCGCGCTGGAAAGCCAATATGAAACGGGACGTTGCAAAGTCCACTACCCGCAAGGCTAATACAAAATGGACCGAGGAAGAGAACGCTCGGTTACTCGAATTGATGGCTATATTCGGCTCTTCCTACTCGAAGATCTTGAAAGAAGACGGTGTGTGCCCTGCGAGTGACGGCGGGCCAAAGCTGCAAGGCCGCAGCCAGGTGAGTTTGAAAGACGGCGCACGCAACCTGCGGCGTAGGTACGAGAGGTAAGACGTCCTTTTGTCTCATTTTCAAGATCATTGCTAACAAATTGCTTTACAGAGAAGGGAGGGTGCTCCCTCCGGGGCTAGAGCGCGCCTCTAAGTAGACCCACTGGCAGTTTTGCTCTCCTGAGTTTTTTTTATATATTGGTTTTGACGTTTGCGAGATACCCCAGGAGCAATGCGCGGCCTTCCTACTTGTTTCTTGTTTTCTTTCTTGTTTTCTTCTTTTCTTCCGACCTTGCCAAGAAATTCTTTTCTTGTCTATCTTTACTTGGCTGATGTAAATGGCCTCACCAAGGAGAGCACAGTAATAAGTTGGTGGCTTTACTTCCCTTCTTCCAAGGCTAGTTGAATCTCCAGAGTAGTGATTGCTATTTAGCCCCTGGTTATGGCAATTGGCTATGAGAACGCTTTTAAATCCCACTCAGTGCTGCTACATATTGCATGGCCTCCTTAGCAAATCTCGTACCCCTGCGCCTCAATCCCGAAAGCATGAGATTCTGTATCCTACCAGTCAGTCAATCCATCAGTATTAGAGTAGATAAACTAACGAGCCAGAACATTCTACGGATTCGCCGCTCGGACCAAAGAAGTGTTGTTGATAACATTGCGAGCAAGGAAGATAAGCGTTTCTTTGCATATGAAGAGAGATAGCACAAAGATTCAGTATAACAGACAGCGATTTCCGTACTGTTCAATAAGGGTTTATGCTCAGGCTACGGACGTCGGTTTGCAATTTCCTTATAACGAGCGACAAAAATTAAGATTTAGGTACTAACTTGGGCTACTTACACGTCCAAGATCGTCTGAAATGTTATTGGCAAGCTCTGAAATTCCCGAAAAAAAGGATATCGAAGTCCATTCGGCAGCAGTAAATGCTGATCTAAAGTGGTCATAGTTGTATTGAATCCACGAAATAAAAACGAGTGTAAATGCCCAATCCCAAGACAGGCAGTAAATGCATCCCATAACCCGAACCAGCGAGTAAAGCACAAGGGGAAAGTTTCAAACAAAAACGATATTATCCCCGTTATCAAATCATGACGAGCTTGTCGACGAACCGGAACCGGCGAGGGTATATATCTGTACATCCAATGTACATGAAATTACAAGGAGACAAACAAACGATAGTAGCAGTTGCGTTTCCGTTCCAATCGCCGACGATCTAACAAACCCCCCCCCCTAGGCATCTTACAGCAGCAAACCCATGCCAGCAATGACGGCACCGACCAACGAAGATCCGACTTGGATGGTGCCGGCGGCGTTGTTGGTGGGTGAGGCTGAAACAGAGGCAGATGTGGCGGCGGTTGAGGCGGCATTGGCGGACTTGGATGCGAGTGCGGTGACCTTGGCGTTCATGGATGAGGTCGTGGTCACGATGCCACTTGGCGCGGAGTTTGCAGTTGCTGCGACGATGATTCCACCCGCAGCGGTGGCGGCGCTTGGTGCCATGGTGGTCGAGGAGGCCTCTGAGGCAGAGTCTTCTGCGTCTTTCTTGGCGATCTGGTAGATGGTAAAGGTATCCGTGCCGCCGCCTGTACAGAAGAATTGGTTAGTTCCGTACTTCTTTTTGTTGAATTACGAATGACTTACACTTATCGGCGGGGTATCCAGGACACGCCAGGTCGCACTTGTCGTTGTCGACCTTGGCGGACTGCGAGGGAACGGCGTCGCCGCAGTAGCACATGTTGCCGCGGGTAAGGCCGATGACGTTGTGGCCGTCACGCACACAGGATTGTTCACAGGCTCCGACGGATTGGTAGCTAAAGGGACCCTTGTTCTTCAAGGAACCGGCGTCAGAGTAGCAGCCCACATATCCGGAAGAGCTCGAGTACACGGGCAGAGCGAGGGCAAGGGCCGCGAGAATGAAGCTGGAATGCATTGTGGGTAGTTAAAGGTAATTCGAGATCAATTAGAGCGAAAGGTGTAGTAAGAAAGAGTGATAGTAGTGACAATTTAAGAAAAAAAATCGGGTAGAGAGGGTGATATTGTAGAGTGAGAGGCGTGAAGCAGGAAAGAAGGGTCCAACAAACTTCTTTAAACCCCGTTTGTTCGGTCGCAGGGTGTTCGGGCTCCATTTTTTCGATGAATTTTCTGTGGAGTACAGCTGGGGCCGATGACATCGAAAACCTCCAGTCGTTGAGCGACGCAAGCTAGTGATCATCCTGAAACACTAAGCGACATGCTCTATTGAACTTCCGTTCGGGTCCCATTGGTTCGCAAGCTGATGATCGCCCGCTCGGCATCCCCAGATGTGGCGCCTTGCTTGCCTTTTCGAGAAGCCCATGACGGTGGATGGGGCCAAACGAGTCAAACAACTGAAACAGAGGATCAGTTCGCATGTTTCTGGTATCTCACTTTAACTTGATCGAGTATTGAGGGGTTTTGGAGTGGATGTGTTGCCTGGAGAAATCTGACATTGCTTCTGATGACCCCTTGCTCCATTCCGAGTATCCCACCGGAGTCAGACATGAGGAATCTGTACAAGTGTAGAAAGCTACGATCGATCTCAGGGGTCGTTTTCAACTCGGGGGTGCTTACACAATCCCTGACCCATGGTGAACTTGTGGCCTTGTTTCCCAGGTTTCCATTCTGTCCGATCTGCTACTGTGAATCCGTGTTGCCCCCTTTTCTTGTTTCTTGCTCATCGGTGCTCCCATCGGGCTTTGTAAAAATGGGGATCCTAATTTTCGCCCAACTTATGGAGCTGCTAGCAGTGGAGAAACCACATGGCTTGTGATCGTCCCAAATTGATCCACGATGTTGCGATTCGTCCGTACTGACCTACTGATGATCCCTATAGAAAGATGTGCGCGATTTGAAGACAGAGATACTAATTTAAGGGCACTCAAATACTCAAATGAAGCCCCTTAGACGCCAGCCTACAGGAAATATGTACCTGATTCGGGGTGGAGTTGTACTGCGCACACCAAGCTAACTTATTAATAGACTAGAAGCTCACAGATGATAGGTCAACCGTCTGGGGCCAACTTTACTGTAAGTCGCGCGATTGCGAGCTGCTCTGACATGCCCGGTTACTGGACACATCATTTGCGTGGGGGCTTACCTTCGCCGTATGTTTGCCCAAGGTGGTTTAGAGTAACGATGATCACCTACCTTGTCGCCCTTCTAGATATACGTATGCCTGCCGGCGATGCTAGTGAAGCCTCATAGCTGATTTCATATCGACCTCCCAAGCATGTACATCGAATTGAGATAGGATCGAGTCTGTCTTATGTCAGACGTCCTGTTGTTATATTTGTTCATCTGAGCTTTACTGAGCGCTCGCAGAACCCACGTGCAAGGATAGAGAGAGAGAGAGAGAGAGATAGAAATTGGCAAGGACCGTAAGCATTCCTTTGGGACTTTCTGGAAATAGATCAATCCTGGGGGCTAAAAAACCACTGCCGCTCAGGACTGCTTATACAGCTGGTCTGTCAGCAAATACTACCAGCAGAATCCAGTTGCGTCTGACAGCTGCAATGCCCACAGGCTGAGCTGTTATTTCCTGTCCATGATTGTGAGAGGGTCCCAAGTCTGCTCAATACATCACTAATGGTATCGATAGCTCCCCAGTCCCTCCACCAAAAATAAGAAACAACAGAGCATTTGAATGAGTGATTCGCATGAATGGATTCGTAAGAAACCTTCGAGTTCAATTGCCACAGTAAGTGAATCTACAAATATGTCCCTCTAACTGCGGCTATAGAACTCTGATTCATTTCGAGACATTTGAATCCATTACTAAAACAGGAAGAAAAACAATCGAATAGATGAATCAACTGATGCGCATGGTGGTTGAACTGGAAGGCAATCATGCTGCTGAATCCAAGTAACGCTAGCGCGAAGATAGCATTCACGAATTACACTGTGACTATGGCGCGGAAGATCCATCCGTATCCCGTCTGCACCCTGTTGTGTTCGATATATGAGCATCATTCATGATGTGACGGGTATGGTATCCTCAAACTGCCAAGGACGATTAATAAGCTTAATGTTCCATGGCGTGACAGCCAGCCTTGCTCACTTTCCTCAGTACTTCCGCCATATCGTGCAATCATATTCTATTACTGTAAAATGCAAGGTACCCCAATACTACAATGCTACAATAACCCCAACTCTCGGCAAAGCGGCGGCTCTGATAGGACAATTCGGGTGCGGCAAAGCCCGCCAGCCGAGCCAAAGAGAGGGGAAAGATAAGACCCTTGCGTGCGGCCTATAAACTATGAGCAATTCGCCATCATTCAAAGCGCTTTCTACGTCTTCAACTGTTTCTAACTGGAAACAATTAACGTTCCATAATGAAACCCGTTGCCCTTTTCGGGCTGGCCTCTGTGCCAGCGCTGGCCCTCAACATCCCCGCACAGCAGCTTCTCTTCCCCGACGCCGATCTCTCCGGCTATTACAACAAGCTTCTATCTAAGCCTTCTGCCCAGGAAACCTGCCCCCAAGCGCCAAAGGTGGAATCTCCCAATGACAGCTTTCACTCGTCCGATGTATTCCTGTCCGATGAGGCTTTCCGCGCTCGCCAGGCTGATCGTCTCTCGCGCGCGGTGCAAATCCCAACTACTGTGGGTGACTACATGAAAGACCCGTACGACGAGGCATTCGAGCCTGTGGTCAAGTTCCAGTCGCTATTGGAGAAGATGTTCCCTCTAGTGTAAGAAGCACATCCCAGGCATTGGGTGGCACATGAAGCCGTAAAGCCAAAAAAAAAAAAAAAAAAAGATAGGGAAAGAAAAGTACTAAGATCATTTTTAGACACGAGCGCGCGGAGGTTGATCATATCAATCGCCTCGGCCTAGTATTCACCTTCAAGGGAGCTGACACCACGCAAAAACCCATTCTCTTCATGGCTCATCAAGATGTTGTCCCAATCGACGATCCCTCAGACTGGACTCACCCGCCATTTGCCGGTGTTTTCGATGGTGAATGGATCTGGGGTCGCGGGTCTAGCGACTGCAAGAACGTGTTGATTGGATTGATGTCCGCAGTCGAGGATCTTCTCTCGCAAGACTGGAAGCCCAAGCGCACAGTCCTCTTCGCCTTCGGCTTCGACGAGGAGTCGCACGGATTCCTTGGCGCTGGCGCGATCTCAGCCGAGCTTGAAAAGAAGTATGGCAAGGATTCATTTGATTTCATCCTTGACGAGGGTGGCATGGGTCTGCAGAGCCTCGGCAATGAAGCAGATGCGAACGATGATGTCTTGTACGCCCTCCCTGCAGTTGGCGAGAAGGGTAGTCTCGACCTGATCCTTGATATTGCTGTCCCCGGTGGCCACAGCTCTATCCCGCCTGCACACACTGGTATTGGTATCATGGCTCAGATTCTGTATGAGCTCGAGCGGAAGGAGCTGTTCCCTGCTTGGTTGGATACTAACCACCCGGCACATGGAATGCTCCAGTGCCAGGCACGTTACTCACCCGACCATGTGGAGACCTGGCTTGCGGACAAGCTGGCTGCACAGGATCCCGCTGCCCTGGGAGAAGCTGTTGCCAGCTCCCGCGGTCCTGCGGTCCGGTACACCATGCAGACCTCACAGGCCGCAGACTTGATCCATGGCGGTGTCAAGACCAACGCTCTACCAGAGAAGATCCAGGCCGTTGTCAACTACCGTGTGGCACTTCACCAGACACCCGATCAGCTTCTCGAGCGTGCTGTGCGTCTGATCACTCCTATCGCTGAAGAGCACAACCTCAAAATGCGCATTGCATTCCCTGGCGTGGAGGAGTCCACAGAGGGAGGTGCAAGCGACCGCACAATCACTTTCTCGCCTCTCAGTGTCCCCCTGATCCCTGCTCCAATCTCACCCACGGACCCTCTCACCTCGAAGGTGTGGGCGCGTTTCTCCGGTGTGGCACGTAGCGTCTTTGAATCGCACCCGAACCCGCTTTCCAAATCCAGCACCAAGCCCAAGGTGGTTGTTACTGGTGATGTGATGACCGGAAATACCGACACGCGCTTCTATTGGGCTCTTTCGAAGAACATTTACCGCTGGAGTCCCTCTCGGGCTGGTGGCACGCTGAACATTCATACTGTGGATGAGCGTATTCGTTTGGATGTGCATCTCGAAGGCATGATGCTGTATTACGGTTTGTTTTGCCTTTCTGCGTACCATTTTTGGGTGACAATCTGACTAACTCTGATATCTAGACCTCATTCGGTCCTTTGATGACTGGAACGAAAAGTCCGAGTAAATATTGCGTGGACACAAACACAATGAGGCTTATGTAGATTGGCGGTAATTAAGCCGCACAAGTATAGAGAAAGTCACACAGAATGATTTGCCCCTGCAGACCAGACGAGCGAATTGAAGTACAAGGAGACAGCTACAGGCCATTTTCTGTTTATAGGATGCGTTAACTGTTAAATTTACTATGCAAAATTCAATTCGTATTGGCTACGGTCCCGTGCTTGGAGCTGTTTACTTCTGTGCAAATGGAGAGAGAAGAATGGGCTTGATAATATTCCAGTCCATATTGGCAAGAAATAAGATGTGGACAGCTAGACGGGTACTGGACAGTCTGGGTGACACCCGACAGTCCTTCATTAACAATAGATATATTTCATCACCATAAGACTGCGTGCTAATGCAGCCAAGCTAACCCTCAAGCCTCACTTCCTGTTTTGCGTTGTGGCTGAATTCCAAATCCCGGTTGAGCCTTCAATGCTTCTTCTAACAGCAAGCCACAGGATAACGAATATGACTTGTATTCAATTTTACTCAAGAACAGTCGCATTCAGTTCATGAGTCTTGTGCATGCGTTCTTCGGCTAGGCTTTCAAGATAAGCCCTGGTGATCTACATAGCGGCCTGGTGCATTGGGCCGAGGAAAACAACAAGGTTGTCATCCTCCGTTTGTCTGAGCATTATGTATTGGCTGGAGAAAGCTTCTTTTAAATACTCATCCGTGGCCTGATTAACCATTCAATAACAAATTGATATATTCGAGTGATTGAGGCCTACCCATGAAGCCGATGATACCCTATTGCTCATTTAAAATTGAAACGAGTGTCTGCCTAATAGGTGAGGAAATTCCTCGTGGGACCGAAATCAAGAGAAATGACAATGGAACAAAGTTGGACAGTGGATGTATAGCAGAACTAGAAAGATCTCTGGACTTAGGAATTAAGAAGTAGACAGACCCTTTGTCTGGTATTTCCTGCTCGGGCTTTGCCGCTTCTGGTAAACTGCCAAAATATGGGGCATCGAAAGCGTGTCACCATTGAGCAATCGTCTTAAGCTTTATTGTGGTCTGGACTTTTTCGACTGGTCCAGCTTGCCGGTTTCTCCCAAAGTCACGTACGCTGCAAGTTCTCTGGGCTTCTTGCGAAAAACCTTTTCCGAATGCAAAGGGATTTGACTCAGCTCTGAGATGGGTCGAAATGTATACATGTGATTAGAGGCCTTCTAGCACTTCGGAGATCCGAAGATGAGAATACACGTTGGATTGTAGTAATTGAAAAGTAAAGAAGGAGAAGCCCGATAGCTAATCCGCAAGGAACACCGCGTTAGAACGGTGGAGTCTGTATCTTGTTATTCAGAAGATAACAAAACATACAGCTTGCTATGTATTGCTTAGCGCATACGCAGCAGAACTCACATAGCCTGCATTAACAGACTATGGATGGGTATAGACAACAGAAAGACACCAAGCCTGGGAGTTACAACACGACTGGGGGGACTCCAGCAGATGTTCCCATTTTCTGGCGCAGGTTCAACCCCAGACCAGAGCTTGCAAACGAGCGTTGTTAGAAGAAAGAAACCAAAAGTTGACTCATGAATTAAGGCCGATGAGGTCAATGAACAAGAAGTAAAGGTCCGCTTAGCGGACCAGAAGAGGGGCGAAAGCACCACCCACGACAGGGCGGGCAACGAATGTGTTTTGAGGATAGCTAGATTGAATGAGCAAGACAACCAATAAAGATTCGGGAGGTTGGCAACTTACTTTCCAGAAACAGTGTCGTACAAGTCGGTCAGAGGTCGATTGGTCGGGGTCTCATTGATCCAAGTTGCCAAGTCCTTGATGAACATGGACCGGGCGTTCCCTGAGGTAACAGCTGCAGTGAAGCACTCCCAGTCGCCTATGGTGATATCAGTATTTTGTAGCATGATGCGGTGAATGGTCAGGTTCTTACCCTTGGTGTACGTGTGGCGAGTGTCAAGAGGCACACCGTATTGGTTCTCGACTGTCTGGTAGAAGTCACTCTGCATCTGGTATACTGATGGTGGAACCAGACCCAAGCCGAGCTGGGCATCGGCGAATAGGTTGTATAGGAGACCTGCAGCTTTCATGAGAATGTGTGCATGAAGTAGAGAGAGAGAGAGAGAGAGAGGTGGTCGGTACTAACCGTGGCTGTTTGTATCGCCGTAGGACAAAGTCGTATGAGGTGGGGTGGCGTCCTTCGCAATAGCCAGGTCCTGCCACTTGGTGATATAGTCTTTAGCGATACTCGAGAAATCCTCAGCATCGTCAGCGTTGCCGGTCTTGTCGGCAATGACGGCCATGGCCTGAATGCCAATCATGCCCTTGAGAGCCAGGTTGGTTTGGTTTCTAATTATGCTGGTCAGTTTTAAACTATCATATAAGGGGGAGATTACTTACGCCAACGAGCCAGCAAAGTCATCAGTCGAGATCTGGTTTGCTGGGTACAGAGCGTCGTCAACCAAATAACTGGTCCACTGCTTAAGTAGGTCGTAGTGAGCTCGCAGGTAGTTAATGTTTCCAGAATGCCGAGCATAGGCCAATGTCATGATGAGCATGTTTCCACACTCTTCCAGGGGCATCTTCTCATCGCTACCATCAGAGTGACCAGTAGCGTTAGGGTAGTTTGAGCCCAAGTCGTGCATGGCATAGTTGTTGGGATACTTTCCAGCCTCCTGATTCTCGTACAATGGGTCGAGAACCAGTTTCAATAACTCCGGGTTGGTGTACAGGAAAATAGGATAGGCGGGGAACACAACGTCAACGGTGTTCATGTTGCCATCGGATGAGATCTCCTTCAGGAACAGGTACATATGGTCTTTGGTGCCACAAAGCTGAGTAGCACCGAAAGCCTGGCGAGCCGAGAGCGAAGTAATAGTGAGATAGTCCTGACCAGCAGTTGCAATAGAGTCGGTAGCGACTCTGTTATCAAATGCAGTTGCGACTTCGCTCGACTCGCTGTAGTCATGGTGGAAGAATGAGAGCGCAGCCAGCTCAGTGTCAAAGTAGCTCTTCCATAGGGAAGGCACAGGGCCGTAGTCGGCAGAACCTGCGAACTGCACAGCCTCATCTTGGGTCAGACCAAGTGAGAAGAGTGTGCTGACGGGCGACGAGCCAACTGAGCCCAGATCGGAAGAAAATCCAAAGACGGGCCATTCGGACGAGATGGCTCGGAAATTGGTGTCACCGCTGTTGGCAAGCTTGCCATTTTGCGAAAATTGGCCGCGCACAGTGGTGTCTGCGCCAGACTGGTAGGACATACCATCGGTTGCATCGGTGGCCCAGTACCAGTTACCCCATTCACCTTGCTCATTGACTTGAGAAAAGTCCAACGGGGTCTGTCGGTAGACCTTGTGGTAGGCCACGCCGTCTGTAGTGCCATATTCCCACTCTGCTGTTGCAGACCGGTCACCAGAGACCCATTCTATTGAATCATCAGTTACTGCCCGTATTGGTAGATTTCAGCCCACTCACCGGCAGAGATATCAGCATAGACTTGCACGTCGTGCTCCTGTCCATCAAGAGAGGAGACTTCGACATTAAGGTACGAGAAGACCAGAGATTGGCGCTTGATATCGCTGGGTGTGATGGGCGACATGAAGGTAATGTTCATCTCCAGCTTGTTTTCCACGCTCATAGTGAAAATACTCTTCGTTGACGTGTATTCATACGCTTTCTGGGTGACAGCGGTAGTACCAGGCAATCCCATCCAGGTGTAAACATTGCCGTCGACACGAATGAGACCACACCATCCAGTCACTTGGTTCCTATCCATTCACTATTAGCACAATAGTATACTTGAGTAGGGTCTATCGATCACTTACTGCCAGAATACCGGCCATTGGCCAGCCAGGTATCCGCCATTACCACCATCGCTACCAGCATCAAGCCAGGTGCTAAGGTAGGGCGACCTGACAGCAAGGGGAATAGCTGGAGGACGAGCGGGGGTAAAAGTCGATTGCGCTCCAATGGAGGCAATGAAGGAGGCGACCAGCAGACCGAGGCGAAACAGCTGCATGGTGACGGGGTATAGGGAAAGAAAGATGGGACAAATGCGGGAAAAATTCAATACAAGAGCATGGCCCTTTGTTATTTATTTGCAGGAAAAGGAAATTAGCTCTCAGCAGCTTGGCCTCGAGGCAGACAGAGCAAATACTGCAAGTGATCTACGTTGTGTTTACGAGAGAGGAATGCCAGGTGCATTTTTATAGTCGAGCATTCAACTCCCAAAAGAGGGGGAAAGGGCCACGGCCCCTCCATAACCCGCATGCCAGAATGTGCTCTCTACGGATTTGAAGATCTAAGCGGGCTAGCGTTGTAGAGATATGTGACAGCAGACATGCATGTCTAATGTAAACCCCCGGGCATGCAAGTCGGATGACCTTCGTCAGCAGCCGTGAACAAGACCCATGCGGTAATTTCGACCAGAGGGCAGACAAGAGATCGAGTACTATGTGAGGGGTCAGGACAGGGGGAAAGAAGAATGGTCGCGAGAACGGAAATAGGGACTCGAGCTAAGCTCAGAGCCGAAGTTAAACACGTCAAAAACGCGGTCTAGCGGCCCACAGGAGAGACAACATAATGAGGTCGCATGGAAGACAAGCGGCGGTCTATGCGGATCGACGAGGGAGTGGCGTTAGTGGACAAGAGCATCGGGGTAACTTAACTCCTTGGTTCGATGAGAAGCCTTGCAGATGACTGACCACACGACAGCATGGCGCAAATAAAAGTGTGGAGAAGCAAGTGAGTGGAGGTGAGAGATGAGGGTTGCGGAGAGAACAGGAACGGGGGCTTGAAGTCGTCGCCGATAGGTCGAAATAGTCAAAGGAGGTGCCAAGTGCATGGCCTTCGTGATGGCATCATGCGCACAAGGTCTCTTTGAGCTTATGCATGAAGCAATATCAAGCCGGATGTTTAGTGCCTGAGTCCTCTGCGGGGAATAACGATCAGCAGAATATGATCGTGGTATTCAAATGGAACAGTTTTAGCATGCACATCCGGATCTTCAGAGCACCTGGAAATAGTCGATCTCGGGGACCTGCAGAGAGGATGGGTTGTGTTCCCACGACTTCAAGGTCTCACTCAAATCAGAGGGGTTCCCCTTGCAGGGGGTTGGTCCTACACGTCAGCTTTGGTGCCGACTCTCCGATCGGAAGAAGTCTGCCAGTTCCACCTTGATGCAGGTATCCTGTACTTGATGCATGGTGAGCGAAGGTCGCGTGCGCCACGTAGCGAGTACATGCAGAGTCCGGAGATGTGGTTTGTCGCAGATCCACCTCCCTATTGAACCTTGCTTGCTGTGATACGTTAGGATGTCTTTCCCCGTCCAATCTGGTTGAAGTATTCTAAGCTTCGACGGTCTGAGCCTTCAGATCTGTGTTGAATGGGGCTCGGAAATGAGCCCAAGATTTATACTCGGTCTGGTGGCCTTGGGTCATTTCGGAGTATGTAGTCTCATTTTCAACCTATGACCTACGTTTATCATGACCATATAAGCCTCACACCATTTTCGCTGAATATTTCGAATCCTCATTTAAGTAATTTCCCTCCAGCGCTTTGGCCGTATATTTCATATATTGCTTGGTGGATCGCGTGCCACTTTGTTGCCCCTCCTATATAGTGCATGCGGGACAGTCTTCAAGGGCAAGGGCAAGGGCAAAGGGGAGTAGACTAGGTGATGTTACCTTGGCCATTTCCACGGCTGACCCCGGGCTTTATTTCTATCTGGGTTTCATCCCTTTCTTGGATCAATGTGGCTTATATAGTTGAAGCACCGAGCACCATTAACTCAACCAATAAGAAGGGCTTTCACGTAGAGTAACCAGACGAGGCAAGATATTGCCAATATCAGCATGATCGAAAGACAACAGGTCTCCTGTCTCAGTGCTCTCCCACCAATCCCCAGTAAGGGGCAGATGCGCTTGGATAGACCAAAGCCATGTCTACGAGTTTCTGGTACCTATATCCTTCTGCCTATGTGTCAAGGTCATTCTCATAAGGGAACAGGGGGTCCCATATTTGGATATCCTTTGCCTTGCCTGTATTCTGGGTCTCGTTAGGGAGCAGCCCACGCGGCTTTTGCAAACACTGGACCATCCCATTCTGGAATACATCCATAGTTGACCATCATGTTTCTAGGCACTTCGCAAACATGCGTTCGCCGGCTAGGCGGGCCTGGCACGTTGATCGCGGCGGAGTTGTCAAACATTCGGCCCATGAGGGCCTTTTGGGCGATTGAACAACATATTAGAAAGACCTCGGTATTGTGGTCAGATATCTGAAAGGTTTTCTTGGTTTGTATAACACAGTGAATGTTCCATTCTTTTATACCTCAATCCTCGACCTACCTTCGCCGAACAAAGAGTCTCTCTTTGTGGTCCCTGTGGGTGGGCGCTGTGCTAAATTAAGTCATATGCAACATTTGATCAAGGACTATGGACATTTTATAGCACTGCTGCACGATAATCACGCTAATATAGGTTTTGTCACAGTGAACCCCAGCCAGTAGTTAGACACAAGTGGTTTGTGCCCGAAACCCTTTGAGCCTCAAGTGCCATCTCATTGCCTGATATTTAGCAAGGAAAATACCAACAGTGCTTTGCGATACGAGCTTGATGGCTCGAGGGAGAGGGCTTAGATTGGGACTTGTTCCGGGGGATAAAACTGACGTTGAAGGGGACTGGGGAACTTGGGCAACAAGTAGCAGCGCAAGTAGACAATATGGCAAATTCAGAACGAGAACAGCAACCTACCAAGTCAGGAGCGTTGGAACATGCAGGGCTCATCTTTTGACGTTGCTCTTCAATACAATCTGCCTCGCGCGGCTGTAGGGCGATATCACGAGCGTCTATCCCAACGTGCATATGAATCTCACCCCAGCCACAACTCACACCGCACTTCTAACCAACAATCCATCACCAACCCATCCAATGCCGCTCAGGCTCATATCAGATAAAATTTTCCATCCAACCACACCTACCGACAACACAGCAAAACTGGAAGATGTCCTCCCAGCCTCATTCAGAGACGAATCAGACAACAAACTGTTCGTGCATACCCCACTAAGCGAAATCTCCAAATTTCTCCATCAGGACCTCTCAGTCAAGCGCCTGAATGACATCCACGACCTCCTATGGCTAGCAGGGCGGCCAATGCCGCCCCGACCATTAAACTACCAGATGTCGTTATCGCGCGAGATAATCCTCGACGAAAAGACCGACATGCACCTAGTCTGGGGGCCAAGTCGACGCATTCACATCAAACCACTACCTCAATACCTACTAGATGCTCGATTCTGGTCTGAGCATCTAGTCTGCGAAGATGAGTGTCCCCCGTCCAGCCGACTGGGACAGGGACAAGAGTCCCAGTCACAGCCAGCCAACAAACCCCCCAACAACACGGCGTCATATTCAGGGGCTGTCAAAGTTGCCACCTGTGAAAAATGCCACCTCACAAAATGCGCCTTTGGCTTCCTAAGCTCCTACATAGCCCTAGTCCAACACCCAAGCGACTTCGCCATAGCCAAGTCGAACAACCTTCTCCCAGAATTCCTAACCTGGTCCGCCTGGCGAAGCCTAGTCCAAAACCTACTTGCAAACGAAAGCACAGACCCCAGCAAAATAAACAAGCGCTACATATTCGGTGAACTGCGCCTGTCACGCTTGAACAAGATCTACGCCGTCGGGGGTGGCTTCCTCCTCCGCGGGTATCAATCCAAGTACCAGACCTATGGCGAGTTATTCAAAGATTATCTGACGCCTATTACTGCCATGACGGTGTACATTGCGCTCGTGTTGACAGCGATGCAAGTTGGACTGGGGACCGACCGGTTGGCGCATAATCAGGCGTTTCAAAATGCTTCGTATGGGTTTACCGTGTTTTCTATTTTGGGGCCTATTGTGCTGGTGTTTCTTGTGCTTTTGGTTGCTCTGGCTTATGTTGCGACAAATTCGTTGGTGACTATTGCTTTTAGAAAGAAGCGGTTCAATGAACTTGAAGGGAGCAAGTCTGGGAGGGTGTAGAAGGGAACTGAGTGGTTGGAATCGATGTTGGCTCGCTACCTCTAGAGGCAAGGCGATGTCTCTAATGTATACTTGTCTATAACCCATTTGTATAGGAATAATATCTGTGTCGGCGAGAGAATAACAAAAAGAAATGAGATATCAAGTGTATTCCATAAGATCATAAATGCAGCATCGCCAAGAACCCACCCTCCCTCAAATCCATTACAACCATCTCCATCCTTCATAGCAAAACTACACACTCCTCGCAAGCTCAATACAAAACTCACCCCAGTCCTGCCCACCTTGCAAAGCAAGAATCTCCTCCGCAATCGCCTCCTCAAGCCGCTCCCCATATCGGCGCCTATATTCCACCTTGACCTGCTCCAGATGTCTAGGCTCCCAATGCAAACGAACGAGTCGGGAAATGAGCAACTCGGAACGTTCACGCCCACTGCGTGATTCGCGAAGGGCTTGGTGGAGAAGGAGGGCGTCACGCATTGGTCTGTTTATTGCGCCGTTTAGGATGTGGGCCAGGGTTTCACCCTATAACACGAATAAAAGAATGATTAGCGAAAGTTCAAGAAAGTAAAGCTGGGGGAAAAGTAACGTACCACAAGATTCCTCGACTTAGCAATCATCCCCTTAGCAAAATTATGCCGATAAGTTGCCTCATAAACGCGCAACACCTCGCGCAAATGCTCATCACTCCTCAGCACAATAATATGAATCATAGCCGTCTCCCCGCCCTCACGGCTAACCAGCGCACGATACAAATCATCCACATCATCCCTGATCAAACGGGGATCAAGGGGTTCCCGGTCACTCTGACGGCGACCCTCGAGCGCAAGCAAAATAGCAACACGGAATTTATCCGCACGGAGCTCAGAGCGCATACAGCGCTCGAGACTATTTTCGTACCTGGTATCCCGGAAGCAAGATTTGATCTCGCGGATTGCAGAGTTTGATCTGCCCATTAGTGATTCGATGAGGAGTTCGCGGCGGGATGTACCGGCTTGGTAGTAGCAGTTTGCCCAATAGGCTTCTGATTCCCAGCGGCCGAGGGCTGTGGCGTAGGCGACCTTTCCGAAGGAGGAGGTTCCGAGTTTAAGGCGGAGGTGTTTGGCGAGGTTTATTCCCTTGCCGTGCATGCGGACGCGGGTTTTGTACTCCTGGCGGAGGAGGAGGATTTCGTCGCTGGTTAGACGGGGCAAGATCTGGATTATGGGTTTGTTGTCGATGTTTCGGGTGTGGTTTAGGGCATTTTGCATTGCTGTTGCGTCTGCGCCGGCGTCGTAGAAGGAGACGCGTTTGCGGTCGCTTGTGGGCGAGATTAAAACCATGTTTCCGGCGCTTGGGATTGATGAGCCTGAGTCGTGGCGGTCGTGGCCGGTTGTTGGGCGCGTGCGCCGTTTGTCGTCTTTGCGGTCGTCGCGCTCCTTTTCGCGCTCTTTTTCTTTCTTGTCTTTGCTGCTGCGTGTGCGGGTGTCTTTCTCGCTGACTGATGATTTTGATCGATGTCTTCTGTGGCGACCGGAGTCTGAGGCTGAGTTTCCGCCGTCTAGACCCTCAATGTCTGAAATGTCTTCGTCGCGGATGGACGGAATCACAATTGGGGACGGCATGGGTGAAATGGACTGGTAAGTACCATGGTACGGCTCCAGCAATGGACTAGCAGGAGGATGTGCTCCATGAGCAACACCCGCGCCAGCAACAGCAAGATTATTCGCCGACGAAACAGAAACACTATGCGGACGAGTCGCAGGCCTCCCACCAGGGGCGATCTCAACAAACTGCGGCTCCTTGCTATACCGATACGACTGCTCTCCATGATTTTGCGGTTGATACCTATGCTGGGCCGCTGGCGCCTGAGGCTGCCCAGTCCGGGAGAACTGCTCCTTTGATGAAGCAGTATAACTAGGCTTGGGCTCCGCCTTGGAAGTATACCGCACGCGAGGATCAACCTGGGCATACTGATATTGGCCCGGATTAGCATACCCAGACGAAGTCGGCGGGTAAGCCGCATCCCCGGTAGGGGCAGCAGTAGTATACTGCGGCGCATATCCAGCACTGGAAGTAGAATAGATACTCGCGGCTGGATTCACATACTGCGGCACTGGTAGCACTGGCGCAGGTATCGATCCCGATCCATTCGCATACATCGAGCTTGAAGCAGGTGGGAAAGCACCAGGCATACTAGCAGTCGACGCCTCAGCCTGCGACGAAGGCGGCACGAAACCAGGTCGTTCACATTCAGGTACAGCAGACCAGTCAATATTACCTGCGCCAGGATAGCTAGGACCAGGAGCAGGAACAGACTGACGCGGCGCAGGCGCACCGGGTTGCGCATGCAAAAATTGCAACGGCTGAGCGTAATTGAATCTGCCAGGGCGCGCATAACTCGGATGACTACCCGGCCCATCACCATAAGCTAGCTCATCATCGATGGAATCATCGTCGGGCGACTCATCTCGGTCTCTGCGGCTGGTCCTGGCACTGACGCTAGAGCGCGGAGGCGACGAGGGCCGTCTGGAATGCGACCGCGAAGTGTATTCCGATTTACGATCGCGTGGAGAAAGACGATCGTCTTCCGACGCGGAATGTTCATAGCGATCTTCAGTGCGACGTCGAGATTTCTCCGAATCGCGCTCGCGCTGGCGGCGCTTCGAGTCTGAGTCTGAGCCTGTGCGATTCAGGTCGAAGCGCGCGGGGCTCCTGGGCGCACGGGAAATGACATTGCGCGAGTCTTCAGTGCCAGAGCCTTCGTGCTGTTTCCGCTCACTGATGAGTTTATACTGGCGTTCGATCTCGGCTTCTTCTTCTGAGCTGTATGTCCTGCCTCGGCTTCGATCTCTATCTCTGTCTCTGTCTCTACCCTCTCGGTCTCTTCCTCTAGAGGACGTAGAAGAGGTCGTGGGCGCGATCTCGACAGCGGGGGATCTGTCGCGAATGCGGGAGGGGCCCGGGGAAGGCTGGCGGCTGTCGCGAGAGCGGGAGCGTTCGCGGGATTTGGAGCGGGTTCGTGACCGTGGGTCATTCACTTGGAGTGACATGGTTTGAGTGGCCGAATTGGGAGATAAGTTTATTCCCTTCCTGGTTCCTTGAAGTTTGGGGGTTTGAGGTATACGATGGGCGGTTTGGTAGGGGTTTCACGTTTCACACAAAGACTCTTGACTCCCGGGGTTGGAGCTTGGATTCGACTCTGTGCGAGGCGGGATGTATGTGCGACGCTGTCGCTTTAGGCCATTCTCTATGGTGAGGTCTTGAGAGAGAAAGAGGAGAGAGGAATTAGGGGCGAAATTGCGCTCGTATTCAGCTTATTGTTGCCGTGATTCTTCAACATGCAGCTAATAGTGAGAGTGGCTTTCATTGGTTAGATGCAGTGGCCTCGATCGTCGGTTCAGCCGCAGGGGCAACCGAGGGGTAATTCTCTACACGTACAGAGTACTTTGATACTTGGATGGAATGATGTGTAAACATGATCAAAAAAGAACTGGTGTTTCTAACGAAACCTTTTGTAAGGAGATTACAGAAGAGGACATAAAAAAGAAGCCTGGTGAGGGACGAGGCCGCGAAGAATGGGGGTATGTGCGGGAAAAAACTACAGAAAAGAAGAGACGTTCAGCGCGTGCGACGGCCCTGAGGTCCCATGCGACCATAATTCTGCTTCTGGGGGGCCGGCTGTCCGTTGCGGTTGAGTCGGTTAGTTCTCCAGCGCTCATACCAGATCACGCGGCTAGCCTCCCGCAGCTCCGAGCGCCAGTCAGAGAAGACAGAGTCCTTCAGGCGCACAAAGTCACAGTGCTCGGCGTTGTAGGGATCTGCAAATCCCCAGGGGAAGCGACGGCCAACGGGTTCGTCTCCAGCCGCCAGCGAGTGGGGATCGGGCGACAAGATCGAGAAGGGAACGTGCTGGTTGGCGGCCTGCGAGCCGCTGGACTTGCGGGTACTCTGACTGGGGGAGGGGGAGGAAGGAACCTTGTCCTCCTCTGATTCTTTAGCTTCAGCCGCTTCGGGGGTTTCGGTCTCATCGAGGGACTTGGTCTCGGCCTCCTCTTCATCTGCGCTCTCCGACGAAGAATATTCCTCCTGGTCCTCCAGGGTCAGGATCTCAAGGGGGTCAATGTTGGCCTGCTTCAAGCTGTTCCAAACCGCTTTGCGAAGATAGTTCATGTGAGCAGATGTAATGGTGTCCGCCTTGCTGATGACCGGCACAACCGTAGTTTTGCCCAACACCGTGCGCAGCACCTGCAGATCCAGGTTCTGGTCAAGCACACCAACAACAGGCGAATCAGAGGCTTTAGATGTACCATTGGTCGCACGCTCAGCGGCAGCGATATTCTCATCGAGACGCACAGGGTCCAACAGCAAGAATGTGCAGTGGATGTGGGTGTCGCGGGCACCGGGAGAACGGATCACCTTCATCTCCTCGGCGAGGGTCTCCTCAAACTTGCTCTCCAAGAAGCCCGTTACAGCGCGCAGCTGCAGATCGGCAATGTTGCGCTCCAGACCCACAGAGTCCCACAGTGTAAGTCCGACGCGTTCTCCGTCAAACTCCGTCTCCAGGTATTGCGACGTAAACCCTTCGTAGGCCGAGGTCTGGTGTTCGAGCTCATCCACCTCTTCAGGGGTACGTGAGGGGTGCTTATGCGGGGGCATGGTCAACGCCTTGCGGAGGAAGTTGAGGAACTCGGTCTTGCCAGAGTTGCGAGCACCGATAACAAGCACACTTCATTCTATTAGTATCCCGGCCACAATTGTCTCTCATCCTGACTTACTTGTATGAGGTGGGGTCCTTGCGGCGGCGGACCCGGCGCGGGCTGTTGACGGTACTGACAGCACTGCTAGCATAGCTGTAGCGACCACGATGGGTCATGCTCTCGGTGCGCGCATAGGGATCGATCACATTGTTGATTGAGGAAGTCATCGAAGGCGAAGCGGCGAATCCGGATTGGGGACGGAGGGGCATCGGATTGGCCAACTTGTCACGTTCCTCGCCTCCAAAGGTTTCCAACTCAGGAGCGGGAGAGAGGTCGGGCAGTCGGGGGGCCGACTTGGGGGCGTAAGAGTCGCGCTGGCGCCGCAGTTCATCCTCCATGGCCTGAGTCTTGGTCATTCTCTTGCGCGAACCGGACGATTTGCGTTCGCCTAGGGGTTCGGTGGATTTGGAACGACGCAGGAATCCGAGCGAGGTACGGCGTTGGGCGAGGGTTTGCCCGTCATTGGGAGGGGCAGTAGCCATCTGGTTGAAACACGTTAGGTCACGGGCTCCTTCCCCTCTCGGGAATTGTAATCTCACGTCGGGATATAGCTTCAATCTTTACTTTGCTAGCTATATGATCGGGAGCAATTGCAAACTATTGAGCCTGGAACTGGAAGTCGGACTTGAAGGAATTCGATTGAAAGGATCACAGAAGAATCAAAGAGTGTTCCCAACCAGTGGGCAGGTCTGAGGGAGAATTGAAATTGAGACTCAAACAAAGTTTCCGACTCTGGGAGTGGGACTTGAATCTTACGGCGTCCAGCGTGGAAAAGGAGAGAGATGCGGAGAGAGAGAAAAGTGCCTTAATAGCCTGTTACTGGTCTATTATATTACGAGGTTGGGGATTCTCATCCTCAAGAATATTCAGGGGTAAAGCGTCGGTCCCACTTGGAGCTTAGTTAGGCCTGGTTGGTTGTACACAATCGGCTAACACGCGGGAAGTTGTCCAGACAATTGACTTTTCATGGCTCAGACCTTGAGGTCGAGATTCTACCTGTAGAATAGGAATGTTATCTGTATACTTCTCTATACTCCATAACTCGTGGCATCGCAGCTCGTGGCCTGGTCTTGGCTCGTGCGGCGACGCCAGGAGCCGTTGTAGTCTCCACTTGATTATCTCTGCATTATCAGCCAAGACGAATCTCCAGGGTACCCTGGCTGTCAGGCAATGGGAATTGGAACAAAAGAACCCATATGTGACAAAATTAAAATGAAAGGGAACGCCTGTCCAGATGGGCAGATGAGCCAAATAATAACACGTGTTTGTCATGTTTGCACGAACATCTACACCCAGCAGCATGGCCTTTTTTATGTATCAAAGCCTAGCTCAAGCAAGGCTGTTTCACTTGGATTCTAGAATCAATGTGTAGGTTGTACAATTTCATACCCTACCATATCCAAAGCTACACACATATAAGCTTAACCCAGCTCCGATCCGACAACCCCCTAGCTACACATGGAGTCAGAACGCACAGGCAAAAATAACAAACACGTTGACAGGTGAAACAAGTTCCTCAGATCCGATCAAAGACTCGCAAATGAACGTTATTTCCCACCTGTCGATCCCCTCGCCTCCAATGCACCTAATCAAACTCAAGACGCCCATTAATGACCGTATCGAGCCCACGTAAGGCTCTAGTCTAGACACAGGTGAAACCGAAAGGATGAACCACGCGAGTCCGGTGCACATCACTGTTTCTCATCTCGGAACGCGAGACCCGTTCCTTTCATCCACGGGTCTCATCGTTCTGGTACGCGAGGAACTATTGGATTCCTACCCGAATCTCCTCTATCTGATGGGGACCCCTGATCCTTGATCTTCGAGCTCTGATATTCGAATACAGAAGCCTCCGGTCCGTACTTACTATGCCTGAAAAAGGAAGATCGTGTTTTTACGAGTGGATCTGTGGGGCGGATTTCCGTCGCGTGCAGGAACCTCACAATTTGGCGAGAACTTTTTCGAATTGCTCTGCTTTCGGGCGAGTTAGACCGAGATGAGCGTACACTAGCCTGCATTAGCTTGCTTTTGTTTTCCTTCTTTGTTTGTTTTTTTTTATGCTTTTTTACCTGCCTCTCGTTACTGATATCACATGTCGATATAACAATTCCTAACTAAAAATCTCAATTAAGTCTACTTAGTACTTATCCCTGCAAAGCTATACATAATATCTCATCGCAATTCATGAACACACACCCACCGCTCACTCAGTCGTATTCCCAGACCAAATTCTAAACGGCAAAACAATACACGGCTTAGACGGACACACCATCTTCCGATCTAGACCCTTGAATTTCGGCCCATTGGGTCCAGCAACGTACTTCGCCTCTCCAAAAATCGAAGGTTCATTCGGCGGCTGATCATCTCCCCACTTGCCATTGAAATCCAGCCATGCGACTGGGTCGCCGGTCGTAGCCGTGAAGGTTGCCGTTGCCAGGTCGTAGGTGTATGTGTAGGCGTTAAGTGCGGGATCCCAGAGTTTGCCGCGGTCTGTGTAGTCGAGGAGGAAGCCTGTTGGGAAATTTATACCTGGGATTGTGTGGTCGTGTTGGCTGTATGTGTTTGTTAGTCTGAATGGCGGAAGGGAAGAGAAATGAGAGTAATTCAACTTACCCTGTTGTGGCGTAGTTGGCGTGAGTTCCATTGCCAGAGTATGAATACGGCCGTTTGCCTTCTTTCTTTTCTTTTTCGACCGCGTGGTAGGTGAATGCCTGGCCGCTGGCGTGTTGACTGTACCAAATTGCTGTGGGTGTGCCGTTGTTGAAGCGGATCATGTTGTGTTCCCTGTCTTCTAGTCAAAGACTAGATCTCCAGATGAAGTTATATCCTCTCTGGAGCTACTTACCAATCTCCAATATGATCCCCAAATTCCATCCCGAGCACTTTATCGCCCTTATTATACCTAATCAGACCAGTAAGAATCAACAACCAAGACAGGAACTCCAAACCAAGAACTCACGCATAAAAATAAAAATAAAAAGCATCAACGGTCTCATTGCCACGATCAACAACAACAATAGCACTCCCAGTCCCATCACCAATCCGCCCCTCCAGGTCCGGAGTAATACCTCTAAACCAAGCCGGCTCGGGAGTGGCATCGATACCCTCAGACGAGGTCAAGTAAACGCTTGTATTGCCCATGCTGTTAAGTGAGTCAAGGTTATCAAGGTCCAGTGGGGACTGAGCGTCTGCAATTACTGTCCAGTTAACATTTGGTTTCGTGTTATCAACTTGCTGTTGTATGTCGCTTGGCATGTATGTTTCCTGGCTGTGGAGCCAGATCAGTGGAGCTGTGGAGTTGGGATTAGCATGTAGTATAGTGATTTTGGTTTAGGGTGTTATGTGGGTGATTAACCGTATTCGAGGACATATTGCGGGATACTAGTCTCAGCCCTGGTATTGATGGATGCGCTAACAGCTTTGGTGGATGATAGGGCTATCAGTGCTAATGAAAGAAAGTGACGCATCTTGTGTGATGATGCTCAGGAACCTGTCCTCGATTCAACAACTCGTCTAGATCAGAACAGTCTAAACTGAGTTTTCTCAAAGGCTTTCAGGCGTCTCTCTGGCGGTCTTTTATCTAGATACCCATCAGCATGACCATATCACGAGTCCAACCAGGAACCAGCACTAAGGGACATACAATGAGGGGGGGAAGATCAGTTGAATAGAAGTTCTTGAGCAATTAAATTGCACAGTATACCCACTCCCTTCAACATATCAGCACGATTCGCCTGGCAGTATTCGTCTTCTCGCCAATGTGACCCCAACCAGCAAATCAAAGCAACACCACTCACTATTCAGCGCATGCAAGAACCGGGACCCAAACCATCAGGTCGGTATTTACATGAGGTGGGTGGGTAGCAATGCACTTTCGCAGCAATAGGGTATGATTTTCGAGATGCCCCCTTTCTTGGTTACTTGGTTACCCTCCGGGCTGAGTGAGGTATGCAACCTCTGAGGAATGTGAGTCTTGCGTTTGAAGCATAATGCGTCAGGCGGGCGAAGTAAAGGGTCTGATTTGTTAATCTTGGTTATGGAGTAGGCTATAAGCTGCAGGTTTGAAGATCTTCGTTCACTTTTGCTGTTTGGGTCTATTGGGCTGATGGAGTCACCTGCCTGTGAAGCCCTCATGACAACAGGGAGGCGGGGTCGAATCGGATTGCGGACTTTGGGCTCATGTTGTACTTTTGGTTCATGTATGAGATGTGATGAACATATGTGCATATGGTTTTTGTCGATGGGTCTGGTCTCCTTGGTTGATCTGTATACTTGATGACATCGGCCAATAGTATTGCGTGCCTGTATCAGCCCTCGGCTTCCTACGTTATAACGGGGCTGAGGGATGTCTATACAATTTAAAGGCTATTGATTGGATATATAGCTGGTTAGGTTGTCAGGCTTCGTTGATAGTCAATGACAAAGGCCTATGAACCCAAGTATGAACAAACCCCAGTATAAGAGTTGACACACTCCACACATTCCAGGTTGCGGGGTATGACACCTAGGGCCAAAATCCCAAATATCAAACTTTGCAATTCACTTCTTTGACAATAAAACCTCAACAAATGAACCCGAAAACATCCCTATAAGCTCCCCTTCTGAGTCCTCTCCGCCTCCTCAGCTTCCTTCCTCTCCTTCTCCTTCATAAGCTTAAAGATCCTCAAATCCAAGGGAAGCCGATCCCCAAGCCAAGTAGCACGCTGGGTATGGTTACGCTCTTCTTCACTGTGCACAGTATTCGGATGGATAAGTGCACTCAGTGGACCACGGTTGATAACCAACCAGGGAACGAATGCGCCGAATTGCGCGGGTGTAAATAGGTTCACTTCGAACATTGCCACTGGGTGTGGACCGATGGGTCGGTCGAAGAATGTGTAGATTCGGAGTTCGGGGACTGTATTTATTCAGTAACAGTTCAATTGAGTGGGTTAAAGTCGATCTGCTTGCTGGAGAGACCGGCGAAACAGATATCGTTCTGGGCAGCCGTCCTACTCACATTCTCGTCGAATTCTTTCCCATAGAGCTTTGGCATATGCAGCTTGATCCGGGTTATTCTAAAAAACGCATTAGTATATTCAAGTCCAGTCGTTCGCTATAAAAAAATGGATTGTCGTGCCACACAACATACCTGGAAATGATAGATATGAATATCAAAACCACCCTGTCGACCCTTATTGAGGGGATCGGGGAATTCCTCATAGGCTTTGCTCAAAACGCCATGCTGAGGATTCTTGAAGGACTTCCCATCTTCACTTCTCTCCCTGGAATAGAGGGTTAGTGACTAGATTCCGGTGAACTCCGGGTGCAGGACATCGAATTGTATGTACTTACTCAGGTAGTGGTTCGAGGTTTTCATAGCCCATCAATGGGGAGGGGTATTCGAAAGCGAATTGGTCTGTCATTTTGGGGTATTTGTGTGGATTGGGGATGTTAAAGAGGGGGTGAGGTTGAGTAGATGGAGGAGTGGCTGTGAGACCAGAGATATATAGTGGAGATATATTTTGGGTTGATCAGCAGCGGCGCTGTCTGATCACAGTCCGACATAAATGCACAATTTGACAAGTTAAAATGGCATGTCTTGGATTTTGTAAGTATTGACCAATCGATCGAGGCGAAAATGCCGTCAGTCGTTGCTGCAATATCACCATTTGTCTGCATCGCGGAGGTTTCCGTGCTCGTTGACAAACTGCGCGGAATGTGGGGCGTGATGTCAACTACAGATTCTTCCTCAACTTTCTATACATGTATTGCAAGTGACTTGTGAATGTTCTGGTATTATTAGGTGATATGTGCTAATTACAATAAGACATACAAATAAAGATGTACATACAGCTTCTCCGGAATGGAAATAACGCGCATCATGATATCATGCAGCAAGCAGACCTCAACGCCAGCATCAAATAAATAGCCAGTAATCTGACTACCAGGCAGCTCGAACATCGATATGACCTTCGTCATCGACAAACTTTCCACGATCCCATTCTCGACCTTCTCCTTTCTTCGACCATTGAACGTCCTCGGGGTTGCCTTCTCCACCCAGCACTTTAAACGCCGCATTGTTCTTCCATCGGTCGATAGCTGTATCATCAATGCCAGCCTCGCGAAGCCTCTCTTCGCCTTTTTGTTTCCAACGCGTCCGGTCGCGCAGCGCCTCCAGGGCCATGTCCCAATCGTCTTCTCCTGTCATGAGTCCTGCGACAGGTCGACGAGAAGATTGCTGACCTGCAGCGTTTGAATTGCCATCATCCAGCTGTATATCGGTGGCCGGGTCATAGCCTGGTGCAAAGTGGGCATCGATGTTACTCAAGTTCTTGTAAGCGCCTCGTCCCCGTGAGCGTATCATTTCGTCCTTTTGACTAGGAGGAAGTGGCCCGACAAGGTCTTCTAGAGGGTCAGATTCATTGCCAGTATCGGTATTACGTGCAGTCGTAGTAGAAGGTGAAGGCCGGTCGTTTCGCGAAGTGGGTTCTCGATGAGAGCGGAAGAGCGCTTTCGTTGTCGCATTGTCACCCTTTGACCGGGATTTGTGTACTTCCCGTGAGCGAGAACGGCGTCGGCTAAAGGATTCATCATGATGATCATGTCTCCGACGACGGTGGCGGTCACTACTTCGGTCCCGACGAGGCGACCGGCTGCGTGATTTCGAGTAAGACCGGTCAGGGCGCCGCCTACTGTAATCCTTATCTCTATTCCGTCGGTCCATCTTAGAGTATTCACCATGCCGGTGTTCACGACTTCGCTCGTCTCGGTCTCTAGGTCGGTCATGGTGTTCATCATGATCCTCATTTCCGCGACGATGCCGCCTTGATCGGTCTCGCTCCGTCGAAACAGAGCGACTTTTATGTCTTCTTCCACTCGAATGATAGTGATATCTCTTCTCATCTTGTCGACTTTCTCTTGATCCCCGTGCTTCGCTGCGATCGTCCGATTTCCGGTCCGTGGAAGACGAAGCGGTCGAGCCTTGGGTTTTCAGCTGGCGTATTCGCTCCCGTGACTCTCTCTCCTCCTTGCGCTTGAGTGCTGTATTGTGGTTATCGGTTTCTTTAATAAGGTGTCGCAAAAAGCGAGTATTTGGTTTAGGGGCGTTCCCGGCTGGCCTAAAGAGAGTCCTTGTCAGCCTGGTACTCAGGCAGAACACAGAACACGAGGATGAACATACTTGGAAGGCATGAGAGCACTAAGTCCTTGCGATGAGTACTTCAAAGAGCTCTCCCGAGCCTCTCTGGCAAGGAGCTGCGCAACATAATCGTCGTCCATGATGTAGTTGAGCCGCAGATCGCGGGGCTCCAAAGTGTCGAGCAGATGTACCAGGTGCAGTGGAAGAAGTCAAAATAGCACCGATTGGACTAAATCAGATTGTAATAGCAGCAAGCAGCATTAGAGGGACCATTGAGGGATTACTTCGAGACTAAAGAGTCGAGTCAACGTGCTGCCTCGAAAGCGTCTTCCAAAAATTGCCACACCGCCTTTCATATCGGTTATCGTTGTTTACCTTCGTTCTCTCACTGACCCACTATCCTCTTCGACATTTACAATACACACCCCCTGTCGTCATGAATGGTACCCCAGAAGAAGCTCTTGCAGCACTGCAGGATCTGGAGAAGGAAGGTGATCTGAAGCAGCGACTTGCGATTGTTCGCATCAGCGAGCCAATTTCCTTGGAGGGCGGGCACGCTGGTCCGTCGCCTTCTAAGCGGAGGTCGGATGTTTCTGTTTTTGAAGATCCGACTCCTGCCTCACTAGAGGCAGATCTCACACATTATAAAGTATGCGCAGCGAGCTCAGATACCGTGAATGCCTCAGCGGAGTACTGATGTTGTCGCATAGGAACTATTCTCGAAACTGCGATTCTCTTACCTCGAGCAAGTAACGAAAGAAAAGTTCCTGCGCGCCATCGTAGGCGATCCGCCAGTGATTGTCGGACACAACGAGAACATGGAATTGGAAACTCAGCTGGCGGACGTGAAGGCTGAACTGAAGGCCCGGAAAGAAGATGCGCGCATAATGATTGAGGAAATGGAAGCAATGGGCCGTGACTTGGCAAGCCGTAAGTGTCGGCGCTTGGAGGTGAAGAACATGTTGACTGAAGGATATCTCGCACAGGCTATAAGAATGTGGAGCTTCAAACGACACAGCTCTCGACATTACCCGCTTCAATTGAGAATCTCGAGTCCACTATCGCAGGTCTCCGGGCTAAGCAGGTCGCGAACATGGACCCCTCCGACCCCAACGCCTCCTCGTATCAGAACTTTTCTCTTCCTGTTACATTATCACTGTTAGCTGAACGGGAAGCAGAGCTAGCGTCGCTAAATCGTCAGCTCGCTGCTGTGCAGAACACTCTGCCGCGAAAGACTCGAGAGGCCGAGGCCATAGAAAGAGAGAGCAGCGTCCTAGAGCGACGGAAGGAGGAAGCTATAATGCAAGCTCGTGAAGCACAACGGAAGAAACAACAGGGTGAAAGTGATGGACTAGAGGAGATGGGAAGGTGGTACAGGGGAGCGGAGGAGGCCTTGAAGGAACTAGTTGGGACCGAGGCATAGGCTGCAGGACAAGCCTAGACCACGGGACTAGTGTGCGACGACGCGATGATCAATTTGACTTATCAAGGTGGGTATGGGGGCGTTTAGAATCTACAATGTAAATAAGGCTTGGGAGACATCACTGTCCAGATTACGATGGGCATGGAATCGAGAAGTAAACTTCGGGTTCCAAATTGAAGCCTTTGGCTGTTTTTGATTCATTTGTATTGGATGATCGTACAACGTGAGACGCTTTAATGCAGTCATGTTGAGCCTCCGAGGTATTGAGGCGCCCCAATCGAAACCCGACCGTGCTCCATTTTTTGAGATTGAGAAAGAATAATTTACTCCTCATCCTCCTCGGCCTCCTCGTCACCGTCACCTCCAGCGGCGGCAGCGGCCTTCTTGCGGCGCACACGACCGGGGCGGCCACCACCGAAGGGAGAGGTGAGGGAGAAGTCAATGTGCTTCTGGGAGTCAAGACGGACCATGAACGAGGGAACGTTGACGATCTGCTTGCCGACGCGGATGTGGCGCTGCTTGATGAGGACACGGGCGTGGTGGATGGACTTGGCGAGGCCAAGCTTGTAGACGCAGGTCTGAAGACGGCGCTCGAGGAAGTCCTCAACCTTGAGGGCAAGGACGTAATCGAGCTTCATGCGGGACTCATCGAGCACACCGATGCGGACCAGACGGCGAATGAGGGCATTGCCTTCGAAGAGACGCTTGGGGTCCTTCTCGTCGAGGGTGAGGAGCTCACTGTGGAGGAAAAAAGTAAGCGATATGTCCTCCAATTGCGCTGGTCCGAGCGCCGGAACCAGACCAAAACTTATTCTTTCACATACCGAGCAGCACGACGAATCTTGGACAGGGTGAGCTGGACACGCCAGACCTCACGCTTGTTGCGCAGACCGTACTCGCCGACGACCTTCAACTCAGAGTCACTAGAAAAACAGGTTAGAGAGATGAAACGACATAACCAGAAGCACGCTTCTGATCATTGGCCGGAGAGTACTAACAGGCGAGCGGACTCGAAGGCTGCAAAGTAAGTTAGTCTTCAATCTTCAATTTCGAGATTTGCGGATTTTGACAGAGGTTCACTTACGGCGACGGGGGACCTTGTAGGTCTTGGAAGAGACACGACTGAACAATTATTAGAATGTTGTTGACTTGAATGGCGAAAATATACTCACGGGGCCATGGCTGCTGTCGGGTTGGCGGAGGTTGTCGAGGAGATCGAAGTTCGCACACGATGAGCCCAAGACACAAAGTGAGTTGGAGAATTAGCGAGTTGCCTAATTGGGTTTGGCGCTTAGGGCTGTTGGTGGTGGGTCTAACCCTAACTTACATAACCATCCACACTGAAGTTACCCGAGCGGCTTCAGACTTCGAAGGTTGAAGGCCCCGTCGACAATCAACCACCAACCACCACACCACCGCCGTCATGCCTCACTCCTACGGTCTCCGCGCCGGCACTCGGGTACGTCTTGACTCTTTTTGCGACCTACGACTTTTTCCCACCCCATAGGAGGAATTTTTGGACCGATTGGACACATGCTTGGGAAACGGCCTTAGGAGGATCTGAGTGCTAACGAAACGACAGTATGCCTTCAGCCGTGGCTTCAAGGAGCACGGTATGATCCGTCTCTCCACCTACCTGAAGACCTACCGGTACGCTTGAAATCCTCGAATCCCGAACAAACGAAATAAGAACTTGAGATCTGACGGAAATTTTCATATAGTGTTGGTGACATTGTCGACATCAAGGTCAACGGTGCCGTCCAGAAGGGGTCAGTACAATTCCGATAATCCCATACGACATTCGCATCCCACCGCTAGTCGCGATTGTACAAGTCGCGATCATACATACGGGCAATGCGAAAATAGCAACGACAGACTAACAGTTTTGCAGTATGCCCCACAAGGTCTACCACGGTAAGACTGGTGTCGTCTACAACGTCACCAAGTCCTCGGTCGGTGTCATCCTCTACAAGCGTGTCGACAACCGCTACCTCGAGAAGCGCATCAGCGTCCGCATCGAGCACGTCCAGCACTCCCGCTCCCGTGAGGACTTCATCAAGCGTGTCAAGGAGAACGCCCTCAAGAAGCGTGAGGCCAAGGAGAAGGGTATCCACGTCCACCTGAAGCGCCAGGCTGTTGGTCCCCGTGAGGCCCACTTCGTCCAGCAGGCCGGCAACACCCCCGAGACGGTCGTCCCCATCGCCTACGACACCCACATTTAAAGGGATCGCAATGGAATTGGGTCGGTGCGAGCGGTTGTTAGGTGTTTTTTACTGGGTTTTCACTCAATTTTTGCCTCCAAGGCTGAAATGGACTTGGGCTGCATGAGACGAAGCAAAGGGTTTCGGATGCCCTGGCACATCTCTCGCCTGTGCATAGATTCCCCTGAATGAAACAAAATCAAAAATATTTCCGAGTTCATGGCCATTTGTTTTCCCGGTTGATCGTATATATCTGTCATCGGCAGTTTGCGTAGCGTTCTTCAGGACTAAATCCCCCCAAGTCGTCAAGCAATTATGGGTAATCCGGGGTCATCTCCGCATGTATGCAACTTAATAGATCGACATTGCCTAGATCTATTGTGATCTGTGTCTGCGTCTTGAAAATACATCTATCTCTCTGCAGTATAGATCTGCTAGCCGGGTGTGCATGTCACTCACGGTACTGTCTGGGTTAGGTGAACCACTTCAATGGTTTGTATACATTACACTCAGCCTCCGCAGACTTCAATATGATCTATCCTCAGCTGAAATGTGAACGATCTATAGTTTGCCCCTTAGCAATGCGGACTCTTTAAGGGGACCAGACCCCGACCGCCTAAGAAAAAAATATTCCGGAGAAAACTTGTCAACCTTTCTACTTCAATGTACACTTGATTATTCTACATTTCTACTTACTATGTTTTAACCTGCTTTTTTGCTTCTCAGTTCTTTATTCTGTTTCCTGCTTCGGCGTGTCTCTCTACCTTGACGGTCTCCATCTCCGGACCCGATGACTTTCTCCACGCCAGCTTCCAGCTCTGCGCCGGCGCAACTGGAAAATGTGTCACAAATGAATAAAAATGTCGTTCCGCAATCACGAGAACTAGGCGATGTTATCCCAAACCGGACACCACCGGCTCCCGATGAGAAACCCCAGGCGAAGCCACTTGCACATTTCGTTGCTGGCGGGTATGTTTGGAACCTGGAGAGGATCCGGGTTGAGGCATTGAAATGAAGAATCAATGCTAATTTAGCTTATAGTCTAGGAGGAATGACTTCTGCGACCCTCACCTCGCCGCTCGATGTTCTAAAGACGCGCCTCCAATCCGATTTCTACCAGTCGCAGCTGCAGGCCCTACGGGCCTCGCACCCTCCTCCACCGCCGACATCCAACGCTCTAGTCTCTATGACTCGGACCGCCGGCATGCATTTCAGCGAAACTTTCCAGATCCTCCGCTCAATACACGTCCACGAAGGCTGGCGCGCGCTGTTCAAAGGACTGGGACCGAACCTGATCGGTGTCGTGCCGGCACGCGCGATCAACTTCTACATGTACGGAAATGGCAAGCGAGTTCTGAGTGATTACTTCGGTTATCAAAATGTCGAACAAACCCCTATGGGTATCCATCTGGCCGCAGCGGCAGTTGCCGGTATCGCGACAGGGACAGCAACCAACCCCATCTGGTTGGTTAAGACACGCCTGCAACTGGATAAGTCCAATGCGGAGCATGGCAAGAGTCGCCAGTACCGGAACAGCTACGACTGCGTCAAGCAGACTGTGCGCCATGAGGGTATTCGCGGCCTCTACCGCGGTCTGTCCGCCTCGTATCTCGGTGTGACAGAATCCTCTCTCCAGTGGGTTATGTACGAGCAGATGAAGATGTATCTTGCTCGCCGTGATTCACTCAAGAAGTCCGACCCGGCCTACGAGTACACCTCGTGGGATTCCGCGGAGCTGTGGGGTGGACGTATCACCGCGGCTGGTATGGCGAAGCTGGTGGCCGCTGCCATCACCTACCCGCACGAGGTCGTTCGCACACGCCTCCGTCAGGCACCGACCGTCTCAGTTGGAAATGGTCGGGTTGAAATGAAGTATACCGGCCTGGTCCAGTGCTTTAAGACCGTCTGGAAGGAAGAAGGAATGGTCGCCATGTACGGCGGCCTGACACCACATCTGCTACGTGTTGTGCCTTCGGCTGCAATCATGTTTGGAATGTGAGTTGCTACCAAAATTTGATTCAAATGGTGGATGCAATATACTGACTGTTCTGATAGGTACGAAGTCATTGTGCGTATGTTTGGCACAACATCATAATCTATCGCGATTCGCGACACCCTCACCGACACCCACACCTCCTAACCAGTCGCATGGTGACTCGACTCTACTCTCAGTGCATTGCTTCCCATATATCGCGCCTCTGTATAATACTTAGCTTCTCGCGCGCACTCCTCACCGCTCCCCGAGAGATCCGGACGAAAAATTATTGGCTGCTTTCTTAATTGTGTATAGAAGGGCAACGGTCATTTGCATTACATGTCCACGGCGTATACGGATTTACTCTTTTTTTTTTCTCTCAGTGATTGGCGTCTTTACTGCGCCCCTGTTATTAATTGGCTCTTCAGGGATTGGTGATTCCAGGTCGAACCCCCGGGTTCACCTCCCACATCTTCACCTCCCACATCACTCCACTTGTGTACAATACGATATTTTGCAATGTTTACAGCGTGGCAAAGCAAATGAAAAAAAAGAAAGGAAAGACAAAAAAAATCTATGACATAGATGACATAGATGATGCTATACATCTAATTCACTTATACCTCACTGCCAGGGCCATGCATGCGGTATGGGATGCCTTGCAGAAGCATTCAGGCAAACGCAGCACCATCCATGCACTGCCTCGTTGCACAGCGCAATATCCACGTGAAGACAAGGTTAGAGCTTTCGGCGACTTCAGACCGAAAAGGAATTCATAGCCCTAGTACTCCATGAGACCCTGCCGTCGTTAGTTTCCTATACTCAGGCATCATGGCACTATCGCCATATTAGGCAGCTACGCCCCTATGACCAGGCGACAAGGACCCTTCAAGCCCACCCCACCCCTCGGCCGTACTATACGGCGAGTAAACGAGAATGGTCACCTGTGCAGCTGAGCCTAGCACATATCATTATCATCACCGACTTTTGACTATTTCGCTAACGGCGGATATACTTCTCGTGTTTTGTCATATCCCTGCCTTGGGCGGTGATTGGATTGCCTTCGACCAACCCCTCATGTTACCGAGCGGTGAGATATCTTTATTCCAGGTAAGCAGGTAAGCAGAGGCTCGAGTTCCCAGATTGCGTAGACGACGTTTCAAGTTCTGCATCAACCTGCAGCAAGCATTTGGCCCGTCCCCTTTGGGGCAATGTACATGAACGTTCCTGTGGTCGGACAAGGGGTTCTAGAGTAGGTCTTCGAAATGATTGGTTATAATTCATGCATTAGCGTAGAAGACGGGCGAACCTGGGGCGTTGTGGGCGTAATGAAGCCAATTAACCCAACCCAGGAAATATTCTAGAATCCACGATCCAACCCCTTTGTTTCATATGGCACGCATGACTGAGGCATATTGTGCAGACCTCGTATTTGCTTTAGTCTGGTCAAACGTCAAATGTCGTTCCTGGTGTGGCTAGTGTATTCACCGCCACATTCATTTCCTCTTTGGGATTTGGCTGGGGACTTGGTTGGAGAAATTAGCTGGACGCCTAATACCTGGTACCTGATACTCAAAATGCAAGGATCAGGGGTAACCATCCCGGGGGCTGCCAAGCTCTGGAACCGAGAACCCGCTGAACAGTTCAATATCAGCCACAGTGCCTTACTTTCGATAAGTCATAGCTTGCCAGAGAAAAAGCAACGATGATCCTCGAACCCCTCCATTCCTCCCCCTCCCCCTTGCGCAACTAATCCCCGACAGCCTCCCACACACGATTGAATCTCCCTGACGGGCCTAGACTTATAGATCACCCTCCAACGTGGTGGCGTCAAAAGTGACTTTGACCTGTGGCTAGGGGTTGTCACACACGTTATGATATAGTAATATTTGCTACTTGCATGGGGCTGCCTGAATCTAGACACAATCTAGATCCTGGAACTCTTGTTGCTCCCCTAACACGATCGGTTCCCCAAATCTAGTCTCCTTGACGATGATCTATGAATTTTAGATTAATCTCCACCAAACTAGCTTGGTGGAGACCCAGCCCACAGGTGCCTAGATCGCTGGGTTCGAGCTACCTACCCTTCGTGAGCGTGACTTGTCTTGCCAGGCTGCCCTCTTCACCGCATATTCCCTTATTTCCCGACTCTCCGGGTGCCCGTTCCTCTAGGCACCAAAGAGCCAAGTCTGCGATATGATTTGAAGACCGTGGTAATCTGGCAAAAGAAGGAGAATTTGGGCAATTCCCGGGCGTGATCATACACAGCAGAAACACCCGCTTTGGTGTGCGACGAGAAGGCTCTGGAATCATGCAGGGCTCGTTTTTGGCATGAAATAGTACTCAGCCTCTCCTCGGCGATCACCTGCGATGACGATCCCACCAGGCTTAGCGGGGTCGGGGGGGGGGGGGGGGGGGGTTGTAATTACCCTGTCAGGGGTCTTTTCGAGTTTGGTTTACATTCGAGTGCGAGTTTTCCTAGTTATTGACTCGTGTTTCATCATTACTTTGGGCTGTCTCCGAGGGTTCGGAGATCACCCCGTAAAGTCGGTAAATGAAGTGGATGATCGGCGGCCACTGCGTACATGTACATGTATAACGCACGTAATCTCTCCGAGCATTGGCACTTCAATCTGGATCGACAGGGGACTGGGACTCCAAGAAGCCATATCTCGCTAATTTTACGACGTCTATGTGTACACTTTGTTCATTCAACGACTTTACTTGCGTCGACTTGTTTGTGTTGATTGCTTATGCTCCCGATGTCGGCCGTCTGTTAAAGAACAGATGACCAAATGACCAATGACTGTATCTAGTCAGAAAATAAAGGCGTTAAAAAAAAAAAAAAAAAAAAACCGGGCTCACAGGCATATTGGGCTCTGAATGGGTTTGTAGGCCCTCTGGATATTTGGGCAATAGCCCGGTGGCTGTAATTCCACAGCCCTATTACGGAGTAGCCTCTCTTCATATATGCTTGGTAGAAGACGAAATGTTGGCTTTCCACAACAACGCTTGGATCAAGAGCACACTGATTCTTCGGAATTCTTCTCACAAATCACTACATCTACGACGGGTGCCGGGATCAGATCCAGGGCCTACTGCCAACCTTGGGATCTGCAATTAGCGCCCTTCACCTCGCCTCTTGGCCAGCTTCCATTTCCATTCTCCAAGCCCCAACTGGGTGTCGCGATGTTTTAACCCGGGCTTCGCAGGCAGCAAGTCGTGACAGTGTGCCTGTTACTTATAATCTGTATCTCCTCCTCTTCTCCCATTACATCCTGCTCACATCTCTCAAGTTTTAAGATCATACCCTGCCCAATTCTGCAGCCCCCCTGCACAATCGTCGATCTAGTGCCTGCAACGCTATCATTGAGAACCTACTTAGCTTCATTAGCTACAGCTCCTCCATTTCCTCCTTACTACTTGGGCTCGGGCTCACCGAAACCCGAATTTGATCAACGCTAAGATGAGTAAACGGTATGCATCCTCGTGTCAATATACCGGCAATAACCGTCCTGAATATCCGCTCCACTCCCACTCTTTGGATAGCAGCTCTCCAACAAGCTGTCATCCTAATTACTATACCAAACATCCGATTGTTTCCTGGTCTTATCAGACTTTTTCTTCTGACTTTTTTCTCCTCTCCCAGATCCTCCTGGTCTGACTACCCCGTTGGCAACGCCTCCAGCACACCCGGAAAAAGCAAATCAAGCACCAACAATGGCTACCAGACGTCATCATCCACCGAGGCCAAGAAAGGGAATGGATCCTACATGCTCGATCGATGGTCTCAATCTTCTCCTTCGGCAGATCCGTGGTCTTCGGCCAAGCCCTCCACGTTCCAGCACAAAAGCCGTGGATAGGCTTTGCTTGGTTATGGGGGTGCATTGAAATTGCATTATGCTCAGTATATTAAGATGTTTTTATTATGGGTCTGGGGGGGGGGGGGGGGGAGCTCGGGGGCGAATGGGCTTTGACTTTACCTCTTGGTTTTGGAATTCGTACCGGACAGGGCTGACACTTGGGAGAGGGTAGACCCTGGATGGATCGTCATTTGGCGTGTTTTTCCTTATTTCCTTATTTCCTTATTTCTTTATTTCTTTATTTCCTTATTTTTTCATTTTCATTTTCATTTCATTTTTTTAATTTTCATTTTCTTTGCTGAATTTTGATTATATCTTTTTGCTTGGACGGACATATACGGGAGCATCTTTAGTCTTACGGTAGGACGTCCGACAGAGAAATGACATTTGTACTTTTGGGAGTGAGCTTCTATTTCTTGTCTTTGTTCTTACTCCAGACTTCATCAAGGATGCACCTTGGACCTCAACTTAGCGTACTACGTCAATTGCCGACCGCAACCATTTCTCGCCCCTTTGGAGGTCTGTCCCCGTCAATGCACAGTTTCACACTCGAGAGTTTGTAGACCCATGGTTGAGATTCGGCTGACCCGCCCCTTACCAAACAGTCGTTGTCTCCGCTTTGGGTTCTCTTGACCTGAGCTCGATTTCTTTTTCGTTATGTTTATTTTTATTTATTTATATTTCCATTTCTTTTTTCCTCTCAACTAGGATCCACTCATAGTCACTGGTATCCAAATGAGTGTCACATATACCCGGATTTGACCGTTCGTTCCACGCGTCCCCTGATGCAATCAGTCAGGACTCTCTACAAGCGGCCAACCCATGTTTCCCAAATGTGTACCCGTGTCGGGCAAAATCATGGGGGGCAAAGCACAGATTGATTAAGTCCAGTGGCGACTATCACCACTTGCCCGGGGATGTCGGAGAATAGCAGAAAGTACTGCGAAGATGATTGGCTTTTGAAAGATAAGAACACCCCGTGCAGTTACAAAGGTCGAAACCCGGAACTTCATTCTACTTTTTTTTTTCCAGCCACCAGCGCCATACACAGCACACGGTTGATTTATCCTGAAGCGCCGTGCAGTGATCCTTGGCAGAACCCCTACTAGCTGGACCTGATGGTGAAAACTTTTCACGTCCCTGAGGTTCCTTGAGTTAATCAATTACTAAAACTATTACCTGGAATCTTCGCTTCATTCGCCGGGATGTTTGAAAGTGAAGTCCCGGATCATGTGTGCCATGGCATTTAATGTTCGGTTCCCCGCCTCTGCGCCCCGAAAGTTTGGCCTTTCCCTTCTTCCACTGCTATGAAGTACCTCATGATTCGCCTTGATCTTTTCTCAAATATCATGTGCTTCCTTCTAATTCCGATGACCGCCTCCCTGCGACTCTTCTTTTTCTCCTGCGCGCCGGAAGTACATGTCAAGGCCTGTGCGTTGGACCGACATTGCATATACTGTACTTTGATCGCCCTTGGGTACAAATTATTGACTAGTATCAAAACAATCCTGTTGCCGGTTTGTCGAGCTTGTTGTGTGGATCATTTATGCAACGTGGTTGATTGATGTGAGACCCGATCATACAGCATGAACCTTCGAGGTCAACCCGATGCCCTGGATTCCTCAATCGCCTGACTGGAAATGATCCAACATTCCATCAGCTAGAAGAAGCAGTACTTGAATTAGGCTGGTTATTCCGGTGTCTTTTCAAACCTTGATCACCTAATGCGAAAGATTGTTGTCCAACACAATAATACATGTACTAGATCTCAGATCACAGTGGATACTATATCGAAATGGCTTTTTTTATTGATATTTTTAATTACATTAATATAAACAGCTCACCGCTATCAAACCCTACCAGTGTCCTGTCAAAATTCTGTACTTTTTTTTCAATATCTATTCTTTTAGCCTTTTTACTTTTTGGGCGGGCTCATCCGCTCTGCTTAACCGCATTGGTGCATGGAGTGGGTATTTCGCATCATATCATTCGTTCATTTCATTACAATTCATATTTCCCCATGAAATGCACTGCCTCCACTCCATACCTCAACTGCTATATTCCGTCACGATGGCAGTATTATTGTCTTTTAGCAAGTAAGAAAACAGGACTAGAACGACTGGCAGAACAAGCGCCTACTGACAGGCTTGTTTACTAATAGAGATTAGAGGGGATTTGATTGGATGCCTTACTTGTACCCAGTTGCCTCGCGATAATTCCCAGAAAATCATTTTCTTGTACCAGCCTTACAGGCAAATCTGTATTTTTGCCCGTCTATCCTCTTCTTCTCACGTCAAGACACACCGTCTGAAAATGACCCCTTCGGATAGCCAGTCCCGATAATTTTTAATTTATATCTGATTTATTATTTTGCTGATCGTTTTGTAATCATTTCACCCATTGCCCGGGTAAAAAATACCGGTGGACCAGTGCTGAGCCCCCCTACCCTTTGGATATTTATTAGGCGTGTGAATCCCCGTCATCCCGACCTCAGGCCTCAAGACCTAAAGCCTGGTCTTATATTAGTCTCTCTTTACTATAACACGTTTAACATGTGTCCCTCCTACAGCGATGAGGAGTACGAACATATGGAAATGTCTGAAATGACTGCGCGGCCGATATCGTCTCGTAGTCTATTGCCACCTCGTCCGGGGTCTTTGACGTCGTCCGAAGAATTCTACCGACCCAATCCCCAAGTAAGTCCCGGTAGAAAGCAGGAAGCTACAAATGACTGACTTTGGATAGGATTATGTCCCGTATTTCGCTGAGTCAGGTGTCAACTCCAGGGGAACAACGAGCCGGACGAGCATCGAAGACACTTGGATCAACACACATCCTAATTATGTCCCCATTGCTCCGGAGCCGGATCATGGCGTGTTGGAGGGAATCGACATAAAATATAATCCGTTGGAAGGAGATATCCCACCACAAGACCTGGATGATGATTTGGGCATCGGAGCCGAGACCAACCTTGGTCAGCCTTTGGATTCCTTTTTGCCTGCCCAGCAGCCTGTTCCCCGGCAAATGCTGGGTATGCCCGATTCTGTTGAATCCATGCCACTAGTACCACAGCCACTTCAACATGCCGTGCATCAGGTGGTAATTTCTTTGAACCAGGTCCTGGGCAGCGCATACAACCTTGATCAAATCTCCCTGGGGCTGGAAGGCCTTGATGTTATCAAGAACTTCTTCGAAACTAAAATCATGCCGCCACCTCCCCCTTCTACTACGCCTTCCAGAACTCCAGACAGACACAAGTGCCCACTGTGTCAGCCTAAGCCAGGGTTGTCTAAGCAAGGCTTCGCATTTGGATCATTCAAGCGTCACCTCGCTCTTCATGGAATCGGGCAATGCGGATACCCCTGCCCAGACCCGGACTGCAAGAAAATATCTCGTCGACGAGACCGAGCACAAACTCACTATCAACAGTCTCACGGACACTATGGGAAACCAGCTGATACACCCTTAACTCCAGTCAATTTCCCATTCCCCTCACAATGCCCCGTTTGTCACGAGAAGATGTCCTCGTGGGATGCTTTCTGGAAGCACTTCAAGGGGCACAGTATCGTGCGTCATGGCTCCGCCGGTCCTTCAACTAGTGGTGATTCGAATCGTCGCGATTCAGATGGCAATAGGAACGGCGGAAATGCGAATGGGCCTAGCCATAGTTCTGCAGCTGGACCCAGCAACTACCTCCGACAACAACCTCAATCTGGAAATTATCTCCACCCTACCTCATACCCTGGAAATTCCATGTGGCCTCATGATAGCACTCGTCAGTCACACTCGGTCCGGCGTGACCAGCTAAGCGATGAGAGTCACTACGAGGGCAATCCTTTCACTGAGAACCCCTCTGCTGCTCCATTCAACCCAGGAAGACCCTTCTCAGCGGACCTGATTCGACCATCCAATGGGTCTCCATATTTTCAGAGCCCAGGATCATCGCAAGCAGATCAATCCACAAAGCGTAAGCGCAAAGATAAACAACCAATGAATCATGATTCATCCAGCCCAAGAAAATGCAAACGGTGTGACCATGATCTCGCCAAGTGTACGCAATGCTGCTACCTTGTGGAACCTATCCGTGGCTGTCACAAGTGCTCTGGAGACTCAGCAGGATGTATCCCGGTTCCTGCCCCTTCGCCAGTACCGAGCCATAATATCCAAGGTCAATCATGTACAGTCATTGAGCTGGACCAGAACTACTACAACTACAACTCAGACTTATCTTTTCCAAACTTTGGACAAGGCCATGAAGCGCAATTCATGCCGTACCCTTTTGATACCAATATGCAAAATCCTGGAACGCAGACACAAATGCAATCCTTCCCAAGTGAGTTAGACAGCTTTGACGGCGGCTCTCAATCTCAAAGCCCGTTTATTGGAGCGGCAATGATTGTCCCACAACACACACTGCTACGAGATCCTGGCAGCGAAGTCAAAGAGCCATACATTTTCGAGTGTGATTCCAAATTGCTTCGAATGATTGGGCTTGACTCATTCATTGGTCCGCTTTCCAAGGTTCAACATGAATCATACACCTCAGAAGCCCCATTTGCTCCTCTTCCTACCTCGTTGTCAGATATCGTGCCAAAGACTAAGGAGCCACCAGCTGCTCGCAAGAGCCCTGAACTTATATCGCAATGCAATTGCCCATGTGCCAGGCTTCCACTTGTGCAGTATCAAGCCCATGCTGGTGCCAAACTTTCTCCCCTCGAGCGTGTCGAAATGACATTCAAAATGTCACCAGATGACCCACAAGTCAGCCGTTCCCTTCGCACTCGGGTTCAGGTCTTTGTGAAACTCTTCCGAATTCGTTCGAAAGTTGCTGAGATCAGATCAAAGAAGACAATGAGAAGATTGTCTATCCAGCCTCGGACCGCGTCCAATGATGGCTACGAAGCTGGCTCTGATACCGACTCCGCCCATGAAGATTCTCCTGCCTCAGCTTCTGACTCTGAGACTGTGACGCTGATACAGTGGGGAGAAGACGTGCAAGAATGGTGTTCCAGTCTTGATGTTGGCCGGATCATTGGCAACTTATCTCAGTGGGCCAGCGGCATGAATACCAACATGCGCTCAGACATATTCTACTCCGACCCGGCATGGATATTGGACTTTGTCTCTCTCTATATCATGCACGAGTTCATTTCCAACTTCAGGATGACTTGGTAAACCCTGAACCAGACGGGTGTCTGCGCTTGGTCATCTGGGTGAAGTCTTCGTCTCGCTGCGCCGCCAATCGCTCATTGTTACATGGGTATCACGACTTTTTTCTTGTCTTTCCTACCCCATCGACTATTTGTTTCCCATTTGCGGCTTGTCAACTTCGATGTAGCACCATGGGATCCATACATTCTTGGAGTTGAGATAATCTCTCCATCCCCCTTTTATTCTCGCTTCCACCCCTCCTACTTCTGATACCCCATCTCTCTCATGTCATGGGTTTGGTTCCTGTCACGTCATTTTACTGCGCTCAGGATCGAGCTATAACATTACGACATTTTCTCACTTTTCAACATCCCCGCTCTATCCAGCCTCAGGCCGTTTAGCATGGAGATATGCTATGCCAGCTCGGATGTGGCGTCGTGGGATTAATCCATTTTCGAGGTGCTATGACCACTCTATCATGGCTGCGTTCACCAACGAATTTGATGTGTTATGCCCTCAAGCTCTAATATCTTTTCCTGTTTCCGATACTTTTGTGACATTTTCTCATGGTACTAAATATGAAATCACTTACTGTACCTATTCTGGGTTTGTTACTTACCACGGCATCAAAATGGTCAGGTAAGTATGTCCCCTGCCTGCTTATCTTCCAAACGTGTCTTACTGACATCAACAACATAGGAAAATCAAGAACCTATACATAATGTACGGGTCTGTATACAGACAGCGCGAACGAAATTAAAAATCCACGAAATCATACATATCATGCGTTATGGGAGGCATACTGCACACATTACATTTCATGAACTGCACACAAGATTGGACCCACACTGAATGTCATTTACACTGCGCCCTGTTTGCCTTGCTCAGCCTTAATTCTAGACCAAGAAAGCAGTATGCGGCTCACTGGGCAAATACACTGCCACTGCAGGCCCCATGCGTATAGTGTAACCTTGATCTGCCTCACCCTGGCTGCACTGCCTTGCTACGTATTTGCAGGGGTTGTTCTTCAGCCTTGTATACCCTATTATGAAAATTTGGTATTAAGCATGCATAGACTTACTTTTTAAGGTTGGTGCGGGACGTTATCGTACCAGACCGTATCTGTTGAGGCTATGTATCGTCCTGGTATTGAATGCAGGGGTATTAATGCAAAGCGTGCATAGCCTCAACAAAGGTACGGCTTCAGGTCCTTTGCACTATTGTGAAATGTCCGTTCGCTGAAATTTGTACGGGAAGGGGGGTTAATTCGGATCTTCAAAAAGACTCGGTCGATTTGCATTATGAAGGAGCTGCGTAAGTATCAAAGGTCTTCCCGCAGTGAAGCAATCAGGTTTACTATGCAGCCAATCATGTTGTATTCTTTGAGCCTCAAGTGGCACCTAAGGCCCTTGATTCGGATCGGAATATTGTAGATCCGCGTTATATTGTTGAAGCTGGCCTTCTGCTTTACCTATTGTTAAATTAGAGGGAGAGTATTAATATTTGAGACCAGAAAGAAGGTCTTTACCCATAAAATAGCCGACTCAGTAGCTGATGTAGAGTCATGTATAAAATCCCAGGAAAGACAAAGAAAGACTATATTTTGAAATCATTGATTTTACTATATAGCAAAGCTATTGCTCGTCTACTCTTCTTCGGAGCTCTCCAGCATATCAAGTGCATCTTTAGCATTCAATTGACTTGACATTAGGAACTGTATCAATCCTTCAATTACATGAAGTAGAGGTTCAAGTGTTGGTTTGGGCGCTAATTTAGCAAATCTCCGTGCAATTTTTGCTCACAGCGCCAACATTTGAACACTGATGTGAGCAACAGCCCTATAATAGGGTAGCAGAGGGTGGTTTTTTGTCATTGATCGATCTGTAGGTGGTTGTATATGCCCGAACTTACTGATCCGATGGGTCCTGCGCTGCTGGGAATCTGGTTGTCGGAAAATATCAGCCCTTTATATGATTAGGAGCACAAACGCCGCTTACTTGAAAGCGCGCTGCCCGTATGAAATATGGCCCTATATGTTCATAGAATAATTGGTTATATTTCCCTGTTGATCATTAGTGAAAGATATGCCATTCACTAATGAGCGCATGACTGATATTACATCCAACATCTCGCAGTCGGTTAGGTAGCTCGGTATCTTTGGGATTATTTCAATCCGAATGATGAGGGATCAATCACTAGGTCTAATGCTACAGTCAATGCTGAGCTTCGTGTGGATGGCCTACTTCTCGTGACCCCCGTAAGAGGGGTCATCTTCATGGCTGTCAGCTATATTGCCAAGACCTCGAGGGACCTTCAGACGATTTATAGGAAATAGCATGAAAATGAGAAGACAATATAGGGTATTAGGTCGCGCCACCTCCTTCTGGTAAAATCGTAGAATTTCATTGCATTCTTGTTCGACATTGCGTAAGTTGACTAAATAATACAATATACCATAGGGAGCACACAGCAAGCAACAGTGGATGTCACTCCAACGTGGTCAGATTAATTGTTAATCAACGCCAAAGCCGTGGTAGGGAAGCAAGAAAAGACATGTTTAGAGTGTAGTGTTGGAACCAATTTTGAGAAACTGTACAGCACGATTTATACAGGGGAGAAGAAGGGACAAGAGTAGGGACAACAGAAGGGACAAAAGAAGGGTCAGAGGAAGAAACGAACGAAAGCAAAACCGAAGGGCTAGCAGTATAATTAACAAATCGCACTTTGGGCTCATTTTATCGCGGTATACGTATACAAATCTTCAGTATTAAGCTACTATTGTAGCTCTTTGGTCCAAATTCGCACTTCCGGCTTAGTCAATAGCAAGGTACGCATACAAACTGTCAGGATCAACTTAAGTGCTGCTACTACATTTATTTCCGATAGCTCACACTTTCCGTTCACTTAATAGCGGCTGGACGCATACAAATTGTCAGGATAACATGAACTACGCTATATTCTCGTTACTTGAAATCGAGTTCCCGCTTAGTTAATAGCGCTGTACACATACAAAAACTCAAAAAGAAAATAAAGTGCAAGGAAAAAAAGCCCCTAGATTGTTCCTGATACACCATGTAAACGAAAAGATAGATAGACAGAACCAAGCCCCATAAAAAAACCAGCGCCCAGTTCCCGTCCCGTCTCATGGGTTCAAAACTTGAAAAGAAAAATCAGATAAAATGTGGTTCAAAGTTGCCCGGAACATCCCACAGCCCCGATAGCACCAGTGTGTGGCCCATGCCTGGAAAAGGTGCCATAGAGCATGCAGCTTGATCATGGTTGCTCTAGTCCTGGCGGCTTCGCTTGTTGCCATGAGGGTTCCAGGAGCCTTCGGAGGCGCCGCCCTGGTTGCTGTTGCCACCCTGGCTGTTATTGTTGGTGTTGCTCGGGTTGCTCGGGTTGTTCTGATTGTTTGGGTTGTTGTTGGAGTTCATGGGATTGTTGTTGTGGGTATTGTGGTTAAAATAGGCATTGCCCGGATTGAATCCGGGGTTGGGACCCTGGAAGCCCTGGCCTGCCAGATAGAAAGAGATTAGTATCCAAATATCGAATCGTTCGAGTGAAGTACGGCGACTTACCGCCCTGCATTCCCATGTTCCCAGCCATGCTGCCCATCATGGGGTTCATGCCTCCCATAGGATTCATCGGCATCCCACCCATCGGGTTCATCCCACCCATCCCCATCATACCGGGGCCGCCCATGTTTCCTCCGCGGCCACCACGCATCGCACCTGCTCCGCCGCGCATGGCGTTGCCCATCATGCTGCCACCGCGGTTGTTGTAGCCATATCCTTGCATGCCCATAGGGCCAGTCGGGAAATTGCCAGGACCCATCATGTTGGTGCCGAAGTTGTTCATGGGGTTTCCGAAACCACCGCCACGGTTGTTGAAGTTGTTGCCCATGCCACCCGTACCGCGATTGTTGTAATTGCCGCGACCACGGAAGTTATTACCCATGTTGTTGTGGAAATTACCGCCTCCTCCGGAATTAAAGCCACCCCCACGACCGCGATCGTTGCGCATTGGGGCATCTTTAGGTAGGGTGCGGAATGGGTTCGAGTGAGGGCTGGTGTATTGGACGGGGAGCTTGAGAGCAGGGTCGCTGTCAATGCTGTGCTTGGTTGCAGTGGCTGCCTGCGGGTTGCTGAACTCGACGAAGGCTTGTCTATACCCAAGGTATTAGTCCGGTTTGTTTCAGATGAAGTACTTTTCATCTGATGTGAGGTAATCCTACCCTTTGCTCTTGCCATTGACTTTATGCTCGCTGAAAGTCACATCCTTCAGCTCCTGCTCGGCGCCAGCGCGGTTCACCCAGCCCCGGACATCATCGTCGGTGGTCCACCAGTTCATATCCGAGATCAGCAGAGCGTTCGTAGCCGCGGGGTCGGTCGAGCGACCGTCATAGTCCTTGCGCTTGGTTCCCTGAGGAGGTGCGGGGAGAGAGAATGCTGGGGCTGCTGAGGGGTTGCCTGGTTTGCATTGTCCGAAGCAGGCTGGGTCTGAGCAGGTGGGTGGTCAGCCTGGCCGGCCTGGGCATTGTTCTGGGCCCGGTTTGGCTGGGGGTTAGCCTGAGGGAGGTTCTCCGGGGCGTCAAGCACCAGGTCGGAATCCTCGTGCTTGAATTCAGCAGGCTCGTTGGAACCGCTGCCATCCCCGTAGATGTCAATATCGAAATTGTCATCTTCACTAGCCATAATGATCTAGATCAGCGATCACCGTAGCAAATTGAATCTTGAGAAATGTCTTCGATTTGCCTGTTATCTGATGTTCGATAATACAGGCTGGTCTTCAAAATGAAGAAAATGCTCGTCTGCGGACACACGACACCAATTAGCAAGGAAAGAAGAAAAAACAACATGAAGAATCATCGCGGTCAGAGTCGGGCCACCAGGAGGGGTGGAATCCATATCAACAGCGCGGGCTCAGCTCCGGTCTCGTAAAAAGAACAGATGGAAGGCAGTGGCCAGAAGCCCCCGAGAAGACACAGGAAGATACATGTGGAAAGAAGGCCAGTCAATACGTACATTCGAAGCTTTGTTGCTTCAAGAAAAGAAGATGCGCGTAGCCACGAAAGCCACGTACAGAGATAATTCCGTTATGTCCGGAATACAAAAAAAAGGAAAGAAAAGCAGAGCTGAAGAGAAGTGAAACAGCCACAGGCAGGCAACGATTCACGGGGTGAGAGCGAGCTGAGAGAACGCAGAGAAACGAAAAGGTACGTCAGTGATGAAGCCGAAGAAAGCCAATCGCTCTCAGGGAGGTCTCAATCGCAATCCGCTGCAACTCAATCACAGTGAATCACGGGTCAATCGCTCTGTCAAGAAGGCAGCGGCAGTCAATCGCGTGGAGAGAGGTGTAGAGTAGAGATGTGGAGGGTGGAAGAGCAAGTGGAAGAGGAGAGGTGGAGAAGGACGAAAGATTAGGAAAGTGAGGCGAGTAGAAATAGCGTGTCAAATTTCCGCGCAAGTCCGTCTGAATCTAGACGACGGCATGTGTCGTCCTCAATAGACTGATCGCAAGGAGACGTCGGAGGTTGGAGCTTAGTTGCGCGCCGGACATTATTTAATCCGCCACTCCCCCGGAACACCTGGTCTCTTCTTCTGGCCACTTCTCCTTTCTCTTTCCTCACCTTCCAATCCTCATCCACAATGTCTGAGACTTTCCAAGAGCTTGCTGATATCCCTAAGGACTTTGTCCGGGAGGGCTCCCAATTTGTGCGCCGCTGCACCAAGCGTATGTCGATCCTCCGTCCACCCCAAGATACTTGCTGACCTTGTTGACAGCCGATAAGCGTGAATTCATCAAGATCAGCCAGGCAGTTGGCATGGGATTCCTGGTTATGGTATGGGCCATTGAATATTCCTGGATCGCGTTTGATCGCAATATGACTGACATTGACCATTAGGGAGCCATTGGGTACTTCGTCAAGCTGAGTTCGTGCTTCATTATTCGCCCATAAGCTTGCGGTTGCGGCTTTCGAAGACCTGAGTATTAACATATCGCAGTTCACATTCCTGTCAACCAGGTGCTGGTGGGCGGCGCATAAGTGTGCAACCCTTTCCGGTCCGAGTCGAGGACCGAAGAGGCCAAAGGTCTACAACACAGGGGTGCGGGGAGCGTTGAAACTGACAGGAGCTGGGAATTTCCGCATTTGCGTTGGCTTTACCCTTGGAATGAAGGATTGCTGTCTGCGGAGCCTGTTAGCGGAATTTGTTGACGGAATGGGCGATTATGTTGGGCGGAATTAAGGCGAGGGGTCTCGACGAGGGTAAGGTCGCTTTTCAACTTCATGGGATTATGTACTGACCGATAGCGGCAGTGCACTTTGAATCATTACGGCGATTCTGCTCCCAATGACATCTGCCAGGCGACGACGATAATGAGATCGAACCCCGTCAAACTGCCTCACATTCCCGCTATCAGTACGAAGGATTTCAACCATATCCGATTACAAAGGTGAAGCATATCGCGAATTAACGACAAATACCACGCCCACCATTCCCCACGCCGATGACCCTCAGTCTCATATCAGTCTCGCCTACTTCCCCTTGTGATATTCTTGGATTTATGTGGCACCATTGCCGCTTGGCGCTTTTTATTTGGAGATGCGATCGGAGGATAGTGTGATCGCCATCCATGAGATACCACCGTTTACGCATTTGTACCGATAGGGGTCCTTGTTTTGATACTTAATTGACACCTTTCAAATTATGCTGCTTCCCTTTGAATCCTCTCTGTTTCTGGACATCATTCCATATGCGATCCCGGAACGTGCATATCCGACAACATAGTCAGACGCTATTCACTGGTACCGAGATCCCTACCATACGATAGATAGGTTTGGACTGCCCTGTGACAGCTCAATTGCCACGATTCTTGATAGAGAAAGATCTCCAGGGATGATAGATTCTCTATGGGGGAAAAGCCGACTAAGTAGTCCTCTGGCATGTGGCTAGCAAACAGACAGCCAGCAAACAAACGGCTAGCTAAGAAAGGCCCTCAAGCCTAGACACGCATGCCTATCAATTCTGAACTACAAACCACAGTTGTATTCATGAAAATCATTATTTCTGAGATCGGATACTGTGACAAAATGGACCATGTACGGAGCATGCAAAAACGAAATGTACTAAGCAAGACCAAAGCGCGATCGCGTTGCTTTTACTGTACTGACAAAATGATCAAGCGTGGCCACCCCTTCCAATCTCACCATATGTCCTCCTCCCCTTCCTCATGAACATCCCAACGGCGGACAGGCCGGCTGCGCAATGGCCGCCGCGAATGCCTTGACGCCGCGTTTTCCCTGTAAATATTGAACTCGGGAATATACCGTAACTTACCATCATAGCTCTTGCCCACCGGAGGATCGCCTTCGTCATCCGCAGCGCCGGCATTCCAAGAATGTACGGTACACGTGCCAGTCGACAAGCCCCAGCCATTCCAAGAAGTTGCTGTTTCGGAATCGAGATTAGCCTGTGCATTACCAATGAAGGTTTCTCATCAATTCTTACCTGCTAGAACTGGCGCGTCGGGATGCCAGCTCGCATCTCGGACGCAAGTCCGCCAGAGCATCTCCCCGCTCATTTCATACGCCGTGGCATACGCATCTGGCTCACGTGGTCGTGAGTTGAGTGTCGCCTGTCCGACATCAATCGTCCCGGCAAGTGTGGCATCCATATTGTACACGTATACCTTGCCATCTTCGCTGCCGCTGTACACATAACGCGAATTCGTGCTACCAGGCGGGGAGAAGTGACAGCGGATCAACGTTTTGAGCACGTGGTGACCCTGGAACGTCACGACTGAGCAGTCGCTTTTGGCATTTGTGCGATAAGACTCTGGGTATGGCTCGAACCGGTAGTCGAATCCGGTTGTATACTCTGCTGGGTCGATTTTCTCGATATCAGCGGATGTCATCATCTTCCGCAAATCCCAGAGCTTCATGGTTTGGTCTTTGCTATTGGATAAGACGTATCGACCATCGCCTTTGCTGTCGACGTATGTCAATCCTTCTGTGTGGCCCATGAAAGCACCGGCTTCGCGGCCATCGCCCATTGAACGTCGATCCCAGACCCGCAGGGTAGTGTCGTCAGATCCTGAGTACAGGATATGCGGTGATGAGGTATCGCCGTAGCAGACAGCGTTGACATGATGTTGATGTCGGTCTCGCAGGTTCAACACAGGCTGTTTCGTTTCCAGATCATAAACGATGACCGAGTCTTCTGATGTACCAGCAACAACCTCACGTCCATCTCCAGAGAATCGAAGAGACCAAATCTGTTCAAAAATGGTCAGTTTGAAGTGTATGGAAATACGTCAGCACAGTACATACTCCAAAATGTGAAGTGCCGAAGCCCCGTCGCCTCCCTTGGCCTGGTAATGTAGAGAAATCTAGGACGCTGGGATCCGCGTCATCCTCAGGGTCTGTTGAGGCCATATATGCTTGGCTTCTTATAGAACTGTACACAAGGAATCGGTTGTCGGGGCTTAGCGTCGCATCGGTAATCGTCCATTGGCCAAACGGATAGTCAACCGTTTTGTAGTATTTCCAATCATATGGGTTCGACGTATCGTACATTCGAACCTTGAAGTCTTGTGCGCAGCAGAAAAAGAAATTACCGTCATCCGAAAACTGGCCTGAATAACTTCGAGTATCATAGTGAATAATTCTGTCAGCAGCCGAGCCTGGGATCAAGCCCTAAACATTACACAAAAAGTATTAGCCTTGTTCACTGCGTCAGTTCTTTCTGCACATCACCTACCTGGGATATAGATTGATCAGCTCTTTTTTGGACCCCATGATTATCAATGCCCATTTCCCGCCATATCAAACTTGTTGACAAACCCCTCTTGCGCTTCTTGAGTCGATCCACGTAGTATTGGTTGGTTCCGAAATCACCCTGTCCCATTAACTTCACGCCCTCTGGGTTTGGAACCGGCGGAGGTTTCGCGGGTTCTCCGAGCCGTCTTGCCCTAAGGCGGTTTCGAAATATGGGTACATAGCCCTCATCGCTATCCTCCTCTTCTTCCATTTCCATCTCTAGTTGCGCTTGATCCTCTAGTGGGACTGGCCATCCATTTGAACTGAGAATGTCTTGTAAACCGCTGGACGCAAGTAACTCGAATAATCGTGATGCTGGGACTGCAATGAATTAGCAAATCCTCTTATGCGCTCGTATAGATTTTCACCATGACATACTTCTCGTATGTCCTCCATTCGGGTCCCCCGGTCCCCCGCCCTCGCCATCGTCCGCTGTAAGCTCGATTTGTATGTTTCCAATGTTGACATGAGGAGCGTCTAGCAAATTGCAAACATTAGCCATTTAGTATCTTTAATGCATAGTGATTTCATTAGTACCATCCGCGACTCCAAGGTTCAGGTCATCGTCCTCATTTGGCATGTCATCTTCCCATTCGTCATCCTCGGACGGTTCTAGTGCGGGGTGGTAGTCCGCGTCCAGCTCATCTTCCTCGAGCCATTCACGGGCAGGATGCCAGATAGCTTCTGACTCCCTCGGAGATTCTCTCTCTGGTGAGCTCATTGTGGATGTGTAGGATGGATGAGACCTTGGGGTCTTATCGATAATGGAAGTTCCGCGGTCACCGCCGCTTGGGCGCGTTATGTCATCGGTTGATCGGCTTGCCGGTTATATCCGGCTCAAGTCCGAAGACGTATATATTTACTCATGATTACATGCCTACATATCTATTCAAATAAGGATGCCTCATTTGTATCTACAATAGCTTGGTCTCTTGATCTATAGTATCATGAAATGAGACAAAGAAATAAAGCCCCAAGGTCGTGAACAGAGGCGCCTTGGGCCCAAAGCGCTGCCGGGAACTCAACCATGTGTATGGGACTTTCATGTTAGGAAAGACTTTGGAATGGAAACAGAATGCAATTTTCACTGGCGATTGTTGTTTCAAGTAGGCACGAACTAAATGACGACAATTGGGCATAACGAGCATCCAGCCATGATAGCCAGCATGACACCAGCAGCCCCGCCTAAATCTAGGACAGAGAAGATAACAGAGAAATAGAAGATACCGAGCTAGGGAACATAATATGTTAGTATCATGCATACTTCGATCTCGCACCTTTGAGAGTCTTACAAATCCAATTAAATACAACGGGAAACGTTGATAAAAACTCCAGCGTTAGGTATACAGCCCGGGAGGACCAAGTATGCCGGTGTTTGCCACGGAACCCTTGCTCTCTGTCGATAGAGGATTTAATTTACAATACGGATAACCAAGCGTCTGATGAACGTACAGCACAGCCTCCACATCACTTTTAATACACTCCAGAGGCCAGTTCTATGTTTGGTTCTATACCAACATTTCGCAGGGCAAGAATTTCCCTCCATTGGAATAAATGATGATACTTTTAATGTGATTTAAATCTACGCGAAGAAGTAAGCACTCTGGCAGCTATGCATAGTAGTAAAGTACAAGCATGATCCAGTGGATAATCACGAAGGCCTCGTGTTAGCGTGGCGCCTTCACCGTCCCAGGCTCCTGTCGCATTGTCTCTGCTGCCAAATTGATATCCCTGATTTTGTAGGACTTCTGCAATTGTTTGAAAGGAAACTTGCCTTGAGCATAAAGATGGATCAAGTATGGCATTAGCTGAGATAAGGCCGTTAGAAACAGCAGTGGCGAGATTAGACCAAGAAATTACCGTCTTCAAATATGAGTTGCCCTGACGACACCCACAGTATGTTTTGCAATTGCTGAGCATAAAAAAACGTCAATGAACACTTTAAGGCATGGAGATGGCCCTCCCACTGAGACGGCGACATCCCCAAGGCCGAAGCACTATACCATAGAGTTCACAATACTAACTAACACAGTGAAATAAACCGCTGCTCCGAGGCCATGGCGGTCTGTCTTTTCAGAGATGCGGTCCATCTAGTCTTCCTTCTTTAGATTAATCACATGGGTTGCCCCAAGCTTTACGGCTAGGTCTAAGCGGTCGCCCCTGCCATCGATAGCCACTATAGTACCAATCGAATCAGAATTATCTTGGGAAAGATGTGTAGCAGCCACGATTGCCGTCGCGCCAACACTACCCAAGCCAAACACAGCAATATTTCTCGTTCCTCGCTTGATGGGCTCTACCACATTGTATATGGAACCGGCACCCGTTTGAAGCCCCCAGTCCAAGGCGCACAAGATATTGAGTGACAGGCCTTTGTCAATCATGATACAAGACGCTTGTTGTACCACTGCTGGCTTACAGAATAAAGACTGCCCAAATAAACACGTACTCATCGTCCCAGATTCCGCGAGGATGGATTGAGAATTATCAGGCCGCTGGCCTCAAAAGTTTCGTGCATGTATTTCCGAGCAGGGTAACGTGTTAAGCGTCTTGCAACACATACATGTGCCGCAGTAATTGTATCAAAGCAACACATGGTCGCCCACTGTGAGATCCTGCACCGCCAATCCTACTGCGCTGACTATCCCGGCGGCTTTCAAATTAATAAGTCATGCCGGGGAAAGCTTTTCTCTGCGAAAATGAAAGTGAGGCTCACCTTCGTGACCTAGAACAGCAGGTAAAGGTATCGGGAGCTTCCCTTGTTTGACTGCAAGATCGGTGTGGCAGATTCCAGTTGCTTTCAGCCCTATTAAGACCTTTTGGCTTTGGAGTGCGTCCAATTCAGCAGTCATGGATTGAAAGGCTGACTCTTCTCGACACAACAAAGGCTGATAAACAGCTTTGATCATGATGTAGTCAGTGATAGTGTTCGGGGAAACTCAGGGCTCAGAAAACAAATGTGATCTCAACAAAAAAGACACCTGGAGGCGGGGATTGCTCTGATATTTGTATCCAGTTCTAAATTTAATGACCCGAAGAATATGGGTGATTTTTGTGGGTACAGCTATCTGGGCTTGATGTTCAGTTTGAGGTAGATGTGAGTGGCCACTGCGGCTATCGAGAATGATCCAACGAGGCTCATACAACAATCGGAAAACATGATTACGGCCCGCCCGCCCTTTCCAGCGTGTAGCCGAGGAAATGGAGGCAAAACCGAGCTAATATGCCTATAATCTTAGTTATGCAAGATTACAGTATTCTTTCACACGAGGTGTGCATCTAATACAAGTTGCTGGGGACGCTATTTAGCCAGGACATGTCAACAAAGTCTGGCAGATCAAATCCATCGATAACGGCAGCAGAGACCCCTTCCCCCAATGACACGTCATTCATGACAGGGTGAGAAAATGTTGGCGACCGCTGTGATACTACAGCTGCAGCAGATGGGTTGATCTGCTCATAGAGAAGTTCAAGCGCTAATACACATCGGCGAGCAGAGGAGCTGTAGCTTTGATAATTTCGTAAAATGTTCAGTGCACGCTGCCATGAAAGAGAAACCGACTCTTCCGTTGCCTCGGCAAGAATAGCCGGGCAAAGACGCCCGGCTATCAGGATAGTAGCGGCAGTGTATACGTCTTGGCTTGTTAGTATGCAAATAGCATCTCCAGAGAGCATAGAAGGCATCATGGACATACATAAGATGTTGTACCACCACGATGGAAGTTTTCCAATCTTTCCATTAGGAGGAAAATTGTTGTAGACCATATCAACGAGGTCTTGTGCTGAGCGCACGCAGAGTATGGAACACTGGACAGCAAATCGCTGAGGAAGAGAATCATCAGATACGATTAAGCGCTCTCTTGTAAACAGGTCGCAGTATTTAGATAGTATGGGTCGCAAAAGAACCATTCGGACATGAAGGAATCTGAAAGAGGAACAAAGTAAGCCATAAAAGAAGGTTTCACATCATGTAAAGCATTGATATCATACCTTAACCTTAACACAATGCTCTGTCGGTCACTGATGGGATCTCTGGAAGATAGGGGAGAAGAGGTGCGTAAATGGGGCGGAAGATCTAGAGACCATGTGCTGAGTGCATGATCCAATCGGAAAACTGCCACTTGTCCATCATCAAAGCTGTTGAAGTAGGAATTATGAGAATTTTCTGGCTTGCTTGGAGGGGTTGGGCTTTTGTATAAGCTAAGTAAAATGTCGTTGAGAATTTCATATAGCTCCAGCGACTTTGTGTAGAATTTCAAAAACAGTGATTCTTCTGTTTGTTCTAGAGGCACCTGTAAGCGGTGCTCATCTACCACAACAGGTAATGGAACGGCCTTGGCTGCTTCTTTAGATATCATGGCAGGTCGGCCAAGAGTCAATGCGACAACACTATAAAGATTTAGAAGAAGTTGAGAATGTGAGCTTGTATCAACGTACCGATCCATCAAAACACAACCATGCCATATTTTCCTCACAAGCTCTTGTTCGTGAGAATTTTCGAGGTGTAAACTTGTCTCTGGCAAGTGCAAGCCTAAGCCTTGAGCACTGCGGATAGCCATGCCAGTAACCATCCAACATTGATCAGCCGAATCTGTACTCTGGAGGTACTGTGACACCAGCAATAAACATTGGATCACTGAAGAAGGTCCCGAGTGCCACATATTGCCCGGGAGAAGTTCTTGAGCGCGGGCGAAGAAATTACCAGCCATATCTGCCCGATCTTCAGGCTTGATGAAATCGGCCAACTGACAACCTAGGGCAAAAATCACATTGAATGTGCACATGAGCGTGTCTTCGTCGCAAGTCAAACTTTCTTCTCCATTCCAGAGTTTCCGGTACTCCGCACTCAGCTCTTCTCGGTTGAAGAACGGATAAAGCGGAAAGACAACATTCCAGTATATCTCCATCAGTTGATTTGCCATTCTTCTTGGAGGAAGTATCTGAGTGCTCATCAATGATGGTGAACATGTTTCTTTCTCCCTAGGATGAGGAAATAACAACGGGCCCATATTGGTGGATTCTGAAGCGGGCACCTGTTTATTGACAGTGACCCGGATTTGTCGCATAAAGTTTGCTGCACTTGAGCTTCCGAAAAACCCACTTGTTGGCTGCCTTTCATCTGATTCTACCTCTCCCACCATCGCGTTAGCACCATCTGCTATATCTCCGCGTTTCCGTCGGTTGTTGGGGGTATGTCCTTGAACCCGAGACCTTGAGGCGGGTGAATCGTAGGCATTATACGGCAAGTTTGGCTTTGGCCGATATCTTGAATTTTCTACTAGATTTCCACCCAAAGGTCTTCCGGTGGGCATCTGTGACTCGCCATATGAAAAGCGAGTCAGATGCTGGCTAGTTTCCTGTTGCGGTGGGTGACTTCCTCCCAAAATACTAGCTCGCTTAAGCCCCTGGCTGTGAGGTCTTCTCGAGTCACTCTTCTGTGTTATCTCCCTGTTATCAAGGAAGGCTTACTGGGGAGGTCTGCCACCATGTGAGGCCTTGCTATATTCACAGTTTACCTCCACCCCATGATGTTCGGCTCTGTCCAGACACGGCTCACACGCTTGACATATATCAGCAGCGAGCGAGGACTTTCAGCGAACGTCCCACTAATCCCACTAACCTGGTCTTTTCCCATCACAGCGAACTTTCCGAGCTCGACATTCTCCGCAAGCTAAAGCAACCTTGCGCCTCTTCCGACGTTCTAGCAAAGAGGAATTCGGGTCCCATCCAGGCAGATGCGGATCATTCCATCTGCTTTGGTCCATGCTAACTGGTATGTAAGTAAATCAGGTGCTGTGTGGAATCGGAACAAATGGTGATGGAGAGAGAACGGACGGAATCCTCGGGACGGTGGTCATGGACGGAGCCCTGGTCCGCTCATCCCGAACAACCCGAATGACCCGTTCCCGTTCCCGAAACTTACGCCATTATAACCCCGTGGATGCTGATCCATATAGTACTTAAATCAATATTTCTCGTCTCAGAACAGAACTAGAATAAAGCTATTTTTATTTTTCAATCTTACTTCTAATTTGAGTCTTTACCCATCTTTATTTCTCGCTATGTCTTGGTCACGTCTCATCCGTTTCATTGATGTCGCCGGTATGGCTTGCTTTGGCGAGCCGGAAATCAGCGACATCACCAAGCTGGCACAAGAGTGCCTGGCCGGAAATCTCTATGCCCAGGAGTTTATCGGAGAGAGCCCCATGGCTGTCGTTCCTGGTACTCGTCGGCTGCAAGTGAAGGAAATTCTAGGCATCCTTCGGCCCACAGATGTTCCTATCATTCGTTGCGTGGGCTTGAACTACATGAAGCACAGTATGTCGAAATAATGAGCCCGGTATAGCTAATTCAGCTAACATGTACTTCAAGTTAAGGAAGGTGGTCGCAACCCTCCTCCTCACCCATCTATTTTCATCAAACCGGCCACGTCCATTGCTTCCTACAGTGAGGACATTCCTATCCCTAAAATTGCCCAAGATTCGGTAGACTATGAAGGCGAAATGGTACATCATAAGCCTCTCCTTATTTCTATGGTTACTGTTTCTAATCTGATTTATAAAGTCCATCGTGATCGGTAAGACTGGCAAAAACATCTCCAAGGAGAACGCACTTGACCACATCGCTGGTTATGTTGTTTCAAACGATGTCTCCTGTCGGCATTGGCAAAAAGATCCGGCATTTGCTGGTGGTGTGCCCCAGTGGTGCTTCAGCAAGGGCTTCGATAAATATGCCCCTGTTGGTCCCGTTCTTGTGTCTCCCAAGGTATGTCTCGCTTTCCAGGATGATACTTTTCAGTCTAACAAGATGCTAGGTCGTTGGTGCTGCTGATAACCTTCGCCTTCAGACTTTGGTTAATGGAGAGGTTCGTCAGGACACACTTACAAGTGATTTGCTCTTTAATGTCCCCCACATCGTCAGCTTTATCAGTCAGGGAACTACCCTCGAAGCAGGTACTGTTATTATGACTGGTACACCAGCTGGCGTAGCAATGGGCATGTCTCCTCCGAAATATCTCAAGAATGGCGACGTGGTAGAAGTGAGTATTGAGAAACTTGGGTCCACCAAGAATCTTATAGTGTTTGAGTAAAAACCACCACTGTCAATTACAAGAAACCAGTCAGAGGCCCATTCTTATCAGAAAGCAATGATATTCAATAACCATTTAGAGAGATACCTTGTCCTGTAATCTATAAAACTTTGACGTAGATGCAGCGACCACCCAATTATGCTTTGAAGCGAGTTTCGTCTTCATGACGGCAGCATAAACAATAAGAGGGCATAGCCTTAAGGAAGCGCAGTCTCAAATAAAATGCACTGACTTTTCTCATTTGTTATCAATCAATCAATCCAAGTTCTATTAACCTGTTGGAGCCCATCTAATATCAAATAGCTATGCTTTTTCCATTTGTTCTTATGGCCAACTTGTCGCAGTAAAAAGAATTTCTGAGTTTGGGGACCCTCATATTGGAGCCCCTCTTTACCCAAAGAACAAATTGTCATACAGCTCTTGGAATACAAGAAAAAACGATAAACCTGTGCTGCCTTCAGTTACATACTCTCAAGCACTGTGTTTTTTTTAAGAAGCATAGTAATGTTCAGTAGGTGCTTACTTGCTAGATGCTCAAGTAAAATACAGACGATTCAAGCGCGTCTGACCAGTCCCAATGACTCCAAGAGTGGACGGTCATTAATTGCAAACAGATACGCAGGCTCAGCTGACGAACATGTGTGCTCAATCCGACACCAAGCAGGTACTACAAAGGTGTCTTTCTCCTTCCAGCGAATCTCGGTTTTGTTACCATCTGATGTTATCAGATTCGACACACCCTCTCCACTTTTAACGTGGTAAAGGAATGAACAAGTCTCTTGCCGGGGGCTTGCTGTAAAACCCGCGTCCAACCGCTCTGCTTGTGCACTGATTGTATTTGATAAGTGCCTTTGCCCCTTGCGACTGTAATGGTAAATTGTATACGGCAGCTTGTCGCCGTCCAGGGCATTCTGAACGTCTCGCCAGGGAAATTGTATAGGGCTCTCCTCAGAAGCGCTAAAAATTCAGTGCCAGTCAGCTTTCCGTATTTGTTGCTCTCCACGATCCACGTACTTACATTGCTGGATATCGGCTCGAGGTATAATTTTCGGCAAAGTTGACAGGCACATTACGAAATAAAGGCAGATCCAACCCATCAAGCCAGACCATTGGTTTCGTGCCTTCGTTGCCGTGGTCGTGCCAGCACCATGACGGTGTAAGGATCACGTCTCCTATTTCCATAGAAATCTTCTGTCCTTCTATGGCTGTAAATCCATGCTCTCCTTCGATAATAAATCGCAAGGCAAATGCGACATGTCGATGCGCCGGAGCAGTTTCTCCAGGAAGAACAAGTTGGAGCCCTCCGTAGATGGTATCTGTGGTGTAAGGAGGCTCTAGGGTGAACAAGTCAGTTGACACTTTCTCATGAGCTTCAAATCACTTGGCTGTATACCTATGTTTGAGTTCACGAGCATCAGCACTCGTCTTTCGGCTTCTTCGGCGGTAACAATGGAGCCAGCTTTCATCAAATCTGGTCGCATTTCGTTATATCGCCAGACAGTTGGGACAGCACGAGGATTAGGCCTCGGTGGTACCATCTTGTCGAGAACAGTCCAGAGAGGTGCATAATGCTTCTCGCTGGGGAACATCGTCAGGTCTTCGCCTACATGATCAACTGTCTGCGTGATCGATGCCATTGTGCATGTATTATTTAAAGTTCATGCAGTGATATGTCCCTTCCAAGGTTGTGAGAATACACTGTTGTTAATCTAAATCAACAATGAGAAGGAAGGGAGGGAGAGTTAGGTTTATACTTATAGCCCCATGGGCTGATGTACGGGGTCAAGTAATGCGTACTCCATGCAGCCCGGTATTGAGCCTTTCTCTCCGGTAATAATATACAGATCCGAGGTACTTCGGCTATTTAGACTAATCTAATTGGTTAGCTGGATTGGTATTCATTACAACCGAAGTATCCGTCTTACCCGAGAAGCACATAGATTCAGCAACACGTCATTTTAATTGATATTTCGAATACCTCATAACTACTTCCCCGGAATTTCATACAGAATTTACATAGAACGTGGGGAAGTATGAATACTCTCTTCACGCGCCATATATGCTTAGTAATTACATGTGCGTCAACGACCAGGCATCGTATCAAACGCTTTCACGTTGTCTAGACTCTTGACCCAAGAAGGCTTAGAAGAAGCAAAGAACTCCGCCTCGGGTCGTAGCTTCTCAAGCCTGCAAGGAAGTATCAATATACTAAAAATTCTTAGAGCCCATGTTCACATAGTAAACTCACCCTTGATCAAGTAAAGCTGCACGTAAGATGACGGCTTCACCGCTATGGGTCATTGGAATTGTCCACAATGTGCAGCCGCACCGTGTGCAGAATCTCTTGTGCTTCTCTGCACCGCTTGTTGTCTTTGTGATGACAAAGTTGCCTTCTGTGGCATTTAGGCTAGTCTCAACATGCAGCTGAGCATTCTGAAATTTGGCGCACTTTGAAATTGAGCATTCGTCAGAGATCAGATGATAAATATAAGCAATAAAATAAATACATACAACTTGATACGGTGCTCCTGAGTTTTTGACACAGTCTTGACAGTAGCACATGAAGACCTTTTCAGGGCTGCCGTGAACCTGGAAACTGATACCACCACATAGGCAGCTTCCTCGATAAACGTTGTCTGCCATTCTCTTGCTTTTCTTTTCAGTTATGAGCGATGTCAAATTATTTTGTCTACCACGGCTAAGGGACTTTCTTGTTCTGATATAAAGTAGTCAAGTCACCGGAAGCGCACCACCCGTCCCGATAACACTCCGAGTATCCCGGAGTAATTTCGCCCCACAATTCTCCGCGACTAACTTGGGACTTGGTAATGTGAACTATACGAGGACACGTGAAATAGTCATGATTGCTGAACTTGTTTTGAACTTGTTCCCCTCCAATGCATGTGCCCTGATGATGCATTTCGCGGATCAAGCCGTTCCTTAAGTTACTCGAAGTTCAGTGTCGGGTTATACATACTTATAACAAGGACCAAGGCCTCAAACCTATCCATTGATAGATACCAGTTGTGTGATTCAGATTAAAAAGCACCGCAGCCTACGGGCTATCTGATCATTAGTATATTGAGTCTCACTCATCTCCCCGATAAACTCCGGATTAAATCAACTACTGTACTTCAAATTAGTAGGTTTGAGCTGTCGTAGAGCCTAGCCTTAATCAATCATGTCCTTTGGAGTTCAACTATATTCCCAAGTACAGTATCATGTAGACGAGAAGAGTGAAAAACTAAACAGTCAGACTTCTAGAAAATAAGCGCTCACGGAATGTCGGCAAGGATTAAATGGGGTACTGAAAGTCCAACAGTGTACTTGGAGTGCCGATGGAACCAACAGACCGCCGTGGAGCGACTAACCAGCGGGGCATATTGGAGCGAAACGCTTGACCCATTTAACGCGATGTGGAGCCATATTCAAAATGTGAAGAATTAGATCAGAGTACGGTTTAGTCACCCTTATAGACTGGCAGTATCTCGATCGTGGATTTCTTTGGATGTTGTCAAGTAAGATCAGGGCTCGAGAAGAGAGGGAAGCCCTATACAGGGGGAAAGGTTTCCAGTGTCAGGCTACATGCGGTACATATGCATAACATGCATGTGTTCCGATTTTACCGGATAATGGAAGAATACTATGTGGGTGTCCAAAAGATAGTTCCAGCAGCACTACGGTATGTCTGATGATAGCCCTATCCTTCCAACTTGGTCGTTTTCGGGCTCTTCTGGGCAAAGGTTTGCACTGATAAAGCGACAATTACACAATTGCCGGCTAGTGGCCACAAAGGCCCTAATTTCTAGTTTTTTCACTAGATCCATAGCCTGTGGCCAATTGTTTGCCTTTGTGGAATCAACTTCTGTTGAGGCATATGCAGGGGAAGTATATAGGGCTGTGGAAAACGTCAAAAAGATAGGAGATAAGGTAAACGGATCAACCATTTACCGAACCCCACTGATATGCGTCTCCAAGTTCCCTCGAACTGCTCTCTCCTCTTTGCTGAACATCAGTTCAAGACAGTCACATTGAGATTTGCGGTTCCAGACTTTACATCGAGCGGCATCCGATCATCTGGCCCCAGTTCAAATAGCTACCGGCCCGCGTCTTCCTCAACTTCCTCTCCGCAACCCCACCCCACCACAATGCAGTCCGTCCCTGAGTCCCGACAGCAGTCCTTTGACGAGATCTATGGACCTCCCGAGAACTTTCTCGAGATCGAAGTGAGTGATACCATCGATAATCGCTACCTCAGATCCCCGAATCGCTTGTCCACCCCGATCTTCGAGGGGGTCATGTGCCCACATATCTTGCCTAACCACCCCCCATACAGCACCATGTACTCGAAAACCATACGCCCTGACCAAAAGACTAACGAAATAAATAGGTCATCAACCCCCAAACGCACGGTACCTCGCGTAATATGTACACGTCGTACGAGATCGTGTGCAAAACCAACATCCCCGCTTTCAAACTGAAACATTCCGTGGTGCGCCGCCGGTACTCCGACTTTGAATACTTCCGCGATATCCTTGAGCGTGAAAGCACACGGGTCACGATACCCCCGCTGCCGGGCAAGGTCTTCACAAACCGATTCAGCGACGATGTGATCGAGCACCGCCGCGAGGGTCTGCAGCGCTTCTTGCAGATTGTTGCTGGGCACCCTCTTCTGCAGACAGGCAGTAAGGTCCTGGCTAGCTTTATCCAGGGTGAGTTTTATATTTTCTGAGCGGGCCGTCAGTGAAAATATGCTAATATAATATCATAGACCCCAACTGGGACCGCAATGCGTGGTAGAATACGATAGCGTCGATATTCTTTTTCCTCGTTAACGAGAAGCGTGCTTTCTTTCCGCTATGCCCTTTTCTCCATCTATCTACCTCTTTTCCTTCATACTCTCAGCTTTGTCTTTTTGTGACAGACATCCTTCGGCACTCGCGATTGAACATGTGCACGGGCAATTGTATGCTATGTGATGATCATTCCCTGGTTTTATTATGCTCGTTCGATATCCGAATTTGCCGCTTTTTCTTCGTTGCACTGGTTGGACGGGCGCTTTTCCTGGTTTCTGCTATGCTCCGCTTCGCACCTTTTTATTTATCGTCTCCTTCTGCCAGCTTTCTTGTTCGATCTTGTGCATATCGAGAGCGAGTCGGTCTCCTTATGAATATCACCACGTACATTTCTACCTTCGACTGTAAATCCTTAGATGCATCAATGGTGGGTTATTAGGTATGTAGAGAGAAAAACAAGACTTTTGATTGATAGAGATTTTAGAGAACCATCGTGTACTGCGGGATATAGATTAAGAATCAAACAAGGCCAGAAACAGAAGCTGAAGCATAACAAACAAGATAGAAGAGATCCTCCACCAAACACCCGGAATGCAAAGCAATGAAACTAACATAAAACAAAAGTTGAGATTACATAGAAAGAGAAAAAAAAAAGCATCAAAGCATACTTTTCAAGCCAATTCATCCCAATTCATAGGAGCAAGCGTATTATCCTCCCAAGGCGTCTCAACACCCGAAGAAGTACCCGTCCCAGAACCCTCATCCAAAGAAAACGAAAGCCCAACACCCCCGGTATGGGGAAGACTCATAGAAGTCTCCAAGAATACCTGTGGAGGTGGAGGCGGAGGCAAGAAAGCAGAATCCATAGGACCAACATTAGACTGCTGAGAAGGAGTAGCAACATGACGACTCCTGGACGACAAATGGCGCGGGGTGAGATTCGGCGTCACAGCATTGAAATTGGCCTTCGTTGGAGTTTGTTCGCGAGTATTGGCAGCATGTGGCCAAGGCGTTGGCCCTCCTGCCGGCGAGTTCTGACCAGAAACCGAGCACAGACCGAGACTTGGGCTTTGGGCGGTGGGTTTCTTGCCGCTCACGGAGCCACCATTGCGATAGGCGTCTGGGAACTTTGTTCTGAATCTGTCGCGGAGGTCGGTTGATTTGCGGTGGCTCAAATTTAGTCGTGCGTCTTGTTGTATTAGGGTCCATTGGAATCCGTGGACTGCGTAGCCTTTGAGTAGGGCTTCGTCTTCGGCTGGGGTGAAGGGGCGCCGAGAGCGTCGTTTGGCTTTTGTTACGTGCGGTTCTGGGATTCCAAAGGATGCAAGGGCAATGGATGCGAGGCGGGATTTGTCTGAAGGCGCAGGAGTGCTCTGATCTGATGAGGGTGACTTTGATTGGGTGTTGCTACTGTTCCGAGCATCGGTATCGGGTGTAGGCGAGAGAGTGCTTGGGGTTGAGGAATTGTGTGGTTTGTTTGCTGGACTTCCGGAGCTAGAGGCTGATTCGGAGCCTTGATTTAAGGGGTTTGGATGAGGGAGGTAGATCTTGCCAAATGCTACATCTGAAGCGTCGTTGGACTTGATTAGGGCATTGGTGAGGGTGTCGTGGATTTGTTTCGCGGCTTCGTTGGGGTCGGAAGCACTGAGTAACGATCAATAAACTTGTTCTGATGGCCGTATATAGTTGGGATTTAAGTACTTACCGATAGGCCCATGGGCATAGCACTCGAAATCTTTAGGAAAGCGGATGATTAGCACAAGATCAAGCGGTCATAGATTACGATCATACCTGTCTTTCAGATTAGAGGCAGACCTCTGATTGAACTCCAGTTCCGGCTGAGCCAGGATAGCAGTCCAATTTCCAATCCCACACTTGACCACACCCCGAAGGAGGGCAGACGTTTCTTCCTCGGTCCACATTCTCAGGTTTTTACGAGATCGACCGCGATTTTTGGGGGGGATAGGCGCTTTCTCTTTCGGTGCGGGAGGCAAGGCATTGGTCTTAGAAACGTTTGCATCACGGATTGCTGGGTCAATTTCATTCGTATCCAAAGTATTGGTAGTTTCAATAGTGTTGTTGTCATTATCATTATGATCATTGTCTTCGTCGTCGTTGAGTGAGGTACTCAGAATCTCTTCTAGTCTCGCATCTCGTCTCTCCACGGACTGGCCATCAGCGCTAACAACTTGAGCGGATACCAAGGCTCCCGGGTCAATGGAAGCACTGCGCCCAGATGGCTTGTTCAGAAGCTGGGAAATATTAGACCCAGCCTCGATAGGTGGAAGAAGTGCAGCATTAGGTGGTGGCTCATTCAGTCCATTCAAGATAGCAAATGGCCCAAATGGGGGAGGTCGCTGCTCTTTTTGGGCCTGCGGGATGGGCAGCTGTAGATGCTCACTGAACGAATCAGTCTGAAGATCTAACCGGCGACGCTTTCGGGGTCCTTGGAGCGCATCATCATCGAAAGAAGATGAAAATGGAAATTTTTCAAGGGCACGAAGGTTCACGAATGCTGGAAGGATCGGTCTCGGCAGGCGTTCAACACTTGACTGCGAATCGGCGGATAGTTCGGTCTTCTTAGTCCGCGCAGCATTAAGGAATTCCGTCACCGTTGGTAGGCCTGTTTTGGCATTTGCAGAGACATGTCCATTGCTTTTGTTCCCCTTAGATATATTATTCTCTCGAGCACCACTGGCATTTGGTTCGAGAGGTGATGGGACGCTTAGGGTTCGGGAGGAAACCGGTTCTCGTAGAGGGGCGATACGAAGAGAGAGTTGGGGGAGTTCGCGTAGAAGTGATTCATCGAGGGGGCGTAGTGCACTAGATAGCTCCATTGCAGTATGCCAATCACGAGTACATCATCCTCATCCTGTAAGGAAATGCAAGTAGTTGCAAGTTCTGGCCTGTTCGATGTCGCGATAAGCAATAGATAACAAGGGGCGGTGTCGGCTGTCAGTAAAGGCGCATACGTCAGCGCCCATCGCCCTGAAGATCCCCTGACGATTACTTCTTGCAATTGACTTTCTCTGCGTTATTTCTCTTCTTTACACTCCCACCGCTATTTGAAGTTAACTATTTGACATCAGTTGCGGTAACCCGAAAAGTAAGTGCATATATCCAAGTACCGTACATTGCAGCAAACCCACGAGCTTCACTCTGCAGACCGCTCCAAGCGATTTCAACCAAGCTCAAAGAAGATCCTCAGAAGCACAAACAAAACACTGACAAAGCCGTAGATCTCCAACAATGCCTACTATCTTCCCAATGTGGCCACACATCATCTTCGGCATTCTTGAGCCCATCTCACTGTACGTAGAACCAACAACAATGCCCATCCCACCTAATCACCGACAACTAACGCATTACATGCTCCATGTAGGGCCCTCGGCAGCGTCTTCCCTCTATACGACCTCCAAGGCTTTATAGCCGGCCAAACCCCCAATGTTGCCTCCCCGCCAACCTTTCACCCCAGCAGCGTGGCCCTCGCCTACCAACTAGGCAATGTCTACTCGCTGCTCTTCCTCGTCGGCGTGGGTGTCTGCTACACAACTACCGAGCCTCGTGTGCTGCGCAATTACCTGATCGGCCTTGCCATCGCTGACGTAGGTCACGTCTACGCCACGTACCTGGGCATGGGCTGGGATGCGTTTGCGGATGTCGCGGCGTGGAATGCTCTGACATGGGGTAATATCGGAGCTACGGCATTCCTTTTCGTTAATAGGATCGCTTATCTCTTGGGTGTCTTTGGGTATGCACAGGCGCCTAAGGCGACTGCTAAAAGAGACTAGGATGTGTGCTTCTATGTTAGTTGGCTGAGACTCGTGTGAACTATTCACCGTCTCTCTTCTTTTTCTTGCTTTTCTTCTGGTAAAATCATTTCTTCTCGTCACTTTTGCCTCTCTTGGTGCATCGACCTGCATACAACAGCGGTCTATCTTTGCGTCTTGCTCTGGCTAGGTGTGGCTCCTCGGATGCAATGGGTACTGTTTGATTTGTAAGGTTTCTATCCACACGACAGGGTTGTAAAGGGGGAGGCCGCGTGAGCTGCATTACAGTCATGGAGTACTATATGCCGGGCCAGCTCGACAGCAAAGCCATGGGCGCTACGGTCAAAATGGCAGGTCCGATTACGGGTTTCTTGAAATCCAATGAGCTTTGTTATGCAACCTTGTATATATCTCTGCCATTGACTCTAACCAAAACAGAAAACGAAAAAACCAAGAAAAAGAAAAAAAATCACACAAAGAAAATCAAAGCATATTAGCATAATGCAACGCCGGACTCCCCGGTACTGCTGGACGCTAGCATGGGTATATAAAAAGTAGAAATACAGATCATAAATCGAAGCATTCCAAGGTGTAAATCGGAGGCAGGTGCCCTGGCCGATGATTTGCCAGGGACACATACATCACTGCATTGAAAAAGACCCAGGGGAACACAAAGAAAAGGCTCTTGAGACGCGTTCCAGCCCACATACACTTACACACACACACACACACACACACACACACACACACACACTCACACTCACACACTCACACACTCACACACTCTCTCTCTCTCTCTCTCTCTCCCACACCTGTCCACACCACCCTTGCTTGGCCTTTAGTCCGGTCTCGCCACCTGCAGCCACATAAGCCAAGTATACACCCCTGTAGCTTTTTCTCAAAGGCGACGTATATCCAGATTGTTTTAACCCGATGACCACCATTTTGCTCAATTTGTAATGTAATCATCGGCTTCGTTGCAGGTATTGGAAGACGGGCTGGAGGACGGACTCGCCATTTTGTTTGTAATCACGGAGATGGGGGACCAGAAAGGGGGTACCGGGGTGATCGTTGTAATATCTGCGGTACGAGGCGTAGTTCTGGACTGGGTTTAGGAGGAGACCGATTTCCGGAGGCGTCAGGGCTTCCAGAGTGATGGTTGATCCGTCAGCTTGCATTGTCGAGATGGTGTAATTGTATAGACCATGGAGAATTGCCGTGAGGGAATGGTAATCACGGGCTATGAGGAGGCTCTAGTGTTACACGATTAGAGCGAGTTTTGACGATTTGGGGTATACAGTGTGAGCAAAAGCACTTACCTGGGTACATTCTTGAATGTGGGGGATTAGGTCTGGAAGCGCTGAGCAACATTCCCAGACGGAGACGCTGAGCGTTTGCCAATGGCGAAGTAGATTTCCCACGACGGCATCCTCTGCTACGAGGCTTTGGCGGGTCATTTCGGCAAATTGATGCTCATCCAGGGCTTTCAAATTGCGGGCCAAATCAGACCCAGATGTTGAAATGAGACAGTCCTCTAGGAAGGGAATTGAGGTGCTGAATGGCGTTTTCCAGTCCATAGTTGAAGCATGCATGTATTGTCGTCGGAATCGGATTGCTAGCACGCTCAGCACTTTCAGCATGGCGGCTAGTCTACCGGTTTCATCTTTGAACAGGCGCTGGATCGGGCCTGCGATGAAGTCGAATCCAGCGTTGGCCTGGGCCATGTTATGGTTTCCAGGTCGCACAGCCAGCAAGGACTGGACCAATGCTCGGTGCGCGAATGGACTACGCGACCGAAGATGCTGGAATAGTCAGCGTATGATCCGAATGGTACTAAGTTCCAGTGGAGAGATCAGAAACACACCTTTTCTACCTCAGTGTATAGAGGGATGTCCTCTGGATACGCCCTCAAATGTTCCAGGAGAATGATGTATAGAGCGGTGTGCTGGTGTAAGAACCACTCGACCTTGATGGCACGGTACCCAAGAGAAGCGCGAACCAACTCTTCAAAATCAATCTGCCTAAATTGAAAATGGCTCTCGTTCTCAAGGGCCATAGCGATTGCCCGGGCATCGTGAGACTGGTTCGATTCAAGCGGAAGCCAACTCCAAGGAATCGGGTCGAAAGGAGCAATACTCGACCGGCGCAATATTTCCTCCACTCTCTGCATGTGGGAGAGACTTCCCAGAAGTTGATGTTCATGGGGCTGGGACATGGCAAATAAGAAATTGTCAATAGTATCAAGTCGTCGAGCGCGAAGCGAGGTTCGCGGGAAATTCTCGTCAAGAAAGAGTCCAAATCGAATTACCCTGCTAATTTCCAGAATATCAAAGGCCCAGAATACCGGGGTCGCTTCATCTTCCCACCAGCGATAGGACATGAAGAAGGCGGGAATCTCCACGCTCAACTGGAAGATGGACTGGTAAGACGGACTCAAGTCTGAAGCCATCACGAACATGTCCAAGGAGAAAGTTAGAGTTGAACAGACTCGGGACACTTGTGTTTAAGGCCAACTCATTAGGCTGGCGCTTATGTGACACGGAAGCAAAGGTGAAGAAAACACTGAGAGTCCGGTAAGGTAAGGATGATTGGTTTAAATCATCAGATTTTCCACGTTGGGTTTGGGGAGGGTCCAGTTTCAGCCTACTGGGGATCCCGAAGACCGGGAAGAAGGCGAAAAGGGGTGATCGGAACTCTTCTAGGCTGCTATTGTGGCCGAATTCTACCCGTTGGGCTGCAGACGGCTCAGTTGTCAATAAGACAAGTGAGTGGATGATTGTTCAATCGGTTGGGGAGCCTGGGGGGAGCGGTCAACTATCTTTAATAGGTAAATTTCAATGATATCAGTGGCCGATTTCGAAGTTTCTCTTTGAAAATTGATACACCGCTGAAGTTTGTCTCTTTGAAGGCAAACTTTATAGCCTATGGGCATTGATATACTACAAGTTAAGCTGCCTTCTTTGATTACACCGCTATCTCAAAAACAGGTATTCCAAAAATTATACCTGATTCCAAATCCCAGACATCAAACTTCAGAACCCAGAACCCAGGCCCGAGGAACTGGGTTGCGGATAGCTCGGTAGATCCACGCGTTCCTGAGTTTGTGGGGGAGAGAACCCAAGGTTGAGTTTGATATCCCCAAACTTCATCTTCAATTTTTTTGGACTGTGACTAACCTCATGTTCTAGACCCCAAGTCTAAACAATTCCATGATCGCACACGTCTCAACCCTCCTTCCAGGCTCTCAGATCGCCCAGCTGATCGGAGGATTCGTCGTGCATTTCAAATGCATTATACCCCAGCGATCATCAGCACACAATGCTTTTCCTCGCAACATTGGGCGAAAATTGTGTCCCCAGACCTACACCACATGTCAATTTCCAGTCCAAAATGCAGGGAGAGAGAGAGGACCACAGGTAATATTTCCTCGCCCCCTTATCCTATCCTATCACTAAAAGTGGCACCCCCTTACCACGAACCGCTAACCACACCCACCCCCTACTGCAATTAACCCCACTGCAAAAGAAGTTCGCTTATCCTCATGTTGCATCCGGTGATCAGGATTCCAGCAGATTGCGTCCCGTTCCAGCAGGACGGCGCTTGGGTGCGGAGACCTCTTCCTGGTGGAGACGGGGCGAACGTGGGTATGGGCGGGAGAGTTTGGATCTATCAGATTGGCTCCTATACTCCGTATTGCCTTAACCCTTGATAGGACCATCGGAGAGAAAAAGAAGAAATGAGCGTCGTTCTTGGGAGGGAGAGGAGTGGATATAATTCCCCTGTTCCCTATCTATCCCCGTTCCTCCCTCTTTCCCTCTTTCCTTGTGATGATCATCACGATACTGATTCATCCCTAAGGCGACGATGCCACCGAGTGGTCTCAGACTAATTAGAACGGCCCACGGCCCGACCCCCCAATTCCAAGCGATGCTCCAATGCCCGTCTAGATGAACCCATTCTCGGAGCTCATACGCCGATCGCCGCGATCGAAGCAACGCACTCTGCAACCACGGAACTGGACGGTTAAAAAGAAGTGCCGACATCTCCACAAAATGGACTCTGGCACTTCTGGCACCGGAGATGAACCTTGTCCTCCGTGTCGCTCTCGCTTTATCCTTTAGCCCAAGGGGGGCCTATGACTAAATCCAGCTGGTTATGCCATGTATGTTTCTCCACCCGGTCCTGATCCTGTCCCTTGGCTACATCAAAATCGTACGCCATTGATGTGTTGTGTAGGTTATAGTATATTAAACTGGATTGGATATGGCTCAATGATCACGGAGAACGCCGTCGATCTGCTCCTTCGATTTTAATTTCGACGTACTCTATATCGGGATATTTTTCTCCTATTAGTCCATTGCATGCGTTAGTTTCTTTTTCCGTGGCCTACAGCACGGCAGCTATATATTCATGCAATGAAACGGCACGATCATTGCCACTTGGATACATCATGATCGTGATCGTCGCTTTACTCTACTCTAGTCGACCATTGTACTGAACAGGGTTGGCAGGCGGTTTCTCCGCCGACAGGTCGGGGTTACATGCCATGGACATACAAGAGCGCTGATCATCTCCGCGAAATACGTAAACGTACATGTACTGGATTCTGAAGAAGATCATCCCCTTCGAAAGCATCCAGTAAACTCAATATTTGTTATTCCCAGGTGGGACTTGCTACTATTGGTGCTCTAGTGGATGAATCAGGAGACAGGAATTGCCTTGTATACGGTCCGTACGTTGATCGCCCACATACGGGTTTGGGGCTTGCGCGGAGGTGGGAACCGTGTTTTTCACCGCGTATCGCCTCGTAACGTTGGGTTGATATATTTAAAATCTATGATATCACATTGAAAGATCCGCTTTACTACTGGCCTGCGAGCGTTAAGCTTTAGGTTGCTACCGCTTCGGATATGCCGAGGTTAATAGGTTTACTGTTGGTGGGTATGGGGCTGGCGGGTTTCGCCGTCGGCGGGTATACATATTTATATATATGTATATGGAGTGGAAGGCGCAGGTCATTTACATAGCGAGAAGCTGAGCTTTCAGCTGCAGAGATTGCATCTTGGGTCTTGATGCTTTTATTGGATTGGGTTGCCTTCCGAGCTTGCATTAGCCTCCGATTTTGTACGTACGTGCACTCTAGCGGGTAGGCTGAGCTGTTGCTCTAGACCGACTGGGGGGTGTACGAGGTGGCCAACATGCTTGCGAGGTGAAGGGCACGGGGTGAAGGCCTAGGCAGAGACCAAGCTACAGCTACGACTCCTTAGATCTTCATTAGGGGATTGGTTCGAGCAATGTTCAGGAGAACCAATTGAAAGACATAGATGAGACAAGACAGGGAGGTTGAAGATCCAGGAAATCAAGAGAATACGGTCATTAAATCATTCGAAAAGAGGTAACGTTAAATGGTATCATATCACTCGGAAACGGGACAGTTATCCCATCCCAGTTTTGTTTGCTATGGTTCGAACCTACGGAGTGATGCGTCCAAGTCCATAACAAGACAAGACGCCTGCTTCCCAGCTACTGTTTTTTACTTATTTTTGTCCGGCTCGCGAAATCCCCTATGTCAGAAGACATTTAGTTGGAGATGGCGTGGGCACGGCGGCGGTCACGCTCCTCAGCAATGGAGAGCTGCGAAAAGACTTAGCAATGGTTCGTGTAGGAATTGAGTAGTGGAGATAACATACCTTGACACCCTTGCCCTTGGGCAGGGAAACCCAAGGCTTGTCCTGTCCGATGACGAAAACGTTGGACTCGCGGGTAGCGAAGGTGTTGTCAATAGCATCCTTGACGTGGACGATGTTGAAACCACCATCGTGGCGCTCACGGTGAGTGACGACACCAACACGACCCATGTTACGACCACCGGTGGCCATGATGACAACACCAGTGTCGAACTTGACGAAGTCAACGATCTTGCCAGTGGCAGTCTCGACCTTGACAGTGTCGTTGACCTTGATGGCGGGGTCGGGGTAGCGGATGCTGTAAAGAAACACGCGTTAGCATAACCTTGTTCTTGTCATATGGAATCTTACTAGTTCTCATATTGTCCTCCGCCGATCAACCAAAGCCTGGTCCAACGACTGAATGACACGGAACTTGTGGAGAGTGAACTCACGTTCGCGCATCGTGCGTAACCAAGAATGGGATCCCGCCCTTGCCGAGCTGAACACGCTTGACCTTGCAGAGCTTGAACTCAGCCTCCTCAGCCTGGATGCGGTGGACGGTGAAACGGCCCTTGGTGTCGTAGATGAGACGGAAGTGCTCGCCGGTCTTCTCGAGGGAGATGACGTCCATGAATCCAGCGGGGAAGGTGGAGTCAGTGCGGACCTTGCCGTCGACCTTGACCAGACGCTGCATCATGATGGCCTTGACCTCGCGACCGTTCAGGGCGTACTTGAGACTATTGCGAGATCCATGTCAGTTGTTGTTCTTCGTGTCGAGGTTTTTTTTTTCCCGAATTCGTACCGGTTACGGATGAAGACAATCAGGGGAAGGCAGTCCCGGAGCTTGTGGGGACCGGGGGAGGCCTTGGGGGCATAGGTTCCGGACATCTTGTCCAGGAGCCAGTGCGAGGGCGCACTAAGGCGCTTCTGGTGCTTCTTACTGTCAAGGCATTGTAGTTAGTGATGTTGTCCATGATCCAAAAAAAATTCCATCTCGGTTGCAGCAAGACGCTGGCTCAAATCGCGCCTGGGAGGTCGACGAAGCCAGTGCGCAGGCGCAAGAGGGAGAGAGGGCGATGGCATTAGACTTACGGTCCGCGAGCCATTTTGACTGATTTGTCGACGGTAGGTAAGTGGTCGGAGTGTCGCGATGAAAGAGAAGGTCAGGGCCGAGAAATGCTAGCTGTAATACGGGTTTCGCTTAGCGGTCAGTGATTGTGTGGGCTGAGCCCTAGCCCCAGCTAGTCCCGATTGGGTTATATTAGTAATTGATTAGGTCATACAAGCTTTACATATGATTATGTCATCTGACGGCCCCCTTCCTATTTGGGAGATCAATGGAACTCTTGTTTGTACCAAAGTTATATCTATTTGACATGCGCTGATAATTCCACTTTTCGTATCATCTTTAAATGTAACCCTTGATAACAGCAACCTCGGCGTTGAGGATGGATGAACCAGCAGCTCCGATAACGGTGTTGTGAGAGAGAGCCGCGAATCGGATATCAAAGTGACCACCCTTAGCGCCCTCACGAACACGGCCAACGCTGACGGTGTAACCGCCGGAGATATCACGGTCAAGTCTGGGCTGGGGACGGTCGGGCTCATCGAAGACCTTGATAGCGGGCTGCGGTGCGGAAGGAGCACCCAACTTCTGTGCCTCGGACTGGTATTCACGGAGAGCCTCAACGACCTGCTCTGCGCTAGGGGTCTCGCGGTTCTTGAAGCGGAGAGAGACAAAGGCCATGTGGCCGTCAGTGACACCGACACGGGTGCAAGTGGCACCGATGCGAAGACCAGACTGCTCGTCGAAACCGGTAGCACTGGCGTTCAATGAGCCCAAGATCTTCTGAGCCTCGTTCTCGAGCTTGTCCTCCTCACCGCTGATGTAAGGAATAACGTTGTCCAGGATGTCCATGGTAGGGACACCGGGATAGCCGGCTCCTGAGACGGCCTGCTCGGTGAAAACCTCGACTTCCTCAACAAGGCCAAACTTGGCCTGGAGAGCAGCGAAGGGGATGACAATGCCAATGACGGCACAGTTTGAGTTGCAGACCAGGAAGCCCTTCTTGAGGCCGTACTGCTTGCGCTGGTGAGGGATCAGGTCCAGATGTTGGGGGTTGACAGTGGGGACCACCAGAGGGACCATGGGGTCTTTGCGGTAGTTCTTTGCGTTAGAGAACACAGGAATCTCAGCCTTGATGAAGGCCATCTCTGTAATTTATACATCAACACATGATCTAGTACTTCGGGATAGGATATCACATACCGGTCTCGCCAGCGATGTCACTGTTCAGTCCAGAGAAGACAAGATCACAGTCAGAGAACAACTCAGCCTTGCACTCACGCAGAACAAGATTGCTCAGCTTCTCGGACATGGGACGAGCCTGCTTCCAGTTGACGGCATCCTTGTATTTCTTGTTTGCTGAACGCTCGGAAGCACCGATTGCTTGAAGCTCAAGGAAGGGGTGGTCTGCCAGTAGGAGAATGAAACGCTGACCAACGGAGCCGGTGGCGCCGAGAACACCTATAAATTGTCAGAGTGATTCGTGTATATAAGATCCTAGATGTTGAGGACATACCACACTTCTTCTTGGGGAATGCAGGAGCCATCTTGGAGGTTTTATATGTAGACAAATCCACCTTGTATATGTTAGTAACCCCGGTTATTCGAAATTCACAAGGCTGCCAATTGATCTCTCAAGAGACACAAGAAACCAGCTGCCTGGTGAACTGGGCCATATATCACAAGAGACCTGTATGAGTCAAAGCGTCTCCAGAGCCCCGCATGCGGTATGTAGGAGGCTCTGCAAGCTCCAATTCTTCGCAGATCTCATTGGCAAAGGACCCCAGACACAAGTACAGCCTGATAACAGCTGGAACATAGAATTGCACTCACCACTTTGCTGTTGATGGAGTTAAATGCTAGTGGCAATTGACCATGATTGCGATATCGCTCTCGGCCAATTGCGCTTGCCCCGCGATTAGTCAGCCTCCTCTGGTGAGACAAGAATTTGCGAGTCTTTGATTGGCTGAAATTGCTTAGTGTTCAGGTCAAAGTTTAACGTCCCAAGGTTTGGTCTGTTTGCACCGATGACGTTATTGCTATACATCTATACTCAAATCTAACGCGAGCCTATGTATTTTGTGCTGTATCAAATCATGTTCAATGACCGGGCCCAGAGATATCATCTGAGTGATCAAAGATCTTGCCCGGGTTCAAGAGCCAATGTGGATCCAATGACCGCTTGACATTGCGCATGACATTGATCGTCTCCAACCCGAGTTCCTTCTTCAATGATCCCTTCTTGCCCAGTCCAATACCGTGTTCACCCTGTAATTGGTCAGCGAGCGTCAAAAAGCGAAGGATATCCGTGTAAATGCATACTGTGCAAGAGCCCTCCATGTCTAGCCCACGGTCAACCATATCGTATACTACCTTCTCGACTCGCTCTCTCTCAGCAGGGTCATTTCGATTGTACATGATGCTCGCGTGGAAGTTTCCGTCACCAATGTGTCCGAGGATACTGGCGAAAAGACCCAGGTCGACAAGTTCTTTCTTGGAGATTTCTGTAAGAGTCAGTAACGGAGTCCAGATTGCCGAAAAGAAGCCATACCGATGATATCAGGTAGTCTGGAAATGGGAACCGCCACGTCTGTTGACCACACTTCTGATCCCTCTTTCCGCAGTGCCATCATACTCCACAGAGACTGCTTCCGTGCCGACCACAAATCATGAGCCTCGCGGTCATCGCGGGCAAATTCAAACGACTCAGCATTATTGTTCTTCGCAAGCTTTGTTGTCAGGTTAATACTATCCTGCACACCCGCAGTAGTTCCAGAGAACTTGAAGAATAATGTTGGCGAAACCTTCCATGAGCGACCAGTTCCACCAGCACGATTGATAACGTCCATCTGAACATCATCCATGATCTCCATACACTGCACGGAAACACCCTTTCGGATCAACTGAATAGCAGTCGAAGCAGCATCTCGAATAGTTGGGAACGCAACCACACCAACACGAGTCTGTTCAGGAATCGGGGCGAGCTTCAAAGTAGCCTCAGTCACAATTCCCAGGGTACCCTCAGAGCCAACAAACAACCCAGTGAGGTTATACCCAGCAGAGGTCTTGCGGGGGCGTTTGCGTGTCTTGATAATGCGTCCATCGGCCAATACGACAGTGAGGTTGATCACCCAGTCCTTCATAGTACCATACCGAACGGCATTGGTACCACTACAATTTGTACCAACCATACCGCCAATCATAGCAGAAGGACCGGGGTCAACAGGGAAAAACATGCCCGTCTCCTTGATCTGTTCATTCAAGTCCATCCACTGGATCGATGGCTGCACCACGACGTCCATGTCATCCGGATGGATATCCAGGACTTTATTCATGAAGGCGAAGTCGATGGTCAGACCACCATGCGGTGCGGAGAAATTGGCTTCTAGACTTGATCCGCCTGAGTAGGGGATCATGGGCATCCGGTACTTGTTGCAGATCTTAGCGATCTCGGATACATCTTCAGTGGTCGTGGGGTAGGCAATGGCGACGGGTAAACGCTCTGCGTTGAGACTAGACCATTCTGAGTATCCGTGATGTTGGAGTTCGTCTTCTTCGGTGCTGACTGCGTCATCGCCTAATTTGGCTCTTAGTTCGCTGATGGCCTGGTTGTATACTCGTCTCAGTTTCATTCACTTCGGCAGTCAACGCATTGTGTAATTGGGTTAATTACCTTTGTGAAATCCTTAGCTGAGCCATATTGCGGCTTCTTGGATGCATGTGCTGATTCCTTGCCGTATGAAGCATACCCGTACCCCAACCCCGCAGCACATGCAGAGACGAGGAGCGCCTTCGTCGGCGTCCAGAATGGCGAAGATGAAGCTGTTGAAGACCCTGAGGCTGAGGAGCTACTCTGCTCTTTTGATTTCTCTGACTTTGCATTCGAACTATTCAATCGAGCACCACGAGCTAGAATAGCCTGGCGAGGCGAGATCCGGGGCCGACAAGAGACTCGGGCGGACAGCGCCCGCGAGACCCTGAGCACTGGTTGCATGCTGAAGAGATAGGGCTGTATATAGATGCAGATTCAAGTAGATTGGAGGTCCAGCAGTAAGTTCTATCGCATAGCGATGTGAGGTCAAGTGATCGAAGCTAACTTGGCGACATTGCGGGCCTGCATGGTGTGACGGGCTTTTTGTACTCGGGCTAATATCTAGCGATTTCGGCCGTCGGAATTCGGCCGAGAGTCTCACTACGACATTCGCAGTTACTTTCTTTAATTCCGCGATTTTAGGGCCAAGAATCAAGAGTGCGGAGAAAGAGCGTGGGGGTGGGGGATGCACGGCTTATGCCGTTGTAGATTGTCTGCAACACCATTTTATATTCTCCTTTTTGTATATCACACTTTGACAATTAATAATGACCCTCTATACTACAATGAAATGAATGAGTATAGTCTTCTAAAAAGAATTTGTACATTAGGTGAAAAGAGAATTCTAGTAATGTCATTGGCTCAGAGCATAAACTCCGTTGATGGGGCAACAGGCCCGCAAAGAACCTCCGAACCTACAACATAGCGATATCAGGACATTAAAGTCAGATGAGAGCTGTGTACTACCCTCAGCGCCGGGAAGAACGGAACTAAATTTGTATGCAAATTTGACGCAATGGCTGAGCAACTCGCTCTCGTGGTGCGCGAGGTGGAACGTCTCGTGACCGCGCCTTACGTGCCGTCGCTACAGGTAAGTTGAGACCAAGCATTTTTGTCGGACATAAGAATAACATATGGCCACAGGACTTATATGGAGTTGTGCAGCAGTGTTCTCTGTCGACGATCGAATCCTGGGCATTCTGCAAACCTTGCCAGGTTAGCGCGCTGGGCGATGTTCTAGTAGAAGCTTTGTCGCGATCACGCGTCGCTTTGCCTCTGCTTACTGCATTCTGTATGGTTTTATTGGGATGGCCATTTAATACGAGGCTAACCTACGGTAGCAAATGCTTCGTCATTTCGCGATGCGCTGCTAAACCGCCGTCAAATGATTTTAGATGCCTTTCTTCAAAAGGCACTAGAGACTCACGAGCATGAGGTGAGACATTTGTGGTTGATCATTGAAAGCAACTTGGCTGATAATCTCAGTACATCCCTGCATGCGTTGCCCTGCTATCTTCACCCCTGCCACCAGATGCAGTGCCACCAGCCCGCATTGCCCCCTTCATCACGAAGCTGGTGGGCATGATGCCTGACAACCCTTGTGCGGAGACAATCACACCTCTCTACACCATCATGAAAGGCTTACAAGGCTCACCAAAAATTCTCGATGACATTCCTTCGGAGGTCATGTCCAATCTCCAAGTGGAATTCACCAAGACTTTACGCAACTTTGATGACCACATGGGCAATCTCTTGTGCCTTGGGACTTTCGCTCAGATCGCGCTAGCACGATCATCACCTTCACAAAATCAACACGGATCAGAAGCTCCATCTTGGCTTCTCAATATTAACCATTTCTTCGGCCCGAAACGTGGTCTGAAGACTCTGGACTTGGTAGTACTGCGCGTCATTCTCGCTTGCTCATCTAGCTGCAACCTGGGACCATCCCAAGCTGCTGAAAGTATTAAGCTGGCTATCTACATCGTTGATGCGATCCAGCTTGATCAGAAACAGATTTGGATGGCTAGCAATTCTTCCAAACTTGCCAAACTGTGTGAGAAGGCTGGGAGAGATGGGCTTGATGATGAGATACGGACAATGGTATGCCACATCCTGTTTGGGATGCAAAATACCGCTAATAATTTGTCGTAGGTTATCATATTTCTGCTTGGTCTCGTTCCAGCAAAGTCACTGCCATCCCAAGTACGAGATTTTGGCTCAAATGCTCTTTTGTACAAGGACAGCCAGGCAGTTCTGGCGAGTGTACCCCCACAACTTATCTCAAGGCTCTCTAAATTATTAGCTGTAGGTACAGAAGTCCTCAAAATTGGTCAAATTCTGACAATAACAGACCTCCGGAGAATCGACGACCCAATACCTCTTGAACTTCGCATGCTCCACTCTAAAGGAAAATGACAGTCAGGATCAGAAAACAGTCAGCAAGCTACGCCTTGCAAGCCTAGTACTGGCTGGCCTACGGGAAGTTGATCCAAAACTACTGCTTTCCAACATCTCCAGTTCAATGGCTGCCTTCAAGCAGGGCCTTGTGGGAATGCTTGAGAGCTTCTCTAAGAGACCAAGCAAGGATAGCTGTAATGAGTCGAATGTGTGTCTGTCCCAGCAATGTAAATTGCAGAACGAGCTGTTCGTATCCTTGATCAAGCTTCACAACTCTGTCTCTTCGGCGCAAAATGGAGGTGATACTCTCATGCAGTCTCTTGTTGGGTATGTGGAGAGATCATTGCCGAGTGTAAGCTGTACTCTTTCACAAATTGAACAGAAAGATCGCGCTGGATCCTTCCACTTGCCCGACAGAAACGACTTCTCATCGCGTCGCGCTTCCCGCAATTGGCGCCAAGATATGACATCAGCATTCATGGAGACTTCCCGGAACACTCACACGACTATGATGCAAAAGATCGAAGATGTATGCTTCGAGTTAGAGCGTCGCTGCTACGACGTGGAGGGACCAGTCCGAGCTGCCGAGGAACAAAGAGATCGGATCGCTGAAGAGAATCATCAGCTGAAAGAACACATTGAACAACAAGAGACTCGCCTGAGTGAATTCTCAGAATTCTTTGCTGGCCTCCATGACGAGAATACCCGCCTCGAGGAGCAAATGCAGAGTGAATCCGCACGAGTTGAACAGCTTTCGAAGTCTCTTGCTTCTGTGAAGGAGGAGCTTCAGGGGCAGCAATGGCAATCTGAGAAGGCAATTTGTCTCGAAAAGGAGCAGGCTCGATCAAAGGAGTTGGAAATGATGGCTGCTCTGACCGAGAAAGATGATCAAATTGAAGATCTCCAGGAAGAAATGCGTCTCTTGCAAACTGAGCATGAACGAATACGTCAGACCCTTGACCAAGTCTCCAAGGAAAAGGATTCTTCTCTGGATACCTCTGGACTTATGAGAGAGGAAATTGCTGGTATGAGGGATAGTCTGGAACAGAGCAGGCTTCTCGCTGTCCAGAAAGAGGATGAAATCAAGCGTCTGTTGGCTGCGAAAGATGATCTACGCATGCAAGTGGCGACTCTAAAATCAACAGTACGTTTATTGATTCTCTATGGAAGGCAATACGTACTAACTGATATATCCCAGACGAATGAACAGAACACAGAAGTTGAAAGACTTATAAACGTGCTGCAAGAATCCGAGGAACAGATGAGTAGTGAGATTGAAAAGATCAAGCAGGATCATAGTGTCAAGGTGTCTAGGGTCACATCCGAGGTATGCCTTTACCCGTATCAAATGAGAGACGCGAGAAAGCTAAAGCAGCAATCCTCAGATGACCAAGCAGGAAGACCAGATCCGGCAGTTGCAAGCCGCTATGCATGCTGCCACCCTGGATGCTTCCAGAAACACCCAGCTCAAGGACAAACGTATCGCACATTTGGAGAAAAAGGTCATCAACTAACCAACTGCTAAGATTTCTATATGCTGACATATGATCCTAGATTCAAGCTTTCCGTGACGAACGTGCCGCCAAGGCTCGCGAGTTCTCCGAAGCCCAGCAACATATCGGAAGACTCATGGGTGTGATGGGCTTCTCATCCAATGCCCCTGAATCCACCAGTCCCAAACATCAACGGGCCAGATCAAGTATCAACCCGATCGAAGCTGCAAGTCCCCAGCAACCAATCAGTGATGACGAAGACGCACAGCTAGCAGAGTCGTTTGAATCCTTGGCGTCATTCAACGGACCCACACCCAAACGGCCAAGAGGAAATCGTCCACCGCAGGCGCTTACTACTCCTTCAGCAGTTCCTCGGCCAAAGGGTCCATCACCCACTAAGGGAATGCCTCAATCTGCCCGGCAGCCATTAGCAGCTGCCAACAACAAAAGCCCGATCAAACCCCAAGCGAGCAATCTATCAAAGCACAGCGAAGTTGATGCTTCGTTCCAGCAAAGTCAGGCTCAGGAGAATGTTGAAGGACACCGGCTGCAGGATTTTGATTTGGATATGGATCTTGAGTTTTCGAAGGATTTCCTCTTTTCAAGTACTGCATTTACGGGATCGAATGATCAGGCCGTGCCATAGTTTGATGACTAGTAATGACTTTTACAACCTTGAGGTGCTCTTGATTTTCCACGGAAAAGCAGGCAAATAGGAGATTAAAAAGATAAAAGAATGTCGTGTGAGAATGGAGTGTTTTGAGGACTCTGCTTCTTTTTGCTGGGAATGATTTGTGCTAAAGGAGTGTCCTACAGGACGATCTAGGGCGCTGAAAGGACATCTTAGGGTATCAGGGCAACAAGGGCGTCGTCAAAACGCCCAATTAATTGGTCTTCATTTACGAGTCTTCTGTACCACACGACTCCTCTTTTGTTGTTCTTACCTCGTCCTGTTCTGCGGAAATTTAATTTCTATCCTACCGGTAGATGAGGGTGTCAGAACGACAACAAACCAACTATGTAAAATGGCGGTAATTTTTCACAACATCTATGTTCTCTCTTCGCTATTTTATACTAACTCATCTCGTCTATTTACGAGATATTCTTGTACACGCAGCACAAATTGCCACCTTGTCTTTGAGGCATGATTTGTGTATAGATATCCCTTCGGTCTCGGACTTTTATTATGGGTGATAAATGTTCTTAGGCTAGGCATGGCCTGTTTTGCTCTTGTGGTGGTCAGGACAGACATGGGCAATCGTGGTAACCTCCGGCCCATTCCATGCCCGACCAAGCAAGAAACCCGACCTACAACCGTTGGACGGGTTTTTGATAGTACAAAACTGGTTCTAGGATACCTGTTCATGCATAGGAGACAAATGGTCTGTGAAGGACTATGATTGTCCAGCAAATGTTCCAGTTCGATCCCCCAAATCAAAAATGACCGTCCACATTCGAACGACATAATGATTTCCCACGCCATCTCCTCCATTGAGATTGAACTCTTTTACGTTTGTCTCGGCCTTTTTTAATTGTTTGTTCTACTTCGATTCTGAGCCATCCTTCTCGTTTCTTTCTTGCTCTCATCGCCTCACTTTGCTTTTACTCCGACATCTACAGCTTCCAAAGCTTCTTGCTTCTACAAACATCTTCTTGTCCTGGCTTGCCTTCCCTTTCCTTTCCTTTCTTCTTCTTCAACTCCAACCAACTATGCCTTTCGCCACTCAGCCGCTCAAACCCCAGAAACCTCCGAGACCAGTAGAAGCCGGAATGCCTGAACTGGTCGATCCTACAGGGCCTCGATCCCCAGTTTATACTTCCTGGAAGCAGCATGAATCGGTTGGAATTGACCTCTCACAAGTTCCCAGGGCTGCTTCAACCCACGATATCTACGATGCCTTCCAAAAGGAGGGCACCATCGTGAAAATTGACCTTTACGAGACCTCCGATGGCCGCACAACTACCAGAGCATTTATGCGTTTTAGGTTGGTGTTCTGTCACAATTTTCTGAATCAAATCTAACCATAGATAGCCCGCCCCCTGAGCGTGATTTCTGGTCCGATGGCTGCTACGAGGTGCCCCTCCGCAACGGCCCTGTGGTGTTAATCGGACTGAGCTTGAATCATTTTTCAGATGGCGAGACTGTTCCCAGCCCAGTCCGCTCGCAGATTCATCTTCCCGCTCAGAAAGTCAGTGAGAGAACAAGGACGAGCAGTCAACGTGTGCTGAATACTGACTGATACTAGGAACTCATGACTACCAAAGTGGGCATTGGCGTTCTTGTTGATGCTAGGGCTTTTCATACCATGCACAACTTTGACCAGACTTCTGGGCCCAGGTTTGTCGTTGATGTCCTGCGCAGATGCCTTTATGTCTACTTTAAAATAGGCATTCGCTCAAAGGCCGGCGAAATGTCCCTACACGACTATCGAGTCAGAATTACCTTCCTCCAATTATCTCAAATCTTTGAGCAGTACGATACTACTACGGAACTAACATCCTTTCTGATAATCCTGGATTCCTCACCTACCTTTCACCGAAGATTGAAAAATATCGCATTGTCTTTTACAGAGCAGAGGTACTGGAGAGAGGAGGATGTCTGGTATCGCCAGACATCTGTGCGTCGCAACCCACACGTCATCGAGACTTCCAGCAACAACCTCAAAAAGTCAGGGCATATCATTGATACGGGTAAGTACTATACACGCTTCACCGTTGGCTTTTATGACGTCTAACGCTTCCCTTTGAACCAGGACGATGGAATGTGTTCAAGATCACGTTTGCATCTGAACTGAAACAAGACGGCCAAGCCTTGAATCTGACTCGAGCCATGTTGAAAGACTACAATATCTCGATAGAAGAAGGGCACCACCTAAGCGAGAGAAGGACCCGGCCGCTACCAGTGTGGCACTGGATCGATCACGTTGGTCCTCAATCGAGCAAGGCATCCTTGTTTCTGTTACAGGACATGGAGAATGACAACTACGTGCACCTTCACATGCATGTTCGGTACCAGCTTGAAGTCTGCATGTCTCATGGATACCTGTCCGAGTTCACAATGACTCGCGAGTTTGTTGAAACCTTGAGCAACATGAAAACAGCCGAGGCTCAAAGACTGCTGGAGCACGTTGCAACACAGAAGAAGAAATACTTTGATCCGATGGAAATATTCGATCTGAAGGCCTCAAAAGGTACAGCCGATACGAAAATCCCGGATTATTGTTCCTTCATGCGCACCGCACGAGTCACTCCAACTACCATCTACTACAACACTCCATCTGTGGACGCCTCTAATCGCATCGTACGCAAGTACTCTGAAGTGGCTGATCATTTCCTTCGTGTACGGTTCACGGATGAGAAGACAGAAGGTCGCATCAACTCTTCGATGAATGATAACAACAATGAGGTCTTCTCCAATGTCAAGCGGACATTGTCAAATGGCATCACCATTGGAGACCGACACTATGAGTTCCTCGCGTTTGGAAATTCTCAGTTCCGAGAACATGGCGCTTATTTCTTTGCCAAGGGTGGACCCATCACAGCGGCCTCAATCCGAGCCTGGATGGGTCAATTCAGTCACATTCGAAATGTGGCCAAGTATGCGGCAAGACTAGGGCAGTGTTTCTCGACCACCCGTGCCTTTTCCAGCACCAATGTCGATGTTGCTCGGTGCGAAGATATTGTTCGCAATGGTTATTTATTCTCCGATGGCGTTGGAAAGATATCCAAGTTCCTTGCGCAAATGGCCAAAAACGAACTCAACATCAAGACCCCAACTCAACACCTTCCATCTGCCTTCCAATTTCGTCTCGGAGGCTCCAAGGGAATGCTTGTCCTTTCACCTGACCCACGCCCGCGGGAAGTGCATATCCGTCCCAGTCAATACAAGTTCAGCGCCGAGTCCAATGGATTGGAGATCATTCGCTGGTCCCAATTTTCGTTTGCAGCTCTGAACCGCCAGATTATCATCGTTCTTTCGGCCCTGGGAATCACAGACAGAGCTTTATTGAGCAAGCTCGATTCTATGTTGAGCAGCTTTAATGATGCCATGAAAGACGATCAGAAGGCAAACGACCTGCTTCAAAAGTGGATCGACCCAAATCAAATGACTCTCACAATCGCCCAGATGATTACAGACGGTTTCAGACAAGCCAACGAGCCATACGTTTGTACCCTTCTTGAGCTATGGCGAGCCTGGCATTTGAAGCATCTCAAGGAGAAGGCAAAGATCACTGTTGAGCAAGGAGCTAACCTACTCGGCTGCCTTGACGAGGTCGGTGTCCTGAAGGGCTATTTCGAAGACCAAATGCCCAAAGAAGATGCGCCACTGGAAGAAAAACTGGCAGCTCTTCCTGAGATCTTTGTGCAAATCTGCCGCTGTGAAAGGCAGGATGACAAAGATGCCAAGTATGAAATCATCCAAGGTGTCTGCATCTTGGCTCGCAATCCCTCCCTCCACCCTGGAGATATCCGTGTAGTCCGAGCAGTGAATCGTCCTGAGCTGGAAGACTATCGTGATGTGGTTGTCCTTCCCCAAACTGGCGATCGTGATATTGCAAGCATGTGCTCTGGAGGTGACCTGGATGGCGATGACTACCTTGTCATTTGGGATCCGGATTTGATTCCAGCTCAATGGTTCACAAATCCTATAGATTACGCCAGCAGAAGAGTCCCAGATCTATTCCACGACGTGACGGTTGATGCAATCACTTCCTTCTTTGTCGTTTACATGAAAAATGACTGTCTGCCAAAAATTGCACATGCCCACTTGGCATTGGCTGATTGGCTTCCAAAGGGCGTTATGGAAATGAAATGCCTGCGCCTGGCTCAACTCCATTCAGATGCCGTCGACTTTAACAAGACAGGGGCTGTTGCAGTCATGACGAAAGACTTGAGGCCCACTAAGTGGCCACATTTCATGGAAAAGAGACATGTTCCGCTTTCACGGACCTACAGGTCCAAGAAGATCCTCGGCCAGCTGTATGACGCAGTAAACGTCCCTGCCTTTCTTCCCAATCTTGAGAAGCCTTTTGATGCTCGGATCTTGACGTCCCCACAGCTCGAAGCGAGTGAGGAATACATGGTCTTCGCCAAAGAGCTGAAAGAGGAGTATGATATGGCAATGCGACAGATCATGGCACAATACGAGATTGAAACCGAGTTCGAAATTGTCTCGGGGTTTACTCTTCATCATTGCTTCCCGGGCAAGGACTACAAGATGCAAGAAGACATGGGTCGGATCTCAGGGACGCTTCGTGGAGGGTTTCGCCATCAGTGCTACGACGAAGTCGAAAGAACCGAGGGCAACATTGCTGCGTTGGTGCTCGCCATGTACCGTGTGACTGATGAAGAAATGACTGCAGCATTTACGGCTCATCGGCAAGAGGAGATGTTGAGAGAAGACCTTTCAAACCTCGATGTGCCCAGAACCAAGCTCCCACTCATCAGTTTCCCCTGGATTTTCCCCGAAGTCCTTGGCAATCTTGCAAAGAGCAAGATCAGGGAGCCTGCAGGGCCAGAAGAAGTTGCTGCTGATGACCTTCCTGACGAGCCTAAAGGCTATGTCATATTCACTGCCACGGAAGCACAAATAGCCACCCAGCCTCTGAGTGGCGGGAAGGTTCTGGACACGGTGGAATCTCCTGAGCTTACTGCATCTGCGCGATCCCCAAGTCCTTCGGGCTATTGGGAGCCACTGGATGAGCTTTTTGACGAAGAAATAAACGGCATTGAATATTTCAGAATGGAGTCACCTTTCGATGAGGCCATTACGGGCAGCCTTAGGAACTGCCGGTTTGATTGTGACAACGAGAATCGCGTTCATGGAGGCACGGGATCATTGCGCTCAATGGGCTCTTGGTATGAACTGGTTCAGCGACGTGACGAGTTTTCCGCGGGCGATGAAGAACGTGACGAGGGTGTTTGCTTGAAGGAACCCGTCGAGATTGATATGGTGGAAGATGCTGGGGTGAGGAGTAATTTCAAGCGTAATCCGCTTGATGAGCTGCTTGATATGCTTGGCTAAACGGTTGAGGGCAGGAGACTAATTGCGCGAAAGATTCAAGCTGGAGGCCGAGAAAGACACCTAGACAGAACAGAAAAAAAAACCCCCTTCTCCTCAATTCGTTTCATAGACAGCCTGACTAATTCGTTTCAAACCATACGCCGGCAGCCATGTCTGCTGTACAAGGGTATATCCAACTCCTTTAGACCAAATCCAAATCCATAAATCCCCAAATTTCAACCATAAGAAAAGAAAATAAATCCTACCAATCCAACCCTTCATCCCCCTTCTGCTCCAACAACTCAACAACAGGCTCCAAAACAGCCTGAGAATGCCTCAAATTAGCAGCATCTCTCGTCCGCGAATAAAAGACCGGACAATCCATGCTATCACAGCTAACCTCATCGGCAGGAGTGACACCCATACAAGAGCGACAAACAGCCTCCAAATCAACCACCCGTTTCTCGGCCCTCTGTAACCGTGAAACAACATCCAAAAGCGAAAGGTGCGGCTGTTTGAGACAATCCCCGCAGACTGGAACGGTAGTATCAGACAGTCGAGCTTTGCAGATAACACATGAGGACGACCGCATGTAAGATTCAAGCGTCTTCCGAGTTGATGCACCAAAGAAACCAGCGTTCGGGTTCGGGTTTGGTCTTGAAAGGGCCGACGCATCGACACGCCGGATTCGCTGTACTTTCGGCATCTCATCGTACCACTGACGGACATTAGCGCCGACGAGATTGAAGATTCGTTCTAATGGCGGAATGAGGTTCTTAGTGATGTAATACTCCGTATCTAGCTCCAGCTGTGCGTCGTGTAGGAGAGTCTGAGGCGCAACGCAGCGGTCAATGAGTCTTGATCCCGGTGCACCGGTGACAACAACATAGGGCACTCGTTCGTGGGTCTGTGGCTCCGAGCGCGGGTCTTCCAACATGCGTTTTGTGCTGAGCATTGCGCCGGCAGGGAGTTGACCGCGGTCACTGTATGTGCCAAGACGGACTTCTTTCGCGAAGCAGAAGTCTTGAATGGAGACGCGGCCTTGCATTATCTTGGCGCACTGGCGCTGGAAATAGGATTTGACTTGGCTGAGATCTGCTGTGCGGAAGAGGATTTTCAGAGCCTTTTCTTCGATCTTTTGCTCCGCAGGTGTGCCGTCGCGTCGGACAGTTTCGATGCCTTTTGCGTCGAATTCGGGCTTTGTTTGTGTGCGGTATTCATACTTGAAGCCGACGTAGCGCTTTTTGGCTAGCAGTAAACATGGGTGGTAGACCTTTTCGAATTTGAGTTTTACTGGTCGTGGGTTCATATCTGTGACTGCTTGCGCGATTTCTTCGCCAATGTCGAAGGCTTGGTCTCGGGTGCGGCCTTTCAGGTAGACGAATAGACTGTCTGTGTCGCCGTAAACCACCTCGGCGCCCCAGCGTTCGACCGAGTGAATAAAGGCGATGGCTTTCTCCAGTGTTTCTCGCCCAGTTTGAACAATGCTGTCTGCAATTTCTGAACAGGGCATTCGTCCAGAGAACGAAGCAGATGTATAACCATACGTCACATTGGCAATGAGCTTGAGTGCCAACTGTCTGTTGTTCAAAAGTCGTTGCAATACTTTATCATCTTTGTCGGCCTTCATGCCATTCTTGACCATCAGTCGAGTCTCGAGGATCTCTGAGAGCATCTTGGCCAATAATGATTGACGTGCTTCCTGTTTCGCATACATCATACCATTCGGTGCAATATTGATCTTGTCTTTGAGCAACTCTAGAAGCCTGGGCTGTCGCTGGTAGTCCAGGATGCCCATCTTGTCCCTTCCACGCCAAAGTGCTGCTCTGCCGAGGAACGTCGAATAGCAGTAATTGTAGGCGATCATGACACTCGGGTAGAGTGACTGGAAGTCAAGCACTAGAAGTGGGCTAGTGTAAAAATCACTTTGTGGTTCCATAACAAGTGGCAAGCATTCCAACGCATTCTGTTGCCCGACCTGCTTCTTACTCGGTGAAACAAGTAAAAAGTTCTCTGGTTTTGCAATCCTGAACATCAAGGACTCAACTTTGAACTGTGAGCCTCGAGACATCACCGAAGCAAAGTCGATACCTAGCAATCTCGCTTGCTCACTCGTTCGTGGTGTCAACTCGTTACCCTCAAGGATTTCCAGGTTCAGCTGCACACGTGAGATAAAGTAATCAATTAGTTTGAGTAGGTTGCGAGGCCTCCCGCTCTGGTGCCACTGCGTCAGGTCTCGAGGAGAATAGTGGGGGATACGGCGATGCAGGAGATGAAAGACAACATTCTCCATGGTATACTGCAGCAAATTCAACTCGCCTTTCATAGCGCGCCAAATGTTGAACATATGTCGACCAGTGATAGTAATAGAAGATGAATGGTCGAATCCCCATTTATTTGCCTCTTTGCCAAATCTTCCGTGGGATTGAGATTTCGTCCTGGACAGCTCCTCGCAAATATCAAAGTCGTACATTTTACGAGCCCGTTCTATCACATAACCCCATGAGGCGTTGTGAACTTCGTAACCTGTGAGGATGTCCGGATCATGGTACCGAACAATGTCAATCAGTCGGTTTATTAAATCTAGTTCGGTCGGCTCATGCTCAGCGTCAATGGTCAGCACTTTGGATATTTTGCCTTCCGGCCTTTCTCCCTCGCCGTGGTAAACCATTCCAACATGAACGCCGAGAAGATGGCTATTGACCTCGAGGTCATCATCATCAGACTGAATGCACCAGAACATGCACGTAATCTCATCTTCCTCTGGATTGGCTAAGAGGGTTCCGCGCGTGTTCACATGCACTTCCATGCTCATCGTGCTCATGTATTGAGTCTGATGCTCGACGCTGGTGGACTTTCCTTTCTGGGAGTATTTGAAGCCATACGGGTTCTTCTGCGTTGGGCCTTCGATCTGCGAGAGGGCCTCTGGTTTATCTTCAACAGGCCTGTGTTTAACAGGCTCCCTTGGGTTAGATGCTTGTAGGGCTTCCATTTCCTCGAACCACTTGGTGACTTCTGACCGGCTAGGCGGAACAGGAGCAAACTCCCAGACTCTCGCAGTGCACTCTTCTCTGAGTTGCTGATCAGTCTTAGCTTGCTGGTCCCGGTCATGGGTTGTCGGTAGCTGTTCGCCGAACATCGCAGGAGCGTCTGCTGTAGTCTCAAAGTCAGGGAGGTAGTGAATGGTGTTGCTCTCCAGCCGAAACTCTCTGCCACCGTATTCTCTAGGTCGTTCAGGAACATCAGTTTCCTCGCTGTAGTACGCTTTCTGGTATACAACGGAGGGGCGTTCATAATTATGTATCGTCGAGACAACTTCTTTCGAAGTTGGGCTTGCAAATCTGTAAAAACTCAAAGACGTGCTTAGAGAAAGGTTAAATGCGTTGTGAATGTTTCTGATGGCCTCGGCAAGATGTGGATCAAGTGATATTGGGCCCATCGCAGTTGAAGAGGAACGTAGCTCTGAAGACCTCGCGATTCCACTGGCTTTGCTTGAAGTGTCAGTAGCAGATTCCGAAGGAAACGAGCTGGGCAATTGTGGGGAGGCCTCGGAGCCCTTGTGGGAACCATGGCCATCGTCCTGGCTAAAGCGCATGATGGTCAAAGGATCATTTGGGTCTTTGACAACCGGGTATTTCAGCCGGCCGTTATGACTGTGCGATTTTGGGCGAATTGTTCTTTGCGAGGAAGATGACTTGGGTTCCGATGGAGTTCCAGTAGGCGCATCAAGATTGTTCTCAAATGTGACACTTTGCTGCTTCTGGTCCTCATCGTGCTTTCGCTCTCGACCACCGTACGTTTCGCCATTGATTATAGGCCTAGACCTTTTATTTGGGGGGTTGTCGGACTCGAAGATCTCGAAGCGTTGCCTCTTGAATGCGACGGTTCCGCTGTGGCTGTGGTTTCTTGTTCGCATCTCGTGAGATCCGCCTACTCCGGTCGAAGACCCTTCCTTGAATGTGTCATTGAATGCTGTTTTCAAGACATCTGATTTGGCGGAGTCTGCGGGTACCACAACATCTGCAAGAGGAAATTCATCGAAAACTCCATCATAGAAGCTATCGCCTAAAGGCCCATCCTTCAAGTCGGGCTCGTGTTCTGTTTCTTCGCCAGAAAACTCGCCTCCAATGCCATCGTCTGAACGATACTGACCATCGGCTTGAGAGGATAAAGCGAGGCTCTCATCAACCGAGATCTCTGGTGCAGTCTGTCCAGCTGGTTCCTGGTAGAGACTTTTATCAAAACCAGACACACCGATCTTGTCAGGATAAAAGTCTTCGACACTGTCCAAAGTTGTCTTGACATTTTTCTCGTGGTCATCAATATCCAGAAGTGTTTCAAATGAAATATCTCTATTGCCATCCTCGCGTTTCTCGTTGGCAGCAAGTTGCGAGGCCAGCTCCCGGAATTCCTCCTCGTGTATCCAGCCACCCCTTGATTGATTTCTGGGATCTGCTGACATTGAAATCAATTCTTCGGGTCCAAACGGAGTACTGCCGGGATCAATTATGCCCATCCTCTTCTGACGTCTGCGAGTTTCATCCTGCCATAATCCAGCCATGCTCGGAACAAGTCGCTCGTTGAATGCAACCGGTTTCAAAAGCTCTGTGAAATCATGATGCAGTGGTCGTTCTTTGGTATCAAATCGGTTCAAGATGTCTTGCACGCATATATCGGCCTCCAGTAGACAATTGCTTTGTTTCTGAAGCGCTGGGTCCTGAATAATACTCTCGGGTCGGATTGAGCGGTCGTGCCAGCGATGGTCGAGGTTGCTGAGTTCGAGATACTCAGGTAGAGGTGCTCGGAACTTGACATTGTTGCAATTCATGATTGCGCATCCGTACAAGTTGTAATCACACATCCATTGCGGGACATATTGCATGTGCGCCTCGTACGGTTGGAGTGGTCGTTTCAACACGGCACCCTGGTGCAGGAGGTCCTCGAGGCGATTCATATGCCAGGGGTTCAAAAGATAGATCTTGAAGAAGAACCGCCATCCCACGTGGTACCCATAAAATGGAACACCCTTCACCAGGGTGATATGCGCCACAAAAGCGGTCCTCCTGTCGTATGCATTCCGACGGAAGCTGATGGCCAGGGCATGGTCGATCGAGAGATGAAGACTTCGGATTGCGGAGTTCACTGTAACCTTTGTGAGTAAGCTATCAAATCAGATTTGGCTATACAGTACGAACCGTCTTCTGGTGTGAGTGACCCATTGTATTCAATGTAGAGATATGGAAATGCGCCGTGGACATGAACGCAGACGCGCTGGCCAGTTTCGGTGGCACCAAATACTCGAATCACGGGCACTTTGGGCTTGAAATCTTTCTCAGGCCCGCTATCGCGAAAAGGCAGTGGAGGATCTAATTCCGACGCAGTCGCCTGATAATGATCGATGCAGTTGAGGCGCACCTGAAATGGCTCCATCGCTGTGGTGTGTGGCGATCAAAAGCCACAGCGACATTGCGTATGGTGCCTGTTTGTTATTGCATGAAGGATATTGATATCTGATTGAAGAACGCGATAACTTGAGGTATGCCGAGCCATAAACCTAGAACGCGAGATACGCCTGATCACGTGCGCTATCAATTCTCCAGCCGCCAAGCTTTGTATCGCAACCTCACTTTCACATTACTCTAGCGACAGCTGCGGGTGGCTGGTCTATTTGCACTCCGCATTTTCTACCTTTCACATTCAGCTCCATTCCCTTTCAGATTACCAGCACCATGTCACGAAAGCCCGCGGACGTGGCGTCGAAAGAGCGCAACGAATACATTCCCGCTTTCATCTCGAAGAAACCCTTCTACGTCGACGATGATCAAGACAACGACTACCTCGAGCATCAACGTCTCCAAAAGACAAGTGCCGATCAATCAAAATGGTATGACCGAGGCAAGCGCGCAGGCCCGGCGGCCACGAAATACCGCAAAGGCGCATGCGAAAACTGCGGCGCGATGACACACAAGACTAAAGAGTGCCTCAGTCGGCCGCGAAAGCATGGCGCTAAATGGACTGGCAAAGATATTCAAGCCGATGAGCTTATTCAGAAGGTTGATATGGGATGGGATGCCAAGAGAGACCGATGGAATGGTTACGATGCTAGCGAATATCGTCAAGTTGTCGAAGAATACGAAGAGATGGAGGCACTGAAGAAAATGGCAAAGGATGACCAGGCTCTCAAAAAGCTCCAAAATGGGGAAGATGGCGATGATGGCCCCGAAGAAGATATCCGATACGCCGAAGAGTCCGACATGGGCCGACAGCAGAGCACCGCAACCCGCAACCTACGTATTCGAGAAGACACCGCAAAATATCTGCTCAATCTGGATCTCGATTCCGCCAAATACGATCCCAAGACACGCCGAATGGTAGACATGGGCGCACAGGATGACCAGGCATCAGCACTTGTCGCTGAGGAAAACTTTGTCCGAGCTTCAGGCGATGCTGCGGAATTCGAGAAAGCTCAGCAATATGCCTGGGAATCCCAAGAGAAGGGTCACCCGCAACTTCACATCCAGGCCAATCCCACCTCTGGAGAGGTACTCAGAAAGAAAGAGAAGGAGGATAGTGAGGCGAAGCGTCAAGCCCACCGCAAGGCTCTTCTGGATAAATATGGTGGTGGTGAGCACTCGCAGCCGAGTGCTCTGCGCGATACTATGGTCGTTGAAAACGAGCGCTTTGTTGAATATGACGAGAGCGGTGCCATCAAGGGCGCACCCAAGAAAGCGACCAAATCCAAGTATCCTGAGGACATTATAGTCAACAACCACTCTTCAGTCTTTGGTAGCTGGTGGTACCAGTTCCAATGGGGATATGCTTGCTGCTATTCCACTGTCAAAAACAGTTACTGCACCGGTGAAGACGGAAAGAAAGCCTTTGAGGAAGAGGGCAACATGCTACGGATGCTCGAGGCAAATGCCGAGATCGAAGAGCATACTGATGATGCAGATTTTCCTCAAGAGTCTGGCCATAAGAGCCCGATTGAAGAGAAGGAACCAAAAACCAATGCAAAGAAGCGAACTTTGGAGGAGCTTCAGTCAGGAATCACAGAAGAAGAGCTTGAGGCTTATAAGCGAAAGCGGCAGGCTGCTGATGACCCGATGGCCAATTTTATCGGGAAAGATGACTTCTGATATCTTCATTCTTCATACATTTGCATGGGCGTTCGGATGTACTAAAATACCCTCTTCATATGCTGCTAAAACTGTAAACAAATGCATCATGTTAGTCTTCACTTCATTTTTAAGTATGTGGATTTAGGTCACAATCCACTAGGTTAGTACCATTGTAATGACCATTTGAGTGAACACCGATCTACTCTGTACAAGTAGAAAAGCACCTGGTCACGTGGAGCCACTGGTGCACAGACCATGTAACGAGGGTTCCACTTTGGGTTAGACCGGTACCAGGTCACGGGACAGGGTACAAGCCCTACCGACCGCACTCGCTTAGCAACACATCACCAGATCTCGGGAAGTTCTGATACGCCTAGCGACGACGACACCGACAACCAGCCCCTTCAACGGAATCGCCAGGTACGTTTGCATGCCGTTCCTTTCCTCTGCGTCCACTCTACCCGTCAATTTACTAACACCGTCTCTCTCCTGCAGTTCCATAATTCAAAATGAGTACGTCCGATGTCGAAATATCGCACCGCGATCCTCCGCAACCTCGAATCAGTTAAAACTAACAACCACTGCAGCGAAGGGTACCTCAAGCTTCGGAAAGCGCCACAACAAGACGCACACTCTCTGCCGTCGTTGTGGTACGTATTACACCATTTTTTCACGATTCTTCCCATCCGACCCGAAATCGCAAATTTCTTTGTTCTTTGTCGAAATACAGAATTGGCGATCACGGCGAAGACTTCCACCCAACACGCACGAGATAGGGCTAACCGATGATATTTCTTCGACTATAGGCAAGCGGTCTTTCCACATCCAGAAGTCCACTTGTGCCAACTGTGGCTACCCTGCCGCCAAGACCCGCAAGTGTACGCAAATACCCCTTCCGATGATGCTGGTGACATGAGATGAGCCATTATGTGGAACATGGACACCAAAATGAGAGAACGCTGGCTTACATGGATTTTTTTTTTCGATAACAGTCAACTGGGGTGAGAAGGCTAAGCGCCGCAAGACCACCGGCTCCGGCCGCATGCGCTCCCTCCGCGATGTCCACCGCCGCTTCCTGAACGGCTTCCAGACCGGTACCCCCAAGGGTGCCCGTGGCCCCGAGACCAACTAGATTCCCTTTTTCGTCCGCTCGGCGTCGCGTTTTCGTTTTCGGAGAGGCTGGAATAGGAAATGGGGAGGAATCCTGGCATGACATGAATTAGCATTACGGGCTAGCATTACTCGAAATGCAAATGGCAGTTCCGGAATCTTAACGCTTTCCCCTGGAGTTGGTGTGTGCAACTGTCGATCTCGTCTGTTTCTCTTTGCCACGCAAAGGATGACAAAGTAAAAACCTGCGAGACGGTGGGAAAAGTTTCGTTGGAGGGGCTCTTCTCTACGGAGAAGAGCTGGATTAAAAAAACATGGGAAAGCGTGCATGAATTTCCTTTTTCCTTATGACTGGCGATTATTCCCATGTCGTGACAGATACAATGTGAAGACTCTTCCTAACGTTTCATGATCTGTTCTATCAGTATGAGGTGTTGCCTATGGAGAGAAGAACTTGTTGACGTTCAATGGCTTTTTCGTATTTTGAGAGTACCTAACCCCATAGTATACAGCCTCGGATTATGATTCCCCACGACCAAACACGCTGACGCCGCCATCCCGTTGAATGAAGTAGAGGACTTCCTTCTCCTCCCAGCTTTCTTCCTCGCCGGCACTCCATCCGCCGCCTCGACTGATCCTGAGCACCCCACTCACATCTTTCGCGGCCCCAGTCTCCAGAGTGCGGAGTTGCATTACCGACCTAGCCCGATGCGCCAGCCCAATAGCGAATGTCGCATGTTCCGTCTCAATCGGCGTAGCCGGCTGTCCTGCTGATACAGATGCATTGTGTATGAGCGGGGCATCTGTAGCCAGCGTTAAAACCGTAGCGTGTGCATGCTGTCAAAATTAGTCAGTCATGTAACTTGTAACACTTTTAATTCCTCCACGGATATGTGATTATACCTGCTGTAGCCCTGTGACCCACTCTGCTATCTCTGTCGCTCCAATACCCATAGTTGGTCCCGTCGCAGCAAGCAGTAGGTCAGGCTGGTCTAAAATGAGAACTAGCTCATCAATTTCCTCCACTGAAGACTTTTGCTGTTCAATAACGGCAATGATATTTTTCTCAATTAGATCGAGAGCTGCGAGACCACGACCAGTAAAATGCAGCTTTTTGGCAATGCCCGGCTCTGCCTGGGCTCGCGTCACACTTATGTTCCCTCTCGGGGGTGCCGCCGCTGGTGGTGGACCCCTTCCAGGCATAACCCCTGGCGGAGAGCGGAGTGGAAGAGTTGTGCGTGGACTGCTCCCAAGACCAGCCGGGGAGGTATTAGGAGTGGATGCGTCTGGTGCATAGAATAGCTCAGATAAACCATCTATGAATGCAAATTGCTGCTTTTCTGCCAAACGTCCAAGATCGAGGCCCTGTCGAGGTCATTAGTATGAGAATCGCGGTACATGGATCAAGGTATCGGTGATAACGCAAGAAAGCCGAATCAATGTGTAATGACATCTCCGGCCTCTTGAATTTTAAAGCTTCACAAAACTTACCAATCGCTTTGCCTCTGTCTTCCAGAAATCAAAACTCCGCAAAAAGCTGACTAGTACCACTTTCTTCTTGATCCCAGTTTGCGTTTCATCTGCGCCGAATGCCGGATTCAGGCTTGGCGAGCTTAGGGCAGCATGCAAGAACCTCAGTACTAGCCAATTCGAAGTTGCACCGAGGATAGAAGAGGCTAGTGTCAGAGATGATTCAGGCAATAATGTCACATATGGCGCGAGGAGGGGCGGTAGTGGGGGTTGAGAAGGCATGTTTGCGCCTGAATGCAATGCTGGTGTTGCCTTTTGTGGCTTCCGAATATCTATGACAAGCTTCTCTTCTTATCATCCACAGGTTTCGGACTCTCAAATTCTTGTTTGGCTGTGCTGGTCGAGTCGTGGAGGTGATGAGAAAAATTGTCTGCGGCTTGTGATTGGCCCCTCATCTATCCCACTATGCCAAGATTTATATCGAAATGATATTGAATGAAATCAGTCTGGTTTTACTGTGCTGTTCTGGAAATTACGTTTACTTAGGAAGAATGAAATGGATTAATCTGTGATTTCCCTTCAGCCTCCATGAAATTGAACTTCCCGGGTTGGGATAAGGCACGAGAGATCTCTTTCTGCAAAATATATACTTCGTTTCTACTATACTGAATCCCAACGCTCCTGGCAATGCCCCCACAAAAGCCAAATCTAGAAGCCCCAGCGGAGCCCGAAAGCAACATTTTGTTTACTTATATCGTTATTCAAACCTCAAACAGCTAGAAGGAACCTCGATCAAAAGTCCAAAGTGTATGCCTGAGGCACCAATGCGAGTTTTTTACGCATCACCTGACCTCTTCCCCACCATCCCCTCGATGCGTCTTATCCATCGCATTGCAAGAGGCTAAGGTAGATCAATGATTACTTTAGCGCCGATCGTGAGTCTGCCCCCAGTTTTTGAGTCTACTCGATGAGTCTTTTGTGCATGCATATCCCACCTTGGCCGTACCCTTGTGCTATACATCGATACCCGCGGCGATCCTAGGGTGTTCGTGCGAAGCACATGCATTCACTAACATATCAAAAACATCATTTTTCTAACTACCTTTGCAGATGACTGCCGCTTTATGTCATGATCAGAGCGCATTGGGTACATAATACGAGAAATTCAAACTGCCTCGATAAAGATGGCAAGCACTCGTGATTCCCATTCATTTGCAGTATGTATCGACCTAGCCGTCATACCCAGCAAGAGAACCTTTTCTGACCATTGAAATAGTGCGATGAATGCCGTTTGCGCAAGTCAAGAGTAGGTGGCTTTTTAAACAAGTCCTTCTAGGCCATTCATTTCTAACCTGGCTTCTATAGTGCTCCAAAGAGCGTCCAGTCTGTCTGCAGTGCAGACAGCTGAACAAGGAATGCATATACAGCCCCAAAGTCAGCAGGAGCCCTCTGACTCGTCAGTAAGTATTACGAAAATTGACATAAACAGAGTATACTAACAGCTTCAGACATTTGACCTATGTTGAAGATCGCCTCCATTCGTTTGAAACAGCTTTAGGAAGGCTGTTTCCAGGTGGAGATTTGGATGCCACCCTTCGATCTCTTCTTCAGAACCCGGACCCCCCAAAGGCTCCCTCATCCAAGTCCTCTTCAAGGCACTCAACCCCGGCCAAGCATGAACCAGAACGGGCTGAACCAGCACCGGAAGCTCTCCCCCAGCAAGCCGATGGCTTTGACTGGGCCGAGAAGGAAATCACCCTTGGTGATTTGACCGACGGCATGGCTGCATTGTCTATCAAGCCTGAAGGAGCTGGCTACTTTGGTGCCTCGTCAAGTGTTGTACCACTGCGAGCACTTTTTGATCATGGATTCGATCTCAATATACCTGTCCGCTCGGCAAGGTCAGGGGGTGTACCGCTCAAAGCACAGCTGCTCGAAAGTGCCCCGTCAGGGCTTATCGAACAAGCTTTCATCGACGCATACTTCCTCAACTATCACACTAGCTATCCATTCGTTCACGAGCCTACATTCAGGGCACAATTCAATGAGCCATCCCTGCGCCCACATGGGACGGCTTGGCACATTCTCCTCAACACTATCCTGGCCCTTGGAGCTTGGAGCATTGGCGATGACAGCTCAGATCTCGATATCACATTCTACCAAGAAGCCAGAGGATACCTGCAGCAGGCATCCGTCTTCGAGACTGGTAACCTTACATTGGTCCAAGGCTTATTGTTGCTGAGCAACTATGCCCAGAAACGGAACAAGCCCAATACCGGATGGAACTATCTTGGTCTGGCGGTTCGAATGGCCATGAGTCTGGGTCTTCATAAGGAGTTTCCTGGTTGGAAGATCAGTCTGCTGCAAAGAGAGATTCGACGAAGATTGTGGTGGGGAGTATTCATCTTTGACAGCGGTGCCGCCAAAACCTTTGGGCGACCTATTCTTCTCCCAGAGGACAGCGTCATGGATGCAAAACAGGTTCTCAATATTCAAGATGATGCCTTGACCCCTACAACAGCCACTCTCCCCGCCGAATCTCCGGGTCCAACTATCTATTCTGGGTTGATCGCTCAATCTCGCTTCCATCTCCTCACCAATAGCGTTTACCAGCGCCTCATTTCGAGCCCTAGTCTCACACCCGAAGATACTCTCAATCTGCAAAAACCAATTGAAGAGTGGTACAACGGTCTTCCATCATACCTGCAACACCAAGCACAGGGGCCTCTCTCCACGCAGCCCGCCAATTCAGACCCCGATTTCGCACTCGTCCGAAACCGTCTGCTATGGAGAAACTGGAATCTCACCATTTTGATATACAGACCAATTCTTCTCCGGTGGGCCGCCAGACGCTGGGCCCCGCATAGTAGCAGTAATCCAGGCACTCCAGAAATAGGAGGCGAAGATCCTTGCGAGACAGAATGCCGAATGCGCTGTCTTCAGAATGCCCGTTTAACCATATCTTCCATCTCAGAGTACATGGAAAACTTCATCTGCACCAGACTAGGCGCCTGGTACATGCTGTACGTCACCCACCCATCCTAATACTAAAGAACCCCGACTAAAATGCAACCAGCTACTTCCTCTTCCAAGCCGGCCTAATCCCAGTCGTCCTCCTAATGACAGACCCGTCAAACCCAGAAGCCGCATCCTGGGTCCAAGACATTGAAACAACCAAGGCCCTTCTAACCCACCCCTCCCTCGGCACAAACCGCTTCGCAACCCGCTGCTACGAAGTAATCAACCGACTCCTCGGCCCATCAGCCCTCTCTGCTCCAGGAATCCTCCCGGAGGGAGCCCAGCAGCACGAGGACCAGAAACCCCCTTTCCAAATGATGCCCCAGCAGCAACAGCAGAACTTCATGCCGTTCCCCGGGCAGCTATTTAATGACCCTGGTTTCGGCGGGAGTTTATTCCCCGTCGAACAGCAGATGCAGATGCATAGTCCCGCCGGAATGGACTTTTCAGAATGGGTGAATTTCCCGCCTGCAGAATGATTGCACAAATTCTATTCAATTCTCTCTTTTGGTTTATTTGATGTTACCTGTCCATGGTTATGGATGTGTGTCTCTTCTTTTGGGTGTGTATCTTGCATTGTAGGATGGGCATGTGGAAAATGATAACCTGGTATGAAATGAACAGCAACAGCAATGGAAATAGTCATTGGTATAACATTAGCAATTACTTGAACTTCAATTTATGAATTGAGTGTGGTTGATGAACGATCTTGCTGCATATCATATTTTCAAAGTAAGCAAGCTACACGTCGACAATCTCTGCATGTTGATCGACTGGCTTCATGAGGTCGTCATCTTCTTCGATAGGGGTTCCGCGTAATTCGGCTTCGATGTTCTTGATGCGTTTCTTTTCTTCGTGGGCGGCTGTGTCGCCAAAGATGAGGTCCATGTCTTCGAGGGTCTACGAGGAGAAGTCAGTAATTGTCGCATAAGAGAGGACAATATAATCAAAAGATGGGAGAAGAACGAATGTACCTTTCCTCGTGTCTCGGGGATGCAGAAATAAGTGAACAATAGCGCAAGCAAACAAAAGGCTGCAAAGAAGATGTATGTGCCCCAAGTAATTGATTCGAGCATGTCAGGCGTGACAAGACCAATGATGCTTGAAGCAGAAGATATCAGCATAGTACCAGCTATCTGGAAAAGCAGCAACTTACAAATTACACATCCATGTCGCCGAAGTTGTAATAGAGATCGCCTTGGATCGAATCGAGAGATTGAAGATTTCAGATGGTAGAACCCAGCCAATGGGAGCTATAATAGAAACAGTCGTTAGTCAACCCCAAAGGAAAAAGTTGCACCAGAACGAGGTGCTCTTACCGAATGAATAAGAGAAGTTGATATCGTAGATATAGATAAAGGCAATGCCAGCCCACCCAGCGGACTTGTTATCCACTAGGCGTGCCCCATAGCCACCCAGGATACCACCGACAATAACGAGCGAGATGCAGGTTCCCGTGGCACCTGCCATGAGCAGAACTCGACGACCGACTTTGTCGATGAAGAATAGCGCTGGGAGTGTACTGAGACAATTGACGATACCGTATACGCCAGTTGCAAGAAGCGAGGTTGTGTTGCCATCTAGGCCTAGCTGGGCGAAGATTGTGGGTGCGTAGTAGATAATTGCTATAAAGTTAGGAGTTAGATGCTATGCATGAGACAGAGAATTAACATAATGGAACTTACCATTGCATCCCATAAACTGCTGGAAGAACATGACAATGCAGCCAATAGCCAGCCGTTTGAAACGGGCCCAGGTCGTCACGAAGGACATGTACTAGAGAAAACGTCAATATATCCCAATTACGAAAAAGGGTTAGGAGTCGAACCTGAGCAACATGTAACCTATACCCAGACAAATTAGGGAAATGTTCCCGAGCAAAAGTATTTTCCAGCATAATAGAAGCCTTAATCTCAAGATACTCATTCAAAAGAACAGGACTATCCCTCGACTGCCGACGCAATTTAGAGAGTGCATTGAGCGATTCATCATCACGCTCTTTCATCAATAGCCAACGCGGCGAATCCGGGAAGAAAAGCATTCCAATACCCAGAATGACTGCTGGAAGAATCTGGATGGCGAGAGGGAGACGCCACGACGCTTCTGATTGTCCCGTGCATCCAGATAAAGGGACATCATGGTAAGGATCAAAGGCAGGTTTAGCTGTCGTTCCACCCGTATAAGGGATATCAGGAGCGCAGCGTGTACCGCCAATATAATTTGTTCCATAGTCGATCCAATAGCTGACCAGAATTCCAATAGTAACGGATACTAAACCCCCGTCAGTAAATGCATCCTATGCCAACCATGGAAGCCCGAGACAACCTACATTGCTGCACAACAACAAGGCCTCCCCGAATTTCAGGAATTGAAACCTCAGAGATATACAACGGAACAACCATAGTAAGTTGACCAATAGCCAAACCAGCAATAGCGCGACCAGCAAAGAGCATAGGGATATTCATCGCAGCGCACTGGATGATGGATCCAATAGTAAAAATCACAACCGCCACATTGATCGATAATTTGCGACCAATTCGATCGGCGATAGGGCCGTTGATCAGAGATCCGAACCAGGCTGCTAGTAACAGTGTTGATACGAACCATCCCTTATATCCACTATCTGTGAATACGCGCGGGTATCGAGCTCCAAAGGACTCCATTGTTATGACACCGCTAATGACGCCTTGGTCATAGCCGAATAATAGGCCCCCTAGGGTTGAGAACTGTTTTTCTCGGTGTTAAAAGCTATGGCACGGTATCGATGTGTGATTGGATCTTACCGATGCAACACCGCAGAGATAGGGATTCTGTAGCACAAGGGCGAAACCCTTGTGCTTAGTATCATCTGAAGCCATAGAGAACTAGAAATTGAGGGTTGAGGTGCTATGAATATAGAGAAAGATAGTCTGTACAGGGCTTTATATAGGCTTGACCATGTAGCTGGACACATGTCGGACAGTGTACCTCCTGATATAGGAACACAGTACTCCGTCATATACAGGAGGCATAGAAGAGGAGAAACGGAGTGGTGCACTCCGAGCCCGAATCCGGGAAGATCTCCGACTTATACTTCGCGAGATGGTGGGCCGACTCGGTTTGATAATGCGGGGAAGCGTGGCCCGAGAGAAGCCTGCGGGTTCAGGCAGACATCATCTTTGACTCGGTGACACAGACCTGACATCCTTGTATGAGCCTCAAACCTTTTCTAAATTTTTCTAAATTCTGTGTAAGTCTGTCCCCGAGACCTCGATGGTTCATTGTACTGCACACTGTGTACTGTGCATGTGCGAGTGGAGTTTGGGGTAGAGTGGAACTCTGGTGTCTAGACATCGGGGATTGTCCGATGATACCTCCTTTGACTGCATATCCATACTCATATCCCAATTCATAGTCTGGACAGAAATTGCCTGGGACAGGGTCAACACCATGGTTTCCGATGATGGAGATATGAGCCGCCCATGAGCGGATTCCTCCCCGAGGACAACCAAGCCACCACTCGTCGGGCCATTATCGACTGGTGTGCGCTGCACATGTGCCACCCATCTCCCTTCGTCTGCGCTGTTATGTGCAGGTTTACCTGCGGAACGTTGCTTCAATCTCATGGATTAGTTGCAATCGCGCCTATCTGTGGAGGATCGATACCACGAAAACCTGTCAGCTGGGAAAATAGCCTTTCCTGCTGAACAGAAGAGAAATATACCCGTGGAAGTATCGCTGCCAATGCAGTAATATATATACCGACCAATTTCCAGCAATGGACCAAACCACTCCAACAACTCAACCGAACTCGAACCTATATCGGCCCTCTCATCTCGACAATGTCCCGAATCCTCCGAATAGGAGTCCTCCTCGTAGGAAACGTCCAACTCCTCGATCTGGCAGCTGTAGATCTCCTTTACATGGCCACGCCAGAATACCTCAACTCCTCCTCGCTCACACAAACCCTAATCGATATGGGCCGGCCTTGTCAAATCCACTATATAGGCCAAGAAGGCGCAGGTGGTATAAGCACAGCAACAGCGCAGATGCCTATCCAATTGACGGATAAACCAACTGACGAGACTGTTTCACCGGGTAAATTGGACGTCGTGATTGTACCGGGCCCCTCGCTGAAAGCCATGCCGCCAGCAGAGGAACATCTTGATTTCTTACGCGGGCATTATGCGTCGGGGACATCAATTCTGGGGATCTGTACGGGGACGTACATTATTGGGTACTCGGGCATTGCGAAGGGGCGGTATGTCACGGCGCCTAGACTGTTGGTTCCTGAGATGAGGAAGTTATTTCCCGAGGCGAGGATGTGGGATGATGGGGTTCGGCTTGCTAGGGATGGGAATCTGTGGACTAGCGGTATGACCTTCTTCTCTTCCTTTTGCTCTTCCGCTTCTATTTACTGTACTTGTTTGTGGCCTCCCATTCAAGGTGCGTTGGGTTGGACTGATGTGATATGATCTCACGCAGGCGGCGTCACGAATGGATACGACCTTGTTATTAAGTATCTCCGCGAGAATTATCCGGAACTACTCGTCAACACCATCATCGATCAGGCGGATATTACACCCCGGCCACTGCATTACAGTAGTCCGGCGACGGTCAATGCGGCGTATGTCCTCTGGCAAATGATCAAAGCACTTCCGAATACGATGTTTCGGGTATTTAGGAAGTAAGAAACTATGATATCAGAGTCCTCAAATGAATATGGCATAGCAGAAGTACGAGAAGATGAAGTCAGAGTTTAAATCGAAGTATAGGATGGTTACACCAAGAACGACCGACGTCATCCCGAGGTATCAGACCCTCCAAAGTCAACCGATCATCAAGTTCCCCAGCTCTCCCCGATCTCTCCATTTCTTTAAGCAATGCCCCCAAAAAAGCAACAGTCAAAAACATATATTAAATATGATAACTCTCTCAATAATAATCTATGTCGCCTCGCCACTAGATTATGCACGTTATCGACACGCAGCATTGTACTTGGAGAGCGGAGAAGCATCATCACCCGAAACAGCAAACGCGAACGCAAATACCGAAGCAAATGCAAAAGCACCTGCAAAGAAAAACCCAAAACCAAATACCGAAGCAGTAACAAACCCCGCCTTACAGCTCAAATCCTCCGTCCTAGAAATAGTCGGCTCAACCGGTTTTTTTACCTTTGCCGAACGACTCAATTGGGATATCCCGACTTCTTCAACGGGTGAGGCTCCCCCGAAAATATCTGTCATCGATATGCAATATGTCAAACCGTCACTTGAACCCGCCAATCCAAATACCTCCCTTCTTGGCTTTGACACTGCTTTGCTGTGCATGGACTGCCTGTGTGTGTTACACAGCAGATATGCAAACACATACCTGCAACTACTTATGCATACCGATGAAGAAAGTTAGCCTTGAAATTTCCGCGTTCATACTAACGTTGTGGTATGCTATCCACAGATATAGCCCGCGTCATACGTGTAGATACGCTGAACGTGGACCTAGACCTAGACGAATCGGGTGAGTGTACAACACCAACACCGCCTGCGAGCAATCGCCATCGGAAATACAATCTCGATTCCGATCTTGATCCAACTCACAATCCCGATCTCGATCTCGATCCAATCAGCCATATCAGGTCTATAATATCCACCACGCCCGTCCGCTGCAATGGTGACACAGGCGTTGACGGAGACGAAGATTGGAACAGTCAGAATTGGGTCGGTGATGCTCTGGGGAGACTTGTTCTTGAGGGGTATTTGAGTGGGTATGCAAGGGATTTGGGGGTGGAGAGGATGATTGAGGTTATTATGGAAGCTGGGGACGAGGAGGTTTTGGCTTGATTACTATATGTACATGCTTTGTATAGAGTTATATGGTTTGTGGAGGTGTAAAGATATGATTTGTTTGTATGATATGACTTGGGGATTGGCGTTTTTTTTATGGGGGTTGGTTATCAATAGCAGGAATGGCATACACGAGTCATACTTATACTGATACTAAGACTGGGAATTGTAGGCAGTGAGTATCATAAACGTGCATTTCTTTAGCTTTCGTTGTTAGACCAATAGAAAGAAAGAAACTAAGCAAATCAAATGGAAGGCGCAAGATCCCGAGGCTCGAACGAAGCATAAAACAGTGGAGGAAAGGGGGGGGGAACAATCTGGGTGAAACGCTCGTACCATGCAACGCACTGCGCCACGCTAAGAGGACAATCATAGGAAAAGGGGGAAGAAGAAAGAAAAAAAAAGGGAAAAAAAGGGAGATCATGAGAGGAGGTACTTGATAAATCCAAACCCCGAATTCAGGGACTGGACTTGGTAGTGAAACGTGAACCAAATCCCGACCCAAAGCCGGGGATCGAGAAAAGGCAAGGCGAAAGGAGGAAGGCAAAAAGGCAGAAAAAAAAAAATCGTGTACGCATGGCATGTTTATCGTCGATCATGAGGTTCCCAATGAATCGGTTCAAAGTCTGAATTCTGGAAATGGGCTTGGTTGTAAGGAGAACTATAGAACACGTCAGTCACCTTATGTCATACAATGTCATCCCACAGGAGTAAAGGTGTGAAGAACCCACTTTTTAAAAGGCGTCGTGACAGGCAGCGATCGACTCAAATTAGGTTTCATAACCAAGGGGTTGAGTCTGATCTGCGGGCCGTCGGAAGATCTACTAGGTAAGGTAGTCATCGGGGGTGGTGCAGCAGAAGGGGGCGGTATTGGTGGCGGCGGCGACGAGACAGGGATAGATGGGATTGGCGCATGAGTCTGCATGGGCGACTGGTACATTTCCTGTTGGGGGGACATTCGGAATGGACTGGTTGGGGCTGGAGAGACTGATGGCATGGGCGACATGGGGGTGCCCATTGCAAATGATGGATCGGCCATTAGATTTGGGATGGCCATTAGGGAGGAGTCGACGTCAAATCCGAGGGGGCCTTCGTTCCAGTTGGAGTAGTCGGAGGTCATTGCGTACTGGTAGTTGACTATTGGTTCCATGTTCACATTTGGGTCGGCTGGGTAGAGAAGGTCGTAGTGGCCTGGTCGGTAGAGGAGACGGATTGTCGCACCACTTGGGTTGTGAGGAGACAGCTGGTGAGGTGTGACAGCATCGCCTTCACTTCGGTCGAGGTAGAGGATCTCCACGCCAAAGCCGGCACCTTCAATGACTCCGTCGACCAGAGCCTGAAGACCAATTTCATCAATCTCAGTCTTCAATGGGTCTATTTGCGAGGCGCAATACTGCTCCAGCGGCACAGACAAGAAAGCCTGGTATCGATGCGGGTTCAGTCTCATCCAAGAGCTGGTCAAAAGTCTGAAATGAGTAATAACAGCACTGGACGCAAACTCATTATTAAAAGTTTCAACCAGGAAAGACTCATCCCCCGCCCCACTCTGAATAGCATTGATCGTCTGCGTAAACAGATCCTCCGTAGCATCGGTAAAGATTTCATAAAGATGCTCCGAATGCCCAACCTGCTTCAAAAGCATCTCAAGCGACTTGAAGCGAGTGATCTCACGCTGGATGCGCATGGGGTCACGCAGCGCAAACAGCGTCTCGAAATACCCAAAAGCCACCGCTGGGAGTATGGATTAGCATGCGAAGACACGCACAAACACAAACCATGCCGGGTGACACAAGAACGGACATACCTCTCCAACCGCAATTGCCATCTCCTTTCATGATACGATACTCCGGATGGGTGATGGCCAGCGCCTAGACAGCACACGTTAGACGCGAGACATTCTCCATGTGGGTGATATGGGAGGAGGGTGCACAACCCACGAAAGCTTACATTAGTCTTTGACGAGAATGCAGGGTCTGCATTGGCATACTCCAACGCGACGCTCTGGGTAGGCTCCTTGCGCGAGACCAGTGGACCCTGTCGGTGTCAGTGTCAGCGGTGAAGGCAAAGCCGGGGTGGGGGAAATAAACCAACCTGAACATCAGGTTCGTAAGAATTAGAGAGCTTTTGGAAACGCTCCATCTCATCGGCAGAGAGGGCATTCAGGTTGGACATGGTGGATGGAGAGTGACGAGAGTGACGAGAGTGAGAGTAGCTAGGTAGAGAGAGGGCTACTGGAGAAAGAGGAGAAGAGGAAAGGGCGTCCCGGTAGAGATGTAGATTCAGGTTCTGCTTCGGGAACGGGTGAGGACCGAAGTGATGATTCCAGGGTTTTGATATGGACATCGCATACGTGAAGTCAAGTTTATGTCTAGGGTAGTTAGATGGGAGTCCTACATATAAAGGACGAGAACATACTCTTGACATTTACGTCGTTGTGCAACACTAGACCCGGCACAGCGGATTGGACTTCTGTCAAGAGTCTCAGCATGACGATCAAATAATGTGTGTGTACGCCAATCGGGGAAAGGGGAGACATGAAGGTGTGAAGGTGGGAGTGAGTGTGTGTAGGGTAGAGAACACAATCACATTGTAGGGGTGATGTCAGAGGGGAGGTTCTCCATAAAAAAGCAGGAAGCCGAAAAGGGCATCTCACACAGGGATAGCCGGAATCAATCTCCGAGAGTTAAGGGGGGGGGGGGGAAAGGGTTGAAGAGAAAAGGGAGAGAGAGAGGGGGGAATAAAAGGGAAAGGAAAGCAAACGCTCTCGCGTAAACGCCAACCCCTCGGTCGGTTTACCAATTCCATATCTTTTTTTCCTCTCTCCCCCGATTGCGAATCGGATTCTTTGAACCAAAGCGGGGTTTAAATATGGAATATTCATCTTCTACGGTCGCTATAACTATACATGATTATATGGTGTGGGTTGTGGGTATGGGCTGTGGGAACTATCACCCGACTGTGCTCGGATAGTCTGAACTTTTCTTTGTGATTGTGATGAGCTGAGTGTATCACAGGCTTCCATATCGGTATTTCAAGGAAATCGAGATCTGTGCATCCAGGCCTCCCAAAAGACAGGTCGGGTTAGAAAGAAGCCAATAGAAGCATGTTCAGCTGTGTTGTCGGTGCGTCCACACAGCATGCGACGGCAAAGGACTCCGATGTACGATGTACCTGAGCTGAATCGAGATAAGCCAAGTTCACATGGGTAGATATTTCTTTGTTTGCTAAGGCCTAGGCCATACTGTACCTGTACAGTCGGGGCGGTCGAAGGGTTTACGTGAGACTACATCTATACATCTCTCGATACAAGTATAGAGAGCCGCGAGGACAGAGAAGCTGGAATCCATGGGGGATTTAGCGTCTTATGTCAGAGCAACTCTAAATAGCGGGTCTGAGAGAGATTCATTTGCCTCGTAGAATTGGGAATGGTGTGAATGGCACAAGTCGCGGCTCAACCGCAGGTACACACGTGTGGAAGAGCCAGGGCTGATCTTAGGCCATTCTGGACGCAAGCGCTTGCTTGGCCCTATCCTTGCGTAACGATCTCCCCTCATCTCCATACCCAGCAAACATCCCTCCGACTCCATCGTCGGCGCGCAATCCTTCACCGTTCAATGTTGTTTGCCAGAGTGTGCGCAGCGCCGAGCTCCACTCTCCTACAGCTCGCAGGCGCTCCACGTCACTCGAACTCTCTACCACGACTGTCCCGCTATCCTGGTCAATCTTGGCATTGAGTTTCTTGTCGAGGATGAGGAAACTCAGAATGTCCAGGACCTCCGAGACCGAGATCTTGATATGTTTGGAGATAAATTGCAGCGAGAAGCGGGTGTAGGGGGCAATTAATTTGAGAACAGCCTTGGTGCGCATATTGCGGCTGACCTCGTCGATGTTCTCGGTGATAAAGGGATCGGCAAGCACATCGGGATGTTTGCTCAAAACCGCCTCGTATGCATGAATGTCGTCCCGCTGGAATGCATCGACCAGGTCCGTCATAGCCGAGATACGCGGATCATTTTTGTAGGGCTTGGTCTCTTGTGAATCGAAAGGGTTGATATCGGATTTCATCAGCATGGTTGTCAGGACCAGATATTTCAGTACTTGGATCCGTTGCATGGATCCTGCTTCGTCGTAGTTGCGGAAGGATTCGAAGAAGTCACTCTGGGCTTCCTTCCAGTTCTCCTCACTCATGTGCATCTTACCTCCACATTCACGGATGATTCCCATGATCTTGGGGTGTGGCACTGCCGAACGTACTCGGAGGGCCCGTTGATACAGGGCCTTGAGGCGCTTATTATTCTTTGTCTCGGCGAACATCTGGATCTCCAGGGCGTAGAGCTCGAGTAGGTATGTTCCCTTACTGCTGTCATCCGTTCCGTCCTCATGTTGACATGCCCGGTGGAGTTCTCGCATCTTCTTGCTCAGCTGGGTGTATTGCTTGCGTTCCAGCCATAAGCGAGCCAGTTTGATGTTCGTCTTCAGCCATAGGCGCTCGTTGTTTGTGTTTTGGAACGATTGGAGGGTCAGAGAGTAGAATTCCTCCATGCATTGATAAGCTTCTGCGTCGTCGGACCCCTTCTCGATGTAGTCGAGCATGTTATTGATGGACTTTTCGGAATAATTTCGTGTCACGGCGGACTTGACATATGTGAGGAGTTCGCGGTAGTGTTCGACGGCCTAACGGTCCGAGGTCAGTATGTTGACAACAGACCTCTCCAGACAGACTCACATCGCTGTATCGCCCAAGCTTGAATTCCAACTTGATAGACTGTTTCAAGCCTTTGAATCCCCTGTATCCAGTCAGCGCTGGTCGTGGTCACCGCCATGGCCAAGCAAGTACCATTCGCTTTTGTCCTGTTCCATGGGCGCAATGCCTAAGAACTCGTCGATCGCCTCTTCCGGGTTGTCGACCTTGGTCTGTTTGGCATTGTAATATTTGTTCTCGATCCCGATATCGCCGGTGTCATCGTCGTCTGCGTCTTCGTATTCAAAGTCATAACTGCGGAGGTTAGCGCGGTCAGGCGGAGCGGAGAAGGGGCGGATACTCTTCGTCGCCGGAGTCTTGCATGAAATCATCGTCGTCCGACATATTGGCGGTCGTAACTGAGAATGTGTGAAAGGTAAAATAGAGGAGTAGAGTGGATGGGTCGAAGTGGTGGGGTGTTGGAGAAGCTTGGATAGCTGCGAGTGAGCTTCCCGCCTTTCTCTGAAGTCAACATTCACTTACACTGTTTATTGTCCTCTATTCTGTGTCTGTTGTTTCGCCCTATCGTTTCTATGTTAACTCCAAGAGTATTCCATTGTCGGTATCTGTTTGACCATTGGGGTTCCTTGAGTAGTGACTTAACTTCTCAAGTCTATATATGTGCCTATTTAGATGTCTTAAGTCGGTAGGCTATAGCCAGCACAAGGAGCTAAGGCACTGAGCATCGACCAAGTACATGTAACAGGTCTAATATACAATCAAGCACAGAATTATCCGAATTACTCATAATCTCAGGGGCTAGGCATGTTGGCAATCTTAACATGCCTATTAATTGAACCTAATTATCGGGCTCATCTGGGATCAAGTAAAAGGCCAAGAGTCAGATCTCGTATCGCCTATAATCGCAGTCTACAACATATAGACACAGCCATACCATAGCCACATAAACACCATAGGCATAGATACCATAGACAGACAGAAGTGGACCAGGGGGCAACCCTCGCCGATCCCTAGGCGTCATCGATGGAATCTGCTCCCGACTCAACTTAACTTGTTCAACTTAACTTGTTCAACTCACTTTGTCCCCCTCTCTTCTCTGAACTCCATCCAAGATGCAGCTGTGTGGCCGTCAGAAACTCGTTCAGCGCAAGATGGTGCTGCTGTCAGTTCCCTCATCGCAAATCGCAAGCCGCAAGTCGCAAGCCAGACGCAATTGAACTAACGGGTGAATAGAGGCGATGGAGCCTGCGGCAAGACATCGGCGTTGAACGTCTTTACTCGAGGGTGCGCATTTCCCCTCACCTGGACACATTGCATGACATAGCTAACCCCCGTATTAGATTCTTCCCAACGGTCTAGTAAGAGCCCTTTTCTTTCGGCCCAGGTCTTTTATTCCAGGTTATTAACTGTTGTCTCTTCTGTTCGCAGTGAGCCTACTGTCTTTGGTATGCGCGCATCCCCCAAACTCCAAACTTCATTTGGTGCCAGGTACTAACCACTGCGAATATAGAGAACTACGTGCACGGTATTACCCCCAACCCCTCTATCCGTTATACGCGATACTTATATGCGCTCCAGATATCTTCGTCGATGGAACACATGTGGAGCTGTCTCTCTGGGATACTGCGGGTCAGGAGGAGTTCGACCGTCTGCGCGCGCTTTCCTACGAAGACACCCATGTCCTGATGCTGTGCTTTAGTGTAAGAGAATTTGTCGCTGCAACTACACCAGAGAGAAGCTGACAATGGGCATGAATATAGGTCGACAGCCCTGACTCGTTCGAAAATGTATCCTCCAAGTGGATCGCCGAGATCAACGATAACTGCCCTGGCGTGCGCGTCGTTCTGACAGCACTGAAGTGTGATCTGCGCAAGGACGACGACCAGAACGACACCGATGCAATCACCTTTGACCAGGGCCTAGCTAAGGCCAAGGAAATCGGCGCCGTGAAGTACCTCGGTGGGTTCATTCTATCTCCAATTGCACTGGCAGTGGAATACACGCGCGGAACCCAGCTAAATCAAATAGAATGCTCTGCCGTCCAAAATAGGGGCATCAGAGAAAGCTTCTACGAAGCAGCCAAGGTCGCCATGGAGGTCAAGCCAACCGGGGCCTCCACCTCCAGCCAGAAATGCGTCATCCTCTAACTGGAGTTCCGGTGCCAACCTGTCCGACTTGCATAAACACCTCTTCTCATCATTTCTTGTATTCGCATCGAGTTGGTATCTAGTATCCACGGTATCTTCGAGTATCTAGGTATCCCGTCTTCGCGCCCCCTTTTTCTCTCCCGCTTTTCGTCTTTTATCGATTCCCCCATGCATTTGGTGTTATGAGCTTTCTTCAAGACTTATTTTCACTTGCGCGCGATTGATTTTTCCCTTATTTCTACGCCCTTCCATACAGTACTATGTAGTATGGAGCATGGGTGCTCTGCATAGCTCTTACAGGCTTATGTGGTTTTACAGCATTTCAGCGAGGTTGGCTCTCGTCTTTTCTAACCTTATACAAATATACTCTTGATGGAAATGCATGTTTGAACATTACTTAATCGGTATCTGTTTTCTAGAGCTCTTTGTATATGGCTTTCTTTATGCCGCCTTGCTATACCACCTGAGACACATCGGACTAGGGTACAGATGCTGCCAATCAAAATGACAGAGCACTTCATATGTGGGTATCTTAGCTTTCAACGATAGTCAACTTTAAGATTGGTCTACCGTATGCTTTGCCAGTACATACTATCCCGGTGATATGGTTCGCAGCAAGATCACATCTTCACAAAGCAGTCCAACTTGACATGCAGGTTCCCGTCGGCGCTGACATGCATACAATCATGATTTGGGCCATCCAGTCAAACCATTCGCGCAGTACCACGACATTATCATGTCCACAGCGTATGAAACCAAGCAGCAGAGCAATAAACCAATAGCACACGAAGGAACCACCATTGCTGGACTATACACATCTATCCCATCTACTGTATTCCATTGACTATCCTCATCTAAAGTAACCATACAAATCCATATTTACCCACCCCCATAAGACACCGAAAACATTACATCTAAAGTAAATCCTCCTCTCTAACCCGATAAACCTCCTCAATTCTCTCCCCCGAAGCCTTCTCCCCACAAGCAAAATCAGCATTAACACGCTCAACGAACCTGCTCACAAACGCATCCGCAACACTATCAACAGAAACACCATCCCCCTCAACACCCACACCCTGCAAACTAGTGGCCTCTTTCCCCTCCAACCCACAAGCAACAATCTGCCTAAAGAACCACATAGGCTCCTGCGTAACATTCAACCCAATCCCAAAAGAACTAATGTTCCTCCTGAGATGGACGCCGACAGCAGTAATCTTCTTCGCAATTCCTTCCCCCTCTCCACCCCCATTCCCATTGGCAGTGTCTCGCACCCAGACGCCCGGATCCTCAGTCGTGAATCCTTTCACCCCAAACCCACCCAGCAAATCAATGACACTATTCTCCAACACGCGGATATGACACCGAGGCGTCAAGCCCAGCCTCTTCAAATCAAGAATCGTATATGCAACCATCTGGCCGGGTCCATGGTAGGTTGTCTGTCCGCCGCGGAGGGTGGGATGATACTCCGCTAATGGGGATGTGCCATGCTGTCCCGGTGCGAGGATTGAGCGGATTGGTTCGAGAGCTGGGGGGAGGGAGAGGGGCGTGTTGGGTGGCGGGCTTGTATTTGACGGTGGGAGGTCACGCCGGCCTGTTGTGTAGACTGGGTTTGGGGTGAAGGTTATTATTGTTGGGTCTGGGGGGGGGGTGGGGGGTTTTTTGAGAGGGTGTTTGTTGTGTCGAGGGGCGTCTGGGAGGAGAGGGAGCCTGGTGAGGCTAGTTTTTTGTGGGCTAGGAGTCGCGTTGTTAAGGTTTGTTGGAGGTGCGAGACTCTAGCGAAGGGTGTTGTGCTTGGGAGGTGGAGGTGGGCGAGGCGCATTTTTGGTGGGGGTTTTGTTTTGTTTTGGTTGGAGGTTTGGGAGTTGGTTTTGACGATGCTTTTTCGGTGGGATTGGGGGTTTTGAGTTCAGGGTTTGGGTAGGATTTGTGTCAGCCCATCGAGGTTGCGTTTTCCGAGGAGTAGGCGGTTTGCGGAGAAGCTGCGAGCTTTGGCTCCGATAAGGTTTGATAGCCGTCATTGTCTCCCTTGGGTCTCTACTACTTTGTTCTCTCTGCGGTTTACTCTGTACACTGTTTATATTGATGGAGACTTACCTGGTTGTGTTGGATTGCTTTACTTAAAATTCTCTATTCGTATTTTCTTACTTATCAAGTCTAGCCAACCTAGCTATATTACAAGCGCGGCAATGCCAAACTAGATAACGTATTCAATCGTTGGAATATTGCTGGACAGACAACTTACAACTTTTGAAATGCCCGATAAACATGTTTCAAAGGAAGTGGCGCCGTTGGCCAGATACTGGTGAAGCCGAGCCACTATGAGGAAACCCCATTAACAAGGCCAGCATCCTGACCCTCAGCCGGAAGCAAAACCCAGTCACGAACACCACCCTTCCAGTCAGCAATACGGCCCTCAGTCACACGAACCGTAACAACCCGCACATCAGTATCAATAGAGACACTAGGTCGTCTAGCATTAGGATCCTGTTGCTGCTGACCAAACAGATTGATCTCCTCTTCCTCAAAGGTATTATTCTCGAGATGACGCTCCTTGCACCAAGACTCCTCATCAGACCCAGACTCCAGGAACCGCGCCTCGCCACAGATAGTGGTGGAGATACTCGACAGCGCACTCGTGTTCAAGTTGAGCAACAGGCTGGCCAGAGACGACCGGGTCGCCGCGGGAGGAGGCGAACCCTCGCGCTCACCGGTTGTAGCGCGGGTCGGGGGCCGATGTGACACCCAGTCGTGGACCAGCAGGGAAACGCGCGGGTTGGACAGCAGGTGGTTTGTTTTGCGCGATGCGGGGTTCGTGGTCATGATGATGGTGGGGTGGGGGTCGTAGGGTGTCGAGGGGAGATAGGTGTAGGACATGAGTGAGATATGGGGGGTTTTGTCATCGCATGTTGCGAGATGGAGCTGGTGATAGTTAGTTTGTGATTCATCTTGGTCTTGATCTTGGTGGTGCCACGTACAAAGCGGGAGTTCTTGAGGCATTGGATCACCTCGGATGGAAGGGAAGTTGCGACATGGGGGTGAGTAGTTGTCGCAGATGCCTCGTAGGACAATGGGGGGTTCAGTGATTCGGCCATGATGCTTTACAGAAGTGAAGCTTGGTGAAGAGTCGAGATCTGCCGATACTCGGGCGGTGTCTGATTGCCCAATCGCCGGATCGCCGTTGTCCGGAACTACGTCATCATCTTCAGCTTAAGCTACAGGCCATCAATACAGTTGGCTATTTATCTTAGGCTGCGAAAGTGTCACTTGCAACTATGTTAGCCGGACTAACTACCGTTCTCGACTTGGTTAGTCGTACGTTACACCTGCGCCTATACACGGACTGGACGTGGAGACTTTCATCATGTACATCACAAGGATACACACGGCTAATTATTCGTACGACTGCAATATCAGGCCATCGATCACAAGAGCAATGTCTCATAGGTGTGTCATGGATCTAAATAGACCCAACCATAGAAACCCTAGCTCGTAAGAGCTCTCTTACAAGTAAGTACCAAGTACGCATCAGCCATGTCATCATTACCCACAATTTGGTGAGTGATAGGCAGTAATTGGGGCAAATAGTACCAACACAGCCCGTCCCCAGTACCCGATCGACTGGGGGAAGCTCCTTTCCCCGCACATCTCTGAGCTCAAGTTTGAGAGATCAAATCAATTCACAGACAAAAGCGGATTATCCTCCTTTGTCGGCAATTATTACTGGTACATTTACATACTTGGCTCCCCCTTCCTCTTTACTCCCTACCCTTACCAACTCTCCCCTCTTCACTTCTTTACTTCTTCACTTCACTACCTCCTTTTCACTCTTGACTTCCTCTCCCTTGATACTCTACTGTACCTCCCTCGAGACGTCCTCCTCATTGTCTTGTTGTATTTCGTCATGTTGGCTCCACGCGTAGCCCGCACAGCAACCTCGCTGTTGCGACCCTTCAGTACATCAGCCGTGGCCTATCGTTCACCCTCGATCAGAGATGTGACGGCCGAGTCGACGGAGGAGTTCCTCCGCCGACAGAAAGAATTCCGCGAGAACCTGGAACAGGCTCGTTTGAGAAAAGAACAACAGGTAGAGAGTCAGTCCAATGCTTCTGTCTCCTCTTCTACCCCTTCCCGTGAGTCCGCTCCCACTGCTCCGAAAGTGAGCAATGCGAGCAGCAAGAGTCGAACCCGTTCTTTCGATGCTGCGCAAACCTTGGATCATATGGCAATGGGCTCACTGTCGATGCACCGCTATCTAGGAGAAGAACAGCAGCAGGATGCCACAACCAAACGTGGTCCTCTGTCCTCGCTCATCTACGGTACCAAGGAAGGTCAGCACTTTGACAAGGACATAGAACGCTCCTTTTCGCAGGTGCTGGCTCGTGGTAAATATGTTCACTCTATCGTCATGCACGACGTCAAGCCGGATAAGGTCGATGAATATGTGGATCTGGTGGGCCAGTGGTATCCACGCATGGCTGGCACCGAAGAGAACCGCGTCAATTTGGTCGGCAGCTGGCGGACGCAAGTCGGGGACAATGATACTTTTAGTGCGTACAAACTCCGACCGAGCGATTGAGTTGATTGTTGGCTGACTTGATTGAATAGTCCATATTTGGGAATACCAACGCTACGAAGGCTACCATGCCTCCCTTCACAACATCTCGGAACATCCCGAATTCCGGGACTTCGATCGCAAGCTCAAAAGTCTGATCAAGAGCAAGAAGACTTCCCTCATGCAAGAGTTCTCGTTCTGGCCTACAACCCCACCCCGCCGTCTCGGTGGTCTGTTCGAGCTGCGGTCGTACACCCTGCACCCGGGCAACCTGCTGGAGTGGGAGACACACTGGCGCCGCGGTCTGACCGCCCGTCGCGAGGTGATGGAAGGTGTGGGTGCGTGGTTTGTGCAGATTGGCGAATTGAACACAGTCCACCACCTATGGCAATTCGCCAATTTGGAGGAGCGCAAGATTCGCCGTGAGCAGTCGTGGGGTGTTGAAGGATGGGCTGAGACTGTACACAAGACGGTACCTCTTATCCAGACTATGCAGAGTCGGATTCTTGTTCCGATGCCTTGGAGTCCTGTCGGTTAAATTGACAGTGCCGCGTTCGCCCTGACCTTTATGATCCTGGAGATTTAATCCCAGGATCTTGAAGCAAATTGTCAGGCAGATCCCCATATATTATCACGGGGAGATCATCTGCTCATCTGCATCTGTATCTTAGCATTGAACACGAAGCATTACAAACTCGTCTTTAGCCTATACAGTAATCAGGAACAAAATACGTATGTCCCGGCTGTCGGGTAACCCCACTCGTATACTCGACGATCTTAGCACTCTCGGCATAGTATGAGGTATCTCATTGGCAACAATGCAGAGACCCAAGCGACTGTTGGGGCACGTGTCGCCGAGTACGGAGTACAGGGCCCCTCTCTATGATACTTGACAGTGTAAATAGAAGGTATTTAACCTCTGATCTTCCCAGGAACCAGAGATCAAAGCCACGAAAGCAGAGAACAAGAAAAACATATATTTATAAAAAAGAGCAGGAAAAAAAAAAAAAAAAAGACGAGACTCGTCAAGACCAAGTGTCAAGATCTTCATCTCCGTTGAGTAGTTCCAAATCTCCCCCGAGACCCAGTTTTCCGCCAACTTTTTTTCCGTTTTGTTGTTCTCCCCTTTTGCCTTGTCTACATCTTCAGTCCATCGCCATCTGGACACATCTCCAGTGTCTACATACCCAGTCGAAGTCGAGCTCGTGCTCAGTCCCATCCCGATCCCATCGCAATCGCGCGCAAAATCGCAACCACTGCGCGTAACCCAGACGCGCCAACCTTCAAGGTTCCCAATAACTTATATGCCTCAAGCACAACCACAACCCCAATAATCACAGCGCGTAGCTAGTACGCGCATCACAGGGAGAATGGTGTACATCCGGCAGAAGCACCTTCCAAACCTCAAGAACTACAAGTACGCTGGTGTCGACCACTCGCCTATTAGTCGGTACATCCTCAAGCCGTTCTACAACAAATGTGTTATCGGTTGTTTTCCCATGGGGATGGCGTAAGTATTCCCTCTGCATTTGGTTTTATCTGCAAGAAGAATTGGCCTCGAGCTTGGGTCCCCGTACCTCGAATAGGACCAGGCACACTGCTCAAGTCTCTTTCCTCTTCTCTTCTCTCTTCTTTCCCTCCCGATCAAATTATACAAGAGCAGTATGACTGACCTATTCCCGCTCTTTTACTTCGTGCCTTAAAGACCTAATGCCGTAAGTTTTGCCCATGCGACACATCTCTCCAGTCCAATGCACCCAACTATAAGAATCATGGATCCTAATCTCTTTCTTTTCATGGTAGATCACCCTCACCGGCTTCATGTTCGTCGTTCTTAATTTCATCACTGTCATGTGGTACAACCCGAACCTCGATACGGATTGCCCGACTTGGGTTTATGCCAGTTGCGCGCTGGGCTTGTTCCTATACCAGACCTTTGATGCTGTAGATGGCATGCAGGCGTATGTGGTTACCATCCCGGTTGAGGGAAGCTTTGCTGATTTAGTTTTGGGTTAGACGGAGGACGAGACAGAGTGGGCCTCTTGGAGAGCTCTTTGATCACAGTATGTTTTGCTGGATCTATATCTGCATTTCCTGTGAAATAGAATAGGTGACTGACTGTCTGATTCTAGGTGTCGACGCATGCAACACCGGACTCGGCGTGCTGGTCTTCGCATCAGTAATGAACCTCGGCCAGGGCTGGATGACATTCATTACCTTGTTCGGATGTAAGACAGTCCCCGATATACACCAGCCAAGTGAACCCCCTCTGACAAATCCAGCAACCCTAACCTTCTATGTCCAAACATGGGACGAATACTACACCCAAATCCTAACCCTAGGCGTGATCTCCGGACCCGTCGAAGGCCTCTTGACAATCTGCACCGTGTACGCCTTCACAGCCTACGTAGGCGGCGGCAGTTTCTGGCACCAACCCATGCTGCAGACCTTCGGCCTGTCGAAGCCAAGCTTCCTCTCAAACACACTCTACGAAATGCCCTTCACACAGTGGTACCTCGTCTACGGCGCCTTCGTACTCATCTTCGCAACGGGCTCGAGCATCATGCACGTCATGCAAGTGCGTCGCGAGCGCGGCCAGGATCCCTTCACCCCGCTGTATGGTCTGCTACCCGTTGCTGTGATCTGGATGCTCGTGCCTACCTATCTGTACCTGCAGCCTGCCATCCTAGAGAACTATACCATTCCCTTTGGATTGTTCGTTAGTCTGGTTAATGCTTACTCTGTTGGGCGGATGATTGTCGGGCATCTTGTTCAGTCGGGTTTCCCCTATCAAAATGTGCTGCTTTATCCCCTTGCGCTGGGTGTTCTTGATAGTGCTGGTGCGCTTATGGGTTTCTATGAAGCTCCTGTGCTTGGGTATGGTGTCGGCCAGGTTGCTTTCGTCTTTGTTTGTTTGGGTCTTGCTGTTGGTGTTTATGGTAGCTTTGTGGTATGTTCCTTTTCCCTTCCTCTTCCTTTGACTACGCCCGACAACTTACTAACCCTCTCTCCCTTAGTTCGACGTCATCACCACGATATGTGATGAAATCGACATCTGGTGCTTGACCATTAAGCACCCTTTCACCGAGGAGACAGAGCACAAGAACGGTGCCGCAAAGAAGACCAAGTAAGGGAGTGGCGCGGGTGCAATCTGGTGTTGATTGGTGATTGATGCGTGGGTGGGACTAGTTCAACACCTCACTCCACACTATTCAGTAGCATCATTGTGGTGGAAACGGGTATCTTAAGAGTGCTCGAAAGGAAAAGCACGGATAATGATGCCTGGCTAATGATCTTTTTCAGTACATAATTTTGTTTTGTTTCTCAGGGTTCGAAGGCGATTTAGCGATAGAATATGAGTGTGTAATATGTTTTATACAACGTTGTAGAGGGTGTTTTGAAGAAATGTACATGAGTGAAGTGACGATTCATTATACTTACTAGGCCTAGATAAGCAGTCTATACAGAAAACCATGACTACCCATGGTGATGCCGAATACGGGGCTATCCAGAAAGCTATTGCATTGTGCTTCATTGCTGCTAAGCTAAGACATAAAGGTTTCGTAGCATCTTATGTTCAATCATCTTCATCATTAGCTGCATTTTGGTTAGTGGTGCAAAGCATTTGCTTGCGTTTAGCAAGCAAAGCACCAATGTCAGTACTTTCATCAGGGGTTAACAAGTCACTATGCATGTAATCGTGAAGGTTATCCGCCAGGTCTTCTATATTTCTGCGCCGGCCAGTGAGTTTCAGGATATTCCCGATTGCAGCATGGACTGCAAGGTGCTGGGGTTCGGAGAGCCAAATTGCGAATGGTCACTTATCGTGAGGATTCGGCCATCCGGGAACCAACTAATGCAAAAGGGAGGAAATGGCGGAAAGGTCTTAAGTCGATATTGATTAGGAATTGGAGTCGTCTTGAATATGAAATAATACCGCTTGAACTCTTGGCCAAGAACCTGGCTTATCGATAGCATGTTTTCGACGGTGTTGGTTTCACCTGCCATTATGTTGAGAGGTGAACGGAGGCTCGGGAAATATCGCAGAATATCTTGATTCTGGGTATTCAGAATGTGATCTGCCCGTACTAATATGTGATTTGCCTTTGGAGAATGGGGATATTCCAAGACTTTGTGGCAAGGCATGGTCATCTTTCTAGGCAATTCTGCCGCAGCTAATGCTGCTCAGGGGATTCTGGGTAAAGATGGGGGGCGAGTGTGCCGAATATTACCCGGCATATTATACCTTTATCCAGGTGATCATTATGCGAGTTTGGTAGTTCTGAAGGTATGCATCCAGGATTTCCAGTAGCTCAGTAGGACTGAGTCTTTCAAGATGTGCCATTTTGAAATGTAGACTGGCTTGTGCAGGATAGCTGCTGTCGAAGAAGATTCTAAGAATGAAGAATGTTAGTCATGAATAAAATTTAGTTCAAAAGAGAGTTGGAAAGAGAGCTGGAACGAGTGCCAGAAAGAGTAGTCGGGACCCTTGGGAAGAGAATTTGTGAGACGTTTGGAAAGCTAGTTGGGGAGAATGCTGTTCCAATTTTTGCAAAGACAACCGTAGAAGTTTCTAGACAGAATTAGACGATTAAAGAGAGGTATAGAGAGTTGGAGAGAAGTATAGAAGAGTCGAGTGACTACATACTAGTCGCGGAATCTCCACTAGACCTAAAAAGGAAGTCTCCACACGGGGAACCAGATATGGCTCTGCTTATATCAGCGCTTACCTCATGGCTTACCTCATGGCTTACCTCATGGCACCATCCCTGATTGGTGGAAACCCTGCCGCCTTCCTGAAAGAGGACACCAAGCGAGGGCACAAGCGGGCACAAACCCTAGCACCCCCCAAACGGGACGCCCGGTCCAAATCCCTTCAAACTTCTCTTGGAAGACCACCTCATCCGCTACACACAAGGCCATCGCCATCAGCGCCATTAATCAACTATCTCGCTGATCGACTTTTACTCGTCAAGATGGTGAGCCCCCTTTTTTTCGCCCTGATTTCGACTTCCAAAAACAACCCCATTACATATGGAGGGTCGACTATCATCGAATTTTCACATCGACTAACAATGCCGTCCTCAGGTTCTCGCGGTCGATCTCCTTAACCCCACGCCTCAGGCTGAGGCCCGTAAGCACAAGCTCAAGGTATGAACCAACCGATCTCCGAAGACGATACGTGGAGGAAAGATGAAAAATCAACCGAGATGGACACCTGCACTGGGGACCTGGGACATGGATGCTCTCCGAGCAGAATGGACGAAGGAACACAACAGGACATCGATATCGGGAATGGAAATGGATGGACATATGATCGGAACAAATGGCTGATTCTTCGACTCGCCCAACAGACCCTTGTGCCCCAGCCCCGCTCCTTCTTCATGGACGTCAAGTGCCCCGGTTGCTTCACCATCACCACCGTCTTCTCGCACGCCCAGACCGTCGTCATTTGCGCCGGTTGCTCCACCGTCCTTTGCCAGCCCACCGGTGGCAAGGCCCGTCTGACCGAGGGCTGCTCTTTCCGCCGCAAGTAAACGAGAAACGAATGAAAAACTTTTTCTTCTTGTTATGTTCCGGTTGAAACGTCAAAGAGAATTAGCATGGAGAAATTAGGATGAAAATACCAATCCCGGGGTTGACCTCTTCTTACCTCTTCTTTTTTGATACGGTTTAAGCCCGTCTCTTCTGGTCCTTCAAAATGTCACATACCAAACTACCCTTTTTCAATGTCACCCTTGCCCCTTCGAAAAAAAATGGATGGAATATTCTCTTTACAATTTCTTCGATTGGTTGGAATGGGAGATGCAGATGGTGTGATATGATTCCTTCGTATCTACATCTTGCATCTTTGAGAAAGACAAAATTTGAATGTGGCCTTTAGGACCCATTGCTCATCCTACTGTTTCCTTACTCTTTTCTTTTTGCCTTTTCACGGTGATGATTCTAATATCTCAGCGTTGAATTCTTGTGTTTCTATGCATTGATGACGGATAGAAGATGGAATGACCCGCCCTCCCAACGACAACACCAAAAAAGCATTCGACAACAAAAAAAATGGCAACAGCATTCTGCTCAGGGAGTTCCGGATATCTGGCACAAAAAGGCACCAAGCTCTTTTGCTTGACTTTGTGCTATGTTTGATGTTTCGATTTCCTGGTTTCTTGTGTTTTAATGTATCCGCGACTTGTACAAAAAGGTTCTAGACTCAATTTAAGAGTTGCACCTTAGTCTGGCATGTAGTTCGAGCTTGTAGACCTCGGCTCGTAGACCTTGAACCCTTGGGTGTAGATTACATGTACGATGTCCCCAAAGATACCAGGCCCATTTGGATCTAGAAAGACTAGTAGCCTGCACGTAAGGTCAAGTCATGTCTCACGGGTAGTCTATCTTTTCCGCTCAATCTCATGGTTGGGTTTGTAGCCACCCTCCACCCTCCACCCTCCACCACCGTGGCAACCTAGTTCGTCCCACCCCAATTTGTTCCTGAAGTCGATCATGTGGAGATACACCACCTCGATCGTGTGCTACCTTCCGCTACAGCAATGGTCGGGTCTAACATTCCCATTAGGGAACAGTTTATCCATGACATCATGTTTTTCTTCTTCTTATGGAGATGGAGCGAATTACATCAGAGTACATATGCAGATAGAATAGTCTAGAATAGCAGCAATCATATGGAGCAATCTGCTCCTATCCCAGTACGTTTGACAGGGGGGATTCCGCTGCCTCGGTCGTGCTACGGTTCCCTGTTTCCCAAGACCTTAAAATATACATTCAAGTATCCACGAAATATAAACTATAGTCCGTGCAAACGTATCTCCATCCACACTTAATTGTATACAGTATACACAATACAGCTCAGAGGAAACCCCTTACCCAAATCCAATTAGATCAAATGATAGACAAGGTTATTGAGTATTGCACGAAAGTCTGTACAGCGCAGTATGTACATCCACCCCGAAGGAAAGACGAATTCAGCGCCATCTACGAAAGAACAAGCAGAAAGGTTGAAAAAAGACGAAAAGTCATTCCACATGCAGAGCCATGATCTTAGAGTTGGCCTTAACATCCTTGCCGAAATCAACCGGGCTGGACGGATCCGCACCAGTCAACATGGCCGGCTTGCCGCTAGTATGGCCGGTAAGCATTGAAACAAAGCCGTTTCGACCGATGATCTCCTGTTCGGCGTCACGGGATATCTTGTCGCAGGCGTGGAACTTGGCCGGTTCAACTGCCTTAAGTTGATTGTGGCTGTTGCGGACGAAGTCGTAGAAGAAGATTGTTGGGTGGTCGGGGAATTGGGGGTGGGCTTCGAAGGCTCTGGGGTATTGTTATATTGGTGTCACGGGGTTGGTATTGGGTATGGTCTAGGGGGTAATTGAGGCTTAGGGGGAATCTTGTATGGTGGGGTTGGTGAAGTATTGTATTAAGTAATGTAACAGAGCAGATGTTTGTTGAAGCAGATGTTTGTTGATGCAGGCAGCATTACATGATTTCCTATCGCGGACTCCGCCTGCTTATCGCTTATCAGAGAAAAAGAGTCACTTCTCCTCCCCGCTCTCTCTCATGTATAAAAGAGCCCTGTCGCCCAAGGCTCTTCTCTCAAACTCCTCAAGAGCAATTCTCCCACCCAGAACCCCCTCCATCAACAACCCTCAATACCTATCAACAATGGCGCCAAACCCATCAACCCAACGCCAACCCCTAAAACTACTGATGCTACACGGCTACACACAATCAGGCCCCCTCTTCCACGCCAAAAGCCGCGCCCTAACAAAACACATCCAAAAAGCCTTCCCCCTGCACGATGTCAGCACAAGCTACCCCACAGCCCCTCTCCGCCTCCTCCCAGCCGACATCCCAGGCTACGAGCCCTCAGAAACAAGCAACGAAACTTCCTCAATCGAAGCCTACGGCTGGTGGCGCCGCTCAAACACCGCCAATCCACCTTTATACACGGGCATTGAGGAAGGGCTAGCAGCAGTAGCGCACACACTCACCGAAGAGGGACCCTTCGACGGTGTGATTGGATTCTCACAGGGCGCTGCGCTGGCAGCGATGGTTGTGTCGTTGCTTGAGCCTGGACGGAAGGGTAGCTTTGAGCATTTCGAGAAGATTGTTGGAGAGTGTGGTGTGGCTGGTATGCCGTTCCCTGAGTCTTTTGGAGAGCAGGCTGGGTTTAAACATCCGCCGCTTAAGTTTGCGATTTGTTATTCTGGTTTTAGGGCGCCTGGGGCTAGGTACCGGGGTTTCTTCGAGGAGCCTGCTATTTCTACGCCTGTTTTGCATGTGCTTGGTAGTTTGGATGCTGTTGTTGAGGAGGGGAGGAGTCGTGCTTTGATTGAGGCTTGTGTTGGGGAGCCTGAGAAGGAGGGCCTGGTTGTTTGGCATCCTGGTGGTCACTTTTTGCCTAGTCAGCGGCCTTACTTGGATGCTGCTGTTAAGTTTATTCGAGAGTATGTTGGGCTTGAGGAGGATAAGCAGAAGGCTGAGGAGGTTGATGTCAATGATATGGATATGCCGTTTTGAGGGTTTGTTTTATACTAGATTAGACTAGATTTGTATATATCTGCATTTCTCAATTGATAAATCAACGAATTGACGACTGTTATTGTCACTATGACTGCTACGATAGATACACTGGTGGAATATGGGAAGGTAATGTATGGCTTCACATCTTATAGTCTACCGGCGAAGGATATTACACGCGGTAGCGTTCAAAATCCGACATATTCCAATCAATGAGCCTTACCCATGTCACTGCGAGTAGGCTGGATACGGGCCATCATCTCCTCCTTAGTAATCAAATGATCAATGCGCTCAAGCAGACCCAGCAAGCTCTTCATGTCACTGCTCCACTCGTTCAGAACATCATCAGCATCGCGAGGCTTGGCGAAGTTAACCAACCGCGCGGGGCGGTCGATCTTGGCGTAGATGGTCTTCGATGTGACCAGGTCGCTGATGTACTTCTCGGTCTCCTCCTCGGTAAGGTCCAAGAGCTGGGTCAGGCGGCCCATCTGGATGCGAGTGTAGTACTTGGCGACCACACGGACATTGTGTTCAATGACCCGTTTCCGTAGGTCTTGCCATCTCCGGTGAGCTTGGTTCTCGGTGGTTTGCTTGGCCTCGGTGTCGAAGACGTCGGTGTTGCACAGGTGGGGGCCGAACTGCTCCGCAACCATGGGCCAGCGCATCAGCTCGGGAATGGTAAAGAGCTTGATCAGGCGGGCTTCCTCGGGGACTTGCGACAGGCGGGAGTCTTGCTTGATGCGATGCAGGAGATCGGACTGTTCATTATCGTAGGGGGAGAGGACAACGTAATAGACAATGCGGGCGAGTGACTATATTTAGGTTAGCGCACATCCAAAATGTAGATGAGTTCACGTACAGCACGCAGGTGTTCTGGGTTGTTTTCGACGGCTTCCGTATCCAGAACCTCCCGGTAGTTCTTGCAAACTTCAAGGTAGTTGTAGTCGTGGTTGGCCAAAGTGATCTGCTGTTCGAAGTACCGAAGCTTGAGATCTGTGACATCGTCATCCACCTCCATAGGAGCCTCATCAGGCCCACGGGTCTTCTCTCGCTCCTCAGCCTCCTTCTTGAGTTTCTCGATTTGCTCGGCGGACTTCTTGGGCTTGCGGTTGAAGTAGCGCTTGTTGATCTTGCGGCTGAGAATCTGGGCCTGGGTCCAGTCTCCACGCTCAATGCACAAAGAGACCTGCTCCAAAATGAATTCTGTCTTTTCCCGTCTCGTCATAGATCCAAATGTCTCCACTTGCAGCTCACACAGGATGTCTGCTGCCGAGTTGAGGTCTCCTTGGGTCTTTTTGATATTCGAAAGGATGCGGGTAACACGGGCTCGCTCTACTTCAACGAAGATCTTCGATAGCCATTAGCAATGATCCTGTCAGTCGCAAGGGTTCTCAGCCTACCTTTCCCTCGGTCACTGTCCGCAAAGTCTCAATCACAGACATCTTAACCTCCATGCTTGGTGTCTCCTCCAAGAATCCCATCACCGTCTGCACCATCTTCGTTGTGGCCTGTTTGAGTTGGGCATGTTTCTTGGATAGGAGGAGCACTTGGTCGTTGAGAAGGTTCCAGTCACCGGCATTCTTGCTGATGGTAACAATGGCAACCAGGAGTCGCGATGTGGTGGCAAGATCCGATGCCTGGATGAGAGGGTATCGGTTAGTCTGTTATGCGCGGTGAAAGTGATGGGATTTCGGAGTCATACCTGTCTCGATTGCTTCTCCAGACCCAACAGCTTATCGATCGCTCCCTGGACGTCGGTCTAAAGATACGTTAACAACGGTCTTGGTGCATTGGGTTTCGCTCAAATCACCTTAGCAAGACCTTCCGCCTCTGGGATGAGCTTGTCGGCATCCTTGGTGAAGTCCTTCTCGGGCTTCAAGAGGCCGCCGGACATGATGACGATGTGTTGATTTAGCTGTCGATTCGAAAGAAGTTAAGTTAAGGATGATAGGGGATGGGTTGTTCTCGTTTCGTGCGCAGAGTGGCGTGAGATTCGTGGAATGGCAGATGTGATGGAGGTGATGCTGTAGCTCCGATGTTGCGCCCTTACGAGCTGGAAGCTCCGGCGCACGTGACCCAACATCACTTTCGAAGATTCTACAGTCACGAAGTAGAGTAAGTACCCTTTCAATTTATTACAGAAGACGAACTGGACTAGAGATCAATGAAATACAGACTTGATATCTAATTTAATTTTCACGACTTAGTCAAATATCATTCAGGTATGCAGATAGAGGTACGTAAATAGGTGTATAAATACATAAGCTAAATATTAGCAAGTCTTGTATAGTAAAGTGTGTACTATGATAGAGACCTGTCACCACCTATAAGATCAGACATACTGTAACTCCAGACTACACACTAAACAGCCAAATGCAGAAGTGAAGACTAAACCCCGGGTCCTATTACTTAAGCAAGCACGCAATTGCCTTTAACCGCATTGAGCCACGAAGAAGTATAGGAAAAAAAAAACGATATAGGCGTGAGTCACCTGATGGACGTTCGGGGATTGATATTTGTGTGCCAGCAGTCAATTTGTTGACTCGTATACACTCTCTTTGAATCAGCATTTTGCCCGAGCAAATTAGTGATATCGAGGGTCCTTATCGTTATCACCAATCGCGACAGGCCCTTTACTCATTCCTTTCTCCGCGGAAGTGTGGCAAGTCAAGCCATTGGGTGATTGTGATCATTCGATATAGACCAAAGGTCTCCCGGGACATTGCGCACTCAAAACTAATCCGGAGTGTGCTCGCGATTGCAAATCCGAAAGCGTCTATCTATCAAAAGTTATTTGGAGGGGCATCGCGCTTCGTTCCACCATACTTCACCATGAAGGACGCATCATGCACCACGGGATCTCCCGCACCATTGATGGCGGCTTGGAATGCCGAATCACAAGTGCACTTGATCGTGGGCTCTAACCCTCTTGCTGCGGCGAGATGTGCGAAGGCCCTCGAAGTCGGCGCGCAACCGATCATCATTGCGCCGGAGGCTGTGGACATGCATTATACTCTATCCGAGCACATTTCCAAGGGCTCTGCTCAATGGGTGCGTCGTGAGTTCCAAGATAGTGACTTGACAACCTTAGGAAGAGAAGAGGTCGACCACGTTGTGGACATGGTCTTCGTCACTTTGGGGGGAAGTAACCCGCTGAGTATGTCCTCCTTGTATGACCCTCAACATATCCATACTGATTGATGTATAGGTTCCCACATCTCGAAGCTCTGTCGGCGTCTAAGAATCCCTATCAATGTGTCAGATGCCCCCGAACTCTGCTCCTTCACCTTACTCTCCACCTACTCGGACGGACCCCTCCACATTGGGATCACAACTTCGGGCCGTGGCTGCAAGCTTGCATCCCGCTTGCGCAGGGAGATTTCTGCTTTCCTCCCACAGAACCTCGGCACGGCCATTGACAGATTGGGCGCCGTGCGGAGGCGGCTGTGGGAAGAAGACAACGCGGCTGGATCAGGAGGTGCCGCATATGAAGGAGAAGACGACGACACAACAGGTCAAAATCACATGTTCAACAACCTAGTTACGGAAGGCGACGCTGCTGCTGCAAAGACGAGAAGAATGCGCTGGCTGTCCCAGATCTGTGAATACTGGCCTCTGCGAAAGCTGGTCTCTATCACCGATGCCGACATGGATGCCATCCTAGAGGCCTATTCTGCTGGAAAGGATAATGCCCAAGACATCAATGGCATCGAAGCACATTCAAAGAAGGGGAAAATCGTTCTCGCTGGCTCTGGTCCCGGTCACCCAGACTTGCTCACCCGTGCGACGTATCACGCAATCCACAACGCCGACATCATTCTTGCAGACAAGCTGGTCCCAGCACCAGTGCTGGATCTGATCCCCCGCCGAACAGAAGTGCACATTGCACGCAAGTTCCCAGGTAACGCAGACCAAGCCCAAGAAGAGTTCCTGCAGATGGGTCTGGCAGCTTTGAAAAATGGACGCCAGGTCCTCCGCTTGAAGCAGGGAGACCCTTACCTGTACGGCCGTGGAGCCGAAGAGTTCGAGTTCTTCAGAAACGAAGGTTATTCCCCGGTCGTGTTACCTGGAATTACCAGCGCCATGAGCGCATCCCTCTTCGCCGATATCCCCGCTACCCACCGCGGCGTCTCGGACCAGGTCCTCGTGTGCACGGGAACTGGCAGAAAGGGCGCTGCTCCAAACCCCCCTACCTACGTACCCACCCAGACAGTGGTGTTCCTCATGGCTCTGCACCGTCTCTCCGCTCTCATTGAATCTCTCACCACCTTCCCAGAGGGCTCTGGCTCTCAATCACGCATCCTCTGGCCTAAGGAGACACCTTGTGCGATTGTCGAGCGCGCATCATGCCCAGACCAACGCGTCATTCGTTCGACGCTGGAGCATGTCTGCTTAGCATTTGAAGAGGCAGGATCGCGACCACCAGGTTTGTTGGTTGTTGGAGCTAGCTGTCACGTATTGCATAACCCTCAAGGCCAAAACTGGCTAATTGAGGAGGGATTCCATGGATTGGATGAGCTGCGCAGCGAAGTAGACGTGGTTGCAGTCTCAGGGGAGAAGAGAAAGCGTGAAGCGTGATTCCCCCATGACATTCTGATTTCCAAGCGACGGAGCTGCTGCATATGTAAATAGATAAGCATTCAGATACCCCAAGAGACGAAATAGACATGAGTCTTGAAAATCAATTATATGTTATAGTGAAAGGGGTCTGTCGAACACTGCGAAAGTGCAGGGTCCGATTGTCATTATATATAGTGGAACCCGGTCCGGCCTTGCTGATCACTCCACCTCACTCGTATCTTCGATTCTGACAACTACCTTCCACCCGTCAACAATGTCGAACAGACCCGCGAAGCCAGTTTATTTTTCAAACGGGGAAGTCCTTGAGACGTAATTATTTCCCTTATTCTACAAATCCAGACCAGAACCCGCTGACTGGTGCGCAACAGCCCCCCGATCTCAGTGCGGATCAGCCGCTTCGCGGAGAGCATCTACTTCTTCTTCGGCCTGTACTTCGTTAGTCTGCTTTCAGTATGTGTCTCTACCATGCGAAGCTTCATCTTCAGCTTAGTCTCGCATCTTTCCTCCTCTCTACGTTCCTCGCGCACCCAGATTAGGCTAACACGAACCCCACCCCTTCAGCTCGACTCCTACAAAGCCGCCGAGGAATCTTCATTCAATATCAACCGCTCAAGCAACAGCTACACCACACGTCCTCGCTGGGGAGGTAGCTCCTCATATGGAGGTGGAGGTGGTGGTGGCGGCGGTGGTCCGGGATCAGGTCCGAGGCGCGTGGGGCGTGTGGACGATGTTCGCGCACCGGAGTGTGGAAGCTGTCGATAAATATTGATCGATGGGCTTGCGAAAACTCTGCTGCATAATATCAATGCCAGGGAGGGTGCATGCTTGAGAAGGGGTGGTCCATTCGTGCAAGGAAACTGTTTCCCTATGTCGCATGGGCTCTGGATAACTGTTTTTTCTTGGTGGAGATTTGTTCATCATATGCAATGCTGCAATGCTGCTGCAATGCATTGGAGATTAAAAGGGGTCTTGACCTTGCCTCGGATATTCCATAGATGTACAGTTATGGGAAGTTATGTCTACTACATACCTAGTATAGCCCAGTATAAACACAGCCAACCGCCACACCGCCTCTCATTATCTTGAATCACGGGCCGTCAATATGAGAAGCATGCTATACACGTGACATCCCCTCATCTAGAAGAGGGGAAATAGCGAGCTAACAGGGCACTAAATCCCTAATCTCTGGCGTGGTTACTTCAATATACCCAAGGACCCATTCAACACCCATTGAAACCGACATTGCCACTCCATTGACATTGAAACCACCAAAATGAGCGCCATACCAACAACAGACGCCGAATGGGCGCAAAAGATATCAAACATGAAACAGCAGCTCCCAGCACGAAGCCTCAGCCAACCAGCAATACCCCTCCGAATCAACCGAACCATAGACCACACCCTCCTGAAAACACCAATCGACGCCTCCCAAATCGACACCCTCTGCCAAGAAGCCCTAGAACAAGACTTTGCAGCCGTCTGCGTCCGACTCGAGCACGTCTCCCGGGCCGCAGCACTGGTCAAAGACTCCAACACACTAGTAGCATGCGTAATCGCCTTCCCAGAGGGGACGCACGAAACAGTCGAGAAAGTGCGCGAAGCAAAAGAAGCCGTAGCGCAAGGCGCGCGCGAGCTGGACATGGTCATTCGGTATGAACTGCTCAAGGAGGGCCGGTATACGGAAGTCTATGATGATATCCTGGCTGTGCGGAAGGCGGCCCCGTCGCCGATTGTACTGAAGGCAATTCTTGAGGCGTCTGTGCTTGACAAGGAGCAGTTAATTGATGCTACGATCGTGGCTTGTATGGCTGGAGTGGATTTCATTAAGACTAGTACTGGGTGGAATGGGGGTGCTACTATTCAGCATGTTACGCTTATGAGGACTGCGGCTGATATGTGTGACCGGTCTTGTATGATCAAGGCTAGTGGGGGGATTAGGAGTGCTGGTGATGTTGGTAGGATGTTGGAGGCTGGGGCGCATCGGATTGGGACGAGTGCTGGCGTTAAAATTATGCATGAGGTCAATGACGAGGAGGTTTTGGAGCAGGGGACTAGTCATGCTACTTATTGATCTTGGGTTGATTTACCCCGGATTGGGTTGTGGGGCGTGGTGTGGGGTGTGGTTTATAGTTGAGGCATAATGGCATTGATCTTTTCTATACTTTGACTGTAGTGTTGAGATATGATGGGCACGAAGTATGTGTAGATGTCGATATAGTGATCTATACATCAATGACTCTTCGTCGAGGTATTTTATTAGCCAAAGAACTAAGTGTTACTGCCAAAGGTAAGGAGATGTGTAATTGAATTGCTTATTCATGGAATGAACGTAGCATCTTATTACTTGCCTGAAGCCAAGATGATATATGTACGAAAACAGCGCCGATCCTGCAAATCATGCCCAAAAACCAAAGCCGAACTTTTATTCATCACTCTGATCATCCGAGTCACTGGTCAAAGCGCCATCATCGATCTCCATCTTCTTGATAGCCGCATCACCATTGCAACCCTTCTTCTCTGCAGCGAGCCATGCTTCCCGTCTCTTGGTCGCGTGCTCCTGCTTCTTTGCTTGACGCACGACCTTGTCTTGCTGGGCAGCTTCCTGCTTCTCATGGAGCTCGTTGATGTAATCCTGTAGATTGGCAAGGTCTGAGCGCAGCTTGACGACCTCATCATCTGCACTATGGCGAGCTGTCTCATTCACTACAACCTTTTTCTTGAGCACGGACAACTCGCTTTCCAGCTCGGTGACTTGCGACTCGCGAGCAGCTGAAACCTCGGCGCTTTCTCTGGCGACTGGAGCGCTTGAGGAGACGCGAACGTCTGCGCCGGGCTGGCGGAATGCTGCCAGTTCGGCGAGACCGTCTTCGATCATGGAGTCGGGGAAGAAGGCGTGGGTGAGCGCCTGGGAGAATTGAGTTGGGTTGCGAAATTTGGTTTCAGTGGGTGCGATGATGTGAGTATGGAACATGTACTCTGCTGGCACGGCGCCAGGGGCATGCGTCGGAGCCGAAAGGCCATTGTCATGGCGGGGTTTGACAATGTTGTGTGCAGTTCGCTTCAAGTCTGAGGAAGGGTGGGGAATGCCACCTGGGGGAAGCATAACAAGGTTTGTGATCGGGTGGGTGTAGTCGGCAACCGATGAAGTATACTTGTGTCGCGCAATATTCCATGATAACACCTTGCCACTCTCGTGGCCGGAGAGTAGTGTGGTGCCGTCATATGTAAGGGAGAGAGTCTTAACCGAGCCAGACTCGGCTGAAGGAGGAAGCCATCTGTCTTCGGTGGATATCTGCGCAGGCGTAGATTGTACTGAGGGATCGTGAAGAGGATGCTGAACTGACTGGCCACGGTAGAAGTCTACTGATTGCACGCTGCCGTCTTCATATCCAACGTAGAATGCGCGGTCAACGGGGTCCAGAGCCACAGATGTTGCGGAGAAAGGCAGGAGGAAGGTTCTCATCGCACGGCCAGTCTGATAGTCCCACGCAAATGCGGTATTATCCTTTGCGGTTGAAACCACAATGTTGTGTCGGCCATTGCTATGTCCTACAGCAAGGGAGGTAATAGCTGCGCGGTGGTTTGAGAAGGTTCGGATAGGCGAATTCGTGGGTTGACGAGTGGCGCTAAGAGCGGGCTTTGAGAATGACAAAATACTAGGCAAGGACCAGACATGTATACTAGCATCAGCCGAGCCGGAAAGAATAAAGTTGGACGTAGGGTCGACAACGAGTGAAGTCACTGGTTGTAGATGGGAAGCTGTCGAGGCGACTTGACGACCTGTACACGTCTAGAAAAGTTGTCAGACGCATGATGACATGGTGGAACGAATAAATCGGATCAAGCATACCTCCCATAGGATCAATCGGCCACCCTCAGTGCCCAAAACCAAGACATCACCATACTTGCCCCCCGCGACAGCAATGCTGCGGATACGCTCCGGAAATGGAACGATGGCCTCTTGGTTTCCCTTTTCGCGGCTGTACACGTGCACCACCGCTTTGTCGGCTTGGGCCGTGAAAATATGCGAGGGGCTGACAGCGAGACAGTTGGGCGAGGTCGAGCTCTTCTTGAAAGTCGATCGCAGTATGGACGTAGGCTGCAATTCGTGGACGCATATCCCTACATCTCTGAGCGAGGCTGTCGGAGATTTGGCAGATGACAGCACCGACGCCACAAATGATTCGGAAAGCATGAGGAATTCTAAATTGGAGAATGAGGCTGTAGAGGAGTTTCAAGTTTCATTCCTGCCGAGCTTTTTTTTTCTAATCGATAACGGGATGTTTGCACTGTTTGACCACGATCTATACCGAGTTTGGAGTGCAGTATGTGATATATCGACTGTGGGCATTGGATTCTGCTAACGCAACCTTTTAAGATTTCTCCGATATCTAATTCAGAGCCCACAACGCTAATGTAGCTAATGTTTCACCTGCTAATGGGCGGTCCTTACAAGAGCTGAAAGCTGGACCTATCCTCCTTAGTCAGCGATAAAGCCCTAGAACCCTCTCAGGTATGAGGTATCAACTTGCTTTTGCTACATATCAATCAAACGGATTCGGTCTGTCATCTTATTCTTGCCACCCAGAATGAAGTCTGACGAATGTGAGCCTGGTTCAAGCATTTATATCCAAGCTCTAGATGAACAATAACATCGGTATGAACCAGGTGACTGCAAGGGATAGACCCCAACGAGAAGAAGGGATGGATTGCCGTTGCAACGAGACACAACATCCAATGAAGACCCACTTCAGTACACCCTCTGGCCGATCCTGTTCCCCTTGTCCAGGGACTTGATTCGCTCCGGCTTCCTTTTGCCCCCTCCCGCATCCCATTTGTCTCATTCCTAGTGCCCACCCGACACCTAGCGATGACGATATTAGGGGACGGATGAGGGTCTCTCCACGTTGACGGGCTCCTGCAGGACAAAGATCGAACTCTGTATCCAATGGTTGTCCGTTCCTCGCTGGTTCATCATCTTTCTTTGGAATGCAAGGACGACGCGACATTCTCACTATTATTACCCTGGCCCGTGCCTAGTACAACTGAAGTTCGGGTTGTGCTTGACGACGGACCCTCTTTACAGCCTGAAGGGGGAATGGTGCTGAACATTTTCGGGGTTCTTAATGGCAGGGTTTGGTCCTGTCAAGGGATGTCCACTTGGGCCTGACCCTACCCACCTTGAGCTACCTGACTAGCGCCACAGTCTCTGTATAAGGACATATCCAGCCCCTGCATGTGTCGGAGATTCTGTTTGTTTTGGCTGATATTAGACTCTTTCTGGATCTCATTCTCATCTGGGTAACTCTTGTGCAACCTATTTTGCTTTTTGCATTTCCAACACGACTGCCTCTTCCAACCGCGTGCACCTTTGTCCACTATGGACTATGGTGTTAGAAATATGCCTAACAATGCATGCTTTCTACCGCCCATTCAAACTCATATAAAGAATCAGAATTCGAACTCGTCTTGTATGAGCCACGATGCAATGTCAACATTTGCGGAGCCTATCCCATCACCACGCCGATGGTCGCCAACCTATCAGCCCCGGAGGCGCAGCAGACAAATACCTTCTTTATCATTTGTCCCGTCGCCAGTCATGCCTCGTATAGAATCGCATGACTACTCAAGCTCGTTACAACGACGCCCGTTAGAACGAGGCCCAGCTTACATGTCGCCATTCCGATCGGTTCGAAGAATGAAAGAACCATTTCAGTTAATGTTACCGACATCTCCAGCGTCGGTTGATAGTGCACCCTGTTTTCCTGAAAAGCCAACCAAGACATCAAAGCCGCCGGCCGGCCACAGTCTGCGAACATGGCGTTCAGATCAAAACTTGACCTGCGCAAGTATGGAAGCATTTGGTCTTCTCCCAAGTCCACCGATATCAGAGTCAAGACCCGCCAGCGCGGGGCCCGAGTCTTCATACTTTGACTCCAGGTCATCCTCCGAATCAGACGACTCCAAGGATGAGGTCGAGACAGAAACTGAGCCTAAAAATGTGACTGAGACCAAGGCCAAGACCTCGCGAGATGAGGAAACAGCCCCGGCTGCCTTATCTGACGAGAAAAAGACTAGCTACCAAGCCTATCGACCTCATGACTGGAAGGAACAGCCGCGAACAGACGTGATGAATGTTCACGAAGCACATTCGGAGTTTGTCCGACAGTGTGAGTCCAACGAGGAAGTGGAATTGAAAGGACCGGATAATTCATCGATTCCGATCACGTCTCCGAAATCAGTCTACAGTGAGAAGAACTTCCCGCCAGGGAGCTCACCGCGACCTCAACGTCCCAGAACTGCAACAGTTTCAAGTGAAGCCAGCTGGGTGCCGAGTAACTTCTCTTACTGTGAGCGCTGGTTACAAAACGTGCCCGTTGATAGGGTAGATGACAAGGATACACCTCCACGCGTTGTCAACCGGCGAAAGGTCCAAATTGTTGAAAATGATCCACCGATGCCAAAGCTGGATATCATCCCAGGTGCTAAAGCTCTAGAAGAGCCTGTGGTAGGTTACTGTAATCCTCCGCTCCTGCCTGAATCATAGCTAACCTTATTATAGCGCTTCGTTGTTGCTAGCAAAACGAAACCAAAACTTGTTGACATCGCTCGACAATCTTCACCATCAATACCGTTACCTCCACCTCCATCTCTGCTGCCACAGCCTGTACCCACAACACCAGATCAACGCCAAGAGGAAGTGTCTGCCTTTAGCCCAGACACTCCACTCGACATGTCTGACAGTGGATATGGTACCCGTGATTCTGGTTATTCAATAGAGAGTTACGATGACAACAAAGATTATGACGACGCCTATACAGATCCAGGGTCACTGACCTCGGACAGCGTTACGTCTACCGTCGTCTGCGAAAGACCCGAATCTTCGCACGAAGAACGAGAAGCATTCCCACATCCCGAAATTAGGTCGGGCAGTGTAAGCCCCAAAGCGTCATCCCAACGGTCACTCCATTCACCGGTGGGATCATCCAACATGTCTGACAAAGAGGACGAGAAGCAACGATTATGGCACCACGAGTGGACCTTGGACGATCACGAATGGACTCTTGATGAGCTGGATCATTCCGTGAAAGACTTCCCTCGACACATGCTTCGCCTCACCTCGCCTGTCATTGTATTCCTTCGCAAAAACGACGAGAAGGCTCTACTAAGACCGTTCCGCACTATTTTCCCCGATGTCACCGAAAATCTCCTCGACTGTCTCTGCGCTGCTCTCCTAGCACGCAACTATCTTCTTTCTCTATCATCTATCCACCGCCGCAAACCCTCCGTTTCGAACAGGAACGAGTCCTACGCTGTCGATGCCGTACCAACAAAAGCCTACAGCACATTAGGGATTCAGATTCCCTCTGGGTCTCCTGCCAAAATGAATAACCGTGTCCTTGGATCTCGCAGTACTGCCCTCCGCCGTGAGCTGGAGCGAATCATTGACAACCTTCTCTTCGCCATATGTGGACGGTCCGACCCTACCCTCAAATCGGCCGTCGAAGTTCTTGTACAGGTTCTTGAAACCAATGCATAGAATTGATAGCTCCTTGCATCTACCTTTCCTTGCCTCTATCAGTCCTTCTCTCGAGACTTTCCTACATTATCTCCTTTCGTCTTCTTCCAATCTCCTTCCACTCTCCTTTCATCTCCTTCCTTGATAATCATCTCCTTTTACTATCCTTAACCGCATCTCTACTATGCTTGATCTTATCTCCTTTTCTCATCCTGGATCCTAACATCCTTGTCCCATCGGTACTATACCGAAACCCTCGCTCATGATAACCTTCTCCTTTCTCTATCTTGTTCGTCTCTTTTCCTCTACTTCATACCCTTGCATTGCGATTCGCTCTTTGGAACTGGTCCTGGTAATTTCGCGTTGTGGAAACAGATTTGTATAATTACTCAAGTAGCATAGAAACAATAATCATAATGGCGTTCTCAACCAGCAGATTCATATCACACCTGTAGTCCCCTATCTGTACCCACGGAAGCTCCATAGTTGCCCGCGTCACTCGGAACCGGGAGGCAAAAATGCTTTGTCATTCCGCGGGAAACACTCACCGCCGGGCAGAATTGCATGAATTGAATTGCGTGCCTCAACTTTCCACCTGCGATCTTCGATAGCAGAGACTCACACCTACACACCATGGCAGCCCCTACAAGAAGCCTACGACACCTGTCATACCTGCGAACCACTGTATCCCCCGCCTCAACCTCAATTGCCCCCTTCGCCCGCCGCACCTATGCCACAACGGATTCCCCATCCGCCACATCCAGCACACCGGGAACCACGCGGCGGCGAGCAACAAAGTTCCAAGATAAGCTGAACGCCGGACCCTCCTTCGCAGACTTTGTATCCGGAGGCCAAGATGAGATCCTCGACCCAGCCGAAGCCTACGCTCTCAAGACCGCAATGGTCGGCCCAGCCGGCCGCAAGAAGGAAATGACCCGGCTGCCGGAGTGGCTCAAAACCCCCATCCCAGACTCAAAGAACTACCAGCGCCTAAAGAAGGATCTGCGTGGATTGAACCTACACACAGTTTGTGAGGAAGCGCGTTGCCCCAACATCTCCGACTGCTGGGGCGGCAGCGACAAATCCTCCGCCACAGCAACAATCATGCTTATGGGCGACACCTGCACGCGCGGATGCCGCTTCTGCAGCGTCAAGACCTCCCGCGCCCCTCCCCCGCTCGACCCACACGAACCCGAGAACACAGCTGAAGCTATCTCCCGCTGGAGTCTCGGCTACGTGGTCCTGACCAGCGTCGACAGAGACGACTTAGTCGACGGTGGTGCGCGCCACTTCGCCGAGACAGTCATCAAGATCAAGCAGAAGAAGCCTTCCATGCTGGTCGAGTGTCTGACTGGTGATTACCGCGGAGACCTGGAGATGGCGGCATTGGTCGCGCGCTCTGGGTTGGATGTGTATGCGCACAATGTCGAGACGGTCGAGGAACTGACGCCTTTCGTGCGAGATCGCCGTGCTACCTTCCAACAGTCGATTCGCGTGCTCGACGCTGCTAAGAAGGCTAGTCCTGATCTTATCACTAAGACTTCGCTCATGCTTGGTCTTGGTGAGACGGACGAGCAGCTCTGGGATGCTCTCCGCCAGCTCCGTGCTGTGAATGTTGATGTCGTGACTTTCGGTCAGTACATGCGTCCTACTAAGCGTCACATGGCCGTTCACGAGTATGTAACTCCGGACCGCTTTGAGATGTGGCGCCAGCGCGCTCTCGACATGGGATTCTTGTACTGTGCTTCTGGTCCTCTGGTGCGCAGCAGTTACAAGGCTGGTGAGTCGTTCATTGAGAATGTTCTCAAGAAGCGTCGTTCTGGTTCCGGTGCTGCTGAGGGTACTGTCAGCGAGAGCACTGCTACTGCCGATGCTACCCGCTAAGTGCTTTTCTTTCCCATTCACTCTGAACAAACTTCCGTCTTTGGTATCCAAACTACCTATACACTTCCACCTGGCCTATCCTATCCTGTCCCATCCTGTTTTGTTTCGACTTCGTGCTCATATCATCTTACCTGCTGGCGCTAGCAATCTTGCATCTTTTGGGTTGTAGGTTTGGGGTTTTCATATAGGGGACTTTTTCTGTTCTTCTTTGCTGGCTCTGTCATTTCAACTTTTCAACACTTCACAGGAAACTACTGTATCATTGCAGTCATTTGTGGGTTGTTCCTGTCTTGTTATCTAATTTCAATATCATGCTGCACTAGAAATCAACTTGGTGCCGTGTTTTACTTTCACTTCACTTATTTTACCTTCACTTCACTTATCATTGTCATAAAACAGGGAGACGCGAAAGGACTTACAGTCCGTGGGTGTATCAATATCATAGAATCATTATTCCAGTCCTGCTCCAAACCTTCAATTCTCAAGTCAACTCTATCAACGGGACCCGCCAGTGGATGTACTAGCCACCAAGGTAGCCTACATCCTTGGCATAGACACAGACGCTCTATAAGGGACAGATGTCACGCACTACCCTTCTTTGCTCCAGACTCTTCTCTCTGCTCCGCTCACGGTGGAATATAAAGGTAAAGGACAGACAAAATCTCGAATAACACTATATGAGAAGAAGTTCAGGTCCAGCCTTGACTACAGCTCTGTGGGGTGCTGCATTGGGCTCAACCGGATCATGGTGGGGGTGGGGGTATAATTTGTCCATGGGAATTGCATGAACGAAAGGGCACAGTTTCTCGCATATGGTATACTGATGGTCTACTGGAATGAGTTTCATCCGTGCCCATTTATAAGCTTCATTGGCTTTCGGAGGTCAGCTCTGCGATGTCCTCGTTGTCCAAGCCGAGGAGGTAGAGGATGTCTACGAGGCTCTCGCCGTTGATGCGGGTTGGGGCTTCGAGCTGCACCTTGGACTTGGCGCGCCAGGCGACGCCGAGGCCTGCGGCGTGAAGCATGAGGAGGTCGTTTGCGCCATCGCCGACGGCCATGGTTTGTGAGAGCGGGATGTTGTGTTCAGCGGCGATGGACTTGAGGAGGGTGCGCTTGTGTGCGGCGTCGACGATGGGGTACGAGGGCACGAGCTTGCCGGTGAGGGTCTGGGTGGCCTCATCGATTTCAAGCTGTGACAGGTCAGATCAAGGCCGAAGTTGAAAAAAAAAAGGAGTTTTACTTACGTGGTTGGCCACGGCAATGTCGATGCCGAGCTGTTCAGCAAGCCACTCTGCCAAGGGTTGGAAACCACCGCTCAGCACAGCAATCTTGTAACCTAGAGCCTTCAATGCGCGGCAGAGCTCACGGGCACCCTTGGCAATCTTCAGAACGGACTTGAGCTTCTCGAAGACATCAGCGGGGACCCCGTTGAGAAGACCAACGCGCTCCTTGAGCGAGGCGGAGAAGTCCAATTCGCCGTTCATGGCGCGTTCGGTGATCTCCTATGTCTATGTTAGTCACTGATACAAGCACACAAGCTCAAGAGAACGTACAGAAACCTGCTTCTCGACACCAATGAACTTGGCGATTTCATCGATGCACTCATTGTCAATTAAAGTGCTATCCATATCAAACACAGCCAGACGCTTATGGCGGCGGAACACGCTCTCCTTCTGCAGGACAACCTCAACATTCCACTCGCGCTCGAAGCGCCAGATGCTCTCGTGCTTGCGCAGATCGGGGAACGAAAGATAGTCCGGGTTTGGCGGGGGAGAGAAAGTAACCTCCACGACGCGCGGGTGCTCGTCGCGGTCCAGACAGCGGTGCGAGGTGTTCATACGCTGATAGGGAGTGGGCAGGCTTTCCAGAACCTGAAGGAAGTTGGTCAAGCACAGCTGCGACACGTAAGGCCCGTATAGGTGATCCAGAGGTTCCGGCTCCGGGACGGGAGGTTCACGGGGCATCTTGTCCATATCTTCTGTTGGAGCCGAGCCCTCAGGGATGATGGGCGGTGGGAGCGGGTTGGAAGTAGACGGCACATCGGGATGAATGTTGGGGTGGACGGGGTGAGAGGACTTATAGTAGATAGTCGCGACGATTTGCGATGTACCGCTAGGGAGCGGGTTTGATTGATGGTTGAAGATGCTGTGAATGACGCCGCTGTCGGTGACACGTTCGGGGTCTGGCTTGATTGGGTTCGAGTTGATTGTCAGGTTCTCGTCCACCTGGCCTGCCAAAACCTCACCAATGTTTTGGTTGATTGGGTTGATTGGGGCCATGGGCTTATACTGCTGATGGTCCTGTAGGAAGGAGCTGCTGCGCATCTGGCCGAGGGATGGCCGCGTGGGACGGTTGGATTCTGCCATGATGGCCTACAAGGAGCGAGGTCTGGAAAGTAGGTAAATATCGCAAGTTACAGTGAACCGTGATCCCGCACTTTGGAAGATCAAAAACGTCCTTTGTCGATCGGGCACGTGGATTCGGTCCCACTAAGCCCACCGCCTGGCAGAACGAGGACCGGTGAGTATACACGTGATCCAGACAAACGTGATGCTATTGCACGTGATGTCCTCCGATCCACCGCCGGGCAGAATTATGAGGTGATGAGGAACCAAACTCCAGCGATGGAGAGAGCTCGTCCAGGTCCACCATGACATATCGAATAATGTATGAACAGGCTTTGCCTCATATTACAGCATGGGCCATCATAAGTCCGGGTATGTTTTGCTCCGAGCTTCTAGAAACCGGCTAACACATCATAGACTAGGGAGATGGTGATCGGAATGATTACACCCCATATTGGTCAGCGTCCATTACCAACGGGGCTCAAAAAGTCAAATATATGCAAGGACTGCATGATTCTACAGCTGTCTCGAAGATATCGGCATTCGACCGGGCAAGTCGATAGATTTATCAGCTGGAATCCCATACAAATTGCTGTACGGACAGCCACTCGGACCCAAGACGCAAGTATTGCGTGCTCATCAACGGCCAAATTTTTCAGCAATTTCGGCCGTTTTGGGCAGGCGGTAGTCAGCAATGTCGTGATTGCGGCAGAATGATGCTGGAACTATCGGATGGAGAGAATGCCAGGCACTGAACCCCGAGATGATGTCGTGATTGCCCCCCGGCTCTTATATTCCCTCTTGTCATCCTTCTTCCTACCATCTTCTTTGAACTTGCTGCTTCATCTCTTGTTCTTTACATACCCTTTTGCATACTTCCTTACACTTCATACACATACATCACAATGCCGGCCAAGACGCCTGTTAGCTACCCCTCTGAGATGGAGGGCATTGATTCTCACGATGCCATGACTGAGTCTGGCTATGTTAGTGCTGGCTCTGGCTCCAGCGAGGACTACGTCCCCGAGATTGTCTTTACCAAGCCTCATCTTCAGTTCCTCAACCGCCAGTTACAATTCCTTGAGCCACAAGGTTCGTTTATGTTCATACCCCCTCTTTAGTTCCTTGTATCTGACTCATTATATAGAGATCCTGAGATGGTGCATTACTTCTCTGCCCCACCTTTTCCAGACCACTGCTTTCGGTCTCACTGGTCTTGTTACCCTGGATATGCTATCCAAGTTGGAGGTGCCCCGCCCCCAGATGGTCGACCTCATCTTCCTTGACACTCTTCACCACTTTGACGAGACCCTGTCTCTGGTCGACCGTGTCCGCAGACGCTACCCCAACAACAACATCCACGTGTACAAGCCTGCTGGTGCTGAGACCGCCGAAGAGTTCAAGGCCAAGTACAGTGACCGCCTCTGGGAAACTGACGATGCTCTCTACGACTGGGTTGCCAAGGTCGAGCCTGCCCAGCGTGCCTACCGTGAAATGAATGTCCACGCTGTCCTCACTGGCCGCCGCCGTAGCCAGGGTGGCAAGCGTGGTGACCTCGACATCATCGAAGTTGACGAGGCTGGCCTTATCAAGATCAATCCCATGGCCAACTGGTCTTTCGACCAAGTCAAGGCATACGTCAAGGAGCACGACGTTCCATACAACGAGCTACTCGACCGTGGCTACAAGAGCATTGGTGACTGGCACTCCACCCAGCCCGTTGCCGATAACGAGGACGAGCGGTCCGGTCGCTGGAAGGGTCAGCAGAAGACCGAGTGTGGTATCCACAACCCTCGCTCCAAGTATGCCCAGTACCTGATGGAGATGGAACGCAAGCGCCAGGAAGAAGCCCTATCTCAGGCTCTGCAGTCCCAAGTGGCTCCTGTTTAATTGCTTATTGCCTTGCATTTTTTTTTCTCCATTGCATACCCTGGGCGTTCTTGTGATACCTCTACCTCTCATGACCTAGCGATTTGTTTTCCTTGGCTGTTTGTGGGTGATTCAATCCCCCGAAAAGTATTAATGTACTTACTTGCATTCCCCAACTTCACCTTCCTGTACATACACGGAGTTGGTACTTAGATCTCGGACCCATATTTGGGATTTTTTGAGACATGATAATGAAACTTGATGATCAATATTCTATTCCACATTCATAAATCAAATTTCCTGTTCTATTTTTGTACATTTTAATACATGTTTGGAGGGTCGATGGCTCGTTTGGCTTCCAGGTGCGTTCTGGAAAACGGTCACGTGTTAGGCCAACCCTAAGTAGATCATCAGGCATCACGGTATCGACCCAAACTGCGATCCACAGCCATACACCTCTAGATCTGTGCCGTCCAAGATTTAAACTAAAAGGATATATCAAGAAAAAGGTCTTTCGCTCCCTAATCATCGCAGGGATAGAGTGAGACGGATTACGATTGAGAACACCTGTAGAATTCTCTGTTCAAAAGTAAGAGGCATATCTTTGACAAGTCACTGACTCAATGTCATTTCTTTCTATGTATACCATGGATCTACTTCTTTCTGATACCCGCGGCCATCTCACACCAAAAAGTGCATGTCAGATCTTCAAGTAATTAACCAAGTCAACCCAAGTCCATACCAGTACAGACGCAAATCACCCCTCAATAGCAGCAACGATCCTCTCTAAAGCCAGGCTCAAGACCTCATAGCCCTGTGTAAAAACAATCCGGAACCACCCATCCTGCTCCGACCCAAAAAGCGCCCCACTAGCCAAAAACACCTTCTTCCCCAACAGCCGCTGCATAACCTTCTCCCCAACATCTCCACCCCTCTCCCCAGGATGCAAGTCACAGAACCTCTTCCCAAGATTCATCCAAACAAAGAACGCAGCATTACACCCAGTGGCATACTCAATTCCATGATCCCTCAAGTACCTCGTCGCATAAGCATACCCTTCAGCCAACAACTCCTGATTCCGCATGATGTACCAATCCGTAAACTCAATATCCTCCAGCATAACCGAAGCAAGATGATCCGTAGGCCCAGAAACAGAAGAATAAAGCGTACTCCCCGCCAAAGCCAAATGCACATCAGGATTCCCCTGCGAAATAATAACCCCAATTCGAATCCCATTCGCGCCAAAATCCTTACTCATGCCCCAAAGCACATGAACAAAACTAGCATCAATAACGCCCGTCAAATCAACAGACAAAGCAGACTCAAACGGCACAGCCGGCGGCACCCCATTATCCACGGTATTCTCAAACGTCGACAGCGCATAGATCTCATCACTAACGAAATGGATCTGATACCGCTGACACAACTGCATCAACCCAACAAGAACATCCCGAGGATAGCATCGTCCGAGTGGGTTATGCGGATGACACAGCATCAGCACTTTAACCCTCTTCCCCGTCCTCTGGAAATCAAGAATCGCCTCTTCATATTTCCCCACGGCGTCAATGGCCAATGGATCCACATCGTCGAATTTGACAGGAACAACCACGGACCCAGTCCGCAACGACAAATCAGGAATGAACATCCCGTAATACGGTCTTCCAAGAAGAATCCCTTCACCGGGATCCGCAAATGCCCAAGAAACATGCTCAAGAGCCGAGGAGAGACCGTTCGTTGGGAGGAGGTGCTCTGCCTGTAGTGGGACGACTGGTTTCAGGTGTCTATTCAGGAATGCCGCCATGGACTTCTTTAGTCGTGTCGAGCCTGACCCGCCTTCGTTGTAGGTTAGGTATTTTGCTGGTAGAGTCAGGGGCTTGTTGATGTGCTCCAGGAACGAGGGGTGCATTAGGGTGTTTTCGGCTACGCCGACGTTTATGTAGCCGTTTGGGTTGGTTTCTGGGTTCCATGTGTCTTTGATGATTTCGTGGAATGGGTTGCTTGATTCGTTTGTGACGACTGTTTGGGCGCGTGTTGAGAGAGTTGAGAGGGGCATTTTTGGGGGTTGGTTTATCCTTGTATGGAAGGTTGGGGATGGATAAGTATGTGGAATGAGTATATCTATTGTCGTTTTTGTAATTTCGTCAGGGTATCCCGGAAGTGGAAGGTTCTAACAAAGTTTTACCCCGCAAATGTTGCTGTGGAGAATAGATCAGAATCCTGCATTTCTTCAATTTTCTATACAGTACGGAGGATATTTGTACTACGATTACTTTGAACACCTCAATTGGCTATTGTTCCTTTGATTTCTACCTCTTGGAGCTGTGTGCCTCACCAAATACATCAAACCAGGGTTAACCAAAAGTCTGCTCCTGCTTAGCACCAGCAACAGGAGCCAGATAACTAGGGCGATCCTTAACATAGAACTCGATATCGATCTTTCCGCCCAGGTTAGCCTCGCCACCATCCAAAGTGCCCGCCTTGATACAGGTCATCTCGGGCATGATCTCGATTTCGGTGTAGAGGCTTGAGCCGCAGGTGGGGCAGAAGAAGTGCTTGTTGATTTTGCCGCTGGCGCCGATGGCGTCGTAGGAGCTTGTTGTTCCTATGTGAGATCAAAAGAAATCATGTCAGATATACATTATTGTGGGTGAGATGGCCTGGAAAGGGAGGCTTTACCCTTGGTCACTTTCACACTGGTGCGGGGAACGACCGCATTGGAGGTAAAGGCACCGCCCGTCCACTATAACAAGATATGTGTATTAGAGTCTCTTCGGTAGTATCCCGGGGTGGAGATTGACATACCTTCTGACAATCAGTGCAGTGGCAAAGAGCGGACAGGTACTTGTCGACTAGAAACGTTAAACTTAACCCAGTTGTGGCCAGCAACTATATCCAGACTTACCATCAGCAGCGTACGTAACGCCGCCGCACAGGCAGCTTCCGGCAAGAGTCATGGTTTGATTGGGCTTGGGGATGTACCTTGGAGGAATACCTTAGGGGAATCAAAGCAGAAAAGCGGGGAGAGTGCCCTTATATACTTGCCGTGTTCCACTCGGTGTTTGTTCCTGTTCTCCCCGCGCTTCAATCACCGAACCCCGAGATTGGGACCGGATTGTTGAGTCTGGGTGGGAAATAGGAGGTTTGAGTCGGGCTAGTTGACAATGGGACTGCGTTCTGGGAGGTTAGGGTTGCACAGCTTTATTGCCTTGGTATGGACCTGTCAAGGACGTGGAAAAGCCAAGGTACGTTATGTGCCTACTTGATGCTATGCGGGAGATTAAATGAGCAGGCGGGTAAAGATTGGCATCATTTCGAAAAATAAGATCCTGCTTTATGTACAACGATAAAAGCAGTAGAAGAATGGTCCAACGCCGGTTTCTACCACAACAACGCAAAAATCAGAGATAGGAAAAAAAGGCAAGTTGACACAAGACAGCACTGGTATATCACTTCAAAATAAATCCATGTGAGAAACGTCATAAAGAGTAGACAAGAGAGAAGGGGATCAAGGAACGAATAAGGACGAGGGTATAGAGAGATGGCCGGAGGAGGAAAGACATTTCAAAGTTCTCAGAAGAATATGAGTATTGACAAGAAATTAAGTGTTATGTCTCTTGCTCAAAACACTGGCACTTGACAAGTGGTTGATACCCAGAGAAGATCAGGCCTTAGGTTTTTGGTTTTTTATGTGTACCATCACTTGTGGACCCACTGTCTGGGCTTTTCCTTTTCTTGTCTTGTTCGTCTTCTCGAGAAAAGCTGGGTCCACTGGGTACTGCCGGAGTTGGGAAAGTGAGAGGACTCGGCAGCATGTTGGAGTCGGGACCGGAACGACCAAAGCCCCATTCGGGGAAGAAGCTGGATGGCGAGGGAAGTAGGGCATCGGACACAAAGCGGCTCGGAAGCGCAGATATAGGGGTCTCTATATTATTTGAGTTCCCGTTGTTGTTTGGATTTCCGCTATTGCTTCCATAGGAATCATTTCGAGTTGCTACCACGGGCGGAGGTGGGCGTGCAAATGGATTTGGAGGGCCCGAAGCCCCCGCGCTTAATATTGCACCGGCTGAGGGCGACGGAGGGGGCAACACCACACCTGAGGGACCATTCTCTGCACTTCCTTTCGCCGGAGTAGAAGACTTGTTACCAGCAGAATCACGCGATGATTCGGCTGTAGCACTGCCTCCATCGGAGTTTTCGCTCGGGATTTGAACCTTCAGCTGTGGTCTCTTCGAAGGCAGTGTACTACTATTTGTTCTGGATGGTGGCTTGATATCCGACGAAGAAGCGACCGAGGGTGGACGTGGTGTCTCCGTAGCAGCCCTAACGGGCATCGATCTTGTCCCAGGCGATGCTTCAGACCGAAGGGAGTGGCTATTGTGAGGGAGCTCATATGACGATGCTCCGGCTCCAAAATGGCGGGCAAGCACGGAGCCTCGATCATCAATAGGCGTGAAAATGCTTCGCGATTTGGATAGAGATTTCACTTGTGGTGGCGACTGGCTGTGTTCTGTTTTCATACCACCTGAATCATCCTGGGGTTGAGAAATCGAAGGTCGTTCTTGTTGGCCATCGGGTGCAAATCCAGGGGGCATTGAACCTCGACCATGTTCTTGCATATAAGCCTGCTGCACCTGCTGCACCTGTGCATGAGACCCCGGAGGCATTCCTACAGCGTGAGCATGCTGTGGGAAATGCTGCGGCGGCTGATGTTGAGGTGGCATTTGTTGTGGCAGGCCGTGTGCGTGCATGGGAGGTGTTCCTTGATGCGGTCCTGGTGGATGTCCAAAGTGTGCGTATTGTCCAGGTCGAGGCTGTTGATTCATCGGATGAACATTCTGATTGTACATCGGTGGATTGGATATGTAAGTAAAGTTTCCGTTCTGGGGAGCAGGGGGTGGCGGTGGGGTGCCATGCTGTTGCGGGCCCAAGTTTGAACTGACTCGACGAACGTGATTCCGGGAAGAGGGACGGGATGCTTGTGATTGAGGTGTACCATGTCGCGTTAGTGGCATGCCACGGATCGGAGGAGATGCGGACGGGGCGTGGTTCATATGTTGGAAAGCAGGCTGGTTCTGGAGATGAGGGGGGATGGCGGGGTGGTTCTGTTGAACGGCTTGGATATCCTCGGGAGCTGGCGACGCCTCGTCTTCTTCGTCATCGTCGTCTCTCTTGCCCGCAAAGTCTTCCCGTCCTTTGTGCTCATGGGGAGGGCCATACTAAAATATCACACTCGGTCAGAAGAGTCAAAATGAGCGCAGTATGATAACCCACATATTGGTAGCGACCAAGAGCATCGTGCATATCACACGAGGAGTACTCGTATAGTTTCTTGTTGTGACCGAAGATAATAACGGCTACGTCGACGGAACAGAGAACAGCGAGCTCATGCGCCTTCTTAAAAAGACCACCCTTTCGCTTCAAGAATGTGCTGAATGAGAAAGCTCTAGTCAGTTATGAGTCCAGTCGCATACTCGATAGCTCAACTTACACTGAGCGGTTGCGGTCATCCTTGATGGCCTTGATCTCAATCTTTCTCCGACCCATGATGGAGGGCTATGGGCGCACAAACTGCGCACCACTAGAAAAATTGAGAGGAAACAGCCCAGACAGCTGCGGAGCGACTTGTGAACTACTTTGCGCGCTTATTTTTTGTTCACAGTTGATGCAAACCCGACGCGATGGCGATCGTGATCGCGCGATGGCGAACAGCGCAAAAAGCTAGAGAGGTTTCGCCCTTTCGCGCCGATTGAATTGAGAGTATCAGATCGGCCAACAAAGAACCCTGAACGTCAAAGGTATGTCTTTGAAGAACGGATGAAACACACTAGAGACTCGGTCGGCGGTTGGACAACGCGACTCGAGTGAGGATGGAAGAACAAGGCCCCTCGGAGTTCTTAACAAAGCGAACCCGAGGAGAACCAAAAAAGAAGGAAGATCCAAACACAAAGTATGGGGAGAGATTGACGATGCAGGGCAGGGTTCTAAAGATAGAATCGAGGGAGAAAGAGAAAAGAAGATTCGTGCTGACTCAGCCCCGTGGCCTTAGGCGCCGAGCTATAATTATCTCAAGTCTCAGTCCCTGGCCCTGCAGTGGCTTGTCACAGTGGAGTCGACCCTTTCGTTTCCTATTGGTATGTTTGTCGCTGGCCTTCTGGAGCTCGACAAGGTCACAGGCATGGGTCCATGATGTCAGGAGATATAGACACTATGGTATTAGACTATCATAAGTTCACAGATTAGATCTATATAATCTCTATATGAATTAGTAGATGCTCTCGAATATAATTTGGAATTCTACTATGTTCCACTATGTGACTTTACTGTATATGGCAGGCCTTGTTACAAAGTCCATACTGTAGACTCCTGATTTCCTTCTCCTGAGACTGACAAATGCCGCGTGATATACCCAGCCCTACATATATTGCCTGCTTTCGAATCTGCGATGGTACAATGTTGATATGAGAATGATTGCATCATGAGTACAATGTGCTGCCAGAGAACATGCTCTCGTTAGGTACCAATAAACACTATACCTGCTGTACACAGTCACTCATCTGAAACCATTGATTGGTTCCAGCGCGGCACAACTGTTTGACCAGTCGTCGCGATCGTCGCCCGGAGATTGGCTATAGAAATCTCATAGGTCTAGAAAATACAAGTTGACCTGAAGAAATCAACGGTTAGGCGTGAAATATAGTACCTTGGGTCTACAAACCCGGATCCTCGACTGCATGTATGATCAACGTCGGTATCATCCATTTTCTCTCTCGCACGGTCTCCGATCATTTCCATAATCTTGAGATCTTGGGGGAAATTAAACGTGAATTCCTTCTTTGTGTGGCTAAGTCGAGACCGGGTAAGTTAGTCTACCGTTTATCGTTTACCCCTGAGCATCGCGACTTCGTGTTCCTCATTTTTTCTTTTCTTCTCCCAACGTCTTTTCTCTCCTTTTTCCTATCTCTTGGGACTCTCTGGTTTTCGCTCTTGCTAGAAACATCGGATTCTAGAGGGATCCTGAACTTATTCTGAGCCTGTTCCCGGGGCTGCAGGACATCCCGGACACGCCTAGACTTTTTTTTTTTTTATCTACCTGCTTGGTTCAATTACGTGTCGGTCTGCATCTTCGCACAATTGAAGCGTCCACTAATTTTTTTTTGTCTGCGCAGAAGCAAAAAAAAAAAAAAAAAAGCGGAACTCACGTCTCCCCCACGTTTATTGACACGCCGAAGTCGACGCCCTCAATATGTCGTTCTTCTCGCGAGTCTTCCGAAGCAAGGACTCCAATGCGACGAAGAAACAGGCAAAGCCCACCGCAGCTGTAGATTTGGGCCCTGCAAAGCCCAAATGGACCGATGCGTGGCAGCGGACAGATGTCGCGCCGGAGGAAGTGCAAGACCTCGTACGAGGTTGCGTGCATGAACTAAAGGCTCGAGGTGGGTGAATTTATATCTTGACCGCGTGGAATGCTAGCTGCCACACGTACATATTCTTCGGATTGCTGATAATTTGTTGCAGCCCTCGACACCCCGTTCCTTCTCCTGCCATTCCGTCCCAGCTCCGATCCGAGTGCGGCTCGCACGTTCATTCGCAATTACTTCAACCAGTCGTTCGAGAAGGGTTCGCCTGTTAGCGGCGATGACTTGGCACAGGAGCTTCGGCTCACGGAGCCCATGGTGAGGATTACAAGCCAAGGGAATGCCAACAACCACTAACAATGTGGATAGGTTCTGTGCAGTGTGATGAAATGGTGCTGGAGCAGGCTTCCCGGCGGAGTTGTCACTTGGGAGGCATATGAACTCTTCAAGGTTGGCGAACAAGGTGAGTGCGATTGAAATGCGGGGAGGAGCTGAGCTGATGCGATCAGATTCGGATATGGCCCGCGATGCTTTCTCGACTTTCATCCCCATCAGTGTCGACTCGGATGCGCGCACCAAGATCATCTTCGACTTCTTCGATCTTTTAGCTGCCATTGCTGCTCACGGAAAGTCCAATGGCTTGGGAGGTCGCAAGCTGTCTCGTTACGCTGGATGGTGGGCGTTCGAGCATGTCGACACGGGCAATGGATTCGAAGCTGCTTACAAGAACTGGGCCGCGTATGGACTCCTACAGATGATTCTAGAGGATATACTAATATTCATATCTTCAGGGCTGCTGATGCTACAAGTCACCTATTCTTCGCCTACCTTCGTTCGCTCTCCCCGGATGTGCCTCGCGGCGTGACCGGCATCTCTTCGCTCCCTATCTCTCTCCAATCCCTCGTCGAAGCTACCGAATACCCCCCAGAGACACCTACCTTGTTGCAGGTCACAACCACAAAGGTGGTGATGATTGTCGAGAATGTTTCCCCGACACCATTCTCTCTGCTGCGACGCGCAAAGAACTTTGAATACCGCGACGATGACTGGCACCTGCAGGAATTCGCAAACTACGAGGACCCTATCCGCGCATTGACCGACGAGTGTCTCCGTGTTCTGAAGTGTATCTCGTCTGCGAACGAATCCAGTGTCTCCAGCTCCAAGCAGTCGACCAGTCTGCGCGACGCATCCTGGTCTCGTTTCGAGGATATTGGATTTGGTGGATCGATCGAGTCTGACGGAGACGAGGAGGAAACTAAGGAGAACCGCGCACCCGCTACTGCCAAGAGTGCAGCTACCTCAATGAACACCGTTCCTAAGTCTGGAGCAGGTGATCTTGGCCGTCCTACCACTCCTTCGTGGGCCGACTTTATGTCCTCTGGATTTGCGGATGAGAACGGCAACCTCAAGAACAATGTGGCCCCCCTGCTCTTGCCTCCTGATAAGCAGCTGCCTCCAATTGCTGCTGTTCGTGGCCAGAGCTCTCAATCCCACAAGCGCAGCTTGGACATTGAGCCCGATCTTGAGCCCGCTGAATTGGCCAGTATCAATACCCTGGATCTGGACGACTCTTTCTGGTGGGTGTGGATCAGCAGTCTGTCTGGCGATGAGCCCTCGGCCCGTAAGGCAGTATTCGGCCGATGTGCCCTTCTCGAGACCGTCATCCGCAACACCAAATGGTTGATCCTCGAGGAGCAGGTGAAGGGCGCTGCCCCCGAGCCTGAAGCTGGTGCGCAGATTGTCGAAAAGAAGCGATTCTTCAGCTTCGGCAGCCGCAAGGGAAAGCTCAACCGACGCAAGTCATCTGCCAAGAAGGTCTCTTCCATTGAGGACTCTTACAAGCGATCTAACAACCAAGCCCCTCAGAGCAAGACCAGCATTGGTCCTGATCAGCACAAGCGCATTCAAGCAGCTGCGGCCGCTCTTCAAAAAAAGCACCGTGAACAGGAGGCAGAGGCGAACCAGAACCCTGCCAACGCCGTTAACAATCGTTATTCAACTAAGACTAACTCGGTCATGACGCTCCAGCCGGGCATTATGAACGAGGCTTCCCAGGCCATGAAGTGGACTACCAACTACGATAAGGGTGCCTTCAGAGCGGCATACCTCAGTAACACCCACGCTGGTACCGGCGCCCAGGATGAAATTGACCCTCCCACTGAGCCTGCTACCCCTGAAGCTCCCGTTGAGAAGCCTAGCACTCTTGCTCCTGTAGAGAGCACTACCAAGGATGCACCAGCACCACCTCCCAAAGACACAGCTGCACCTGTTGCCACCCCTCTTCCTCCATCCCCTGAGCCAGCCAAGAAGACTGTCAAGGTCACCAGCCCCGAAGAGGAAACGGCTAACGCAACGCCCGCTGTCGCTGAAAAGCCCGTCGAAGCCAAGGAGTCATCAGAGGATTCAAGCAAGAAGATAAAGAAGAAGACCGGCAACTCTGGCTTCAAGAGCATGTTCACTGCCAAGAAAAAGGCCGACCAACCTCCTATGAAGGACACTGGTGCGACCTCAGCCGTGGCAGCAGCCCGTGCAGCCCTCGAAGCCAAGACCAAGGCAGCCCAGGAAACACCTGTGGTGAAGAAGCCCCTCCCAAAGGAAGCTGCCGTCGTGGTCGAGCCCGTAGCGGCTGAGTCCAAGCCCTCAACTCCCCATCATGTCGAGGAAGCTAAGGCGGAATCTGTGGTTGAGCCGCCGACCCCTACCCGACCTTCCATCTCCCAGGATGGGAACGGTGCGCCGCCAAAGACCAGACGTGCTGTCGAATACGATGCCCTGTCTCGCGTTGGCACCCACGAACGCGCTGCCGCCGACCAAGAGTTCTCCAAGTTCGACCAGGGCCCTCTTCTTGACCAGCCTGCCTTTGTCCCGCAGTCACCTGTGTCGCATGAGCATCCCACCCACGCAGAAGAGAAGACCGAGCTCCCCCAGGCCCCGTCCAATGGCCACACCACCAGACCTGAGACTAGTACTTCGTCTGAAGCCGCTCACCCCGAACAGGACCGGTGGAGGTCGATCCGTGAGGCTGCTGCCCAGCGGGCTGCCGCTGCTCAGGAAGAGCAGGAGCAGGAGCAAGAACAGCAGACTGAGACTACGACCCGGACTAGTCAGTCAGAGCGTACTGACGAGGGAGATACTAGCGGAGAAGAGAGTGAGTATCCAGTACTTCTGTCAATTAAGCGCGCAATACTAACCATTCTATCTAGCCATCGAGTCCCGTGTCGCCCGCATCAAGGCCCGTGTGGCTGAGTTGACCGGAGGCAACATGGAGGTCGAGCAGCAGCGCTCTTAGACGCTACTTGTACCAACCTATGTTACCTCCAGTCACTGCAATCCCACCGACAAGACAAACCCGTCTTATCAGCCCCCCTTCCAGCATATACCCTTCTCCCAACCAGGCCATCTTGGTCGTCTGTGCTTTTCGACCCTAGTCTGCTAAACGACCGCAAGACCCATTTACAGCAATGGGCAGACTAACGAATCTCGCTAAACGATTAACGGATACTATTTGGTTGTGACAGTTGTCCTTCTACACTTTTCCTTTCTCTTCAAATCTTCTCCAGCCCTAATCTGGTCAGATATCCCCCTTTCTCACCCTACCTTGAAACTTGATCCTTGAACTTGATTTTGATCTCGATTGATTTCCCCTCCCAACCTACCGAATTTTTGTTTTCTTATTTGGTTATTACTGTCTGTCACTTTGTTCTATTCCCCTTTTGCTTTGTTCATACTACCATGTTACTATGGGGTTCAGGTTGCTAGTTGCTACCAATATGAATCGTTTCTGTTTTTGTCTTTGGTTTATTTTCTAATTTCTTTTTTTTTTTCGGATTGAAATCTGGCACACACAACACCTTTAATTTGGATTGTATCCTACTTGGAGGGATACAATCAAAAGCCTGGATAATAATACTAGGATAATTCATAAACAAGTCATATTTGGCGTAATGTTACTTTATAACCCAATCCTAACCCTAAGTCAAGTCAAGTTGAGTAGTCAAAAGTAGCTAACTCAATCAAGAACATACATATTCAAGATTACCCTAAAGTCCCAAAGCCTTCAAAATCTCCTCCCCAACCTTCCCAGCCGAAGCAGGATTCTGACCAGTGATCAACACACTGCCCGTCCCAGCAGCCTTCCCAACAACGACCTTCTCCCCCCAAGGCTCAGCAGCCTTGACATATTTCCCACCAGAGACCTTCCCAAGCTCCGTCTCCAACATAAACGGCATAACAGACGACAACGCCACAGCATCCTCCTCATCATTCGAGAATCCAGTAACCGTCACGCCAGAGATGAGACGCTCACCCGAGGGTGCCGTTGCGTTAAGCAGGACGCAGGGTGCGTGGCAGACTGCTGCGACGGGTTTGTTTGCGGCAGCGAAGGACTGGATTAGACTGAGGGAAGTCTTGGAGGTTGTCAGGTCGAACATTGCTATTGATTTGATGTCGTCGTTAGTATATCCATTTCTTTTCTCTTTCCTTTTTTTGATGTGTGGGGGGGGGGGGATGGTGTTGAATACATACGTCCATGACCACCAACATAGAAAATAGCATCGAACTCGCCGACGCGCGGGATCATATCTTCCAGCTTGTGTGTGTTCTGCCAGAGAGCTTTTTGTTCTTTTAGGAATTTTTGCGATAGCTCGTCTGATTCAAACATCTTTACCGAGGCTGGGTCTAGGGGTGCTTCGCCGCCTTTTGGCGAGGCGATTGTTAGGGAGACTTTGTTTTTGAGGACTTCGTGGGGGTGGGCGAATTCGGGCTCGTATTTGTGTTAGTTTTCTTCTTTTTTGATACACTGTGTGTATAGCTATGTAGTGTTTAGTGGTTACATACCAAGAACCAGCCGGTTGGGTTACCAGTGGCGTCGATCTTGCCGTGGGACGTGAGGACGACGAGGACTTTGGGGGTCATTTTGGTGGATGTTCTGGGGATGAACTTGGATGGGAGCTGAAGATTGTGACTAGTATATCTGTTTGAGAGAAGAAATAGGATTTAGAAGGCAATACGGAGTAGCTAAGAACTTTATGGGTTTTGGATTGCCCGCTTGCGGGGAGTCTGGGGGCGACCATATATCACTATATCGTCACTGCCCCACCGCTAAGTGAACCATGCAGACTCGAGCCAATTGAAAGATGTATAGAGGACATCTCTCTACCTCTACAGAAATGCGGTGGGCTAGGCTCTGTGTAGCTTACTCGAATGTTCCTCCGACTCAACTATAAGATGATGTCATACTAGAACTAGACATGAAAGTCTCCGAGGGGACCTTGCAAATTGAATATTTCGAATCTTCAGTCATTAATAATTAAATTGTAATGTATATCATCAGTGTATGTGCAGATGTCAGGCATAAAACTTGCCAGAACAGAAAAGTCATTTGGGAAACTGGTCATGTCAAAAGGTCAGAAACTCAATCCACTGTACATCTAGATAAAAGTACACAAACGAGCATTCCAACCCGCAGTCGGGATAGACTCGTATGCAAATGCATCGGGTATCGATCAAAAACCAATGGCTATCGTCGCAACGGATCGTAATTTTGGAGGGGGTGGGAAGAAATGCCACCTTTGATTTGCTGGCTCACATCATAGTATGTACCGCAGTCGTCGGGTCGCCTCGGCAGCTACCAGCGCGCTGATCGCGCCGATGAAGAGACAGATGGCGATGGCGTTGGGCCTGTCTTTGTCCAGGTTCATCCACTGTGTATCAGAGGTGTTGTCTGTTGCAGCCCCGGGGCCAGGTTCGAGGATGCTGAAGACGATCCAACTGATCATCGTGCCGACGAATTGGGGGAGGGTTGTGTACACGTTGAGAACGCCTAGATAGATACCGGCCAGTTCGCCTGTTGAGGGAGTGTTGGATGATGGGTCCTCCTCGTCGGTGTCACTGTCGAATGAATCGCGGTGGTTGAGTCTGAGCACATCCAGCTCCGTGTCGGCCGATGAGTTGGCGCGTAGACTGGCCGATGTGATCATTGTCACGCCAGAGTGCGAGCTGGGCATTGCGGCTGCAGCACCCATGGTTAGTTTGTTTATTTCTACGCCCATGAAGGCGAAGGGAGCCCAGCCACTAATCGCCCAAGGGATACCACACACTGCTACCAGGGAGGTTGCGAAGGCTCGGGAATGGGCCAGGGGAGCGAAGATCATTGTTGCAGCAAACATGATCTGTGAGATTAACCAGGCTGTTTGGAGATCGGGTCGGAATGCAGTCATAGCTTTTAGAGCAGCTGCAATGCCCGGAGGAGGTCGTGGGGTGAATCGCGTCCGCTTAGTGTCAGGCGGCTGGATACAGAATGGTAGAAGAACGGAGCTTAAGAAGGTGATGGATGAAAAGACGGTCAATGACAGACTGCCTACACGGCCGACTTCGCCGAGCATATCGGTTGCCTTGGCCATGTCGTCTTTAGGGACTTCATAGCGGAAGTAAGTCTCGCCAACCCAGGTCGTGCTGTAGAAAAGGAAGGGGAACCAGCCTTAATAATGTTAGAATGTGATTCTCACGTAGCACAAGAGTTTCATACCGATCCAAGCCCAGAATTGAGCCCAGCAAATTGCTTGAATACGAGGCGGCAGTTCGAAGGTCGTCTTGAACAACTGGGAAAGGACCTGGAAAGCACCAGCCTTTCCATCACCATCCCTATTATGTCCAGTTAGTTGAGGCAATTTGAAATTTTCGAGCAAACCCACCTTGCTGAGATGAGAACACGCTCTTTCACCGAATAAGAAGTGACAGCGACGGCGCCCACCAAGGACAAAGCAGCGATGACGGTCATCTGCTTAAATTGCGTATCTCCAAGGAGACTGCCAAAGATACTGACAGTATCAATGGAGCCGACCACATAAGCAAAGAGTTGGCCAATGGCGCACATTCTGCCGGCTAATATAACTGTCAGTGTTTTAGACTGAGACATATGGGGAAAGACCATACCCCATGCGGATCCAGCTTGCTGCAATGGAATCGGTAGCGTATCCACAATCAAACTGCGACAACACGCCTGAACTATACAATTGTAAGCTATTGTACATAATTTGACAAATGAAGTCTGCCACTTACCAACATTGATGGAGAAATCCACCGCATAGATACTGATGATGGCCAAGGCAATTGTGCCATTCTTAGCCTAATGAAACACATGTTAGCTTCTAAAACATACTTCATCCAGTGGAGACGGTATGGAAATGTACCTTCTCAGGATCCTTAACAAACAACCCAACGATCTCCGCCGTCCATCCCAAGATGAACAGACAAAAAGCCACAACAAAAGATCCAAAGACCATGAAAGGTCTCCGACGACCCCATTTCGACCGCGACCGATCGGCAATAACACCAATAAGAGGCTGGATGATCAACCCAGATAGAGGGCCAGCAATCCACACCAACGAAGTCTTAGACTTGGTCAAACCAAGCTGTAGAAGATAAGGTGTACAATCTACTCAGACAAACGAGTTAGCGAAAAGTGACAATCCACAGGATCAACCTCAAATAAGGTATGGTGGATCTTACAAGTCATCTCAGTACCCCAAGTAAACCTATTCCAAACACAACAGTCAGCAAAACCATTCTTCCCAATCAATTATCCTCCAGGACCTGTGAACTAGCATAACGCAAGACCCTAGCAGTCCACGGGGGCGGGGGATGGGAAGAAAGATACGCACTGCAACCCAACCAAACTAAACGTCAACAAAGCCATCCGGGTCGCCTCAGACCGTCCCTTAATAGAGGGCGTCCCCGCCCACCTCGCAGTCTGCGGCATTCTGATTATCCACGGGTTGGCATGCGCTCAGCGTCCTCCACCTCTACCTAGGTATCCGAGGAAACAGTGTCCGTATGCGGATTCGTATGCGGATGCGAGCGCAAACGAGAATGTCGCCAGTGATGTCGTCGGCTGGATAGGCGCTATTCGGAATTGAATTCAGAGACTGAGGTATGGACCGGGTCTTCCGTGGTGTAGGATATGGTGTGGCGTTCGTTTTGGCGTCTGGGGTGTGTCGCGTGAGGATGGGGCTTGTTCGTGGGGGGCTAATGACAGCAATTGGCGCGTGTCCACTGGAATTTGGATTGGAGGTGGCGGTAGCGGAAGTTGTGTTGTTGGCTATGGGCGAGTTGACGATAGGAGGGAGGCTGGACTGCTGCCTGTAGCTGTCAAGCTGAGAAGAGAAAGAAGGAGAGAAAATCGGCATGGCCTGAGCGGGCCCTTATCGATTTATTATTAATTTATTTTAACCCCACGGGCATCTGCCGATCTGTTTCAGGGTCTACATTTGTTTCTGTTGATTTACATTAGGGCACTTGCTTCAGCTCTATTGTCTGGAGCTGGCTATTGTCTGTTTGCAGAGCTGTACATGAACATGTCAGTTGTCACTTCATTGGCTGAGATGAGATCGGATGACATAATCTTGGTCCCTGGATGCCAATTATAGAAACACACGGGATGAACGTGGGACTAAAAGGGATACAGTCTAAGTATCGAAGTATGAAGAGAGCATATAACAAGCGTAAGTTCTTTCATTGCGTGCGTCGCATCCAATGTAAATTGGATCTGTAAACCGAATTTAAGTATCACAGTGTGAAGCGCCACCTGTTAGGGCCGGCCGACCCAACAGGAGAAAAAAGAGATTTTAATTCCTTCATATCCCAAATCCGCTTCCCATAATCGTCGTAAACAGCTTATACCCCACTGATCTACAACCGGTTGGGGGCAGAGTTCGTAACAGGCCACTGGTAGCCAGCGGCGTCGCTGAACTTGTAGCCGTACGAGGCAGTGAAGTCATCGAGGACGGCAGGACCGCGGGAGCCTACATATCAATTAGTTATTTGCCAGGACAGGTCAAAGGAGAGATGCGTACCGTAGGGGTATTCCATGGGGATGATTTCCTTGTTGTCATCCAGGTAGTGGAGGAGGGGAGTGAACATGCGCCAGCTGGCATCCAACTCGTCATCACGGACGAAGTTGGAGTGGTCGCCCTTGAAGGCGTCCAAGATCAGGGACTCGTAGGCCTCGGGGATCTTGAGGTCGGAGAAGCGGCGGCGGTAGGTCAAGTCCAGCTCGGTAACCACCGTCTGCATGGACAGACCGGGGAGCTTGGAGTTCATCTTAATGTAGACGGACTCATTAGGCTGGACACGGATGACAAGCTCGTTACGGGGAATGTCCTTGAAGATACCGGAGGTGACATCCTTGAACTGGATGCGCACTTCGGTCTTCTGCTCGTTCAGGGCTGCTGAGTGTTAGCTATTATTCCAAATATCCAGAGGAATCAGTTCTTACCCTTTCCGGCCTTGAGGATGAATGGAACACCGTCCCAACGCTCGTTCTTAATATATGCGACCAGCGCGCAGAAGGTGGGGCAGCGCGAGTCCTTGGGGACGGTGTCGTCCTCGAGGTAACCGGGCTTGCTGCCGTCGAGGGAGCGGCCGTACTGGCCAATGATGACGTTCTTGGGCTCGATGGCATCCATAGCGCGGAGAACACGGACCTTCTCGTCACGGATGTCCTCGGAAGAGAAGGAGATGGGGCGCTCCATAGCGAGCAATGTGAGGACCTGCAAAAGATCTAAAAACTGTTTAGCGTGGCCCTGTTTCACCCTGTTTCATTAATGCGAATTGGAACTTACGGTTCTGCATGACATCACGGATAATACCGAACTCATCGAAGTAACCGCCACGGCCCTCAGTGCCGAAAGGCTCCTTGAATGTGATCTGTAGTCGAGGTCAGAAGTCGAAATCAAGACCGACATACCCATCAACATACCTGAACGTTGTCGATGTGGTGGCGGTTCCATGTAGCGTTGAAGAACTCGTTGCCGAATCGCAGGATCAGGATGTTCTTAACCATCTCCTTACCGAGGTAGTGATCGATACGGAAGATCTCCTCCTCCTTCCAGTTGGGGTCCAGGGCCTTCTGGAGGTCGCGTGAGCTCTGAAGGTCCTTACCGAAGGGCTTCTCGACCTGTAGAACAATCGTATCAATATGTGATCCAACAAAAAGCACCTGGGTGACGGACAATAATACGGGCAAGACCGCTCTTGGGGTAGCAGTTGCGCTTGAGCTGCTCAGAAACAGTAATGAAGACACTGGGAGGAAGAGCCATATAGAAGACACGGTTGGACTCCTTTCCTTGGCGGCCCTTCTCGATCTCTTCGAGGTGCTTGTTCAGGTTGATAAAGGAGTCATCCTGGTCGTATTGGCCGGAAACGTAGGTGCAAAGCTTGCAGAATTGGTCTAATTGCTCTTCGATCTCCTTGGTGGGAACCTTGATGTAAGAGCGAACGCGCTTGAGGTATTCATCGTGCTCCATCTTCGTCCGCGCATATCCGACGATCTTAATGTCCTTAGGAAGGAATTTGTTGCGGAACTATTTCGTAGCGTCAGTCGACTGGAACTATTTTGATCAGTAGAAACATCACATACAAGGCCGAAGAGTGCAGGGAACTGGAACGAAGTTAGCCAATGCTCGTCATATCCTCGGGGGAGGGGTACGAACGGTCTTCTTCTTCGCCAGATCACCAGACGCGCCTAGTACGACAATGATGGTATCATCTTTGAGTTCGATGGTGCTTAATGCGATATCCATTGTTAGCGGTGTTGCGTCGAATCGACCGAGGAAGAATTTGCGGTGCACGGCGGCAGTAGAGGGGCTCAGCAGGGAGCTCTCGGAGTAGACAATGCTTGCGAAAGTACCCAGGGCAGAAATCGGAGAAATTCAAGATGGAGGCAAAGTGTCCTCTCACAAGTGCAATGGACCAGGTGTTTGAGATGAGGTATCCGGTGGGCTTCCGGAGGGGGGAGTGATGTCAGAGACAGGAGGGGGAACAACTCACCCAGCACTCTGGCGATCATCGGCTTGGGCGACCATGCCAGACATATTGAAATCGCTATAGGAATGAAAAATTGATGGGAAAGATGAAAAGGAAAGGAAGAGGAAGACAGAATCCGGCGGAGTACTTTTTCTACGGTCTCTCACAGCTTCGGCTGGTGGGGCTTGGGGGGGGGGGGTATTTTATGTGTTTTATGACTTCAGGGTAATTACTGCCCTTTTTCTCTATGACGATAGCCTATGACTGATCCTTTGCTTTTTTTGGTCTTTAAACTATTTAGTCTCGGCCCTACTCCTGGCCTGACCCTCTCAAGGAAATTGCCGGTCTGCCGACTTATATGCCTTTCTGTTGCTTAACTCCGGTCTTCAGGATGACCCATTGCCACTCTGGTCTAGGAGGGCCACTTTAAGATCCCACGGGATCTTACCCGGTCTATCTAAATACCACTGACCCCGCGTAGCTTACTTTAGACTCGGCCTACCTCACCTCGAGGGTGTGCAACGTGACGTTGCTTATGCCGGACCAATTCAAATTATTCAGACAGTTCCTCAAGTCCTCAACTCCAGGGTGGTCATCTGGTAAGTCAACTCACTAGGCGCGGATCACATTGTCCGAACAGGCTGAATTCGAGGGTGGAGCGGAGCGTATTGAACAGCTTTGCGGTCAACTACGTACATCTACGTACAAGGGGTGTATGAAGTGGAGCTACTGCATGATAGGCAAGCCACCTTGAAGTGTGACATCTCCACTGAGCCTATGTATCAAGAAACACTCAAATACCGAGCACGCAACGTGATAAGAGAGCTCTACGGAATACCGGTGACCGAAATCGTGGGGAGCGATCGGCGCATTTGTCATCTCTCATACCAGACGGATTCTATTTTCCCGACTGTTAAGTCCGGTTGAGGTGTGAGGCTTTCAATCTATACGTCCGAATCCGGAGCATATTAACCGTTGAGTGTGACCTGCCCCTCGGTATATGTCCTAGTCCGGTTCGGTGAGTGAGAAAAGCGACCGCTTAGGAATTTCCCCGAATCTGGGATTACATCTTGAGTGTAATCCCAACATGGTGGGGCAGGGGATTTTCTAGATTTCCCAATAAGTGGTCTCGGTCTGATGTATGTAGATGTGCAGGTGTAGATATCGCGGGCGAGTGGTGCATTGTCAAGCTACTGTATTGTCAGAGCAATATGTTCAATTTGAACTCTATTCCAGCACAATTAATTTCACTTCCCCCAATTCAAAAGACCCAAAGACCGTGTATAACATTGTTGAATGAAGAGTTGTCGTCATGCTGAGGTTTGTCAGCTGAGACTGCGGGCAAACCGGTTCGGACTACTGTTCCCCGAGGTGGGATAGTCGGAACGGAGAAACAAGAGTTCCGGAAAGCCTGCTTATCAAAGTATTCTTATCTAAGCTGACCTAACTAACGTGATAACGTATTGCCCGAGCGACCGAATTGACCGAGCGGCCCTACCAAAAATCAAAAAACCTTCAATTTTTAACCACGACTAATGCCACAAAATTGACTCAAATTTTGCTATTTAATACGTGTAGGGCATTTAACATAGGTATGACCTTTAATCCCACATCCAGAGCAGGTGACCTGCCGCCTAACCGTAGGCATAGACGGTAAAGCAGGTTCTGCAGGTGGTTCTTCAGGCAACTCTTGCAAAGATATATCTTCACTGATACCATCATCCTCAACAACTACATCATCCTGACCATCCTCCCGACTCCCGAAAATACCCCTCTGGCTAGTGAACTTATGTTTGATGGCTCGTTTTTTGATCTGTTTCTTATTTGAAGCCTCCAATTGGTCGCAGCGATTCTGAAGAAAAATATGATGATGGACCACTTTTATGGTCATTTCATAGGTCCTCTCAATCTCCCGTTTGGTTGGTGAAGAAAGGATGGACGAAGAGGATTCCAGACCTTTTTTGATCCGAGATTGCGATTTTGAGAACTTTGAGAGAGTCCAGAGAGTATTTGGATCACTATCACTGCCAGAAGATAGTGGTCGCTTAGGAAGAATATCAAGAGGAGGAAGTTCATCCAGGCATACATTAAGCTTTTCCAAGACTCTACTAGCATTGAATGGTGCTAATCCAGTAGCTAAAAAGCTATTCTGGATAGTAGAGGTCTTAAAAGCTCCCTTTCTTGCATCTGCAATCAATTCAAGGAAATCTTCCTTATCAATAGAATTGACTCCATTCCGCATCATGGTTGAAACCGCTCCTCCATAAAGCCTCTTCAAAACCGAAAAACAACCCACATCCAAAGGTTGTAAAAGATGCGAGGCATGAGAAGGCATACAGATAGCAATAATATCATTTTCTTCACAAATTCGATCGAATTCAGGAGTTAAATGACTCCCATGACCATCAAGGACTAAGAGGCAGTATTTTCCAACTCTTTTCCCAATATTTGGAATAAACTGAGATTTCAACCACCATAAACCAATTTCATTTGTAGTCCAGCCATTTTTGCTCACAGTCAATCGAGATCCAGGTTGATTTGAATCAAGGGGGATGCGTAGATGTTCAGGAAAAAGTTTCCCCTTGAAAACGAAGAGTGGAGGATGAACACTTCCATCAGCTCTAATGCACTCAATTGAAGTCACCCACTCGCGATTCCCAGCTTGTAAGAGGGTTCTTTTCCCATGGTACTCAGCTGAGGTAATAATCCTTTGTGTGGTACCAACTCCCATGGCAAAACCAGACTCATCAAAGTTGAAAATATCATCCGAAGTGATACCCCATTTTTCAATGGTATTTTGGACCAAATCAAACCATGGTTTGATAATTCGAGGGTCCTCTGAAAGAGCCCTTTGATAGTCGTATTTTCGAGATAATCGTGTGGACAAATTTGGATGTCGTTTGACAAAGTGAGATGCCCAATCTCTACCAACAGTAGAGGGGATTGCTTTTTGGGCATGACGGAGTAAATTGGCCATATCTCTCAACATAGGCAATGTAAGAGCAGCACCCCTCGTATCCATATCCAAGAGCCATTTTTCAATCGATTGCTCTTCAACCTCAGAGAAAATAAAGCGATTGTGTCGTTTTTCAGAAGCAGCTTCACGCCCCTTAAGGCGGGCCTTCAAAGTTGAGACTGGTAAATCAAAAGACCGCGCAGCAGCTGCAGCAGAGGGATATTTACCATCTTTTATAGCTTTTATAGCTAATAAAAGACGACCCTCCTGTTCTAATAATTTTCTCCTTCGATCAGACCGTTGGGGGGGCATTATCATTGTGGTAAACAAGAGATGTTAATTTTTGAGATGGCTTTTTGGTGGGGCCGCTCGGTCAATTCGGTCGCTCGGGCAATACGTTATCACGTTAATCTCCAGGGCTGCTGACCTAATGACCTGACCTAATCTGACAGAAAAACACAGGGCGGTGTGGCGGGCAGGAACAACCCAGAGCCGAGGGGCTCGCTTAGCCCTAAGCCCTGTCACCTGATACACGGCGCACATTGGTTGTGCGCTCTATCGCTAGACTATCTCGATCCGACGACAACACGACAAACGATCTTGCGGGTCATTCCTTCGACTTTCTTTCCTTGCCCGCTCCCAGAAAAAAGCCGACACAATGCCTTCGGAACAAGGACACCGCCGTGAGTGAATCCCTTCGAATACTGGATCGTCGTTATGGCGGTCTCGAATTCGCGATGGCGCACGAAGACCCTGTGTGCGATGACACAAATGACCTGATATGCTAACACTCTCTTCTCCTCTAGTCTACGTCAAGTAAGTTACTATCGCAAATTCCCATCATCGCACACGAGAGACATCAGTTCGAAAATGGAGACATGGAGGACCGATTTTGGAGGATCCAAAAACCCATCGCAACCAACTCGAATCATCACCGATCAGAACAGAGCATTAATACGATTTTTTTTGCAGGGGTCGCCACCTGAGCTACCAGCGTTCCAAGCACGCTCTCAACCCCAACACGAGGTACTTACACCCTGCGCCCAAAAATGTGAAATGGAAGAATGGAAATCTGATACATGGTTTTACAGCTTGGTCAAGATCGAGGGTGTTGATGACACCAAGTCCGCCAACTTCTACCTTGGCAAGAAGGTCGCTTTCGTCTACCGGGCCAAGCGTGAGGTCCGCGGCTCCAACATTCGGGTGATCTGGGGCAAGGTCACCCGCCCGCACGGTACGTGAATGATCGAGCAGTCTCAAAAGCCGCAGTCTGCAACCGACGAGCTGCTCAAAATCCATCGAAAATGCATATCTAACTTTGTTACAGGCAACTCCGGTGTTGTCCGCGCTAAGTTCCGCAACAACCTCCCCCCCAAGTCCTTCGGCGCTACCGTCCGCGTTATGCTCTACCCCTCCAACATCTAAACGGCTTCTTTGTGTTGTTTTTGTGGGCGATTCCCTTTACGCGCAGACGGTCGGTCAGGCAAGGAAAAGTCGACGGAACGAGCCGATGTTGATTTGAGGTGATGGAGTTGATGGGTTGATAACGTTTTATTCGTGGGAGAAGGCAGGGCCACCATGCCCTACGAATCAAAAAATTTACACTTTCATAGCTGTGTCGGCCCCGAGGCACCGGGAAGAGCTTAGTCTCGATATTTCTCCTTGTTCCTACAAATTGGCGAGCATGATGTGTCTGGTCGCGCAGCGTCACTTTCTCCCACTGTGTATCTGACGCTAATACGCACCAAATTCCATACCATTTCAATTTCAACCGGTCAATCGATCCGCATCTTTGTGTTCGTCTTGGTTTTAGAGGAATTGTATTTTCTTGCTCTGGCAACTACATGTTTTGCGACCCGTATGACCCTGAAATGTAGATTGCACCACTCGTAGCTATGGTGGATCTATGATCGCACGCCTCAAACGCTTGATATATGGTGACTAGTGCGTTCTCAGGGGTCTCGGTCTCGGCCTCTTGACATGGTCCCGGGCCGTAATCCCATGCAACCCTTCAACCTTTGCCACACTTTTGCATGTTAGTTCATACTGGCAATTGTATCCCCATGGGGTTCTTCTCTAGCGTCCCGAGCAATGGTTAAGTGCTTCTGATCAAATTTTCATGTACCAGCTCTCCTGCGATTGCAAGACAATTTATTTCAAAGACAGATCCCCCATTTGACCGTCATATATCCTTTCTCGGCTGTATCCGAGGGTTAAAAACAACTCCCATTCATATGTTGACCTCAACAGAATCCACCAGATCCCATTGGTACTTGTCCCATCCGCCACGGCCGACAGGTCATCGTTAAGACCAGGAGGACTATTTATCTTCGAAGTACAAAGGCCACGTTTAGCCACAGTTCCAACAGGGTTATCAAGAGCGGGAGCTGTGTGATCTGCGGTACAGGAGCCTTGGTTTTACGCTGCTACGGCAAAGTCAGTATTTGGATTCACCGCACCGATACCAGACTCCCTAAGCCGGGGACAAAAGAAGCCTCAAGTTGTTGCGGCCTCTGAGGAACAGTGTTTGTGCCGGGTTCCTTCGCTGGCAAGGTCTTCAGGTTGATCATTTCAGTGTATGTTTCTTGCCTTGACACACACGATGATCTAAGAGGGACGATTCAAGCGGGGTATGGGGGGTCCTTCTAACTTCATAGACCATATGGGACGGACCAAGAAACTTGAACTACGCTGGGAATATGTTTAATTTTTACTGCATTTGTAGAAAATTGAGGTAAATGTTGTGATGCAAGAAGATTTCTCTTGAGTATGTATCCGAGTGTGTTGACAAAAGAAGGGGCGCTGTTCGGGGTATTTGTGGTAGGCCTGGGAAAATAACTCCGGTCCTAAAGTATGCAGCAGATCTGTGATCGACAACACATGCTAAATTGAAGTTTAATCCAACCAGAGCAGTCTTTCACCTGAACTGCAGTTGGAAGCCTATTCGTGCGATTGGCCAATGTAACAAAAGGCTGCACGTTGTCTATCAAATCGTTGAAGAACCTGCCGATCTGTGGGATATATAATATGGTTCATTGAAACTCAAGATATTCTCAGTGCTGACATGCCTCATATGGATATTGTTGTGGGGATTGTGTGTGGGAAAACGGCGGGGCGGCCATATTCCACCCCGATGATTGAATTGCACTGGTTCTATAAGGTTGCGGTATACGATGAGGGTGATAACCAACTACAGCCACAGCACTCCTTTGAAAAATTGCGACGTCTTGTTTGTGTCGATCGAGAAAAATGCATGAAACATATAACTGGACCTGAACTCCACATATCCCGAAGTATAGAAGCATGAACAACGTAAATCGTAAAGCAAGCCATTTATATCCCACATCCCAAACCCAACGCCAACATCTAACGTAGTATTCATCTCAAAAATCTTCCTTGTGAATCGACTGTCGGTGTGCTCTCAAATTCTCCTTCCGACTGGCAGCGTGAGGGCACGATGGACATTTATAAGCGCGCGGAGACACATGCTGTGTCTCAATATGCCGCATCAGGGTTCCCTTGCGTGAGAAGAGTCGATCGTAGGTACAACCTACCCACCAACACTGGAAGGTGCCGCCAACATTGCCGTCACTATAGGATGGATATGGTCAAAATGTGATGACTGAGATACAGTGGAGCCCGGCTAGGGTGGGTCTTACTTCTTTTTGGATGTCCCACGAGTAAGACAGGGTCTCTTAGCCCTGCTAGGCCCCTTGTCAACCTCGTCCAGAGGATTATCTTGGTTTGACGTCGAAGGCGATGGAGTGACGTCGGTCCGAGGGCTTAGATAGTCGGGATCGCAGGTGCTTGTGGCAGAGAGAGCAGTGCTTCCACTATGGACAGACGTTAAGCTCAAGCTCCTCTTGCTGGTAGGTCTCATATTCGGGCATAGATATTTTGCCATAGGTGTGTGGCTCGTATCTTTGTGAGGGCCCCCAATTTTCGGCGTCGACGGGGATGGAGGGAACTCAGACCAAGGACTTGGATAGCCATCGGGGTAGGGACTTTCTGGAGCAAAAGCTGTAATGTTGCTATGAGTGGGGACGTGGTTTGGGTTACCTTGGTCGATGGGCTTAGGGAAGATGTTCTGGTTCAGGTAGACGGATGGAACCGAGATAGGAGGTGGAACAAAAGGTTGGGCAACTGGAATAGCTGGATACTGAACTTGATAGTTATACGAGGGGCCTCCAACAGCTGGTATGCTTCTCGGGGCGGCCAAGGGCTCGGGGGATGGGGTCACGAAGAAAGATGCAGATTCCCTGAGCACATCGCTTCTCCAGCTCTCCAACCCTGTGTTTGGCCACGGAGTGTCTTCCAAGTTATTGTTAGGTGTTGGGCGGTCCATAATGAAGATAAACAGCTTGGACACCCCTAGTGAGAAGAATGTTGTGAAAGATAGACAGAAATGGCTAGTTTAGTTGTTGAATAATCGTATGGGGAAAGCCTTTTGGGGCGAGGGCACTCTGTATTTATAGACTGACATAATGTAGACCACTATGATGGCCCAAGAGTGGCCTAGAGTCTAGAAAGATTAAGGGGATGGACTGCAGAGAACGAATTAAAAGCCCCAAAGATCGGCGGGCAAAGGGCGGGCTTCAGGACTTGACAAAGTCCAAGTACACACCTGGTACCATTCGTACACCAGAGGTGAGTGAAATCCAGGTGAAAAACAGATGTCAGTCACTGTCCACCCCAGTTTACCTCATCTAGCTTTCCCCCCAGCGACTTAAATAAGAGCTCAGTGTCCCGATGCAATGGTTCTTGGGATTTGGGAGCCTCGATTTGGCTTCTAGAAACTGCACGGGATTTTCCTCAATATAATCTTACTTCTGGCTCTAGTGCTACCCCGCTGCTTCCGACAGTTCAATGTTTCTTTCTCCTTGGACAAATTGTCCCGCAAAAATTAACTACTGCATGCACGGCCCCCCTCCCGGTTACTGCTCATGCAAGACTCGTAACCGGAAATTGCGACTAGGCGCATTGATTGTGGACTAAAAGGGACCCCTACAGAATTAAAGAAAGTCTTATTGGACGATATATACAGAATTTTATAGTCATTTTCAGGCAATATAGCGGACTGATAGACACCTGAAAAAGCAAGCAGAAGGAGGGTCGGCATGTCATCATTGATTCATTTTGGGCCCTCATTTGCACCCGGGTGCTATCATATACATCATAAATTTCCCTGCATACCCCACTATGTACCAGGACCATGGACATGGACAAGGACGGATAGATCTAACTGCCGTTCCTGTGCGTACTAGAATGAGCGACTACGAGAAACCCATCAAAATTGCTGATCAAAGTACACTCCGGAGGGCAAAGGTGGCTGGCCCCGGGGGCCGGGAATGTCAACCTTACCGGAGATCGACAAAGCCCACTAATCTACCTTCCTCTTGTAGGCAGTGTACTGTACAGTAGCGCTTCTCTCCTGCTTCGCCGAGAGAGACCCGGGGAACAAAAATGCCTTGTCCGAATAAGGCCGAGAACATGCATCGTTGAGACAGGGATTAGGGTTGTATTGCATCAAATGGGATCTCTCAATTAAGAGTGAACTGTTGGTGACGTCGCCTAAGTCTTACAGGTGCCTGACCCACAGCCATAGTTAAGTAATGACAATTTGAAATACTTTAACATCTTACATTTTAGTCCCGACTGAGATATTCTGAAACGGGATGACGAGGCAGAGCGCCGAACAGTTCTTACCCCAGATAAACCAGATAGGGGTTGATTTCCGGATTATCGAGCTAAAAGATGACCATCATGATTGGTGCTCGCCTGTATGCGTTGACCGGAAGGGGAAGCAGTACAAAAGTACGTGCAGTGCGTTAAGCATGCGCGGCTCAGCTGAGGGCCGGAGCCATGACTGATCGGAGCCGAGATTTCTTTTCAATTATCTGACTTGCTGCAAAAGAATCCCTTATTTTAGGAGAACTTCCACCATTCTCGGCATGTTTGTTACTTGCCCTTGCAGTATTCACTGTGGGGACCAGAAAAGACTAGGGCAACTACCAGTGGGTAGCCTTGCCAGCCAAAATCCTCTCGTGAGCCTTGGTTTGAATCAGGTATAGCTTGCAGCAAATTATTTCATCGAAGACAGAAAACATGTTCAAATGTGCTATCCCCGACGCGTGAGAAGTGAGAAGTACTACACGAGGCGCCTTCCATCGTACAACAAAAGCTAAGCATGGCTCAGGTTCCATAAGAACACGGTTCCGCCAAACACCCAACTTAAAATACACCGCAAGCTCAACGTCTTCGCGATGTGTATATGCCATGAACATTTCCCATATGGTCAGTCCTGTTGCCTCGACGGTAGACCCGTTGGCCACATTCAGAACAAATAAAGAGCCCGGCGAGACATGCTGGGTATCAACATGGCGCTTCAGAAGTCCTTTAGTTGCGAAGAAGCTATAGCAATCGTTCTAGTGGCATTGGAAAGGAGTTTGGCCCACGCTGAAAGTTGATTAAGGTCAGAGGTTTTGTGACAAACTCCAAAAATTACACAGTACTCGCGGCCTGGGCCAGCGCAAACCGCCTCGGTGTGCCGCTGGCTTTCAAACTGATGCCTATATCTGAAAGAGTCGGGTTAACTTTATCTTTACTGGAGGACAGGAGGCACGTCGCATTTGGCCATGCACTTATAGCCGTGTCATATGTTGGCTCTATTGTCGAGCATTCAAATTGCATAGCTGTACCGGACCATAGAAGCCTGGCATGGATCCGTTCGATTGTGGTTTCTGCCGACCACTCAAGAGGAGCCTGATTATTGGAAAGTTTCCATAGATCATGTTGTTATTTGACATGATGTTTCGAAGGGAAAATCCTGGCCCCGTGTCAAGACGCTTCTCCAGCCACTACGCCTCATGAAACTCTTAACACCCTACATGGGACTGACGACTGAAGTAAGAGTGAGTATATGATTGATGCCGAGAATATGAAACCTTAAAACACATTTTTCCAAGCGTTTTACTTGGTTTCGACTCTTTAATACGCCGCCAGAACGCACTTTTTCGGGCTCCGGTTCTGTAAATCAGGAGATAACAATTCTATTAAATACACCACAACGCTAGGTGATGGTAAATTGGGCGCCGAAAACGGCTAGTTTTGACGCCATTTTAAGCGTCCTATTTACCAAGTTCTTAGTCATTAATCAACCACGTGACTCATTTCTGCCCACTCTTACTATTTGTTCACTGAGTGCTCAGAGAGCGCTCCCTGAGCACTCATGGTTGCTCAGGGATCAGCTCACCCTTCACTCAGGGTACTTATGGTAGACAATCAGGGACGTCATATTGTTTTGCCCACTAGGTTGACCGATTGTAGCCGCTATTTGCAAAAATAGAAAGGTCCTTTTGTTAAATGCTGAACGCTCCCCACACTCCAAGCATTCCGTTCTAATATTTAAAGAGACTCTGCCCTCCGTCAACCCATGGGCTTGCTCAGAGTACTTCGTCCAAGACTTGCAAGTATATCGTCAATTTCCAATTCCTAGGCCTCTTCTGTTTCTTAGTCATTACGGTTTTCTTTCTCTTTCCTTCTTTTCTCTTACTATTCTTGGTTTCTCACTACCTAGTTCCTACTCTAATTTATGCTATGTCTGTTCTTGATATTACTACGAAGGGAAAGAAGTAGGCCTATAGTCCTAATTATTACCGGCGACGTCGTCAATAGCTTGAGAAAGGCATTATCCAAAAACGATATGCTATCTTAACCAAGAACAATATTGATAAAATTAAAAGACGATAGATTAGGTAATTATTTGCCTAACTCTTTGTCCTAATATAAGACTAACCTAACTAGGCACTGTGAATATCTAGGGGAAGACCCACTCTAATCTCTTATTGTAGTATAGAAGGGCGACGTTATAGTTTTTCTAGAGTGGATTCTTAACAACTCCAAGATCAAGAAGTTTAGTAGTTTACATAAGAACTAGAGGCAATAGTGCTAGCTATACCGCAAAGCTATAGGGCGAAGTCTTTATACGAAGAGTTATTAGGATATCAACGACGTAAGTATGATTTTGCCTTTCCACTTGTTCGCTTTGTGACTTTTCTAACTAAAATATAATAGTATATAAAAGAGTATCTAGTCGCACGTTATAACCTCGATATATCTATTAGGGAGAAGCCCGTAATAAACGTTAATGATTTGTATATCGTTCTCCACCACTATTGGACAAGAGACACAACTCCCTATCCCGATAGTCGTCAAATAATTCAACTCGCTTTCCTCCTTTTAGTGTTAGCATATACCGCTAGTCGACTAGGAGCACTAGTTTATATTAAACAAAACGAGCGGACTAATATCTAGCATTTCTTCGGTGGCGTAGATAAAAATAAGGAAGATAATAAAGATTGGGACCTTAGAGAAGATGACCTAAAAACACTATACTACGGTCAGATTAGTTTGATTCTGCTCCCAAATCCTAGAGGACTCCGGGACTATCTTGTGATAGAAATTGATTTAAAGTATACTAAGGGTTATTATACCAAACCAAAGAGGTTAGTAATTGGCAAGGCTCTGTTCTACGCTAGGCTAATTCTTCTAAAAGGAAAATCTTCCTAATGTCTAAAGTCAAACAACCTATCTTCGACGTCATTGTTCTTGTGCTCACAATAGCAATACTTAACGACGTATTTTCGGCAAATATATATTCTGTCGAAGATATATTCATGGCTCGTGTCTCCTTACCACGTCGTTCCGTTAGACTGAAATTCAAGAAAGACAAACTCAATATGCCAATTTGCCGCTAGCCAGACTTATATTATTCTAAAATAGCTACTCACCCCATAAAGCCACTTAGGTATCACACGTATCTCTATTATTTGCAGCGGCTAAGTGTGAGACCACGCAGAGTCTCCGGTTTAGTTAGGTAAGCGAAGTAGAAGCCTCAGCTGACGTGTAGTACAATATGGTTCTATTGTAGAAGAGACTGAACGCTGACCCTTCCCAGGGTCAGCGGGGATGAACTAAATACAGGCTGGCCCAGCTTCCGGGCGGTGAGCAGTACTATACTGCCACGATTCCTGAGGCACCACTCGTGCCTCAGGTACCAACATAATGTCAGTGCTGCATTCATGAATACGGATTGAGAACCGGAATTATAGTAACTCCGAATGAGCGGATTACTAAGGATGAGCATAGCATAAATAGCAAGAAATAGCAAGTAATAAATGACAGAGATTTCAATGCCCTCATTGGCTGAGCAAGTTACGGAAGACAGCAAGTTCCGACACATCATAGATGCCTCAGGCCATTAAAATACTACTGTCACGGGATTCACCACTACATACTACCCCCCCTCTTGAATCAACCGTCCCTTGGTTGATTAGTAGCGGGCCT